TAAGCGTACATACATGCGTTATGATGACAAAAGAGGCGTGGTAAAAGTATTGTTGTCTCATGTCATGTAATGTAATCCACTTCAGGGTATTCAAAAACAAGTCGCTGGAATAAGCTTGGTTAATTGCATTCCGTATCAATCCTCGAAACACATTCTATTACGGACAGAATGTGTTACTCGCAATTTGTTTTATTACATTTTTCCTTGACAGTGTTATTATCACTGGTGACTCCGTAAGGTATACTTTTGCGTACTCTATGCACTTGGATAATATTAAGTACGAGGATAAATCTCTTCTCCTGCAGAATATTTTTTTCTCTTTGATCTTCGTTCCTTGTCAATGGGAGAGGATATGTTGAATAATAAATAGTAAGGCCAGGAGACTTAAATTGGCAAGATATCCCCAATTACCCTCCCTCTTCACATGTTGGCTTCTTTTTATTTGTTTGTGATGCCGGTTGAACTTCTCTTTCAGTTTCAAGTTGGAGGGTGACATATAAAGATCAGGATTTTGACTAGCCGTGTCATTTGTCATGATAAATTGCAAAATTCTTGACATACCCGCCACAATAAATCTTCATTATAATTGAGAATGAAAATCTGTATAAAACATGGCTAGGGACATATCCCTTTCGGAACCTTCCGTTTCCAGTTTTATTGTAGAATTTGGACATAATAAATGGGGGGAAAGTACTGTCATATTATTTGCATTCGTAAACAACATGTAAATGTTGATGTGAAAAAGTGGCCGTTCAAAGTTGCGATAAATCAGTGAAAAGAGCATGCATACATAACAAGCGTCAATGTCAATGAAGAAGCGGTTTAATGGATCGAAGGTAAATAATATGCCGTTTATGTCTTCAAATAATGTCGTTTCACACTCAATGAATTTGCTAATTACCTGTCTAATTACATTTATGCAGAGACAAAGACTGGCACCCCTTCGTGCCCCTTGAATTTACTGCTCACATAACCTTTTGAAAGCTGCCGTTCTCCGTATTGCTATTTAAATCAGACTCGCAAAGCAAAATGAAATGACGTTCAACTCTGTATAAATCATTCAAGGGTTGGGTGAACTGGAATATGATGACAGATTGAGTGTTTTATGCTGATAATGCCACTTTGCTGAACGATATTTGCAAAAACAGAGAGCTTTTAGCTTCTGGCTTGAAGGATACTCAAAAGTACTAATTCTAAATGCTCTTGCATAGTATCTGCATACATACATTGCATAAAAACACTCGTCCCTGAAAGCCAAATAATTAATAGTGGTCAACAGTGTGCTCGACCAAAAGGCAATAATGAAACGTTTAGATATGCGTACAGTTACATAATATCAAACAGGAAATTAGTGTTGGGTTGATGGTGAAAGAAACTAAACACGTAAATATGCATATCATCGGCAAATGTCACAATATGCTAATTTAGGGAACAGAACTAATCGTAAGAGAAGAGAGACTGCTACTGCTGTGTAAATGGCATCGCTCGCTCCTCAGTCAGACAACGTGTCCAAGTGTCCACCCAAATTTTGCCATCCATGTTCCAACTGCAGAAAACCCAAACTTTGTTGAGTTTGATGGACTGAATAGAAACGAGGATGAATTGAACAACATCATAATGCATCCTGATCCTACATTACAGACATGCAATTATTTTGAAGTACCAGTTACACATTCATCCATGGTATCTTAACTATCGCTTTCGTCTACACATTTTTCTGCTTCGGTTAAAAATGCATAAGCCCTTCTTTAGTTTTAAGTCACGTTGGTAATGTGATACAGTACATTTATTTTAGCTGCGGGATGCAACGTATTATTCGTTTAGGAGAAGCATGTTTTTGACAAATGCCTACGTTTCTTGCCGAGAAACAGTTCTTTTATTTTTATTACTGCTTCATCACAAGCGTTTGAGCCGCTGCTAAGTGTGTGGATGGACAGAAAGTTCATTGATCTACCAAAGAAGAAGAGGTTTGTACTACACGACACTGCATGCAAACTGCACTCATATTATTTCATATGTGTGCATGCATAATCTGCTCCTTGTAACAACACGAGGAAAATGCCGAAACCCTCGAGACATGTATTTAAACGAAATATTGATCAGCTCAAGGATTAATAACACATCGATGCGCTAATGAGCAAACACAACGGGAGTTTTATCATGTCATGCTCACCAGTAGTGGCAGAATGCTTGAGAGGGCAATTAATTACACATAGACAGAGATTCTAGATAAATGACGAAAAAGATTTCTCATTAGACGACACTTTCTTGAACCCCACTGTTCGAATTCAATGGGTTGGAGGAGAGTTTCGTAACTGATATAAATATTATAGATCACCTCAAATGCTGAAATGGAAATTAGTGGTTGGTCCCCGACTCCCCAATTGTAAATGCACGCATTTTGCGTCAAGACATTCTATTTTATTTCGTCGTCCACGTTTTTATACATCCACTCTCTAACAATAAGTGCTAAAATTGATACCAGATTATATTTTCTAACAGAGTTGGCATTGTACATTGAAATAAGCTATAAAAATGTTTTTTTTGTGCAAAAATTTCAAGTTCCACATCATCGTGAGGGGATACATAGGTATACGAACGAACAAGAAGAAAGTATTTATATAGTCGCATGTTATAATGCTGAAATAATACAATTCTTTCGAAGAAAGGAGGCAATTAAAGCTCTTAAGGGATTCAAATCACAAAGAGTCGATATACGCCATGCAATGCCTTCCTGGCAGCACAGCAGGAGGAACACATCTAATCGAATCAACCAACAACATGAGCAAAAAAGCAAAACAATCCAAACTAAAATGCTTTTATTTATTAACTCAACATGTAACAAGAAGGAATGTTTGCAGATAAAATGTAAAAATGCAATCCAAGCTTTTCTTTGCTCACGTTTTGTTGCTAGATTGGTCATGAATAAAGATAACGGAACCAGGGACATGATTTGTTTCATTTACTTGTCGTGCTTTCTGCATTGGCCAAATGTTGGAGTAAGGTTTTTTATTTATTTATATCAGTCAACAGTCGTTTGCGAAGGTCTGATGACAATTTAGGATTTGCACAATATTTCTTTTTTGCACTCTCATCTTTTAGCAGCCGTTCGCCTTTCTTTGGCAGAGGATGATTGACAATTTTAGTATATTTTGCTCGTTTGAGTGTGTACGAGTTATTTATTTTATGGGCTTTGTTCAGCAACGACTCATTATCATTACAAAAAGAAATAGGAGTAAGTTTTCCTGTCAGGTCCTGAACGGAGAGAAATATATGTGCGAGGCTTGAGAAAGGTGAGATTGTGGAAACAATTGTCATCAAGATGAGACAACAACACTGCTGCCTTAATTTACATACTGTATGCACATCCGTTCCCCTTCCCATGTTCTCATTACTACACTCGCTGGCTTGCATTGTTTTTAATATTTGCTTTACATGGGCGCCGGAAATGGACTCGAAAATCTAAGTCAACACCCCCACCCAATGCTGAAACCCTGACTTGATGGTGTTTTTATTTAGCAGGGGTGAAAAGCTATAAAATATTTCCATGCTCGCAGGACCATGGGAAATTATACCTACATAAATAATATTCTAAGCTCTATAATAATAATATATATGCTCCCGTTAATGTACTCTCATTGTCTTCCTCCCTGGCTGAGTTTGAGGGTGCTCGTTATATGGATTTCATGGAGCACACAATCGATCATGACGCTCTGGAGAATGTTCGATCCACTTCCAATGTCAATATTGTATGTAGTCTTGAAACTTGCTAGCAGAGTTACACTGCATTAATGAAAGATGCACTCCTCTTGTCTAATGCAATTAGTTTGCGTCTCCCACTGCCTGAAATCTTGCCTAGCAATATTTCAGAGTAAATATGGATGACAACCTCTAATGGCAGAATTGGATTTGCACTGATGGATTGGTGGCAGGTTTAGTTTTCCATTTCGGTTTAGAGAGAAACCTCAAAATTCAATTTAGTTGAAGGTCTTATACGATTACTTTACCTGAGCGATTGGAGTATTTGCATTTTATACGATCACAAAACACTCCCGAGATTTGATTGATTAATCGTTTACCAGATGACGTTAATACGCATGCAATACTTTTGCATTCCTGGTTTGTGCTGGACAGTTGTACGTATTTACTATTCATAATGTCTTAAGGTTGGAAATCAATTGTAACCGATTGAAATTGATTAAACAATTTTATTATCAAATTATTGTCAAATTGATACATGCAGTTTGTACATATCTCAAAACCTGATTAAAATAATATGTCCCCGATATACGCAAAATTACCATGTGCATACATATCAACGATCCCTCGTACATTCGCACATTTTTAGTAGCACTGATTTATGCTCCATACTGTAAGAATCGCCAGTAATATTGCCCATGGTAAATCAGGTTAAATTTTTATGGGCAGTTATTCTTTATGTATAGGGGAGCCAAGAGATACAGGAATTTGAGGTATTTAATCTCGATATGTTACACAAAAGTTTGTGTATTCCACGCAGTAAACTAAATATTTACAACTATGTATGCGAGATCACTTAATCATTTGCTGTACCCTCTCCCACTGCACTTTACTGCGAGTTTTATGCCACATACTTACATTACAAAGAACCAACCAAAAGTATTCACCAACAACCGAAATGATTTTACCGTAAGCAACTTGTTCATCAAATCGCCGTATAGCACAGCATGCATTGCATTGTGCGAACTTCTTGCTAATCCGATCACTGTAATATCGTAGTAAATTGGGCCCTTACTCCCTTGCTTATTACCTGTCCTATCTACCTCTAATGAAATGCACAGTCAACCTGAACGTAAAATACACCTCACGCAGAATACACAGTGATAAGAAAAATAAGTAAACAGTTTCTCATCATGGCAAACCCCTCAATCTCAACGCGACATAGCACAACAGCAGAGCTTCATCTATCATTCTAGGCGCAGTGAATGGTGGGGCTTGTTTCGAAATGGTTGGGGTGCCAGACCCAGAGAATTTGTGGAAATTTAGCTGTACAATACAGAATAGACTACGACACTGAAAAACCAATCACGTTGTAACTCGAGCATCTATAATCTGCATAAATTTTGGATCTGACATTCGTGGGTTGGTTGAAAAGTTGATTTCAAATCTAATATTGAACATTGAAGACTAAACTCTGAAATAAAGTTGAGATCATCGGAAAGAAGCCACTGCGAGCAAGCGAAAAAAACTCTTGAGAAAAAACGTTTGAGAATTTTTAGCAGCAGCTTTTCAACAAATTCCCTAAATCATGCATTTGTACATACAGGAAGTGCACCCCCAACGACATTTGAGGATTGAATAATACCAGAGAAAACTGCATATATATTTATACAACCAACCAGTCTAAACCACTATTCACTGTCTGCCACATAACGGAAATATTGCCAAGATTTATCCAATATTCAGCGTTTGACTACTCGACGCCACGTTGTGCTGTATATTTTACTTTGGTGATTCCTTGGACGGACAAACCAAAATTGTAGAAAACCGCAATTTAGTTTGTGAAGAATTCAATACTCGGCTGGAATGATTGTCTTGATTCATATTTTACTGTTTATGAGATCGGCTCGTTCTGCTGAGGATGAGCGGAAGGATTTATCATCCCCAGAAGCGTCGTTTACGTTCTTTTTCTAGCTCTTTCACTGCATTCAAATCAGTGATCAGATTTTAAGCACCTACATGACAATCCATTCGATGGGGTTGAAGAAAATCTAAAACTGACGACAAAGTCCAAAATTCAAGGAGAGTGTGTGTAGATACATATGTCCTCGTTATTGAGATTTGAGGTTTGTGTCATTAATGTGCTGTGTTGTTGTTGATAGTGCATTTTTACCATCGAAAAAAGAGTTTATCAACCGTGAATTTCTTATGTGCGATGAAATGGATGGACTGATGCAAGGATTTGAGAGGGACGCTTATTAGAATTTAGCAAAGTGCAAATGCGCACGAGAGATAGTCAGGTAAATGAATGTATGTACGTAATGTGACGACTATTCATTGGTGTGACAATCCGGTGAAAGTGTCAATCTTTGCTCTAGATCCCTTGTTTTGTTCTCCAATATTGATATACACATAGGCACCAGGAGTAGCAGGGCGTTGCGAGCATGAGTCTGGTTGTGCCATGCAAAAAATCTTGACATAGCGTTTGCAATCCTTTGAATTTAATTTCGATTAAACGCACATTACAGCCTTTGAGTCATATTGATGAAGCCCATTATTTGCTGTTACGCTTGAAAAACTTTTATTTATTGACACTTTCGACTATAAATATTAAGATGTTAATGTGCGGTTAAGAAATCCATTTACTTTTTTATGTCAATTTCCATTTAACGTGAAATGTAAATGTAAATGTTGGAAATTATGTTAGTTTGACAATGAAAGTTATACGAAATGATTATCGATAAGTTATTTATACTATGATCATAAGGATAAATGGCTTAAAAATAAGTTGATACGAGCATAATTGGGGATATGCAAATGATGATCACGAAATCATAAATGGATGGAGATTGGGACAAATTCTTCGTCGAATTGATTACTCTAACTTTCCAACCCATTTAGAAGTCATGACCGGCAACACAACCGGCGTTGTTGAAGTTTAGATTTTAAAAGTACTACATAATGTTGATGAAACAAACAAACCGCTTACGATAAATTGAACAAATGTTTCACGATTTCAAAAGAATAGCAAAACTGCGTTTGGCCATTAAACTAAATTCCTGTAATTTCAATTTTGTTGGTACGAATTGTTAAATCAAAATCGTTAACCCAATGTCATAAAGGTTTGCCGGAAGATTTGGCCATTATCACACAGAATTGTTATCAATTTCGGATAAAACAAGGCCATAACGCATCAAAACATGCGCTTCACATTATGTTTCATGATTCATCGGTCTTCTGATTTAATGCGAACTATTAATTGATGCTTCGTTTATTTACTTGAATGGTGTGTATTTTTTTTATTTTCTGTTTTATTTGCAACTTTTTGTTTATTATTTATTTTTCAGATGTCAATATAAATTAAATAATATGGATCATAAATTGGCACCAAAAATGGAAGTAGGATCAGATCAAGGGTCGGATCAAGTTGCCAATTATTTGTCCTCCCGACAGAGCGGTGACACCATTGTTGTCGAAGAAAGCTTTAATGATAAATTGACTCCGCTTCTCGACCTGGTAAATAATATCAGTGGCAACGCATACCACGAATGTCAGCAAAACGAAGCCAACTCCAGGTCATTGGATGACGGGTTTTCTCGTCAGCAAGGTTTCAGTCAACGTCACATGGAATCATTGGAAGACGAGGGGGGGCAGCAGATGGAAATGGAAATCCGAATCCAAGGAGCAGAAAACGGAGATTATGGCGACTTTCAGTTCTTTCACCACAAACTTTCACTACAACAGCATTTAGGACACAATGAATTTTCTGGCGTCAGCTCCTTTGGATTACAGAATGGTAGTGCTGAGGAATGTGATGATAATGGAACTGGCAGCAGTTTTTCTGTAAGTTAATTATTTTTGGTTGGCTATTTTGATTTGTTTGTATTTTTTGCTCATCACAAAGTATTTCATGCTCATGATATTGGTGTCATTCACTAAAAGACATACATACACGAACGAATGTATATTATGTACTTACGCAAAGTTCAGATCTCGGGTTATACAGTTATGCTAATTGTGACAGCAAGTTAAGGAACGATTAAGCTTCTAAAATCGGTCACATTTTTTCTTGCAGCAGAAGAATGAATACTGAATCTCATTTGTTGTATGTACTTATTTCTGTAAACTGTTTAGAAATAATTGTCTCTAATGTGACTCTAGTGGGTCATTATATCTTTATCTTCGCATAAATTGTTCACGCCGCATTTTGAAGTAAATTAACAAGAAGACCACTGTCCTCCTCAATTTTGAATGGGTGGGTAGTGAATTGAATCCCATTGTGATTTTTGCCGGCGAAGATAAATAACTAGCAATTGATGGACATGAATTTTCTGCTTGACAAAGTACCTGTCGTATGTATTTAAGAATGCAACTACGACGGTGGCAAAATGCGACGGTATAGGATTTTCAATTTTTAAGTAGATAGCATCCGTTTGTCATAAACTGAGAGATTGTTGTTTTCTTGCTGTTTGTCGCTTGTTGACACAAATACTTCGAGCATCGTTCTAATTATGATGTGTACTTCTGAGTTCTGATAATCCCACTTAAAGTGGAATTTTTGTTGCAGCATGAGAAAAATTGCCGTTCACTGTCAAAGTCAAAGAATGGAATAATTTGTAAGTGGTAGCCGGCAGCAATGCGATAATGAAGTGCATGTTGATTAAGTTGTGACATTCTAATGATTTGCAAACCGTTGTAGCCATTTGCAGAAATATGTGCATAGATATAGAGATGCCATTCATTCATACATACATACATTGTTGGTTCGAAAAGCATAATCATGTGAGTTTGTAAAAAAGATGAGCTTCTTTGATGTTTCGAATATAATGACAAGAAAATCTTTGGCAATAAAATGATTGTGGTGATTTGTAAATTAGGAACGGGTGTTGCAAAACCTACAGTTTAAGTGGCCACCATTGATTTTGCGTCCATACAAATGTCTATGATTTCTATATATTGCTAGTAAATTGGCCTCCATTATCGTTGTCGACAGGACGCAATATTCCGATTATTGCTGCGGTCCCGTAATATTAATCTACATATTACCATCCTTCTTTCAAACGTCGCCATTGAGCTACTTGCTTACTTGGGTTTCTTTCTGGGTAATATGCTCATTCAGTTGATGAGTTCACACAATTTAAAAACGCAGCATATTTTAATGACCAAAGTACTTGTCGCTTTTCTCATCCGAATTTATGGACATAAATCACACTTGGTTACAGTTTGGCCTGATAACATGCTTGTAATGTTTTCCATTTATTACTTGAACCAACGATGAAAATTAATGATATCAACGAATGCTCATGTACATGTAGTGCATACTGACGTTGATTGTTTACGATGACAGATGAAGTATCACACACACTCATGATTTACTTCGCATCCTCGTCAAAGTAAAAATTATGCAGTGGACTTCTCCCCAGCCAGCCGTGCCGTGTTGCAACGTTAACAAATAAGTACTTGCCAATGAGTTTATTCTACATATCAAGTCTCAGTCTCAGAAAATCAAGAAGTGAGATAGACACGGTTTGAAAATTGGTGACGGCTGCGATATTTTATGAGAACGAGCTTCGCAACTGAAACTGATAAGCGTCAAAAAAGTAATGTTTTTAAAAGAGAAGGGAGAGAAGCAATGCATGCAAGAAAAAAATCGTGATTGAATTTGTATTCATCATTTAGAGTGAGTAAAAATCTATGTACATACAAATTTCCCAACTCAAGTTGAGATATGATCCGCCTGTGTGCGTGATTCTAAGGCGAATAAATTATTGCACAGTTTGAATCACTAATTCATATTTTACACTTTAATTGAAGCTGTACTTGGTTATCAGGAAATGCAAGCTTGCAAGCCTCACGTGGCGCTTACATCACATAAGAGTAAGAATTAAATGATTCGACAAGCAGATCCGCCGACTATTTCAAAAGTGGAAATACTCTATTGCATTATGTTCCCCACATGAAAAGAATTAAAACTTACCAATTTTTTCGGGCGCCAAAATTTCCCTTGGGGGGTTATGAGAATAATGGGAGATTTATATGGTGCACATAGGGCACAGCATAGCTATGGGAGGGGTTGAAGAAATTTTAGAAACAAAATTTTGTTAGACTCTCTGGATCAGTACACCGATAGGTTTTTCGAACCGAGTTGGAATTCCGACTTTCAGGGGTTTTTCGCAGCGACGCAAGATTGACTCAAAAATTGGTTTTTCGCTATGAAGAAAAAGTATGACGAAATGTTCATACGTTAGCGTTTCACCAATTTTTACTACGTTGCAAATTATTAGTAGTAGAATAAAGGTTAAATTACCCAAAAAGTTGAAATCGACCTGCGTGACCTTTTCCGGAGATCCAAAGGTCACAATGTCAAAGGTCACATTGCCCGATAAATGGGGTATCGTTGGAAAGGTATTGGCGAGAGAATTCAGAATATGTATACTTTGTGGGGTCAGAAATCACTCCCTGTAAGTCTAGAGGCAAACGAGCGAAAATCGACAGTTGTCCAGAATTTAACACAGCAGTGGATTGGGAGCTAACACGGAAGCATGCATGGGAAAAACTCAAAAATATTCTTCTGGCTCTATGTTTGCGGGGAGTGATTTCAGACCCCACAAGGTATACATATTCTGAATCTTCTCGCTAATACCTTTCCAACGATACCCCATTTATCGGGCAATGTGACCTTTGACATTGTGACCTTTGGATCTCCGGAAAAGGTCACGCAGGTCGATTTCAACTTTTTGGGTAATTTAACCTTTATTCTACTACTAATAATTTGCAACGTAGTAAAAATTGGTGAAACGCTAACGTATGAACATTTCGTCATACTTTTTCTTCATAGCGAAAAACCAATTTTTGAGTCAATCTTGCGTCGCTGCGAAAAACCCCTGAAAGTCGGAATTCCAACTCGGTTCGAAAAACCTATCGGTGTACTGATCCAGAGAGTCTAACAAAATTTTGTTTCTAAAATTTCTTCAACCCCTCCCATAGCTATGCTGTGCCCTATGTGCACCATATAAATCTCCCATTATTCTCATAACCCCCCAAGGGAAATTTTGGCGCCCGAAAAAATTGGTAAGTTTTAATTCTTTTCATGTGGGGAACATAATGCAATAGAGTATTTCCACTTTTGAAATAGTCGGCGGATCTGCTTGTCGAATTATTTATTTCTTACTCATAAATGCATTAAATAGGTGCCGATTCATCCCCATCAAATCTGAATAATTTATAACGGTAGTGGAGGAAAACATATCGTTGCACTTGCAATTTGGGTTGATCCTCATGCTCATAATATGTGTGTATGTTCATAACACAAGTGATATGAGAATTTTATGAGAGTGATATTCTGCCTGTCTAATTCTGAACAGATTGCTGGTAAAATTACTATTTAATTATGCAAACTCAACAGTTAGAATCTTCACATTCATTATTTTTTAATTTTAATATTAAATATGAATATTTAATTTGCCAAATCAGAGAATCGTCTCTTCGAGGAGAATGAGAGATGTGTATGTACATCCTACGATTAGAAGTTTTAATGAAATTAAGCCGCTATCCACCCAAAAATAATTAATTTTAACACAAACATGAAATAGTCTTTCATTTAATGATACGATCGTGCGTCACTCGCCAACATTTTCCTAAAATTCACAGTTGAAAGTTAAGCTTTGATAGATTTCTTGAAATTCTATTATTAAGCATTTGTTTGTCAAAAAGCAAGAATGCATAATATGTATTTACTTCTTATTTATGGGTCACTGAGATATTATAGATTGACATATCGAGATAAATATGACGCGTTTGTTTCATTTATGCCTGGCTTTTAACTTGTAAAAGTCTAACTTTGCATAATGCGTCAAGAAATTTGATACGATCAAGGAAATTAATTTTATTGTGTTACACGTACAATTGCAATTCCATTAAATTTATGTATTGTATGTCACAGCTGAAATAATTATTTTCAAGAATATCAAAGTATTATAATCATTCAGCTATGACTTTGGACAGGATAGTTTTAAAATAGACCAACCCCAGCAAAGGCATGTACCTTGTACTTTACACTCGTATGCATACGAGTATAACTCTCAGAATTATCTAAAATATGAAATGACAGCTTTATGCTATTGTAAACAAAGTTGTGCTGGCTGCTGGCTTATTTTCAAACTTGAAGACTATTCCAATTCCAACTCTTTCTACTTTGCAATAATAAAGTCATTATCTAATCCTATTGACTTGGACTGAAGAATTGGAGGAGAATGGAGAGCTTAACTTGATTTAAGAAACGTGACCCACGGTTTTATTCCACTTCCGTTATAAAACAACTTGTCCCAAATGAAGAAGTGAAGCAATTCTTCTGCCAATGTACGTTGGATGGCTGCAGGCAAACAAACGTGTAGGAGGGTGAGGGGAGGATATAATGATCGTCCAGAAGACAGAGCACCATCATTGCAGAATTTCTAGAAACTTTCCTGAGAACTGCATACTACTTCAATAAGTAAAGTTAAATAATAGGGGCAGATCTGCCAAACAATTTTTCCTCTGGGAACCAACTTTTTGCTATTTACTTGTTACTTCATTATCCGATAATATCTAGAGTCAAATCAAGATCCCATTCTGTGGGATGATGTTGCACGAGGGAGGAGACGATGGGGGATAAATGGGAAAAGTCTCAATTAATGGACCCCCTCCCCTCAACTTGAGATGCTATTTGTTGAATGTGTTTGCGATTGCCACGCAATGCTTGGAATTACACATTTCATCGTATCGAAGTTCTTGTTGATCAACATTTTAGTACGCTAAATCTCATTTTATTCCAATCTTACTATTTACATATATACCAGTTTCATGCAACTATTGGCACAAATACAGATAATCATATACAAGGATAATTATTAACCCCAGGCATACGACAGTTTTTGCAGGTTTCCTCGTAATATTTTTGTTTTCTAAGATTGATTAATATTTAATCAATCATGACTGTACAGCCTAAAATTCTGGGAAAACATTGAAACGATACTTATGTAAAGGAGAAAGTTTTCCTAAAAATACCTTTTGCAAGTACATATGTACTCATGTAACTTTTCTTGTGACGCACTGTTTGCACTGAAGTTTGTGTTATGGAGCCTGGAGATGTGTTTTTAACCGCATGTCAAAGAAGGAAACCTTTGGAAATCTTGGTTCATGTGCAGCCTTATAACAGAAAGCAATTTCATATGAAAATAATTGCATAATCAAAGAATTGAATGGCATTGAAATAAACGTACAGCTGCGAATATTTTTTTGCTTGGTTAAGTATATGCGCATAAAATAACATCCGTTGTACTTATCAATTGGGTACGACGCCATGAAAATTTGAAACTTTGTCATAATTTAAGAAGCACTAATAGAATTTGTTTTCTGATATCTAAATGTGGACAGGAATCAATAATGACATCTCTGGAACCGTTTTCTCAACGGAAATCCATTCCTCCTACGCCAAAGCACTATCAAACCAAATAGAGATTTTGAAATTGCAGATTAGATTACAAAATAAAATGTCATGAAAGAGGTCTCTCAGCTTGAGGATTTGCCATGCTCTTGTAAATCACACACAAAATCTTGTTAATGCTCACGAAGAAGGAAGCACAACACCACCACAGAACGGCTCCTTTTTTTCGCCTTGTTCTTCTTTCTTGACTTATCGTTTGTTAAGAGCACTGCCACTCGCAATGTAGCGTGCGTGGGATGGATGGGCAGAGATTAATGGGATCAGACGGAATGAAAAATGGGAGTGAAATAGAGAACCTGGAATGAAAGAAAATCTCGTGTTAAAGACGGATCGAAAGTTCCACACAAATAAATAAGCTAACCCAATTGTTTCTTACTTTCAGGAAAACCCGTTTGTTTTTCCCGATAATGTGATGGAGTACGGTGAACCACAGGTAAAAAATAATAAATCAAATGCACATAAACCGACCCTCTATTGAACTGGGAATAATAACAATAATGTAAATCCCTGAAATAGTTTTTCCCTGGCAGCTGTGTAACTGGGTATCTAGAGACGGTAATTATCTTATCTATTAAGTAGTGCATATTATAAGCATGCTATTAGTGTGCGAATTATTATGATGAACATAATCGGAACAGATACTGGAGGAAACGGATGAAGAGTTCGACGAGGAGGAGGGGTGCTCAGGTCGTCATTGGTGGAATGCTAATGACAGCGATACTGACACAGACTCCGTGATCAGAGTTGACAATCAGGTGCAACAACACCACAACCACTCCCAATTGTGCAACAACAATAACAATCAGTCAGTCTCATCAGTCGTCCCATCCGTAACCACAAACTCCAAGCTAAAGTCTGTCGACAATGTTGAAGATTTATCTGTCCAATCCACCTTTCGCTCCTCGGCAAGCTCAAGGCAAGTTTATTTAATGCCAAAACGTATGATCAAGTACATACTAAGTTGAATATGATTTTTCTTAATTTCAAAAGGCCTTTTGAGCTCGAGGATTTGCATCTCTTGGACCAACTTGATCTCGCATTTGAGGAGACGTTGATGGAACCCAGACGCAGGTCAGGATTTGCAGCATTTGGCCACCAATTACATTTGCTTGACCAACCTCTAGAGAAACATGTCAAACTATTTCATCACGATTATGAAAATGACGATGGCCGAGCAGCATTTCTCAGGGACGGAGTTGTTCTTAAAAGATCTGCAAGTCACGACGGTGAAAGGACAGTATTCTCCAGCGAGGATGATTTCATAGTGCCCCAGAGAAAGGAGAAAGTGGTTAGTGAAAAAGTTGAGAATAACTCGGTGAGCAGTAGTGGTGACAGGGACAGCAAAAAAGACGGTGGTGGTGAAAGCGAGTTGCCCTTGGGTAACGTCGTAAGTAAAGAAACATTTGGGTCGTCGTTGTCACCATCTTCATCCGACTCCTCAGAACCGCATGAAGTAGCAGAAGAGGATTTCTTTTACTCTTCACCTGGATCTGAAGAGGACGAGGAGGAGGAAGTTAGCTCATCAGATGACTCGGAGAAAGCAGAATCTGGAGGAGTTGTCCTAGCAGAATTTTCCCTAGCTGGAAGTGGAACTGGGGGAGGAAATAATAACTCATTTAGCTCTGGGATGCTGTTTGGAAGTGGAAGAAATCGTCGGTCTTTGGAGTCCACAACTTCATCTTCTGCCAGCTCCTCAAAGCTCAAGTCCTTTCGCAGTTTTGATAGTCTCAACGCCCTTTCAGGTACTGAACTCCTGTTCTCAAAAGCAGACACATTCCCTTCGTTCCATTACATTAAGGAAGATATAGAACCCGGTGGTGGTGGTGGCGGCGGCGGCTCTTCTGGACCCGATTGCAATCTTACTTCCTGTTCCACAAATGATGTTCCGGGCGTCAGCTGCCCTGAAAGAGGTGGCGAAGAGGAGTCCCAGTCCCTTCCATCTCATCACTCTTCTCCTTGTTATGGGCCAGGGTTCCCACCGACATTCCATATCACAAAGACAACCCCCTCTCACTCTTCATCGTCTACGTCGACAGCCTCATCCAGTTCCACGTCCACCACATCTGGAATTGTACATTCATCCGAGAATTTGTCAGAAGATAGTGGTATTGGACCCGAAGGGACATTGGCTGGAAGTCGTCGTCATCCCATCAAACGGAGCAGTGAGAGCTTTTCTGACGAACCTGAGCAGCAAGAAGATGGAGGCGAAGAAAGTGCCAAAGCATACATTGCCAAATCTGAATTCGCCCTGAATCCATTAGTATTCTCATCTCTCTCCTCGTCCTCAGATGCTGGGAGTAATAGTCCAAGCATAAACAGCATCCCGAGTTTAAATAATAACGAATCATCGTCAGTGGTGGATTTCTCGGGGAAGTTAAAGGAAGAATTAAAGGGAAATCAGGGATGCGTGACGAATGGAGAAAGTGTCGTGACTGCACAACCTGCGCCCCACCACAACTATTATGCGGAGAAGGACGTCGGAGTAGTGAGAGGCGGAGCGGAGAATGTTACAGATGAGATTGGAACCATTACACATAACTCTTTATCCAATTTTCATCAGGGCAAAGTGGATGCGAGTGATTCTCTTCAAATTGAAAGTCCACAGCCACAACCAAGTAATCATAAGGCAGGGCCGGGTGCTTTTGCTGCAAGTATTCCATTTGAGACGAAATTGCTCATTTCCATCAATGACCAGCCGACCAAACCCGCAGCAGCATCTTCGCTTTCATCCAATTTCTCCACCTTTGAATGTAATTGTTCCTCCAAGACCAAACAGGAATGTGGACTCCACCCGTATTCAACATCATCAGATACTACGGCGGATTTGCGAAACTTCACCACCAAAGTAGTAGCAGGAACAGGAGGGAAAGCTGACGAAGCGAAAGATTGCTGCACGCTATCTCCTACTACTGGTAGTTCTAGTTCTGGTAGTTCTGCCGAACTCGTCGGCATCATCCCTGATAGAGATTCAGATAGCCTCAATTCCTTGAACTACCACGTCACTCCTCAATCCGCCAGCTTAACGAATTCTTGCGTAAAAATTGACACCAACCTCGATCAACGTAATTCTAAGGTGGCTGAAACGAAACCATTATTATCATTCCCATCAGCAATTGAAAAAAACGACTCAACTCAGCACGAGAGCACTAGAAATCGCACAAACAACTGTCCTTCTTTGGCGACAGAATCCCATATTTCACTCCATCGTAAGAACAACAATGGTGTAGATGCAGAATCAAGAACCTTGATGAATAACTCTCAAAACCAAGATAGAAGAGTGGGTGGTGGTTCTGTGGTGCATTGTCAAGTGCCTTATTCGTCAGAAATGGAAATAAGAGAAGGGGTGCCAGACGAAGAGTGTACTACAAATAGTTTTCCACCTCCGCATGATTACTTATTGCCATCATCATCCATATGTCAAGGTGGAGGTTCGATAGAGATGTTGTCGTCGTCGTCTCATCGTCAACAAAGTAATGACATGAAAGATGGTGCGGATCATGTTTCTAGCTCAGCAGTGGATCCACCCACAAGCAAAATAACTCGTCCTATTCAAAGGCAACGAAGCCAGAGTGAAAGTGAGTTTGAGTGTGTGGAATGTGCCGTTGAATTGGATAGCTTTGTGAACTCGGAACCCACAACAAAGCGTCAAAGCAGCAGCATCTCATCTCCCCCCACAACGCGTGAACCCATTTGTGGTGATACTGCTGGTGGTAACTTGGCAATAAATGGGGAAAGTGGGCCAGTGTCAACCTTGATGCAAAGTTTTGAGCAGAATGGAATGCAGCACCAGCAGCAGCTTCATGAGGATGGGCAAAAAAATATTGTTGATGTTGCGAACATGAGGTCTGCTGCTCCCCATAAACTTTTTACTTCACCTTTGCTATCCTCCCATGATGGTGGTGATGCTCATGCTGGTCAGAAGGACCATGTTCATGCTAATGGCACAAGTGGTGGCAGTAATTCAATTGAACCCACTTATTGGCCAGCACAAGTTGGGGAGACGAGTTGTGCTGGCATTAAAAACGCAAAAATTTCATTACATCATCCCAGAAGTGATCTGTTGGAGCAAGATCATGCTCATCCAACCAATAATAACGTTAATGGTGAGCAGAAGAGTGAGATAGCAGCAAAGCTACCACCACCACAAAACGAGGCAGTGGGCCAGCAGATTGAGATAAAACCTTCAAGATCAGTTAACTCGGAATATTCCTCAAGTACGGATGTTGTCCATCAGCCAACAGTAGACAAAGTGAATAAAAGTGAATGTGGAGTTGACAAACATAAACATTCATCGTCGTCATCAGCATCAGTTATTGGTCGTATTCGTGAGGGATCATCGGATAATCACGCGGGGTTAGTTGGAGCAGTAAAACCTATCCACCCTATGCACATAGGTGTGGCAGACGTAAAAAAGTTTAGTCAATTAGATTCGTCCGCAGCACCAGCACCAGTATTTCATCTCTCTCATCAAGCAGTAGGAGAATCCGAATCCGAATCGGAGAACAAGAAGAGGCATTCTGGTGGTAAAACAGAAGAGGGGTCTATTTTAGGGCAGTCTAATTTTGGATTTTTTGGACGTTCTTCCCACCCGAAATTTCTCGCATCTCTCAATTCTGCTAAGAAGCAGGAGAGTTTGGAACGGTTCGGAACGGAATCAGTTCGCTTGCCTTCTTCTTCTTTCCAATCCATTCACAGCACAACTGATTCATCAGAGTTACCATCCTACGGCTTCCCATCTTCGCATTCTCATTTTACAACTCATCGTCCCAACCCCAACAACGCTGGCAGCATAACACAACTTGACTACGAAGAAGGGGACAAGAACCACGAAATAACAGAAGAAGAAACAACCCATAATAATACTACTACGAGATACGACCGAGCATCAGGGCATTTGCATCTGGAAGATATCACGTGTGGAAATCACCCAGACCAATTCACTATTTCATTGGGTCTTCACTCCCTTGGGTCCGTAGCTGTTGCTCCTTCGCTACCCTCTAAACGCCTCGTCTTTCTCAATGAAAGAGATTCCCTTCCCAGTGGTATAGGAACCTCCATTGCTACAACTCCAGCTTCTCCACTATCCATACCGAATAATAAGGTTTTTACCAAAGACGGATTTAGTAAAAGGACGAGTTCGAATAGTAATCCTCTTAATGGAGACGACGTTGTTGCAGACGACGACTCGACAAATAGTTGCCCCGTTTCTTCTTCCCATCACCCTCCTGATGTACTAGGAGTAAGAAAAACAGAATCTTCGTCTTCTTTTTCTCCAGGAAGTGGGGAGGTTGACAGGACTGAAAAAGGTGCTAAGCATATCGCAATGGAAGTCGACGCCGGTCGTGGTGGTGATAGACAAAGCCCATCAGGAGGAATCCCAATTAAGACGAGAACATATGGACCCCGAAACGAAGTTGAAGTTGTTCATATGAGTCGAAACTCTCGAACGCCAAGTCCTGCCCCCGTACCCGGCACAAACTTTCCTCTGAGCTCCAGTCTCAAACAAACTACTCAGCCCGTGACATCGTCTTCTTCTTTTGGTGGCGAAGACTGGAACGACGGCGACCAGCAGAGTGGTGGTGCGACTAGTGAGACAATTTCCAGTTCTTGCCCGGAACCACCGGTGAAAGCTCCGAGAACTCGGGTTCATTTTAGCCCGGTGGTCTCAGAAATCAGCTGGAGAGAGAGTTATATCGATCAAGGCTCCGAATTTTCTGGCTCCACCGAAGACATTGTATTTGCAGCACAACAACAACAACAATTGCAAACTGGTCGTGCGGAAAGTGGGATAGTGTCACCCTCCTTGCTCAGCAGTGCTGCTAGTAATAGTGAAAGTGTTGGGAACGTTGTCAATGTGAACAGTTTAGTGAGACCTCTGGAAATGACGGACACGGTGCATAATAATAAAAATAGTCCAACAGTGGGAGATAATCCTTTCCGGCAACAACGCCAACCTTCACCCGGAAGGGGTCCTCCCATTCTGGTGGAGAAAGTGCAAATGCGATCATCCTTTCTCCAAGGTGGAGATGATGATGATGATGAAGAAGATGATGACGATTTGGAACGTAAGTTGACCCTTGCCTTGCACACACAACAACCAAATAGAGCACGTTCCCCAGTGGACGAGGACCATTTGGATGGAGATTTTATAATGGACGACGGACCAAGGAAAGAAGGTATGCATTTCACTAGTGCGTCTTCCCACACAACAAACCAACTGGATAATAACGGGGTGCTGGATTTGTACGAAGATGTCAGTGTGGCCATAGAGCCACAGACAAATAGTACCTTGTCTATGATGCCAGATTTGCTTAGTCAGTGTGAAAATGCAGCCCACGCACAAACACATATTGACGTGTGCATAGAAGAAAGTGGTGCACAAGTTAATTATCCATCAGGAAAGCCCCCACTGAAGCCAAAACCACAAAGAAAATCTCATTCGCCGACACCCCAGCCTGTCCACTTTTCGTCTTCTTCTTTTGAGATACCTCCTCCACCCGTAGGAATGGATGAAGGTCTGCAACAACGACAACCCCAACAACAAATATTTCCCAAAATGTTTGCCGATGATTCGAACGGGACCACCTTTGGTAAATTTGGAAGCAGCAAAAGTGACAGCAAGAACAATTCATCTTCCTCATTAAACAAGAAAAAATCATCCAAAGGATTTGGTTTGGGCAAAAAGAGCGTTTCGGGGGGAGATTTACAAAAAGAGCAACGAGATAACAAGGAGGCAAGTAGTACCAGTAACAAGGAGAAAGAGACTGATGCTTCGAAGGAGAACAAGACTGGTAGCGGCAAAGGCAACAAACCAGGATTTTTCGAGCGTCTGTCAAAAATTAGGCTTAGCGGAAGCAAACCGAAAAAGCAAAAGGTTCATCCCAAAATGGATGAGGCAGTAGTGCAACCGCTAAAGGCTCAGAATGCTGTCAATTTTAATGGCAGTTCTTCCAACAACGGAACAAAGTCCTCCACTTCGTCAGCTCAACAACCCAATAAAACGATGCCCACACAACCCATTCTTAAAAAGTCCAGTCAGCCGTCTACCACTCCAGTCATACTAAATTATACGCCGAGCAGTGACTTTGATAATGAGCCGGATGAGTCACACGCAGCATTTGAAAACATTCTTGACGAAATTGCCGGAATCAAAAACATTCAGATGCGAATGGACAAATCATCCTCCAGCACTCCAGAGAAACGCCACGTCTCATCACCACCACCACCAAAAGAAATGAGGAGTTTTGCGAAACGAAAGCAATTCTACAGCAGTGGTGCCACTACAACTGAATCGTCAACTCCATCTCCACCAGTGAGTCCGAATGGAAGGAGTATGTCAGACTTGGACAGGAAATTAAGTCAGTTTAAAGAGGAGACGTCCAAGAACAGGGTCATAATTTCTAAATCCCATCCAGACTTGGAACTGATTGAAGATATGGTGCGACAACAGTCAGCTTCACCTGAACAAAAGATAGTGGTGACCGTTGATTCTTCTCTTTCTTCGCCCAAGCAGTCGAAATCACCAGAAAAGCCAGAGTCCAAGAAATCCCCGAAAAAATCCCACATGTCAGAAACAGGGCAAAAGAATGAACGGGAGTGGTACAAACTACTCAAGTCCGCAGCCGAGAAATATTATTATCGTGGGTCCAACAAGGACAAGGATGACAGTAAAGAAAAGGACACGACCAAGTCATTCACACTGCCACGCACGGGGATTGTTGAAACGGATTTAGACACTGGTACGTGAAACTTTACTACTCTCAACCTCATCTCGTAATAAATATCTCCATACACTAGTTTGAAATTGCTTCATTTATCATTGTCTTCATCATCTTATGAGCTTGAAACATATTCAACACGCCATTTGACAGATAGGTTGAGTAATGAGTATCGAAATTTATTAACACGGTTTGTGCATGCAACACTACAAGCATCATTTGAACAAAGGTGCCAGCAAACAGTCATTGCGACATTCCATAGTCGGATGCGTAGTAAGTACATACATACGTAGAATTGCACATTAATTATATTATTACACCTCTTCACCCAGTAATTTGTTCCACAGTGTTGACAATACAATGCCAAATTTGTCACATATCTACTACAAGCTCCTCTTCGTGGTGACGAGTTGCGAATTGCAAATGTTGCTACTTGATAATAATAACAGGGTTCATTCAGCAGAGTTTGTTCTGTCTGGCTGATTTGCTACTTCCTCCCTCTCTGCTAATGTCCCACTAACCAGCGCTCATAGAATAAAATATGTGTGCATCATGATTGCAGAACATACGAATAATGCTAGATCTATGCGATACGATAGGTATGATAATAAGTATGTTCCAGTAACAACCCAAAAGCTGGACCAAGTGCAGATTTATAATCTATGTATAGGCGTGTGCAGCATTGTTATATTTGGGCATAATAGTGGAGTAGCAGTAGCTCAGTGCGGTAAAAGGATTCGTACAAATGCTGATTAATGGGATTTCCTTTAATAATAGAAAACTCACATCACGTCATCCTCCTCTCTCCCAATTTTTCCGAAAGGCTTTGCGAATATTCTCAACATGAACGAGTGATCGCATGGCATCTCTAAATATGTACTCATACAGCACAACAGTATGCACCAACGGCACAGTGTACAATCTAGATTCGTTTGCATGATCATCGCTGAATTCATTCCTTGTTCAGTTCAGTCATTAATCTTTGTTCAATGCTAAAGTAAAGCTCTCCCTTACTTGGCGCACCCTTTGCTCAGATATCTGTACCCAGAGTTATGAATAGTGCAGTGGAATGATGATGAAAGTGTGTTGTACTGCAAGACTTAGTATAGCACAAAACTATCGAGTTAATGAAATGATAATTAATTCGACATTGAATGACAACAAGGTACTATGCATTAGATTAGAATATTAGACTGGTGTTTATATATTCTCTCATCATGTGCGTCCTTATCTCATTCCTGATATATAACATACGCATTATACAACTGATATCAGTTGTAATTTCAATGTCAACTTGAGCGAAGACCGTATAAATGCTAATTTTTAGTTCCGCAAAAGGTGTCATCTACTTCAGACCACATTACTTAATTCACTTGGCTCAATAACTTAATTATACATATTATCACTCGCGTTCAGTGTGTTAGTAATTCTATTTGTCCAGCCTGCTAATCAGGTCGGTGTTTGCTGTGTGTGGGTTGCTCAGTCCGTTTGAGAAGAGGTTTTAAATTATTATTATTTAATCATCCATAAAGTCTCAAGGGCATTTCGCAAGTCCTTTTACCAAACCCAATTACCACACATATCAGGATTTGCATGAACCACTATGATAACGTCAACGTCACATATGATCCACATTGCGGCCCAAACCCGACACATGCGAGTATGAAAGTACTGTAAATATATTTAGACTTGGTAATTATTTTCTTGGTCGCATAGCTAACGCTGCTCGACTAACACATATAGGTATTATTTAAACCTAAATTTTCCACCACCATGACATTCGTTTTACCTCAAGATTGAGTACACTTGAAATCGCTCAAGAAGATGAGGCATGAAATTCTATTGGGTCGTCATCATAGATCTTGTATATTAGTCGTCATCTGCGGAGCTGATGATGCTCAAGACATGACGGCATGATGAGAGATGTTCGAGTAGAAAAAGATCTATTTTTGGACATTAAAAGGCTGCACAGGAGCAAGTTGCAAGGTCCACTTCCTTTGAATCTTCCTTGGGAACATGTTTCCTGCTAAGATTTATTTGTTCTTCAACTTGGCTTATTTCCTTGTGTGAACCATAATGCATTGCATCGCTCCCTGCTTCAACAAGGGGAATGCTGACTTCTTTCTGTCGGCAAGTACACAAGAAGCGAAATAAACGGTATTTTTATTAAGCCATTCCTGTCTTTTTATGTCTATTCGAGACCAATTTGAGTTAATTTAAGTTGGCAGTTGGGCCTAACTTATTGTATTCTTGTCTGTGTAACACTCACACTTTACTTTCCCAAGTGAAATGGATATATGCATGGAGATACAATTAATTAATGCATATGTATACGTCTTTTGTACTTGTAATAAGAGGTTCCAGTACGAATTTCTGCTATACTTACTCGATAGTGATTGGAGTTGAACTAGTATTTAAAGAAAGGGTTTCAATTCTGTTTATCAGTGATGCGTTTAACTACTTTGCTGTTTTTCTCTTTATCCTTCGTGCTCTTTTGCTTACATTGTTATCTTCGTGGATTATAAATCCAGATTGTTCATTGACTGTCAAGTTTTATTTACGTCATGCCAGTACGTATGCATGTGTATATTAATTATTACGATCACATTAGCCCAGGTGATTTGTTCGCACTTATTGCTTATGCCTATTACTTATATCTCGTACATATGTGCATATGCATAACAATTTTTTATTATATTTAAAAGAACGAGCATTAAATGTTATTACAGCAGTTTTACTCGGCCTCAGTGATATTGTAGGACAATGGCGTTTCTAATCATGAATTATTAATAATCATGTTCCATACAAAACAATTTTCGAAATGAGGAACCATCACCATTTGCTCACAGTAACAAAATGCCTTCTACATGGTTTATTTAGCCGAAACTATTTGCATTTAACCATTGTGTCATCGATACTACCAAAATTTGATCCTAGATTTTCCACAGCACGTATATAGGTATGTATTACATCCTCTAAATATCCGTAGTCGCAAAATTTGCACCTCTCAACAACTTTCAGTTCATGTGTTTGCATATAATAATCTGAAAATTGGTGGTTATTAAATATCTACTCAACATCTCATTAGGACAACATCCATGTTAAATGATTGTTCCGTTTTAGTTTTCTCTGACATGTTAGTGCAACAACATTACTTATTTCCCCTTGTTCTCAGTTAAAAATAGAGCGTCTAATGATTTTAACACACATCATCGTAGCATCTGCCCTCCACAATCACAAGAAGTCGTCACTCACTGCACAAGACATAAGAGATGGTTGTGATTATGGTGACGCTTCACCAGGAGGAAAGTTAAACTCTTTTCCAGTCCATAACCAGCAAACAATGTTTAGCTGTATCTAAGAATAGTAAAAGTCTTTGAGGTGTACTCCGGTACTACGTAAAAGACCATTTCCTCATGGCCACATATGTACATATCTAGTCTGCCATCCAAAGTCATTTGATTTTTTTTTACAATTTTGCAGGAACAAGTCGGGAGATAGAGATGTTGGACGCTGAATTGGTGGAACATGGCAGAAAATTGCCAATGTTCACCGCTTCCACGTCGGACATAACTTACGGCACCCACACGGGCCCCTTGACCACGATGGCGTCCTCCTCCCCTGGAAGTTCTTCCACCACGACCAAGGCTCGAAGTCTCACCAACCTCTCCACTCGACTCCCTCTTTCCATCGCACCCTCCTCCTCAGCAAACTACGACGACGACGACGACGTGGACCATTTGGCCCAAAGGGAACTCAACGAGTTTGACGAACGAGCTAAATCTTACGAATTCCTGCTTGATGACAATCAAAAAAGCTTCTCTGTTGTGAGTCTGCATTCACATTCCTTCCTGTTTTTAATGATTTAAGCGGTTCAAAGAAAAACATATCAGATATGCGGCTGTTATTTGTGAAAAAAAATGCAGACATCAACTATGTATGTACATGCGTCAACCTTGCTGCAGTAATATACAGATCTATGACTTCAACGAAGACATTTTATTTTAGTGCATTTTTTAGTGGATTATACATGCAGAGGAGAAGCTATGCAAACGTTTTGAGGTTTTGACACAACCAAACAAATAGAGCAGCTCGAAAGAATTTTCCAGAGATCAAGTTGCAGGCGACGTGCTTAAAAAATATGGCATCTCTCTGTTGTTTAGAGTTCTGTTCAATTGTATGTATTACATTTCCAGACGGCTTTCTGCAATGTGAGCTGATTGTGAGTTGACTGGTAGGCAATAAGTTGATGCTAATTTAGGACTTGAGTTAAGTAGATTAATCCTGACGACGCTCCATCAGCACTAACTGAAAGTAGAAGAAGCAAAATAGGCAATTAGTTTAGTTTATTCGACACCACATTTATGAATGTATGCCCATAAGTACGAGACGCCTGACACAACATAAAAATGTCTAGCCCATTAACAGCTTAGTTTATGAATACAAAAAATTGAACTACTTTTAATAATTTAATGCATTGAAATACTTATATTTGACAAAATGAGGACATGTTTATAAACTTTGATTTTTTTTCATTAGCCTCCGGAAAATAAACTACGAACTGAAGCACGTCAGCTTTCTGAACATGAATTGAGGATTCAGAGATCACTTCAACGAATAGATGTACCGGAATGGTATAAAAAACACGAAGCAGCGAGCACAAATTCTCGAACATCTACTCCAGACCGACCATCTTCAGGGCAAGATCTGGAAAAATCTGGAGGAACGTTAAAACTTTTAAACCGAAGGTCTGAATTTGGAAGTTCTGGAGGATTGGCAGGCGGGTGGGCTGGGCTTTCGGCGTTTAAAGCACCGTCTCTGTCAAGTTTGCAGAATGCAAATGGTGGCCGTTATTCTGGTAAATATCATTTATTACTCTCATGTGCATGTGTCATTCTCTAACTAACCTCCAAATTGTATTTCCTCCAAAAAACTATTATTCTTTTCTTCAGTAATCCACTATTTCTTTTGTACTGATTTCCTTGTGATAAATTTTTCTCTATTCCGGAAGTATGCCTGATTGATTAATTAATTCGTATTTAGTTTAAATTTTATGTAACATTGACACCATTTTATTTATGTTATGTATACAGGGTCACTAAATCGTTCAAACTTCATTCGTGGACGCCCTGTCACGATGAGCGCCACACGACTCTCTAGGGAATCATTGACTGGATCCGGATCTGCCAGTCACAGCCCATCTGCTTATGATCGCTGTTCCTTTACGTAAGAATATAAAATATAAATACAAATATTTATATTACACTATGTAACCGTACTTTGATGACTTGTCTCAACCTGACCTTCTCTCTTATTTATGCAGGTATGGAATGCCATATGCAATGACACGATTTGGTCAAGGTCGAATGAGCAATAATTCGGGCACCGCTACTCCCACGTCAATTTCAGAATCCAACGCCTCTGCGAATCCCTCCTATGTGAAGAAGCCCTATTTAGGATGGCGTTCTCAGGAAAGACTGAACGCTGCTTCTGCTACTGCTGGAGGCACTACGAGCGATGGGGCCCCCAAATTATCTGTTTATCTTCCACCCGAAGAGAGATTGGCAGCGGACTTGCTGCGAACTAGGATTCCAATTAGGCCTCCAATTAGCGACAGACCTCCACTTCCACGGCCACCACCAAGATCTGAAAAAACTTCTCTGTCCAATACTCCCCAACAATCTGGAAATCAAACTCGGGCAGCCGGACACACCACGAATGCGAATTCAATCCCTCCTCCAAATTTTTATGACACTCCACAACAATCATCTTCCTCTTCTTCATCATTCATACTTGGCCATGGAAGAAGCTCCAACGTTCATGACTCAATCCGAGAAGTTACCAACGCCATCAATCAATACGTTGCCAAAGGGGAACAGGCGCCGAAACCACAACCACGAAGAAAGTCTCCTGGAAGACAAGCAATTTGGATGGAGTCTTCCTTCGTTGGGAGCAAGCCAGCCAACAACAAATAATAATAATACTTTTTTCTATTTTTTTTCTAGATTTTATTATGACGCAAAGCATACAAACTAACTTTCTCTCGAAATTATTAGGACACAAAACAGTCATCAAATATTTATATTTTTGTACAACCAAGATATATGAACAGTTAAGATGTACACTAACGAAAATGTTGGCCCTTTTGAGCAGCTTTCAAATTACTCAGATGCAGATACGTATGCATATAGTTGCATACATATGTACTGCAAATTGCAAATGAGCAAACTTGTTTTTATTTTATTATAAAATAGTGTATAAAAATTGTTGATTATTCGAACTCGTTTATTGTTAAAAATAATATATTGCTTAATTACTGTTTTTCAATTTTCTTCGACATGCAAGAATAATTTATTCTAATTTGTAAATAGGTATATATTGTTACAAGTGTTATATTATGACTATTAACAATCAATCGTTATTATGCTAATATTTGTTGATAATAAAATGACTTTCTCGGTATAAAATGATATGAATTTCGTTTTATCCACATGCACGGGTGCATGCATGCATATGTACATGAGGTGCTTATTAGAAAGCAATTGATTCATTTTCAGAATTAGCATAGTTATTTTTAGTAATGCCACTTCATCTTTTATCTTTCAAATTGATAGGAGAATTAAATAACTCGGGTTGTCCAGCAACTTTGCTGGAATTTTATTTCACAGTCCATGCATGGCACGATTGCTTGACATTAAGTATCTAGGTAACGCTTCTCCCTTAACGGTTGCGACAATAGACTGATAAAGTGTCAAATAATCTTGCATGCATGGACGAATTTGAATTGACATAATTTTGTAGATTATATTTTATTTCGGTCCGAATATTTTTTGTAACTCAAAATCGTTTGTCAAATAATACATTTTAATCACATTCTCACAAAATGGCAGAACCGAAAAGTCCACTTGAAACTAATGTTGACGTATCATTCCAAGACATGGCTGATGCAGTGATTGACTCATTCGCACGAATACAATCTGGCATGAACCCTTCCAAATCAATCAACCGAAGGCGCATAATTCGATGTATGTTGGTTCTAAAGAAAACTTCAAGTTGAAGTCTTCAACAGAAAAACTTGTAAAACTTAAAATACTTTTCATTCAAAATAATTTTCCTTCTTGACAAATGCAGCGACCCACTTTGATATGAATGAGTACATTCAACCGTCAAGAATTTTTGATATTAAAAGGCTGTGGAAAAATGAGACAAAGAAAAACAGGAAGCCAGGACGAAAGCATCAAATAAAAATCAATCCGATGAAAGGGTTCCAAGATCCACTGAAACTACGGAAAAAATGTCTTGTTAAAATGTATGCAAATATATTAATAAATTATTTTAAATGATTAATCCAATTAACAATTGGTCTTAATTGGCTGGGCTGGCTGTTTATAACAGTCTTGTGTATTATATGTAGGCCATCCGTTCCTGGCGTTCCATTCGTTTTGATTTATGATGAATCACCATATATTCCACCAGCCTTCAATGTCCCAGCGTAATAATATATGACACGCCGCTATATATGTATCATAGTTGAATACAATTTTATGCAGATGTACCCAAGCTAGATTTCTCACATTTCAGACATATTTTAAGTGTGGAGAGAAACCTCCCCAAATTGACAAGATCGCCAATGTTTCATGAAACTGAGGTCTGTTTAAAAAAGTATATCCTGATAACAAAGAAATATCAGCGGAATGAAATTCATTACATTTGTTTTATTAGGTGCTTGGAAAGTACATAAACCCTTGTTTCCTCAAACCCAAAGTGAAAACAAGAGTAAAGTCGAGACCTTTACAATTAGTGAAGGAGGCACACAAAATTCCCGACTTTCCGGAAGAATTTGCTCGTGAAAAATATCATGCCCCTCCAGGATCCAAGGAAAACTTCACTTGTAGAAATTGTCCAGACATTACCGCAGCAGATAAAGCGCTTGACGATGTTTCGATTTTCATGAACAGTCGCACCATCCGAAATGCACCACATGGAGATCTGAACAACTTTTCTAGTCTCACTGAACAACTCGTGAAAAATTTGGAAGGGGATGTGGACTGTTTAGCGGATGACTACGAGTGGACGAAATTTCATCTCCACCGGGGATCTAGCCTTCAATTTTCAGAAAGTGAAAGCGAAGCTGATCCGTTGGCCAGCATTGCAGAGTTTAAAAATTTCGAGGACGTCATGGCAAGAGATGCATCTTCCAAACTTCGTTCAAGTGAGACTGGAGACGGAATTGATTATCCTAATGAAGATTGTCAGTCATTATTATCATCGCCACCCGCAAAGGAAAATTTGACCATTGAAATTATTAACATGACGAAAGATAAGCCACACATAGTTCGCAGAATAATTAAGGAATCGCAGTCCGTGTCAGAGTGGCTTGAGGAGAAAATTATTTCTGTGCATAGTGACAGTTGCCTGGAAAAATACAGACCCCCATCGCTGTATGAGATGACCAAATCTGGTTCAACATTGCAACCAAAATTGAGACATGAGACCTACAAAGCTTTAAAAGCCAAATCTTGCTGCACGTTCGGGTACTAAGGCTGAATATTAAGTAATAATGCTATATATTAGTGTACGTTACTTATTATTATTAGTGTAAATAGCTGCAAATCCGAATCGAGTGAATTCCTACTTCAAACTACCAAGCCAGACAGTACCATTTCTGATAAATCACTGGATATTTTAAAGCAAAGGTCCAAATGCCATAATGTAACTCCACTCACAGCAATCAACTCTGTGGATGATGTATTACAACTAAGGACAGTAAATCCTGTGGGATTTTGTATTTGGCGAGCATTGTGTTCAAAAAAGCTGGATTTGTATGCGTATAAAAGCGAATGTCGTCCCCACTCAATCGACGAATTTGACACACAAGCTTCCATCTGCAAGTTCAAAAAGTTCAGTGCTCGACGACTGAGTAGAGGGGATGACGAATCTGATCAAACTGGATATTTGGGATCCGAAGAAGACGAGGAATACAAGTGTCAAATTCTTAATGGTACCATTTAATTTTCAAGTAATTCGTAATTTTGTGAATCACACTATGCAGTGAATATCATTATTAGATTTTTGGCCGATTCGTTCTCAATGTACGACTAAAGATTCTGAGCCATCGATTCCTGATTTTTCCAAGGATCTCCATGCAGTAAATCGTGATCAAAATCAAAGTGCTGCCCCCGCTAACATAATTTTTATCGACTGTGATGGATCGGAATACTGGTCATGTAAATCTGCATATGAGGACATATTCTATCCATTCCATGCTCATGTACAAAATTCTGACGATGGAAGGACAACATTTTCCCTGCATAATAATAATGGAAATGCCGATTCATGTAAAATTCGAAAGCAATCACATATTCAACAAACCCGATTAGGGCGTTGCATATCTAAACTTGCAACGTGGTGTAAGAATGGGTTACTTAAAAACCTATAAGATTCAAGAACAAGGATAAAATTCAGAATAAAATTTTTAGTTTTCTCGAAATAGTCGCTCCAGTACTGTACATTTACTGTAAATTTACATCTACTGTAAATTTCAAGTATGACCTATTTTTTAATTTTGTATAATATAAACCTTCGTACAACAATGTACAATATTCATTCACCACTTGATTTTAGATATCTAAGGACATATGATATTTTGTATTAAATTAACGTTAAGAAAGGACTTAAAGCTAAATCCCTTCCAGGGATATTTTTATTTCTGTTGCATGCATTCAAAATCCAAAGTAAGAATTTAATTTATTACTACTTAAAAAAAGTAATAAACAGCCATTTAAATATGTACAAGTGGTTTTCATGTATTTCTCCAGTCTCAAAATGTCTCATGGGTTTGTTCAACGGTTCGAAGGAGCCATTCAAACTCGAACCAGGAAGCTAAACTAGAAAGGAAAACACTCAAATAGTAATAGCATTTCTTTCTTCTGCCTTTCTATCCCCCACCAGCCGACGTGTTCATACGTAGTTTATTCGTATTATTTTAGAATATTTAATTTAGACTTCCAATTTAAATCGGAAGGGCAGGTGAACTGAGAAATTTATTCATCTCTTGCATCCTTCTTTGGTTTTCTTACCATTAATTATAGACAGATAGTTATCTTTAGTTATGTAGGGAGGTATCCTTTTAAAACACACAAATTTGTAGAGTGCAGAGAGTCGCACAGATTGGAAACCCTTACCGTTAGTAAGGGTCCCTTACGGATAACCTGGGAATGAACTGAAGTGGAACACTTCGTTTGGGTACGTATTAAGTGAGTCAATTTACCATTGCTTTGTATTTCGGATAGAAATAATACTTTTGGGTATTTAATTTCTATGTATTTCGTTCAATATGTAAGGTTGTGATTCAGGAGGGATATTACAGTGATCCTTGGCCATGTTTCAATACGCTTTCGATGCCATCAAGGTCAATTTGCCTTTCAACAAAAAGTCCAACGTCGCGAAAGATAGTTCCAGCGATGAAGACGAAGAAGATGGACAAGATGGGGCGCCTACTGCATACCCAAAATATAAGTCAAAGGTCAGTCTTTACATATTACTAATATTAGGCTGAATTTTGAATACCCTATTAATGATATGTATCACATCATCACTATCATCAGGTGATGAGTCCTGGTTCCTCAAATCTAATCTCCAAGACATTCGACCCTACAGCGGACTTGGGAGACGGCACAAAAGACCCCGCTGGTGACCAAGAGGACAATGATGAAGGTCGAGAAAGCGTCCAGTCGACAGGGTTTATTACACGCCTGGATGAATCAATGCCTAAAGGGGTCATAGATCGGACTTACTGTTTCGATATTAAAACATTTTGCTCCAAGAATCACAATTTCCAACTCCACTCTAAAGTGGATTTTGAAGCATTTCGCAGCAACGCATCTCCAGCATGGGCTGTCACGTCGATGAAAATACATGTCTCTAAAAAGGAGATACAAGCGAAGGAAACATGTCGCCATAAGATCCAGATTATGAAAGTTGTAAGTGTTGGATATGATTGGATTGACGCGGAATGGGGGGACAATAAAGTCCAGCGGTTGCCAAAATTGAAGGACCTACTTCCGAAATATCAAATAAAATCTGGTATGCGTACTAACTTACGTTTTCTCTCCGTCATTTCTATTTTACTCTAGAATTTGGTTATGCTTATTTATTTGTAATCTCTTAATTAATAATTATACATAATATTGCACTTTTCAGGTGACTGGCTGAAAGTACATTTTGAACAACTTTATGAGGCAGCTGAGGCACAAGGATTATCCGGTGATGAAACCTTGGGCAAGATTATTAGTATTCAGCCAAGCCAACAAAAAACAATTGTAGGAAAAATAACTAAACGAGGGAACGAATTTTGTGTGGAAGACTACATCTACGTCACCCTTGAAGCAATAAAGGGTGGCCGTCAAATTCCTCTCAACACACTTGTGCGATGCGTGGCTGTCGAATCGACTCAAAAATTGAAACATGGAGAATTTCAGTGGCGAGCTGTAGAAGTGTCTTTGTCTAATTTTATGCAGCATTTGACAGATAACCACAAGTAAGTACACAGTGAATAAATATGCATATTCTCTATTCTCTCATATAAGGAAATATTGTTAAATGTATTATGAAGGACGGTTTAAAACTAATATATGGATTTTTTCCTCTTGTTCAGTCGAGATGACGAGGAACACTTTTGTCATGAAAATGTTGACATTCGCTACCGTGATTTATACGACAACCGAGGCGGAATCAAAATCAAGCCAGAGGCCTATGTCAAGTTTCAGCCGGCCATCATTGGAACTTGTGTTCAAAAGTCTGTTTCCGTGCAGAATATGTCGAACCGAAGTATCACGCTTCAATCGATTGAATTTCCTCACGATAATGCAATTTGCAAGTTTGAGTTGGAATTACCTCAACGGGATCGTGACGTTATCAGAGTTCTTGCACCGGAGGACATGTACACTTTTAAGGTCAATTGTACTCCACTTCAAATGGGCAGAACAAAAGAAATGGGCCTATTTGACTTTGGCGAGTTCAAAATTGCTCGTGACTTCATCATTACGGGATTAACGGCTGACGAGGAGCTGCTCAACAAGGTCAAGAAGCCGGAACATGGACACCGTGCACAAAGGTTCAGTAGAATCCGTGGAGTGGAGCAAATCAGTGCACTAATGAACGATAACCATCGGACTCGAATTCGTGGAACTGCACCAATTCGCGCCCCATTCTTTGTTCCCTCAAGAATACCAAGCTATTCCGTACCAACTGAAATATGGGACGCCTACAGGGAGCAATCTGAAGAAATTATTAAGCAACACTATGCCGGAGTTTTAATGGCTTTAGATATCAACAATTATCAGGTTAATGCAACTTTTAAGCCTTTAAATTAAAGTTAAACCTTCCTGCTATAGTTTTATATTCAAATTTCATGAAAATTTAATTGTTCATGTTTACTCAGACCAAATTCCAAGTCAGCCTGTGGTTTGAAGAAGTTGACAACGATATACGAAGGCGCCAGTATGATTTGGGAGGGGTCAGATTCAAGAGAGCTTCGGATTACTACACGTTTATTGCCCCTCATATTCAAGACATACAACCTTCCGTGCTTATTGGCGACCCAATTGATGCATTTGATCCTGAGGACCCCAAAGGTATATATGATTGGAAAATTTCATTAATTGCGTTGCCCTGTATTGTACACAGGAAGTAACAGGCACATGTATAAAATAGTCAATATACACTATTGCATATGTTTCAGCTGTAAAATATCAAGGATTTATCAAAAAGATTCACGGGACTGAGGTGTCTGTTGGATTTAGCGATGCTTTTAACGAGACTTATGGGGGCGGACTTCTCAGTGTTAGATTCTGCCAAGGAAGGATGACCTATAAAAGACAGCACTATGCTGTCGAGTTGGCTCTTCAAAACCTCGGAGAAATGTTTTTATTTCCTTTCGGATTTTCGCAAACGGAAGTTAAAAACCCACGGATTCCATTTTTTGAAGATGAGGATTCATCAAACGAAACAGTCACTGATGAAGTAACCGAGCCCGTTGTTTCTACAACAGTAAGCTTGTGAAAAATTTATAGTTCATATATATATATATATACACATATATTCAGGTCGTATTTTAATAATAATATATATAACAACAATAATACAATAATTATTATGTATTGATTTATCAGCAACATCAGGAGGATTCAGTTGCTCCTGCCTTTGGATTATTTGCAAAACGACAAGAGCCAAATGAAATTAAGAAAGCTCCTAACGCTGTGGATAAGACAAACAGAAGAGTTCAAAGTCTTCGAACACGATTTGTCAGCGACGTTCCGACCACAAATTTTCTCAATGATGTCAAGCTAAACTGGTTCAATAAAAATTTGAATGAGGAACAGAAAAATGCTGTGCGACGTGTTTTAAGAGGACAAGCCCGACCACTTCCATATATTATTTTTGGACCTCCAGGTTTGGCTTAAATAAAATTGTGCTTGTTGATTCTGAATTAGTAAATAATATAAAAATGATTTTGGATTCAGGAACTGGAAAAACAGTAACTGTGGTTGAAGCTATAATGCAAGTAAATAAGTTGGATCCAAACAGCAGGTACATAAATGCAACTTAATTTTAGAGCTTGTTTATACGAGTACCAACCTACCAAAATTAAGGTTTGATTTTTTTCTCTAGGATTTTGGTTACTGCTCCCACCAACCACGCAGCGGACGTCATAGCAGAGTGCTTGGTTAAAAGTGGACAATACCATCCTGGAGAATTTATCCGGTTTAATGGATTCCTCAGACAAGAGCAAGGCATACTGGATTCCATCAAGGAGTATTGCACTGATGGCGAACTACTGGATCATGTTGCTATAAGCCGCTTAATTGTGTCAACATGCGCCACGGCGGGCCAATTTTTCAGTCTTAAATTGACACCTGGCCATTTCACGCATGTGTTTATTGACGAAGCTGGGTACTGCACCGAGCCTGAGACTATGATCTCTGCAGTGAACCTTGCTATCGATCGAGAAGGACAGGTAATAAACAATACTCATATGACAATATGCAGAGATAATTTCATATTTTATATTTATTTATTATTATTATTATTAAATACTTTTTAGTTGATTATTGCGGGGGATCCTAAACAACTAGGACCCGTCCTTATGAGTGACATTGCTCAAAATCTGGACTTGAATCTTTCCTTTCTTGAGCGTTTGATGAACGGCAAGAAAGGAATGCAAAACATTTATGGGCGGAACCCAGAAAAATTTGGACAAGAAAATTGTGGGTATAACACCCTAGTTTTGACTAAACTGGTCAAAAATTACCGTGCTCACGAATCCTTGCTCAAGCTTCCGTCTCATCTATTCTACGATGATGATTTAGTAGCATGTGCCTCACAGGAAGAGGCTTACATGTTAACCCAAAATCACACAATTTCTCAGAAGATTTTACTTTCCCAAGGGGTCCCTATTGTCTTCCACGGAGTTCAGGGCACCAGCGTTCGTGAGCGCGACTCCCCTAGTTGGTACAACGCTGCTGAAGTTATGCAAGTTGTAAATTATGTCCGAACCCTTAAGTCTTGTGGAGTCGAAAATGATGATATCGGAATTATTACGCCGTATCGAAAGCAGGTACTTACCTCAATGCTTTTGTGATGTTTACACAGACTTATGATCAGCCTTACAGAATAATAGGTATGTGTCAATAATTAACGTCCTTGGTAATGTTCCAGGCGGAGAAACTGCGTCTTGCTATGAAAATGGGGCTGCTTGAAGATGAGATTCCAAAGGTGGGTTCTGTTGAAGAGTTCCAAGGGGGTGAACGTCAAGTGGTTATCATATCCACTGTACGCTCCTTATACGAAGATAAGATAAACTCGTGTGTCCAACAACTTGGGTTCATTTATAATGAAAAAAGATTCAACGTCGCAATTACACGAGCAAAATCTTTGATGATCGTCGTTGGAAATCCTCACGTCCTTTGCAAAGACAAGCACTGGAAAAACCTTCTTCGTTATTGCATAGAATTGCAAGCCTACAAAGGCTGCAACTTGCCAATTGAATTGGACGAGGTTACAAACAAGCTGTATTACGATTTTAAAAATCAGGAGGGCAGCAGGGATGTTCCTACCCTTCCTCCTGACATGGCAACTTTGACATACAACCCTGATGGGTTGGACGAGGATGACTTTAAGGATGCGTTGCAATTGAATTAACGTTGAGACACGACTATGTTAAAATGTAATCAAATTTGTTGTTGAATTCATTGGTCCATGTAATGTTGAAAATGTGAAAGATGATGATGAGGATGATACCGTCAACAATTTCCGGATTTTTCATAATGTAATTGACTTTCCAGAATTTGTGTTTGTTGTTTGGCTATTTGTGTATGTATATATATGTAGGGTGGCACGAACACAGTGGCACATTTGAATATCGTGAATTATTATTATAACAATATTTAGAAATAGTATGCTAGCTGATCAAGGTAATGATTAGCTGGCCACTTTGAAAAACACAAATTTACGACAAAACATGCAGGAGATGGATTTGGGTAGTGTTGGACTGTAAATGCAAGCATTTAACATCATGCCATTTACAGATTTAAAATCCTTAATTTTAGATAGTTTTATGTATTCTACACAAATGTAGTAAAAAAATTATAGTGCGTCTTTTACCTATAAACAATGCTAAACTTAATTTTTGTAGTTCTTTTTTTCATGTCTTCTGGTACGTATTTCATCCAACGTATTGTAAATGAGTTCAGTTGCATGAATATATTTATATGTTATGTTATTTGATGATGCAGTTTAATAAAATCAAAATGCATTTAAAAAATTGCCAGATTTTTATGAAATCGCCTCTCCTTCTTTACATAAATATACATGGTATAAATTTTATTATTATACATTCTGCATCTCCAAAAATTTGACACGTTAATTATTTAAGAATATTATTTACTATGATTTTACTAAGATGCTGTCATTAAGATTGGATTCTTGTAGTTCAGCGTACTGCGCGTCGATATCTAATTGACTACGAATAATATTTTTTAAATTGGTAGTAGCAATCTGATCCTTTTGGGCTGAAATTGATAAAATATGTTCAAATTTCATTGGGAACGATGGTCTAAATTCAGGCGGTAAAGTATTTATGTATGCACTATATAACTTGTCATCAGTTAGCGTTTTGCGAACATTTTGTATAATAGGGTAGGAATTAGGTAGGTCCATCTTGTTTAGTGCCAGAATAGCCGATTTCTCAGTAAGGTCTGCTTGATACAACTCAAGTTCTTTATTGAGTAAAACGATAGTTTCCAGTGCTGATCGATGAGGATGTTGTGGACTTATCTGGAAGCCGTGCAGATCTACGACGAAAAGTAAGAGTTTTGTTCGTTCCACATGTTTTAAGAATTTGTGCCCCATCCCTTGATTTGCATGAGCTCCTTCAATTAAACCAGGCAAATCTGCCAAGGATATTCGACGAAAGTCATTAAACTCTACAATTCCTATGTTTGGATTAATCGTTGTGAAGGGATAAGACGCGATTTTTGGTCGAGCTTTAGACAGTGCTTGGAGTAAAGTAGACTTTCCAGCGTTGGGGAAGCCGAGGAAGCCCACATCAGCAATAAGTTTAAGGTCTAGAGTTACAATATGAGCTTGACCTTTCTCCGCAGCAAACCCATTGGCAGCACATCCTCCAATTCCTACAAACAAAAGATTACATCATTACAGTAGTGTCATACCAAGGTGTTGTTTGATGAGATGAAGTGAGCATGTAATATTTAACCTCCTTTCCCGATAACAACTTTTTCTCCCGCTCGGTTAATTTCCCCAATCGTGTTCCCATTTTCTGAAATGACAGTTATTCCTAAATGTGTAAAAAGAATAAACATTTTATTAGTCATGGATTAACATAATTGAAAATCTTCCATTGCGTACCACCAGAAATCGATGTGAATACGAATACCAACGTCTATATGAAAATTATAAGTATAACCCCCATCGTTAATTCTGGCTCGCTAAACAAATTATATTAAGATTTTGCGAGATTATGCATTTTCTAGTAAATAAATAAAATAATGCAAATCTTTTAAACCGTTTAAAATGGATCAAACGGATTTAACAGGATCCGCGAAATAGATATGTCATATAATGGAATTGTACGGTTTAATAACACATAGCTGCTCACCAAGGGGAACTGGGATTTGAATGGGTTTTGCGTTTTCTCCATATAAACAAAAGAATCTCGAGTCTTGTCCAGTGGAGGCTGCTATACGTTTACTTGGCCAGGCTTTTAAAACATCTTTTAGTGTAAAATTATCTTTCTTCGACCCCACTATCACGACATCTCCACCTCTCCCTCCAGCTCCACCATTCCTGGGAAGACCTTGGCCACCTTTACCACCTTTGACATGGATTCTTAAGCTGTCGATAAAATGTAAGTGTTTTTTTGATACTTTCTTCACTTTTTTTTCGTCAGTACAATAACATCGAAATTGGGGAAGTTTAAACAATGTTAGAGTTGATATCGTTTGAACAGGTCCACAACTGAATGTTTTATATGATCCAGCGGTGGATAAAATTGTATACCCTGCCTCTAATTGACGACAGGTTAATCTTGCATGCATCATTTTGAATGACATATCTGAAATAAATGGAGACAGCAATAAGTTCTTAACCAACCTGTATCGTCACAATTAAATATTTAAAATATTATGTGGCACTTACAAATTTGTGTTTATTAGTTATCTTTCTTTACTTCTTTGGTGGTTGAAGCAAGACTGTCTTTAGTCTGATTACTTCGAAATTCGTCCCTCCAGGCGATGTAGGCATAAACGGCAATCACAGTCCACACGGTCAGTACAGCAGCGACGACAGGAAGAAGCGTGTTGAGAAATAAATTGTCAGCTTTGAAGTGAGGATAGTTTTGCTCAAGGACGTATTTTGAACCAAAGTATGAAACGAAAGGTAACGTGAACATGAGAATGCTGAAATTATTATCAAGAGTTTACAACATTACGATAACGATGGTCAAGAATTATAACGAATAAACCCACCTGAACAAGAACCACTCCCCTAAAATTGCGAGTTGGCTTCTCATATTTTCATCACCAAACCTTAGACTGGCTGAAAATATATAAACATTATTTAAAAACAAATTCACAGCACCCACAAAATGTCATAAATTAGCTCAACAGCAGGCCCCTCAGGTTGGAAAATACACTGACCGTGCGACATAGCTAACCTAGACTTACCATTACCAAATATTCAGCTTGTCGGATTTCCAAATTTACTTAAAGTATTTGTAACTTCACAAAAGTACGAAAACGTGCAAAATAAATGCAAATCTCAACAATGCACCCTGGAAGATTGGCGGTCTAGAACTGTGGGAAATGAGACAGGGTGGCACTGTAAAAGAGCACTATACACTATGGGAAATTCGTCCAAATTATCGCTCAAAATTCCAGGAGCACTTTTCCGGAGATATTTTTGCATTATCCGAGCTCTGTGGGGTCGAAGAACTGCTCATAAAAAATTCGAAGAACCACACCCACTTTGGGTGTGGTTTTTTCCTAGTGGAGTTAGAGTCAATCGCCATATTTAAAATTGTAGTCCATGCGATTGTCGACCTACCATAAAAATTGCATCCAAACCCGTCCATAAACAAAAAAGTTATGAGCCTGGGAACCTCGGCGACAGTCAAAAAACCACGACTTTAGGGGCGTGGCTCTACGAATGGGGCAAATACCAAACTCCAAAAAGGACTCTTTATGATAGTCCTAGGTGAGATCTACTTGTTCCAGGAAAAACGGAGATCTGAAATCTGCCCCTTCCCAAGATATTATCCCGGGAACATTGAAAAAAATCATGTCGAAATTGTCCAAAACGGGTGAAATTCAACATGACGCAGAGCAGCGAAAATTGATATCTAGCTTTAGCTAGGCAGGAAAAGTTGGTCTCAAGTGAAATTAACCCATGTCGTAAGGGAACGATGTCGACATGGAGCTAGAGAGCTGAAATTCATAAGGAATGCTTCTCTACTCTTAAAAATGCAGATTCAACAGTTTTTGACCATGTCGACAGCATATGGAGCTAAACTAGATTTCGATTTTGATATTTCGACATTCCAAGGCTGCTATTTCGGGCAATATGCTGTCGACATGGGCAAAAACTGTTGAATCTGTATTTTTAAGAGAAGAGAAGTATTCCTTATGAATTTCAGCTCTCTAGCTCCATGTCGAAATTTCGATATGTCGACATCGTTCCCTTACGACATGGGTTAATTTCACTTGCGACCGACTTTTCCTGCCTAGCTGAAGCTAGATATCAATTTTCGCTGCTCTGCGTCATGTTGAATTTCACCCGTTTTGGACAATTTCGACATGATTTTTTTCAATGTTCCCGGGATAATATCTTGGGAAGGGGCAGATTTCAGATCTCCGTTTTTCCTGGAACAAGTAGATCTCACCTAGGACTATCATAAAGAGTCCTTTTTGGAGTTTGGTATTTGCCCCATTCGTAGAGCCACGCCCCTAAAGTCGTGGTTTTTTGACTGTCGCCGAGGTTCCCAGGCTCATAACTTTTTTGCTTATGGACGGATTTGGATGCAATTTTTATGGTACTCCTGTTTTTTTGGCTATAAAATCTCGCGGTAAAAAGGTTTCCACCTGGCCCACACAGTTCGCACCCACTTCCATTCAAAACCCTATGTCTAAAGTTTTAAGTTGCCATAAGCTTTGAATGGAATTGGGTGCGAACTGTATGGGGCAGATGGAAACCTTTTTACCGCGAGATTTTACAGCAAATAAAATAAGAGTAGGTCGACAATCGCATGGACTACAATTTTAAATATGGCGATTGACTCTAACTCCACTAGGAAAAAACCACACCCAAAGTGGGTGTGGTTCTTCGAATTTTTTATGAGCAGTTCTTCGACCCCTCAGAGCTCGGATAATGCAAAAATACCTCCGGAAAAGTGCTCCTGGAATTTTGAGCGATAATTTGGACGAATTTCCCATAGTGCTATAGACGGTGCTGTTGGTTTTAGTGAGACAGCGCGGCGCACCGAAATTGGCAATCATTCATCATCCGTCCTTCTCTCAATCGGATTTCCACATTTTTCGCAAATGGATGGCACCTTCACGGTGGTGGCTGGATCTTCGAATTCTAAATTCTGAATTTAATCAACCTGAACAATCAGTAACGAAACGACTAACGGCTCCCACACGGACGGACGGAAGGAGGGAGGTGAAAACAACTGGTGACTAAATTCCATCTAAACGAGGTGATTATTAATTTTTTTCCAGCCACGAAGCCACCAGGTGGTGGAAGAAATATCTGAATTAAATTCGGCGTAAAAAATTCTGATCGATTAATTTAATTTACATAATGTGTAATGACAATTACTGTTTTTGACCTTAGAAATTGGGGCGTATTCAGTATTGCAAATTATTTGATGTTTATTTGCATTACACAGTACAATTTGTGCTACACATGTTTACTTTCTTCTTGTTTACTTGATCGAGCAGTAGAATAAAATTGATTCGTCATCCTAAAACAGTATGATGACGATGATAAATTTAATTGAATGCTGATAGTATTCCTATCGTTAACTTATAATTTGGCGTTTTCCTTAATTAGCAGATATTAATATATTTCTTATTTGACGTTTCAGCGACTACTCAATTTCAAATTAAAGTTAAAAGAAGGAACTTTCCAAACAGTATTAAACGTGTAACTACCAAAGATTTTAGGTAAGTACGGTGGTTTATACTTTAAACTGTAAATGTTATTAATTAAACTGTATTAATAACATTTTATATTTATTATTTAAAAAAAATTAATTTCTAGCTGGTCCTGATCCTGATACAACTTGGAAAATTACTGTGCAGAATTACATTATCTGTTGTGCTTCGAGAATCGATTGTCGGAATGTCTTGCACAAGTTCAAGATTATTTTGTCCTCATCTATCATTCCGTCAGACTAATAGACATAAAAGATCATCAGGAAGAAGCGGCCATTTAAATGAAGAAGACGGAGGTAGTAGCATTAGTGTTCACAGCAGTGGTGTTGTAGATGATGCGTCTTCATATCAAGAATATATTCACGAAGGTTCTGGAGAACCTGCCGATCTGTTACCATTTCCATCTTACGATAATAATAACCAACACCAAGGAGGAGGAGTAGTAACATCAGAATTGTTGAGAAAGGAATTAATTTGTGAAGATTGTGATCCTAACGAGTTTTCCTCACCAAGGCTTCCTAATCATTTATGGAAGTGTTTAGAACCAAAGTGCAGGCGCATGTTGTGTGGAAAGCAAGGCCAAAATCATTCCCAATACCACTTTCAAGTAAGTAATATATGTTTATAACACGTTGTTACGTGACCAGATCTGCACACATCTTAATTCGTTTTTGCTAAATTACTAAACTCATTTTTTAGGAGTTCCCTCATCACTTTGTTCAGGAAAATGTTGCAAACAAGCGAATTTGGTGTAATGAGTGCAGCATGGAAGTATTTCCGGATCAAAGAAATAGAAGGAGTCCCCCAGCTGTATGGGTTCCGCCGATGGGAGTGGAAGAAGAACCACCTCGTGGATTATACAACATTGGCAACACCTGCTTCATGAATGCGGCTTTGCAGGTAATTAAAGTACCTAATATAAGTAAAATAAATGTGAATGTAGATAGAACATATACGACTCATAAACATGTTTATGCCTCATAAATACGCAAAAATAGTAATGTTGATAAAACTTGTTACTTATGTTTAATCCTAAACCCATCTTCACTTTACAATTGCAGTGCATGGCCGCAGTCAAACCTCTGAGCTCATTTATTCTTGGCAACAGCTGTAGTTTTAAGGGTATTGATGTGTACATTTTTACTGAGCATGTTATCATGTATGTAAATCATCGTTAATATGAATTTGATTTTCAGGAAAAAATGTGGCAAACAGTTATTTGTGGTTCCTCTCAGAAATGTGGTCCAGGGATAGTCAAGGTTATTCGAAAGGGGTAATGCCATCTAGATTGCTTCATTCTGTTCGAGCAGCACATCCAATATTCAGAGGTTTTCAACAACATGATACACAAGAATTTTTGAGACTTTTTATGGACACCCTGGCCGAAGAAACAAAAGTTCCTCATTTCATTTTGGACGAAACTGAAGTGGACAAACAAAGCGATGCCGGCTCAGATGATGGTACTATGTCCGTTGACTCTGAAACTGAATCATTTGAAACTTGTGACTCGGGCAATGCTTCAGAAGAAACAATGTCAACTCGTGAACCCCGCAATGGATGCAAGCAGCCATTAAAAGATATCAAAATACAAATGAAATCAATTGTTTCCGAAATATTTGACGGGCAGGTTGAAAGCTCAGCTCAATGTCTTTCCTGCAAACAGTAAGTAGTAGTACCAAAAGTGGGCTACAACCAATTACCTGAAATGATTAATTATTATAGAAATTGTACATAACAAACTGTATTTCAGAGTTTCCTCCCGCTTGGAAGTATTCCAAGACCTAAGTTTGCCAATTCCAACTAGGGAAGAACTTACAGCCCTTCGGATATCAGCGGATAGATATGAAGCTGAAGATGGAAGAAATAACCCCGGGTGGATTGGTTGGTTTCTTGAATGGGTCAAAAGTTTCTTTTGGGGGCCAGCTCCTACATTGGAAGATTGCTTTTCCGCGTTCTTCTCCTCAGACGAATTGAAAGGTTGGTCTCCATTATTATATTATCGTATCAGATTACTCAACTAATGGAAACAATGCGACTTTGTTTAACTTTTATATGTGCGTGATAGGGAAGAACATGTATTCCTGTGAAAAGTGTCAAAAATTAAGGAATGGTGTAAAACGATGTTCCTTATATCGTCTGCCCGAAATCCTCTGTGTTCACTTAAAGCGGTTTCGAATGTACGAGTACAGTGGAGGCATGGGATTTTCAGGCAAAGTAAGCCAGTATGTTCAATTCCCTTTGGAAGGGTTGGACTTGAGTCCGTTCCTGAATAAAGGTAACCACATCCTTGGATCAAGTTGACATTCGTACTTTATCATATTGTGCTCTAAAGTCAAGATTTGTTTTAGATTGCCCTAGTCAAGTAACTACTTATCGATTACTTGGAGCTATCTGCCATATTGGGTATGTTGGTTGGTACACAAAAAACGCAATAATCAAATGTGAAAGTATTTTATTTAACACATAGATTATTTAGCCTTATACAATATACCTCTTAAATACTCACATATACTACAATCAATTATATTGATAAATGTCGTATTTATAGATCATTCCTTGGTGGTCACTATACTGCCTATATCCGCCGTGATGACGAGTGGTACTTGTGCGATGATTCCCGAGTTGTACTTGTATCACCTGAAACTGTTGCTGATTGTGAAGCGTACGTTTTGTTCTACCAGTGAGTATTTTGAATCTTATTTTCAATTTTATACACGAAGTAATACATGACGTAACGCATTGTCATCATAGGAAATATGATCTTCCTGACCATGTCCGAGAGCTGAAGCAAGAAGTTTTGGAATCATGGGAGGCTGCAGACACTAATGACTTAAAAGAAATGAAGTTTCACTTATTGTCAAGAAAATGGTTGGCTCGCTTCATTTGGGGGGAAGAACCTGGACCGATAGATAACTCGGATGTTGTTTGTCCTCATGAATTTATCGCTCCGTATGACTCTGTTCATCTTGGAGCGACGTGGGTACCAGAACCAGTGTGGAATATTCTTATAGAGAGGTATTTACCTTCGTCCACATTAGTAGAAGTAGTTTATGATTTTATTATTTGCTAATAAGTCAATTTACTAGATTTGGTGGTGGACCTGACCTTGTCCACTCTGAGGAATGTGTTATATGTTTATCTGCATGGAGAAAACATATAAAATCTGCTAATCCAGAAAGAGAGCGAAACCTGAGGCGTAAGTTTTGCTTTTCTCATTAAATTATCATCAGATGCAATATGCATACATTTATAGATATATGTATATGCTAAAAAATATGTTTGTAACCAATTTCAGAATTCGACGGTGTGTAACAAAGTGCAAACCCAACATACTTATTTAACTGAATAGTTTTCTAACAGTCCAATTCCGAATACCCCAATATAAAAGCAATATAATGATGTATTACCACTTACAAGCCATTTGCCATTATTTTAATGACCGAGACATCATGATCTATTTTTCTTGCACCATGAAAGCTTTCGTTGATATTTGTGTGCTTATCCGCTTGGTGCATAGTTAATTATGACCATCGTGATGTATTAACAGTCATCCAATATCATTATCCTTAATTGTTAAATTCTTTTAGTCAGAGGATTTATTGTTTATATGTGCTACACAGATTTTATTATTTTATATGATACTTGAGAGCATCGTCGGAAGATTTGTTGTAAGCATTTCTTAATACAGTAACCTCACAACTTGCAGTTAGTAATATTGCCATCTGTACTCTACAACTATTCAAGATGAAATAATAATTCTGACTGAACTCTTTACTTGCATATGTCAGAAAATTTGTTTTATTATATTATGTATGAAGCTGTGCTTACATATACATAAGTATTTGCATATGTCCAGAATATATATTTTCTGTTATTAAAAGTTTTCACACAATTGGATTGGTACACACACAATAAAATGAAGTCAGGAAATTAACATTTTTTAGATTTTACTACCATTCAGTGAAAGCATTTTGGTTAATATATGTTTCACATTATTGTCAAAGTGTGAATATTAGTATCATTTGAAATGAAGAGGACCAATATTGCACTCACCCTCCTCATCCCTTAATACATATGTAGGCACACCAGGATCTGTTGTGGCTTACCAACAACTGGCCATGATTAGCATAACACCTGTGTCATTATTATTCCGTTTGAGGGGAATGTTAGTACTAATCAGTCTCGTCTTCATTAAATTTCCAGCGTGTCCCTCCTCGCCCATCAGAATTTATTTGTACACCGCATATGCATACATACGTGCCGCTTATTGATCGTATCTCGATTTAGGATCATCTTTTATAATTATTCCCATCCAGCAGTGATATTGGGAAAATTATAAGATACGTTTGGCAAAGTACCGCTTCTCGACAGTTTTTTTATTGTCAGTCATTCGTATGGATTATGACACATTGGTTAGTTGAATTAAATGCTGTTCTAAACGCTGCCTGTTTGGATAATGTCATGCCCAACTTAATACGACAATACATACGATGCAACCCATAAAGCTACATTATGTACATCGAGTCCAGATGTCATTTGAACGTCGTTACACTTCTCCAGTATAACTTATGTAGGTATTGCATATGAGATGAATATTTATCGCGTAGTTGTCCTATTGCTACAAACCTGGTTAATATAGTCAACGGCTAAAAATATTTAACACCAGGGCACAGAGAATACAAACTTTAAAGTAACCGGATGCTTCCATGGCGGACGGATCTCACGGACTTGGTCGCAGTGGTGTAGGAGTGGTAGAAAACAACTCAGAAGAAATAGTACCTACGACTAGTCAGACCAAGATCAGGGTCACTGCAATAGGAGGAGAACATGGGAGAAATCCGAGAAACATAATAAAATTGTACCAAGCTGCACCAGCTATTCTTCAAGACCAACAATGTGAAGATAGAACCGAGACAAAGGAGACAGATGCAAAATTATATTCTGCTGATCATGAAGAAGGTGGAATACAAGTCAAAGTAATTACAGAACAACCAAACAAAGAAATTCATCAAAGTGAATCCGATCAAATTGAAGCCGACAAAGTTCCAGAAATTACTCTGCAATTTTTAAACCCTGTTGACAATAATAAATCTGCGAATGAAGAATACACCACTCCTGCATCCTCTGGACTGGTCCTAAAATTTTCTGAGAACGAACAAAATGAGAATACCGAGTCTCATGAATTTGCACAAACGATGCCTCTAAACTTGGACATGCATGTTCATATCATGCAAGATTCTGGTGGTGAAAGTTTTGTCGAGAAACATAATGAATCTCTTATTTACAACAACAACCCTGAAGAAGGACTCATTAGTAATGATAAATCTGCAAATGATCAATGCTTCACTATTCGAGGTCTTGGAGAAGAGTTCCTCTATTTGCCACCGGCTAACCAAAATAGTGACCACCATCAACTTCAACATCATCATCATCATAATCATCATCCCTCGTCAATAACTTTTCACCAACTGCCCCCACAAATGCGACAAGGAGAACATCATCATCGACTAACGGAACTGGGAGTGACGCCGGCAGAAATGTACTATGACGGGCTAGGCTATGGGTCCATTCCTATTGAGAGGGTGCCAAACCCCCGACACTGGAGAGAAAGTCCGACCAACTCTCTCGCTCAGTCGGAGAAAGGTTGTCCATGTTATCAAAACAAAACATAATGATCGATCAGCTATTCACTGGCTAATTTTGTTGAGTAGATTTCTCTTGTGGTTTTACAGATTATAAGAAATCGGCTTGTGACAGGGAGCGTACAAGAATGAGGGACATGAATAGAGCTTTCGACAGGTATTTCAAATGAAATGTGTCAATGTCATGGGCGCATTGATGTTACCAAATCCAATGGTTATTTTATTATCAACCAAATCAAGCAAAATAGCTCACGGTCCCCGATTGTTTAATCTATTCCAACAATTTCCTGTCTCGTAAGACTTTGGGTTAATCGGGTGCCGTGAGTTGCTATTGTTGTGAAGCTCTTGGTTCATACTAGAACACAGAACTTGACTGGCAGGCACATTTCACATGAAATTTATATATACTCTGCATATCTAGCTTGCGAGCACGCCTACCATATGCAAAACCACCGGGGAAGAAATTATCAAAGATTGAATCTCTCAAATTTGCAATTCGACACATCCGATATTTGCAAAGTCTGTTGGAGAGTCCGAGTCCTCCAAACTTTGACCCTCACGTTATGGGAGGTCCGCTTGGACATCCAGGAGGAGGCTATTACTTTTCTGGGGGACGACAGTATCAAATACCAAGTCCTCGAATGGGAATGTTTCATCAGCAACAAATTCCAGTCCAGTACTGTCCATTTCCAAATTCCTACTTTTGTGCAACCCCTCCAACTACCGGAATGCAGCAAGGACAGTTTCCTGGAGTTCAGCAACACCAACACCAAATAGTAGAGTCAAGCCAAGGATTGCCACCAGGAATAGGAGGAAGTACTGGAGAATTACCTGCTTTTGCCACCACTTATTCCACCGTTGCTAATGTGGCGTCCCCGTACGGGTCTCCTCAATTGAAACTGACTGAGGATGGCGAAATTTCTCAGGGCGAACCATCTATGGAAGCCCCCACATATTTTAATCTCAACAATCCTTAATATCCTTATGTATGTGTACTATACTAACACAAGTTACGAAACATGTATTCACTATTTCATAGATACATATTTACTAGTCAGTCATTGTATTAATTATGTAAGATTGCGTCACATCTCAGTACATTCATTCTGTTCTAGTCGGTTCATAAATACCTGATATGAAATATATTCGTACGCTATGATTTTAATTTTTCTTATTTTCATCATTTGAATTCGCAAATCAGGATGGGAATGATACAAGTTAGGGTCAGTTGCTTAGCAATCTGAGCACAACAAGATGAACTTATTTTACGTTGTGGTGCAAGTTTGCGTGACACATTGCGAGTTGGTGCGACTGGTGCGAGTTTATTGCAAGCAGTATAAGCACTTTAGTTTTGGTCATGTTTTGGTATTATGCAAATAAGTATATAACTTGTAAATGATACGCACCCACTTTTGTTGTCGAAAATATCTATCTTACATTTCAATTTTAAAACTACCAATTTGTTACCATCATCATGGCAGAAGACCCTACTTTACCAGTTGTGGCGGAACTTAAAGATCTAACGAGCAAAGAAAAGACCACAAGTCAAGACCCTGCTGAGAAAGGCCAATTGAAAAACGACCCATCTAAGAAAGAGGTCGTCGTCGACATATATAATGTCGAGAGAAAGTAAAAAGCAATTGAAAATTTACATGCCCTCAGTACAAATAGAACACAATAACCCCATTGATTTTCCACATTGTTGTGTTATACTGTAGGCTTACCAGGGAGGAAGTGAGGAAGGCTCTGGATGTTAAGCTTATCCCAGAACCTCTTGTGTTCAAGAAGGCGGAAGTGGTCAGCCACCCGCCAAGACAAACTAGGATGGCTGACTTTACAACAATTTATCTGCTAGGAAGTGCTTCTTCGGTACTTTTAGCATATTCATTACATATATTGTAAATTGGCGAGTATGCAGTATTAACCAAATATGCGCATAAGGGCCCGTTCATATATTACGCCATCAAAAAATCGGATTTTCAGATCCCCCCCTACCCCCTTTAACATGGGCAAGATAGGCACGATATCATTGGTGGTCAGACCCCCTCCCCCCCCTCTCTTGTTGACGTAATATATGAACGGGCCCTAATTTAATCCTTAAAGGGCAAGACGATGCTCATAAATCGTTTATTGGATAAGACTGAAGTGCCCAAGCCCACTGTTGCATTGGATTACACATTTGCAAGGAGAACCGTGCAAAATGCGGAAGGCTCTCAGTTTCCGGTGAGGAATGGAAAATGATAATCAGATTCGTCAACGTTTAAAATTTTATTGTGCATACAAAATAGATCAAAGAAGTGTGCAATATTTGGGAACTAGGAGGTGACGCTTTTAGACTTGCAGAACTCGTGGAAACTCCAGTAGTCACAAACCGTGGATTGGATAAAATGGCAATTTTCTTGGTCTTGGATTTGTCAGAGCCTCTGAAATTGTGGCCAACTCTGGACACTGCTGTGAAACAATTAACACGGTACATTTTTTGTTAATAAATTAAACATGCATGAATGCTTGTGAACAGTAGGCTATAAATCGTACTTGAATTGCACATAGTGGCATCACTCAGGCTTTGGCAAATAATATGCGAAACAGTAAAAAAGGAGACATGACAAAGAAACTGGAGGAAAACATTGTAAAACGGCTTGGAGACAATTTATCGGTTGGTGCACATTTTAAATACATAATTTTAATTGGGTAAAGTTCTTTGTATTCATATTTTGTGTCTGCAGGACAAACCATACCTGGAGCCATTTCCACTCCCCATTGTCATAATCGGGACAAAGTTTGATTTATTCCAGGTACATAATGTATAACGTAGATATATACAGTTCGTAGAAATGAATCATAGATGTGTTGGTAATAATTCATGCATTGTCATTTTAAATCAACCACAAGAGTAAAAAAACGCCTTACACAATTTATTATATCAAGTCAGAAGCAAGATGAGTCACAAACATTCAAATTTCCATTTATGTCGCCAACGTCTTTGGCATCGTCCAATAATGCAATAATAATAGCAAATGTTACATCATCATAACACTAATTAAATTTTGAAGTTTAATGAGATGGCTCAAGTCAGTCGATCGATCGATCGGCTACATAATTGGATTTAATTTGAGATTAGCTTTCAATTGACCTTCAGGCTGTTCACACGGTGTTAAGTCTTTGAACTATCGAATTGAAGGGCACATTATGATTATTAGTTATGTGGAATAAGCTTTCTGCACTCTCATGTTACTTGGCCATACTACACTTACGTGCTTATATAATCTAGCATTAAAATGCAGTAAACGAGAGACGACCATAATATATTCGATGGATGATCCAACTTAAAGCGTGCTTAAGAAGGAAATCTTAATCTTAATCTTAAGGAAATCCAGTATTTAAATCTTGCAATGTGTCTTTAGTTGTAATAAATTTGCATATTTTTCACAGAATTTCGAACCAGAGAGGAGGAAACAAGTGAGCAGAATACTTCGGCTTGCGTCACATCGATTGGGTGCCTCTTTGAACTACTTCTCCAAGAATGAAGTAGCTCATAATAGGCGTGTACGTGAATTATTTACCCACTACGCTTTTGGAACACGATTCCCGTACGAATTTCATTACCAAATCAATCTTACAAAAAAATGAATTAATTTGCTTAGATCTTTGTCTATATTTTGCCAATCTCTCTCTATGTATGAATGTACAGGAAAGATGTGTGTCACGATTTCAACAAAGGCTTACTAATTCCCCACGGAGGCGATTCGTACAACCAAATTTGGTCTGGGGCAAATCCTGGCCAGTTTACCTTTGACTATTTTAAACACTTGTACGAGTCCCAGATTGGCAAAAGTGAAGACTACAAAAATGATGCTGCAGATGAAGCAAATTTTCGCGAGCCGCAGATTGACTCACAAAGAAATATCTTGCTTGAAGAATTACGCATGATGGAAGAAAGTTTTACAGAGTTTAGCAATCAGGGACATCAAATTAAAATTATTAAGTAGTCATTTTAACTTTTCTATTGAATAATTATTTATTTAGCATTCTGCAGTTATCTGTCAGAGGTTACATACATACGTAATATTAAATGTATTTACATACATATACCATTTTGTCATATTCGAAAAGTTGTAGGCAAATGCAATGGTGATCTCACTGGCCCCTGGCAAAATAAAATTAATTGATGAAGGAATGATAAATTCATTCATGGGTCAACAAGAATGCAAATTTGGCGTATTTTGTAGTCTATTCGCTATATATCGATTGGTTTGCTAACACGATGACTACTGAATATGTATGTAGCTGACGCCAAGCAGTCTGATCTGAATGAGTTGTCTAAACTAAAGATGTGAATAATTGGGTATGCATGTAGTGTGCATGCATACGTTTAATACCGAAGGTAGAGGGTGAGATCATCATTTTTAATAGTTTGCCCTTTAATAATAATCTGTAGCTGTCAGTCAACTCGGCTCTCCTTTAATTTAATTATTTCTGTTTTGCGAACTCTGGTGATCAGTGAAGAAAGAAAGACAGAAAAAATGCATCAATAATGCCAATTTTGAGGAAATATTGTTAGGATAACGACTATTTTTATTTTTAAACTTATCATTTTCTGGATTACAGTTCATGGAAGATTAAACGCGGAGTACTAATCTAAAATACTTTTACTTAATTTCTTACCATGTCTATAAATACAAAAGTATATGTATCACAATGAACAATTATCTACGTAATTTCTTAGAAATATGACAACGATATGAGTAAAATATATATGTAATTCAGTAAAGTATTAATGATATTAGTCAAACTACAAACAGTTGATTGACTGATTTTGCAGTTAGAAATTCAAGTGTTTTCATTTGAACCAGAAGTGTTGAACTTGAAAGTAAACTACGTATGCATGCAATTCCTACTATCAGAATAATTTTGTCAACCAGATAAATCAATTATCACTTGAAGCTACACGAAGAACATCTGACTAATTGCATTCCATCCGGTTTTTGCGATTAATGACCTCTGTATTGCAGTTTCAAGTAGCGAGAATTAAGTTACTTTATATTTAACCCTTAATTGCTCATGTAAATAATTTAAGAAGTTTTAGGAAGCGCTTCGAAATACGTGATTCAAAAGGAGATTCATTGACAGGAGATTTATTACATGGGAAGTATGTATGTAGACAGCATTAAACAGGGAATTTTTGGACGATGTATCCTAAGTTTGAAGGACTTTTAATACAAAATCAGTTTAAATGTTTCATAAATCAAAATGTGTGATAAAACAAGGAAGAGGTTCATTCAATTTGAAATCAAAGATTGATATCGTTTGCCACTTTTTTATGTAATAATTTTGGAGCATCAATAAGAGAAGATAAACATTTGATTGATACTCGTGTCTACCCTCGCCGTACAAAATAGGAAACGAAAAGCGAGATTACATGTAAATCTCTGCTGTTGGCTGTTTTGGCTGATGCTATAAAAGATGTGTCATAGTGTCATTGTCATTCAAGACATTCATCATGCAACTTGTCTCCCCTTCTACGTATTCATGAATGCTTTTTCTATTTATGTATAAGTTGTTTTGTGAATAACTGTGAATAACTAAATCAACCAACTGGAAGAGCATCCTCTCAGTTTGTTTTTAATTAATTGGGACAACCAATGAATGAATTGGCCTAGAATTTTCAAAGCAATAGACACAACCACACAACAGAAATGTTGTACACCACAAAACTCCTGCGAATTGTGTACACCAATAATTCCTCAGAATTTCATCGTCATTATCAAAACGCAGTATATTACCTAAAAATAAAGGATAAGAAATACATACATAATATTTCTAATTACTTAGTTTTTCTAACTGAAATATCTAATCTTCCTCCTCTTCCACACTTGGAAGGGAACATTGTCTCGGCATTCGTCGTTGTCCCAAAACGAGAACTGGGTTTGATGGTTCCAAGGCGCTCAACCAGCGTGGTAGGAGTAAAGTGTCCTCACAGAGGAAAATCAGGGCAGCTGAAGAGGTGTCACATTTCTGCACAAAAATGAAAGGCAATTACATATAATGCAAATTATGAATCAGTTATACATGCGGACATATTATGCAGTTTTGAATCGCTATGGGTAGACATACGTATAATCATAAAGAAGCCAGCCAAGCAAAGGGAAACCATAAAATTAATTCCAAATCTGCATAGGCAGCCAATAATTTCCCACAGCAAATACGCTACTACTGCATAAACTTTCTTGCCACAACCACCGGAAATAAGGGTTGATGATTAATAATGCAAAATATTGTAGGATATTCTGATTATATAATATTGATCTGATGAAAGTGAAGGGATTATGTTTGAGGTTAATGGTTTTCTTGTGATAATAGAATAATATGAAAAACGGCCGAATATCTAGATGTTTTTATGAAAGAGAGGTTTTTGAAATTATTTTAAGCTTGTAAATTTTCTTTTAATTGAATGAATTAGAGTAGATTTGTTAATGCAATTACATTTTGACATGTATTTAACCATATTTCGAAAGGTTATGCACAATAACTTTTTTAAGGGATTATTGCATGATCACTGACTGACAAATGAATTGCTCAATCGATGTTAGTTTAGCAATAGAATTAAAATATTGAGAGAGTTTCGTATCACTCGTCATCATTATGTACATTTGTGTATCTAGAATCTGTTTATTGCATGTCAACAACTTAGACGTCTTTAAAGGTTATCAGACTTATTAAAGATTAGCTCATTTGTTTGCATCTGTCTTTAACGCATTTTGCTATAATGATCGAGGTATTTATTTCTGAATAACTTACAGAAATAGTTAGATAACACGTAACGAAAAAAAATTGTTTGATCGATTTTTTGATCTTCGAAATATTGAAAAGTATTTGAAAATATTTTTTAAAAGAGTCACATGCTTACGAAGTTTGAAACCTATTTGTATGAACCTATCAAGTCAGAATTAAATAAATAAATAAACCTCTGAGTATTACGGTACAATAACCTCACAAGAAAATTCCTGAGTTGTTTTTCCTCCTTATTTTCGTCAGGAATCGACACAGAAATTATTAGTAAATAATATTAATTCTGAACAACATATTTACTAGCAGTCATACATTACATTATTCGCAATAACAAATTATGTCGACTAAACCAAACCTAATTTCTATTGCCATAATTTTCTACTTTCAATTAAAATTCATAATTCAAAGTCAACTGAGCAATTTAGCTGTAACCACAAACACGCAAAACGACGATGATGATCAGAGTAAGATGAGAATCTATGTAACTTCCCATATCAATTATTATACGAATGAATGTTTTGCTTCACTCTATAATTGCCAAGTTAGAAGTTGCATTTTCTTTATCATATTTTATATTTCACAAAATAGAGCAATAATGAGCAGTTTGACAGTCGACGTAGTGGTTAATAGTTGGCCCCAGAAGTCAAGCAAGTCCAGCTGTGTGCAAGACTGCAGGTTCACCAATACCAATTAGTGGTAACGATGATGAGGTTACGTGCCAAATGCTATTATTCGCATGTTATGTGATGTGACGCTATTATTGCTATACATTTTTACATATAAGCAACAATGACAACGAGGAGGCACACTATAGCAAGAGGAAGGATACAAATAAGCAATTACATGTAGGAACGGCCATTAATTTTCAACTGGGCCTTAATTAACAGCAGTTTTAATTAAGAGGTCGAACGGCTGCTGAATCAATTAGGAAATACCTTCGGTCTGAGAGTGAAGCCCTTGATGCCTGATCCCAACGCCGTCTCCTCGCTGGTCACTCCTCTCAGGTTGATGCAACCTGCTGGCTTCAAAGCAATCATTTTCCGTCTGTAACATGAAATAGAGAACTCATCAACACAGTCCTAATAATAAGAAGAACAAGCAATCATAATCATTCATCAGTATGTTATTAACATTGTGATCACAACAATAAGTTCACTTCCGATGAAATCGCGACCAATTTGATGCGTGTAAAAATGCTTCCTGGACACCCCTTTCTGGTCTATTGTTACTACAATTATTTAGCACACCCTGTCCACGCACAATGGCTGACAAATTTAGGACTTTGATCATCGTCCCAAATACTCTGAATACTTATGCCTACACGTATGTGCCACAACTGTAAAGAGAATGTTTACCTTCGACGCTTAAATAACTAACAAATGGCCTTATGGAATATTTAACTAATATTAAATTAAAAATAGGAAATGTGTACCATATTCTCTTTTTATTGACGTGACACAAATATTTAAGGCCCGTTCACAATTTCCAGCAATGAATCACGTGCAAGTATTTTTCGTTAATCAAGTGCATGGAATAAAGTGACGTAATGGAGTTTTTTGATCGAGTTAAATGCTCAATAATAACAATTAACTACAGCTATGCGCATTTGTCCAACTTAAATATTTGGATTTAGATAACGAAACAGAGGCAGAGGAATTCAAAATAGGATTTGCTGTCAAAATTTTTATCTAATCTTACGTAGTTACTTATGTGTGAGTAACGTTTTCAGCCTACTGATAATGCATATGTACTTGACTGGTCAACAGGAAATAATACTCAAGAATACGAAATAATTTTGACATGATTATTATTACTAAATATTATTATAATACGGAAACTCCAGTAGAATTGAAAAATAAAATTACGAAGAATGAGAATATATACTCCTTGGCCTATATTATATGTAAATATTGGAATCCGTTAGAGATAATAATTGTGAATCTGATAACGATGCCAAATACAAAGTTATGCTTTATTACTGTATTTCTAATACGAAGCATATTTGAAATACATTAATAATTTGACGCATTGTTTTTGCCTTCCAGAAATACTTTACGAAATTGCGTAACACGCCACAATAAAATTTAGCAATATTGTTCAATAATAGCTCCTCTGTCTGTAGCAATAGCTAGCTTTGCTTCACAAATGCTTCACAAATGCTTGATAAATGGTCCTGTTGCGACATGTCACCATAAATCTATGCATATATCCGATTACAATGACAACTGACTGAATCAGAGTGTTTGAAATTAACTAAAACATCTCCCATTTGAAACCTTGAACCTTCTCGGAGCAGCTCAAGATCATAATGTTCCATAAAACTGTCATTGTACTTTCGGATACATATTTATCTGGCAGATTTAGCTACATCACCATGAACATAAACCACAACTTAAAGCTTGCACGTACTCAGTATTTTATTGCCAACAGATTTAACTATACACCGCTGACTTAAATAGGTTTAATCAGTGTTGTGCAGTGCACTGTGTAAATAAGCGGATAATTAGTTGTGACATTGGGCTCAATACAATTTAGAAGGAGTTCAATACATTTTCCTTGAACTTCACCGGTCTCGTTAAATGCCTAATACATATGTTACACAAATAGATTTCCCATTGAGTAATAAACTCTATTTTTGCGTTCAAACTTGATGATGTGCAAACTGCGTCTATTTTTGACACTGTCCATGAGAAACCAGGACATTTAGATTTATAGGTTGCCAATCCCTTAAGAGATTAGTTGAGTCATGTCCTGTGCATATACCTCTGTTGACCAATTTATCGGCAATCATGATATGAATGATCATCTCCTCTAATATTAAAGAATCACCTACCGGTTATCAGGGTAAACGAGGGCAAAGTGATCGACGGAGGTTCGGAAGATGGAGAGGATCACTTTTTGAGGTCCGTGTAAGGAGCTGAAAAGCGTGACTGGACCCCGCATGATCTCATTATCGCTTGGATTCATGTTGTACCCATTGTTTCCAAATTCAGTTCCACTCCCACCCCTCTCAGCAGAGGCAGCAATTACTGTGTGGTTGTCAAACTTGTTGTGATACGTAGGGCTCAGAAGAGCGATTACTGGTGAGTTCATTTTTGAAAAATGGCGTTGTTCCACTACTTCACTTGTGCAATGTAGAATTCACTCCTGAGCGAAAAATGTGACGAATCTGCAAATAATTTAAATGATGTGAATTATTTTACGAGTCAAGTAATGTACGAGAGGATGCCAATTCTTTGCGTGAAACATAACTTATTCAGGGTTTATCATGTCAAATGAATGTAATTTACATAGAATTTTCCAACCAATGCACGAACTTTAGTCGCTGCCGTACGAACTTTGAAGAATGTACCACCCAAAATGCAGGGCAATGCAGAAAAATGCAGTTGGTTCGTGGATTGGGTGGATGGAGGATGTAATCTGGCAGGGGGGACAAAGTACAAAAGCTGCTTCAATTGGGCTTTGGTCATTAAATGAATCTTTCTTGATCTGATGTGATCTGCTTCATGACAATAGTTCCTTCACCTTTGCCAACTCTGACGATGAAACTCTGATGGAAAGAATGTGCGAATTTCTTCCCTTGTTGCACCTATGGTTTGACGTTGGTTGCACTCTCAATAACTGCACTCTTGTATTTTTTTTACTGAAAGTGAAATTCCTTGCACGATATACTATATTGGGCCAATTTCGAAACCGTTAACAAAACTTTTGAAAACTCTATTCAGCATACATACACATTTCTTGTTATGCAGGCAGAATACGAATAAAATACTTTCGGATCAGAACACTCTGTCACTACACCGACCAATCCGTCTGACCGCGGATAACACGCAGTTTGTCAATTTATAGAGTGTTGTTGCAATTCTGCAATGACGAGAACAACCGTTCTCTTTCATATCAAATCACAACAAGATTATTTAATGTACTTTGATGATAAGCATATACGTGTATGCATATTTACTAGTTATATGCAGTTAGATGTTTTATGTAGACAAATTGCGGCGGATAGATCGATAAATTTTACAACAGAACAGAACAGAATAATGACTTGGATAATTATAATGCTGCTGCCAGATACAAAACAGGACACAAAATTCCTATCAGAACAAAAGTCAAGTGGAGTTTTTTTGCCACAAAGTTCTTTCTAATGATTCATTAGTAATGATGCGATCTCTGGTTTCTCGATTAGCCACACGTGCTTGCATATACCCATTATATGTGCTATTCCTTAGTTATCGCCAGTAAATAACTACTTAAAACTGAGAGTAGTAAAGTCAAGCATATTTATATTTACCAATTTCAGAGCACAAAGACTTGAATTTTTGATATAATCACAGCAAACTTTGTGTTATAAAATAAATTATACGGCACTCATGTGTCGGTATATTCGTGTGATCCTCAAGTGACGGTGCTGTATTATTTGTTGACTGATAATGAGAGATTTCAATTTCAAATGTCGTACTTACCTAATTCACTCAAGTGCAAACCACCTCGTTATCTCAATAAATAATCCATAAACTGCGAGTGAATTTGTGAGTTTTATGTTTTCAGATCTGTCGAATGCAGTATGTCGTCAATAAAAATTATCCACTATGCATGCAGACAATTGTACGGGATATGTGTTAATTATGAAATGCGTCTCAACATCAGGACAACATGATATGAATGCATATGTATTATGTGTATTCGAGAGAAATAAAATAAAATACCTTGTTCTCTCTGCCACTTCCCGTTTCCCGTACTGAGTATTTCAGGAAGAAACTCCGTCTTATAAATGACTTTCGTTCAAAATATACGTACACATGTACACACTGACTTTGATACAGGTCAGGATCGTGTTACACAGCTCTGGGTCTTATTGTTAAATAATAGTTTTTCGGGCATATGGACACTAGCCAGAGATGCTGAAATATGTACTGTCGAGTTCTCAGAAAGACCAATTCTCAGATTTAATATAAAAAATCTTGAGTGTGTCACCTCAACTCACTCACAAAAAACAAATATAATTGGACTTTCCAAGACACGGAGTATGATTCACCAAAACACATTTAATCACAAGTTGGCACACAATTTATGAGACTCTGCTGAAGCCAAAGTTGTGGTTGTAACTGAATGCAAGACGACTCGAGCTGGTGGTTTTGTTGCAAAAAGAAAATGAGACGGAGAACTGGCAGCTTCTTAACGTTCTTATGGTAGCGTGGTTTGCTACTAAAGTTGGTTATGATGATGTTTGAATGATGATGAATAATGAAGACTCGGGAGAGGAATGCGAATTCTATAACACTTTTAGTGTTCACTCACATTCACTGACCAAATTAGTCGCTGTTTCAAGATTTGTCTTGCTTAACACACAACTACTAATTTGGAGATGGAAAATATCTCAACGTACACACCTACGTACATATAAACTAACCTGTCATAATAAAATATAGATAAGAAACGATTGCATAGTAATAATGCTACTATACGGTAAATTTTAACTGAAGATGAGTACTAATCTCTGAAATAAAAGATGATTCTGACCTGCGACATTCCGAATTTATAACCGTTGCCTGTAGAAAAAGTTTATCTTGCCTTTTTTACAGGAGTACTGAGAAAAATATTGTCAAAAATCACTGTTGTGGTACTATTTGTATTTAATTACGCGTTGTATTTTTTCATCATTGTTTGTGCGGTGCTACTTTTACATGAATGTAATTATTTGCATTCATTATCGTATCGTTACAATGAACCATGTGTCGATCGATTACGTTTCAAGACAAATTGTTTTTCGAATTCATTAGGTTTGAACGAACGCAAATTTGAATGAGCGATATTTCTATTGTTTCAAATAAATTATAGTTCAGACTAACTTTTGAGGTTAGCTCATATTTATGTACATACCACTCGTGAGGTGAGCAAGCAATGCTAGAATTATATTACCTTAAAAATCTACCTGGTGGAAATTTTCATGAGTTTTCACGATATTAATTTGTGAAACCTAAAATGTAGAAATGGATATATATATAATTAATAGTTATGTATAGATGTATACATACATATGTATGCACATATATACACATCAAGCTGTTTTTCTACATATGTACCTGTAGGTATTTCCTCAATAACATAGGTTTCTTGCTTTACATGTGCACACCTCGAGCGTATATCCAAATATCCAACCAAAGCTTTGAGGACAATTGACCTGTAATCCAGTGGTATGGAGAATCACGTAAATATTATTGAGCGCATGCAGGACGCTATTTATAAAATCTGACGAAATATTATGGATATGGACTAAGGAGGAGAGGTTGTGGACTATCAACTCACGGATCTCGATGCCCTTTGGACATGTTGTAGTGTCCCATGCATGAACAAGAACCCCCCTCCCAGTAGTTTGATGCCATGGCCACATTTGTGCCCGCCACACCCACTCAAAGGTGACCAAAAAACGGTGAAAGTAGCGCTTTCACTCATTCAAATCCACGCTAAAAATCCAATTTTACTCGGATTTTAAATACCCGTACACCATTATACTCCCAGATAGTTGTTTTCTTATGTCCAACATCAAACTCAACTTCTTGAAATTCTTAGTATTTTTGAAATTTAAACTTCTGAATGAGCATTGTTGTAGTAATCAGCAACGCAAATATGCCTGCGAAATAATCATCAAAAAAGTTGAGTTTGATGTTGGATATATGAAAACAACTATCTGGGAGTATAATGGTGTACGGATTTTCAAAATCCGAGTAAAATTGGATTTTTAGTGTGGATTTGAATGAGTGAAAGCGCTACTTTCACCGTTTTTTGGTCACCTTTGAGTGGGTGTGACGAGCGCTAATGTGGCCATGGCATCAAACTACTGGGAGGGGGGTTCTTGTTCATTTATGAGAGACTATAACATATCCAAATGGCATCGAGGTCCATGAGTTGATAGTCCATAACCTCTCCTCCTAAGTCATGAAACCTCAACTAGAATGTACCGTGCATCATTGCATTCACTTTCACTCACTGTGAATTTAAATTTATTTGTGATAATGCACCTTTGGTAGCCTGAAATTGAATGGATAATTGGAATTTCGAAGTTGAGACTTATGATCTGCACATATGTAGTCATGCTAATGCGACTGAGGAGAGAAAGCTGTGGCCCAAGGATTGGGGTTACATCATAGAACAAAGCCAAAACATGGTTGAAGCCGGGTATTATTATTCAAATGTGATGTTTATAACATTTTATTAAATTCGGTTTTGTCTCGACTGCTGGGATCCAATCCAGTTCAAATTACAAACGAATAAGAACTATCGACATATTTAGTTTAGACAGACCAGCACCGCTTCAAAAGCTTTGTAAAGCCGAGCACATCGTGATAAGAGTGTGAAAAGTGAAAATTGTTCGTTTCTCATTTTTGCAAAAATTCACTAAAAATTAATGAACATCCCCTACAAGGAATTTTTACTTACCTAACCAATTTGTAAACCTATGAAAATGAATAGCGTGTATGTACCTCTAAAGCATCTGTATACATGTATGTGCAAAATGTGAAAGAATTATCCACATTTCTGGTAGGTACCTTAACTTGCGGACTGACTACTTGATATGCTCATTCAAATTCAAAGTCGCCACAGAATTTGGAATTTGACACCATGTATGTAATACGGCATTCGTAATGGACGAAATCCTCCGACCTCTTCAAGCCTAAAATTCGCACAATGTTGTAAAAATTATCGTAATATTTCATTTTAGTGAACAGTGTCAAGTCAACCTTCTCCAACCCAAGCTTTCCGATTTAAGTCCGGCATAGACTGCATAACAGTCTCAATTTTTTTTTACTTAAATATAAATCAGCCAGATATTTTATAACCGGTTATAAAATTTCTGTTAAGGCCTTGACACAGACATGAAAACACGTTCTGCAGCAAGAAATCAACGCATTGAACAACGAGAAACCGCTTCAAAGGAAGTAAATTTTGAACAATGGTAACACCCAGAAAAGAATAATTTGCCTATCCAATTGAAAATGGAACATATAAATGCGATTTATGTAAGCTGGATAATTGGACATGAATGCAATTGGAATCCACATAAATCGCATCTATACATATTTATATGCTCCATACTGTAAAGTAAATGAAAATTTACTTGATAATGCTTAGGAAAATTGATGCTGAGACATGGGTAAAGGACGGTGTGGTAATAAATCCAGAGTTCAAGGAGCCATCGTTCGACACCTTGGTCAAATGGAAATTAATAGTCACAACTGCCCAAAATCATCCCAACGTCCTTGCACATAAAGATTTTACGATTGTTCGAGACCTTTGTCAATTTTTTGGAGTATTTATCACATATGAGACATCGGACTTAATCGTGGAATTTTCAGTAACACAACATTTTATTATTCACTTCATCATAGTCCCAAAATAAAACCAATAAACTAATCTTTGTGCATGTTTTGCAATATATTTCAGACTAATGAGACTGTTGGCAATGTGGAAAGGGAAAATGAGTCCATTCATCTCCTAAATTCCAACGGAAATGAAGAATTCGTTGATACTGAAAGCTCTTTGAGTTGTGTATTTGGAAGAATAGATCATTTTGAAGTCATTCCTAATCTTAACGCAGTTCGTATTTGTAACTATAAACTGATCAATGATTTGAAATTATCGTTGGCAGATCTCGTAGAATTTATCTGGACAGTCCCTGAAGTATTACTTTATGAAAAATTTAATTTTATATACGAATTTCTTGTGAAATTAGGAGTCTCTCCAGATACAATTACATCCGAAGTCTATCAAACCCAATGTCGTAGAGCTCAAAATAAGTTTCCTGCTTCAACTTTACTTCTTAAACTTGGCATTCCAGAATCAACTCTGGTGAAATCTTACGACGTCAACCAATATAATCATCATCATGATGACCCTGGTAGTGAGACGAGTAACAACCTTAGTCGCCGTACCAGTTTTTCTTCACAGTCTGAAGCGGATAGCGGAATTGAAAGCTGGGATAATTTCGAATCTTCTACATCAGTATCCCCATCACCTGATTTCGATACACCATCCATGAAGTTTAAGAGCCCTGACCAACTTGTTTTTGCAAAAAAATCAAAGGTGGTTGAGGTGATTGAGGAGGGTCCCCAAAAGTTGAATCCCACAGAATTTAGTCACGCTGCTGGTAAACAATTCAAATGTACTGTTTGCCCAAAGAGATATATCACAAAAGGAAACTGCAATTGGCACATTCGCAAGAGGCACCCTGGCGCTTGCTTACTTCCGGGAAGTAAATTGTTTCGACAACCAAAATCGTATTATTGTCCGTTTTGTGGAAAAGCTTTCACTTATCCTCAGTATGTTAAAAACCATATTGAAAGGTTACATCCAGAGTCATCTTCGAGTAACCTACAACAGAAATTCACTCTCCACTCGTCATTTAAGTCCAAGAAGATGAAGAATTTAGGAAATTTGAAACTGAGACACCAGCAAAGAAACAAAATCGCGTCTATTGTTATCTCTACTAATAGTAGACGAGGTCATCATCACCACTCTAAAAAAAGTCTGAGAAAACTTGTTACTTCCAGTAAATTAAATGGTTTGTAAGGAATCGGTTTAGTACAATTTCTCCACCAGCAACTACCGAAATGGAAAAGTTTTAAAACTTGTGCATAACTATTTATCTTGATGTGGCTGTATGTTAGTCGTATAATAAATGTGATGTATTGTTCGTATTTTTTCAATCTGTGGTTGTTTGCAGTAATGTATGTATTATGTATTAGTTATTAAATGCTATATAATGTGTATTCTGTATTACAGTATGGATCTCATACATATGTACTTACTTATTTACATACATTTTGTCCTTTAAATATAGTGTGAAACTATTTCTTGTCAAATTTGTTCATACATGTAGTTATTATGTGAATAATAATTAACTGCATCATGATATTACTTGAATGTACAAATGTTTGCTTGTATCGTTGACATCACGGTTTATGCAACTACTTGCATACCGACTCCAGTAATTTTTGTTTGGATATTATGAGTCATAATAAATATAGACCATTTGAAATTAAAAACAAATCACTCGTTTTGACATTAAAGCGATAACTTTATTTGAGATCGTCGCACTGCGATTGCGACAAATATCGCCCGGGAAGTAAATCGAAAATTTCACCACAACTCCACCACTAATAATGACTTAACACCCAGCAGATAATCAGTTCATTCTTTATCACTACTATAAACAGACAATGTAATAAAGAATTCGTTTTGGGTATACCTAAAATATTAAATATCAACAGTATCAGTCTGTTAAATGCACAATTTTACCTAATCGAATGTATTGCACAGTGGATTTAAAAACAATAGTAATGCATTTACAACTAACAAGGTTCCATATTATATATTTATAAGTAAAATAAAATACACTCGACCGACGAAATATTGCATCATTATTAAATATTCTCCAAGTAAAGCTGCGTGAATGAAAATGAGCATTCACGAGTCTAACCCTAACCTCGACATTATGTACTTTGTACATATAACTTACACACAATTTTGTATTTTTTCTACGATCGTTAAATAGAGCAGCATTGTGTGATGATACGATAGCGTAAAATCTTTCAATACTAGATCGAGTGACCACTTTTCATGCCCTAAAGTTTATCAAGAGATTAGTAAAGTTTTTTTCAGCGTTTCATACAGCATTCTTTTTCTGAAATATGCAGTGTGTTTTTGTTCAAAGTCGAAATTCTGTCGACGAGATAAATATTCTGCAAACTGCAAGCAAAATACTCCACAATCTCTTCCATTCTTTTGCTGCGGGATATCCTGAAAACGATAATAAATGATACTTGAAATTCTGTAAGTAATAGATTGAAGGGTCTTTCTGAATAGTGGAGTCTGTAAAAATGAATAATTTGAAACCACTTACATCAGCTCCTAGGTTTTTAATTATCCAGCCCTCTCCCAAATAGTTTCCCCAGGGTTCATCATCATCGTTAATACAGTTCAAATTTACAAGCGAAGTTGAACTTCTCCCATCGCGTTGTCCCTGCGTCACTCTGGAGGGCTTTAGTTCTTTCCACTCACGCTTCAAGTATCCAGCAATAATCTAAAATAGCAATAAATTATTATAATAAATAGTAAAAATAAGTTGTATAGAACAAAATTCTAGTAAATTTTGAAAACCTACTCGAAGATGCTTCTCATTATCGTGATCCATACTGTCGTAGCACATCATGGTTTTTTCATTAAAGTCCACCACGACTAATACCCAATGATGATCACTGTGGATTGGGATTAAAACTAGATCGAACTGAAATATATTATCCTGAAAATTGAAAATATTGTAACATAAATAAGACATGAAAATACCAACATAGTGAAATAGTAATAATTTATCACTGATATACGTCACCTTTCCGGTGGCTCCTTGCACTGATTCATATCCACGTTTGTCTAAAAGTTTATAGAAGTAGCTTTGGAAAATATATACGCTTGGGTACTGGCTGCCTTCTCGATTGTTGCGATGTTTGATCATTTCCAAATAAAAATCAATATTCTGTAAAGCAAATTAGCATGTACCGGTTAGTTAACAGTGTATATTTTATAGTATCTTATTTTATGAACGACATACGGCATCTTCCAACCATTCCGATTTATTATAAACTGCCAACTGTTCTTGCATGAGGGTAAGACCGTAAGCTGAGACAATTTTATCTTTCTTTGGTCTTGATAACTATGAAATGCAAAATGCAATGTTAAAATTCTGTAAAACCATTAAAATATTACGCAATTCAGATTAAACTTACGGCTTCTTCAATTTCTTCAAACATTTTAAAATACAGTTCAGGACCATTCTGTGGTCTTGGGTAATCTCGTAAAATTTCTTGGTCCGACTTGGGTAGATTTTCTTTGTCTACAAAATACAATACGTTTTATAGCAATACCATCATTTTAGAAAAATGGAGAATGGTAAATAAAGAACTGTCTTACCTCTCCCTGTGTCTGGAGGTTCTAAATCTGGAAGATCATCGTGACCAAAATCTTTATCGATGACGGCACAATTATTGGAGCTACCAGCAGGATCATCATAAAATGAGTTGAACTTGATCATCATTCCCGTATCCCCTCCTCCAATAGTTCGCGACCCACGTGGACTTTCATCAATGTCCATTGATCTGTATGATATGTCATTGCGCCCATAGCTGCGATTCCTTCCAATTGATGGCGACCTATCAAAATCTCTAGAGCTTGAATTGAACCGTGTTCTTTTTCTAGGAATTGGTACATCATGCTCAATGCCGTTGATTGGGGTAGGGGGTGGAGTGTCGTTTTCAATAACTTCGTCGTCAGGACTGCTTAAGAACAATGGACTTCGTCGACTAGTTGGCTTAATTTGTTCAAGGTTATCATCGATGGCTGATCTGCACTCAAAGTCGTCTTTTGGAATTGAAATTGTTGGTTGTAAATTAACAGCTTTAGCTTTCGTATTAGTCAAGCCATTTCTTCTGCAGTTTTCCAGAGGTTGACTAGACTTTACCCTGAGTGGAGATTGTTGAGCTTTGGTGGAGTTTCTTGTTTGTCGTTTGTTTTTGGAAGAAGCATTTTCCTTTTCCCCTGTAATTATTCAAGTGGAGAAAATAATTTATGATTATTTATTATTTATTAATTATAATAAATATTAAATTTAAATAATGTAAGATAAGATCTGAATTTCAAACCTTCAACTTCCAAGTCCATGATCAGACAACGGTTTTCAACTGGCAAGGGGTCTTCTGGTTGACTATTGCTTATCACACTAGAGGTTTCACTTTCTTTATCTCCATCATCGTCGTTTTCGTTGTCACTTGTATTCTCTCCAGTTATTTTTCTCCGCACCAAGTCGTCCTGCTTTTTATCGAATTCGACAGCCAACAATAAAAATCTAGTTGCACGTTCTGTACTATTAGGTGATGTCCTTCCCCTCCTTGCAGTGGGTGCACTCAGTATCTGAGCAACTTTCGAAGAGTACTCGTTCGAAGCAATTTGCTCGATAATATTATTTGCTAGAGTTTCGAGACTTGCATCTCTATTGTACCGTCTCTCATCTGGAGTTCCCTTCCTTGCAGCCAAAATCAATTCTTTCCATGTAGCGACACAAAATAATTTCTCCAGGTCTTCACTGTATCCATTCAAAGCTTTGGTGATGAATTTGAATCTCTCGTCCTGATGTTTCGCTATCCTCTTTTGTCGACGAACAGGAGATGTGTCATTTTCCACAGGGCTCGCCCGAATATTTCTGGTTTCAATCGTCATAGGAATGACTCCATTTAGCTTGACTGGACTCTGTAGTTTTCCACGACCCGTTGTGGCTCTTGTTTTCATGGTGTCTACGATGTTTCTGATGCAGAGTAGGTCTTGTTGAAATCAAATTTCAAAACCCTCACCTGCGACGATTGGAGTAGTCTTGATTTAATCGTATATCACAGTAAAATTCCTCACTTGCCGTTTTATGAACCGAAGCGTGCTGCACCAAAAACATTAAAAATTAATTACATTTTAACTCAATATTCACCCAATCATTTTTATTTATTTTTTGATGAGCAGTTGTGCTTAAATTGAAGGTTGACTAAATAAATGTTTTGAAAACTATTTTACTCAAAGAACAGTCCAACTACATACAAAGTATGAAGTCTCAAAATAACACAATTTACCTTCTTTTCTTGGCTTCGAGTCAAATCCGACAACCTTATGAAACTTGGTGACCTTACGTTTTGTATGCACACAATGCTTCGGTGGTAACACCACCCACTGCTGGTAAATAGTATTTCCCACTTATTCGCAGTTCATTATCAAATATTACATTCCTCATAAATTCAATTCAATCCTTCGTCCAGTACTTTTTTTTATGTTATGGTTAAATAAAATACCACACTGCGTTTAGTTAGGTTCAGGTTTCCAGACTGACTTGCCTACTAAGCAAGGCGTAGGTGACCCTTCACGAGCAAGGTAGATTTCTGAGTATTTTTATTTATTCATAGTATTTTTGTTTTTGTTGTCCCTTGGCCCTGCTGTGAACTATAGTGCGTGGTGGTGGTGTTGGTGGGTGGAGCAGAGAAAAGTAATATGGTAATATGGTAGTAGTAGTATAGCGAAATCACCACCATCACGGTGGTGGAGGTGAAGTTTAAAAGCAGGCAGAGTGAGAACAGGTCCAGTCAAGTCCAGACTAAAGTTTCATCGCAGTCTCGCCATCTCGCCAACTCACACCCTCTCCATCTACCACGACATCACTCGCTCCAAATATTTATAGTATGGCTTATCGTCCTCTGATAACCCCTTTTTACCACTTGCTACATTTGCACTGATAGTTTATCAAATTTGGCTGCAGGGCAGCTGGGCCATGGACGTGTTATATATGTTATTAGGGTTGAGATATATGAATTACTTTGTGCGTGTCAACCTGCCCCACCCCAAGTTCATTCTGAGATTATTGCTTGCAGTCTTCGACGCAACCTGTTTTTGTTCTCACTCTATCTTTGTTGCAGAGTGTATCTCCTGAGCACAATGGATGAAGGAGAAGATGAGATAATTGCATCACTAATGAGTTCTATGCACTGCACTGCAAGCCATCTTCGTTTTGGCATCGCGTTAAAAAATGTTTAAATGAGTGCAAGATGCTGGTTTGGGGTAAAGGTGGATGGATTTGCATGGGTATTTAACTTTCTTTATTGTCAACCCTTGGTTTTATTCCGATTGATTTTTCTACTATGTTTAACTGTGGACTCGAGACCTAAAAAGTCGCAGATTGTATAATACTTGCGTTTGTCGAAAGCCTCGTCGTCTAAACATCCGTACATTGAATTCAATTTTAAACAGTCCAATTGAGACAGAGTTATCCGTTGTCCGATCTTGGCTCCTTTCTCCTTTGGCACTAGGGTGGGATTTTTCCGATTTTTGCTAGATTTTATTTGAGTAGAAATTCATTTCGAATTTTATGGATTGATTGAGTATTTTTGCCAAAATAATACCTGAAAAAGTTTGTTCCATAGTGCATTATGCTGTTGTAGTCGTAGTGAAATGGCAGACTAACGTTGGTTGAGGCAAGCTTGTCAAAATTATTGATGAATCCTGCATGACCAAAAATAATGTTGGGTCTTACATAATATGCAATTTTGGAGACTTGTTATGCAATAATTTTTTCCACCTGTTAACACATTAGTTTTTGTCACAGAGATGAATTTATCTCTATCTGGACGAGATTGCTCGTGGTATACTCCCAGAGCGTGCATAATTTCATGCAATGGACTATATTGGCAAGTCTAATTAGTTGGGCAATTTCTTAAACGGAAATGTTATTATGCAAGTAATTTTCTCTTACCGTCCTAGACCTGCAAAACATTGCGGGGATTTTTTGTCAGGTTTTTGCAAGGACACGATTTGAGGTCCTCCCAATCTCCCAACTTTGTACAAATTGTAGAAAAGCGGATTGAGATTGGTACATGCATTATGTATATTCTGTATTAAAACTTATTGAATTCTCACCATATGACCAGCATCTGTGGAGCGTAAAAATTTAAAATATTTCAGCAGAATCAGACATTAGTCAAATAATTATTACTTAGGAATAAAAGTATGTATACCCGTTGGGTTTCTGCACTGGCCATATAATGAGATAATCTGGTTTATCACCGTCCCATTCTTTAAATGTGATGCATGTAAAAAATCCCAGCATATCGATAGCAGTTTTTATGATTTGGTACTCTTCTGGCACTGTTCGTGAATTGACATTCAGTTAACACTTAACAATTCTTCTGCAAGAACTCACCGTATAGATCACTGATCAGATAATGAACAGTATTGTTGGGCCATTTTCTATTCGGAAACTGTTTAAAATTAATTCCGACCCTGCCAAGCTGTATTTCAAAAATGAATTTATGCATATAATTCCTTTGCGTGACTTTAGTTTATGTAATGGCTTACATCATCTTCTCCGTCAAACATGCCTGCCATGTCCCCTGATTAATAAAATCATGATATAACTTGTATCGTACTAAATTGTCTCTTTGTAGTTAGTAGTTAGTAAATACCTTGAAAAAACCCAGGCATCACTTCTGGATCTTGCTCCATTAGCTCTTTATCACCTTGAATCAGATCTCTTTGTTTTTGGGCCATAGATTCCACTACTGAAAGGACAAAAAGACAAACATGGTTAACTATTCATAAACCATTGTTCAGTCATTTATTTTAAAACTCACAAGCTTTCTGAATCAGTTCTTTTATTGAGTCACGAGGAATTGTGACTCTGCTGTGAGTGCCCATTATCATCACCAACCCCACAATGAACATAACAAATCCCGTCATCATGCTTGATCTGTAAAAAATGAGATGCATATTCTGTCAACAAATAAGGAAATTTGATGCACGAAAGTTGAAATTGAGAGTTATTGGGGGATTGCGATATGAGACTTTTTTCAGTCCTGGTTGAAAGTTGAATTGAGACGTCGTCTCATTCCGATGTTCCAAGTGAGACGACGACCAGAATCGTCTCACGCATCCCAAACCGTCTAAACATAACGCGCATTTATTGAACACGTGCAATTATTCCAAGTTGTGCAACTTTCCATGCAGAAAAATGTTATAAAGTTTGCAAAAGAAAATTAAGTTTCAAATTGAACAGAGCAGTGCTCCGCTAAACAAAACTGAAATTCGATCTGTTTCACTTTCCCCAAGTGTTTTTATCTGGACTGCTGCTGCACATGCTCTACATGATTCCCATTTACTTCACTCGCCGTGACGAGAACGAGAAGGTATGTAAAATGTAAACTCATCCAATTCTAAATTGTGTGCACTTAAGTTCGAGTTATGTATGAATGTAATATGCATATTTAGAATTAATGAATCATGAAAATTAAAATTCATAAGTCTAATCTAGTTACCCACGACTTCTCTCAAGTAACAATTCTCTGTCAGGGAGAAAGCAGTCTCAAGTTACACTTTTGACGATATGTTGAATAGTTGAATTGGTTAATGCAGTCACGAATACGAATGAAACTTGACAAAACTCGACAATGAATGTATATTTGCAAGCTTGTCAGACTTGCGATTTAAAGTATGATTCTTATACTTGACAATTCTTTGTATCATATATTTTTTATATGAAGTATTAAAAATTAAATATTAAATATTCACATATTTAACTTTGTTAGATCCTCCAGTTATGTATTCGATGATTGAATTGAATATGTCGTCAGCTTCGAAAGAAAAACACAACTACTTTCCTCCTACAAGTTTTCCATTAAAACTGATTGGTTTTCAATCTTCTTCCAAGAATTGCAATCTTGTGTCGGGATTTATTGACTTGACATGAAACACACGATCAAGACAATCTATCAAACAGAACTTTTTGCCGACTTATATGTGGGCTTGTTAACATAATTACACTGTTCGTTTTACACGAAATAAATTAAAAGCCATCACCGGGTGGATTCGGTGAATTAATGTGAAATTGCAGTTAAACCGGTTCAGCTTGGTATCATATCACCACTTGATGGTCAATTTCATACTGACGACGACGAACCTTTCTTCCTCCAACTTTTGTTCACCACTTTCTTCTTGATTTCTTTGAGCAACCGCTGTTGTTGTTGAGCTGATCCCCTTCATCCCAAAAAGGCAACGGCTTGTTATTATCATTCAGTTCAGTTTGGTGTATCATCTTCGTGAACAAATTTGCATTAATGAAATGTGTACCAGAGTTAGGAGTGACAATGAAGTATAGATATATGTACAAGTATATTTGGTGTCATCAGTTTTTTACCTCATAGAGTACAATTCTTTTTTTAAGTCTGCTCACGACTTTTGCATTGTAATTGTAAGTATAAACAGAGGCAGTATCATCAGCAAGAGTTCATGTAGTCCATTTTCTTCACCTGTCTCACATTTCTCAGTCGCATTATCTGCGGTAGCATTTCATGTTTTTAATTTCCATTGATTAAATTTGCCCTTTCAAAGTTATGAAGGAGTGCACTCATACTACTACTCATTTTATAGCCAACTTTTGTGTTCATTGTGCTGCAGACTTTATGACATGACTTTACATGTGTATGCACATATGTGTGTATTTGTATTTTGCATGGAACGAAGAGAGGTCAAAGAACGCTTGACCAACCCGGAATACAAGATAAAGATGTACACTTTTTATAAAAGAATGTTTTACATTGTTTCTCTTATGTAGTATTTACGTAGTTAAACGTGACATGTCATGCCTATTTTACTTATATAATAATGGATACTTATAAAAATTGGCCATGCTGACTTGCCGTATTTGAGGCAGTAATTGAGAGTATTTCACGAAGCAACCTTTCGACATTGAATTTCTGCAACCAAGAATGATGTTTATCAATTGACAAACCTACATACATATTTGGCATTTGGTGTTTAAACGATCTCAACTATCTGTAGTGTTTGCTTTCTTTCATGACTACAATGTAGAAGTAACATTCCAGTTTTGTGTATTCAATTATGATTACAAGTTTATAATTACAAGTTAGGGATTGTACTCGCTAGCCATGTATGTATTCACATGTTTTACATTATATTCTATTCTAATGAACTGGGTTTCATTCTTTACTGAATTCGATTTACAATCTAACTGGCACTGTTTACACTGCTACCAATCACTACTGATTTCTGCAACTATACCTGTGTTACAAGGTTGTCTGATTGTGATAATCATGAAACATTTGCAGCTTTGATGATAACTAATTCTGTGTTGTACATGCCAAAAGTAAATATAAAGGCTAATCTGTCGATGTTTATAATTTCGGATTTCAGTGATATATTCAAAAACTACAAAAGGATGATGTCAAGACATAATTTAGTCAACTAACTAATTCACACTGTTGTTGAACAACCATAAACGGTCATTCACAGTAAGGAATGGTTGGGTACAATGAATCTGCAGATCACAAAGTGTCTGAATTATGGCAAGGCATCGCTGGAATTTCCAGTGGAATCATCACGCGAGTTTTATGTCAACCTTTGGACGTGCTAAAAATTCGTTTTCAGGTAAAGTGAGGTTTTTGGATTATATTGAGTATCATGTACAAATGTTATCGTAATTGCACAATTGAATAGCTCCAACACGAGCCCCTGCAACGCTGTTCAGAAAACTATTATTGGGGAATCAAGCATGCATCTTCTCGAATTGTGAAAGAAGAATCAATCCGAGCATTGTGGAAAGGCCACAGTAAAAAAAATTCTCATTTATTAGTTATGTAGTTGATTTCATTTCGATTTTGATTATAAATGATTCGATGTTACTGTTTTTTCGACAATGATTTAGTTCCTGCACAAGTTTTATCCGGGACCTATGGTTTAACCCAGGTTTGTAATCCACAATCATAACGACCTTATTTGCATTATGCTAGTTATTATCTATTGTATCTACATATTATTATAATGCATATATTACCATATGCGGAGGTGTGCGGATTTGTTTAATAATCCCTTCAGGGTAAAATTCTGCGATGTGGTACATAATTTACTGTCTGCATTAATATTCTGCCCCGCCCATTCCTGGTTGAGTTTGCTGATAAAAAATTTTGGGTTTTAAAATCTCGTCAGTGATTGATAAATAAAATATCATGATGGAATATTTTGCCTGCAGTTTTTTTTCAAACTCAGGAATAATAATATTGTATATGTATAAATGTTACAATTTTTTTTCCTTTTCAGTTCTTATCCTTTGAAGTTTTAACAAAATATGTCTCAAAATCCAGTGATCGCCAACTCAATAAGACTGGAGTTCATTTTGCTTGTGGCTGTATCAGTGGGGCACTTGCGACAAGTCTCACGATGCCGTTCGACACTGTGCGAACTCGTCTCGTGGGGCAAGGAGAACCAAAAGTGAGGAAATGATTATCATTCGGGGTTACGTGAGATATTCGGACATTTACTGTAATCGCTAGTCCTAAGTTTTTGTTTGCATATATCTAGATTTATAAGGGCGTATTTCATGCATTTACGACCATGGTTCGGACGGAAGGTTTCCTCTCATTCTACAAAGGTTTAACGCCGAATCTCATTCAAATCATACCTCACACGGGGATGCAATTTGCCCTATTCAACTTGGCCACAGAAATTTATAGCAGCGTAATTAAGACTGGTGCGATAAAACCCAAAAGAAGATAATCTACTTTAAACTTAGCCTTAATACTTTTGATGAACAAATTATGTAGATGCTTCCGGCAAGTTGCCTGTGATTGGAAATCTCGTTTGTGGATCATTGGCTGGTGTTGGAGCCAAAACTGCCGTTTATCCTTTAGATCTGGCCAAGAAAAGACTGCAGATTCAAGGGTTTGAAGTAGCTCGAGAAAAATTTGGCAGGGTAAAAAATTCTCTTGAATTGATATCACATTTTTATTTTATTTTTAATTGGATATGAACTTATCTAGATCCGAATTTACACTGGAATGATAGATTGTATACGTAGTACTTTTAAAGAAGAGAGTTTTTTGGGACTTTATAAAGGATTAACTCCTAGTTGTATCAAAGCAATGGCAACCAGCGGACTAATATTTGCATTGTATGAAGAAATATCTCATCTCTTCAAATCTCTAAAACTCTAGTGTCGTCCTAAATTCATTGAATTTACTATGTAGCCTATATTCTAGTCGTTCATATCTATACGCCATATGATCATATATAGTTGCGTACCTAGGCATGATACTTGTCTTATCCAGGAATGACAATAAAATATATCAATTAATTAGACATTGTAATGACGCCTCTGGTTTTTTTTATCTAAATAAGTGTTGAATGCATGGACAAGTTTCATACGTAAATTGAGCAATAAACATATTTATATGTATGCATCTCCCCTGATCCCCTGAAACAACTAATTAATTTAATGCGTCAATTTTCATTGAACCACGAAAGCATATAATATAATAATAATAGATTTATTTCAGCACACAAAATTTTGTCAAATAATTTACAAAAATGATCAAACCCTATCTAGTAGGAAATATCTTGATCATCTACGTCGCTTAAACAATATCAAGCTCATCTTGATTTAACATAAATATATTGTTTTACAAATAATAGTTCTATTGTTTTACAAATAATATAAAGGAACAAGAAGTTGTTGCAGTTGCATAAAAATCAGAAATCTGTGCTCAATTGACCCCGTCGGGTTGCGGCAGCCTCTATGTCTTTGCTACACAGTGTAGCCTACACTGGATTCTCGGGATTCTCTGAAAAAATTGTTGTTGACTTTCGTTGAAAGTTTGGTACGGATTAAATTGACGATCAGGCAAGCCAGAAATGTTTATCTGTTTTATTTAATTTAAAGTAGTCAATCTTTATGCATTGCTGTTGACCTTCATAATTTCAACAATCTCTCTAAATTAAATTAAGAATTGTGAATAATAATCACAGCTGAAAAAATAATTAGGGACAAATAAAAGGATGTCAAATTGACGCAACTTAACGTTTAGCTATACGACCTGAAACTTTACATGAAAAATGGATTCTTGTACGGGAGAGCTTGTTAACAAGATTGAAGGAGCAGAACCTTCACCTGAGCCCTTGGAGGGAACAGAAACTGTCCCCAAAAAAATGTTGACCAAAGAAGAGTTACCTTCGGCAGCGTGCTGCCGTCTCTGCGCTCATGGGGCTGAGCTTGACGACGACGATGGTGAGCTGGACAACAATACTAAGGAATTCCTTCCCCTTTTCGACGAGGACACGAGCGTAGCGTCAACACCAGAGACGAAATCTCAAATTCCCATTCACAGACTGATAAACAAGTATTTGCCAATTGAGGTAAGCTTTTCAGTGTACCAATAAATACAAATACTTAAAAATTGTATACATTATTGGGTTCTTTCTTTTAATAATTTGCTCTAAGGTTTTGGAATCAGATTCCTGTTATCCTAAATTCATCTGCCGGAAATGTTTCATATGTGTCGAAAAATGTATCGAGTTTTTCAACAAAATTTGTGAGGGACAACGATTGCTAGCAAATATTTTAAATTTCTTAAAAAATGACCTTCCTGCCAAACTACTTGAGCAACCGACATTTTCTGATGACAACCCACTGCATAAGGCAGCCAAACGACGCGGAAGGCCCAGAAAGAAACCAGCGCAAGAACAAACAGTCTTTAACAATTGTTCTTCAATAGATGATGAGAACATGGTCGACACAAATATTCAGAAAGTAACCTCTGAAAGAAGAACAAAACGACAAAGCCGTCCTCCAGTTAGATACGTAGATGAAGTGATACCTACAACTCTTAAAAGTGAGGCAATTTCCCAGGACGAAGAAGAAGAAGACCTCCAGAAATCTAGCTCTTCGGTTGTTATATTGCCTTTAAGAACAACTGTTTCCAACAATGTAAGCAGATTTATTTATATTCAAATAGTTAGGTTTCCGTTAAAAAAAGTAACAATATGTACTAAACAACTTGTTGCAGGAAACTTTCTTCCAATCTCCATTAAATCAGCTAATGGATTTGGAAAAGTTGGACATATTGATGGCTGATGATGTTACTTATACAGTTTCGAGAATTGTGACAGATATGCCAGACAAAAGCAGTACTTCTCCTGATGCGATATCTTCACATCCCAAGTTAAGTGACGGAGTTGTGCTACTCGGAGCTACAGGAAAATATAAAGAGAAAAACTTGCATCCGTTAGAAGAATTTGGCGAAAATTCAAGTGATAGTAAAGATCCAACCGTGAAATTACGAGACATTCATCGGCATAAAAGGCCTGCTAAAAGAAAAAAGAAGAAACCTGAGAGAAAAAATGTAACAAAATTTCAGTGTGAACAGTGCCCTAAGATATTCAACCATACATCTTCGTTAGTTTATCATCGTTTATCCGCACATGAAAAGACCAAAAATTTTATATGCACAGTATGTGGACGAGGCTTCGCTCATAAACAGCTCCTTAATAATCATAAATACGTTCATGCGGACGGAAAATATTTTAATTGTGACGTTTGCCCAGCAAAGTTCAAAAGCAAGTCAGTACACTATCAGTAATTCATTTTATAATATCTATAATACATTAACTTGCATCATGGTCATACATATTTCAATTTTTTCAGCGCCAGTTTGTACACTCATAAAAAGTCGAGGCATTCAGCCGTCAGGGAACATACGTGCGATGTTTGTGGAACTCAATTTAGTTTAAAGTCCTCTTTAGTTGGCCATATGAGACTTCATACAGGCGAAAAGCCCTATCACTGTAAGTTATTTTAATTGTCTTCTTCGCATATTACCTTGTAATCAATCGTTACCTGGTCACAAGTAGTATGAAGTACTGCATCACAACTATAAGTCATTTTCTTACAGGTGAATTTTGCGAAAAGAAATTTGCCCAACGAAGTAACCTTCGAGAACATCGGTTAGTTTCATTTTTCATACACATGTGCAACATTCAGAAGCCGTAAACTATCTTTGTTCTATTATTACAGGAGAACACACACGGGAGAAAAACCCTACGGTTGCTCCGAATGCCAAAAATCCTTTACTACTGCGTCCCAACTACGAAGTCATAAGTTTTGTCACTCAAATGAGAAAGTTCACTTGTGTCAAGTGTGTGGAAAAGGATTTAGTCATGCCGAAAATTTTAAGTATCACATGAGGCGACATAATTCAGAAAAGCCTGCTCAATGCCCGATTTGTAAAAAAACATTCACAGAAACGTGGACACTTAAAAAGCACATTCGGCTACACACCGGAGAGAAGCCGTAAATAAATAAATATACTTATATACATATACGTTCAAAATAATATTAACTTTTCTAGATAATTGGTAATTATAACTCATATTTCTAGATACCGGTGCGAGGTGTGTAACAAGGTATTCTCTGATCCCTCAAATTTCGCCAAACACCAACGAATTCATTCCGCCGAACAAAAGATTGAAACTCTTGCCGAAACGGAGCAGTCAATGGAAGAGTATTTACTAACTGATACTATAAACAATGATGATGTTGTTGATGATAATCTCATATGTGATGATGCCGAACTCTCCAACACCAATACTAATACTATTGATGAAACCGCAAGGACGGAACAGCTTGATGTGGAAGAAGGTTCGGGAAGTTACATTACGGCTGAACGACCACCTTCATCATTAGTACAGATTTTAAACTCGGACGACTTGACATTTAGAACATTAGCTCAAGACGACGAAGCTGAGCAAGTTATTTACGTCTATTCTGGTCCAGGCGGACCATTGTTCACCTTTGATTTACCGGATGAGCCTTCTCATTCGCAGCAACAAGAGGTTTATTAAAAATCTTTTAAACGTTCAGCTAAAACCTCCCTCGTGCTCTAAATTTGTCTAAATTACTTACATAATTAGTATTCTATTTACAGATTTCAGTTGAAGACGATGGAAATTTAGGCGTTGGTCCTTTGGAATCTTTTAATCCAAATGACATAGAAGCTCACTACTACAGTTTACAAACTGTTGGGGATTCTACCATTGCTGTTCCTATTCAAATACCGCTTACGCAACTCGGGTCTCATCATTTTGGAAATTCAAGTCTTTCCCAAACCAATCGAATGATGGTGGATGGACGATTAACTGTCGATGGGGACAGCGTTTCTTTAATGTTAAACAATAAGGCTTGCACGTCCGAATCAACATAATTTTCACAATTTTAACCTTACTAAATTTTCATACAATTTGACGATGGAGGATATATAAGTTTAGAATTTTCTCATAATTTTATTGACGAATAGATAAGTCGCAATAGCTTACAATTCACTAATTTTAATCAATCCGCCCATGAATTGATCGGCATTTTTCATATACAATGTTTCAATTCAAGTTTACCTGATAAAATAATAAAAATTAAATTAAAATAAAAATAATTACCTGGTCGGTTACAAGTCAAATGTAGAAATGGCATGGGTGAGAGCATTACGGAATTAAGTGGTGGAAGCAACTCTCTTTTAATGTTGCTTTTCTATCAAATTTTCTGCTATACGTGTTACATGTATTTGTAGCATGAAATGCATTTCTTGCAATGACTGAGATTGTATATGTATGTATACAATCTTGTCTTTTCTAGTTTGCAATGAGATGGTGAATCATCACTAGTTTCGCGAGTAGGCTTCCCTTCACAACATGCAAAAACTCTACAATGCAAAGGATGTGCTTTTTTGGTGAGATCTCAATCTCACATCCGTTCACCTACTGATATGCTACTCGAGCAAAACTCACTGATGTTAATGTTGGTGCATGCATAACTATAAGTTTTAATATTTTACCACAGCCATATGCGCTAAGCAAACTTGACAGTCGCCAATGCATGTAAACACTGCTGCAACACGTCAGAGAATCAAAATCAAGGAGAAAACTTGTATTTTATCATTATTATTTTACCTGAATTATTTTGGTTTCAAATAAACGCATTTGCAATTTATTACTGACCATCGTTAACAGCAGAAATTCCATCCTCACCTCAGCCAAGCCAGCTGAGGCCCAAGCCAGAAAAGTACCACTGGAAAGTGAAAACATAGCGTCATTGACTCTCTCTCTCGTCGTGTGTCCATGAATCATCAACACATTACATTAGATCTAGATTTCATTGCGAATATTGCGTCTATTTCCATTCGGCAAATATTGCAATAAATATATTCATTGCCCCGGAGCCCGAATTGGATTCGTGTGACGTCCACTAAAGTTTAAGTTTGTCTACATGGGCTGCTATGACTCGAGCATTCTTCGCCCTCTTCTCGGCTCAACAACAAATGGAATAAACAATGGGTCAAGTAATAATAACACCAATAATATTAATAATAACTCTTCCAAACGACGACGGTGGTGGTGCTTTTGGAAACGCAAGCAAGGTTACAATGGAATGGACGAGGATGAAGAAGTAGACATTGACGGTTTGAAAGTTCGCCATCACCGTTCTCCTGGACATCAACGGCCTTTCAGCTGTGACTCGATAATGGGGACTGGGCGGAAATTGGGTTTGTTGGTGTGGAAAAATCTACTCCTTCGGAGGCGCCACTACATTGTGACCGCGTTGGAAATACTGCTGCCCACATTATTCTCCTTGGTCTTAGTCTATGGAAGAGCGCAGGCTAACAAGGCGTCCCATGGAATCTTGTCAAACCCTGCTGTTGCTGACCTATTTCACTACAAGTCGCCCCCGGATATTTACGGCGAAATAAGAGAGGATGTATGTGGTGGAGTGAAAAAGACCGTTAAAATAAATAAATTCATAAAATTATGATAAGGCTTTCTTAACTGGGAATATTTTATGTGTTCAGGAATTCAGAATCTCATGTGGCTCACAGTCTCAGTCTGGAGTTGGTGGAAATTGTCTAGTTGCATATGCTCCAAATTCTAGTGACGCAACTGATGTGATTAATCAACTCGTTGATACTCTAGATTCAAAATTCAAGGAGAAAATCAGTAAAATAAGTTTACATCGTATTCTCCTTCTTTTGTTTGCGTTTCTAACTCATAAATTATTGTTTCTTTAGAATGGAGAGGTTTCCAATCAGAAGCTGAAATTGAGCAGTTTGTTGCTAGTCTGAGCTTTAATGAGATCACTGGTGGACATACGACACTTCGAGCGGCTCTCATCTTTAAAACCAGCTTCCGGCCCATCGGAGGCGTTTTTAGCTATAAAATTAGAATGATGGACAATTCTTTTGCATTCCCACCCGAGGTTATGTCTCTCTATCCGTCATTTCAACTACCCGGACCAGACACCAGTAATTGCAATTACATAATGAATTATACCCACACTCTATGTAAATCACGGTTATTAAATTAATGCTTTATAATCACTAATATTTTCGATTTAGATAACCTAGTTCGATACAAGGAATCTGGATTTTCAGATTTTCAATTAAACCTAGATAAAATCCTAATTAGAAAGTTTACACAAAACAGTCTAAATACAACGGTGAGTAGATACATGCACTGCAAATTGGGAAAACTCTTTATAATTAGATAGTGTTAAAGGACAATATCGTTTAATATGACTTGTTAGATCGGATTACAAGCCTTCCCTTATCCTCCACATGAAAGAATGGCTGTGAATTTCAGTGAATTTTATTTTATCATATTACCGGTTAGTACACAACAAACCAAAGTAAACAAGAAATTGAACCAAACAATTGAATTAACAAGCTTATTTCTAATTGGGTACAAATTCTTTTTCAGAATGTGATAATCCTTGGATTTATATTTATTGTGCCGTCCATAATCAGAGGAGTTGTTAACGAACGCGAGACTGGAATCAAAGTATTATTTATTATGTTTTCTTTATTATTTATTTCATGAGAAACGGTATGATTTTTAGTTGATTTACGTTTAAAATATGAATTCAGGAACTTATGAAACTTTCCGGAATCCCTGGATGGATGCACTGGTTCGCCTGGACCGTGAATTCAATGTTGTTTTTATCGTTAAGTGTCACAATCGTCGTTGTGTTATTTTTCACCGACTATCTGAACAAAGAAGCTGGAGCAATTTTGACAAAGAGTAATCCGCTCTTGTGGTGGATTGTCTTATTTTTGTATGTGCTCGCATCAACGGGATTTTGCTTCTTTATCTCATCATTCTTCCATAAACGTAAGACCAAATAATTTGTGTCGCAATTATTTTAACCAACGTCTTTCAACTCCTCACCAACATGACTAACGACTGATATTATGTTTCTTTTAAAAAATAATATTATATGTTTTAGCCATAATTGCGATAACTGTTGGAATAATATTGTGGCTGGCAACCTATTACGCTCCCTCCGTCCCGTTGGGTGACACTAATAAATATTTGAGCCTTTCCCTTTCGGATAAGATGTTAGTGGCTTTGTTACCTAATATGGCTTTATACTGGGCACTAAAGGTCATGTGTGGACTTGAAGGGAAAGGTATAGATTTTTTCTGGTTTATGCATTTTTCTAGTCATTTTGGTGATTTAATTGAGTATTATTCTTAAAGCATCTGGAGCACAATGGAGTAATTTTTGGGAGCCATTAAGTAGCACGGACTCATTAACCCTAGGTCATACTATTTTGATGTTTCTTGTGGATATCGTTTTTTACTTCCTTTTAACCCTGTACGTTGAAGCAATCCTTCCATCGCAGTATGGAACACGCAAACCGTGGTACTTTATTTTTAAAGTGAGGAATACAATTCAGAATTTCAGAGACTTGAATGTTCATGAATCAGTAGTAGCAAACTGAAACCTTGGTGTCAAAATTTTTTAGCCATCATCTTGGGGAATTTCAAAAAGTGCAGGAAACCTTGAAAGTGAGGATGATGAAGAGCTAACTGAAAAGCTTGGGTTTGAAAAAGAACCACAAGGACTCCATGCAGGAGTCGTAATCAAGAACCTGCGGAAACGATTTGGTCGAAACAATGTAGCTGTGGGTGGAGTATCAATGAAAATGTATGACGGAGAAATATTTGCACTCCTAGGTTCGTATTATTCTTCTTATGAAAATTTTCTTGATTTTCTTGCACGGTTGTGTAACACGTTTGTGTACAAAATAGGTCACAACGGTGCTGGGAAAACTACAACGATTTCCTGTTGTATCGGAATGATGGCGCCTACTAGTGGAACTGCTGTGATAAACAATTATGATATAAGGACCGACATGGACCTTGTACGAGAACAACTTGGCCTTTGCCCTCAGCATAATTTGCTGTTTGATGAGCTAACAGTGGATGAACACTTAACATTCTTTGGCAAGCTGAAGGGATTGGGCCATGAAGAAGCCAAACAGGAACGTGTAGAAATGTTGAAGAAACTCCAATTGACAGAGAAAACCGACACGTTGGCGAGTGCTCTGTCCGGGGGTCAGAAGCGTAAATTGTGTCTAGGAATTTCTTTAATTGGAAAAGCAAAGGTCGTATTCTTGGACGGTATAATTTTTAGCTCATTTATTTATACCAGACGAAAAGTCGTCCTACTTTTGACGGTTGTTGGACGTATATATGTGAATAATTTTAAAATATCACAGAACCCACTAGTGGAATGGATGTGGAAGCTAGGCGAGCTATTTGGGATTTACTATTAGCGGAACGAGGACAACGCACGATAGTGCTAACGACGCACTTCATGGAGGAAGCAGACGTACTTGGTGACAGGATCGGAATTATGGCACATGGCGAACTACAGTGTTGTGGAACTTCTTTGTTTCTGAAAAAACATTACGGTGCTGGATTTACTTTGTCAATGACCATGTCTGATGAAGATAGTGAAAATAAAAATGGTGCTTTATCTATTGTTCAAAATCACGTCCCAAATGCTGCTTTCAAAGAAAATTCATTGGATGGAAGTTCATGTGAAGTTTCAATAATTCTTCCTACCGAATCGTGCACTACGGCTGTATTTCCGGATATGTTCCAACAATTACAACAAAGCCAGCAAGCCTTGGGAATAAGAACAATCGGAATGTCTTTGACCACCATGGAAGAAGTTTTCATTAAGTATTAATACACAGTTTGATCACTTGAAATATATATATATAGCAAGAGTAATGTCACATACATGATGAAAAATGTTATGGCATAGGGCTGATGAAAGTGCAACTGAAAAACGGAATATCATGGGTCTCCAATCAACAAGAGATCATGAGGCAAGTTCTTCGTCCCTTTCAGAAAACACTTCCTTGAATCACAGGGGACATCGAAATGGAGAAGCACTAGTCTCAAAATTTACGGATCCTGAAACCAAAAGTAATTTTAACGTGTTTTCAACATTTTACCGTGTAAATATAACTTCTAAATTAAGAGTTAAGAGTCTTATAATATGTATTGATTAATAGATGCGGTAAGACCCCGCTTGACTTTCGGACTTCGATTGATCATGCAGCAATTTGAAGGATTTTTTATCAAACGACTCAAATATACTTCTCGAAAGTGGATGCTAGTCTTAACACAAGTGAGTGTTTCGAATTTCTTACATGTTTACATACTTTTAGGTGTTTTTCATTCCAAATTATTGTATTTCGATTATTAGGTGTCAATTCCTGTTTTCATTCTTATTATCGCCATCCTTGCTGGTAATACCCAATTACAACCTCCCACTTCTCCAAAAGCTTTAAAAATCGAACTAGGACCATACAAAAAGGCAATAACATTGTTTTCTGGCAATGATGAGGTATACAATAAAATCATAAAATGCCTTATAAGTTTCTGGCATCACGTGTATATGTATATACTACTTTCTTGTTTCGTTGTATAGAAAATGAAAGAGAGCTTTATGTCTCTCGCCGGATCGTCAGCCCAAATGTTTGAAGGAAACGGCACATTTGACTTGGTTCAAGAACTCATACGCATTGGTATCGATGATCTCGCCATATTTCGTGAAAGACATATTGTCGCTGCTGAACTTAATTTAACTCACGTCAAGGCAATGTTTTCGACAATTCCAAACCACGCGTCGCCATTAGCATTGAATCTCGCATCTAATACTCTATTGAGATCCTTAGGACCTACTCAACAAAATCTCAGAATAGAAGTTACCAACCATCCACTTCAGGGAGGCTTTGATTATTTGATTCAAGCCTTACAACCAGACCCTGCCTTTTCAGTTAGTAATGCGCTAATGTTTGGAGCACTCGGTAAGTTATCTATTCTTATCCAGAATTGAATTGATATTTATTGAATTAAACTTTAATCTACAAATTATGTTATTCAATGTTTTATAGTTCCAATTGGTCTTGCACTCCTTGCGGCCAGTTATATTGTGTCTCCCTTGGAAGAAAGGCTTTGCAAAGTAAGTATGGTTTATTAATAATTACAATAATTATTGCAATAAGATGACTTGACAATATACAATAACCTGTATATATTTTCTATAGGGCAAACAACTTCAATTGATGACTGGCGTTCATCCAATTTTATATTGGGGTTCGTCGTTTTTATGGGATTTTCTGGTTATGACTGCAGTTATTATTGTAATGGTCATGTGTTTTCCTATAGTAAGTGAATTATTAATAATTACAATGCTATTTTAAGTATCTACAGAATGTGTAATATATTTTAACTTGTCCCCAGTTTCAAAAAGCACATACTTACACGTCCTATGGTGGTGCTGGTAAGGGTTTTAAATTGAAATAATTTTGTACGTTTAAATCTATTGCTGATAAATACCTTACTGTTTGCACATCTACAACAGGTGCTATATTTCTGATTCTTCTCGTGTATGGTTATGCTGCTATCCCATTTTCATACATTGTCAGTCTTTTTGCTGGCACGGTACCTGGAGGATTTTCCTTTGTTACAATAATTCACATTGCTACTGGTACGTTTAAGGATATTCCTAATTCATTTAAAATACTTACTTTAATGACTCCATATATATACACAGGAATGATCCTACCGTTTGTGGTCTACGTCTTGGAAGCAACTCCAACGCTATCCTCAATTTCTGACACTATTCGAATGGTTGGCCGATTCTTTCCAACTTTTGGTGCATCTATCAGTACGATGAGGTTTGTAGAAATTGCTCTGAAAAATAGTCGATGCAGTTTGTTACCAGAAAATGCTGAAGCACTGCTCTGTGATAAGAATGTAAACTTGAACCCTGAATATCGTCAGTGCTGCGGTTAGTTCACTCCACTTTATAATTATCGTCCAATTAAAAATTGCTAGTGTTTAAACATGATTTCGTTTTTGACAGATAATTGCGAAAGTTTTGCTGGTTCAAATTGTATGAAACCAATTTCATACATTTCATGGATTTACAAGAGAGCATCTTTAATACCTGAGGGAGGTTCAGATAGTGTTGAAATTCCTGGAATTGGGCAAGATATTTTGTACCTCTTCCTACTTGGATTTGCATATCAAGTCATTCTAATATTTTTGGAAGTCGGACTCATTCAACGTCTTCTTGGTCTAATTTTCCGAACAAAAGCTGATGCATTCAGAACAAAGACTGACGATCAAGACGTGGAAGTTGAAGCCGAAAGAGTGCATGAAATTGTCAATAGCGGTTTGCAAAATTATCTCTACTTATAATTTAACCGTCTTGAATTGTCTCTGGAGAGATTTATAATTCTTTAACTGCGTGCTTTTCAGGAAAAATGGGCGAAGATGCACTGGTTGTAGAGAATTTATGCAAAAGTTATGGCTCTCTTGCGGCTGTGGCGAATCTAAATTTTGGAGTGCATTACGGAGAGTGTTTTGGACTCTTGGGTGTAAATGGAGCAGGCGTAAGTTGCATATATTCCGTTAAATTGCATATATAAGTTTTTTAATTTGCACTTCTTGCCATTCTAGAAAACTACTACCTTTAGTAAGTATTCGTTCTCTAACAGTATCTATTTAACAACATAAAGTGCATCACTTTTTTCTGCTTCAGGAATGCTTACTGGTGATGAAATGAGATCAAATGGAAATGCATATGCATCCGGGTTAAATGTGGAATCATCCAGAAAGCAATTCCTTGCAAAAATTGGATATTGTCCCCAATTTGATGGAATTGTTGGGGTTTTGACTGGTAGAGAAATGGTTGAATTGTTCGCTAGACTGCGAGGAGTTGAAAATGTATGCAAAGATTCGGAGAAGTGGTTATCGAAAGTTGGTACGTAGTTATGTATGAACCTGTGCATGAGATCACCCATTGTTTATTACAATTTTGTACATGTTATGTATATAAAATTTATAGGATTGACTGATAGTAGAAATGTACAATGTCAAAAATATTCGGGAGGAATGAAACGTCGCTTGAGTGCGGCTATGGTAAGGAAAACATTGTCGCATTAGTGCAGCCATGGTCTGTTTTAATATTTTTACTAGAAAGTCGGAAATGTTGTAATTCCCCATTATGTTTTTTTTCTAGGCAATGGTGGGTGATCCAGACCTTGTTTTGCTAGACGAGCCAGTAAGAAAAAGACCAAAGAATAACAAAATAATGCATTAATTCATTAATAGTTCTTCTAATTATTCAACTAATATTATTTAATTAGACAACCGGAGTTGATCCTGTTAGCCGGAGAGAATTTTGGAAAATTATTTCATCCATCAGAGAATCCGGGAGGGCGATCATTCTCACTTCTCATAGGTGAGCATACCATACGAACCGACTTGGAAGATATTATGATGTTGTCAATGTCGAAAGCTGATTGTTTTCATACCATGATTTTTGGATTATTGCAGTATGGAAGAAATTACGGCTTGTTGTTCGCGCTTGGGGATTATGGTTAATGGAGAATTCCAATGTATTGGCAGCGTTCAACATTTAAAAAATAAATTTGCACAAGGATACACACTTTCAATCAAGTTGAAATCAAATTCCAACGGATTTGAGGCTGAACTTGCACAACTAGATCGTGAAATAATCGCAAACCTTTCCCCTTGTTCCTTGAAAGATAAGCATCAGGTTACCTCAAATATCCCTACTTTTACTCTGCATATTCTTGACCATTTAATTTACATATATAAAGTAATTGCATAATTATTTCTAATTCAGACTGCAATCCAGTACCACATTCAAAATACATCCCTTCCGTGGGATAAACTTTTTAGGACAATGGAAGATCTCAAGCAAAGATTTGAAGCCGTAGAAGACTATTCTATCACCGAAACCACTCTGGAGGAAGTATTTCTCTCATTTGCACGAAAACAGTATCAAAACAGAGAAGCTAACATTTCTCTATTAAGAAAAATCATGCTATGTCAATGTAACCAATAGTATAATATTTCGTATTAATATTTGACAGAGACTTTGTTTATTTTATTTTTTGTAACGCTACAATTTTGCTATTACTAATAAATGAATGCCTTATTACCATACAAAAGTCAGATCATAATCAATTTTATTGTACTGTATATATCTAATTGAAGCACAAGTGTATGTATCTATATGTTTACGTTATTAAATATTCACTACTATTCTTGTCTTGCTTGGTCAATTAATGCATAGCTAGATATATTAAAGGAATTAAACCGGTCATGTGAAATCTAATATATTATAGCTATAATAATTTATAGCATTTTTTATCATTTTCAAATGACATTGACAAAGTTTAATTTAAAAAGATAATAGAAAACATCGAGCTTATATGATTTTCTTTTGAAAAGTTTATAGTCAGGCTATGTATGCGATTAACATTCACTTACAATAATATTATTATTATACATTCGAAATTACATTCGAAAGTATGTAGGTACAAATTAGAATGCAAGAACAATAATATGATCCAACAAAACCTTTACAAGAATCACAATAAGATATATTCATACATAAACCTAATCAGAAGATATACCACAGACGTGCAGTGATTGTATAGCATGCACAGAGTTATTTAACAACTCCATAAAGTTCAGACCATGAATTTTAAACATGAATCAAATTATAAAGTACAACTCATAATAATTCATTTGTCAAAATTGCTGATTATTGGACATTTCTCATTTTACCAGGAACATAATTTTTATCAATAACAGGATCTTGTAGAAACATATGCAAACATTTTTCATTCTGAGCCAAAGGATGTCCCGCAATTCTACAAAAAAAATCACATAACATATAACAAGTTTGAGTATCGTAAGACCATATAATTACAATATGCATAATAAATTTGAGACTCATTTACTTATTTACAAAAATTTCCAACCCCTTGCGTCTGTCCTGCAATCAAAATTTTTAATTCATTTCAAATATTTGTAACATTTGCTCTATACATCAAAATAAAAACTACCTCAATAAAATCTTCATCAAAGATTCCCTCGTCCTGGCGAAACGGCAATTGTCTTTTCCATGCTTTGCTCGGAAGTGGAGGGACAACTGTTTTAGTTGGTTAAAAATGACATTATGTATTCGAATATACCAAGCGACTTTTCATATCACCGATATTTTTAATACCTAACTTACCAATTACTCCCCTTTCCAATTCTCCTCTGAGCCATTCAAAGTCGGAATATCTAAAGCGAGAGATTGCATTATTTCGGCAAGAATTCTTATGTGGAAACTAAATACAATAATTGGCGAATAATAGAGTAATGTCGTAACTTCTTACCGTCGCCTTACTGAGGATTCCTTGATCCGGAATACAGGCAGGTTGGTCTAAAAATGGGGGCAACATTAGTTATTGCATTATTTTGTACACAATTTTTAAACAAGTAAAAGCACTCACTCTTAGTCTAACTTCATAGTCCGTATATCGTTTGTTCCCAATTCCATGGGTTATAGGATTAATTACGTCAATTTCCAAAAAATTTGCTGGAGCAGCGTATGCGTCTGAAAAGAAGGCACAATATTTCTTATTGATTAAGTACAAAGGATCGAGCTTATTAAAGTCATCTAATACTTACCATCTAGAGTTTGCTTCTTAACATTTAATCGTTTTGTCGCCTCCATTGTATTTCTAAATTCCTCCCCCTTACACTATTTACGTCAATATAGTTTCTGGTGTGGAATGTTATTTCGTAGAATCAAAGATCAGATAAATGGGTTGTCTTGTCCCACCTATTTCATTTTTAAGAAATTTAAGAATTTGTTAATATTGGATTTTACTGTTGATTAAGGAGGATATGTCGATTCGACATTGTCGAATAAGTATATTTAAATAGTACTTGAAAACCTCTTATTTAATCAAAATATTCATATTCAATACATGAACATTAATTAATAATTTACGTACAATTGGTACAATCTACTGCCTTTCCTGTATCACTCAATTTACCGAATTATTGATTAGCTGGAGAACGTAGATTCCAATTTGTTGAGTTCACTTCACACTTTGACTAATAATAAGTCATCGATTATTACTGTCATGTCAATGTGGATTATTGTGGATCAACATTTATTCAAGAAATTGTTGACCTGGCTAAACTATAGTGTGACGATGACTGTGTCGTCTCTAGCCCTTTCGTCCTTATTGAGAATATGAATGAATCAGTAAATGTAACTCCTACTTTTGTGCTGTTAAATAAAAGATATATGTACTATTATATTATGTAGCAATGATAATTGATGGTAAACGAACAACATTGTCAAGCAGAGTGCGGATAAAAGGAAACCATTGAAATGATACAGATGACGTATATACACCAAAGTCACGTTCTCAACACCGCCACAGAATATTCGGCTAAATGCTCAAATAAGCTAAAACATAAAAATAATACCGTACAATTCGTAATTCAATGGAAAATTTAAGAAAAATATTTCTTAAAGGTTGATATTGATAAATGATAGCTTAATGTTCCTGAGATTCCAAGAGGCTAACAAAGCTTCGAGAACGAGCGTTATTTTGTAGAAGAATTTTCAATTGGTATTTGTTTTTAACTAAACTACCAACCTACATACCAATAGTACATTGTATTGTAATAATTTGAATGCAATTTGTAGGTGCACAAATGAGCCTGTTGCCTGCTTGTTTTCGTTGTTTCCGGGGTGGTATCAAGTTGACATTGCCGGGCACGAATTCGTCCCCTGGTTTTCATGGGACCTTATCAATTCAGCAGCAACGATGGAAGGCGAATGATCGGAGGGCCCTAATCGACTCGATGCCCTTGAGGGATACGGGAACTCAGGGGGAAAAATCATTGGACATTGATATCATGAGTGCACCGTGAGTACAAACTGCAAGAGTTTTTGTTGGCAATATGTTGTAAATTGGAGTATCATGTTTTGTTAGAAAAGAAACACTCTTTCCTGACGAGGATACGCCTAATCAGTTATTCCATGGGATAAAATTTGCAGACATCCCAATTTGTCATATAAAAGTTTCCAAAAACAATACTATTTTGCATTTGACCGACACGGTGGGAAATAAAATAGCGTATCGATCGTGCGGTCAAGAAGGATTTAAAAATACAAGAAAAGGAACAAACATTGCGGCACAAACAACAGCGCTTGCTCTGGCAAATGTAAGTATTTAGTAATGGTGTAATTTCATATTTGATTGATTGGCCAGATGTTAATTAATTGCTTCCAGTTGGCGAAAGAACAGGGAGTTGCTGCTATAAAAATTGCTATTCAAGGATTAGGACCTGGTCGTATGAGTGCAGTTAAAGGATTGCAAATGGGCGGAATGAAAATTGTTGCAATTGCTGATACTACGCCAATTTCTTGGCACCCACCACGAGCAAGAAAAGCAAGAAGATTGTAGTTTTTTGAAGATTGAAAATAATGTGTATGAAAGTTTGAGTAAACATTTTGTAATGTGTAAAATTTGTAGCTTTAAAAGTAGTTTTTTTATTTATAAAATGGTAATACATCTAAAATGATTTTGTCGATGTTTGATTGTGTATTTTTGCTAAAAAAATATTTAAAACATATCAAATCAATATCAATTCAGTTGTGTCTGCACCTTCGCTACTAAGTTGAGATATCACAGGCTCACGTCAAATCACGCCCATCTTTTAATATATTACTTTCAAGATATATCACTACATCTAGTCAACTATCATAAAAATACGAAATATAAGGAGGGAAGGCTGCATAAGGTCCCATTAGTACTCTTTCTTATCATAGTAAACAAAAATGTTTCAGTCGAGTTTGGAATTTTATGTAGATCTCGGTTGTTGATGTGCTCTAGAAACACTTGACTTTCCATAAGCATTTGTTAGATTGTTGTTGTTATTATTGTTGTGATTCAGAGTAAATTTGTTAGGTCGAACTTCTAGACGGATATCTCCTCCAGTCGACCTAGCCGACGTGTCCACCGCTGTAGAAGTAAAACAGTCAATCAATATATGCACTTGGACATTTAAATACATATGCAATAGGGAATTATCGAGGGATTATCTTTTTTGATGTGTACCGTAAAAAATATTGGCGTTTGGCGGAAATTTAAGCTCCTTCATAGGCAAAATTTGAACCAAGTTGAAATTTTTTGGGTCCTCTTCTTCCAGTCCTAATTTCTCTAATGCCAATGCAATGACTTTGGGTGTGTGGTCAGAGTTTCCAATCATGATGGATTTGTACATGACATCTCCTTTCACAGGGGTGGACACTTTCACCACAAGCGATGATGATGATGTGTCTGGGCTGGGTGAAATTATTCCACTTCCTGTGCTCCCGTTGGCTGTGGTTCCATACAATATCGAACTCTCATTGGAGCTCGGAATTGAGCCCTGAAAGGAATTTTTACTCAATATTTATAATTCAATTCAAATTGGCGTGTTTTTATAAAGTTGTGTCCACCTTTCTTTGAAGAGCAGACGACGACTCTATATTTTCTGAGGACGAATGAGACGTAAAGGAATCCGTTTTTCGGTGTCCATTTGTTGGGGGTGGATTTTTCTCGGGCTGAATTCCGAGAGAAAGTTCATATGATACTTTATCATCGAGGACAACTAAAGAGTTAAACCACGTGGAAAAATACTGCAATAAAAAAGACATGCGAAAATAAGTAAAATCCACTGAATGAATTGCACATTGAATTGATAACATCATTGTATTTTTACCGGGTCTTCCTCCAACCTGTAACCTTTTGCAGAACCCTGAAGTAATTTGAGCTGTAATTAAGAAATAGACACAGTGCATGAGGTTATGTATAATGTGGGCAAACTATGCATACGCTTTTTCGAAACGATTCATAACAAAAACAACAAACCTGGGCAAGAATTTCAAACTCTTTCCTCCTTTTCTCAAAATTAATCAGATCTCCGTGAACTTTGTCGGAAATGGCAGAGTCGATAAAGGTCAAATCAGTCAGAAAAGTACCGAGATATGGGACTGTTCCATTTGGGCTGTCAATTTCAGTTGAAGCAACCCCTCGACCAGCAGTCCCTTGGCCACGAAGAACACGAGCAAAGAATTTCCTATCTTTTGGATTTTTTGTTGGGGTTGGGAATTTTGCAGTTCCTTCCGCCTCCAACAGCGTCCTTTGGGCACTACGGTTGTTATCCTCAGAGAAAATTTGCGATAGCTGGGAGAAAATTGAGATTCTGTCCTTGGAAATCAAGCTCCAGACTTTTTGCAATCTCCACACTTGATTGCATTCAAGTCCTGATATTCTATAAATATAAACATGTATTGTATTGTATGTATGTATGTAGTTTTTTATTATTGAAATACAAAAACTGTTAAAAACTACTCACATGGCTTTAAGTGAAGAAAAGTTTTTCAGCAAACGAAGCTCCTGTCAAATGATCCAAGGTTTTGTTTTCAGGATGGCGAATTAATGTATCTCAAAATAAATATTTTTATCTACCTGTGCAACCCGGATCCACTTATCCAAATATTTTGCTCGTAGTTGAGTTGTAGCTGTAGGGTCGAGTAAAATTGTGGCTGCAACACAAAAACGGGAAAGTGAGAAAAGTTGTAAAGAACAATTGTATAATTAATTATTATGCTATCTGATCAATTAAACTATTGTGACGTTGTATTCCGATGTAATAATAATCTACGAACCTACGACTCGACCCGATAAAGCGTTGAATTGTTCCACCGTCGCGTGGACGGTTGGGCAACCACATCGACGTTTCCACAAACCTCCAAGACACTCCCACACACGAAGATTTAGAAAAAGTTCCTAAAATTTCAATTTCAATATTATCTATTTATCTCAAATCATCTCCCTCCACCAATTGACAAATTTCAGCCGACTGTTGCAGTGATCTGTTGGTACATACCTTATCAATATAAGTGAGTTGTTGAGCAAAGTGAGATTCTGGAATGGACAGTAGTGAGTACATCTTAATTTGAAGTGGAATTTGGGTTCTTAAGGAATGAACGGATGCTGATTTCCTCATTTTTCTTCTTGTTCTTAGCTTGTACTGAACCTTTAGACTCAATGATTTTAGGTTTTCCTCGTGAGTGAATGGAAGAACAAGCTTTTGCAAACAAATGAAACCCTCCGACCTGAAATATTTATGTAGGTTATTACTACTATAAACATAAAATTATTTTGCTTTCAGTAATTACCCAGGGTCAAAATCTTCAGAATAAGTGTCCAGCCACACATGGATAGAATCCAACATGGCTCTAAAAATAAGAGTGACAATTTATGCAAAGTTATAAATAACGTAATGTCCCTAGAGAATGTCAATTATTATGAGGTGCTTACTTTCTCAAAATCTCTGAATTTGCTCGCTTGTATATTTTAATGATTTCCTTCATAACTTCGGGAGCCGTTGCAAACGCTCTATATGTGGCGAGAAACACGCTAAGGTGAGTAGCCTACAAATTTTTCAAAAAAAATTAACTCACAATTCACCCTTTTTCAAACATATGTGCGAATCCAAATCTCACCTGAACATCACTATCCTCATTTGAAATGGCTTCGACAACTTTCTCCAGTGATCCAGCTTTCAGCACTTTGACCTTCACTGTTTCCCACATGAGATGAGCTATTTCTTCGTGCAAGTCATCGTCGTTGCTGCCAATGCTTCGACGACCCCCGGAAGTTGAGGAGCTAACCGAAAGATTATGATTTCCGCTGGCTTGGACTATTTGCACTGAAATTGATTGATGAAATTGTATGCAGTTTATTGTATGTGGGTTCTTGAAATACCCATAAGATTAACAAGAAATATTCACAAACCTATTGCTGATGGCCTTTGATATCTTACTTTCTTGAGGAACACGCCAAACACTGCATTCTCCTCCTTTTCTTCTCCCCACAGTCTGCAATTCTCCTGTAACAAATGAAACACAAACAAGCTGATGAGTAACTTGCATATTATGAATCGAAATTACCAAGATATTCTTATTTTGAAAAAATCTCTGCAATTGTCTATTTCTCAATAGTTGAAGATGGGGGCGGGGGGTTACCTTTCTAACCCAGAATTTAGATCTGGACATGTCGGCACCTTTATTGCCCTCCTCCTTTGACGGGAGACACTGCGGAGCGAACCATTTGCCCAGCGTAAGGAGAACGCAACCACTATTTTTACGGTTCCTTGTTGTCGCCGTATCTTTGTTATGCGAAATAATGCCATTGCCGACGGGGTTATACAGCTCCTTCTTGTTATTACTATCGCTATTTGCAGTGTTAATTAGCTCTTTGTTCACCAGCAAGATGTTTTGAGTGGTGTAGGAGAGAAGCATATTTGTGAGACAATGATATGAGTAATATTATTATGCAGATGAAGTGTGATCTAATAACGAATGAGCTATGATGAGATCACGAGCGTCACAACAGCTCAGCACTTTTCTTGACTTTTAACGAGTATCGTTTAACTTGCTTATACCCATGCTCCTAGTTCAGTGGAAATGTAATGCAAAGCTAAAACTACGCAACTCTCGGAAACTATTTTCTATTTCATCCACGTAAAACCCCAGTCTCGAATATGCAGTTAGTCTGATGAACTGAGGACTATCCTGTCAATAATATATGTTCTTCAACACTGTCGTAGTCGTTGTCACAAATTATTCCAGGACAAAAAAAAACACAGTCTTGAGGAATTTACGACGCTACGAAATTCTTACAAGAACTAATAATACATGACACTTGACACTTGTTTGGCCAAACTCTTCACTCTTTATTAGTAATCGCAATCCTTTATCCAGACTTGGATTTTCACTGAATGATTCACGTTATCACAAGAACATTTGCGCACACACTGACCACGACTGCGAGGGTATTTACCCAGTTATTAGGTTAAAGGTTGATCGGCAATTATGACAGAAAGTCAAAGTTTAAAATGAAGAACTGATAATGCCATTGCATAATCATCCAAGCATGATTCGTCTTCACTTGACATTGATCTTGCAGAATAATGTACTTTTCAATTTCGGTTAATAATGACAATTTTTCACACGCTGCACGTCAACTTTCAATTAGAGATTGTCTATAATTATGAAGAGATGAAAATTAACAGACTAAAATTAATTTTGTCTGGATCTGAGAATTATCCTCCGTGACTTGGCTGATTGATATAAAGTCGGTGACAGTCGGCCCATTTTGAGTTATCAAAATCGCAATACTCAGTAGTCAACTGTATTGTTGTGAGTATACGTAATTATTATTGTAACTAAACATTGCTTAAGACACAAGAGTGAAACCTATACCACAATATATCTTATTCCATGAGTGAAACTTCTGAAACAAGACTGTATTGTTGTTGGTTATGTTTACACAATGAGTAACTGAAATATGCACAATGTGACATGCAATCTAACTTTTGTAACTCATGATTTGGTGTTATAATTTATATATCGTTTTTTCCAGAGACGTATTATACTAATAAAAATATGCAAGCTTGGTCTACTTATTGCTCTAGAATGGTGTATTTACCATAAATCGACACCATAAATGACTGATGCTCGAGTGTGTTGCAGACAAAATCATTGCCCAGCATAGCGTTATGCTCACACAAAAACTGAATGGGAATGGGACGAGCAAATATATAAACACGAGTAGGCATAAGATAATGGATATCATTTAACTTTAGTTCAAATAGAGGATGAGATGATTGTGGTGTATTTAAATATCCCAACTACCCATATTTTGCGATAGTACTAACAACTAAATAATAAGGCACAACAGTTAGCTATCCAGCAAGCTAAATATGTGAAATGTTTTGTCGTCATCTTTCTATATCATTTGGAAGCATTAAAATTTGCATAACAAAATGATATTTGAGATCGTGGAACTGGCAATAACTATCATATTATGTGTATATACGACAAGGAATAAACCCGTGTAGCCAAAATATGGATTGCTATTGTAGGAAATTGCTTACGGTTAGTATGTGTACATACAGATATGTATTGACTTCATAGATACATGCGAATCACTAAATAAATAGTTTCTATTTCTACGCAAATTATTCAGACAGGAACAAAATATTCGAAAATTTTACAAGTGTATTTGAGCACCTTGAAATGTAATTGGACGGCCATGACTGTGATCTTTGACCTCAAAGGATTCATTTTTCATGCGTACATTTTTATGTAGAGTCGTTCAATTATGTGTTTAGCCTAATTCATTAAACCATGTTTTTAGGAGTTTGTACATGTGTCCATATGCACACAATGGGAATAATTGATATTCGGAATGCGCAGTGTTTTACGACTCTTTGGTATTTATTTTACAGATAATTTTTTGTGTCCAGGCCACACAACCTATTCATATATACATGGCAAATTAATATAATAGTTACCATTCTCGTAAATGTCAAGGTCTAAAATGCGATTACTCTCAAGCTTTCGTATTTATTTATATTGGTGTGATTGGTTTGTTCATTGCATTGCGGTTTATGTAATAGCTCAATGTTTTTAGGCATGAGTTTTTTAGTCCAAGAACGTGGCTCTGTTTGCCTGAAGTTTCAAAACGAACGTTGAAATCGATCAACTCATCTTTAGTCATTCACAAAGGAATCAAGAACAATATGTACGAGTTTATGATCAATAATGTTTTATTATTGGTGTAATATTTTTAAACTTTAAAATTAGAAAAGGCTTGGATAATAAATAATGAATCACCACATCGTAGACTTTGTACATTGCCAAGAAAGGACTAAACTGGTCCGAAAATCCAGTGAGCCTCATTTGGCATTAGCATATTAAACAAAATGGGTCTTTGTCTGGAAATAGAATGATGGTTGTATATTTATTATATTAGATCTACTTTCATAGGAGTTGAACTGCATATATTTAAATAAATCGTTTCATGATTTCCTAACCCAAACTCAAGAAAACACAAGGAACAGACATTTTTCCATACATATGGCATAAACACATAATAACATGGTCATGGTCGTCTGAGACAAGACAATTCAACCCGTCAACAACCAACTTGATTATTCCAGAGAGTTAAATTTAGATCTGGCGAGAAAATTAACACTGGACTCATTGTTTCGCCTTTGCAAGAATCAAGACCTTGATTTCATGGCCAAACGCAATTCCAGGGAAAAAGGAAAACGTTCCAAGACAAGGAATAGGTCAATCAATCAATATTACGATTAATTCTTAATCCTGAGAAGGGTCAACCACGATTAATGTTTTTGGACTTTATGTATAAACTTTGGAAAAGTAACGTTAAAATTAAAACGATTTTGAGCAGATCAGTGCAGAGTGGTATGCGTTCGTGGGATTCTTAAAAAATTGGGCAAAGTACGCAAAAAAATCCACTTACCACAGGTCCTTGATCAAAATTTGTTGGAGAATATCCTCCAGAGTCAGCATCTTCGGTATCCATCCATCAATTTGTTTCAGTCCGTCTCGGACCAAAAAATAGTTTTATACACCACAAACTCTCACTACGTACAACTCATGAACGGAAAGCACAGTCCATGAAAATTATTGTAAAAACAAAAGCGGATCTTCGTCTCACTTAACAAGCACGAAACGAATGAGAAAAATTCGAGTATTAAATATATATTTGCTATGTTATCTCCACAATGTGTAGTTAGGCAAGGAGTATTCAGCTGCAGTTTTCTATACAAATACAATTCATGTGGCTGTAGGTACAATCCAGCTGCAGTGTTTTCTTATTAATAAATGAGATAGATGGGTCAATTTTCGTATACGTCATTCAAGGGAAAATTTTATTTTTGGATCAAAAAATTTCCATTCCTGCTGCACGCTTGTGACAATATTACGACAGGGACATGGTATTAAATTTTACCACAAGATGAGATCTTTATTTGGTGAGAACACACGCCTAATCAAGAGAAGGCTTATCGTAAAGAGCTTAAATCTGAAATGTTGCACCACACTTAGGAAGATATTAGAAAAGGATTGTTTTGTGGTGTCCACTATTTAACCAATATTAAGCATATTACACCTTTTTGCAGTTGCAGTATGACATTCCACAACCCAATCACTTGGAATGAGGTTGGTGTTTTTGCATCGCTTATTCTCACTTTGGGTGGACGATGTTGTTGTCTTGCAATTATTCGTATTCGCATATAGCAGAAGTTGCAGGATTGCAAGAGGACAAGTTACAGGTTGCTGCTTACAGGCATCCCATCGTAATAAGATAATAATGTAAGTGAGAAGAAAGTAGGCTGACGACGGTCCACTGAGCCAAAATTCCGACTCAGAACTATCAAGTTTGTATATTGCTAATCGAGTCTGTAAAACAAAAAATATTTGCAATAGAGGAATTATATTTATAATGTGGAAGGGCATTGAATATTACAATACAATATTTGCTGATATCCTAACATTAGAACTCGTTATGAATATTCAAGTGTATGCACATGCTTATATGACATTCAGCATGTTGGATTTAAGTATGCACGGATAATATTGATGGGAGGGTCATTAAAACCGATTCACTTTTTTTTAATTTTTTTCAATTTGAAGAAATGATAATTATGTAACTCGTAGTTGACTCTTATATCTAATTATATCTCTAATTCTATGGCTGACTCTTTCAATGTCCAAATGAACATTGGTAATTTGAGATCTGTCGAAAAATTATTTACCTAATAGATTTCATACAAAACAAGTTCTCAGTAAGAGGAGATTTCCTAATTTATGTACGTAACCCTATTAAAAGGATATCACAATATATATACAAATACTGCCCAACATGCATACAGTACACTGTATAAAAATAAAAATTGATTATCTGTGTATGTAGATGACTGAACAAAACTATTAGTGTACGATGTACCGATGGATGGTAAAATGTTATCGTGGATATTACTACATAATATTTGTACCCACTCAATTCGAATAATTCAAAGGGTGCAAATTAAGTAAGGTCACAAAAACTAATCAATAATTATCTTTGCTAAACCAATTGCATGTTTATCTTATAACCAATTCTTCCTTTTATTACTTATTTACCTTCCGAGTGTGTTACAGGATATTTCCGTCCATCGAAAACGTTAGCTTGATATCTCGGTTTACTTAATATGTTATATTATTAGCACCAGCAACACAGCTTTTTATGACAAGTTTTATAGTCTCTGTTCCGAATTGTCGTACACTTTAATTGCCAAATTCGGGTGAGTTGCGAATAGATCGATACACCTACGAATCACCCTTTTCACTTCCTGTCGGTTATTAAAAATAGTTATGAAACTCAATCACGTTACGAAATCCATTCTCAGACAGGTACATACATTGCGACCGCACATTTTTACGAAAACTACATAACTGTAGACGAACTTTACTGTACAAATAAAAATACTATTCACTCGTACATAATACAACTTGGAAGGTAAAAACGAGTGAGGTTCAGAGGTGCATTGTTAATGTGAGATAGTACGCATACATATGTACATACATACGTAGTAAAGTAAGTTGTTGTTGTAGTCCAATGAATTCTTATTGCCACGACGGTTTTACGTAGATAGAGAAATATGAGGATAAAGAAAGACGAAAGAGAGGATGATGATGATGATGATGGACGAAAAGGGGTGCAAAATTGATTGCATGAAGGTGAGCAGAATGTTTTAGTCCCTGAAAGAAAGAATATTGCATGATGTGCAATATTCAGACAAAGAAGTTTCACTTTGGCTGCAGCATCTCTGTCGCCGACTTATATTTTAAAACAAAAATGTCAAAGTTATTATTTTTTTTATGTGTAGAGACTCGTTGATCGAGACAAGCAACTGTCTCAACAAACCGTTTGAATAACTTCTCGTTGGGCGTGCACATTTGCAAATATTTATGTATGCGTTTGGCAAATATCAAATGAATGAATTGACTTCCGATTATTGATTTTTGTCTCTGTTCAGAGAATGCATGGTAAATTTATTTCGTTGAAAAATTTAAATTATTATTAAAATCTGTTTAAAAGATTAGTGTTCAATACAAGAAATGAGCAAATTCGAAAATAAAATAGTAAAACATTTCGTCCAATGATTCTGGACGTTTCCCGTTCCGTAATATAAATATAATATATATGAAGGCTGAAGTCCTAGTTGTTTTTTTATTTATGAAATCGATTTCAAAATTTACCATCCCCAGCCGCCCCCTAAAAATAATTTCAAATAACGAAATTTAGATTTGTAGTTATTTTACATACAAAATTTGAATTATTTGTTAATCTAGAATCTTACATCCCCAGCCTTTGCCACCACCTCCACTGTATCCACCACCCTTGATTCCACCCCCTTTGAACCCCCCTGAGAGATAAAGTATTTCTAATAAATTAGCATAAATGTCGTTCTGCAATTTCACTTACCCCCACCTCCGTAACCAATCTCTTTGCCTCCATATCCGCCTGAGACATGAATCATTTTTTAAAAATATAAAACCTATCAAATGATTCTGGATGCTAAAAACTAAAAACGTACCACCACCACCTCCACCGCCACCCCAACCTAAATGGGTAAGAATTTTTAAAAACATGTTTCTACAAAATTGATGACATCACTTTTATGATAACGTACCACCTCCGCCACCACCACCAAAACCACCCCCGTGTCCGCCGCCTCCGTGAAATCCCCCTTCCTTTCCACCACCACCACCGGCATATCCTCCTCCACCCCCTTCTTTCCCACCAAATCCTCCTGCATGGAAATAAATTTACTTGTCGTGTTATATTTTTAAACCGTAAAAATTATCTTACCTCCACCACCTCCATAATTTGCATTACATGCTACTATGAGGCTGGCACAGATTAGGATTCCCTTTAATTCCATGTAAAATTGTATTTAAAACAGTCACGAAGAAAGTATTCTCACAAAGAAATAGCTTACCAATGATATTGCCAAGTTCATTCCAAATTTCGAGTTTGATAAATGTCTCAGTGATCACCTTTGCCCAATTGTAGTAAAATCAGAGATTTATTCCAGCTTTTATACATGCGTCCTGATTAGGAATTTCTGGAACGACGATGAGCATCTTGTACCGGAAGTATGGATTTGAAGAGCAAATTAAGTAGTTTCCAGTCATTTCCATGCATATATATGCACATGTGTATCGTAATGTACTCCCAATGCATAATACATATACTAGAACTAATCAATCATGCGAAAAGTTCTGGGGTCAGAGCCTATAAGAAACTTGAGGACAAAAAGTGGGGCTTCCCATTACTTTTTTTTACTGTTTGTCAACAGGCATATTTTTATTTATTTTTACTATAAAAAATTACCGGACAAGGATATGCATATAAATTGAGAGCCAAAATAACTTACATCAGGTACAGACTAAATAGTGATGAGTACATTTTTATATGCACGCAATTCTATTCTATTTATTTTTAGATCAAATATCTGATTACCTTGTTTTCTAACTACTGTTGACGAAACAAATCATTAATTGAATAAATATTTTACCGAAAATTAAATAAACTTAAAAAATGTTAGTATACTATAGGTACATATACGATTTAGAAGTTCATTAATCTATAGTGCGTTAATTTTTGCAGGAAAAAAATTCTTCAGTCAAAATCATGGCTCGCTTCCCGTTTTTCTAACAAAACTTCTTCATCGTCATCATCACTGCCATCTTCGTTTGGGTCGAATAGCACAATTTCCTTTAACGTTTTCTTTTTCGGTTTGAAACCTCGCTTACTCAAACCAGCAGTTAAACCTGATTCCGTCAACCTAAAAATGTAATTATTATTTTTAGAACAGCATTAGTATTATTATTACGAGATTTAGCAGTAGCATACGCTGTATCCATTTCGCAATCATCGTCTGAATCTACCAGCTCCAAGTAAGGATTATTCCTGGTTCATTCATAGGATTATTCATTATTATTAGGATTATTCAAGGATTATTCATTCATACCTGGTTGGTCTAAACTTGTAGCCCGTAATTACAAAGAAAATGAACGTTGTCATTTCTAGAAACATGTCATCCACCCATTCATATTGAAACGGGACAGTTATCTAGGAATGAATAAAACATTGAAAGTTTTTAGAATATATTAAAATTAATTTAAAATCCCAAGTACAAATAATTAAATAGTAGGTATACTCACCCGCAACAACATCTGAACAATGATTCTAGTAAAGTATATATACGCGACAATCATTATGTAAAAATGACGAAACAATTTCAGCTTTTTTAAGCTCGCTTGAGCTTTGCCATCCGTTTGGGATGCTTCTTGTAAATGACGAATTGACCTTTAAACAAAGTTGACATTATGCTATCTATAGTATTATAAATAGGTCGAGTATTGCATAATATTAGACAACTTAATTTACCACACGACCGGGAATAATATAGCACCACAACACAATAAATCCACGGATATAAAGATGACTTTCCAAGTGGTGTGGACAACTTCGCCCTCTTCGGATTCCTCAATGATAATTTGGGCGACGTTTGCTAATACCTGAAGTATGAAAAATATTATTTAGGATTTAACAATAAAAATGAATACTGAGTGAGAGGAAAACTTGCCTGAAGAGGTATGACAATCATGAAAACCTTCTTCTCTTTGTCTGAGAGCAAATGCTTTACAAACGCGTAGCCGGTTCCAATCAGTAATATTGTTAGGAACAACAAGGCCCCTGAGCAACGTTTTTCGTAATTAGTATCACTCCCACTCAGTTGTCATAATAGATCAGCATCAGCATGCTTTTGTCCATGTTATAACTTCTTCCGTATTACAATTGTAATTACTACCCACAATTATTGATATACTTACCTTTCAACCTAAACAAAATGTTCCATTATTATTAGGCGCTCAAAGAATTAGATATTGTTGTAAAAAAATTTGGAAAAATGTCTCACGTACAGATGCGTAATATAGTAAAGTACAGCCCATCCTTCAGCGTGAAATCCATTATTTTGGATATAATGGTAATTTATGGAATGAAACAGTAAAGATAAACTCTTAACAAAAACCAAAGATCCCATCAAATAATGCAATTTGTACACGGTTACACCGACTTCCCGACTGTAATTCAAATACAAATTATGGAATTAACTCATTAAAAATTATAATATATAAACTTTCTGAACTAATCTTAAAAATACCTGCTTTTCCTCAAAATTAAAACCCAGAAGCATCCGGCAATGAAAAATAATATCGACATCATGAGATATCTGTATATATAAATTAACAATAGAATCACATAAAACGCCTGAAAAGTTTTCCCCACCACGAAAAGAACATAATATGCCTAGCATTAGGTAAACATACAATGCAGGTAACGGGGTTTCTCCGGCAGATAGATAATTTTGTCCCAGCAATGAATCATCCTGGTTCGACTCTATTATTTTCATGTCCAAAGTAACTCGACTATCACGATCATCGGGGGCGCAGTTGTGAAAGTACAAACTATAAAGTCCTTCACAGTCCTCAGCAGCAATGTACACAACAAACTAGAACAAATAACAGTGGCATAATTAATCTAGCTCATTTTCCATTACCGATATTACATAATTCATTCAAAATATCCATGTCAGTTTACATTGAAAGAATATGATAAAGTCCCGTCCGGCATTATGGTAACGTTCAATGGTAAACGACGGTTATTACAACTGTTTCCTTGCCCCTCGGTCAAAATACCGGCTCCTGTTTCAGGAATGTCAGCATCTTTTGCTTGTGAACTCGATTGCGAGTCTTGACCGTTTTGTACTTTTGGGGATGACGAAGATGATGCCACGGCTGGAGCAGCCGAGGCTGATTGTACTTCAGTACTTGGAACATTGGCATTATCATCGTTGACGCTCCTTTTTTGTTTTTGGGTCATCACATTTGGTATTTCCATCTCGGCACGAATTACAGCAGGTCTTTTAGGAACGCATGCACTAGTCTTGCACACTTTTACATGGGACTGCAGTTCCGAACTACAGACAACTTTAGTCGCATTTCCCTTAAGATCCATTTGAAATCGAATATTGGCTACAGATTCGTTCGAAGTATCAAAATCAGAACAAGTGGAGTCCATATTTTGAGAGTATGGATTTATTCCATTATTCAGCGTTCTGTCCACCGTGAATCCAATCTATTATAGAAAAAATTGTCATTAATTCAGTTCTTGTTATTAGTTCCTCCTAATCTACACAGCAATAACAGCGTATTAATAATAAATAATAGTATTTTACAGGGTATTCTTTCATGATGACCGGTTTTATGGAAAATTGTCTCAAATTTACTTCCAGTGATCCTCCTTTGAGAAACCCAAACGTCGTGATATGAATCAGTCTTCGTTCATCATTCTTCACAGTAAAATGATATTTAATATTATTTCTTGTCGATAGCAAACAAAGTTTGAAAATTGCAATTTAACTATACCTCAAGTTTTAGGTGGTGCTTCCGGCCATGAATAACAGGGGAAACTAGCAATATGCAGAAGCATAAAACACTTCTCAACTTCGACGACATTATCGAATGAAGATTTTCAGAATTTACAAATTGTACATAAATTTTTTGAAAAATTGGACCATTAAAATCTTGCAAATTTATGCAGATTATCCCAGCTGTTTTTTATCTGTTCATTATTCTATTTTGTTTTAAAAGGAGCCTAAACACATGCAACACTTGCTTACATTCCACTTAAACAAAACAACTATACAGATTTTCGAACAGGAATTTAAAATTAGATTAATTGCAAATTAGATTAGAGACAATTTTCGGAAGTCTGTCCAACCAAACACGGAGTAAAACCGAGTCGACTTGTTTTGCTACAAGTTTCCCACGTTGCACCGAATTCGCAGTTTGTACTTTGCATAAGATCGCGTAGCGTCGCATGGATAGCGTTGCGCAATGAATTTAACAAAATAAATACGAGCATATGCATAAGACTTCTCATTTACTTTAAATGCAACTAATTGCGTCAATCATAGACAGTAATAGTAATTATAAAAGTCTGTTGTAATACCAATTATGAAATTGTAATCATTTCAATAGAATCGCATAATTTAATTTGTATTTATTTATTAGAATTTGCTCCTTCAGTAAGTTTCAACAAACGCAAAATTAATTGCTAATTTATATTTGTAAACCTGTAAAGTATGTAATAAATTAGTAGACTAATCCATAAATATAGAGGGATAGATTGGCTTTTATGGTATGAGTCTGAAGAAAAAACAAGTTTATGCATTTCTAGTTCCAGAGAAAATGTCATTTCCGAATTAATGCATCCATATGCTCTTGACTTTGAATTTCCAAGATAAAGCTGTATCGAATAGTTTAAACTTGATTCATTCAAGTTAATTTCCATTCAAATTCACTGAAAACTTTTTACTGTACAATCAGTCACATCTGTTTAATGATTATCTGACATTGTTTGAACAGGGCATGCAAATTCATGCCTTCCTGACGTACACAGTATCCCTCCATTGGTTGCAAATAACATAGGCAATTGAGATAAACAAGCGTACTTGATAATATTAGTTTTAATCTATCTGAAGGAAGCCATTACCCGAATCTACAGATTAGAACGAACCATCAAATCAATACATTCCACAAACAATTAATCGCCATTCACGCGAATGTTCTGTAGTGTGACCGTGCTCGCATCGCACTTTCGCCTTTCAGAATTACAAACCTGCCACTCGTTACAACATCCACAGGGCAACTGGTCCAGTGCAATAATGAGGCTCATTATTAGTTTTGGAACTTTGTCCATTGTTCTTTTTGTTCTTGTGAGTTCAGGATACGCCAAATCGATCCCTGATCAAGAATTTGGTATGTAACGAGATTACTCCAGAATTTTTGCTGATGAATATTTGAAGGAGCTTTATATATTCTACATAAAATCCTTATTGTTTAATGATTCTACAGGCTTCAAGAATATTGCCTGCTACACAAATAATGGAGCGACGCCAATGATTGGTAAGAAGCGTTCTGTTCTAGACAATGCCGCGAACCCATGTATTTATTGTTTCTTGATTTTGGCATCGGTGTCACAAGATTTCAGAGACGCTCATTTTGGAAGTAGTGCAGATAATAAAGTAATGCAAAGTATAAATTTTGACTTTCTAGGGGATGTTCCTCACACTTTTGACTGCAACATATATTACAGTTGCGTATATGCGGCGTCAGGTCGGGTTGAACCTCTCATCAGGTTAATATTACTTATTTTGAATGTCTCAAGTTTAAGGTATAGTTCTACATAATTTAAAATATTTAGGGAGTGTCAGGCAGGTCATAATGGTACGCTTCTGTACTATGACTTCCGGAACTGTTGGTGCGTTGAAGAGGAGCTCGCCACCTGCTTCAACCACGAATCCGAACAAGACCAATTAGGTAACACCCATTTGATGACTATCTAATGCTGAACATGCTGACATTGCTATTTCATTTTCAGATCGATTCATTTGCGCTGATGTAGGAGATTCTAAATTGAAACATCAGATCTAGAGGGCTCATTAACCAAATTTTGCTATTTGAGAATTTTGTGTTATTATTTGATAGTGATGATAATATGCTAAATACTTATGATACTGCTGGCAGTGTCGAGATATTAAGTCGCATTGCCACATTTGTTGTAATTGAGTTTTCAAAGAATAAATATCGAAAGCTTCATGATGAGTCTGCACGTACACCTAACATGTAATATAATGATTTGCATAAGAGCGTGGAATTCTATTAGAAGGCTTAAATGTATGTATGGCAAGTATCCACAATATGCACGTATTTATATCATATGCATGTATTATTTATCATATTATAACATTTCTTCGTGTTTCCACTTGACTTATTTTTATGCATTTTTCCCAGTCCTCATATATTATAATTAATGGAAGAAGGAAGCACGGTGTAACATAAAATAATATTTGCAATTCAAGAAAAAAATAGTTCATCAAGGGAGCATTCAGATTTTCTGAATTTGATACTTGATAATTGGACACATCATCATTATAAGATTGTAGAACTAGTTTACTGCAAAATGCAACACAAACACCTCAGGACTATGGCTTGGTTCGCTGAATTAGGACCAGTTTTTTGAATGATGACGATAGGCTTCTGTATTTTACGCGAATGTAGATATGTATGCAGCAGATACTATGAATTCGTGGTTAGTGGTCACCTTTCCTATTATTTTTGTGACGTATTTATTATGCTTAATACTTCTAATCCCAAGTACATAGGCCTTATTTGACGCCTTCATTTGAGGACAGTCGCAATATACCGACAGACTAGCCAACCAAAAATAGCCGAAAATATCTAGCAGCCATCTTGCTGGGGTTTTCTAATTTCTTCTCGAAAACTCAGATATGTATAATCACCGCTACTAATGAATTTTATATAAGAATAAACACACATGTAGAATTGTTCGGAAAAATGATGTTCATATTTGATAACAACACACACATAACACCCCGTTGACCACAATTTCAACAAATACATCCTTATTATTTTATTCCGATAAAATAATTGCAATGTTAGACCAAGTTTGGATTCAAGTTCAAGTTGTGGGAAAACATTATTGTACTTGCCAATTACTCGAGTTTGCTGGAATTAAAGTAGTGCATGCATGCATGTATGGAAGTACATTACGTATGTATGTACATATATGTGTGTATTCATCATGTCTACACAATCAATCACGAGCTCTTTCGTGAAACAAACGGCAAAATGTTGTTTGGATTTACGATTCTTCACACAATAATAATTGAATTGTACGTACATCACTCTTCTACCTGATTCAACGTGTTTGGCATTCACAGGCAATACTTTTCTACATCAAACTCCTTTTAATCGCCTGAAAAGAAAAGAGTACAACTGAATGAAAATTATCATCGCACATACCTGAGTGCTTACAGTAAGCCGTGAATATTATGTAGAAGGAATCCCTTGCTGTCCAACAAGTAGTGACCAATCCAAGTATGCATCATTATAAATGCTTCGTGGGTTTCCCCACTGTAGGTATCGCAGTGTCTTATAGCTTCTGATTTGTGTGGGGAAGAAAAGAAGGTGAGATGCAGATTCTCAGTACAGCAAACCAGCTCGTGTAAATCCTTCCCTTTGTTAACTTATATCTAAATCTTTTAGCTCATGGCATAAAAACTTGTATTTGCAGCTAGCCTTGACAATTGTAGTTAGATTGGTAGAGGATTTGCAATACCTGCTCGCAAATCTCAGAGGTAGTTGGAATTGAACGGCAGCAGAGGCATATTCTCGTCTCACTCTCTCGTCTCGTATGCACTTGTCGACGAAATTATTGTTTCCATCATTAATATTCATCCTGATACCTCAAGTTGGCTAATTTTGTGTGCACTGGTTTTTAAACTGCGATAAGCCACAACTGTGAGGGTAATAGAAAGCGAACCTTTCTAGCAGAGCAAATCAGAGATTAAAAGTTGGCACATTATTGTGTGTTGATATATGTGCATGTACGTACAATAGTTACACTTGTGTGGGATTACACTATAAAAATTAGCACAATCAATTGTCTTTAACCTACAACAACCAAAATGTCCATGAAGAGGTAAGTATTCGCTGTCCCATATTTGGAATACTCAGAATCGATACACAATAATATTTACGCATTTACATACGTACGCTTGCATCAACACGTGAATTATTATTAACCTTTCAGGTATGATAACCCGGGTTTCGATTCGAGTCCTGAGGACTTGAACATGACCCAACTGAAGCGAAACAGCATCACGACAGTCTCTCCGGCGGATATGATTGTGAACGACACCAAAGCCGCAGGTCATGTCAATAAGGCCGTCGCAGTGAAAAACGCAATGAAAACCTACTCTGGAGCGGTAATAAAATTTGAAGGCTTCCCAAAAATAAGAAATGATGGGAATTGTCGGATAATTAATGGCAAGCAACCGCAATATTTTTTTGTAGGCTAAGCCCGTCCTCAATAACTTTTCCATGACCGTGGAAGAAGGGACCATGTAAGTTTATACTTGTTTATTGCTCAAATACTCAATGTGTGCATATTTAACTGGAAACATTTGATGCTCATGCCCTTTATTATCGTTTTCAGCTACAGTCTTCTCGGCTCATCGGGATGTGGAAAAACCACGATATTGTCCTGTATCGTAGGACTTCGAAAAATTGATGGGGGTAAAATTTACGTATTTGGGGCCATGCCTGGAACCAAGGAAAGTGGTGTGCCCGGACGTAGAGTTGGATATGTAAGATTGTTATGCAATTAAGCTACAAATTTAATTTTCGCCCAAGTTTACCTCATTAATGAGAAGTAACGTATTGCAGATGCCACAAGACATTTGTCTTTATCCTGAATTCACCATTAAAGAAGCGTTGCAGTATTTCGGAATAATTTATGGATTAACCTCTGCAGAAATAGAGGAAAAACAAGACTTCCTTATTAAATTCTTAGACCTTCCACAACGTGATCGGACCGTGGGAACCCTTTCGTAAGTAACTCTTTACTTTCAATAACATATTTATCATGGATGAAGCTGTCAATCTATGTACATGTGTATCTACAGAGGTCATAATTACAAATAATTAGTTAATATTTACACATTTCTTTATATTTATAGCGGAGGGCAAAAGCGGCGAGGTGAGTAAATCACAATTGATTAATTTAAATTAATTATTTTATTGAGAACTAATTAAATTATTGTTCAGTGTCCTTCGCATGCGCCTTGATCCACGAGCCACAACTGCTTATCTTAGGTAACGTATTCACGAAAGATATCTGATTCAAACGCCAATATAATTAGTTTATTTCAATTTGAATTTCTTCAATTTCCGGTCCGGTCCGAGCAGATGAACCTACAGTAATATTTTAAATCACAAGATTTTGAATCGTGCGTTATGCATTCAATGTTAAAATTTCATTCCTATTTTTTTAAATTTTAGGTGGGTGTGGATCCATTATTGAGAGAAAAGTGAGAAATTTTAAATATTTTTAATAATTAGTTTTAATCATTTTAACAATTTTAATTCCACTTGGATTTACCAACAAGCATAAAGTGCTTTAACCAAGTTTACATACATATGTATACACTGAAATTACTAAAGTGTGGAAAAGTCCAATTTTCCTATGCTTCCTCCATAATTACTTATCTTGGTATCTTGTATGATTAATTGCAGCATCTGGAACTACCTTTGCCAATTAGTTTCTACTCAGCGCACCACCGTCATAAGTAAGCATATGTATACCAAAATGCACACATTCACCTGTTGAGAAATTTTTTTGAAATATTTTTTAACCAAGTTTTTGAATAAATTTCTAGTTACGACACATTACATAGGTAAGTATTGAGAAGAAACCGATGTCGATGGTATGTAATTAAAACATGCGCAATAAATATTAATTTACTTTTTGCGTTATTTCAGAGGAAGCAAGACAATCACACAAAGTAAATATTTTTTGTCGCATTTTGCCTCTTTCTCTCTCTCTCGCTACTCTAAATGCTTGCTGACTCAGACATGAACTTCACATGTGGTCACATTCTGTGACCCTTCACTTTTTTGGCGAATCAAGTTATTGCGAAATAGATGAGACGAGTGGTTGCATACATACGTATATTCTCTATGACGTCGTTTGTGTACAGGGATAATTATCGCCAGCTACTTACAAGAAACATAAATTAGCAGTTCAGTATACGTCCAACGTACGTATGTACATAATAGCAGCCGATCATTTTTAACTGGTAATTTTAACAGGTTGGGTTGATGCGAGGCGGACGATTACTTACCGAGAAATCGCCAGAAGCCCTTCTAAACGAGCATCAGGCCACATTACTGGAAGACATTGTTCTGAAGCTGTGCAAAAATGACAGCATGGTCATGCAAAACACGGCACAGCCTGATGACGTTGTTGCTCAAGCGATTGATGAAGTTTCATTCCAATCTAAGCGAAGACTGTCCGTTTCACAAAATCAAAACGGAACTTCCACCAATCCTCATGCCAAACTTCAAAAGTCCATGTCCAGCCTGTCAGTGTTGTCCACCAGGTCCACGTATTACAAGAGAAAGCAGTCCGTCATTGAAAATGTAAGGGATGACCTCTGGATGAGCACCTATCGGTTGAGGGCTCTGATCATGAGAAATACCGTTTTGCTCATGAGAAACGTCAAGTGAGTTTATGGGCACCCTGGTTTTTAGTTCGCTGAACTGCTTTAAGTTTTGGAAAAATATTATAAGACATCAATTTCTGCATAGGTTTCTTTTGTTTATCTTGGCCCTACCCTGTCTCCAAATGATTAACACGTGCTTGACCATCGGAAATGATCCGACGGATCTGAGAATTGGAGTTGTGAATATGGATGCGGACTGCACTAATTATACTCTGAACCTCAACTGCGAAGGAGATGAACCTTCTGCAGCATTTCTGAGTTGCCATTATTTGGACTTACTTCCAAACAAGACGCTGTCATTGGTATGCCTCAATTATTCAATTTTAACTTTAAAAATATGTATGGTTATGGATTTAGGTGTTATATTATCATAATGCCTGAAACCCTATTTATATCGTAATGTTTTAAATATCATAGATAAACTTTGAATCGGAAGATTTGGCTCTTGCTGAGGTACAGAAGGGAGATTTGTGGGGATATATTAAATTCCCAGCAAATTATTCGCAAGCTATCTTTGACCGAGTTTTGAGTGGGGGTGACCCCTCTAACGAAACACTGGAGGGTTCTCTCATATCTTTTGAGATGGACATGACAAGTACGTGAACGTGTCGTAAATATATGATAAATTAGATTTATTTATTCGCATGAGGAGTAAAGCTTTAATTTTTTCCTGCAGGCAAGCAAATTGCAGAAACAATTAGGACAGAATTTTTCTTTACTTATCAGAAATACATTATGAGCTTATTTGAACTTTGCAATTATGATCCAAAAGTCGGAAAAATTCCACTGGACGTAAGTGCAGACATAACACTTACATAATTTGATAAATTCGGCATTCAAAGTTTTATTATAATATTTTAGTTCCAAGAACCCGTTTATGGAACTGTTAACACCAACTTCCGTGAATTTATTGCTCCCAGTTCTATTCTGGCGTAAGTTACAAATACAATCAAACTATTACTTGGAAAAACTTGATGTTAACATGATGGCAAAATTTGTATTCAATGTCTTTGGTAAATTTTCAGAATTTTATTCTTCTTTCCACTCATTTCTGGAGCTGTTTCCTACATCAGTGACAAAAAGAACGGAACCCTTGATCGTACTCTTGTTGCGGGCGTTCAGACAGTTGAAATTTTGGCCGCTTATTTTGTAACTGAAGGAGCAGTACTGCTAATTCAAACTGCATTGATCTTTATCATCATGACGCTTGTATTTAGCATACAAGTTCATGGGCCCATATTTTGGGCCTTTGTACTGGCTGCCCTCATCGGCTTTAGTGGATTGTCCCTCGGTAATAATATACACAGACTGCACATTAGAAAATTTCCCAATTAATACTAATGGTTGCATTATAAATGCTCGCAGGGTTCATGATATCCACAATGTGCACGGAAGAAGTGCAAGCCGTCTTGTTGGCATTGGGGACCTATTTTCCAAACATGTTGCTCGCTGGGATGGTCTGGCCCCTTGAAGGTGAGCAATTGATAGGACGGGAAACTTGTGAATTCATTTTATGTAACTTGTATTATCTTATGTTTTTTAGGCATTCCTATATTTCTGCAGTACGTCGCACTGGTAAGTGCCTACATAGATTTACGTACTTAATGATATTGTTAAACACACCTTAATTATACTCATTATTTTTCAATTACAGTTGGTGCCGTGGTATGTGTCTTTTATAATTTAATAATAATAATATAATAAAACCAAGGTTCTCTAACCCAATGGCCCAGTTATGGTAAGAAACTGCAAAGTGAGACAGAGCAAAGTGAGATGGGCAAAATGAGACAATGCGACTGTAAAGTAATGAGAACAATTTGCAGGGCCTTGTTTATAGAATCTTGGTTTAGAACGAATTAGCGAATAGAATACTTACTTTGAAATACTTTACCTTTCACCCTGTCAACTTTTTTTCCAGCAATCTTGCTTGTGAATCAATGAGGTCAATGACGACCCGTGGATGGGGGTTGACGCACATCAGAGTATGGCCTGGTTTCGCCTCAACTCTGGCCTGGATTTGCGTGTACTGGATTTTAACAATTGTCATTCACAGAACTATCGCCAAGAAATGAGCTTCTGCTACTTTACGTAATGTTCCTATATTCATTTTATTATCATTCAGACGCATATTCTTTATTGTTAAATGTATGAGCGAATCTCTCTATAAACAATGTATGTATATGTACATACATTAAATTAGCCTCTGTGAAAATCATCTTCAAAGTAAATTATAAATATGTGGGGTACAAAAAAGCTAATAAATCAAGTTTACTTCTTGTGATAAAACGTGATTTGAAGATTACCAAGAAAATTGAAATCCTTTAAATTGGGTTGAGCTATCGGAACGGAAAATTACTATAAAAGTGCCATCTGCACTCTGTAGTGATTCTCCACTGTATGATTTTTGCTGATCGCAGTATCTGCAAGATTTTTTTACTCTTTAATATAAAACCACTAAAAATAAATCATTAAGTGATAATGCACATACTTTTTGGCCAAGGCATACGACGATTTCACGCTTCCGTAAAAACTGACGGAATCATATTCGCAGTTTTCCTCCTTCTCCATGTCCGTGTATCTAATGTTCACGCGTAGTAGGGAAGAACTGGGGCTGACTACAAAGGTGGAAATCTCGTTGGGCTGGTACAAAGCATTCTTCTCTTCAGGGTGGTTGACATGTCCGACTGGATCTTTCCAATGGGAATGACGATATCGAATGGAGTTGAGGGAATCCCCAGCCGAGTAGTTGCCGTGCCCATGAAAGGTCAGCGTGAACCCATTTCCATGAGTTGTACTATCGGAGAAAAAGCTGACAAAAAGCAGTGGACCTCGGAACGTGTGGACGGCTCGGTTGCCTTGTTCTCTGCATGGAAGAATCTGGTTTAAGTGGATTGGCATCATCACACATGCCATAAGTAACTACTTATTAATTGCATATACATTCTAGAACTCGTAACCAGAGTCATTTCTTCGGTGAATTCTGTGACTGTTATGAAATCACTGTTACTGGTATTCTGGAATCCATCCTCGAGCACTTGAAGCATCACTCGTTGCCTTCGATTGGCACGAATCGTCCAAATACAACGCTCATTGTTGAGATATGGTTGTCGAAATTTGTAGGATAAAAGCCCAGCGTCGCCTATTAGAATGCCTCCGCATCCAGTGGCTACATATGGATGAATCTATTCGTTATGTATATTGCAACACATCACTAATATAAGACATTTACTTTACTTACTCTGTTCCACCCACTTGGGACCGACTTTGAAATAAAAATTGAAAAACAATTTTTCGTTTTGTCAGTATGAACATGCAGGTAAAATGTAATGTAAAAACACATGAAACAAAGCGTGAGTGATAGAAATACCTGAACTAGTCAAGTCCAGGATCTGCATATAATAATAATGAGGCAGAAAAGGGTATTAATATTACTATCAGATTGTTTCTAGTAAAGCAAAATTAGCTTGACGTAATAAGTTATTAAAATGATTGCCTGCTCATTATTGGATTGAACGTTCTTGTCCAGAGTTGTTAACGCCTTTTGATTGAACCTAATCTTCATCTCGTTCATTCGAATGTCGTGGGAAATATTTTCAACCTGAGCATAATAAAACCACTAATAATCATAATTATTCGAACAATTAAGTTGAAAACCATTTCAATTTTAAACCATTCAGGAACGGACCGATGAATTGAGCCTCTTCACGGATGAAGATACGTTCAGAATTTTTTCTCCGGTCGTGTTATACAAGTTTCTCAAGTGCATAGACAAAGAGTTGATCTAGATTATTATTAAATTATTCTTACAATCGCAGCAGTCTACGATTTGTACGAACGTCTATTTTGCGTAACATGTTTTATTATTCTATTCCGTTTATCAACAACGCAAAAACTTACCTGGCCTTCGAAACGACTTTTGTCCGCAGCGAAGGTGTTGCGAATATCCTGAGTAGCATTCTCATTAAGCCTGTAATTTTCACTGATCATTCCAACCTGTATAATCAACAATATGGAAAAAACACTTAAAAAGTATCACAAATAAATCATTTTTGTTTTGTTGATATCATGCAAGAAAATTTCCGCGTTCGTTTTGACCGAATTTATTTGCATGGCTCAATTAAACGCATGCTATGATAGTTTATTAGTATTGGTATGCAAATTTTGTGTCTTTGTATTTGCATTTCATTGGTAATGATTATATACCTTAGTTTGCATCTCCTTAATTGTAGCATTTGTTGTTACATGCCCGCTGATAACGTTGGACTCTACTTCCAAAAGGTGTTGTAAGAATGCCCCCATCTGAACGCAATCCAATCACAGGTTAAAAATCAATAAGAAACGGCAAACGTACTATCCAGAAACAAGCATACAGAACTGGAACTCATTTCGTACATCAGTCAGTCAAGTCTCAGATTTTTGGTTTCATCATAAAATATAATGCTTGCGTAAGTTGTCTGACTCCTAACGTCATTAAAGAATAATGCATCGTATTCTTACTCTAATTTCCAGTTCATCAACTTTTTTGCTTGCTTCGTCCACCTTGTTGTTTATGGCCGTTCTCTCTTCTTGGTTTTTATCCCCTCTCAATAATTGCAACAATTCCTGGAAGAGCAAAACAATTAAAAACAAGGAACATACATACATACCTATACCATGCTTAGAATTATAAAATTAATTTGTAGGCACACAATTGGTCCAAGTCCAAAATGCGACGAAAAACGGACACGTCATTCTCGTAAACCAATCATTAGACTAAGTTGTTGATTGCTTTATATAATATGATGCGCATGTTTTTTATTATTTGTTTCGCAATAATTTGACACTTACCGATTTTTTAAGAATGTCTTGGTCGGCAACCAGTTTATTCTTATTTTGTCGCTTGACTGTCAGAATTGATATATTGATAAATGTGAGTAATGAAAGGTCGATTGATATTAAGTAACCATAATTTTGCAGCTAAATAACCTTGATACGTGAATGTTTCTTCAACATGGTCAAGCTCGTCTTGAGAAGTTTTTATAGAAAAGTTGTTCACATTGATTGGAAAATGTTGAAGGAGGAGAAAATCTCCGGATGAATTGTCGCTAATTCTTTTACAATAAGTTGAATTAGAAGGAATTCAATTTAAAAGAAACGCGTGAGAAACCGCTTACGTCGTTGATGTGGTTCTTTCACTAGTTGCGTGAGTGGATGTGGACGGCTTGGTCGTTGTCGACACTTTCGGAGTGGTTGATAAATCTAGTTTAAAATCGCTTATTTCGCTCATTTCCCAATCTACTGGATCTATTAGTGAGGGTGGATTACTGGGTTTGTTAGTTGTCTTGTTGGCTGCATTATGTATGAGAAAAGTAGAGTATGGTTTTCTAGTTGTGGTTTTATTTGGCAGAATGGATATCGTAAAATTGCTCCGATATGATCGACCATTTTGCCAATATGTTTCTGGGATTCGGTTTAACTCTGGCATGCATTTCACGAGAAAAGGGGAAAATAAAACAACGCAGAAAAATGAATACTTTACAAACTTCATGATTACGTTGAAAAATGTTTTGATGTTGTCAAATGAAATGTCCAAGTGAAAGTGAACGGCTTTAGTGGTTGGATGCCAATTTACATATTTACATGCGTCAAATAAATATAAGACATTTGTCCGATTACCCTATTTTGAGTTCGTCGACAGCACGGCTAATCCGTTCCTGTGATTAAGTATGAGAATTACCAAAGATGGTATTTGATATGTATGCGTATGTCTGGACTAGTCTGGAGTGATCAGTTAGATTGTCTGGAAATTACATAATCATAATAATTCATCGTATTACCAATAGCTTTTATTGACAAGATTTAACTAATAAATGTACAATGCATTACAAATAGGAACTATTATAATCTTTTTTAATTAAAATGCAAAAACTTTACGAGTAATTAACTACCTAACTAAATACCACACGCTACTTGTTTTGTCGTCTGTGAGCTATCGCAGTCAAAATCCAGGAAAGGACACACCAGCCGAACAGCATGGCGAACCCAGGCCAGACATGACTCGAGGAAATGCCCCACCCGCGATTAACGATTGATCTGCAGACGACGTAGTAGAAAAGTAATTAATTTTTATAATAGGCATTTTATGTACATTTTATATACAGAGATGGGCCAAAGCAATAAAGGTTTGTGAGGTAACACGTTCCAAAAAAATGAATTAATGTAAAATTTAATAAAGCGGTGCATTATCTTCCATTACTCTAACTATGGGAGGTCGCCACACCCCTTCAGAAATGTCTCCCGTCATGTTTCCTGGTCATTTATAGTATTGTCTCACATTTCTCCAAAACCCTAAATGTGGCTGGGAACGGACTTTCGGCACACCCACCGGGTTAACATGGTCTTATCGAATGTATAACGCCCATACGACATATCCACAAAGAAATAATACTACACCCTAGCTCAGGGGGTGTGTCCCACGACCACCACATTCGAAATTACAACGTCCAGGGGAATTAGAAATGCATTGATGAAAACCGCATCAACTTATCGTGCAGATAAACAAGGTATTCCCACCATAGACAAGGTATTGGGTATTAACTGTTAATCACAGTTCACAGAGGTCACAAATATCGAAAAATTTTATAGGAAAATAAATTATCTATTAATGTTTTTTAAAATTGTGACAAAGTTTCAAATTTTTTGGAATGTGTTACCCCACAAACCTTTTTTGCTTTGACCCCTCTCTGTTTCTGCTGGTCACAGAGTTGCTCAGGCACAGTACATATGTATATGATATAAACAAATTAAGCATGTACATACCGGATTGCTTCCGTGGGATAAGTTGAGGGAAGACAGTGAGATAACACTTTAACCCCGAAAGCTGTCCCTTCCAAGGGCCAAATAATTCTGATTTTTAATGCAATCAATAATTACAGTTAGTTGATTAAAATTTCGCAAATCATTATTATTATAAAAAATCACAATGATTACCCTGATAAAATTAGAATTGGGGTGTAAAGGCCAAGGGTAATTATCACGGCCTCCATTTCCTCATTTACAAGCATTGCAATAAGAAATCCTAAATTAATAATTAGTTAAATGACTAATTGGAAATGACATTTTTGCATAAGCCGAAAATGAAATAGATCATACTTACCAAGCGACAAACCTGAGATCCCATTCAGTAGAAGAAGGAAAAAGAATAGAATGGATGAACCCTGTATCGTGAGACCAAAACCAAAAACCATGATGATGAATGAAAGCACAACTTGAAAGACGACCAAACTTCCTTCGGTGACCATGAATGCTGCGATTACATCGAACGCGGTCACTCCTGCCACCATAGATCTGTCCAGCGTGCCTAAATGCATATATTTACAACCCAAGATATAATTAACTCTTACACTAATCAGGGACATATCTATGTCTCTTATCTTGAATATTACCTTGTTTCTTATCCTGAATATATGCTATCCCTCCTGAAGCCAATGGCACAAAGTATAAAATTACTATTAAGGCAGCAGGTCCGATGAATTCTTTAAAGCCGGTCTCTAAATCGCCATAAATCGGTCGATACTAAAAGAAAAAGTCAGCATCATATGACACAAAAAGCAAATTCCAAAAAGTACCAACTTACATGCAGTGGGAGTTCAGCAACAGCAGCACTTTGTTGGCAATCCATTGCAATATTTTGGATAAACTTTTGATAATTTTCATAAAATATTCGAACCAACAAAGAACCAGCGAGGAAGTCTATCCGTAGCAGCAGTTTATTTAAAATATGATACATGCGTCCATACCTATGTACATACATATTTGCCACATTTAATTATCAACTTACTCGACATATCCATCTTGATAGAAATTGTTGAGCCTGTAATCGTTTCTTCATCTGCAAAATTTCTGTGAAGACCTCGAAGACGCAAATACTCTGTAAAATTTTCTGGGATTGATAAGTAACCCCAAATTTTGCCGCTTTTTATTGCAAAAAGACCATCCTCTTCTGAATCAAAATTGGACTACAAATGGAATATGCTTTAATTCAGGGGATTTATATAATCTATTTGAGTATAAATAAATAAAGTAAACTTTTCTTACCATTATGACTTGTTCTTCTGGTAAAGAGGATACGTACTTACACCCAGCACCGCTTGCCAAACATCCGGCAGAATACGGACAAGCCATTCCCCCCGTTTCATTGACTTGACCAATTTCATGATTCACTAAACCGACACTCATGTGCTTTGGCTCATTACCAATAATTAAGTTTATTACAATGATCTGGATGGCAGGAATGCACATAACCATCACGGCGAACCTATTTCCACAGGGTACAAATTCCCCATTACGTACAAATTTTTCGACTTGGCTCATTTCAATAAAGTAATTGTCATACTCACATGTAGTTTCGAAATAATGTAATGTAATTTCTATGAATGAGAGCCCTGATTCGGTCACCCCTATTTAATTATATATAATTATTTCATTTAAATAGATATATTTATATGCAAACATATCAATAAAGAAAAGAGTAAGTAATACAAGTAAATGAGTACCTAGAGTAAAAGTAATCTTGCGCGGCTTCCTATACAGCAAAGTTATGGTTTAATAGAGTACAGATTGAAATAGCTTCGTGAGAACAAATTATAAATTTACCTGCACAAATTCTGCTACAGATTGTTGGCGTTTTAAACTCCTCCCTCTGTTGTTTCCCGTCATGTTCTCCTCTGTGAACCTCCTCTTAAATTTTAGTCCGACGATAGGACTTCTGTCCCCAGTGATGGAAGGGTCGGGCTTGTGGCCTCCTCTGACCGTCAAGTTTTTGTTCCCCGTGTAGAAGGAAATTTCTTGCAATGCTTGGGAAACTTCATTGGTTGGGTCTCCCACAGTACTGGGTAGATTTAGTTCGTCTTTTCGACAAAGTTTTAGGACAATGTCCTAAAATATTCCATAAAGAATATTGACCCGTAACGCCTAATTTACTAGGTGCAGTGAAAATGTTTTTTTAAATATGCAAATAATCACCTCAAGCAGATCGGCTTGATATTCTATTAGTAACGCATTTGGAGCTTTCTCTGTATGCATAAAAATATAAAAATATTGGAATCATGTCATAACTATGCAAAAATCATAACCAACTAGCCTGTTAGCAATCGGCCATTTCTCATAAGTCCAACCTAAAGGTGCAAATTATTCACGTTGCATAAGATGAGCATAATTTGACCTTCAACTCAAATTCCAATAAAAATATTATGAGTTGTCTAAATATTGATATTTCTTATCAAACTTGCCGTATGCGCTGTTCTCGTTTCTTCGATATAGTGGGTTGTAACTTGAAATGTAAAAAATTGTACTTAAATATATGTTTATGCTGTAATGATGAATTGAAATCGCACCTATCACCGTTGTTTTCTTGGTTCTCACAAGGTTGGAGAGATGCTCCCAAATAGACTCGCGGAGCATCGGATCCACTCCCACCTACAATTTTTTAAAAATAGGAATGGGATTTTAGCATTGGATGAATAGCGTACGATTAAAAATCTTGTGATTCAAAATATTGATGTGAGCGTGTTAGGAGTAGAGGTGCATTAAATAGCCTGATTAAGTGTACTTACCGTAGGTTCATCTGTTGAGACCGGAAATGGAAGAAATTTAAATTGAAATGGTAAAACTCAATACTATTTACGTTTGGATCTGATATTCATGGTCAATACGTTACCTAAGATTAATAATTCTGGCTGGTGTACTAAAGCTACAGCTAGGCTAGTACGGCGCTGTTGTCCCCCGCTATTCATGAATATTATGATGTTATTATTGGGTATGCTTAAATTACTGGTAAGGTGTACAACGAACCTCAACGTCGCAATAATTCGTGAAGCTTCAGGTAATTCTAGTAAGCCCGACAAATACCCCAGGCGTTGTTCAATGTTCTCTTGGGTCATCCCGTATATCCTGCCGTAGTATTGCAGGATCTCCTTGATGGTCATGTAGGAATACAATGAAATGTCCTGAGGCATATAACCCACTCGAGGCCCTGGACGAATTAATTTATGAGTATGTTGTTCCCAACGGTATGATCTGGGTTTTACCAGGTATTTTAATTACCGGGTATTCCACTTTCTCTTGTCCCAGGTTTGGCACCACAAACTAAAATTTTTCCTTCGTCAAGTTTACGAAGGCCCACAATGCACTAAATTCCCAGTAAAAATTATGTGTTTTTGCATGCACCGTTTCAACAATACATTTATGACAATGCAAGATATTGCACACTATACCGAAAGTATTGTTGTTTTTCCACATCCACTGCTGCCGAGGAGCCCATATCTAAACCATGAATGTCATGCTAGTTCAGGAACGTCTGATTTATAATTAATGACAAATTAATTAATAAGTGAAAGCCTACATCGTTCCTCTAGGTACGGTCATATTGTAATCCAGTAGGATAGGAGGTCTATTCCCGTAAGCTTTTTTGGCATCCTTTACCAGGACACCGGGTGCAATACCGAGTGATCCCTTGGCTCCCGTTCCAGGATTTGTGCTGGGTATTCCCAAACTGATATGGCCCCCTCTAATTGACAAAATCTAGTGTCAATTTCCCCCCTCTCTCTCTCGGATCATTCGTGCATATGTAGGATATAAATTGCAAACAGTACTTACCGTTCAATACGTCCAAAATCCATTATTGTTTTTAACTTTAACACACTACAATTAAGACAAAGAATGAATAATTAAATGCAATTTTTGCAATGAAATAGCTGAAGTCACACTTTTGAAACTTTGCAATTTTTTTGGAACTAAATAAATAATACAATGACAGCTAATGGCTTGGGTTCTATTAACTTTAGATCTGTCACACTGTTAGCAAACTCTCCAGAAAATGGAACTCAGTCTCAAGCTTCAATACATTCTGAATCCTAGTCTTCCAGAGACTACCTTCCATGAGTATGCGGACACAAAATGTGCACAAGCTTGGTGTAAAATCTGCAGAGTACAAGTTTTTCCATGCTATCATCAAGACGTCATAATAAGCTCGTGGTTGAGAAAGAGGTGGCAAAATATTGAATACTAGCGTAGTAAAGTAGCTGCAGACTCAAGTAATTGATGCAGTATATACATACATACTACTCATACCACAACTGGGCCAGTTAGCGTTTACAGAAATTGCTTATGCAGAGGTACTCCGACCGGTTCGCGTTGCTGAAAATTCATACAACAATGGATGATGAATAATACTGATACAAGATGCCAACAAAGTAGGATAACACGCTTTGTATATGTATGTAGTACATAAGTTTCCTTCCTCACTTATTCCAGTCATGGACAATTCCAAAATCCAGCCGAAATTGAATATACCTATCACATTTTTCCCCCATGATGATTCAGGAACGTGGACTTATTGGCATTGCTCTTGAATCTGTTGCATTCAGGGAGAACTGGTTCTTGTTTTCATCACCATACAATATCTGAACGCTTTGGCTAAGAATACGATCCAATTAACTACCCCAACAAAAAATTATTTATTCCAGGGTGTACTGCCCATTCATATATGTATAACAACATGTGTCTTTAAGGGTTTTTATACACATCTTAGTTACATTTAATGATATTTTCTAAAATTTTTGCAGGTTAGATGTCAATTTTAGATGTCACTTCGTAAATGTTCATTAGTATGTACATACATGCGCAAGTATTTCTTTTCACGAAAACTTTATTGATAAATTGTTTTTATTTCGAATGACGGGATTCCTACGATGAAAGTGAGAAAACGTGTAAAATGTGTTATCATATCATGTGCTAGTTTACAAGTTTAGATTAGCTTATGCATTTCTCTTCTGCGTAAGCATTTCAGCTTTCGTCACCGCTTTTTGCTATTGGTTCAAGATTATGAAATAGGTTAAACGATATGACCAAAGTACGTATCTGTCAAGAATCGATTAACAAATAATAGGAATATCAGCGGCTGAAAGTTTTTAATCTTAATTCCATAACAAGCAATGATAAAAATTTAGATTGGAAATCAAAATTCGTCATTTACTACGTCAAACAACATCTCTTCATATCGAGAATATTAATGTAGACGTGAGATGTAGAATTTTATTGTTTTTAGTTATTAACAAAACAATATTTTTTGGTGTAAAGTCAAGGCGTACAGCTTATGTACATACACATGTTCGTATATTGTGTATGCACCAAGCATTGTGTATGTATCTGTAGTTCATCAGGAAATATAAAACAAGAAACAAGAAACAAGCCACCCAGCCCAACGAATCAATTTGCTGTGCAAGTCATGACACATGATACACATTTAATGGATTTATTAACAAACATGCAAGCCGTGAGAAAACTTTGAAACAAAAACTCGTGTGTAATTTGACGACTTTGTGGATTAAGTAGATCATCAAGGGCGTGGAATTTCATTATGGACCAACGCACGTCAATATAGCGTGCTTGTCTTACATGTTTATGCATATAAGGAGTTCAGTTGAATTGCAGTATAATTAAGCTTTCCGCGATTATTTCGTGGTGCATAATACTCTCCTTTCGCTAAAGTATGACATCCTTGGTCACTCAAAGAGTAAATAAGTTATATAAGAGGTTAAGCCATACCTGGGGACTTTGCCTTGCTATAAATGTAACTACTGCAGTTTGCATAAGGCGGACTGATGCAAATAGACGAGGTAAAAATAATTATTTACAACAATGCAATGCTACAATTAACATTGATATCGTAGCCGTGGGCTATTTATTGCGAATCCTTCTGATAATAATACTTACAATACATAACCCAATTATCCAGAAAATTGGTATTAGAAAACCTGGAAAAACCTTGCGGTGCAAAATCCCCCAACCTCGAGTTGCAATTGAGCGTAAAGAATGGATTGGCATAGTTGTTGGAGACCAATTGTAGAAACGGGCAAATTTTGGCAGAGATTCGGAAGGCCAAGAGACGCTGGAATACAAATAGCAATTTCAGACATTTTGTACTTTGAGGGTTTCATTGGAAATTGATGCTTACCCAGAGGTGACCATTAATGGTAAATAACAGGCTAATATTAAAAACATGGCCTGTGCCTCCTCATCTACAGCTTGTCCAGCCATAAATCCAATTGACAAGCCAACCAGGCCAACAAGAAACACTAGGAGTAGAAACTGCCAAACGACCCCTTCAATTGTAATCCCACTGATCACCATAATGCCATAACTCAGCAAAATCTGGGCCAAAACAATAGCTCCGTCACTGATCAAGAGTTCAATTAGCATGTGTGAGTAGCCCAGGCCTGCGAGTGCACAGCGCTCAAGGGTTCCATCTTTGCGATCTTTTATAAATTTGAGGGCTACCGATGTCGGCAGCAGGATGATCGTCCTATAAAACAATAATTGTTTTGTTAATCGAGGAATAAATTATACGTGAGATAATTTATAGTTCATACAGTGCAAAATATCCAGGCTGCATGTATTGCAAATATGTAGAGTCCAGGAGTCCATAAATGGCACTGAACTAATAGAGTTCATGAAAAAATTAACAAATGTAGGCACTTTATCAGATATCAGTAACTGTGCTGCTTACTTTAAGTGGAATATCAACCAGCTCAGGATTGGAATCACAGCTAACAGCCAGGTCTTTCAAAAATGTTTGGAAATATTTGTATGCTTTGAACTTAATGAAATCTGACTTAATGTTGACTGAAATATTAAACATAAGTTTAGCCATAAAATCTTAATTTGCAAATTAAATTGTAAGTTAAATTGACAAGCTTACAAGATACATCCAGTCTGCCGGTAATAGTCGAGCCCTCCAGTGTAGAATTCGTTACAAATTGCTTTAGAAGGGATCTCTCCAACATGTTTTGCGAATAATTACTCGGTATCGATAGAAAACCCCAGGCATCCCCTCGTTGAACACCTTTCAATGCCTCTTCATCTGACTGGTAGGTAATCTATTTTACAAGCCACAGACATACAACAGATATACATGCATGTATATGTTGGTATGTATATATTGTCATTACGCAAAAAAATCTCTTACCCATCGAAATTCATCGGGAGGAAATGCATTGATAAAACGGCAACTGACATCAGTTGAGAAGCATCCCGTCGTTGATGCAGTTTGACAAAATTTTACAAGGTTTTCATGTGGAAGCTCCCCATTCACAATGCCGAGATCAATATTCTTCGGATCGTGCCCCACGATCAGGAGAAAAATTATAATTTGAATAGGTGGTAATAGCACTACGACAAGTCCAAACCTGTGGCGAAGTGTCAATAAATTAAAGCTGTCAGAATTGAAAATCACAGAAAAAGTAAATCAAATGTCAGTACCAGGGCGTTCTAATTAAGAAAATAAATGTCTTCATAATTAAGGCCATCACTTTGTTGACATGATTTGAGATACATGCAGAACGTCCAGGGTGGTGCAAATTATATGGAGATGCGATTCCATCCGTTTTTACAACGGATTCTGCAGTTCCGGATTTATAGGATACTCCCGTGACATCCAAGTTGTCTTCTTGCTCGATAAATGGAGATTTATTCAAGTTGTCATAATTTATTTGAGGATTTGACACTAGGCCTTTGTCATCGTCAGCACAGAGCTTAAGAAATACTTTCTCAAGAAATGGTGTGTCAAAAATTTGAAGGAGAGTCTGAGGAGAATTTTCTGCCAAAAGCCTCCCACTCCTCATGATTCCAACGGTTGAGCTTTGTGATGCCTCATTGATGTAATGGGTGGTGACCAGTATTGTTGTATTTTGTTTGTAACAAATTTCTTGTAAGTGGTGCCAAATTCTTACTCGAAGAAGGGGGTCTAACCCTACCTAAAATTAAGAAAAAAAATAGGAATGAGATTTTAACATTGGGTGAATAACGTACGATTCAATATCTTGTGATTGAAAATATTCATTTTAAGGGAAGAGGTGCCTGAGTAAGTGTACTTACGGTCGGCTCAACTTACCGTAGGTTCGTCTGTTCAGGCCGTACCGGAAATTGAAGAAATTTAAATTTAAATGGTAAAACTTCAAAAATTGAATTTTGTTTAATATTTGTATGTGTTAATATCACTTTTACTTTGTAAACGTTACGTTTTGATCATTACCTAAAAGTAACAGCTTTGGCGAATGTAGCATTGCAATTGCTAGACTAGAACAAAAAAAAACAAATAAAATTTTTAGTAAAATAAAATTTATAAGGACAAAATGAACCAATAATAAAAATAAAGGATACACAAATTCTCTGTACCTCGTACGACGCTGTTGCCCACCACTAGTAGTTTAATTCAATTTGAACAATTAAAAACTTGTGTCAATTGCAATTTTCTTCAATGAAGTAAAAACACACCTGAGATTCTTAATCAACTTTTTTGGCTCCGGTAGTTCCAAAAACGTTGTTAGAAATTCTATCCGAGCATTCACTTCTACTGAGGTCATGGAGTAAAGTCGTCCGAAATAATGCAAAATTTCTTCTATTGTGAACACGGTATACAAAGCCACATCCTAATAAAGAGTATTTCATCGCATTACAATTTAAACTCCAAATTTGCTGGTGTCGCAAACAAAAATGCATTTCTTACCTGTGGCATCATACCAATTGTTTCAGAGTTCAAGGTTCCTGGCTGATGACCGAATACTTTGATTGTACCACTGTCCAAATGCCTTAGTCCACATATTGTCGATAACAGTGTGGTTTTTCTAATGAAATGCCACCATCAGTTCATGAGCATACGGAAACATGCATGCATAAGTCCAAGATCGTGTAACTAGAAAATATCTTACCCGCAACCACTGGCACCCAAAAGTCCATAGCTAAAGATTATATTTTTAATGTTAATTCATTACGCTTCTTGTGTTACTGATACCACGAAGGTTTTTGAATTTACGAATGTATCACTTACATTGATCCAGTAGCCACGCGCATGTTTAAATTATTTAGCACAGGCTCTCCATTTCTATATGATTTTTTTGCGTTTCGAACTATAATGGCGGGAACATTTGATTCAGAGTCTGAATAAACTTGTCTCAGGTTAACTATGTAATCCATCTTTTTAACCTCCTGCAAAGGTGATATCGCGTTGTTCAGCATGATGAAATAATTAAACAAATAAATAAATATTTTATCCACACAAATAGTCAAGAGGAAGTAAGTGACTTGTGACACGTTTGAATCTCTGATTGTAATTGATTCATGGAAAGTCCGAAAATTCACAAATAGTTAGTTTGTAAGAAATATGAAACAACATATGCAGAGTAATAGGAAATCCTATTTCTCAGTAAGCTAGTAAAAACTTGTGCTAACGAATTTCGTGGTGCCACGATGTCATAAATAAGTATTCAATTCAGTCCTCATACCATCAACGAATTTGGCGATTCAATGGCCAGGTATATCTTAAAGCTTAGCCAGAAACCTGTTTGCTGGTCAACGTGCCTGAAGCACATAATTTGTGTCATGCACATGAATATGCAGGGATGTACAAAAGACTTTAGCAAAATTTAGCATGCTGTTTGTGGTAAAGATTTAGTATATGCAGTAATTCTTACAACTAGAAGTCACATAATTACTTAGTGAGTTGCTTAAGCAAAAAACCTTAATTTCTAGGAACTAACGTGCTAAATGACGTATTTATTTAGCACCCACCCAAACCATATCAACCAGAAAGAATAATTTGCCTTGTTCCTCTTCAATAATATTGTCAACTTAATTTCATGGACAAAGTTGGTCTATGCCCGAAATGGGCATAGACCAAATGGTTTAACATTTAATTTATTTAGTCTCTGTCGCTTTAATAAGAATACAAAAATTTTTATTAGTGATTGTCAGGTCAGTAATGAGGGATACTTGGACGGTCGATAACTTATTTCCGAATGCGGTGTATAATTCCACTTAAACACACACAGAGGCTTATCCAAGTACAAAGTACCAGAAATCCAGGCCAGACATTATTATGAAATAAATCCTGACCTCGACTTACAATAGATCTGCTACTCTCGGCTGGCATTGTGATCGCTAATTTAAAAACATGGCATGTTTAAGCAATTTGCTGTTATGTATAAAAATCCATTCAAAATAAAATAAGGAATTACGAAAAAAATCCGTGATAAATTTTGCAGTCGGGTCCATTCCATTTCTTGGCCATGTACCACCTAATAATTATACAATTACTGACCTGTTATAATTACAAAGATAATCGATCAATTAAAGTTGTGCTGACACCAACCACTGGAAACTAGCACCGGTAAGTAGACGAATAGGGCCCATACCAAAACTTCTATCTCATGATCACACATAACTCCAAATAAAAAACCTGCAAGAACATCTTTTTTAAAAATACCTTCCATAATAATCTGCTATTACTTTAGTAGGTTTTAGTTACCAAAAGAAAGACCGCTAATGCCCGTAAGTAATGCTAATAAGAAGAAGAGAAAAATCGAGCCCTGAATTTCAAAGTTGAACACGACGATGAGTACCATCAAACAGAGGAAAAGTTCTAGAATCATTATGAGCCCCTCGGAAATCAAAAGGGAAACAATGACATGGAAAAAATCGACTCCTGCAACCCTGCAACATTATTTTTAAATAGAGCACATGGTAAACCACACGATGACTATACATAATATTGAGAATTTAGGAAAATTCTACATGGTTCTGTCCAAGGTGCCAGCCTTTTTGTCCCAAATATAAGTCACAGCTACGGTCATCGGGAGAAGGAACATGATTCTGAGTAGAAACATGGTGTAAATAAGTTTGTAGTACATACAAGTACCTTGATACTTACAGTAAAATTTGCACAGGCTGCATGTATTCAGCAGTCCCAGAATTGATGGCGCCATAAATTGCATTGTACTGAATAAAATTTTTTAATTTTTTTTTTGTTTTATTTTTTGGGGGATTTGAAGCAGAGGAATTGTGAAAAGTGAAAATGCCTTTTACCTTTAAGGGAAGTTCCACAACTCTGGGATCGCCACCACAATCACGCACCATTGCTTTTGCGAAACTCAGGTAATTGTTGTATATATTGTTCACCAAGAATACATTCATCAAGTAGTCTAAAGAACATGGTTATGTAAATATTTCCATGTACATACATATGTCTAAGTTTTTGTTTATACAATTCACTTACCAGCGTTATCCATACGCAATTTTATAGTACTGCCATCCAAAGATTCATTATCAGCATTATTTTTATACAAGATCCTGTTCTGCATGTGAAGTGTAAAATTATCCGGAATTTCCATATAACCTCTAACAGCACCGCCCTTCACATAGGCTAGCGCAGCATCTTTAGTTTCAAACTCATCCTATAAATTTTTATTTGCATATTGAATACTATAAAATTCTTATGGATATATTATCAAATATTATTTAAAAGATACTCTTCGCACCCACAAAATTTTGTTTCCGAATCTACCCAGATAATCACAACTCAGACCTGGACTTAAGCATCCAGGCTCCCGTTGTGCACAAAAACCTGCGAAACTGCGATTCTCAAAGTCCCCATTGACCACTCCCATCCGCTCATTAATCGGTTCACGGCCAACAATGTAGTTAAATAGCACTGTTTGGAAAGTTGGAAGTATCAAAAGGCCAACCACAAACCTAAAAAAATTTCGCCACATTGGCACTTATTTGATTGAATTACTGAACTATAAATTCAGAAATTTCTTCCAGTGGAATACTTACAGCGGATTCCGGAATAAAGTGAGAAAGTTTCTTTTCACCAAAGAAAATACTTTATCAGACTGACGTGCGAAAGTGTCGTTTACAGCTTCAATTACAGATTGCCTGAGCAGGAAATTATATTTCATAAAATAAAATATTAAATATGTTAATAAAATATTAAACATATTTAAATACCGTCTCCGACTGGCGGACTGCGATCGATTCCTTTGATACATGTCATCCTCTGGGGCTTTAGATTTGAATTTTAGTCCAACAACTGTATTTGCTTTAGTATTTTTATTGTGCGAAAAACGTTTCTTTTTTGAGTAAAATGACATTTCCTGAATAGCGTCCGATACTTCATCCGACGGCCCCTCCTTCTTACACAACTTTAACACAATTTCCTCCAACAGGTTGGCCTTGTGTTCTTCCAACAGGTCTGATGGAGGCTTCTCGACTAACAGGCGTCCTCCCCTCATCAATCCCACCTTGAGTTATAATAATCATATATTTTATTCTCATAAAATTTTGCTACCACGAAAATTATGGTGAAACTAACCGTATCACTTTTCGAACTTTCCTCAATATAATGTGTGGTAACTAAATAATTGTTAAGAGGCATTCACAATATTGTCTCAAACGTAAAGCCGACTGGGTATACATATGTCTATGCAAATGTTTCATACTTATGACTGTAGTGCGTCTTCTTGAGACGAGGTCAGTCAAATATTCCCAAATGCTGTGTGAATGAATTAAGAAAGAATAACTCATCGGTTATCAAAAGACTCATTAAGCACTTTTATACTTTACCTCTCTCGGATAAGCGGATCCACCCCTACCTAATTTTAAAAATATAAGAATGAGATTTTAACCTTTGATGCATAGAGTACTATTAAAAATGTTTTGATTTAAAATATTGGTGTGAACATTTTTAAGGGTAGAGGTGCCTCATTAGTGATTAAAGTGTACTTACGGTTGGCTCATCTTATCGGACCGGACCGGAAATTGAAGAAATTCAAATTGAATTGGTAAAACTCATTTTATATTTTAAATTATTGGGGTTTCAATTTGAAAGCAAAAACTTATTAATTTTTGCAGTTGAATTAGTAATTGGTTATTGTATGTATTAAGTGGACATGTTCAATACCTAAAATAAGGAGCGCCGGAGTATGTATCAAGCTTACACATAATGACACCCTGTTGATTGAGAAATACTGATCGTTGTAGCTTGATATGACCTAAATAAATATGCATTTAATATCCAGCATATTCGAACCATACCTCCTCTGTTGACCCCCGCTAAAAGCATTTAATAATCAATATTTAGTTTCGACGACTCTTGTAACTGCTGTATATTCTCGTAAAATAGAACCTTAAACTGTCAATTCTCCTAGAGCCTGGTTCCGGCAAATCCAGAAAACTCATTAAAAATTCGATACGAGCGGATATTTCAGACGTACTCATTCCATAAATTCCTCCGAAATAATATAATATCTGAAAATAAATGTTTTTACTTACAATGCGATGACGCCAGCGGTCTCGCTCCGATTTTGGCGAAACAACTATAATTATGTAGCCTTACACAAATAATTGAACACATGTTTCGGGATTTTTCATAATGCTCAGCTTAAACGAAATTATGACGTGATCCGTGAACGAGAATTTATCTCTACCGTGACATTTTTCTCGTGAGGGAGAAAAATCCAAATTCACGCATAGCGATTCCATCATAATTTCGTTTAAACTTAAAATGCGTGGGCATGAAGTGGTTTTCTACCGATTTCAAATTACTCGCACAAATTTTGAAAAATTTTGAAAATTTTGAAAATGCAACAAACTAGAGATTTCCAAAAATTAAAATTTTTGGAAACCAGATTTTTCTTAAATTTTCTTAAGACTCAATCTAATTCTGTGCAAAAATATTTATGCATTTTTGAAACCGGATAAAAATTTACCGCATTTCGATAAATCCTTAATTTGGCTTAAAATTTATTCCAAAATTCAGCCACAACCGAAATAACCCTACCCGTATTTTTACTTTTTCATGAAAACGCGTGATTTCGGTTGTAGCGGAAATTGACTGACTTCAGAAAATTCGATTGAGTAACTTAAGAAAAATCTGGTTTTCAAAAATTTTGATTTTTCGAAATTTCTGGTTTATTGAATTTTCAAAATTTTCAAAATTTTTCAAAATTTGTGCGAGCAATTTGAAATCGGTAGAAAACCACTTCATGCCCGCGCATTTTAAGTTTAAACGAAATTATGATGGAATCGCTAAGCGTGAATTTGGATTTTTCTCCCTCACGAGAAAAATGTCACGGTAGAAATGGAAATTCTCGCTCACGGATCACGTCATAATTTCGTTTAAGCTGAGCATTATGAAAAATCCCGAAACACGTGTTTAATTATTTGTGTAAGGTTACATAATTATCGTTGTTTCGTCAAAATCGGAGCGAGATCGCTGGCGTCATCGCATTGTTAGCAAGAGAAACGCAAAGTTTGGGGTCTACACAATAAAATCTTAACGAAAACTTACTTCATCAATTTTCATCTTTTGATACAAAGCAATATCCTGCATAAAATAGTATAAAAATGGATTTTAAAACATGTATGAATTTTGCTAACCGCATGTAATGGACAACCTGAGGCATGAATTTTGTGACTGATAAATATAAACTAATTCTTTATCACCTGAGGCATGTATCCGATAGTTTTGCCTGAGAAAAGTTCAGGGAAATTAGTTTACAACTACATAATTTGATTGTAATTCTTAATAATAGTGAGCTTGGACAAACGCTCGTAAACGAAAACGTACATATACGGAAAACAGTTTAGGGGGATTTATTTTTGGGATTACGTTAAGAAATTTAGGTTGGGCACATACAATTTTTAAACGTATACTTTACTATAATTTCCGTATAATATTTAGCGAATGTTATGGTGGCGTGGCATGGGGATAGAGTTTGTCACCGCGTGGTGAAAAAAATGTCGGTGACAATTTAACACCATGCGTTGACAATTTTTCGTCATGCGGTGACAAACACTAACGCAATGTGATTTCACATATCCACGCACGGTGAGGATTTACATCACATTTTGGCACCGGGTTATCTTAAATTCCGATAAATAAATCAATTTGTTTCATGTCATTCCATAAAGATCATGCTGAAATTTTCGTTAAAACATACGCTTAAAAATGATATGCGCCCAACCTATATTTCTGAACGTTAATGTAAGCGCAAAAATAAACCCCCCTCCCCTTTTTCCGTATAGGTTTTCGTTTACGAGCGTTTGCCCAAGGTCAATACGGAGCTATGTAAACCTGGAATGCCGCTGTCCTTTGTGCCTGGCCTAGCCCCATACACCCAGATATCTCCTGCATCAAGCTTCCGAAGTCCTACAATGCAAGAAAGTATCGTTGTTTTTCCACATCCACTGCTCCCGAGGAGTCCATATCTGAATCGTAAATGTCGTTAGCTATTACTATAACTAAAAGATTTAGTAATTACTTAAGTGAAAGCATTCGTACATTGTTCCTCGGGGTACCTTTGGATTATTTGAAGAAATGGTTTAAAATTTTACATTGTGTTTTAATAATAAGTATCTATAAAGTTTAACCTACTGTCATGTTGAGATCGTTAAGGACAGGTGGTCCTCGGCCGTAGGTTTTGCATGCGTTTTGTACTTGAACTGCAATTGGCCTGTCTGGGCCGATATTTTTCTTTATGTTCTTCAGAGTCAGATGCCCATCGATTGGCATCCCGTTTTCTTCATGTCTATTGTTGGCAAAATTCGAATCATCCAAGGCTGACGAACTTGAACGCGCAACCATAATTACGGATTAAAATCGCATGCACTATTTGAATTAATATCCGCTACAGGTTGTATTCACTCATTTACTACTAGAGTCTAGTAATTAGACACATGTGTAGATGTTAAGTATTGAAACTAACTTGAAAACATGCAAAGATTGTGAATTGCTATGAATTCAAATTTTATCTTACTAAATCAGCTACGCATTCTTACCCCAACTGAGTACTGGAGAATCCCATAATTTTGTTAATATTCAAACAAAACTAGTTAGTAGTCAGTTTTCTACTGTTTATTTAGTTCCCACGAAATGCTTCCTAACCAGTATCCTCTGGACTTGAGGTTGTCGATCACTGCCAGAAAATACCGTGTCCGCGTCAATTATGAAGTCTAATGAAAATGACATATTACAAAGTTGTGCAACGAATGTGGAAAATACAATGCCAAAATCTTCACACATTCACCCAGCCTAAATAGTAAAACCTTGAAGACAACATATTTACCAATTCATGTAAATGAGTATATTTTTAGCATTGATAGGAATAAAACAGTTTCGATCATGGTGGAAATTCTCACAATGTGTTCTATCAAAAAGAGATGCCAAAAAATAATGGCGAAAGAAAGAACGCAGCTCGCGGCTGGAGGAATTATCTATTATTCGCTTATGACCAACAATAAAATACGCAATTCATTCATGCTCATTCATTAGCTCGTCAAGTGTAGTCGTTTGGTCCAGTAGTCAAATTAAAGAGAATCCACCACCCCCATGTACTTTTCTACTCCTTAGGCACATGCTAAAAAAAGCCTGCTCATGCATAGATGCTGATATATCTCCTTGAAACTTTCCGCCATTCAGTGACCTGACCAGCATTACTGGAATTTCAACATAGCGTGGTCCACTTCAGATGAGAGTATGTGCATGCAATAATATGCAGATTTAGGCAATGTACAGTTTATGGGAGCAAAATGTGACATACCGTTTATCGTGTTCATACAGTGATTTTTTTATTGTGAAACTGGACTGGACAGTAGCACCACGAATTCATGGTCATTTCTTTGCACCGTGTAAGTCTGGGGATGGTAAATAAAGTACGAACGGTGTGGAGGGGTGGGTGGATGGGTGCAGTATTTTTATGCAAGTCACATTCAGCATTTTAATAGCGTCTCAATGGCAAAAAAATCAATTGACATGAGGAAAAACCAAAGTCTCTTTATTGGATGTCGCAGTAGCATAAAAATTGTTTTGCTATTCATCTCACATTTTCGTATGACGGAATAAGACAAATAAACGATGGTGCAGTATGACAATGGATGTAAAAAAATGGTACAAACTGGAACACCTTAAACACAGTTTCACTGTTACTATTGCCAATAAATTACCAGCTTTAATTTTTTGATGGAATATAATGCGAAGCGTAACTAAAATATACAATTTTATTAATTCGGAACAGAATTAAGTTGTTTAATGTCATAAATCAAATGGTTAAATTTTGCGTTTTATGATGTGAGGCTCTTTTGGTAGTGATATGTATCGGTTTATACTACAAATATAGCTTGGTGAGTTGAAACGAATATTATAAGTGATTCTTTTGTAAATCTCACAGTGTCATTGAAATTAAGTATTATTATAGAATAATTTATTACGTGTGTATAATATTTAATACTTGCACTACAATATTAGTATAACAAATGAGACATATAAGTTTTGTGCTTGTTATTTTATGAGCAAATGTACATGATAAAATGCAGGTAAGTATTTATTTAATACAGTCTTTTCAGGCACCACTGATTAATTCTAACTTGGTTATTTGAATCTTCTTCTAAACGCTAGTGATGCCAAAATCCAACTGCATACAATCCACGTCAAGAGGACAGCATAGGCAGGCAACACATATTGGTGGGTCAGAGGCCATCCCCTCGAGATTATTGACCTCACCCCACTAATGGCCCATGTGCAGGGCAGACAGTAGCTGATACTACGTATCCACCAAGGGGCAGCTTCAAGGGGCCACAAAATACCTACGAACTGCGATTAGTCACATTCTTACCAAATTGATATTACTATATACCACGTACCACAAAATATTAAATTTGGGAGGTAAAACCCAACACCCAAAATGAGAGCTTCGACCTCCTCATCCACGAGTTGTGCTATGAGGAAACCTACAAGATTTGATGAACCATCGTGAAAAATCTGGTCTTAAAAATTTTGATTAAATTTGGTTTGTTTCAAATTACCGAGAGACAGACCAGCTGCCCCTGTCAAAATTGTGATGAGAAGAAATCCTACGACAGACCCTTTTATTTCCATTTGAAAAATATATAACACTAAAACGTAAGCGATCAGGGTTTGGACGATTATAAGGAAGCCTATATAAAATGGAAAACATGAAGGTTGCAAGTTGATGATATACTTATGGGATAAATTATGTAAGGAGAAAACTAGCACCTTCCGTGACAAAGAAGGCTGACAGAAGATCCGTCATCTTAATGCCGGCAACCATTGATCTAAATGCACACAAATAACTTTAACATGCACACTTTGCTTAAAATAAGTTAGATCTACTCAAAATATTACCTATCCAGAGTTCCCTGTTTCCTGTCGGTAATATTGTACACTGAACAGGACAAGTATGGAATGAAGAACAAAATTACGATTAGGACAGCAGGAGCGATATAATCGTGGAATGTAATGTCCAAAGAACCGTAGATCGGCGTGAACTGCAATTGCATAAATAAATTCTATGTAAATAATTTACCAAAATCGCACGGCAATAATTTTTGTTCTCCTTACGTGCAGGGGTAGATCAGCCTTGTGAGCATCTTGTTCACAGTTTGATAGTGTGTTTTGTACAAAGACTAGAAAAATTACATATTTATGCAACAATTTGGTAACACGAACTATGTATGAGTAGAAATAAGAATGCATTTTAACAAAGCACTATCGTATCAAATAACCTTACCTAGAAAACTTTCGTACAGACTTTTAGTAAGCAGTGCAGCAGCAAAATAATCTGCAATACGTAATAAATATTGATTAATCATTCTCTGATTCCCTTTGGTGTAACTGATTTACGAGAATGGTCCAGTTGTAGCGTAATTGTCGAACCATCCAAAGTTTCATTGTCTGCAAAAATATTTGCGGCAGCTCTATCGATAAGATGATTACTAAAGTTATTGGGGAACGACATGTATCCCCATATTTTTCCTGTCTTCACATCGCTTAATGCTTGCTCTTTAGTAGTTACTGCAATCTAGAAACAATGACTTGACGTTGTAAAATCAAATTTCTAATAAGCTGATAGCAAACTTACAGGATTGATTATATTATTCGGTAGTGACTTGATGTACTGACAACTTAATGCGGACGTCTCACATTTCTTCATATTTATGGAGTCGCAATGAGACAAATCATTATGAATCTCTGGGTCAATTATACTGGAGCCCATCAAGATAATAAATTACTTTAAATATAATAACTTAACGCCAACTATAAAGAAACCCAGACTTACCCGAATGCGAGATTCTTTGGTTCTGGGCCAAGCGTTAAATTTGTGATAATTACTTGGAATGACAGGAATTTTAGAATAGGGATCGTTAGCGGGTCGAGTCACTCGACTCGAGTGATGTCATTTTGTTCAGTTCGACGAGCTGAACAAGAATATCGAAACCCGAAAGGTTTCGAAGTGCTACCTAGAAGAGCTACGTAGAAGATGGTAGGAGAATTAGATAGGAAATAACCCCAAAATTTTCAAAACACCCCGAAAACCCTCCCGCCGTGCGGGAAAATGCTTGAAATTCAATATTCTGCAATAAAAACCCAAAATCTCAACATACCCCCCCCCCCAAAATCTCAATATACCCCAAAAAATTTCCCGCTTTGGGGGAAAGTGAGACAAAGTCTTAGAATTCTCTGAAACGTTCCAAAAATGCAATAAAAATTTCAAACTTTGACCCGCCATAACTTTTGAACGGAGCGTTTCCGCGCTTTCGGGTTTCGATATTCTTGTTCAGCTCGTCGAACTGAACAACATGACATATCACTCGGCCCGCTAACGATCCGCCCCTATTCTAAAGTATACCCTGGAATGAGGGCATAACAAATATTGCGAGCATGAACCTATCATAAAAATATTTCAAAAGTTATAACGGCACGAATTTTTGCAAGTGAATACGTATATCTTACAATGGGCTGCGAAGGAGTGTGAGTGAATTTCGAATCGCAAGTGCACGAATTCTGCTATACTTTCCCCAGATTCCTTGAGTGGCTTGTTCCCTGATGGACATTGTTCTTTTTAGTGGCCTACGTTGAGCTTGACTAGTTTCGTTCTCTTTCTGATTTTTGTTTAGGTTCTCATCAATGGAATTCTGCTGCTTAAACTTCAGTCCTCTCACAGCCACCTCCTCCTCCCTTTCCGCTTTAATTGCGGGTTTAAAGTTGTTCTTGCGTCGAGAATAAAACGAATTTTCTGTCAACGCCTGTCTCACTTCTTCGTGATTCGACTCTCCAAATTCAGTTGTATCATTTCGACAAAGTTTCAGCACAATTTCATCCAACATTACACAATGATGTTCAGCCAGTAGAGCTTGTGGACTCTTTTCTGTTTGAGGGAATGAAAAGTAGACATTTTCAAATTTATTCAGTTAGCAGCATCGTGACACAATGTGGCCTTAAGCCCATCAAAAATGCAACGTATCATAATACTTGAATGCTAAAAAAACTAACCGACTAGTAGTTTCCCATTGCGCATAAGTCCAACCTAAAATTACAAATTCTAATGAGATTGCTTTGCTACGCAGGTAAAATTGCACTTCATAAACCAATTCGTATTATGCGTGTTGACATACATCCATTTGGAACTTGTTTAACTCTCAAAGATAAAAGACTCAACAAAATTAACATCAATGATCTAACGATCACTTTCCATTGTTTTTGGTACTATCTAAAGTATGCACGCTTTGCATTTGACACTTAAAAAATTAAGTGTTGTTGCATAACAGCAGAAAACTGGTCTTGAATTTCAATCAAGTTTATGTAGGTGTACAAACTTAATACGAATACCACACAATATGCACAGTATTATTATCCATTGTATGCTTTATTACCGTGTGACTCTTGGAAGATGCTTCTTCAATATAGTGTGTCTGAAATAATAAATCAGCATTCACGAATGCTTTATATGCATATGTGGCAAATTCAGAGTACGAAGTTAGCGTTAACTTACAGTGACTATCACGGTAGTAGATTTTTTTTCCACCATCTCGGATAAATATGCCCAAATGCTGTAACAAAATAATTGGAAATTACGTATCATTTAGTGAGAATACAAGCGTTTTCTAGTTGATCTCATTTCTGACAACAACGTCAACAACTAATCTCAACCTATGGTTTTAGTTAGAGATGAATCTCAGTGGATGACGAGTTCTACGTACTTTAGTGCAAGCTGAGAAGCATAAACTAGTATTTGGAGTTACTGGAACTAGTAGCAAAAAGTGGTCTAATTGATTTATATGTGGATAAATCCAAGAAAACCACATATCATGTATCCATCAATGTACATATGTCTGATCAGATTAGATAATACATATGCATATTTGCATCACAGCAGGATACAATAAATTACTTAAGAACGACTTAAAATGACTTAAAATGCTTACGTCTCCCTCAAAAGCGGATCCACACCCACCTGAAATTAAAAAAATAGAAATGAGATTTGAACACTGAATGAATAACGTACGATTAAAAATCTTGTGATTGAAAATATTACCGTAGGTTCATCCAGTATTAATAGTGAAGGCTCATGCAGCAAACATGCGGCAAGTGAAGTGCTAAAAATCATAACCATGTTTTTTATAAAATAATTTAATGTAATACATTTTTATAATTATATTTTCTTCCATCCATCAACTATTATTTATTGGAACACGTCATCACATTGGTATTTAGACACATGTACCAAACACAACATATTTATACATGTGTATGTAAATGAATAAAAAATAATCCCCTTACCGTCGACTTTGACCTCCACTGTAAGCAAAAATGATTTGACACCATTTTAGTATGTAATTACGTATGTTCAACAATCCTGCGTCATCATCATCACATGCTACTCTCATTAATATGCATGTATATAAAAACTACTTACGAAAGTGACCCAATAATTCCAGTGGGGTCAGGTAACGCCAAGAAATTGGTGAGGAACTCAATTCGACTAATAATCTCAGAATGAGTCATCCCATATATCCGCCCAAAATACTAAAGAATAAATGAAAATAAAGGTTTGAATGGAGAATTTTAATATAAAATGGACCACTCTTTTTTACCTGTAACATTTCTTTAATGGATAAGTGTTTGTATAGTGCTATATCTTGAGGCATGTAACCGAGACGTCGGCCAGGAATGTCTCTGGCCCCATACACCCAAATATCTCCTGTGTCAAGTTTGCGAAGTCCGACAATGCACTGTACACACACATTTTAAATAAACATACGCATACAATTAACCATTTTTCAAACAAGGTAGGCACACTATACCGAAAGTATCGTAGTTTTTCCACATCCGGAACTGCCGAGAAGTCCATAACTGTAATTAAGAGATTAAACTGTGTTTTCACCAAAAGTAAGGCCCATTCACGAGTTATTTTCTATGTAAATCAGTATAAACGCACATTGTACCAGCTGGAACAGTCATATTGAAATTTTTTAAAACGGGGACCCCATTACTGTAGGATTTGCATGCATTCACAACTTGAATGGCTGGAGGACCTTGTTCTTTCGCCGGATGGCTGGGGATGACTGAAGTCGGCGAAGCGGTCCGTTTGTCACCCATGTTGTTGTTGATGTTATTTAGTCCCAGTGATACCGGATGAATCCTGAAGACAAAAATATTATTTGAAACTTTTCACCCTTTTAAATTTTCGTATTATCAAAAGTGAGAAAAAATAATCAGCTCGTACTCGTTCAAATTAGGATTCGGAGGCATGCTTCAGTTGTACTTTGCCCAAAAGGTACTTAAAATTTAATGAAGCTAAATAAAATTTTGAACACAAGTATCTCGAAGCGGTCAATTGCAACACTGGAGGAACTTTCCAGATTGGTGGTTTCACTACCAACATAAAACTCTGCCAAAAACACTTTCCTTATTTAACGAAATTTAATGTTTGGTTTAAAGTGGTTGCTTCGCAGAGTAAAACAAATGTTCAGTGACTGACTCATGCAAAATTAAAGCATGATTTTTTTTGCGTTGGATGAAGATGAAACTTAAGTGATCTTTATGTTCTTCTGTTGAAATATTAATACACACAAAAACGCAGTAATATTTTTATCCATGTAAAGTTAAAGATATTTAATCCAGTTTTTGCCGGTCACGAGTAACAATAAGGATTACGATGATTTATCTTGGAAGGCTAAACAGTAAATACGCGTGTTGACCACCGAGACCAATCTTTTGTGATTTCAAGTTTTACATAGACTCAATCACTACGAAAATATTTGCATGAAAGAGTGCAACCAAATTACAAATGAACCTGTTTCATAAGCGACCACACCACTTTATTATGGTTAGACGACGACCAACGCTAGCGTCACTGAGAAGTTGGGAGATGATGACGAATCGTTCCAAGTAACAATAACAAACCACAAAATAACGATATATATGCCAATGTCAAACCTGCAACCTACTATTTTGTCATAAATTTTGTCATGATCAACATGCATACGCAACATTTTAGCTTATTAATGATTATGTTTACATTCTTCCATAATTTCTCTGAAGAGTTGACCTGAGAGATAAAAAATGTTTTGGAGATGAACGTAACAAAACTAAATATGCATATCCTTCCGCTTGAAGAAATTGTTTTTACTATAAAAGGAACAAGGAAAACAGTCTACTGTGCAGCAGAACGGAAAATTTGCATGGAGCATGAATATAAATACAGTAGAATATGAAAAGTATTAGAATAAAAAACCTACAGTGCAGACTTAATATAGCCCGAACCTCATGTTTCTAGTATGTAAATAGTTGAGTTTGAAAATCGGCGAGGGTCCCCCTTTTTAATCGACATATGGATATATGTATACTACAGTACCATGTGTGTAAAATTTCAGCTCGATAGGATGAGCTTAAAGAGAGATACCGTATTCCGGACACAACGGATACATTAATTGGCACTTTGGTGGCTGGTTAAAACTGAAAATTCCCAAATTTCTAAGCAATGTTGCAATGTTGACTAATATGAATGAAACCATGTTGCATTAAATTTTTCACGGATAGAGATATTCTTCAGCCAAATACTTCTTCCAATCTGAATGTTAAAGTTTATTATTACCAGACACACGCAAAATCATCTAATAACAGTTTCACTTCCATTCAATATTTAATCACGAATGAAATTTAACCCCAGGCCAGTCACTTCGTAAGTCACGAAGAGGCGCACGTTACAAGTCCCTATGCATAAATGCTTGCAATTAAATTGGCGAAACATTTGCAAAGTTTTGTAGAACTAAAAGCGTTAATCGCATCTCAAGGTTTCAGAAAATACACAATTGCCACTTATTTAAATGCATACGGATACGTATCGTCTTCTTGGCCCATCTATGTACGTGTGACATGTTGCAGGTTCAAATAAATATTTAATTGGTACCATTTACTATGTACTTTGGTGCACGTAAGTCTTAAACTAAAAAAACACCATCGAGTCTAGTAGTAAAGATTCAAGTCTTGTCACAACACTCTCACTTCCTGTTGCATATGTATTTGTGTGTATGAATATGGGTTGCTAATAATTTTATGAATAATTTTATGGACTTGCCCACAATATTGAACAATTAACTGCTTGAATGCACACTTCACTCCTTTTCAGACTGTACTCGTACCTTAAATCTTAGAATAATCTGCTGGACAAAGGTACAAAGTATTTGTTGTGGGTAGCAATGTGTGACCATAATAAGATAATTACGGAAGTTTTTTTCAGAACACGTAGTCGGCACTGACAATAATAATTTCTTTGTCCTGAGTGTATTATATATATTTAAAAAAGTATAATAATGTGGTGAGGCGATTACCTTTTTTCACTCTCTTTCTCTCTGCATGTAATAAATCGCGAACCCACAATTTTAGGTGTCTAGTACGTCTGAGAGTCTAAAAAAAAAGAGTCACGGTCAATGCGTCCTGCAAATGACTCTTGTTGTCTTGTACTCTCTTGAACGGTCTCGTGTATAAATGAGTCTGTATTTTCATATTCATGAATTAAAGTCATCTCAGGAGGATTCACAAGAATCCACGCATCGGTAACCTTTCACACAATTTCAAGTGTGAGGGGAGGAGTATGCATAAAGTTGTGTTATGAAGTTTGAGGAAAGGAGATCCTCGTTGACTATTTACTTTTGGTTCATTGTGTTGTGACCAAGATGAGGAGTTAGAGCCAATGTGCTAAGTTTTTGTCTGATCTTCTTGGTACTTGCCTCTAACTACATAATACATAATAATGGACGGCATAAACCTAGCTTCGGCTATTAACTCAACTTCTCCGAACGCAAAAAGATGAAATCCCAAAGCGGACTTGGACGGACGAACCAACCAACCACATAGTTTTTTTTAACTTGTTCGATCAACAACCATTTCAATAGAAGCAACCTGAGCTCATCCTCCTCGTCACTTTTGTAGCATGCAGAATGTGCTACACCTTTTATCTCAGGGAATCCCTCAATCGCATCTTCGTATTATTCAATGAAGGCATATATAGAAGTATGTACGATGAACGGAGCGTAAAACTATGTACAACCGTGACTTTGATGACTGTCGGTGATATCACAATTCCGAGAAAAGTGGAAGTAAAATGCAATTAGTCGCAAATATTCCAAAAAATGTGTATTGCTGAAAAGACAAGAAATATTTATGATGTAGCTGAACTTTACAAAAAAAATCGTTCACAGTCTTGAAGCCAATTACTGTCTTAGACATGAGGCTGGGTTCATCATGACTCAACAAATTAAATAACTGAACACATTATAAGTACTTCACGCTGTAGTCGTGATGTTGGAGCTTTTGCAAGTTCTGAAATCTCTGGCATCAAAACTTTATGGCAGTTCCTGTTGTCGGAATGCAGCTGCCATTGTTGGCAAAGACGAAAGGTGTTGCTGGTAAATTTTAGCTCGAGTTAAAAACTAATTTAGTAAAGCAAGGATACCACATCATGAATATCATTTAGACCATTTTATGGTAGAATAAGTTCAAGCAAACACCCAAAATTTTTGCTGGATTGGACTCAAGGTCAATTACGGCAATTACAGTGATCTCTTCTGCAGTTTTTTGTCAATATATGTTAACATGATGACTAGAATTGGAGAAACCTACAATTTTGAGACAGTGATACAGACATGCAAATGAGTAGCTTTTATTTATATATTTATTCACATACAATGAAGTGTGCATCGTTAAATTGTAGTACATTAGACATTCCAAACTGAATGCGACATTACAGTACTTATGTACATACACACGCGGAGATGGTGTATAATTCATGCACTTGAAGCGCATTGACAAATGCCGCAACAAGATTAAACTTATTAAACTTGATAGCAGGTGGAGTAGATAGATCCAAATATTTGATTAAACCAGCTATTCATTTGTATAATTAAAATGCATTATATAACTTAAACGACGATTAAATAGTCTACAAAAATTAAATTTTTATGGGTCCAGCAAGACCGTGGAAATAAAGTGGATAAAAGCAGCATGCACTTAATTGATACTGACTTTTAGCATTCAATCAAGTTTTCACATCTGTCTGTGTACATATATTGGTGATGATTACTGTCAACTATTCTACATGCAAATGTTAAACGCTGCATGCAAACTATATTTTCACATAATATAATATAGCGCCCAGTAGAACCATCTTATTCCACATGCATGCAGTGATTACAAGCTAAAAGGTAAATCTATGTGTACATATAATTACACAAAGAGAGATGTATAGATTAATCTGTAACATATTCTTTTGCTAACTTGTACATGCATAAGTGCTTAAAATATACAAAATGGTCGTTGGTCTCTAAATCTCAAATATCGGATTAAGAAGCAAAATTCATCAATTCAACATCTGTCAGATGAATCTGCTCTGGATGTTTAAAAGTAATTATTTCAACAACGATGTACTATTACTCACAATTATTCAGTATAACTCGCACAGACGAAATACAAGGTCGCTTCTAAAATAGTCTCATTCACAGAAAAGCATATTTGCATTCTAGGAATCTATTAAGAACTTTAATTATGGCGTGGATGCATCGGAAAAGAGATACGCACCATCCATTTTTGCTTCTTGTGAATGGAAAACTGGTTTGTTTAAGTTGCTACTTATTTCACACCTGAAACATTAATTTTCTCAGCATACGTATTATTTGACCCTATAAAATCAAAATTTTCCACATTTTATATTTTTTTATTCAGTTGTAAATCGTATTATGTATATTGCTAAATACAAATAAGTTGTTCTGTAATTTAAGATTCGTGATGAATCCATTGACCCTGCCTGGTCGCTTGCATTTTATTTGAGAGAGAATCGTAAGTTTACATATACACTTTGTATAGTTTGCGAGTGTGGAATTTGTAAATATGCTTAAATACTTAATACGGATCAAAATGTGACTTCCGTGTCCCTTAATTCACAATAAAATTTACACAGACATAAAAGGAGTCAAGGTGGGATGCAACCAAGGGGGATGCGGGGCTTGTACCGTTTTGATATCTCGTTATTACAAGGAAGAAGATCAATTTCGGTATGCTTATCAGGATACAATGTGTAATGTTTAAGCAATTTTTTAAGAACCACCATTAATAGAAATACTTAAATGTTAGGCATTATTCTGCAAACGCTTGCATCACTCCGATAGCAAGTGTCCACGGTTCTCACATCATGACTGTTGAGTATCTCTCTGATGCGAAAGAAAACACGTGTCACGTCATACAGGTTTGTACAGTGATAGGAAATTTTATTACGCATATGAACACTAAACATGTGACGAATTAAGCCTTCCCGACACTAATTACGACACAATTTGCATATCCAATGCAATTCCCGGGTTCTGCTGCTATATTATGCTGAGAAAATTGCTCTACATACCATTTGACAACTCATTACATTACAATAAAAATGACACCAAGACAGATTTACAATTGACAAGCCCCAAATGTTTATTCCCACTAGACTCAATCAAATAACGTGGCTTGGAGGGAGGAGAGAAAAATAACTAACTTGACCAAATACATACAAAAAATCACTTCTCGTGACCAATAAGAAACTTCAAGGTGCTGGAGAGATGCCTCTTCCAGCACATTACCTGCCGAGATGCCTCTGCAGTGCCCTACAACATACCCTTTAACCCTTTTTCACCCTTGGACTGGTTTTCCTTCTTCTTATTTACTGCTGCTGTTGTTGCTGGAACTTCTCCAACACGGCAGCAGCACCAATCTTCGAGTTCCTCTCTCGACCGAATCCAACGACGAACTGACTGATTTTTGTTCGAGCTCGCAGTTTTATGCTACGAGCCAAGACTCATCCTCATGACAACTCAAATTACCCCTAAACTACTTTCTCCATAAATATAATAATAATATTCTCTCCCTTACACATCCCCTCCCCCAAAGCAACGCATATAAATTTACAAAACATTAGATTACAATTTAACAGTTACATACTTAATACAGGCACTATACAGATAAATGAGTACAAATATACATACGAATACAAAATTTTACACATTTCACTGATTATAAATTTGTTGGTAAGATGAAATGATGACTGACTAATGGTGCTGAATTGTCCATAGGATCCTTTAGAAATGGGGAATGAGTTCCGCTGCGAGTATTGCTTGAAAACATTGAGTAGAAAGACTTTCTGCAAAAACTTGATTAAAAATTTTCAAATCATTTTGAAAGGGGCTCCTAAATTATTGTTATTGGGTGATCAGTATATAAGAAATGAACAGTAACAACGACTTTTTCACTTGGAAATTACACGATTTCAACCCTCATTAGCATTTCCCTCTATCGAATGGACCTCTATAGTCACCCATAATTTTATTGCATGATTTAGGCTCACATTTTCCTCTCTTTAACCAAATACAACCCTTATTTTGTGAACTAACATACCTTCTCTTCCAGAATAATAATAAACTCTTAATAAACTTTAACCTAAAACCTAAAATACTTGGAGCGCTTAACTTGCCTCCCATCAATAAAAATGATCTACGCTCTTTGATCGTTGTTGGACTATACCAGACTCGAACGCATTTCTTCTTATACTTAAACAGATACTTGTATTTAAAATGTGATATACGTCTAGTCTCTCTGATCAGTGGGACTCTGCTAACTTCATAATCACTCAGAAATTTAGTACATAAATGATGATCTAAATAATGCTTTCGTTTTATATTTGGTGTCGTGACTGTTTTAACTTCTAACTTTACTACAACATCATTAATAGCTGGTATCACAGGTCTCGGATCGCTCTTCACTGGTTCACAATCGACCGTCTCATTATTGCATACACAATCAGGAGAATCACTACATAAAGGAGAAACTTGTTCAACTATTTGCTCGTCTGCCCGGCTGGGTTTTGAAGAAACTTTATCAAAGTCGAGAGGGGAGGTGCAAAATTTAGTCTCATTTCGACTACAATACAACTCGACCGACAAGTCTTCAAAAGAATGAACCTCTTCAAAATCTTTCATTACTTTCATTATTTTCATTACAAAATTGGCCCTGCGATTTAAGAGTTAACGCATTGCAAAGGGGCTCGACGTCTGACTGCTTGCCTACAATAGCGCTACCATCAGTGCGTAAACCCTTTACAAAAATGAAGTCACTAGTAGGTGGCGGTGAACCCCCTCCGGTCTTGGAACAACCAACCGACACGTCATGTAAAGCCACACTTTGCAAGACAGAACGAGATCTTTTACTTTCTCCACTTTCACTCTCTATATTAAACGGTACTATCTTTTGCCTCTCTGACCCTTGATACCAGCCACCAGAATATAAATCAATAACTATCTTATTAGCATCAATAAAATCGCGTCCTAACAAAACCGAATATTGCAACTCTGGCACTAAATGAAATTTTTGTTTCCTCTCTCCGGAAACCCATGTGGTAGTTAAATTGACAAATTGAGATGCTACAGAATGCCCACTAACCCAAGAAACGTTGGTAAGACAGTCTTGTTTACTAGTATTTAATAAATTTACTAAATTGATTACTTGTTGGTTAATTAAAGAAATGGATGCACCAGTATCCAACAACGCCAAAAAGTTACGACCACATACAGAAATTCTAATCAAGGGAGACTTCTGATCCCATACCATAACTGATTCCCTATTACTAAACTGGTTGCCATCATTAATAACCTGAGCCACGCAACCTACACTTGGCTCAGGTCGGACTCGTTTCCCGAACTCTGAATTTGGCGATGAGGACAACTCCTTGCAATGTGTCCTTCAACCCCACAAATAAAACAAACAATATTGTGCTGGGAACTTGTACTAACATTTTCTAGACTACTTGACTTATTCTGATTTAGTGTAGAAGGAGTTACTCGAGAACTACTTTCTGATTCAGAAGGTCTACAATGAGAAGATTGAAAATTTAATGGACCTGGCCAACTCATATTTCGAGGAGAGTTAAAATTTTCACGTGATTTCTCTTGGGCCTGATCAATGTTCCTTCTCTGCTCGAAAGTTGGGTTATTCCTATTGCGAAAACCCGACTGTTGATTAGACTGCCCTACAGAATGGAAATGCCGAAATGGATCGAAAGAGCTACGTTGTAAATCACTTGTACCCTGTGTACTAAACGACACTTTCCTATTTTGCTGATTAAAATTAAATTTCTGAGAGTCTGGCACTTTATAAGCTAATGAAGGTTCTACTACACAAAACTGCTTAGGCTCACGGTATTCTTTTTCGTACCATATATCCTCCTGCACTCTCAGAGCTGCGTCTGCTAATTGCCTCATATTTAGAAATTCCTCGCCAGTTCTCAGAATCTTTTGCCTATAACTAGGATGCATTTGTCTAAGAATTCTAGAAATTCTGACTGACTCAGGCGTAAGAGGATCCATTCGCTGATAAAAACCGTTAATTATTCTTATGTAATGAGATAGAGTTTCGTGAGGACCTTGTGTTCTTTCCTCCAATTCCCTTCTCAATTCCTCATCATACCCTGGTGGTTGAAACTCTTTTCGAAATAATTGGCAAAACTGATCCCAGCACGTAATACTGTCCCTAATGAATTGAAACCATTCATAGGCCTGACCAGAAAGGGCTATTGGGACAATAGAAACAAACATTTGCAGCTCAGACAAACCTGCGGATAATCGATACTTTTCTAATTCCGTCAAAAAATCAAAAGGAGTTTTTAACTCCTGAGATCCAGAATATTTAGGAATAACCAACTCCTTTCCTTTCAGATGAGGGAGTACTTTCTCTCTATTCCAACTTTCTCTTGACGCAGAATCAGAACTACTTTGATTTGCTTTCAATCCTCCTAATACGGATGTCAGCTGCTCTAAAATCCCTGCCACCTGCTTACTGGTCGTCTGACTCTCCTTCACTAAATTTAACACTAAATCTTGCACTTCCTTCGCTTCACCACCTTTTCCGACTCGACTATTCGAAATATTTGAAACATTGTGTACATCAACATCATCATGGACATGATGCACATCCTCCCCACTGTCTAATTCTGACCTATGTCTGCTCTCATTTCTCCTACTTAAATTGGAAGGTGCATTTTGCACAACCTCATTTACACCTAAATACGCCATTTGCTGTCGTCGTTCTCTCTTCTTTGCACCCCTAGTTCCACTAGCCATGGTAACAGGACAGACTAACTTTCAACTTTTCACACGATGAATGACCCTTGGCCCTTTTTCCGCTAAATTAAGTTTTTTCCGCTACTTCCTTCCGTTTTTCACTAAAAAAATGACCTTTTGACCTTAGCAAAAAAAACAAGTTTCGAACTGTGCAGATCCCGGTTGAGCCCCCAATTTGTGACGAATTAAGCCTTCCCGACACTAATTACGACACAATTTGCATATCCAATGCAATTCCCGGGTTCTGCTGCTATATTATGCTGAGAAAATTGCTCTACATACCATTTGACAACTCATTACATTACAATAAAAATGACACCAAGACAGATTTACAATTGACAAGCCCCAAATGTTTATTCCCACTAGACTCAATCAAATAACGTGGCTTGGAGGGAGGAGAGAAAAATAACTAACTTGACCAAATACATACAAAAAATCACTTCTCGTGACCAATAAGAAACTTCAAGGTGCTGGAGAGATGCCTCTTCCAGCACATTACCTGCCGAGATGCCTCTGCAGTGCCCTACAACATACCCTTTAACCCTTTTTCACCCTTGGACTGGTTTTCCTTCTTCTTATTTACTGCTGCTGTTGTTGCTGGAACTTCTCCAACACGGCAGCAGCACCAATCTTCGAGTTCCTCTCTCGACCGAATCCAACGACGAACTGACTGATTTTTGTTCGAGCTCGCAGTTTTATGCTACGAGCCAAGACTCATCCTCATGACAACTCAAATTACCCCTAAACTACTTTCTCCATAAATATAATAATAATATTCTCTCCCTTACAAACACTATGAAAAGTTTGGATATTTAATAATGACACGTCATGCTTATGCATATATAATTGTCCTCCGATTTAAGTTATCAATGGCCATGAACTTTCATTAACGCTTACTAAATTAATGTCTTCAATAAAGGATGCCATTGTAAAAGGTTGTGCTTCTCAGTGCGGGTTTTGCACCCCTGGAATGGTATATTTACAATCTTGTTTAAAATCAAGTCAAATGAACAGCTCCCAAATCTTGGTAACATTAATTTTATCTCATTAAGATAATGTCCTTGTTGGCAATGGCCTACACTGAACCGGACACTCGCTTGAATATCACGCAGATCAAGAAAGCTATTCAAGGTACATACTGCTAAATAGTATAAAATATCTGAGGACTGAGTCAGTCTTGACAAATACGATGTACATACTCATACATGCATATTATTATGGGAAATTTTCAGGAAATTTATGCAGATGTACAGGGTATCGATCAATTTTGCAAGCGTTCCAAAACGTATCTCTGTGCAACTCAAAGGCTGTTAATGACATTGAAGATATTGGGAAGGGGATTCAGATGTTCGAGTCCCAGAGGACCGTTGTCCCACATGATATGTCTGTACTCACAAGAATCGAGGCCTTAATTGTGTGCACATGAACCTTATGAGAAACGTGCTGCTCTTCTTATGCAGTTGGATATATAATTAATATATATTTTTACGCAGAAAAAATTATTTCGTGAGAAGCCCCACAGTTTCGTTGGTGTTGAGTTCGTGGGACATAAGCTGACTTGGATAAGGCCACAGTCGTTAATTGAGCTTTCTTCCCATTTAAAAAAGCACCCCGCAGCAAAAATTGTATCAGGATGCACATCAACAGAATATCACCCACAAAGGGTGTCCTTGCTCAAAGAAATAATTGTCCAGATCGACTGGCTGAAGGAATTACACTCGTTTGAAATTTATGAAAACCATATTTGCATTGGAGGCGGACTCGTGATTGCTCAGCTAAAGCATCACTTGCATCATGCAATGCAAGCATTACCAAGTAAAGTACTTATTTGCATATTATGTATCTATTTAAACAGTCATTACGTAAGTTTAAACTCTTCTTGATCCTGGTTCTCATGTGATTTTATATGGACGGCAGTATCGAAAAGGCGAAGTGTCAAGTCGATCCTTTGCATTCTTCAGAGATTCGGGTCTCCCCAAATTCGTAACTCAGCTGTAAATGTCTTTGTCCGATTAAAATTATGTACACAAAATATTCCGTTATGTATATTATATTCAGACAATTGGAGGATGTCTGAGCGTGGACAATAGTGCGTCAGATTTGCAGACATTGGCAAATGCCTTGGAATGGAGTGCTCTTTACTTTAATCCAGGTAGACAAAGACATACGAGCTTGATTAATGAACAAGATCCTTACGATCTCACATTACTTATTATACCGTATGCATAATAACATACATTACGTACGTATTTCTGATTCACCAGTTTCTCAAGCTCACAGCGAAATCAAATCAGCATTCCCCACTCATCCTCAGTCTCAGAGTATAATAGTGAACGTTAAAATTCCTTTTACAATGATGGTAAGCACGAATATGCAAATGTTTTTTTTGCGAAACAGGGCATGCAGTGTTTAAATAAGAGAATAATATTTACGATAATTTCTTTGTCCCTTCTTTATTATAACGCCATGTGATGTAACTAACAGAACGAATACACCTGGGCATATAAATTGAGCCGTAGGAGATTTTTTGATACTGCCATTCTCAACATTGCCAGCAAAACCCAAGTTATCCCGGCTGATAATGCAGATGCAAAAATCTTTAAGATAAACTTGTCATTCGGTGGTTCAGCAATCAAGAGATTTTCACTCCTCTTCACTTACGGAACTAAACCAGAGTAGGGATGAAATTTTGATTAATACATGTGTATGAATCCTGAATTTCGAGGTAAAGAACTCTAACTGTTTACACGTTTTTTTAGAGATTTAAGTTCAGAACTCTTCATAAAGATGAACAACGACATTCAAAAGGAGATATCCTCACATTTGAATACGCACATGTACTCAATTACTTACATCTCAGCGCTTGCAAAAAAGTAAATGAGAAAGTTCAAAAATTCAATTCAATTGGCTTTAAGAATCTTAATCTGATTTCTTACGCTTTTCACATATGTACCGAAGCCTGCTAAAAAAGTTATACGAGTACCTCCATGACGCATTACACCCTTCCGTGTCATCAATTCATCAAGATCCTGATGAGATGGCGTTGACCCAGCTAAAAGCCACACAAATGATTGGAACAGTATGATTTCATTTTTTTGTTAGTTTTAAAATCTATGTACAATTCACGTTTCAGACAAAGCTGAAGGATCAAATTGATACGGATTTGGTGTGGAGAGCTATCCCGCATGAATCAGCTTACAAACATGCAACGGGTGAAGCTGTGTATTGCGATGACATTCCAGGTTTCAAGAATGAGTTGTTTTTAGAATTAGTGTGGAGCAAACGAGCCCATGCATTCCTGAAAAAAGTGGATGTGTCCAAAAGCTTGGAAATCGAGGGTGTTGTTGGATTCATCTCTCATGAAGATTTAAAGGATAAAAACATGTTTGGAATCATTGTTAAAGATGAAGAAATATTTGCAAGCGAAAAAGTACGGTGTGTCGGACAACTAATTGGAGCACTGGTGGCAACTACTCCGTCGAAAGCAAAGTTAGCCGCCGAGCTAGTGGACATCCAGTACATTGATTGTCACCCGAGAATATTAACCATTAGCGTAAATAACACATATGACACCGAATTTGCAGGAATTTTTTTCTTACCACTGAACATTTTAAAGTTTTTGCGTCTGTTGTACTTTAGGACGCTATTGGCTACAAGTCCTTCTTTGATGAGCATAGCACTTCCCTGAAAGTTGGAGATGTGGACTCAGCTCTGGAAAATAGTGAACATGTAATTGCTGACGAAATTAAGCTGGGAGGTCAAATCCACTTTTACATGGAACCACAATCTGCGATAGCCATTCCCAAAGGGGAAGACGGAGAAATGGAGTTAATCGTTGCGACTCAAAACCCAGCTGAAGTTCAAGTAAAAATTAAATTATCTGAAATCACTAAGTTGTTACCATTAAAATGTATGAATTATATTAAAATTCAGCTCTTGGTATCGCGCACGCTTGGAATCTCACAGAGTAAAGTTGTTGTCCGCGTTAAGAGAGTTGGGGGTGGGTTTGGGGGTAAAGATTCGCGATGTGCACTGGTAGCACTGCCTTGTGCCGTAGCAGCCAAAAAATTCGGAAAACCAGTCCGTTGCATTTTGGAGAGACGCACCGATATGATAATTTCTGGTAAAAGAGAACCTTTTCTAGCTAAGTACGAAGTTGGATTCAATTCGGATGGCCGATTACATGCGATAAGGATGAATATTTATTCCAATGCCGGACTGTCATTAGATGCTTCCTCGGTCGTAAGTTCGCATTGCGAAAGTACTAATCATGACATGTCAGTAAACGTGCATATCTCGATTCAGTCGATTGAGCGGGCTGTTCTTAATTTGGATAATGCATACCACATTCCTAATCTTGATGTTTTTGGAGTACCATGCAAATCAAATAAACCATCAAACACCGTTTTCCGAGGGCCTGGAACAGTACAGGGATCACATTTTATCGAAAATATTTTGGACAGAATTGCAGCAAATTTGAACAAAGACCCTGCAGACGTAAGTATGCGTTAACACGTATACACATGAGAATGGGCTATAATTTCTTACCTGTGCATAATAATTTAATCACGGATTGCAGGTCCGATTAGTAAATATGTACAAAGAATCTGACTATACTCCGTACGGACAATTGCTTGAAAATAGCACAATTCGTCAATGTTGGGACGAGTGCATCGAGTCTTCGAGTTATTATGAGAGAAGAAAAGAAGCTGAATTATATAACAGGTTCATTTTAAATGGGAGATTTTTAAAAAATACAACGTTATAATTAATTATATAACTAAATTACGATTTCATATTTAGCACGCATTTGTACCGAAAACGAGGACTTTATCTGATTCCTTGCCATTTTGGGATAGGTTATATCTACCTACCTCTTAATCAAGCAGGTGCGTTAGTTCACATTTATCGAGATGGTTCAGTACTGCTGAGCATCGGTGGAGTCGAAATTGGCCAAGGCTTGAACAGTAAAATGATTCAGGTACATATGTACATACATACTTAGCACAACGCTATTGCGTCTTAATAATAAAGTAAGGTTGGCAAATTAATAACAAATCGCCCATAGAATAACATGTTTTTATCCGCTTTACAAGGTAGCAACAAGAGAACTGGGGATTCAATCTTCAAAAATACGAATACTCGAAACAGCGACAGATAAAATCCCTAATTCTAGTCCAACTTCAGCTAGCTTGAGCTCTGACATGAATGGAATGGCAACTGCAGTTAGTTTCATAGTTCTTACGTTTATTGACACCAATGTGCGGTTAAAAAGATGACTTAAATGACGCATACTTTAAAAATCCTGTAGAATGCTTGCATAATCTTGAAAGAACGATTAAGTTCTTATGCAAAGATAACTCCTAAACTGTCATGGGATGAAATCATTGAGCGGGCATATCTGGATCGTGTTAATTTATCCGCCGTCGGATTCTACAAGTATTTAAACAATGATGATCACATTCATGAGATTTCCGAGTTATATTTAACACTATTTCAGGACTCCTAATTTAAACTGGAATTCAAATGACAAGCGAGGAAGCCCTTTTAGTTATTTCGTTTCTGGTGCGGCGTGCAGTGAAGTCGAAGTGGATTGTTTGACCGGAGAGTACCAAGTACAGTTCAATATGCAAACTTTCAATGCTCATGAATATATGGCGATAGTCAATTAACTTGATGAATTAAGAAGTATGTACATACATTGAGTACAATTATCTCTCTCTTAAACAGCTTCTGAGGACTGATATTATTATGGACACGGGGAAAAGTTTGAACCCAAAAATAGATCTGGGTATAAAGATAAAAATAAAAATAAATGCAAATCAGGTATAAAAGTAGATCTGTGTATAGGTCAAATTGAAGGTGCTTTCATGCAGGGGGTTGGACTATTCACTCTGGAGGAAATGGTATAACTCGCTAATTTACGAAACAAAATGTAGCAACAAATTACTATTTTTCATAAATTATTGGTGTACCATTTCAAAGCTCATATGGATTTCCGTTTATCATAGTATCAGTTTATCTCGAAAAATCAAGTATTTCAATATTGAATGTAAAATATGCAAAGTTACTTTGCCCATTGGGTGGACCTACACTCTTAATAATTCGGTTATAAATTTCTAATAACTCGTATAACCAAGCTACAGGTTATCAGGCCTTTAACCAAAATGTAAATAAAATTGTAACCAATTTATAACCAAAGAGAAATTCTATAATGACCGTTCTGGTAATATGCAGTTTAACTAAGTTGGTTATAGTTGTAAACACAATGGTTATGATTATAACCAATAAATAATATTTTATTACAACCAAAGCATAACCAAAGGTGAATCAAATGAATTTTAATTTAGTTATAATGAAAATTACGTATGGTTATAATTATGTGCATCATTTGTATGATTTATAACCTATTGGTTATATGCAGTGTTTATTTGACGCTACGCAAGTGGCGCTGATTCACTTTACTTTTTACTCGCATCGTCAAAAATGTCAAAATTAGTTCGTGTTTCCAATTTGACTCGTGGAAAAAAGGTTCTAATTTCTAACGGAAATTATTCCGAATTTTTATTAGAAGGTAAGTATATCAATTAATAAGTTTATCAACTATTTATTTATAATTTAAATGATTAATTTATTATTTTATATTTCTTTCAGTTAAAGCAAAATTCGATTTGGAACCTGACGTTGAAGTAATTTTGAAAGATGACCAGGGGGCAGAAATCCAGGCAGATGTTTTTTTGGTGCTCTTAGATCTAGTTCTAATACCAAATTTGGAATTCATCATTAAAGACGAATTTCAAAATGAGGTTCCATTATCTTTTAACCTTGACCCTGGAATATCATCTCATGGTAAATTAGTATAAGTTAAACATTATTTATTTATTCTAGTAAATTTTTAAATACTTTATAAACATTCTAGTTGGCAGTCAAAATGATTCAGTTAATTCTTGTAGCAGTTTGACGACTTTTGGGCAAAATTTGGATTTCACACAGGTAAGTATACTAAAAAAATAGTCCTTAAAAGATTTAAATTGAAGTATTATTTATTTATTTATAGATTTTAAAATCTACAGTCGACAGCAACCATGAATTGCAAAATTTGGTCACGGAGTGCAATTCCAAAGGATTTGTCAACAAGCAATCATCAACAATATTAATTAATTGTTTTGTGACTAAATTGATAGAAATTAAAGGGTAAACTATTTATTAATAATTTTATTGTCATCATTTTTATATTAATGATAAATTTTAAAACCTTTTTAGGCCATCGCCCTCTACAGCTGATCAAAGGTTGTTTGCTATATCAATATTAAACATTCTCCCTTGTTGGAGATATCCTCAGTCAGCTGAAGGGATTGTAAGTTTTTTAAAAACTTTGAATGTTTCATAATTTTAATCATAAATATTAACTTGTTTGTTTTATTTTCGTTAGGATATTTTATTTGATGATGTCAATCGGTCTGGCCTAATCCAATCCCGTTTAAGAGCCATTCATCAGAAATTGAATGCTGAGCAACCAAATCGTAAAAGGTCATCTCAAATAAAAACCTTGGGATCTCATTCAAAAACTTCAAAAACTGCTGTAGCAGAATCCCCGGAATTTAATGAAAAGTTAGTTCAAGATTTGAATTCTGCAAGCACAAAGGACGGAGGAGGTCTTATCAAGGAGTTGATGGGTGCAACATTAGACCACAGAAATTACTTGCGTTCAACAAGAGACAATTTATTTTTGAAGATTTATCCAAAATTCAAAGAGTGTGATTTTATGGTATTTTTTAATGATTTTCAAATTATAATAATAAATGATTTCATAGATTTTTAATTGTTCTTTTATAATTTTAGATCAATCACGAGTTTACATTGATGCATCCCAATGATGACAATCGTTTTTTGGAAAATTGGCCGGCCCTTTCAGAAGGAATTGTTGAAAAAGCAAAGGAAATAAGTCATGCGCCAGCCCTTTTAAAATTCTTGGCAGAAGAATTTTGTAATTATTATTTTAATTAGATTTAAAGAAATATGAAAAGCATATAGTTCTCTTCTAATATATTGTATTAATTATTATTCTTTGCAGCAAATTGGGACAGCGGCATCGGTGCATTGTTAGCGTTGCTGCATCTCATTCCACCTACTGTCCAAGGCAAAGGAAAGGGGAAAAGGTGCAAATTGAATGAAGCGGCCGGCCGCCTTATATCATTTTATAAGGTAAAGATAAGTTAATTAAATAATCATGATTATAAAATAACTAATGAATTTTAATCAATTGCAGACTAATACTCCTCTACAATGAATCCTCGACACTTGGAAACCAGAAATCACTCAGCCAAGTCTAATCTGCATTGGAGATAATAAGAAAAATCTCTCAAGCTTTTTCGTTTACTGCGACGGACACATCCTTCCTCTAGCAGCACAAAATTCAACGGAAGCAATTGACTCTCTCTTCAAGACCCACATTGTATTTAGCATCGAATATGACGACAACTTAAAAGGATTGTGGAAGTTTCTTCAAGCCTTTGTATACAAACTTGATTTGGATTCGCCACTGCCACCCAGAGTGAAGCAAGTTTTCTGCCAGCTGCAACAATATTTTAATTAGTATTTAAAATGTTTAATTGTAATATATGTAGCAAACTTATTATTAGTAGTAGAGAGTTTCAAAATCATGTTAAATATATTCATAATTTTAGTGAGGTAAATTTTAAAAGTCAAATTTGCTCTTATAGAAATTGTGATGCTCAAATTAATACTTGGAGTGGATATATGCGTCACATAAAATCTCACGATAGTAATGCAAATGAAATTAATAATAATAATTTAGGATTAGATTTAGAAATTGTTTCACAAATTCCGGATTTTCAGAATGAAGTAGTTGTAGACGAATCTTGTGAAACTGAAAATTTTTCTGTTGAGCTAGGAATTAATTTATTAGTTAAACAATTAGGAGAATTTTGTTCAAATTTAGTAGCAAGCGGCATTAATAATTCAATTGTTGATTTAATAGTAAGGGAATTAAAGCATACCATGTTAGAAGCTTTGGAAATAGTTTTAAAAATTAGTAAACCATTTTGTGAAAAAGAGTTTGAAAATTTTTCAACCAAGACAAAATCTTTGTTACAAGCCTTTGAGAAAGTTAAATCCGCGTACCAAAGACAAAAATTATTTGAAAAGAATGACAAAATGTTATTGCCAGTTGAAATAACTTTAGGGAGTAGGGTTGAGCAAAAAGTTAGAAATTTCAAAAGGCATCAAGTAATGGTAGCCGATACATTTATGTATGTACCTCTCCTCAAAACTTTAGAAAGTATTCTCTCAACCCCAGCTTATCTCAAATTCTTTAATTGTGAAGAAAGTTTAAACAAAATTGGACAAATTTCAAGTTTTAGTGATTCCCAATCTTTCAAAAATAACAGATTGTTTGCGCATCATCAAAATGCTTTACAGATTCAAATATTTTATGACGATTTTGAGACGGTCAATCCACTTGGCTCAAAGCGTGGGGTCCATAAAATTGGTGGAATTTATTTTATTTTGAGAAATTTCCCCGATTACTTTAATTCTCAATTAAATAAAATAAATTTGCTAGCACTATTTTATTCCGAAGACGCTAAAAAATACGGAATAAATTCAATTTTAAAATTTTTGCTTCCAGATTTAAAAACTTTAGAAAGAGTTGGGATTAACGTTCAAGGTTTGGGAAACGTTTTAGGAAGCGTTTGCACATTAGTTTTCGACAATTTAGGAGCTAACTCACTTTTAGGGTTTTCTGAATCTTTTAATGCTAATCATTATTGCAGAATATGTTGTACAAGCAAGGATGAAGCGCAAATAATTTTAAAACATTCTCAAATGACAATTAGAGATAAAAACAATTATGAATTGCATTTATCTCAAAAAAATTATGGAGTTCAACATCCTTGTGTTCTGAATGAACTTCAATATTTTAATTTCATTGACTCTCCAACAGTCGATATTATGCACGATCTGTTGGAGGGAGTTGTACCATATGAAATCAAAATTGTTCTCAAAAAGTTAATTACTTTAAATTGTTTTTGTTTAGATATTGTTAACCAAAGGATTTTGGCATTTAATTTTGGTTATATCGAGTCCAAAAATAAACCAAGTCCTGTAAAATTAGATTCTGTTGGTAACAAAATTGGGCAAAAAGCCGCACAAGCATGGTGCCTTATTAGGTTCTTGCCCACAATTTTGGGAGATTTAATTATTACTACCGAACAAAAGAAATATTGGGAATTACTTTTACAACTTTTAGAAATTTTAAGTTTAGTTTTTTGTCGAAAATTTTCAGAAGCAACTTTGCTTAGACTTGATGAATTAGTTTATGTTCATCATAGACTATTTTTGAAACTTTTTCCAGAGTTACGTTTGATTCCAAAACATCATTTCATGTGTCACTATTCTTATGTGATACGACAAACTGGCCCCTTAGTTTCTCTTTGGACAATGAGGTTCGAAGGGAAACACAATTATTTTGCCCAATTGGCAAATAATATTAAAAATTTCAAAAACATTTGTTATTCCCTTGCAATGCGTCATCAGCAATATAGTTCTGTAATGTTTAGAGAGATTTCTATGAACGATTTTAAAGCAGACAAAATATTTTGTTTAAAGTTGACTCAATTTTCAAACTCATTTGACATTATAGAATTGCTTAGAAATGTCTCAGGGTTTGAAAAATGTGATTTGCAGACAGAAGTATATACAACAAATGAAATTATTTTTAGAAATTATTGTTACAAAGTTAATTATGTTCTATGTTATGGTATGGGTAATGTCTTTCCTAAATTTGGAATAATTTTAGATATAATATTAGCTAATGATAAGACATGTTATTTTCTTGTTCAAGATTTGAAGGTTGAATACTTTGACCGACATTTTTTTTCCTATAAAATAACATATTCGAAAGATATTTATTGTCTCATTAATGTTAAGGATTTGATAATACATGATTGCATGGAAGCTATGCAAAATAGTAAAGTAAATGGTAATTTTATATCTGTTCGACATCATATTTAATTTTCTATGTTAGAAAAGTAATTTTTATGTTATTATAAATTTAAATAAGTTGTTAAATATTGTATTGTAATATTTAATTAAGCAATTATGTATATTATAAGCTCTACTACTAATTCTATAAAGACCGAAGTGCAGTCGATAGTTAATTTTAAAAAGACCGAAGTGCAGTCGATGATTAATTTTAAAAAGACCGAACTACAGAAAAAAAATTCTAAAAAGACCTAAGTGCAAGCATGTATTTACTTATGGCTATATCTTGCCAAAACGATTCTTCACATATCGCGCGATTTAGCCATAAGTAAATACATGCTTGCACTTAGGTCTTTTTAGAATTTTTTTTCTGTAGTTCGGTCTTTTTAAAATTAACTATCGACTGCACTTCGGTCTTTTTAAAATTAACTATCGACTGCACTTCGGTCTTTATAGAATTAGTACGACGATATGTAATATAAAATGTGTTATTATACATGTATTATATTATTATTATAAAATAAAACATTTTTATAACTAGATTTTATAACCATCAAATGCATTGTTTATAACCAAATTGTGCATGCATATCTGTGTAATTGGTAATACGTATAACCAGAATGAATAAATAAATACAACCGACATGGTTGTTTCTATAACCAATGGATTAAGAAGTTATAACCATAAATACATGCATCCTTTAATCATCAAGGTTATTTTTATGTCCACCGTGGTTATAATTTTAACCATGCTGGTTGTCCGAGTATTATAACCAACTGGTTGTGACTATTACCAATCCGGTAGAGTCGTATACTTGTGCGCTCTGGTTATAATTTGGTTAAAATTTTATTAAGAGTGTAAAGTTGATTAATCCCAAATAACAGAAGAATGCATTTTGTCTGAAAGGTCACCGATGACTTTGGGAATCTTTTGACGACTGGAACCTCATCGTACAAGATACCCACGGCACTTGATATTCCACTCGAGTTCAACGTTTCGTTCCTTGAAGGGTCTTCCAATCCAAAGGCAATCTATTCATCCAAGGTACATTTAACTGCACAACTGGATAATGCAGTAAATTATAATAGAATTTTTTAAGCCAACATTTACACGCCTTTTTCTTCCAGACCGTAGGCGAACCTCCATTTATTTTGGCAAACTCTGTGTATTTTGCGATTAAAGACGCTGTTCGCCAATTCAGAAAACAGCTAGGCATGGATACAAAGTTTAAGATGGACTCTCCAGCTACGGTTGAAAAAGTTTTGGACGCCTGTAATGATTTATATGAACCTCTAATTGTTTAAATTGATGTTCTAATTTATTTTGTATATAAACTGAGTGAATTATTTATTGTAAGATTTATTTCGTAATCCCAATTTAACAACAGCTTTGAACACATCTTGAACACCATCTTTTGAAATAGAAGAACAATCCAAGGCGATTGCGTTCTTAAACTTTTTGGTAGCTTTAATAATATCCTTGTATTTTAGTGGCTTTAACTTATTTTCCCCGAGTCGCCGAAGTACAACTGGATCACCTCTTAAGTCCTTTTTTGTTCCCACAATGACAATGGGAATTCCTTTACAATTGTCCTTTAATTCTAGCGACCACCTTTCAAGACTGCCAAAGTTTCCCGATTTTGCAACTGATTCAGGATTATCTACTGCTATGCACAAAATGACAACATTTGTTCCAGGATAAATAACTTTTCGTAACTCGGCGTACTCTTCATCTCCACACATCTCAAATAAAGAAATTAGCACCTGCAAAACGGAATAAATTCAATAAATATGATAGATTCAACCCTTAAAATGCATACAAACTGTTACCTCTTGTCCATTGTACAAAACAGAAGTACTATAATTGTCAAACATGGTTTGAACGTACGGGGGTTTCCGGTTTTGAAAGTACGATTGCCACAACCACGTTTTTCCTGCAGCCACATCCCCCACAATTGTAATTTTTAGTGTATTAGTTTTGTCCATGGTATAAAAACAGTCGCTGTACAGTCGTGTCTGTATTTTCAAGATATATGTACTCTCTCAAGTCTCTTAAAAATCTAGCAAAAATAATTTTCGGATTGACCAAAAATCTGTGATCCCCACGTGTGGAACATTGTTTCGTGCCGAGCTCGTGAATAATTCAATCATGATGAGGAGTTGAGTATACACCGCTTGCTCTTATCATTAGTGGTACTTAGCGAGTCGTTATTGTGATGAATATTTATTAGATAATCTATTCCTTTATCGTTAAATAAATATACATGAGTTCATACTGTGAATAAGATAATATGTAATAATATCTACTACTGGAGGATTGCATATTTCTATGCATGTGTATGTATTGCACATATATGTATGTGTACATATCTAAATAAACTCCAGTACGTATGACTTCAGTATTTTTTAGCATGTGTGCATATGTGTTGTGGTACATAAATTAAAATTGATTAAATACGTTTCCTGTCCTCTGCACATATAATTTATTTGAGAAACGTACTAAATTTATACCAATTACTTATTATACTGATGAAGGATATTGTCATTTAGCTGCATAGTTTTTGAGTGTTCACTATTCTTCGTCAGAATTTGGTCCATGACTGTTATACGAAAATAGAAAAAGGGTATGAAAAGAATTATTGCCAGGTCAAAGGTAATATTTTCTCACTAGGATTCGGCGTCCGACATTCCACCGACGTTGTCTAGACCGCCCGATATTGCCCTCTCACGATAAGTAAAGCCATTGAGAAGATTAGTCAACATTGATCCACCGATACTCAATGGGCTTTTGTCCAGCCAATCGTCCGGGTTCATTTGTTCGTTGTTGTCTCCAGAAATCTCCACATCTCTTTTTGCCATTTCTTTTGCGACAATAGGTTTTACAGGACGGCTTTTTGGCGGAAGTGGAATCAATCCCTCCAAGCCAAACTGTTTCAAAGCTTTTGCTACATCATCTGAAATTGCAATGGGAAATTCATGGAGTTCGCCTCCAGCAAGTGGACAGTCTTCATCGCCCTTAAAATTATTGTTTTCTAGATTAGAATCAGTTCTTGATAGATTTTCACTTTCAGAATGTGAACGTTCACTTGATACTGTTGAGCATTGCGACTGAATGGACTGCAAAGATTCTGATGACCCAGATGCATTAGTTTCCACTTGGTCATTTGCACCCACATTATTAAATGCAGATGAGTCGAACGCAATGAAATTCGGGTAAAAATCGTTGTCCGTCGATTCGACGACATTTTGCTCGAGATTCTCTGGTTGTGGCTCTGTCTCGCTTTCTGTTACATCACCTGTGGTTGCCGTATTCTGACGCTCGTTCATGACTTCAGTTATCCTAAATATGTTCATAAAGTACAGATCAAACGGGTATTTTTCTATAATATGGAGAAGTATGAAAATGAATATGTATGTACATATTGAGGATTTTGGAGAATCCAGTCATTGGTTTTAAATTGGTCTGTTGCCCTCCCAAACAACTAAGCAAGTCGTTGTAAAGACCTTGAAGTGGGGTCTCATCGCCATCATCATTTGGTCTGAATCCAGTTAATGTTGGCTTATCCATTACTATTATAGTATAGTTTACAGTGTCTTGACTGTTCGAATTTCAATTCAATAAGATTTATAAATATTTATTTCATATAAGGTTACAAGGAGAAAATTTAATGCACAATTAGCAAATTGGTTCCTTAGTTTCGTTTTTTCATGCGAATACATAAAATAATTTGACATAAAATGATTTATACGTCTGCCTGCTTGCATAGATTATTGATGCATAGCATTCGATGGAATATTATGCATGAATTTATCCAGATTTTGTAGCATTGTCTCAACTTTCTCCAATCTTTCAATCAATTCCAACTTCGTGTCGATTTCTTTTTCAGCCTTTTTCATATTGCGAATTCTGTCACTTTCTCTTTTCTCCAAAATTTGGAGAGCTTCCATCTGTACTCCTGAAGGCAATGTCATGTCCCGCGGATCATGTGGTCGAAAATTAAATGTGTACCTATCCAAAACCGTGTGGATTATATAATACATACAAAGTAGAATTTTTCAGAAAAGAATTAATGGATGAATTTGTATTACATTTTATATTCGTTTGCGAAAAGAGCATTCTTTCTAAGATGCTTTATCAGCTTGTTGGGCAAGATATTTATCAGACCGTTTGAGAATAGCATAGATTCCAGTTGAGAAATTGCAACCACTAATCGAGAAAGTCTTGCAACTTTTGCCCCTTCTCTCAACCCCTGCAACACTCGAGTATTTAAGATTCAGCAAAATTTCATGTAAAAGCTTACGTATATGTCCGACGCACCTGAATATCACTAACGGCGAGACCCACTAAGAGAGGAACATATAATATTATTTAATATTTATATATATACTTATAATAATAAGTAAATTAACATTGCCTAATAAATTCATTAGAACCACGGTCACGAGTAATAAAAATGCCGTAAAAACAATGTAAGTGTCTACGAAAAGCGGGTGATATTTTCCAGTTTGTTCGATAACTTTCGAAAGTTCTAATTCCCCCGTCATCATCACCATTGTAGATAAGAAAGAGTGAAAAATATTGCTGAAAGTTCTCACTTCATCGTTGACATCGTCTAGTAAAATTCCAAACGACAAAGTAAACCCTATTACAATACTCGAATACGCGATTACAAATAATCCAAAATTTCCAACAACCTATAAATAGTTTCATAGCATTATGCATTTCATATACATATTTGCGTAACTGGCTAAATTTTGTTATAATTACTTTAAAAAACATTTGCACATATAGACCAAGTTTGGGTAATTTGCCAATTCGGAGTAAAATCAGAAACCAGGCTACGACAACACTCACCTATTTATTTCAAAGAACAAAACAAATGACTTTAGGCTGTTAAAATTCATGCAAAAGCCGTAAATGTGAAAAACTTACAGCGGCAGACCTGTAATGAATATGATTCCAACGATTGAGGCAATGACAGATATCACCTTTGAAGTTAACTGGTCCCAATGGATCCGGCAGAATAGTGAGTAACGCCAGGATTATAAAAATCAGTTGAATGTAGTTTTCGCCCATTTTAAAATATGACTTTGGTGATAAAACCAGTTGAACTAATTCTTTTATCGTGAAGACAAAAATCATGAGGCATAAGAGATACCAAATCATTTGAAGGTAGTCCGGCATTTCAATTTCAATTAAAATATTCTCTGGGGTTGTCACTGTCACGTTTTGAGCAGTCAATGGACACATTGAGGCGTACAGGTGGAAAACGAAATAGGAATAGACCAAGACCATCAGCAGCTTGAATTAAATAAAAATGATTTCGCATAAGTTTCCGTTTAAAATTTAATTTAAAAAAATCTCATGCTTATTACACATTTACATTGGCAATAAAAGACGCCCAAAAGTATTTCATAACCCTCTCCCACTTCAGAACGAGGAATGCTTCAACCAGTGGATGTGAGAGAATGTCATAATGTCCAAAGGCACAAAATGATAGCAAAACCTCGGTTTCTTTTCTGGGTGTTGAAGTTTTGACATCCTCATTGTTATTTGTAACGATGATTGGCCTAACGAAATGACAATGTTATAAAATCAGTTGAGAAGAGATGGATGGTTCCATATCAAAATCAAACTTCACCGAAAATCAAAAGAGATGGTGCAGTCCGGATCAGCAATGTCATTTTGTTTGACAAAAATTGCAAAGTCTAAACTTTCTCTGATGTATCTGATTGCATGAGGCATCTTCTTTACCAAAATCTCCACTCCACTTTGCCCAGCATTATTTCTTACCATTTAATAATTTTCGTTAGTCCTTGCAAACCATGGTGGACCATTGTCAATAATCTTACGTGATTGTAAGGTCTGCTCCTTGTTTCAAAAGTGTGGCGACAATTGTAGAAGCCCCATTGTCCACGGCTGTGTTGAAGGGCGTGAAGCCATTTTCATCTTGGGCATTAATGTCAGCCCCATTGTACAACAAGGTCTCAATGCACTGGATGGCTTCAACATCTATAAAATGATCATTCTCATTTAGTACATAAATGCGTATAGAATTATTGGAAATGCAAATAAATTTAATTGTTGACAAGTATATTTTAAAAATACAGTTGGACAACGACGCAAATTGGATGCAGTGATGAAGTGGAGTCCGGTTCCTCGTGTCTCTAGTGTTGACATCAGCCCCGTTCTTTATCAAAAGTTGTATTGCTTGAAAATCTTTTGTCATTGCCGAGAGCTGTAGTGAAGTTTGGCCATAAATATTAAATTTATCTAACATGCAAAAACACATTAGAAAATAATTTCAAAAAGGCAGAATGATTTTATGAAGTAAATAAATAGCTCTTTACTTGGTTTAGCTCCAACTGATAACAAAAATTCCATGCAGTCTAAATGCCCTTGCTCTACGGCCACGTTAAGGGGGGTGTTTTTATCCTTTCCCTAGAATTAAATTAGCATTCGGATTAATTTTAAGCGAGGAGGTGCCGTTGTGGTCAATAAAAATCAATTACTCCACGCAATTCTAAACTTTGCAAATTCCTTTCATTCTGAACAAGTAATTTTAGTATGTCAATATTTCCCAAGTAGGCAGCTTCGTGTAGTGGCGTTTCCCAATTAATAGTGGTCCCAGCTAACAAAGCCCCTTTCTCCAAAAGATATTTTACAGATTTCGCATTTTCAGTTCTCACAGCCCAGCTCAGCGCCGTATGTGATTCTGACTCAGCGTCGGTCCTATAATCCCTCTCCAAACCGTAGTTTATATTCGCCCCCTTCGTGATCAGCAATTCCATTATTTTCTCGTTCCCATTCACGGCACCACAAGCCAAGGGCGTGATGCTGTTTGATGAGTCCAAAGCATTCGGATTTGCTCCTAACGATTGCAGGGTATTTTATTCGATGCATAAGTTATGATTTGTATGTAAATAGTTGAGTTTTTAATCCGAACCATAAGAGAGCAATAACTCAATAATATCGAAATGGCCAAAGGCTGAAGCAAAATGGATGGCTCGACGACCTTTTTCATCCGCAAAATTAACAACGGTTGAAGTATCGACTATAAATTCTAGAGACTCCAAGTACTGCTGAAGCTGTTCACAATTTCCTGCAATTGAGTCACGAAATACGGGTTGTTGAGTTGCTGGCAGTAAGGAAATTGTTTTCTCCGTAGACTCCATTTTCCATGGGTGATACCAGTCGAACATCGTTTTCACTGGAGTTTTAATTTCACTCAATGGAGTTTCTGTCTCCCAGCCGTCATTTTTACTCGAATTACGAGTCAACCCATAGGTATTGTAATGTTGACGTCCTTTTCGGTTTCGATTTCTGACTGCGTTTCGTCTATTATATAAAAAACAACAGTACACAGATTACCCATCGCCAATGCGTATCATATTATCCAAAACATTTGTTTTTCTGTAGGATAATCTGATAATTACCGTTTGACAGATTCCATTCCCCTGAAAGGCGGACATTCTTCGAAATCAATGGTCGTAGCCGATGCTGCAGCGGGGACCTGGCCTGCTTTCTCAATTGCAGCATCCCAAAGGCTAGCTGGCGTCCAAGACCAGATTCTCGAATACCAGGTCACTCGTTTTTCTTCGACAACCATTTTGGATAAAACAGAGAAACTCGACGAACGAACATCAAATGAGTGACGATACTTTTCTGAGTCCAAATCGCACAAGGAAAAGTTATAATAAATGCGTATATGGATACTAGTAGCTTGGGTGGATTAAGGATTTTTGTGGTAAATCATAGTTGTGTATTGACATTTTTGGCATGGATGCGGTCTTGACCACAATGACATTCACGATGCTTAGGTTTACACTGAAAGCATTAGTTCAGAACATGTCGTCATATTTCATGAAATTGCAACAGCTTGCGGTTTATGACATTTTATTGCATAGAAATACCTATAACATATTTACTTGGATTGATATAATGCCATGTAGCCATACGTATTTCACATAGGAATTTATAACAGTGAATACTTATTACCCTCTTGCGTGCATGCATACATAATTGCAATCTCAAGTTTTCTTCAGTCAAAATCAGAATATCATCTCTCGTTCAATTTCCTTCCCCACCTCCCAGAAAACTATTTTTGCTTTTATATTCAACTGTTGTCCTTTCCATGATCCATGCTTCAAAATCTTATCCATCGCAAAATTCTTTCTAACAAATACCACATCCATCTCTGTCAATTTAGTCGCTGGACAAATATCGTTGCCTCCGTCTCCAGTGTAATAAACCCTTTGAAAAGGACCCTTCTTTCCAATATATTTCAATAGTGCGGTCCCCTTGCACAAATTTCTGGGACAGAAAGTACATTCCGTCTGGGTCTCGAAAGGAGTCAATTTGAGAAAACCCTCTTCCGTCTTGTCCGCTTGGTTGGTAATGACCAAATCCGGAGTAACAGGAGGCTTCAAGTTGGATAAGAACGTGTCGATAAAGAACGAGTTGGCGTCTGACACAATTATGAGCTTAGAACCATGATGTAGTGATCGTCGGGCCATTACAATTTTGTGAAGTAGATGTGGTATTCCTACAACCAATCAATGAACAATAATGTAATTAATTATTACATAATTTATGCAGTACAAATCATAGGTTTCATGCATACCTTCAGTAGCCTGTAGCTGTCGAATTTTGTCAGCAATTATCTCATAAGTTCCTCCTTCTTCAGCCACGAACTTGAACACGCCTTCCATATATTCTTCCCAGTTGGTCCCGTCGAACAGCCTCGTCAGATTTGAAGGAACGGGGTCGTGAATGACCTCCATGACCGCCGTGTCTGAGTTTTGGTCAACAATGGTATGGTCGAAATCAAAGGCGTAGAGATATGCTTCTTCAGATTCATAGCTCGCACACTGTGAAACAGTTTCAAATACAATAGAAAGATACAACCAATGAAAAAGATCTCAGTTAAAGTTCATGGTCACCTTGCAGCATCCACAGAACCATTTTTCTTTTTTGATTTCGTCCTTATCTTTCCTCTTTTTAGGTTTTTCATCTCCGCCTTCGCTTAAGGTTGACGTGGCCGGCATTCGGTCAACTACCTCAACTACCGTCGACATGAAATTAACATGCAATGTTCATATTCTTATTTAACAAAAGCTTATTTAATATAACATAAAGTTTGTAATTTCACGTGACATAATATTGAAGTCATTGTTAAACATTATGTGGTCAAGAATCATGCAAATAGATATATCCAATGGTAACCTTGCTTTATTCAACAAAGTCCAATATGCATCTGCGGAAAATTATATTTGCATACTTGACGGCAATATGAAACCCAATCTACAACGCTATAAATATCTGAAGAGAGATAGAGAGAGAGCGAGAATACAGAGACTGAGGAATATGCATTAAAAGGCCGAGTGAAAATATGCTTCGAAACTCGAAACAAAGTACATACGTATATAATAGAATGCAGAGGTATTTAATGAAAGAAATGAGGAATCAAAGGTTTTCAATAGAAAATATGCAGCACAAAAAATCCGAATTCCTCGGCACTTCATAAAAATTAAAGTTAATGCAAACGCGCCCCAGATATTTTTATACTTGCTGTTTAATCACTTCAATTGATCATTGGACAGTAGTTATACATATAACTCAATACTGACAAAATGTACGATAAGACTAACAACGTACAATAAATATGTTACGAAAATAATATGCGAGTCCAAGTTGTCCATGTTCAAGTTGTCCATGTCAGTGGATTGCATTATACATTGTCGAGCTGCAATGAAAATAATGTTTTTATTTATAATCAGCATATTGTGAGAAATTAAATAACATTTCACAACTACGTAACATCACAAAAAGCGACTTACCAAATCATCGTAATCAAGATCGTTGTTTTCAGCAACGGGTACAATTTCATTTCCAACCTCCATGTCTTCTTCTGTTTTAATTTTCTTTTCATCTTGATCAGCATCAGTGATTGCATCTAAAGGCCGCTTCCTGAAAATGTTAGCACCTGCAGGTCTGTCCGTTTGTTGCTTAATCATTTTCAAAGGAAAAAAACTTTGCAGTTGCTCTAGCTGCTCTTCAAGGACGGCTTTGCTGAAGAAAATATCAATATTGTCGTTTTTGTCCGCACATGATGTTGTTTTAGCTTTTGGATCGAGAATTCGAGATGAAATGTTATTTCGTAGACTTGCAGCAGCAGGGTCAATGGGTCCTTCAAATGGATGGAAACCATCGAGCGTTTGACCCAAGATCAAGCTATCAATAAGTTGTTCCTTCTCGGATAAAGTATTTCCATCTTCCTCTGAAATAGAGTCTTGCTTGAAAAGTGCTGGAAAGTGAGGCACCGAAATATCATCAGCGAAGCAGATTTCTGAGTACACGAGGCACTGAAAATGAATTCGTTAATCAAAAATTTAATTGCGTGATACACTTAAAACACCGATTTAAAATAGGTATAAATACTTTTCGATCAACGTCGGCCGACAGGATCCCTAGGTTTACTCTTGAGTTTTTGCGGTACACTTTCCTCACAACAGCAACCCGGTCATTATTATGCAAAACTTGCAACAAAGCACTCAGCTTCACCTCAGCGTTCTAAAAAGTTATGAATATGAGAATTATGGATTTGATATGAAGCATAAATAATAAATAATATTAAATGTATGAACCGTACCGAGTCGCCTTTCTTGGCATAGAACAACGTAGTACCATCACCTTGTTGAAAAGCAGGGAATATTTTGTCCTTGGGACAAAATACAATCACCTTTAAGCATTTGTCTCCACTCTTGTAAGCATCTTCGTTTTCAAGTTCTACAAAAATCAAAAGATAAGTGTAATCGTTCAACTTATTGTTAATATAGACGTAGATTTATATTTTTTACCATTAAATGGGATCAACCGATCACCGTAAAAATAACCCTTTCCGACATCTTCATCGTCCACGACTGTCCCATCCTTCGCTTTCCAAAGATACTCCCTGTCAGTTATTTTCGAAGCAAATTCAACCATTACTGTCTTCTTAGGTCCAAAATCCTCATCTCCTTCCATTGATGATGGTATGGCCACTTCCGTGCTTAAGTTTTGTGAACCAGTGAAACTGGAAGTTGCTTCATTTTTTACAAGCGCCTTCTTCAGATCATTCTGTGTATTCTTCCTCGTGCAAACGTATCCACTGACGGCTATTTCAATATCCGGCCCAATTTCTAGACTTACGTTCCATGGCATAGACCTGCAATACCAAACAATAATGCTAAATTGTTCAAAGTTGCTGCAACATGAAAATTTACCTCTTGGGCGGTTTGCTCAACGTGTTCAAAATTTGCTTTTTCGCCGCTGATCTAGTACAGATGTTAAGGAAGTCGTCCTAACAAATAATTTCAAATATAAAAACAACCATGTGACTTGGCATAATTTATTTATGTCATGTCAATACGTACATTTTCTTTTTGTTCCATTATGGCCCTTAAAGATTTGTTATTTTCCAACTGTGTGGCATCCATATCTTTTTCATCTGGCAATCTAAAGCAATTTTTATTCAACATTAAAATGTTTTTTGAAAAGTATACTCAAAGTGATTTAGTTAGTCCATGTGCGGGTGGAGCTAGGTAAGTGAGAACCATGTGCTGGGCCTCACTTAACAGGGAGAACCGAGGCGAAACACAGGTTTCTCACTTGTGTAGCTCCACCCGCACAGGGACTAACTAAATCGCTTTGAGTATAGTTATAAAGACACAACTAAGCTTTACATTATGGACACATTGATGGTACTGTTTTCCAAAACCGTAGCAAATTCTTTCAATTTCTTCTCCTTCAAGTCGGCCTTCAACAATGCAAAGAACAAAATCTTTTTGCATTCGTACGAGTCAAATCTATAAAAATAGCATGCTGTATCAATTGACTTTGTCACATCATTATTGGTATAATAATTTAAAATAGCTAAACTCACTCTCCCTGTGCATTAATGACATTGCACATATCAATCAGTGCAGAAATTGGATCACTTCTAGCTTTTCCAGGCTGTCGAAATTTCTTTTCAACTTTTCGGAGAGCATTCCAATCAGCTGGGTCGAATTGCACGTTAGAACTCTCACCAGTCCTACAGATTGCGATATGATCCTGGTTTTCCGAGAAAATCTAAGTCACATAAAAATAAAATAAATCGGCATTCAACGATTTAATTCATTAACAACGAGTGCTAAAAAGGCCACAATATTTTACCTTATCTATTACACAGTGTCTCACTAACTGGATCGAATCCTCTGGGACAACGTCATTTTCATCCGCTTCTACCAAGTAGATGGCCACATCCTAACATTAAACTCATTCAATCAATAAATCATCAAGAATTTGATGCCTGACACCTAATTACGAAATTCTTGACCAAATTCATCATCACATTTTCAGAGGCTACCCTTCAAAATGTACAAATTAATTCTTACGTACCTTGGGAGCAACTGGTTTAATTTTCTTGGGAGGCATTTTTCACGTTTTTCCTCTTGTTAAAGAATATCAAGGATGAGGGGGAGAGAAACGTTCAGACTCCTCCTTCTTTGTATAACACTCCTGACGACGACTGACAATTCGATTGACAATTTAGAAAATCCGTGCGACACAAAAAAATTACGTGAAGTTGAAGTTGAAACGTTTTCGGACAGTCAGTGGGAAATGTGTGTAAGCGGATTCCCGCAACGCTCGTAGCAAAAACATTGCCGATGACGTCCTTGCTCCCACAAAAGAGGAAAACTTTCCCCGTCTCAATTTCCCAACGCGACTAATAAATGACTTGGTTGAGTTTACTTCTCGCTGGTTCGTCTCTGGCTTGCCTTTCTCTGGTCAAAGTGAAACACGAGGAGAGGTGAGCATGGGGATTGAATTTCCATACAAACAAAGCCAATCAATAATGAGCCACTCTATTCACATTTCGGTTAGTTTACTCAAAGGCTGGCTTTTCAATTCTTCCTGCTTTTACTAATATTCTAAAAGTAGCCGATAAGTTCCCATCCATCCAAACATAATGTGTCAAAATGAGAAATCTATTTATGAAATTGATTGCGAATTGGCGTGGTTGGAAACACTTTTTCTCTGGCTTCGGGTGTGTGTGTGAATTTTCCCACGTGATGGATACTGCTGTATGTATATGTACATGCATACCTACTTTTGCATTGATACTCATTGATTGATTATCAAGGACTCCTCTTACTTAGAAGCATCTTTCCTCACATGAAGTGGAAAAGCGTACTTAAAAATACGTACATATAAATGAAATGACCTGAAATTTTACTAACGAATCAATGGATGCTGTATGATATTTATAACCAAGTTTAAATATCAGGCTGAATTTAGACGAAATGCTATAATGAATTTTATTAATGACGTGATAAATTCTAACCTCTATCATCTAATAATAGTGGTAAATATCAAAACTACCACTAGATAGGTTTATGTAATAGGATTAATCTAGTGTAAAGCGGTTCACTTAAGCGACTAATTTAAAATTAGTAGTTTTTAACATTACCACTTCTCTGCATGGTACCTCATTCAAAGTGGTGGGTGATAATAATGGACTAAATTAGGTTCCACGTATATACGTGGCATACCATGCGGAAAATTTCACGATAATCCTCCTGCTGGTGTAATCATCAAGAGCTATTTTCATAAATAGTCGACTCCTCTTAAAAAGCACCACTGGCAGCAGCCAATTCACACCTAATAAACTGATTGGCCTTCTCATCTGCCACACTCATAGCATCAATGTCAATTATCAGCTAAAAGTCTCTGGTGTCAGACTGTTCCATTCTGGACTCGAGCGACAACTCTTCAATTTGGTGAGACCCATTTTTAATCAACCTTGTGGTGCTGGTGTTGTTGTCTTGTCACTCTTTTGCCGAAATTGCTTCCGTCACTTGAGGTGCTGCTGTTGCTGTTGAAAGCGTGTTTCCAACACGCTTTCGTTCCGCATACAAAAATATATACACAGTATATGTTCATATAGTATACATAAACATTAATTGCTATCTTTCTCCACTTCCTCGTTGAAGCTCTATAAATCTTTGGACGAATGAGACCAAATTAAACCCGGTTCTAGTGAAATATCTACAGTGCTCTAAATATTACACTTTATCAAAGTCACTATTAATGCTACAGTATAAATTAAATAACTATGAAACGGTTAAGAGGGGAAATTGACACTCTTTGTTTCGCGTGTAATAATGCGGCTTTGATTTTGTAGTGGAACAATGTTGTCCTCATATTAGCTTTCGCATCTCACTATCAGAAGAAAGCAAAAGATGCTGTTTTGAGCATGTAAATAAATCTCTTCTGTTTTTCTCCACCAGTTTATTTTGTTGAGGGCAGGACATTAAGCGAATGGTTGCACTTTTAAATGAATGGGTGAAATATGTTGGATATGCTTCTGAAGTGATTGATGACATCATATTATTTTCTTGGCATTTATTTCAGACATTCCCCCGACGACTCTCTCCTCTTTCTGGACCGTATCAGAAATATCGCTTATACGAGTGGAGATATACATACAATAGAGCCAGCCCTTGCCCCCAAGATATCCAGCGTCGTTTATTCTGACAACCCTATTGCCGGAGAGAGAAAGTGTATAATAAGAGTCGATTTTCCGGAATCTCGGCCACCACAGTACCTTCTCGCAAGTCACTAACTACCACTACTGCTACTCATATATACAAACATATGTATATACAAGCAAATGGGAGTTTCTATTGAAAAATGGATAGCGATGGCAGCTTTGGCAATAATCTCTATAATTCTCGGTTTAATTCCCAACTACATTTTCAGTACCACCAAATCTCCCCATCATGCAAGCAGCAGCACGTTACAGAAAATTGTCCTAACGATTCTTTCCTGCTTTGGAGCTGGCGTTCTCCTTTCCACGGCCGTGCTTCATGTTCTGCCCGAAGTTAGAGAGAGTTTGCAACACATCCCAGCAATTTGGATGACATTCGATGCGGATTATCCTGTGGCGGAAATGTTTCTCCTGTGTGGTTTCGCATTAATTTATCTGGTTGAAGAAATCGCACACTACATTCTGGTCGACGGCCATCATAACCATAATCATTCAGCCAACTCTGTTGTGAGGCATAACTCCATCGCACATGGGATTCCGATTCCGCACACCAGAAACCGGTCCTCACTCTCACTCCCACACGCTGATGAAGATTTCGGGCTTTCTCCAGCTATAAAAAGCAGCACTTGCACTCATGATGGAGGGACGGATAAGAGTGACACTGACGAGGAGGAATGCCCAGATGACAAAATAAACGTGGCATCCTCCTTCAGAACATTGATGGCTTTGATTGCACTTTCCTTTCACGCCATAATGGAGGGAGTTGCTATTGGCATTCAGGTCAACTATTTACTTCATCACATAACACGAGGCATTTTGATCATTCATTTGAAGGAATTCCTTGTGTTACATATCACTCGACCACCACTTTACACAGAAAAAATCTTAAATACAAATCTGCCACAGGCATGATTTGATTGTCCAGGAAATGTATACTTATGTAAGACTTGAGCATGATAATAGAAATCAGATTCTTTAGAATTTAACCTCGTGGCATACGTATGACAATTTCCTATCACGACCCCAGCCTGATGCGCACTTTCTTTCTATTCATGCAAGCAAATTTAAATAGAGGAACCTTTTTGACAAGATAATTGAAATATTCATGAAAAGAGGTCACATTAAGCTGATGCCTTTCTTTCTTAAAGCATGTCAACTTTTGAGAAATACGAAATAGTTCAATTCAGCGAACTCCCGATCCCAGTTATTGTACAGCAGATATGCATGTACGTACATAATGTTCACCAGAACATTCAGAGCCATTGGTCGTGAAATCGTTAGATGAGAGCAGAATAACCTCACAATAGGAGAGAGAAATGCGATCTGTCTTTTGTTCAGATGTGTACCATTTGTGTGCATCATGATTATTATGTATGGTCCTTCAAAGTTTCTGACTCCATAACTTTGAGCTGGAATCGTAAGCCTTATTTCAAAACAACAAGACAATAAATATTTTCCTACCAAAAATGAACAATACGAAATCGAGTTTGTGTAGGATGACGATTTGGGGCGTAATATTTCGCGAAACATATTCTTCTAAAAAGATATCTAAATGGCAGAGGTCAAATTTCTTGCTGATTGGTTGATATTAAATCCTCGAGAAAGTTTGAATCGATATTAACAAGTTGAAATCCTAATTGACAATTGGTAATAAATATTTTAGACAAAAAAGGATGTATGGGTGATGTTTTCGGCCGTGGCATCCCACAAATTCGTCATTTCTTTTTGCATGGGGATGGAACTAAGCACCACACAGACGAGGATTTCCACATACATTGGATCCATTGTGTTTTTTGCCATCATATCACCCATTGGCATCATAATTGGGTCCATAATCTCTTCAAACACGTCAACGAACACACTGCCCGTTGTTATGGTTCAGGTAATGTTAATACGCTCATTGTAGTATTTAGCTTTGAATTTCCGGGTATAAAAAGCAACAATTGTGCATAATCCTTAGGTACTGCATAGATGTTAGATGAATGAGCTCAAATGTTTATCCGTAATTCGGTTCATAGAGTCAGAGTCAGAATTGGCCTGCCACCATTTTCCTAGAATTAGCTGCGTCATTATTTTTCTTAGGTGAAGGAAAAAACATTAGGTAGTCACCAAATCCCAATGTACGTACTTTTCACTGCATCACCTAACGCGCAATTTTGATTCCATTTCACGAACTCTCTGTTCCGGTATACTTTCACTTTATTACTGTCACAGCTGGATTTTTTTCGGGTTTGCTTATATAACTTACTCGTCCAGCTTCAAGCTCTGCCCAATTATTTTGCTTTTCCAACCCCATCCTCCTACTCAAAATCTTTTGATAAGGGCAATATAAATAAGTAGACAGGTTTCCTAATTTCTTATTGTCAGTCATTATCAGACAGTCATACAACTCATCTCATTGATGTTTCTTTATGCTCGAAATGCAAAGACGTAATAATGGCGTCATACGTCGTTATATAACAAATTATTAGACATTTCATTGGACTGGCAAAATTAGATAAAATAATTAGATAAAATTAGTATGGACTAGAACTAATTTAGTTGTTAGAACTCGTGAAATATTTGATGCAGGAATTAAATGCCAATAGTTAGAGTACTTGATGCATTCAATGTTAATGTCAACGTCAATCCACGTTTCATTAGTGTATTTAGCCTCTGGATAGTAAGTCAGGTTTATCAATCCATCAACCCAAAGTTGCATCTGTTATCTGTGGTTATGGTTAAGCTTTCGAGTGACCAGATGATTTAATAATTCAATTATAACGATTGGCCGAATACGTCACGAGCGACTGCTATGCTTATGTCAATTGATCATAAGTAAATCTATTAACTTTCATCATGCAATAGGGTCTGGTGTGTGGAACATTGATGTACGTCGTATTTTTTGAGATTCTCAACCGTGAACGTGATCGAAAGACTTATTCCATGCCACACTCTCGGGCGATAGGCTTTCTCCAGTTTCTGTCTCTGGTGTCAGGGCTGGTGGCAATGGGCTGGTTGTCTGCCATCACTCACGACCATGATGGCCATCACATTGAGGCGCTTCGGAAACTCAACTCAACATCACTTGATCAACGCTCCGGTTTCATGGCCACTTAAGGATTGATGGGTCATCGTCGCCAGAATGTCTTGGGGTATGGAGCGCAGTAAGGAATGCAATTTGCGAGGTAAATAATTCATCAGGCGAATTCCTTACTCTGAAAATGACAAAGGACGAGGGACATGGACACAATGCAATTTTATTACATCCAATTTGAAGTCATTTCTAGAATCTCTACAATTAGCGTAATTTGTTAAGCACAAAATGCTACGCATAAAACAAACTCGAGTAGCAACACATTATGCTTGTGCTTGTATGCATCAAAGATGTATTGTATTTCCTTTTCCGTCGAATTGTACTTTAAAAAATTAACTTGTAAATATTATTTGTTTACGCACGTATGATACGCCTACAAAATGTGTACCTGAGATAACTAAGTCTTAGTTAGTAATTTTGACAATTTATATGAATAATAAATACCATAAATACATACACTATCGATACTTGTGTATACATTTGCCAACATCACCCAAAAATCATGTTTCCAGTTGAGTTGAGTAAGTGTTTGTAAATTACAAAACTTGTAGTTTACTGAAGCAATCATTGAAACCAGACCAACGTAATAATGTAAATTGAGGGCTAAGGGAAGGGTATAAATGATGTGAAGAATAGAGAAAAGTAATTTGGTGGGTTCTTTATATATGTAAAGTAATCATAGAGATCCATCCAAACTTTGCAAATTAAGATTATTCTAGGCTTATATGATCACCAAATAATCAAATTTCACATCTGTAAGAAATGATCTGTTGATGATGATTCGATCTCATAAGATGTCCATAAGCAAAGGTCTCGTTTTAAATACGCACTACTTGAGCTAGGAACTAATATATAATAGATTCTACAGATAGACGGATGGATGGGTTATGTGAGACCAAGTAAGATCGTGATATGTATATAATCCTCCCAGGATTACGTTCTTAGACACCTTTCTTGTGGTAAAATTTTACGGAGAAGTAAAATAAAAGGGCATAGCAGATGTGCAGAGCAGAATGCAAATGGGCGATAAAGTGAAAGTGACCCGAAATGGTTTCATCTCTATTTTAAAGATTTAACGAGGAACAATTGCATTACATTACCTTTGGCTTGGCCCCCATTTTCCCAATATCAAACAGCTATGTGCATTTACTTCTTACGACATTGGTTCATTAGTTAAGAAGACTTCTCCTTTGACTTTCCACAATGAGAAAGTGAAAGTAAGTAGGTGACTGACGTGCTTATATCACTGCAACAAACTTTCCAGCACAGCAGTTATTTTCAGGCGTATTCGTCGCAAATCTTCTTAATCCTTACCATTCATCCATTGATCTGGTCTCCTGGGATCTGGTTTTCTATTTGCATGAAGCGACCCGACCTGAGGAAAGCTAAACGCTTGCTCTGGGTAGACAATCCAAGTTTTAATTTGCGAATCGCATATTTCCTTCTTCCTGAAGATTAAGATCTTCCTTTCCTTGACACCAATGCTGGGCGATATGGACAAGGAAGAAAACCATGAGACATGATGATAAAGGTTAGAGTTTATTAGAAACTTGAAGGTTGGAGAGAACCTCGTGTCCCACATTGAAATCGTCTCAAGTTCTACAAAGATTCATAACGGAGACCAATCTCTTAATTGACATAAATTTATAAGGTACATACATATACTCAACTTTCGCTTGGAATACTTGCCTTAACGCCCATCCTAGCAAGAGTTACATACAAACTTTCCCTTATGTAAGAAACCTACATAACGTGCATTGTACGGGGAAATCGTAGAATGGAAGCATGGAGGTATGAACCATAAATCAGTAATAATTAATTACAGTTTCATTTGGACATAGGAATGGGAGTCTCGAAATAGGGAGAATATCACCATAATAGAATTCGTAGAACTAATTGTAATAGAATCAAGAAAGTCGTAATAGTTATAATACGAATAAAAGTCGTAAGAATTTCCACATGGATGCATTGGCACACGACTTTCTTTTGTGCTTCTGGCGTATGTACTACGTACGGTCCTACTGACTAACGCTTAAGTAGAAAACTTGTAAGATAATTAATATACACAACATAGCATTTCTTGCTTTGTTTTTTGTGGTTGGTTTGATGGGGTAATAAAGACCAAAATATCTCCAAGCACATTATCTTATCTTGTACATATAACAAAATATATATATTTTTTAATTCGCTCAGTTTGTTTTATAGTAAATGAGAATGAATTGTTAAATCTGAGCAACATCAAGCAAGAGATAAATGGAGTTGAGACAGAAAATACAGTTTTTCATTAGTAGATGAGACACTTTTGCATGAAGCATTTACGCTGTAATTTCACATTTTACACAGAGTTACATAGTTTCGTAATGGTTTCCATTAAGCCTAATTCTTCTGCTGACTGACGCCCTACTTACATAAATAAATCCGATCGTTCCTATATACAGAAAATACTTGCATACATTTCCCTACTCTAGAAAATTCCAGGCTAAACCTGGACAATTTCATCTTCGCCAGCCAATTCATGATGCTTCGTAAGCGTCGTTGGATTGAATGAAAGATGATGATGGTGATGCGAAGGATTGTGCGGGTGATGGATCGGCTGAACAAAGTTTCCAGTAAGATTGGATAATGTTGTCACCTCCGTGAGCACCATGTTATTCTGGGAGCGGGATGAGTGGGAGACACTCCGCTGGTTTATGGTTATCAATATCTCAGGGCGTCCTTTCCTCTGGTGCTGCTGATCCCCACAGCATTTGTTCACGCTGTCCTGTTGCACAAGTAAATTAATCGTAAGAATAAAACAACCCTGCGTCAATCGTCATCATGAGTGGGGAAAAGTGGAAATGGGGAGAAATGACACAATCGAGTTAGTACTCATAACATAGACAGGTTAGACAAAAGTCTAAATAAAGAAAGCTGCGTGTAGGACGTTCAGAACTTTTTCAGCTCTGAATAAAGTCGGTGATGAATTGTTGTGTAATTATCATCATCTCAGTTGCTATAAAGTCAGTCATAACAGCATTGACAAACTTACAGTATTGCACGGGTCTAAAATACATTAGTAATACAGTTTATGTGTGCATGACGAACCAGATTATCACAAATATGCAACACAACGAACGAACAAGTCTCACAGCACGTATCCTACAACATTGTAACACTATACACACGATACAACAACTCTGACAAGACCAACATACAACAGCATTCACATCAATTGGCAAGAGTAAGAGAAAGAGAGAGTAAATTTTCAGTTGGAACATACAAGGAAGAAGAGAAAGCGAAATTTTTGACAGTCGATAGCCAACATAAAAGCCAATCCAGATCGATTTCGCGCAAACATAGAAAGATCATATAAACGTCATTTCACAATTAAACTGACCTGTCATTTGGTTCAAATACTGTAAGAATGTGAGCAGGCAGAAAAATCCAGTCCAGGAGGAATTCATTCCGCAACATCAGGCGTGTTTTGTGCAAGAGTTTTCTAAAGCACACTCAACTCAACTCAAGTGGTGGGAACACGTCCTGTGTCGAAAGGACGGCTCCAATTTAATCAAGCCATTCTAATTGCTAGCTAATAATTCATCAGTTCTCTCAACAGGCCTACACATCATTTGGAATGTGCAATAATTACTCTGCTGCTCTGGGTTTAATGTATTTTCTGTCAGGAATCAAACATTTAAATGAAAATGTCGTTCAGATTTGGGCGGAAGTGGGAAGTATGTATGTGTTACATGTTCGCTGTGTATTTGCTCAATTAAGTACTCTCTTGAAGTGTGAAAATTGGGAAATTCTATGCAAGAACAAGTGAAACAGTTAATATATTTGTCTCTACTCACCCCACCGAAAATGCGTATGCGAATGTCTGATAACAATGTGTAGAAAAGTCTATTGCTAATAAAGAAATATGTACACATAGGGGTCTCCAGGAAATTTTTATAGTAATTTCATGCAGAGGACATTAAAATACAACGATTTAAAATATTCAAGCAGGACATCATGGGTCTTTTCCGTTATGAATGTACATGTGAATCAGAAATATTGAGGATGAGGTTGATATTTTTCAATTAGGAATTTAATGATGCAGGTTAGTTATGTGTTCTGCTGGGCATGCTGATATATACTGTGCTGTGCTCGGTTCATGTCACATACGATTTATTATAACAGCCATCAAAACGTTCGGTAAACCACAATAATTATAAATATCACTGGAACAGGAATCGTAATTTAAAACATTTATCACACGACATTGAGAGAAAAATGCCAAATAGCAAAACTTACTGCAATTTATGCTGGTTACATCATGAATGAAAGTTGTCGTTGTAAAGTATTCAAATTAATTACACTTCTCCAAAACCTCACGAAGTGAACAGTTTTCCAGATAACACTTAATGCTTATCTGATACAATTTGCAACTTTCAATAATTCGCCCACTTTCCCAACTGTACTAATCTTTTGATATAAATACAACATCGAATTACTACTAAGCTAATAATACCGTTCTGCCTTTGTATGTACACGTCGAGCTCTTTACATGCAATAATTTTCGTACATTGATTAATAAAATGTACAATTTTTTAGTGATTTTCTAAAGCAAACAATCTGCAAATGCTAATAAAACTGGAAAAAACTGTAAAAAATTTATCAAACATGCTGTAACACCTTGCTATTATAATTCTCATGGGTATGAGTACAAGAAAAACATGCCTGAAATGCATGTCGAAACTTCAATGAGAATAAATTATAGAGGATGGCGTTGATACACGTGGACACGTAGTAGAGCACCCCACTGAAAAATATTAAAACCCGTTATTTCGAATATCACCATCTCAAAGTGAGTCGTCCTTTATGAATTCATTTATTTTTTATATTTGTTTAATTTTTCGAATAGATAGATTACCTGATGTACGTCAGGACGTGGTAGGCTGTCCTCATCATTTCACTTTGCTCCAAATATTTGGTTCCCCAGATGGCAAAAAGTCTTTAGATGAAATAATTATAAATTAATAATATGTAATTATATATGTACATAATTATAATTATGATATAATAAATATACAATATAATTATATAATAATTATTATAACCTCTGCAGATGAAAGGGACACCAGCATATAAAGAATGCGCACACCACAGCCACTGAAATTACATAACTCATCTCATTTTAAATGTCTCTTTTTAAACGTCTATTGTCCTCATTAGACGAACAAGTAAATGAGTATAACTATACATATTACATAATTAGTTCCAGTACTAATAGTATCTTAATTTATAATGGGGACATCTCCCTAAAGGAGATACATATTTCATGAAACCAATTTAAAAGTCTAATGACATTGGGTTATATAAGGAATTAAATTGAGGCTTGTATGATATTAGTTTAAGGTAGCTAAAGTTAGGAACTCTACGATTTTCTACTTTTCACTTATCAAAAATATCTCAGACATCGACTTCAAAAGATGTGCAATTTTACAAAACAAAAGCATATTGGCAAAGTTTTTTAATTTTGGCTGGCTATATTAAGGACTAATTGTAAGTTTAATTTAATTTTGCATACTAACAATGCAAGGTTTTCACGTGCGCATCATTTTTCCATGCATTTTTGAAAAATCTAGCAAGTTTTAAATTACATGGCCTAAATTCGAAAAGTTTTAGCTTTTTTAAAATCTAAGGTTTTAGCTGAAACCCAGTTTTATAATTCTGCTAAGAGCTCAAATTAGAACACATTAATAAGTATGTGAAAAATGGGTCGGCTTATTTTTTGTTGGATAAAATAGAACCCATCAAAATCGGAGATATACATGTGAAAGACTCGCACTGTAAGCAGATTAATTTACGTGAAGAACTTATTGATTTATATGCTGGCAATCAATTCATGTTTGCATACAAATCGTAATCGTATAACCTCATTTATCATGCATTACGATCCCCATATAAAACAAATTAATTCCCCGTTGAGACTTTCTCCAATTTCATCTGAATCCCTCGAGAGGATCTTAATTAAGAGACATGACTTTACCAGGAAGGACAGGATTTCACTGAAAATTAAATTACAACTACAGTTTGCATAACTCTCGAATTTGTTACTCCAATTCCAATGGGAAGGAATGCAATTCTTCACCTGATCAACAATAACGGTTTGATAAGTGCATGCATGACACGGTTACCCATCCTCAAAATGCTACATCAGGGATCAACAAAAGTTTTCAATATCTTCTAATTATATTACCTGCCTCAACCCATCATGTTTTAGATTTTTTCTGTCTATCACAACCAACCCCATGAAATTATTCATATGTTTTTTTTGACACCCAATGAACTACTCTGGTCAAGGAGAAAGTTGAATGCATTGAATTTCTCTCGTGTGTAGAGGTCGCGTGACATTGGGATTAATAATATGAAGTGTTTCTCTAACTAATGATCCGAGCACCTGACTACATCTCATCAATAACCAGCCCTGATTGAACGAGTTACAAGGTTGCCAAAGGGAAAGTGAAGCAGAACAGCATAGGAGCAGTAGGATTGATTATGGGTCACTGCTGCTCCTACATACTCGTTACTTTTTGGTCGAAAGGACAAGAAATCATTATCACGAGAAACTCTCGTTTGCTGAGAATCCTAAATAACCCACAAAACTGAGACTGCTGAACGACATTTTGGGGTGGAGATTGACGGCGTAAAATATCTCATTCACAAATCCTTGAATTGAGACACTCCTTTTCCTTTTCTCGGCTTTTTACTCGATGATATATGATTGTCATTGAGCATGGTAAGAATTTGTCAAGTACTTATATTTCCATAAACCCATAATTTCCACATTTTTACCATGAGCTATAGTTTCCAAGCAGTGGTTATCTGAAATTGTTCCGCCATATAACTTTCTCTGAATTGGACTGTCAACTCTGCGTTCCTTTTCGTCTACAAAAGGCGAGTGTGACATACTGTCAAAGCATGTTTCGAGCAGATATCAAGTCCTTTCTTCTAACATGAGATAAGTCGCAGAGCGGGGTGGTCACACGTCAAAAATGATTTAAGACTACCTCATTCAAAATCAATTTTGTCTGATCTCTGTATAGAAATTGGTGAAGATGGGACAAACTTGCAATACTAATTTAAAAGCAATTTTTGTTATTAAATAAATTCAATCCTTCGTATAAAATTGCTAAAATCTCGTCGTAGTTTTCAACGATACTTGAACTTCAGAAATGACAAACTTTGTGAATTGCTTAGTTTATATAACACAGAAAATGACGTACTTGTTTCCCATCTTAAATTATACAACAGATTACACGTGGAATAAAGTTTTAAATGCGTAGGCAAAATTTAATTATTTTATAAGAAACCTACAGTGCAGACTTCGTTTAGCCCGAGCCAGAGGCAGATTCTTATTCCAAATTTTCGCCAGGTGATGAAATTACAAAACTATTATTACCAAATGCACGAGATAATATTCATACTTGTCATCAATTTTCCCACTAATCCAGCACATAAATTTTCAGCTTTTTGGAACCAATTTTAAAGGACCACCTTGGCCCTGGTCAAAATTGGGAGGACGTAGGGACGTACATTTCCATAAGCCTGATTAAGGCTAAAAATTACGTTTTAGATTACATGAGCTACAACGCAATCACTTATTTTTAAACTTTACAAACAAAACTTATGCACAGAGTATTGCGTTCAACCACATTTAAAACCAACATTATGATTTACTCAAGATGGGATAAACAGGCACCAAAGTTTGAGTGGGTGATTTACAAACCTCATTGCGCACAATTACATGGTTACAAAATGGTGAAAGCAGTAACCTACGCGTCAAAATGTTGTCAACCACCTTCAGATTGATTCCAGCCAGAAAGTTGTTTCCAAATCATCTATTTTAATCCATGTTTCATTTTATACAACCAACGATAATAACTCTGTGAATTATTCATAACCCGGAACAAATTACAGGAGGAGGCTGAAAACGCCCAAGTTTGATGACGGTGGTAAAAGTTTTACTGGATACGCTTAATGATGCACCAAAACTCGTTATATTACCTAAACTGCTTTTCATACAAAAACCAACCTCATTTTGCTTACAAGGAAAGTTCGTCCAATCTAGCATCAAAGATGAAAAAAGTATCCAGCTAATTTATTCAACTCTCCTCATTACGAAATTTAATATGCATTCTCCATTGTTGGGAAGCTACTTACTTATTTGTATGTAAGCAGGCAAACAGGCAGAAGGAAGACCAAGAAAATGTGTACTAATGAATTATTATCTATCAACCAACCATCGCATCACAGATAGTCTTGGTTGAAATTAAATGGAGATGTGGTGCATTAGAGGTTGGGAGGCAGTCGCAAACAGTTTTCAATTTCTCATTCGACCAGTAACAAGGTAGATGACGAACTGGAGCTGTCAGTCGCCGAGGAAAAGTAGATGTGAGGCTGGGTGGGTATCAAATTATGACAGGCCTCCACTTTTAGCCTTAACAACCTGTCATCATTTGTCACACATCCGCCTTTCCTGGGCACAATTTTCGCGACACTATCTCTTTGCCCGTATAACTTGCTGCGCCATTCCCCATCTTCCAATTGCAAAATCAATTTTATCATAAAAGGAGTTATCCGGGCCTGTACTCTAAATTAGTAATATGGAATACTGCATATAGTACAGCAGATCAATCACGAAATCCAAGAGCTTACAGCATGAGTACGGTTTCTTATTGGAAATTCCAAAGATTCACATTATCAAGCATAATTCCACTTTTATGCATTGAAGCATATATGTATAATGATTAGAGCAAGTAAGTTTTTATACGCAATGTGTGAACAGCATGCTTGCTTTGGATGTATTTGACCTATTATGGCATATGACATTGATTCAATGTTGCAAAAATCAAATAGTTGTGTATGAACTAAAAGATACGGCAAGAAATATAAAGTTTTCTCAAAGAGTCAAATAAGCTTGGTACCAAACCCAAATGATACATAGCATCGCCGGATTATTTTTTGCATCCAACTTCTAGAAACGTGAAAATATCCTTAATTTATGAGATCGTTAGGATCGTTAGGAATATTATGACATGTATCTTGGCAGTGGAACCACAAAACAAAACAAATGTCAACGCAAGCATGTCAAGTACGTGTACCCTAATCTGTCTTGGCTGTCGAAAACAAAGTATTTTAGTAGCGAGCTGTTGACTTTATGTCTGAGTAAGTACGAGTCAAGAATGCTTGTTACACAAATGTATGCCAGTACTATGTGCTATGCAGTACGTATGGCGGTAGTAAATTCTGCAGTTTTTATGCCCTTCAATCAGACCAGCATTACATCAGCAGACCAGCTTGACCAGCTTGATCGATTCTTGAAGAAGATTAAAGAAAGGAGTGAGTGGATAAGTTTTTCTGAACAATTGTGTAGTCAGCCTTCCTCAGATCACTGAAAAAACGTCACCGTTCCTGGTGGACAACGAGCAAGTTGATGCGTTAGGATTATCTGTCAACTTCAGCGTCAAGCACACGTATTACAACTAGAAGCACTTTGGACAAGCCATTTTTATCCATCGATTTGAATTACTGAGAATCAGCCTTCTTAACAATTCCACCAGTAAGCTCTTTGTTAGATTGTTTCAAATCGTAGTGGATTACTCGGTATTACACGAGTTCAAGATGTTGCATAAAATGTACTTAATTTTCTGATGAAACGAAAGAAAGTTGTGGATTTGAATTTGATTTATAATGAGATTTCTTATGAAATCATCTATGATGAAGCAGAGTAAAGACGACGTAAAGGTTTAAATTGGTTGACAAATAGTCTAATCAATGTTACTTAATCAAATGAATTTGCTGATTGGAAATAAATATATTGGATACCAAAGTAAAGCCTCAACTGCCTCAAATTCAAATCCAGCCTCGCCAACAACCACAACCAATGGGTTATAAAACTTGTAGATGGAAACGTGGAAATTTAATGCTTACTCTGGTGTACGAATCATGAGAATTAATTGCTCTTTTAGAGATGTGGTCTGTGGTAAAAAGATCAAAGTTCGCAAAGGTCGTAGAAAGAAACGCCATTAACAAACCCTAAGGCGAGAGGTGAGAGGATTTAAAGACCGAAATGAAGAAACAACGAACACAACAGATTCGCATATAATTTACAATAGGACAAACTTAAGGCACGTCGTGAGTTGAATGTTCTAAATAAATTGGCTTTAGACATCACAGTCATTCCTAATTGAACGTTTTTCTCCAACTTTCAAATCGGATTACAAGATTATACGGGAAGAGAAAGTTGGAAAACGACTTCAAGCTTTAAGTCATCTAATACATAGGTATGCACGTATGTACATATGTATGTCTACCGGGTCTGTTTTGGCAAGGAATAGAAAATGAGTTGTGTAACTTTGAGAAGAGGTATGTACAGAGGATTCAGCCATCAAATTACATTTCTTCTCACATGATTTCTGCCTCAATTCCGTAATTATTATTATACAGCAGTTTCATTGCGGAGAAACTTTTGTCTCACTTGTTTTAGGCAACTTTCCTTTCACCAGAATCGCCACCAACTTTGTCAATTTCTCGGTTAAGAAGGACTCTCATTAAATGTACACGCGCGTGCATCATCATTAAACAAAACTAGTGAATCGTGTAATATGTATACTGCATGTTTCCACTATTTAAATACATACACGTGGTTCGCCATGCTATGCAACTACTACGAGTTTAATTAACATTTCTAAAATAGGCACAAAAACTTCTTTGTCCTTTATTATTACGCAGATCTTTCGTTTTATGGTAAAATGTTGGACAGACACGCACCAGAAACCCATCTGATTCACAGAACATCACTCACGTATCAAGCGGATGAAATCTATTATTTATGGATGTCCTCGTTTTACATATTTCTTGAAAGCGAACCTTTTTCGATTCTTAAGTTTACAAAGGTTTTGAAGTTGTCAATTCATTCAAACAACTTGATAAATCTGTTATTCACATTGTGAGAACAATTTTCTGTTCCAGAGAAACTCATTCAACAACGGATAAATCAGTTGATACTCTGTTTCCTATGAAAATGCTTAATAGGATCAACTTCACTCTGTTTACCACTAACAATAAGAAGGAAGAAAGTTTCTTCAATGAATAAATTCATTCGATTAAGGAAAATAATTCACAAGTCCACAAATAAATCGACTCAAATTAACTCGTAGTAGTCTATTTAACTGGGCAGTAGTTTCCTTACATATTCACATATGTATTGGTTTAATCATAGGTTTTTCACCAAATCAAATCATAGGATGATTTGATTAAAAAACTTTGATTTATCCTGACGGATGTTATTCAACCATCGTGAGTTACTTATGCACGTGCAACAAAAATTTCTCAATACATAAACGAAATTGGTTGTGCATAAACATAAAGTTTGGACGAATTTGTTGACCAGAGTTTCGTTCGTTTCAATGTCCAAAAGTTTGGTTTGCCAGTACTTATATTTGATGAAGCTGACATTCCATGGACATGTGATAATGATTTGTAAGAGCATTAGTTAGTTCATCAGGAGAAAGCTTGTTTTTTGGGAAACTCGGAACAAATATTCACCTCAGCAGAGAGGAAAGTAGGCAAGTAAGTACAAGTTGTAAGGCCAATTGATAAAGCTCTACCACGTCAAAGCATTTGATTCAAATGTGTTGCGTGGGTTGCATGATGTGTAATAGCGCTGCAAGTTATTCTGCAGTGCTTCAAGGTTCTGAGACAGGTTTTTAACGTTATTGCATGCAATCCCATCTCACACGTAATGGCATTTCCGTATTATACAAGTATCGACTTTTCACTCAAGTGTACCATGTTTCCATTAGTATTTATGACTGAATGGTTTACGTGAGATTTGCAAATGTTAAGTTCACATTTAAAACAAATATTTATACCCGTGTGTCTCCAGTTAAAATATTTAACAAAATTTTCATCTCCACTGGTTTGAAAGGCCACTCCAGAGTAATGTAAAACATTTATAAACTGAATTTCAAAACCTGATTTTCCTATGTGCATACATACATTCGCAAACGTGTTATGTGTTACTACTTAAGCATTGGTTTTCATCCTATCCTCGTCTGAATTTCATCTAGACATTTATTACGCTGATGTTTAACTTATCAATCAGAACAACAATTAAGATTGTGCATTTTATGAATTACGTATGCAAGTTAGTTTTATGGTTGTCTAAATAATTTGTTCAGATTCTTAAATTAGCTACCAGCTAAAGTATTCCATCTTTTAATTTCCGTTGTTTCCCATTTGAAACATTGTGCATTATACAACACATAAATTCATTGCAAGATAATGTTTTTTTTATTTCCTGGCTCAGGACTTGGAATATGTAACAAAAATTTGCAGAAGAAAATGTCACTTATATACTGATCTGTAAGTACTTCGAGGAAATATCTACGTAAATTACGCATCTCAATATTAAACACTATATTTATAAAACTAAGATGCCAAGGAATTATTTTTTTCTGGGAGAATTGGACAACATTACAAGCGCTGTAAGTATTACACAAATTCTGCGTATTTAGTTAAGTATAATGTAATGAAATGTAAAGTAATGAAAACAAAACGCAACAGGATGTTAACAGTGTTGCGATATAAATAGATGGCTGAGAACCAGTATTTATTTAGAATGACTTGCTCCAATTAAGTAAAGAAAACCAAATATTTGGTGAAAGCTTCCAGACTAACGAAGAAGACCGAAATGAGTGGCGACTTCTCTAAATCAATGACATTATATCAGCTATAGCTTAACCAGGAACGAAACCATGATGCAATTTAAGCCTTAAGTATCTCAATTTGCAATAATGAAATGTTTTAACAAACAACGCTCCTAATTATTTCAAACTTTGGGCCATTTATTTAAATAGAATGTAGTTGGCTAATCTTTTGCTAGTTCTTGCAAAATAATCCAAATGTAAATATCTACATAATCATCCAGATCAAGATGAGACAATTTAGATAGGCCGTTGTAAATGTATCCACAGGAAGCATCCAAACTCGGCATTTCACAAACGATGCTAGTTATGCGTAGGAATTCTAGAAATTGATTATAACTCATACCCAACATTTTCAGAACCCTCTGTTGACCGACTTCTCTCTTGTGACCACTCAAGGATTTTCGGAGCCTCAGTTTGCTTTCTTTGACTCTGCTCGCATTTCGCAGAGTGAACCCAATCATGCAGTAAAGTCCGGTAATGAGAATCATTGGGGCGACGAAGAAGACGAACGTGGCGATTTCAAAGGAGTGTTCAATCAAAACTTTCTTCACACCGCAGGTCACCGCCGTTTGATTTGGTCCAACCATAATGTTATCCAGTCCGAACTGTAAAGCCTGAGTAAATGAGACGCAAAACAAAATAATTACTCTATTAGTTTATGGTTATGATGTTGCCATAAAATTTACGATTAAACCATTGTCCTATTTACAAGTACTTATCGCAACTTCAAGTAGATGCTCATTGTACGTATTATGTAAACAAATCGTTTTATTAGGCGGCTGAATGACTGGCTGGCTGACTGACTGCGATCCCTTGGGACGAGTTTGTTTACAAAAACTTTCACTCAAGGATTACACAACAAATTAATGTTCAGCAGACGCGGATAATATAATTTCCTTTTGAGCCTCTGAGCATTTAGTAAGCATTGTTCTGTTCTTCTTTGCTACCACCCTGAATACAAAATCTAGTTGGTTAATACCGTTGTAAGCAAAAGAAGGCAAAGGTCCATAGACGATGCAAGTAGAAGAACTGTTCATCGTCGTACTTGGATCCTTGCCAGTTCTACAAACAACCTGATGCATGAAAAGGTGAAAGTTAAACATGGCGTATAAATATATAACGAGATGAAATTTCCACTTTTCTCATTGGCTAAATGTACAAAAATTAATTTAAGCAATTTGGAACTATATCCGATCTAGTAAACCAAGTCTGCTTCCTCAAATAATATGACGAGCATCCGTTAGCTAAAGTGCGTACATATATTTTTGTTCTACATATATTATGTACACATGGAGAAAGCAGCACCTACACTGCTCGAGTCATGATGTCAAATGCAACACATGAGAGATTTACTCCTCCACTGGTTTTCACACATCATGAACACTGAACACTCAATACGGGTAGACTTTTACGTATTACTTTAAGGGTTTGCATTTAATTTAAAACTAACCTGGGGAATTGCGAAGGCGACGGAAATGACCCAGATGACTAGTATCTGACGGACCACCCGTGAAAGCTTGTTCTGCCACTTTTGGATCATAAAAGGGCGGCATATGGCTAAGTAACGCTCTACAATTGTTTTCAGTAAGTCAATATATTTTGTACGCATACACAATATAAATAAATGTGCAATATATGCAATCCTCTATTACCTACGGTGAAAGCGGTAATGGTCAGCACCGTGGCGTTCGACGAGGTTTCGGCAGCAAGACCACGGCCAATGCAGAAGACTTCCCCAAACACATCTGCAACATCAAGATATAAATTTTGTTCATGGAAATAAATTGAATTGAATCTTTCTTCCCAGTACAATCTGTGGGAATAAAAAAAGTGTGCTTTCTTGGCCATAAAACGTGTGGGAGGGAATTGAATGGAATATAAAACAGCTTGTCCCAGATAAAGCCTTGACGGTTGACATTGAATGTACTACTCACATGGATACCTCCACCAGATCGAGTGCATTTCGGCAGGTAAGCCAGCCAGGAGGAGGAGGAGGTCGGAAATGGCGAGGCTGAACAAGTAGTAGTTTGTTGTGGTATGAAGGTATCGAGATCTTATTATTACAATACAAGTTACGATGTTGCCGCAGAGGCCGAGCACCAGAATGATCACATAAATCACTGTGATGGGGATGAGGATGTACAGAGGGTCGCGGATGGGCCAGACGTATGCAATGTCGCCCGTGTCATTCGCACTTTCCACCAAGTCTCCCATTGGCCCCAGATTCAATCCTATATCGATACTTCCATTCATCTGCAGCAGTTGTCCACCACCAGGCTCATGTTCCACGAATAATGTCGCTATTGACGTCGCCACTTGGGGAAAGTTGGACAAGGAGTCAAAACTGTTGCTTTCCCTGCTGAAAGAGTCGTCCCCGTTTTCTGAATCTATCAAGGTTGAATGAGTTACGGCGAAAACACTGGTCGTATTAGGACTCCGATCCCCGAAAAATATCATTGTTCCGATGTCCACGGAGGTTGAGTTGTTGTTTCCCCTGTCAGATTCAGGAGAAGCTTGCATGTCGGATGTTCTAATGGACCGTTAGATTTATTTTTTTGCTACTTCTTCAATGACGGCGACCCTGCAAATTATGAAACACAATTTTTTTTCAAACAATGCCGATCATTGGTTATACAAGAGAGTTGTGCAATCGTTACGTGATAATAATAATTCAATTCGTGCATTGTACATGTGTACGTATGCATATATGTACTAATGTGCATGTAATTAAGTAATGGTAAAATTGTCAGTCTCGCTTCATTTGAAAAGTACAAACCCGAATGATGCTGTAAAAATTCTTAGGCAGCGTGATTGTATATGCGATCTCGTACTTTTCTGCTCTACATTTTACCAAGCAAATCAATAAAATGCTTTAAAGTAATGATTTGACGACGTGACGTGATAAGTAGTTTATCAATTCAAGAAGTACTTGATGCATTTTCCTATATTTGTACGCACATTCATGATCACAGGATTTCTAGGGTACAACATTGCCCTATTAGGGGACACTATGGGTATATAACCTTCGTTTGATTTGATTATGAATTTACAATCAAAATTACCAAAAAATATTTGAATCCTTGAAATATGCCAACTACAGACGAACTTATCGTGCATGTGCACTTAAGTAAGTAATATTTTTACTTCTGAAGCATAAGTACCTATGAACGTATGTGTAGCTACATAATATGTAACATGTATCATCTACACGTTTCTGCATAGACCATTCACAAAAAAATCATGATTAGCTGAAACCGTTAATTATCAAAACTGTCAAACTTTAAAAAACAGTGTTCTATCGATCAAGATCGTAAACATATATGACACAAGAAAATGCACACATGATAGAAGCGAGGTAAATATTTTCAATTGACAAATATGTTCTTTCGAATTCAATAAGACGCACGTATGTCTACCATAAATAAATATCATTCATATTTAAAATTCTTCTCCGCACTATACTAAATGTATCTGCGGAGGAGTTGTTTTTAACAAATAGCTCATCTTCAAAGTTGCCTTTGGCTGGTGGTAAGTGGTAATGACTGAGCAACCACCATCGTTATTTTGAGCGAACCGTAAAGTGGTCGTTCTTAAGTTGTGATTTTGAGAGTGAATGGTAATCATAAAGACTGCTCTCTTGCTGTCTCTGTGCTTTAGCCAAACCTGTCGTTAGAGATTCAGAACAGAGCTTATAATAATGCTCGATAATGCTGAAGGCAACATTAAAATATTAAACAGGACGATAATCATTACCGCCTGTTTTCATCAATAAATTTCCTCAGATTTACCTCCACCTGAAGCCAGCCGAGTGAACACGGTCTAACGCTAACAACCAAAAAGCACTCGCAAGCTCCACGTAATCTTAGCAATGAAGTGAAATTGCAAATTTGAACTAATGCGTCCATGTCGTTTGTGTAGCTCACTCGGCGGCTGTGCACCCTCTGTGTTATTTCATTCACCTTCACCAGCATTACATACGTATTAGAAATGTAGCAAAACGGCACAGTTGTGGACTAACTCATAAAAAATATTTAGTAGACGCCAATTTGCAAACCCGTATAAAAGTGTTGAGCTGGAAATAGGATCATTAGCTCCTTCATTCAGCTCACGCGGGGTAGCAATATCGAAAAAATGTGTGTGCTTAATCCCAAGTGCAGATGATGTTTTGAACAATTGCTGCTTGCTAGTGTGCAACTCGAGAGAATGTGATCGATAAGTCCAAAATTATATTAATGTGCATAGCTAGATATTCACTTTATCAGAGCTTTACTATTTAGTCCATTAGGCGCATTAAATATCGGCTATGATTACGACGAGGGCGTCAAGTTTAAAACATGCATTTACGAGAATGTGATACATACATATGTACACAAACATATATTGCAAAAAATAATCTAATTCAAAATCATCACTCAATCATGTAGAATAGAGACCCAGGACAATAATCCTGTGGAATAACCACTATGCGCAGTATGCACTGTGTGCATTTCAGTTAAATTAAGGAATAAAAGGACAGTAGGAATAACCAGAAATTGATAAATGGAATTAATTTTTGCTGATGGAAAAACGTTCGAAATACATCTTAAATACGCTCAAATTGTAAATGTATTGTAGTACAAGTATGTTGACGTCAATAATAACGACACCACACCAGTGCCCTGGTGTGCTTTATTATTCTGAAAAGAATGTAATACATGGATGTTTCTCGACAACATATTTCAGAAAGGGCAACCTGAGAATTGTGATTGGTTTATGATATCATATAACAATATGCATGACATGTCGCTTGAATTTTATTTAGAACTTTTAAAATCCAAATTTTAAATAAATTGACATATTGTTGTTGTTATTACTCGGCTAGTGGTTGATTGAATAATCCAAGATCGTGTATAATAGGAATAATCACACAATAGATTTCATGATTTGAATGAATATGGTTTTGAATATACAAATAAAAACAAATTGAACTTACCAGAGTGAAAGTTTTGCTTCGTTTAGCAAATAAACGTCTCAAATAACTTTTTCTCTTTAGAACTTGTAATTGAATCTCGGAAATGATAACAACCAAGAGATGCAGAGCAACTTCACGTTAACGGAAATTGAAAAGAAAGTTTGACTAGTAGATTGATCCGTACAATAATTCAGCGTTATTATTTTTTATTGGTATTTAATGGTACACGTGTCTGTCAATTTAGTCTTCTTGTTGTCAAAACCAATACTAGAGTTGCAAGGAAGAGATTATTCCTTGGTTCGTCATCTCATGTTGCCTCATTAGTCTCGGGAGGCAACTAAGCTTGGGATAAAGTGTCACGTTTCACTTTTTTAGAATTACAATTTCTTTGAGGTGGATTTTGAATAGTTTGAGTTATAGACAGTAACAAACAATGCCAATTTTGGTTCTCATGAGTGACACGGACAAAAACTTGGTCTTGGTATCACTCTTGGGTGAATTATACTTTCTATCACTGAGATACGTTGGGAAGACGGAGATTAATTGACGTGCACACGTTAGCTCGTAGGAGGAGAGAAATTATGACCAGTTCCTTACAACAATGTGGCACGACTAGCACCAAACTTGTCCAGAGATGAAATGGACCGCAGTAGTGACAACATGACAAAAGCTTCAAGGAGCTGAAAGCAAGAAAATCACAATGAAGTTACTTGACCTAGCTAATATAACTACATGAATAGCACATGAATAGCACAATATGAGTCCATGTGTGTATGTTTGTGAGATTCTAAATACCAGATCTAGATCGAGAAATCCATCAGTGTCAAGGTTGTACACTCTTCGAATGCTCTTTGGTTAGCACCCAAACTGTTGTATGGATAGCAAATTAATGCTAACAATGGAAGATTTACTGACGTGACTGCTCTCACAGGGAGATACAATAACCGTCTTGTCTCATGCTGGATTTGTACGATGGGGTTGTCTTGTCTCGGCTCGTCCTAATAAATTAATACTGACAAAGCGTTCAACCATACACTCGTACATGTATTTGCTTACACCATGTGATGATAACCGACAAGTTAACTGGCTCACTAATTACTTATTCACGAGATAATGACAATACTGTACTTAATTTTTTGTTGTACTTGTGGCTGTTTTGTTTTCGCAAACCTATGCATTAATTTGGTTAAGATTGATGATGAAAAGTAGTTCTTAGACTTTCATGAGAGTTTTATGTTCTGCACAAATTCTGCACAAAGAAAATTATCAATATGGTGGTCGACTCTAATGAAAGACACAATTAGCTATGGTTTGTAACGCAATGTTGCCTGAATGGCTTTTTTCTTCAGATGAAGTGACGAGTATGATTTTTGGGGTTGTTGCTTGCTGATGGAACTGCAAAGGACGAAGTAAAACTGGAATGTCGATGTGAGAATGTACTTGGGAGCTCGAAAAAGTGTGGGTTGGCTGGTGAACAAGTGAGGACAGACTACGAACAGAAAGTCTCAAGCTGAACTTTATTAGAAAGTGGGCAGCAGTGCACACGAACAACGACCACCAAAGCGAATGAGACTTTCAGCCACCATATCCAAAGCCCGGAGAAAGAAAACTCACGAGCACAGCACAATTTAATAATGGGACGCATATGAAAATCGAGACCAGTTCAGAGGATACTGTGAATATATAAATGCATTTGCTATACATATGCTGTACATAAAAAATAAGAGAAATGTGTATCTTTGAGCTCGCAATTCATTTATTTGACAATTCTTTAAACTTATGAAATATGGTGTTCTACACGCGAAGAAAGTTTTACAACCAACTCATAGATAAGTTCAGTTTCTGGTTCATGACTATATCTATTTGCAACAATGTATCCATCCCTCGGGAATGGTTTCCTAGTCGTCTATGAGTAATTGAGGTGCTCCTGGCGATATCGTGACATAGGCCTCGCGAATGCTATAAAATGATGCGATTCAAATAGTTTGCTTCCTGGGAAAATTGTGGTATGGAAGGAAGGTCATTTCAGCAAGTCGCTGTGTTTGGGTGAATAGTAATAAGGCAGGACTTATTTCACGGATCATTTCAAAAATATATTATAGATGATAGACATAGTCACACGTAGGTACGTACATAAGAAGGAGAAATCGTTGCTTCAATTCACAATTTTGAAGTATATACTTCAAAATACATGTAGCTACGATAGCTGTATGAAAGGACTCTTTGACTCCAGAAATGTGGTGCTTTTGCACAGTACATGCACAAGCAAGAGTAAACAACCTTCTTATTCACGGGTGGCGACTTTTTGATATCATTCATGCATATTCTTTGGGCTAGGTCCAAAAATTCACTTCACCTTCCGTAACATGCAATAATATGTAGTTCGCTGATATTTAATAATCCTCACAATTCACTGGCTGAATTTTTATGGCATTGCGTATACGGTCTTTATGTATAAGAACAACAACTACGTACCCAATCTAATACAGGACTACGTCTCAATCTATCACTCGTAACAAACTTGACAAGCTAGACACGAGAGAGAGATGAGTTGATTAAACAGATAGCTTTTCCATTCTTGGATGACACGACTTTATTTTACAGTAATGATGTGAAAAGTTTGAAAGTTCATGGCAAACTAAACTTGACAAGTTCTTAAATCTAGGGACACAAGGAATGCTTAGCTGAATACTAAAGCTTTCTTCGTAATTTTTTGTGTAAGCAGGATCGGGCGAATTATCGGTGCACATCTGATGCATATATACCGAGATTTATTAGTTTATAAATGGTATATGCATATTCTAGGAATGATGATTACAAAAATGTGCCAGCACTAGGTTAACTTAAGGTTAAGCAATCTGAGAGTAAACAAGTGCCACAACCGCAGCCTTAATCTTTTGGTTATGCAAAGAAGATTGGGTTCAGGTGTAATATCAGTGTTTTGCCCGAGAGATGTGGAGGAGGTAAAAATGGGGAGGAAATGGAGGAATATCTTTGAGAAAACATCCGAGAAGACTGTTTCGGTTTCATGGGGATGGCCCAAATGTCTGTCTCAAGATTAGATTTTTCAGAATCGGCAATTCGGGTCGGAATAAACAGGTGAAGAAAACATTGCTTGCCTCGGCAGTTGTTTGGCATTCATCTTCATACAAATAATGTCCTGTCCGCCAACAAACAGGAATCTCGTTCTAATTTACGTAACGTTTATGGTTGGTTTGTGCATGTGCTTGGACTCAAGTTTTTCTAGAACAGGGCAACATTTACTTTCTCCAGATTTTCAACAAAGCAGACAGATATGAAAAGAGACATCCTTACATTTATAGTCGTCAAAATCTCGGCTTATTTCATTTTGAGATTTAGGGTGTGCGAGAATGCAATTTTTACACAAGTACGTATGCACTACTGAAAACCATCGTCATCGCTGGCTGAATAAAAGTTTTACGTTCTGGAAAAGGAAAAGAAAGTATTTTTTCGCCAACTCCACAGAAAGATATTTGAATTTTAAATTATCCTTCAACCATATTCTTATATTACGTAAGTATAGTATGATATGTAATACGGTTCATTTTTGAACTTATTTGTGCATATACAACAAGCAAAATGCCTCTGTCAAGAGCTTTCTCCGTCATTTTTTTGCTACCTTAGCTTATTTGACACCGTTGAATTTCAACCTGGGCAGCATCTTCTCTCAAGAGAAGGTGAGCAAAAGGTAACAAGGCAGAATAATTTTCATTTCCGTTCATTTCATTTTGGTCTGACTCCTAATAAATGTTATGCACTTTCTTCCAAAAGTAAGTAATTACAACAGCTAGGCAGAGTACTCCTGCTAATCATTTACATAAAACAATTGTAACTTGTAGCTCAAAATGAAGCCATTAATTTAAGTGAAACTTGACATTTTGAGCACAGAACACTAAGTAAGGATAAAACTAAGGATTTCAAAAGTTTGTTGTACACCAGTATGCAAACATAATTTTAGCTTTTTCTAACCGAAGAACTGTAGACCAGTTGAGTCACACAGTTGGGTTCCTCTGGCAAAGTATGTATTCTGGAATTTGAATTCAGATTTTTGGACCTGATGGAGAACATGTTGAGAACATCAAACTTCACCTTCCTATTAAATTATAATTTGCTTGCGTTCCTTTTCCATACATAAACAGCGTCACCATTTTTTTCTTTAATGGACGATTCGGTTAGGCGCATTCGGATAAAGCGCATGATACCTCATTGTTCGATACCATGGTCATTATGGTTAGTACCGGCTGAAAAAATTCAAAGTTTATTTGGTAAAAATGGTTACTTTTGATTTTGTCACACCATCATCCGCATTGCAAGGTTTTTGGAAAGGAAAAATTTTGCAAAATCATATTTTGCATACTGATTTGAGGACCTACCGTAAATTATTTATTCAGTTCACAAACCCAACACGGTTTGGCTGTTTTTGAGTCTGACTCGAGTCGTGAAGGAAATGAATAATTGCATAAGGTTTTGTGCCAAGTTATGCATTTGATAATCTACGAATTTTATCATATAATAATGACAAATTCTTGCAAAAAAGATGATATGTGCACATTATTGATTACATGCAGCCACAAGATAAGTAAGTATTCATCATTTACAAGATTATACATCTCGTACGTATATGTAATTAGCTCTTTTATGGATATATAAATATATGTATTTCCTTTGATACCCACTTGGAAATTGGCATTTTCCGATTAACTTCCGGAGTCGAAGGACTCTCTCTCGCTTACAGCGGAACAATTTCCTGATTACAGTAAGATTGCACCACATAAAATGATCAGTTTACTTTATATTCAACATAAAGAATCGATGCCGCCATAGCTGGCTAACTTTCTTCAATTAATTTTGCGCTGGAAAATGCAGAACAGGAAATTAAATTGTGTGTATATGTGGGCTGACGTGTATTACAATCATACTTAGATGATGCACATTACAGGATAACAGTTGATAAGGCTTCTTTGTTGCCCACGTCTCACTGTGTTGGCGAGCACTAAAGTATATGTTCAATAGGTGATCTACTTATATATAGTGTCTCTATTTCTGTGGTTGGCGATCATATTTACTGGAGAACTCCAAAGAAATCGCAATTGGTTCATGCGTGCATATGTAAATGCAACATGTGGTAGAATATACGTGTTTACACGATTTTGGCCGTATATGAATAGCTTAAAATGATAGGTTTCACTTCTTCTCAGGACAATTTTGCAAACTTGGGAAGAGCGTTTAATGAAAGCAAATTTAGTGTACCAAATTATACCGATTACAAAGTTAGATTGTGACTAAAACATTCAAGTATAGATTCATAAAACAAAAATGTGTCAATGGGCTAAAGCATACCAAAAGTCTCTTGCACTTTTGATGGATTTAGTGGTCTTGTGGTTCGGATTCCACAGTGGATGAGATTTTGGTTGTGATCCCGGTCCCACAATCTAAAAATAAAAGCAATGGTCCATGAAGAACGCGTAATCGTTAAACCTTTCAAGTAGTGACATTGCAGTGCATATTTTATCCTGATTTACAACCAGGAGTTGTAAGGTTGGAATGAAATAGCAAACTTTCTGATTTTTGAGAGAAAATATTAAAGCTCACGTTTCAACATTAGACATCAACATTCGCTTAGCAAAATATCTTTTAAATGGCTAATCGCTGTTTCCGAATCAGCAAATTAAAATATCTTTAGTTCAATTTATGTATATTGAACGAATGACGTCAATATAAGTGAGCTTTAGCTTTTTGTAGTACGAATAAGTATGCACATGTACAAGGATTGGGGTATTTTGGAGAAATGTGAAATAGAGAAAGGTTGGCTGGTGTTGAAAATGTTGAAAGGGGTATTTTCTCTGAAGAGAGGCTCACAGATTTTGATGTTCTTGTTGTACTTTGTCACTTTTGTACTCTTAAAATATTGCGCTCGCCACACCCACTCAAATGGTTTGAAGATGACGATTTTCGTGGTTTTTACCTCTACGACAGGATGTTGCAGGCGCAATATGAATAACTCAAAGAGCTTATAACCATTGAGAGTTTTACTGCTCTCATAGCCAATGAGACAAAATACAAAAAGGGCATCAAAATCTTTGAGTGCAATCCGCCTGAGTTTGGCCAATACAATTTTGTCGTCCTTTTCTATTTTGCTGAGATATGTGCAAGCTGGCGTTTCAACATTAATATTGCAACTGCAAATGTCCTAATCTTAGAGACCAGACCAGAAATTGTCAAAACTGTTCTTTAGAAATCTAGAGGAATCCTGCCAACTTGTGGACCACAACTTGAGGTCTTAAAAGTTTTACTGAATTCGAAGAGATATGAGGATAAATATTTTCCACAAGTTATTGACAACAACAATAAGTTTGGTGCATTCGTGTCATTATAACGTAGCTTTGGATTGAGAATGTGTCTAAGGCTAAAATGGCATAAACTAATAAACCACCTACAATATGTATGCACATAAAGAACAGACATAAAGTTTGCGACTTGTACTATGTATGTACGTATGATTGACGGTTGTTGGTAAATTATGCACTTGGAATGAAACCTGTCACAAACACGAGAATTCTGACAGTAATGGAAATTAAATAAGTTAAATAACCTGAAAAACTGCTGATGTTCCTTGGTACGGTCTTGGGGGTTCCTCTGGACTTGGCTTATAGTATCCGAAATGCTTTTTATACAATAAAAATGTCATTAGGTCAATTATAAACTGTAACAAATTGATTATTTGTCGAATAGTACCTTAATCCTGTAAAATCCTTCTGGAATATCTGTCGGAGTTTCCCAAGACACTTCAATACGGCTTTGAGTACTGCCAAGGGCTGGTCTACTCCAGTGGAATCTAAGAAGCAACATATTTTATAAACGATACTGAAAGGAACGCAACATTTTTACAAGGTATATATTCTTATATTATTCAACTCTATGTATATATTTCACAGAACAAAACCCACGCACATACTTAATCGCATGTGTATGTATGTAGGTACATATGTGTACATGTACATGTAATTCTTTTGACGCAAAAAACTAAAGATAATTCAAAGTGACGAGAAAAGAGCATGATTAATGATGTGCTACATGCGCATCGTTTCCTTGCAACTTGATGGCCTTTGCGTAACCCCAAGTATATGCAACAAACTGAATTAATTTGATAAAGTACTAAACACTGGACATTGCCAAACGGGGAGGAAATACTATCTTTGCCCCACGTATTGATATTTCTCAGACAATTGTGTGAAGTGAAAGCGCTACAGTCAGAGAAACATAACGAGATTCTTACTTTGTATCCCAATCTGCATCCGTGCGAACAAGTTGCCACCGAGCAGATCCTTCATTTTCCCGTTCAATTGTTAGGAAAGTTCCTTCTCGCAATGGGTTGTTCTTGGGGTGTCCTCCAACGAAAATTGCTTTCACAACATCGCTGCCTTGATACGTCGCCTGTGAATGCATACGTTGATCATCATGATGTTACGAATGGCAATGCTAAAAATATGCTTGTGTATGCATGAGCAGGCAAATATATTGGCTTAGGGCCTCATTTCATAACGTTCGTTACATAATGTTGAAATGTGTGTTTCTCATTAGACTTAATAATGATTGACTCAATCTTTTGACATTGATTGGCAACGTCAAGTCTGGAATACACTGTGGGAAGTATTCCGTGGGAAATAAATATTTAGTTGGTCCGAACCCAGAACCAAGGTTGAATATTAAAAAAACATAAGAATTGAGTTCTCAATTCCCATTGGAATTCTCATATTGCCCCATTTCGCAAGAAGTGCTTTCACCATCATGCACTTTCGCTAGTCACTTACGGCTGAGTTACGGTTAACAATAAAATAAAGCTTTTAATGGTCACTACGAATGTAGAACCATATTAATATACGAAATTAAGCACAAGGATTATGTATGTATTTACTGCAAGTTCAATTTAAATTACCTCTGGTTCTAAAACTAAATCGCCAAAAGTCATTCCAAAGGGTGTCGAATCTTGTTGAACCTGAATGTTGTATGAATTCATATTCATATTTATCTCAGACAAATTTGTATCAGAATCAGTTTAGAACAATTCATTTTATATCAGAGCTGAAAAAATGAATTGAAATAACAACTTCAATTACCTCAGGTACTAGTGTAAACTGTTGGTCTAATAAATTTGGTGGCAATGGTCCCGGTCCAATATTTGTACCCTAAAAAACCCATGACTTCAGTAACCAACTTTCCATTCTTCCTACCTTTTTATAATAATATTTTTTTTCAACTTACATCAATCATTGATTGAACCAATGTTGGAAATTGTTGCAAATAGGCGTCTAAAGTGTGCGGACCATACACAGTTGAAGCTGCCTTAATACAAACAGGTCATTCATTTTCATTTATCATCATTAATCTCATTTATTTTTATTTGATGTATACCTCATATCTTTGCTTTTGATACTCCTCAAACGTGGCAATGTAGTGAGAATACACATTGCTCAGCCCTGCAACGACTACTCGGGGAGCTGGTTCTCCCGGAAGTTTGTTCGAAACAAGTTCATCCACAACCTTTCTCAATCGACGACCAGCCATTGTCTGAATGGATTTATGCAACAATAAATAACCGGTGAAATTTCCTCGTTTACTCATAGCACAACTACTCACTCATATTTAAATTGAGCAAAATTAATTGTTATGTACCGTCAATTCGCCAGGAACGCCGAGGATGTACAAGTTTCCAACTCGCAAAACCTGCGTCTCCACAATAGAGGGTACCCACTCATAAGGAAAAAAAGCTTCCCCCACTGCGAGGAGTACAGGTTTGGGACTAAAAATCAGGGATATGAATTATAACTCATGATTTTTTATCAGTCTGGATAACATCAAGTGTAGCCTCAAGGTACACATTTATGTACGTAAGAGAAAGCACTAGTAAAAGTACTCGTCTGAAATTGATCATGTGCAAGTTGGAAAGGTGAAGGTTAGCCAGCTTTTCACCAACCGCAGTTTTCATCTCGTCGGCATGAAGGGGATTTGTACAATGTGCGTCTTACGAGTAAAATTGAATGGACTCTTTATACATATGATAGGCATATGACAGCCTTTCACATTTCACGGATTTGTATTTGCAGAAAAGTGTAAAAAAGCTCTTTGTCTCTTATCTCAACCCCGTAGACCAGGGTAAGCAAACACACATATATATTGTCAACACTTAAAACAGGATTTGTTTCCCCAGGGACACTTCTCGTACATAGCGTGGATTTTAATATGTACGTAGTAATTTTTGTGAGTACCTACATTACTACACAAGCAGGTGTGAAGCTTGGTATTTGAGACACATTTGTTACGAGTTTCTTACCTTTGACACTCTTTCAACTCTTCTGTCGCATTTATTAAATAATCCTTGATAAAGTCCCAGAAGATACTTCCGTTCGTGTTCCCCTGTTGAAAGTCAAACATTCCAGGACCATCAGTTGTACCTGGAATATAAAGATAAAGATATGTACAAAGATGTGTAGATTTATGGATGAAATAGATAAAGTACCAGCCGCAAACGAATGACCCAGGGCGGCCTTGCACAGTTTTTTCACTTCCTTTTGTCCATTAGCGTTGGTAATTTCAACCTGTGGAAATCGGGTAATTTGTGAAAACTGCGTCAAGTCATGTCATAACACATTATTCTGTTATCAGTTCAGTACCTCGAACAAGCTCATGTTGACATACTGATGCTGAAACTGGACTGGACCAGAAATAGCTTCAGTTGCATCCCTGTATAGCTCATCAGCCTTTGTGAATTGTCGTTCCCCAATGATTTTAGTGCTTTCCTCCATATTTCCGTTGACTCCAGGTCTATGCGGATATGTGATATATGCATTATTTCAGACTATTATATATACTTGTATATTCTATTTACCCAAATGCAATACACTTCTGGACATAGCAATTCTGTCCATTCGAATCGCAACATGTACTGGTTTCAGTGTCGCAAGGAAGTCCTGGGTTTATACGATAATAAGTATGCGTACATATGTCCATTGTATCGATATATTCACAATCTAAACATCTCTGCTATACCTGTATCTATACATCGTGGACCCTCGATATTGGGACTTACATCACCAAGATCTAAGATATAAGACATAGTTACAATAACACGATATTTTTTAGCGTTCAAATAGGAATTCACTTGAAGAACCGAATGCGGCAACAAAAGAGCCTTTCCCCGGTCTGGCATTGGGATTCATTTTACTTTCAAAGAGCAAGGATGCATAACCTTTATTGTCCCCGGACAATAAAGTGTTCGTGTTGTTCATGCTTGAGGATAAGTCAATAGCACTCGATAAAATTAAAATAATAAGCTAGATAAATAAATTCTAAAATAAATAAAACCTAGTTGGATGCACTGGGAACCAATTTATTGATCCTAAGGGACTCCCATCTAGACTCTCGAGCCGTACAAGCTGCATATCTTTGTCAACGTCATGAGTGTACCTGAGGCAATTTGGAAATATTTCTTATTGAGTGTGAAACAGCTACATATTTGCATGATACTCAAATAAAAAATAAGTACAACACGACATAAATTTCCAACAGAAAAATGTTGAAGCCTTTATCAAACTAAGTTTTTGCCAAGCAAAACACCGTCATATGTACGCATAAACGATGATATTTTCTTACAGATCGCGTTCCGCTTGTGGATTCGCTAAGTAAGATGACGGTGATCTGTTAATGTTGGCAGCCAACAGTTCACCCGAGTTGAACAGAATTTTTCCAGGCTGAACGTTGGCGTCAGCCCGTTCAATGCTCTGAACAATGCCATCCACAATTGTTTTGAAGTTGTCTCGGTTAAATCCAAGACTCGTTATTCCATACAAAAGGTATTGAATATATCCAGCGGGCCCGCTATGAGTGTGGGTCCCAGATAAAAGCACATTTTGCGACGTGTAAGTTTCGCCAAATCGAAGCTGAAGTTCGGCGACCACCTAAAAATCAAGAAATATGGAATTCTACTGCAACATGTCTTCAACCTTACGGGTAATAATATTCGTAATTTCATTCATGTTGTTGAGTAAGATAAGTGGATTACAAATTTTCCCATGTCATCAAAAGAGCACAAATAAGTGTACATACATAATTCTATTGTAGTTGTATGTAAATATGTATAATTTGACATCTATGTTAAACAACTTTTCCAACCCCCAAAGTTAAGCCAACCTGAAATTATGGATACCCTCAATAATACCTTATGTAGGTAATAAATCTAGGCTCAAATGTGTCTAGGTTGGTTCTAAGGAGTTGTTGGATTGAATTGGAAAATCATTAAGTAAAAAAAAAGTTTCTCCTAGTCCAACTACGTTAAAGAAACTTGAGATGCCTTCACCGGAAGCTAACCCTTTCATTGATTTTTTTTGCTAAAAAAGACAGCCAGGACATGCCCAAATAAGTTATGTTTTTTATGGATGCAATGAAACCAACCATATACATATAAATATATACAGGGCAGCCTCATTCATAAATTAACAGTGTGTGTGTGACTTCTTATATGACAGCAGTAATATTAATTCTGACTGTCTCTGACTTTGTACTGAAAAACTTTGCTTGAAGACCCTGTAATAATTTGCGTTGCAGAATAAACGAGTCAGCCAGCAGTTGGTGGTTCAGAGTGTATATTTTCTGTCTACAGTTCTTAAGTATGTATGTATATAGTATTTACAATTAAGAGAAGCTGAAAAGTGGAACAAGCAATTATGGCATGATCCTGCGTAGCTGGAAAAATGTGCTTTTAATGTGAAGGAGAAAGAACTTTCTCCGCTTCCACTGCCTAAATTGCTGAATATACATACTTTGCGACATAACATGTAATTACGATTGCATGTACGTTTGCGTTATTGTTTGATCATCCGCCCACCCACCCACACTTTGTCGTCGTGTCGTGATAATAACTTAATTACCTGGGTTTTTATGGCCTGGTCCACCATGCCAATATCAGCACTCACGTAAACCACTCGACTCCCTTCAGATTCGAAAACAAATGCCCTGCTCCAGAGTCGTGTATGAATCCCCGTTGCGGACTGTGTCAGAGATGCGTATCCCATCTTCCCATAAAAAAGATTTATGTAATTATAATTTGTCGAATGCATTCAATTTTTAATACGTCTAGTAATTAGTATAAAAGGGGCAAAATCATGTGTAACGTGGGAATTTGTTTTCCTAGACGGAAGTAATCGCCGCATTGATGATGATTCTTGACCCACATGACCAGGCCAATTATTGTCTCAATCTCGCAGAATAAGGTGTGTATGTAGTTTACCACATATGCAAGGCTAACTATTTTACTGTGCACAAACCATCCCAATATCAGCAGCCGGTCCAGTAACGTCAGCAATACCAACGCCAATCCCGAAATTCCCATCCTGGTCTCCATGAACTCGGTCAACCAGGTTAATGACGAGGGCGCAAAACAAGGCAAATTGCCACACAAACGTAGAAAACTTTCCCATTTTGATTAAGACTTCTTGCAGAGAAGAATAATGGGAGCAGACAATGCAACAGTTAGTGACCAATTAACCAATTAACCTGGAAACAAATAGCGTGGACGTGGTTGGTGACGGTAGGAAAAATGTTAGGGTGGTGAGCATACTATTCCCAACGAACAGATTATGTTGGGGACATAAAGCAATCACTGAAATCATCACATGCCCAGAAATTATCAGACAACTTTTCAAGAACAGCAATACACTCACACAAAAAAATTGGCTCTTGTCAACGTGTCATTCAAGAAGATAACAATTAATTGGGTGTGAGAGCTATTCTTGCCAAATGTGAAATAAATGTTTAACTTGTCAATAAAAATTGATTTTAGCAGATTGGAATTTTCCAATCGTTTATAGATATGTATGTACAGATGTACATATGTTCGTACATATCAGCAACTCAACTTGCTATGTATGTCTGTCAAAGATGACAGGTTGAGATAAAAAGCAATAAGTGTTGCACTATTTATTTAAAACATTTGTACTCACTGTCCCTGGACATAATGAAATGTGTCATCATCATACTAAATAACTTTGACTTTTTATTCAAAATTCTAAAAATTCTCAGATAGGTCAACAAGAGTAATGCAAAATATGGACTAGAATCTTCAAGAATATAAATTTTGATAATATCAAGGAGAGGTTGTTGGACAAATGACACACATTTTATGACGTAGTAGAAGTCGTAGGTCCAATGGGCGCCATCGTTGCAGTTTTCCGCAAGGACTTTAAGTACGTTGATGTCTCTTCATACACGACGAATGTAATGGCTGTAGCGGGGACAACTCGGATAAGATTTGGGAGCAGCCCTTTATAGTATCCTCGGAGGCCCTCATTCCTTTGCAATGGGAAAATAAATAGAATTACTGGATAGCGCCGAGACAGACAGTTCAAGAAATGACAAAACTTTTACACTTTGCCTTCTAGAGCCGCTTCCGTCATGAAACGTAAGATATATATCACCACGCGAATTGAGAGGCGAGTTTATTAACTTTTAACATTGATAAAATGGTCAGTCATTTGAAAGACGCATGACATTGAACGCTTGCGAATAGCGTGTAAAATAACAAATCTTGCAGAATATATTATCTTTATCAGTACCATATTTGCATGCTTATATACATATACGGCCGGTCACAGAGTTGTCAGAAGAGTCAGTTCTTAAAATTAATGTAGTAAATCAACACCTTACACAAATCCTACGCCTGCCGGCAGGCATCAAACAACATACGTGGAAGACGACGTGGATACCACAAACGATACATTTACAGATATGTAAAATTGTTGTCTTTTAAGACCAGTGATAATAATAACCGTAATAATAGTAAGGGAATGAGCCAAAGAGGTACATAGAAAGTTGACACAACATGAAAGTTTTACAAGTAACAATCCGGAGAAATATGTTTTTTTTTTTCATCAATAACCCTTGCAAAATCTTCTACGGGGTGAAAATCTTGCAATACCTTTTACAACGAATAATATCATCTGCCACTAGGACTTGTGAAGGTCTCGTAAATAAGAAAAACCAAACAAATATTCGGAGTCACATGAAGCAAATATGGACTGAGTCCCTTATAAAATCCGCGTAATCCTTCATACCTCCATGTTTGTCGCATGACATCAATTACTCCTTCATAAACACGATGCTGATCCTGGAGTCGTGCACGTACAACCTGATATGGGTAAGTACTAGCTGCTGCGATTAACTTGGAAATTGCTGCAAAACTCAGATATTCTGACGTTGCCTATTCAGCAAATAAATGGCAGGTAATTTGTTATATGTTTCAAAACAGGGTAATTACAATGAAATAAATATGGCATTAAATGACAAACTTACCAATTTTGAATCAATTGGCATGTTTCTGTACGTGTTATACATTGTCTTCATTTCCTCGTAGGTCATGAACTGAATGGCCCCGTGAGAAACGCCAAACATTCCAGGAATTAAGCCTTTGTACAGTCCCCGAATTCCTTCCATTTTATAAACTTTCACCAATGCATCAGCCATGCCATTGTAATAAGTAGCAGCAATTGGGGCCCCTTAAGAAGCATTAATAATTAATAGGGTTGTATAAGTGTGAAAATAACTTGGGATTAAAAGTTTTTCCGTTACCTGCAATTGCTGGGGCTACCGTCGGAGGTCCAGTACCATATTGTAAACATAAACGAGTTTTTACTACCCAAATGGGATTTGTAAACATCTGAAATTGCATCAAAAACGTTTAAAATTTAAGTACAATTATTTTCGGTCTTTATTGAATGAGTGCGCTAAGCTAACCAGCGTCAGAAAACCAGCTTCTGTCGCTATGATCATATGCTTTGTGGGTCCAAGGTTGGTTTTTGAGTCTCCTCCTTGCCACCATGATTTTAACGAGTTATAAAACAAAAAATATAGTCCCCAGGCACTACCAGCTCCCCAAACGTTAGGAGTAACACCTCTACACAAATTATCATTGTCCAGTAACAAGCTCACAACAACATCCAAGAGTGCAATTTATCTATATGTAAATACCTGTAAAGTCCACGAAACCCTTCATCCTTGAGAATGGACTTGAAAGCATGGAATAAACCATCATATTTTGGTCTAGAGCTGAGGCCATCATTAACAGCGAATCGAATTTTTACAAGATCAAGAGGATGCAAGAGAAGCGTAGAAACGACTCCACCTGCAACAGAAACAAAAAATATTAGCAAAACTATAATAAATAACTTGTATAAGAAATTATTATCTGACCAGCTACACCAGCCAACATGTGCTCCATTTGAACGTGGGCAAACGCTGGTCGTGGTTCAGACGATGGTGGTGCGATACTGGGAGCTACAACGCTTCCTGCCAAGACTTTGGGAAAAAGTGATGAAAAATGTGATTTTCCACTATATAGCAATGTCGTATGAGAATGATTGACAAGATAAGATTCAGGTGGCTTCTGCGAGGCTACTGTGGCGTTTCTCGTCTGAGTTGTCGGTATCATTACAATAAAATAAGAAATTTCTGAGCTTGATGACCATCCACTCAGCCCCCTGAAATTTAATCAAACAACACAAAAATAAATTATTTAATCATGATTTGACATAAATGCAACTCGACCAATACATGTGTAGTATAATTCATGACTAATGACTATACTTTAAGTTTACTAAAGTTTTAAAGTAAACATTTGTTTAATGCCGAATCCTAAATAACGAAACTCAACAAAATTGATAACAGTTCAACTAAATAAATGCACAGACAGTGTGGGACAAAAATAATAATATGTATATCTCGAGTTCAATAAAAGTAGTCTTGTGATCTTTGACCCTTTTGGTTCTCAGTTATATCTTGAGTTGATTAGTTGCGGAAGCTCTATGCTCTGTACACATTCTACTGACTACAGGATTATTGAAAAAGTCATGACTAAAATTAAAACTGCATAAAAAGTTTACCCACCCGTATAAATTAAGAAAATTTATTTGTTTGCAGGGTTAAATACACATTACACAAGGTGCGTTTAGGTCTATAATTAATCGTGAATGCAGTACGTACTAAAGTAAAACGTACCCGAATTTACAATGACGATGACTAGATTTCAAAAGCGATTCCAAGGATTTAAGGGTCATATATGTAGCACATCCAGCTTAGCTACCACTACTGGCATGATTTATGTACAACTTGGTTTTTGGGCGATTTCTTCAATTACTTGTTCCTATTGCACTGAAATAATTGTAACCTTAAAGCATAATCAATTTAAGACTTAAATTTTAAGTTACAAAAGTCAAAAATATAGTCACTTACCAAAAATATTGCATCAACCACTTCAAAAACCCTATCATGATACTCGTTGCTTGGGTAGGCTATTTATTTTATGGTATTACTACACAAGAATCAAGTTGAAATCATACAAAAGAATTTCTCCTCACTGAAATACACATATTTGAGCTAGAAGAGCAATCAGGAGAGGCTTAAATTATTGTAAAAAGAAATGTTCCTAATATAGCCCTCATGGTATAAGTAACTTTTGCCAAGAAAAACGGGAAAACCTTCCACTTACACAAGAATTAAAAGTGTGATTGCTTTCTCGTGCAGTGTGCGTTTTAATTCTGATTTCTTAAACTTGGGAGCCCAAAGTTGAAGTTTGGAGGACGATCTGATGATGATGGTGAGCACGTTGTTGTTTCGCTGCTTTTCCGCACAAAACCACTCGTTGAGTTCTCTGCATATGCCAACTCAACTTTCTCTTTTGCTAAAGAATCAGCTCTTTGTTTTGTCGGTTTAATATTCAGACCTGACCGACTCGATGCAAATGCAGTTTTGGGAGAAATGTCGAATGAGTTCGAAAATGGGCATTACCAGACGAATGACTGATCATAAGTCATGTACTCATGATTGGCCAATTTAAAGTTTAATGAAGCAAAAAGCGAGTTTGGTGTGAGTTGTTTTTATTCAATGAACATACAAAATAACAAAAGTTATACTATGGAGAGAATTTAATTCCTTTATCTCTGGCAGAAGTTAGCTGCCCCACTAACGCTTTCACTTTCGGATGACAACTTTCATTTTGGAAATATTCGTGAGTAGAATCAAAAAACTCTTGGAGAAATTTCGGACGACCTTCGGAAATCTCATATTCATAGGCCTGCATGATCATGTCAAATTTGTCCAAATCTTTTACCAGCTTCCCTTCAGGAGTTGTAGCATTCTCATATTCCTAATGTGAGGATATTTCATGGAATTGATTAAAATCGACTATAGAACTTTAAATAACATGTGTACTAACCTCGAATAGTTCCTTCATTTCATTTCCTTTGTTACAACCTGGCAAAAGTGAAGCCAACTGGTCGATAGCTGCTGTCTCCAAGCGGTTTTTGGTGTCATTGCTGACGCCACAATGAGGAGTTATATCCCCAATTATCGATTCTCCAATGTCATGTACGATGGACAATTTTATGCACCTACATGTGTATCAGATTAGTTAATTCTTTGTTAGGTTAAAAATGATTCATTGAGGAGAAAATAAGTATGATTTGCACCTGTTTATGTCGATTGTTGGATCATCAATTACAAAGCCACTCATTATCGCCATTCGATACATATGACCTGCAACAGTCTCTGGCTTCCGAACGCCATGACGAATCCATCCGGTTCGATCCAGGTGCTTAAACAAAATTACACCGTATAACGCGAATTTATCGACATTAGAATAATGTCTCATTCATGTCTCATTTGAATATGGTTTTTCATAAAAATAGCATGGAAATTTTCATAATGCTAGTGGGGTCGGGGCTGAGAGAGTTGGATTTGAGTGCGCGAAGAAGATGCACGACGGAGACTCACCACCACATTTATCTGGTTTGCATATTCTTGTTTTGACCAAGTTTTTTCCTGTAATTAGTATAACATTTGAAACAATTCAAAAAATACTCACCTTCAGTTTAGAGAGGTAGTCGAGAAATTTTAGAACGGGGGGCATTTCACTGCCCTCATTCCTCTCATCCATTTTATCCACCGACTCGGCCATGCTTCTCAAAATTCTAAGAAATTCTCCTGGTGAGTTACTGTTTGCTATTTGGTAATTATATTTCAAGAGATGCTCAGAAGAGATGAGAGCTATATGGCACGTTTTCTGATAATTTATGTCCTCACCATTCTGTTCTGCCTCAGTGCAATCAGGGGAACTATACAGTGGTCTCAAATCCTAGCGCACTTTCATATCGGTATTGGGGGCATCGGTTCAATAATTTGCCTACTTATTTAATTTTCAGAGATGATGATTCGGCTTAAATCATTGTCAAGATCACAAAATGGACGCCTATTGGATTGCTTTAAGATTTATTGGAATCCCCCAAGGGAACTCTGCTCAGGGAGGAAAGATAATTCTCAAAACAAACCAGTTGAACCTGGAGAAAGTATAAAAGAAATGCCAGTCAACAAACCTAAAGGAGGATTTGTAGAAGCAATGGCAAAATTTGAAGGGCATGAAAGTTTCACAAAAATGCTGCGGAAATCTCCTCTAGTTCAGGTATACGTGCAAATAAATGGTGCCTGTATGTTATGTATGCATTGAATAATGTCATACGTAATTATTATTTTAGATTGGCGATCCTCAAGGGAAAATAGTTGAAGGAAAAATAATCCATGTAGTAAATGACGATCTTTATATTGATTTCGGTTCAAAATTTAACTGCGTTTGTCCACGTCCTCCTAAAAATGGAGCGTAAGTTTCAAATTTTCAGCATTGTTAGTTAAAAGGGATTATTATTAACACTTTTTTTTATTGCTGTTTAGATCTTATACACTCGGAAGAAAAGTTCGAGTGCTAGTCCACGATCTTGAACTGTCGACGCGATTTCTTGGGGCGGCCACAGACTTGACAATTTTAGAAGCAGACTGTACACTTCTTGGACTAGCAGCAAAGACCCAACCACAAGAATCTATTTCACAAGTCTCATGAGAATAGTTGTCTAATATCTATTAAATATTTTGCACTGTTTTAGTATTCTAAGGTGTGAATTAGTGGTGTGGAGAAAGTCAGTCAGTATGGTTATACATAGAGGAATATGCTCAGTTAATCATTTAATTAAGCTGGATAAATCGACATGTAACTTGCTCTAACCATAAATTAAACTATGAATAACATTAAAGTTGTATCATTATAAAGTGAGTTCTCAGCATCACTCAATTTCATAGCTTTCTCATTTTGCTACAACAACGAAAAGAAAGTTGATGAGTCTCAGCATGCCCCCCGAAAATGATCGATGAAAGTTCGTTGAGGCTTTGATGCAGAGGGATGACTCAAAAGTTGATGTGTTGGTTGTTTTAATATCACTTCCGCGGAAGTTGTCAACAATTATTTGGTTAACCTTTTAAAAACGGATTCCACCAATAAGGTGGAGGGCGATTTCGATCTCTTGGCGACGGACTACACCAATAAGGTGTAGGCCAAATTTTTCGCCTTAGCGACGGACTACACCAATAAGGTGTAGGCCAACTTTTTCTCGTTGGCGACGGATTCCACCAATAAGGTGTATGGTTACAGAATTCCGTTGAGACCGGGCTACATCAATAAGGTGTAGGAAAAAATAAAAATAAAATGACCGAGAAAATTTTCTCAGTTCCATTCTTTCCTCCTTATTTGTCGTTGGTTTTTCTTCAAGCCTGAACTAATTTTTTTAGAGTTTAGCGTTGTAGTTGTAGTGGGGGGAGGAACTCGGAGGAAGTGCATCAGAGGTCACGCCGCGCCCCCGAAAAATTATCCAACATTGGCGCCGCTAATAAATTGGTCGGCGTTGACCTCTGACCTGTATCATGTTGTAAATATGATACAGTTCATATTTTTTTAAAATTATCACAACGTTCTCTTTAGCTAATATATTCGCAATAGTGTCACCACCGATCGGAACAAGTCACAGAACACTGAAGGACAAAATTATAGCTAATAACTTGTTTAAAATATAAAATGCATCCCAAAATCAGTGTCATCAAATTGATGACATGAATGATGACGATTTGTTCGTTTAGTTTATTTTTGTAGTACTATCAAAATCAAATCCGATCTTTCTATCAAAATTAATATCGTGTGTTCATTTGGTTCAGTTGCAATTTCATGTTAAAAATGTATTATGTTATAATTTTTGTTGTCGAATCAGTTCCAGGTCTCTAATAAATCATAACTGCATCAGTAGAATATTCAAAATCGGTTTGCATTAATTCAGTCCCCAACTGATTTTATCACCGCCCCACAAGTCGGTCTCAATGGTATTCTGCCCCCCAGTAAATCCGCCCCCAAATGCAATAGAAACCATTTTTAATTCCGTTTTTAAATGGTATCCAGGTCAAAATTAATTAGTTTTTATAAGGTTAAAAAATTATTGTACTTCAAGGTTGAAACTTTTGAAATATTTCAATAAGCGCTGGGTGTTCATAATCGTGCAGCCAGTTCGAAATTGGTTTTGCAACTTGCTGAGAAGGTAATTTTGAATATTATAAAAACGTTATGCATACAAGTTTCAAAAATATTGAGTGGAAGTTTGTTATGTTATTAACGAGAATGACGATCTTTTTAGTTCTCCAGTGAAAGTGCAGGCCACAGTTACCAAAAAGTAATACAAGAATAGAGACATGTCCTTCCGTGAAAACTCGAATAAAATTCCTTTGGGGAGGCCGGCATCTTCATCTTCGAAACCATCCAGTGGGTCAAGCCTACTTAAGCCTGCATATCTACGTGGTGGTGGTGGTGAATCTAATTCCAATGATGATTACGAGCCATTTACAAATCACTACTTTCCCAATTTTCCCAATCCCACAACTGCAGCAGCTGTATCCAGTGCTGTAGCTAATATAACATCGTCATTAAAACGGGATATCAGTCGGTCTCATCGATCCGGATTTGATGATGATAGTAATGGTAGTCAATAATTTACCATTTGAAATGAATATTGAAAAGAGTATTGAGTAGGGATGGAGGAACATTAAAATGATGAAATCAAATGTTATTAGATACCCGGGACTCTGGAGGAGATCGGAAACGGAAGCGACGATCACGCTGGATGGGATCAGAGGATGAGAAGGCTGTTTTTCCAGGAATGCCTACAATTCTTCCTCCTGGGATTGCTCCGGATAAAGCTGAGGCTTATATAGGTAATTTGAAATGCTTCCCCAAAATGATCACAAATAACGTTTAGCTACATATGTGTACTTCAATACAATGTTTATTATTACTGTTGGTAATTTGTATGGCAAGTTTATTAATTATGTATATGGGGGGCTTGCCTCCCATTTTTCTAACCTCCATTTTCTTACAGCCCAACTACAAATTGAAGAGTTAACAAGAAAACTTCGTACAGGAGACATGGGGATTTCGCCAAATCCAGAAGAAAGGTGTGGCGTGGTTTAATGATAATGAATCATGATGGTGTTCAATATTGCTGAATATATTGGATGAATCAAAATCTAACTAATTTTATGTCATGATTAATATGCATATGCCATTGATAGTCTGTGAAAACTTAATTGTTTTATTTCCTAATTGACTCAGTCAGTCATCAGTTTAGGATTATCCATCTCATTCGTATAAATATGGATTGGATACATATATGGATAAATTTTTATTTTTATTTATGACATTAATAATATGACTAAGTTACGTGCAAAAATGTTTGCAAAATTATTTATCTGTGGGTTCATACAGTTTGGTACATATGTGGGGTTTTGCTTTTCTTTTAATTCCAGATCACCATCACCGGAACCGATTTATTCAACTGACGGCAAAAGGTTAAATACTCGAGAGAATCGAACACGAAAGAAATTAGAAGACGACAGGCACAAGCTTATCCAAAGATTACAAGAGCTGAACCCAGATTATAGACCACCCCAAGATTATAGGTATTTTTGTTGTGCACTGAAAATTACAGATAATGGTTTTATTGTAGATGCATTGCATTGTTATAATTAATTGCAGAACTCCTGTTGTGAAAATTGTTCAAGAGGTTCCGATTCCTCAAGAAGAGCATCCTGAAATAAATTTCGTGGGACTTTTAATTGGACCCCGAGGTAATACTTTGAAGTCACTAGTAAAAGAGACCGGGGCGAAAATCATTATTAGGGGGAAAGGTTCGGTAAAAGAAGGGAAAGTTGGTGGGAAAGCTGGACAACCTTTACCAGGTAACACACATTATTACTAATCACTATTACCACTTTGTAACAACTATCTATTCTGCTTATTTGCTTTAGGAGAGGATCAGCCTCTTCATGCATATGTAACGAGCAATAACCCAGAGTCTGTCAAAAAAGCATGCGACAAAATTCGCGAGATAATTCGCCAAGGAATTGAAATGCCTGAAAGTCAAAATGACTTGAGAAAGAATCAACTTCGTGAATTGGCCCTGTTGAATGGAACATTGCGTGAATGTGAAGGACCGAAATGCAGCAATTGTGGATCAACGGCCCATCGGACGTGGAATTGTCCGGATAAACCTAACTACACCAACAGTGTTGTCTGTACCGTTTGTGGCGGAGCAGGACATTTAGGAAAGGACTGCAAGTGAGTTATTAATTATATTATGGATAGATTATGAAAATTACAAATTTTAGTTTCATTAACAAATATTGAATTACAGATTGTCACGACCTGGAGCCGCTGTACCTTTGGCTGTTAATTATGATGACAAAACCAAAATAGACGAAGAATATCTGTCCTTGATGGCTGAGCTTGGAGAAGGCAAAGCCGAAACAGGACATCGACCAACTGGTGGAAGTGGTTGTGGATCACGATTTTCTAGTGGTGGACTATTTGACAGGTCATCAGCTCCTAAGGCACTCATGTCCACTGGCTCACATCATCAACATCAACCGCCAGTTCCACCACCAAGTGTTGGAGGTATATTATTTATCATCGTTCATTGTTTTAGCCTGAACCCGGACTTATGTAATTGTCCATCTGTCTGTCTTTCGATAACTCTCGAAAGAGTTAACTGATTGACTTGAAATGCGATTTGTTACCTCATCTCACTTCAACATCACAGCATACTTCACTGCACCACATGGATCTGCACCATCACCACCACCAGCTCTGCATACATATAATTCTGTCTATTCTGCAAGAAGTGACTCAAGATTCGACATTGGACTTGCGAAAGGAGTTTTGCATTTGCTTTGGTTGTTGGATTCAGTTTTTGTTGTTCTTTCAGAGGACAAAAGTGTCAGCCTTCGAACTTGGCCTGCCTACAAGCACTGCTTACTTGGGAATACAACTGCCCCTAGTAGTACTACTACTACACACTGTTCTTTCTTACCACCATCGCCAGTCGTGGTCGTCGTCGTCGGAAGAAAGAAATTCCATTCCCCCATTCGATGCATTCTACTGACTGGGTTTACTTTGCTCTATAGCCTGTCTGCAGCCCCAGCTTTTATTCCTATGATTCTCTCTTTCTGTACATAATGCGAACATGGGAACATACATAAGCTCCCCATAGGCGACGAGAAGGAAAAGGAAGGCTTGGCTCAACTCTGGGCTATTCGCTGCAGTTTAAAACTTTGGGTCGAAGAGAGCGCACCAGCGTCGAGCGAGCCAGCGTTCTCGAAGTTGTTGAGCGTGGTGTGTAGCTTCCCTGGCACTGAGTAATTCCCATGTAATTGGATTGGATTGGAGTCATATACTGCTTTTGGTCGTTCAAGAGTGGAGAAGAATTATATTGAAGCACAAGGAAAGTGGAAGGGTGCATCTCAAACACAAGAATTTCAAATTCCCCTCATGTTACTCGCTGAGCTTAACCTGAACTGCCTTTGGTCTCAGGTTGCATTTTACTATATGCATGTTGAACAAAGTTGGAAACAAGTTCGAAGATGGGCGAAATCGGTCAAGTGGTTGACCGGTGGAGGTCATCGGAGTGGGTGGGGTGGGGTATTATGGGGTAAAATTTCAATATTGTCGTAGAAAGCTGAAATTTGGTGTAGAGTTTGCTAGTGGCTTCTACTACTAAAAGTGGAAGAATAATAGAATATGGAAGGAGAAGAATATCCTGGTTCGGGCTAAGCAAAGCTGAACTGATAGGTTTTTGATATTTACAATTCTTGATTTCATGATCGTTTGATTAATTTTTCAGCCGCACCTCCTCCATTGCCTCCAATGATGCCACCAGGAAATGGTGAGTTAGTCGTCTTGTATTCCATTTTAATTGTAGCGTTGTAGTAGACACTTAAACACTAAACTCATGCATGACGTTTCGCCATAATTTATAATTTTATCAATTCCAGCACCACCACCACCACCCCCTGGCACTTCCATCCAACCTTCTCCTCCAGGAATGGGTTAGCATAGCATGTTTAAACCTTCTCTCTCTTTATAACAAGCTCTGACTCGAGCTCATGTATGGAAATTGTCCATTGAAAAATATATTTTTCTCTATTTAATTTCAGGATGGAACAGTTCGTATCCTCCTCCTCCTCCACCTGGATATCACACCCCTTGGACTGGGTGGGGTGGTCCATCTCCACCAAATCAACCTCCACCACCGGGCATGTAAAATTTCTCTGATGAAAAACATTTGTTATAATTTCCACATTTTCAAACCACTTGTAAATTGTTAGACTATACCATTGTATAATTAGTTCGCGAGTATGTTTGTTTTATGAATAAACCGTTGGTTGGAATTCTTCAAAATTATAAAATTCGTTTGCAACATTTTTGACCTGGGCATATAATGAGATACATGCATTATTACAGGGCCCTAATCCTGCAGGGAAGCTGAACAGTAGTGCCCCCATGAAACACATCTATATATATTAGCGTAGATCCTGAGTCCCCTTCATCTACGTGAGATTCACTTATATATCTCCGTATTCTTGCATGTTATTAAACTCCTCCCCCTTTCCATAATGCCACTGCTACGGCTGAGACTGAGACTGGTCAATGAAATACTAATATCAAAGCAAGCCAAGCTTCTTCAGTCATCAATGGAGACTGGTGGTTTCGAGGGGTGTACACAGCATACAGAGATCTGTATTTTTTGTTGTTTGTGGTGGTGGTTGTTCTTGCGCAATAGGAACGACTCGAATCTCTAAGCAAAAGAAATCGTTAGAGATAGATCCGCCATATTCATCTCTTGATTAGAAAGTTGAAAAAATGAAACTTTGAACAAATTAATTTCGTGGCAATTAACTTTGACCTGCCCAATTCCTTTCAGAAATACTACAACGAACAGTGCAAATTATTTATTATTGAAAGTGGTAAATGAATAAAGTTTTCAAATTGAAAATTTCAATTAATAGTGAATAGTAAATTGTCCTAGAATTTTATCATTGTATATTGTATGCTACCTAAACAGAAATACTACTTTTGTATTTATAAAGGGATTACTTCATAATGGCAGAGTGTATGGACGCCGAGGAAAGTAGTCAGTCTCCACGCGAGGAGGTGGGTGTAATTATAAAAAATATATATTTGTATTATAAATTATAATTAAAATATTACTTCATCATTTCTTACATTAAAAGGAAATATGCTATTTTTAATGACATGTTTAATTAGCTCTTTATCTAATTATATTCAATATCAATATTCAACTCAACTCAATTTAGTCAGTGGATTGGACATCATGGGCGACGGTGGAAATTCAACTCGATATTGAGGATGTATGCTTCGCGTTGAACGAGGAAATGGCTCCTGCACTGCCTGCACAACCTATTTGTGTCGAACCCCAGCTACAAAATAGAAAGAAAGAAAGAAAGCAGAGATTGGAAGTAAGGAAGACAATAGAATGTGACATGGAATCACAATCAAAGAAGGTTCCACTCTACCTAAGAGACCCAAATGCTCCTAACATAAGTGAGCAAGAAAAAAATCGAATTTTGAAGGCCATCAAATCGAAGAACCATCATCAAACAATTATTGACGAAAGAAATGCTTATCGGAAAAAAGTTAAAGAACTTACCACCCTATTGGAAAACTCGAAATCTGAGGCTCAAGATGCGAAGAAAGACAACGAGAGGCTACGTGCTATAATAGTAAAACTTGTGAAGTAAGGGCATATGACTGAAGTTTTTTTATATTGGATTAAACAAGGTAATGCAGATAATAATTTAAAGTTCTAGTGGCTCCACCCAACCACTTTAAGAAGGTGATCCGAAGAGCAAGGGAAAGGATTTTACTGTCGCAGAACTGCTTGGCGGCACTCGTGCCGCCAAGCCCCTTACTTGCATCCCTTGCCCTTACCTGCATCCACATTCTCCCTGCTTTTATTTGCAAATAAGTATAGTGCATGTACTTTTTGTCTTAGCTTATCTAGGACATACTTAGTCCCTATTTTTGTAGTCCATCATCCATGATTTTCATATTTTTTGCCTAGGGATTGTGTAAATATTGCTCGTCGGACGCTGCGTCGCTGCTTGGATCTTAATTTGGTAGAACATGAAGTGAATCATATGTACTATGTTTAATATGAACCGAATAACCGGCGATGTTCTCCCCGGTTATTCGATCTTTCCATATTGTATAACCCCACCCCCAACCTACAAGGTTAGTGTTCCAATATGCAATATGTGGCCACTGCATCCTTCTTACACAAACTGTTTGGAGACATTGTAAATATGTAATGGAAAAAAGTGACGAATAATGAGTCATTATTAACGATGACGATGCCACTTTTCTTGGGTGGGGGGTTTAGTGATGACCCTCGCTAAAAATAAAGTAACAGACAAAAAAATGACTGGCTCGGGCTACATCGTAAGGGAACGTTCTTACTTAATTAATGCTTATACAGTATAAGCATTAATTAAGTATAAGCTATACTTAATGTAAATTTGGCGAGTTTTTTTTTACCCCTCCCTCCCCATGCAACGTGTTTGTTAACCCCCTTTTAACATGTGGCGGACGTTGACCTGCAACGTAACGACCCCTCCCTCCCACTCCACTGTGTTACTTATTTTACTGTTTTACTGTTCACTGTTTTATTTTCACCAACTTCGCCTTTTTAACAATAAACTTTGCATATTTTTTAACAGGACACGCACGTTTTAATTGTTTGTTAATCTTTGCTTTTAATAAAATGTGCAGTTGAGAAGATTTTTTTCTAAGAATCTTCGAAGTGTAGTAGTACAACTAACTATTTAGTATAAACATAGAATCAATCGTTCATGTAAAATTTGCCTTTAGATTTAGGAATAAATTATTAAATTGTACAATTTTAACCAAGTCCAAAATTTCATCATTAATTATCACCTAAAAAAGGCATTCATTATGCATTTTTGGTCTCTTTTGAGAATTTAAAGATTACAGCATAATTAGCAAATGTCACACAAAATATAATTGTGTTACACAATACCACTACTCAAAATCAGAATCAGATCATGGGCTGCTTGTGTATTTCACGAAATCACAAAATGCATGCTCTGCCGTCCAGAAAAAGACAGAATTCTCATTCACCACCACCACCGCACACACTACTATTTAATATTTATAATACAAATTTTGTATTACTATTTTACACACAAGAAAGATTGTACCAGATCTGTTTCTACCTCATCTTGGTTTCTTCATTTCTTGCTAGTTTTGTGAACTTTTGTCACAAAAGTTTTGTGTACTTCCTTTCAGCCAGATGATTACATATGATATTTCGGTTTGTTTTGCACCGTGCAAATTGTACGCAGATGAAATAATTGCGTAGCATAATCGAATCGTACCAAATAAACCACGGTGTACCACATACCGATTATCGATTTATTTTAAAGTCTGGTGCAAAGTGCAAGCTTGTGTAGTGTAAATTTTATGGGCGTTATTGGTCAAGTGTTGCAGGAAAGTATACAACTTTGGAAAGAATGGTGAGTGACTGAGGTATCAATTTTCATGGATTTTCAAATTGCAAATTGCAATTGAACATCGGTTGGGCTATGATTTCCTATTTTTTAGTCGGATTGTCCAACCGACGATGAAGCAGCGCTAGTTCAGAATGAAGTTATCGACCAGACACCCAATGAGGAGACGAGTTCCTTCACAAACTTCAGCATGTCAGAAGGTGACCAAGCCTTCGTCGACGGCAACAGCATTGTTGGGGGGACGGAATATAAACCACGAATTGTACTCATGGGTTTGAGAAGGTATTATTGATATCTTAATGGTTCACTGATAAACCTAGATAAAGTCCTATATAAATACGTTTTGGTTTGTTTATAGGAGTGGAAAGAGCTCAATACAAAAGGTAGTTTTTCACAAAATGGCCCCCAATGAGACCCTGTTTTTGGAATCGACAAATAAAGTTGTAAAAGAGGATATTTGCAACTCATCGTTCGTACAATTTCACAGTAAGATGATACCAACTGATAAACAGTATTTAGTTATTCGGATTAAATTATGACTAATCTAAGCATATAATGTCTGTCTTCGCTTTCTTCTTTAACGTGTTTCCAATATCTCCTTTGTTTTAGTTTGGGATTTTCCAGGACAAATTGATTTCTTTGATCCCACCTTTGACTCTGATAACATATTTGTAAGCACTGCGATAATATGTTAGTAAAACGAAATAAGTACCACAAAATAAGTAAACCTACAATTATTAAACTTGCAGGGAGGTTGCGATGCCTTAATTTTTGTGATTGATGCACAAGTATGCCGAAGATCTTTCTTAGGTAATATTTTTTTAAATAATTTTAGAAACTATATTTTCTTCTTGCAGGATGATTATATGGAAGCTTTGGAGAGACTTCATACCACTGTAACCAGAGCGTACAAGATAAACCCTTCAATTAATTTTGAAGTTTTCATTCATAAGGTACTTCACCGTCATTTTGGACAAAAGATGCTTTACATTTGACACTAAAATTTATCTAATTGGCTGATTTGCTTTTTTACGAAGGTGGATGGACTATCTGAGGACTATAAAATGGACACACAAAGAGAAATTCATCAACGTGCCACAGATGATTTAATGGATTCAGGTTTAATATCAACTTTATACCATTATTATGCTTAATATTTTATTAAAATGGTTTTTATGATGCAAGAATGTACACGTTATTTTATTTTCCTGAACAGCGTTCGAGCAGGTCCATCTTAGCTTTCACCTAACTTCAATCTATGATCACTCTATTTTTGAAGCATTTTCTAAAGTGGTACAGAAGCTCATTCCACAACTACCAACTCTCGAGAACTTGTTAAACATATTTATATCGAATTGCTCTATTGAGAAAGCTTTTCTGTTTGATGTAGTCAGTAAGTAGTTCTTACTTTAATATTAAAAGAAACAATGATACTAATGATTGCAATTGAAGACACTTACATATGCTCATTTTCCAGGCAAGATTTATATAGCGACCGACTCATCCCCTGTTGATATGCAAAGTTATGAACTATGTTGCGACATGATTGATGTGGTTATTGACGTGTCCTTCATTTATGGCCTTACCTCAGCAGACGATTTAGCCCCAGCATTTGATCGTCACAGCCAAGCATCCATCCGCTTAAATAATGGAACATTTCTGCACTTGCGAGAAGTAAATAGATTTCTCGCCCTAGTTTGCATCTTACGAGACGAGGCAATGGAGAAACAAGGTAAATATGTCAGTATTTTTAAACGAACAGTCCTTTAATATTTTCTAATGTTTTTTAAAAATCATTGTCTAGGGATGATTGATTACAACTTTGCCATGTTCCGAAATGGCATTCAAAAAGTCTTTGAAGTTCGTAAAAATCAGCGTGCATTGCCAGGCCATGGGTCCGTTATTTAAATAGTCATAAATAATCATGATGACTGATGACGCTACTATATATATAATATAAAATGTGCTACCTATCGGATATCAATTGAGAATAAAGTTTTATATAAAACGTCAATTTAATGTGACCAGTATATATCATTTGTATTTACTTAACAGCTCCATTATCTGAATTATAATTATAAAAACTCTAAATACTTAAATTTTATCACTTGAAACCTATTATTCGGCTAGTCTTCGTCCACTATTGGTGTAGGTTTTTGTTTTGGTTGAGATTTGGAAGACTCGGCTTCCAATTTGTCTAGCATTTTTTGTTGCTTTTCTAATTTTTTGGCTTCCTTCATAGCCTTTCTTTGTTCCTTTTCTTTTTTGGCCAACATCTCTTGGAATCGTTCATCCCTTGAATCCACTGTAAACCCGAAGTGGCGACGGACCTCTTCCATGAGCTTTTCTTTTCGGTCCTAAACATATAAAACACGGCTCTCTTATTTTAAGGATTCTCTTGATTATTGATTGCCGAAGAAAATGATGAATTACATATAAAATACGAATCGAACCTTTGCGTCCTTTTGCTCTTTGTCTTTGGCCTGCTGCTTTGCAAATAGGTCGGCTTTATATTTATCTACTAGTTTCATCTTTTCATCAACCTCCCTCTCTCTGAAAATAAAAAAAGATATTATGACAGATTACACATTACACAAACCCCCAGTCAAAATATTTATTTACTGATAATAACGTCGAATCTCACCTCTGTTCAAAAGCTTCCTCTTCTGCAGCCTTCATTTTCCGTGTTTTTGTAATCATTTCTTGGATTGTGAATGGATTGCAGATATTTTCATACTCGATTTTCTTTTTTAACTGCTTTCGCGTAGGCCATAAAATTCTTGGGTCAACTTCACTTGCTTCTCCATACTTTCCAAATATTCTTCTCTTGTATTCTACGGTGTGATGGGTCCAAAATACAGGTTCTGGATGTGGAACTTGTCCATTCACTAATCTTTGATGATAAGCTCGTAATCGTGACTTGTTACGTTTTTGGTTAATTTCCTCTTCGGAAAGAGGAGGAGTAATTGTTTCTTCTAGGGAAAATATCTGCTCATCTGTATCCCCTGACTCCTCCTTTGCAACGACATCGGTGGGGGTTTTTTTCCTAAAGTAATCCAACACGGACCCTTTGGGTGTGCAGACATGGATGGATCGTGTTTGCGGAAATGGTATAATTATGGAAGAAAAAGTCCCCTTGAGTAGTCGGCAGGACATAATAAATCCCCAACAGCTTAACCTGTAATTATAGATGGAAATACAATAACTAATCTTCAATAAATTAAATTCTACTTTAAATCCCAAACTCTCAAATTTTCCATACTTTCTTTACTTTTATTTCTTTTCCTTCCCTTTCTTTCACTCCTCGACTCGACCGAGCTTTCTCACACATGCAACATGCAACCGGCTTCTCACGAGTCACATTTCCCGAAATATCATGCGGGATGAGAATGTTGTTGACTTGACTTTCTCCCATCAGCAAAATAATAACAGACAGACCGGGTTAAAAATAAAATTGAAATCTTGTGGAGAAAACCACTTTCAACTTAAAATTAACAATTAAACTACATCAGCTCTAAAGTTCCCGAGCAATAATATGGGGGTCTCACTGTAAGTACTTTCTGCCATTGCACACAGTTTTGCCATAATGTTCAACATATAAATTGCTTTCACTTCCAACGATATTAGTTTGCAGATGTATCCGGTGAAGGAGGGATTGACGGGGACACAGACGATTGAGCTGTTGACGAAGCGAGTGCAAACGTTGGGGGGTCAATTGAGCGGTCAGTTCCTCGTCGACTGTGACACCTATGGATCCACCATCCATTCAATGGGTAAGCCCATTTTCGACCACCGGCTTCCTCTTTTTGCTATCACAAATTGTGAAAATTTGGAAGATCTTAAATTAACATTAGTGAAATAACTAAGTAGGTATTCCATCGGCAATAGTCACAGTAAATGCATAATGCAAATCAGTTCAGTATACAGAAGTAATTAATTTCAATGATAATTCATTTATTGTCATTCCATGTACATTATATTGGAGTTCATATTTTGCATATAATATTATTTATAGCGTTTGCAAAGCTTTTTCTTGTAGAGCATGAGGTGTTTGACTAGATCACTTCAACTTTGCATAAAAATGCTTAGAAATATATTCATGGCATTGTGGATTGTAAGGTGTATTTTGTATTCATCAAACAATTGTACCCTTAACTTGCCTCCGATAATGTGACGATCCAACTGTTGCTAAATTTGAATCTATCATGGTATTAAAATTATTGGGCGTTGTGCCATTGTGGAGTTGGCGACTGATTTCGTCTCCATTTTGATGTAGCATTGTTGCTCCTTGATGATAATAATATGTAGAAGGTAGTGGTGCAGCTCGTAGCTCGATCCCCAGATTTTTCTGTTGAATTTGGTCTCGTGACAGGTACAAGTCTGCTGTGCAATGATACAAGGAAAAATTTGAAGGGCGTGGTTGATATGCTTTGTAATGAGGGAGGAGAAGGTGTGGGGAATGTTCTGTGATTGTCCGTCTAGTTGATGGAACTTCGGAAACAATCTTTGAATGATTGCAAGGGACGTTGCAAAGCATCTTATACTCATGAGGCGGACATAATACGTTATTGTACTCTTTGGGCACTGAGACATTACAGGATTTCGATCGGAGTTTTCTAATTGGTTCGTAGTCTGAAACACTGGTCGCCAAATTTAAGCAAAGCGTTTTTGGACATTTCTTTTCTACTACTGATGCCGGTGAACATGGAGGAACGACGACGTGCATTCTTCCACATGCCGATTGCAGGGGGATTGCTGAGTATGCGTAGGCTACAGTGTCTGCCACCAATTCTCTTTGATGACAAATACTTGTGAACTTGTTACTAGGATTTCCTTTTTGGGTATCATGATTAGAGCTATCACAACAATTTGAAGCCGTGGGTGGCGTTTCTTGGCTTGGTTTAGGAGTATTTTGAGGCGCATTTCCGTGATACATTTCTTCTAACTGTACTCCTTTCGTTTCTGGAACTAGGCAGCAAACGAAAAATAGGCCGGCAATTGATATGGCAGAATAAATCCAAAAAGCTCCATACAGTCCAACGGATGATCGTATATCCACATAAGTTTTCACCGCAGCAAATGCACACGCGTAGCTGAAGGATGTCGAAACGGCAGCACCAAACCCTCTGTACATATATTTGGAGCAGCAATACATACAACATTTTATTTTTAAAATAATACAACGTAGATGAGGGAAAGTGAAAGCTATAAATATACCGACCTATATTCCAATGGGAAGAGTTCACCAACCATTAACCATGAAATTGGTCCAATGCCTATCGAAAAGAACAAGGTAAAGAATAAGACGCATGTTAGAGGAATCCAGTCCAGGGAGGGCCCAAAGCCTGGGTAGTTTGGGGGTAGTGATTCTTCCATGTAATTATATAATCCAAACCCAAAAAAACTTGCAGAAATAAAGAGGTTGGATATTATGAGCAACGGGAGTCGTCCAGCTGTATCTATTAACAATCCCGATGTCTGAAACATTACAAGCATAATAAGCATATCATCGAGTTAGTCACTTGATGATTGTTATCAATTGGGACTGCATAAAGTCAGTTATGTATCGTACCATGGATCCAAGCAGTCGTAAAAGTACCACTACAATGGCTGCCCAATGTGCGTCAATCGATCTTCCAAAAACCTTGTGACACATGATTTATTCCGTCAATATTCTGGGTGCATGTATCAAGTCCCTGAATAGTGTGTGTATAGAAGACACCTCAGAGTAAATATTACCTGTTTAAATATTGGCACAGCATAATGGTGGAACACGGTGACACCGGAAAATTTTTGGAAAAACATCAATCCACAAGTTATGAAAAGCTGCCTAAATGGAAATTGGCTTGAGCATCTAGGGAAGAAACTTTTATGCTTGGTTGAAATATTGCTGCGTAAGGTTTCCATCTCGGATGCGACATCATCTTTACTGGATCTGAGCCACGTCATAGCTTTGCGAGCCTCCTCTTCACGACCATGATACAAGAGGAAACTCGGGGTTTCTGGGATGAGGAGGATGGCAAAGAAGAATAGAATCGGACCTCCTGCCGCAAAAGTTGCAAGTTCTCTCCAGTCCAAGAAAGCTCCGAGAGAGAATGATGACAGTGTTCCGATCTCTCCTGCCATTTTCAACACCGCACTCAAGCACCCTCGAATCTCTGGGTGTGCTATTTCGCTCACATAAACCTATTTAATATGAAAAACAGTTAAATCTCTTCCTCCCTCACGCAGCAGTCCTTTGCATACTTTTATTCATATACATATACTCATTGTCTGTTTAACAGGCAGAGAGGGAGAGAGCTTATCATTCCATTGCGTTGCTTTTTATTGCTTACTTGAGTGGCAAGGAGAGTGACAGCGGAAAGGAATCCTCCAATAAAGGAGGTGCAGTACATCATTTCGACTCTTTGAGCAAAAACTGTGAGGAGCCAAGAGCCCGAGAAAGGAAGTGCGACATAGAGGAGGGTCCGCTTTCTCCCCACTTGTAACATCAACCCACCCACAAGGCAGCCAAACAGGGCTCCCAACAGCGACAAGCTCGCAACCCAGGACCCTTCCTTTAACAAAATTCCCAAAACGCTCAAAAATCATCAAATACATATACCCTCGTTATACCTTCACATTACATTGAATAACGATAATGACAGCAGTTAATTTAGCGTAATGATAGCACATTCTACACCATTTTTAGCAGCCAACTTCCATTAACAAGAGTAGGAGTGTATGGGAGTGGTCATAATTGATAACTAGATTACTTTTCAATTGCCAGAGTTCGTAAGCTAGCTGATGGTTCACACGGATCATTGCCAAATTTGATAAGACATTTTTTTTATTGCATGTCGAATGGCCAAAGAAGTTCTCGTCCGGAGATTGCACAAATGTCGACAATTCAAATAATACTCAGACAGTTGAATGTATTTATGTAAGCAATAACGTTCTCACTTGTGCTGAGACGTGAAAGCTGCTGGTTTTTGATTCTTGGAGAGAAGATAAGGCTGGACTGCTGTACCCTTTACCTATTTTTCGTTATAATATTATTCATTCAATCATGGAACGTATGTACATATGTGGGACAACTTGTATTTTTAAGCACGCTCAATAAAGAACTGCAGCATATTATGCAGCTAACTTACCGAGTCCTGCAGACAACGGACCAAGGCTCACTGCCAATGTTGTCATAACCTAGCATATTAAGAACAGGCATGAATTAGATAATATTTGACAACACAAAAAGTATTTTAATACGCATATGATATTTTCGTATGCATTGTTATGCTGACCAGGGTCTTTTGACTGTTTCCTTGGAGGATTTCTAGAAATCCTCCAAGGAAACAGTCAAAAGACCCTGATGCTGACAATGTTACTCAATGAGTAATTCTCATGTATCTCGATCGGATTAATTGACTTTTACTTTCGTGAAAACTTAAATCTTGAAAGTGAAAATTGCGTGTTTCATAACTGGGTTGGCTGGTTGATTCTTCTTCTGCGACCCCACAGCCGAGATAAATGTTTATGTTTATTTGCTTGAGAAGGTAAACAAAATGTCACTTTTCTATTAATATTTATCATCATCTCCTCAACCCCTCATTCTCATTTTCGTCTTGCTCCTCCTCACCAATTCCCCTTTAGACAGATAAAAGATAAGTATTGTCGGCATCACCACTCTCTCAAGATAAACAAAACGTGGTAGTCCTTCCTTACCGTAATGTATATATCTGCCTGTGTATTAGAAAGCATGGTTTCTTTCAGAATGCATTAAGGATTCGAGCAACTTAGAAAAACTAACTCGACACTGAAACCACTCAAAAAAAGTTGATTTTATAATATTATCCCTAGAAAATTGTGAAAAAGTTGATATATGCCGTGTGTATATGGAATTAAGTCTACTGGCGAGAAAAGTTTGATTGCATATAAATTACGGTGGTGCTCGAGGAGTGAAAAGAATTAGGATAACCAAGGTTAGAAAATAAGCCGGAAATGTCGTCCTTGGTGTTGCCACATCCAAATCTGAGAGAGCGATCGTACATATAATATATTTGACGCGTATAATACCTGAGTGAAATGTCGAGGAATTTTGCTCCGAACGAGAGATAGAAAATTGGGCATCTTGGCATCAACGAGAGCTCGTCGGCTTCACTCTTCTACATCCAGAGCACTTCACTCACAAGTCGTCGTTGATGGAAACCATGATGGGTTTCTGCTGAAGATTACACCCCTTATCTTGGATTAGGACAATGTGTTTGCGTTTTCAAACAAATAATAGTGCCTCTTGACTTTTGCTTTTTATCTCAGGTGGGCTTCTTGTATCTCGATATTAAGTTTCAAAAACATCTTTTGAGACACCATCTTGGTTGATCTTCTCTCCAAATCACGTTGTTGACATTGTTATGTCCTGTCACATCATCTCAACTATTGAAAAATATTATTACAAACGTTAGCATACAATGTAATCTGACAAATGTTTATCATGTTCAGTGGATATTTTGTCCTGATATTTAATATGCGTCAATATCCAATCAAAATGTGTACGGTTTCACTTCAATTTATAATAAAAACTGCAAATCGTTCCCTGATCTATGTTTTCTATACCTATAAGCAGATATTATTATGTATGAATGCATTTCATCATGTTCGTGATTGTCTGTTTTTGCTATGCATAGGAGTTTGGTTTAGTGCTTCAAATTCATGAAAGGAAAGGCTATTTCGAGGTTGTCTGATGTAAAAATAGTGCAATGAGAATTGAGCGTTTCTTGATATAAATATGTGCACATACATAGTTCTCATGTGGCTTTCAATCCTTATCCAAGTTTCATTTCCTTCAAATGCATACATGCCTTCCTCTAACAATTGGAGTGGAATACACCCGATCAAAACTACAGAGTGGGAACCAGTGGGAGAATGTGACTCCCATATAGAATTATATGATCAAGTTGGATCAACTCAACTTCCCAATATGATATGAGCCGCAGAAAATCAGATTGGAAAATTATCGTTGAATGGGAGGTTTGTTCCCATATGGAAGTACCGAAAAAAATCATATATAAGATTTACACGATGAAACTTTCCATTTACCAATATGAGCAATGAATGGAAATCATATACGAACTTAGTAACCAAAATGTTCCCGAATTTCGTATTGGCACAACTATAAACTCCCATATGTCAATTTCTAAGAAATCATACTTGAGGTAAACATGATATAAATTTCTTTTTGCCAATATGACTAGCAAGTGAAAGTCATATAGGATCTTTTTGCATAAAAGTATTTAAAATTGCATATTGATGCAACTACTAAATTTTCCCTTATGACCAGTGGAATGGGAAGCAGATGGATATTTGTTATGATAATAAACGAAAGAAAATTTTAATCAAGAATTATTTTCCTCTGAAGTTAAATAGTTTATTTTACAATAGTAATTCAATTAATTAATTTCAAACAAGTTTGGTATTTCAATAAAATAATCCTTATCATGTACATTGAAGATATAAAACTTTTTCATCACCAGGTCCTCAAATCTCAGAAATCTGATAGATTTTTTTACATTTATACTACAGTAACAGATTTGAGGATTGTTTGCCATACCAATAACATTGAAAGTTTCTAATTGCGCAAAATAATTGTCATTCAAATTGTTATCCTTATGTTTTGCAGATATCTTAAAAAATTTCCTAACTACCCCAAAAACTCGATCCTCGACAAAAAAAATGTTGATTTTAATAATGCCTCCGTTACTGTTGAGTTCTCTAAAAGTGTTAAGAGCTGCTTTCTAATATCCATTAAGACAAAGAAATTCCCCTTCTTGTATACATCGGTCTTACTATAGAGTGATAAGCAGGAGGGACATTTTAATTCGACATCTAAAATTAATTCGCAGGATGGGCAATATGGCACTTTTTGAAACCAATTCGATTCAAGTGCGACTTCTTTCATAAGATTATGATAAGACCTAGGATAATTGACGTCGGTGGGGACATGACGGCTGAAGAGTTTCAAAATATCTTCGGTACATCTCTTAGTTAAGTTGTGCTTCTGCTGGAGGCGTAGAATTCCATAAATGCTTTCCTCTTTGGAAATGTTGCAACAAGGATGAAGCAGTGGAGCCTAAAATTATAATGACAAAATTAAGAATATTATTAAGAAGTAAATAAATTTTATTTATTCAACTGGGACTTATTAATTTTTAGAAATTACTTCATTATCGACATGAACTAATTCTTCACAGCAATCACTGGAGGTTTCTAATGGCGGAGTGATATCGTCGTCACTGTCGTCAATGCTGGATAAATCCCACTCCGGCAATTTAAATAGTTGCACAGCGTCTAATACCAGGCAGAAACATTAATTTTTGTTATATTTTGAAATTAGTTATCTTAATTACTCACTGTCTGAATTAGGAAGTAATTCACTGGTTAAGTCACTGATCTTGGTCTGCTTCTGACTGTCGTTATCGTCCTCACTGTCACTCAGAATTTCGTGACGTTTCCGCTTTAAATTTAATTGTTGAACCTAAATATATTTGCGAAAATTATTTATATTTGTAAGTCACAAGAAACTATAAAATTGACACTGTACAGGCCAATCAAACACGTGATATTACCTTCACATTTAATGTATGCTGTTTATTATAAGATAACTTCTGCCTTTTAGATATTTTCGAAAAAGTAGCTTGAAAAGTATTCATCTTGCTAAATACTTGATGATTACTTTTAAACAAAACCAGATGAATGAGAAACGGAATTGAGATTTTTTAACCGCTGGTTTTAAACTGAGCCGCACTGGCAGAGCACTTCGTCACTGTTTCTTACTAAACCTCTCTGCCCAAGTTTAATTTAAATTAATAAACTTTAAAAACCAAACTTAGCTGTCTTAGCAAGACTTTTAAATTAACTTAAAGTGGACGAATAATGTCGCATGTTGTCGTGCACTGGGAAAAGGAGAAATCCTATTCATGCGTTAAATTAAAAAAAGTTATTAAGGGAGACTGCGGTGTGGACGATCTGCTTGATAAGTCTTTCGACGTACAATGGGGTGGGGACAAAGAGAAGGGGAAGATAATTGGAATAGGTAAGTAATTTAGTAATGTGTCTCATCATTTTTAAATTGCAATGGTATCTGTGATCTCTTTTATTTCTTATTTTAATTATAGGTTCACGAAAAGACATGAAAATACTGGAAGGAGAAAAGGCACAAGAAGCTGCAGATATGTCATTTTATGAACATAATGGAGAAGAGGGAGTGGAAGAAGGTCCGCCACCGGAAGGACACTCCCAACTTGATGGTGGGACTGAAATTTTCGAAGCTGAAGTGCGAAACTCTGATGAAGGAAATTTTTCAGCTAGTCTCGTCCTTGCTCCTGGATCAGGTTCTCGTGAGGTGACGAAGAACGTATAATTTATAATATTATATTAGTAAAGTCGTCTATTGTTCTTTTTTTGTTATTTTAGGTTGAGGTTAATCACGGACGGCACGACGCGGACGTGATTCAACTTCAAGAGCGCTTGATTGAGAAGGACAAAGAAATTGCAATGCTCCAGGCAGAGAATTTGTCGTTGAGAACTACAGTTAAGCAACTAAAACGTAAAACTTCAATGATTAAGTTTATTTTTGATATGCAATCGTCTTTCACATTCCAGGAATTAAATTTATTTCATTTTCCAGGTCTTATAAAGAAAACCGGTGTTTCTAACGAGGAATCCCAAGATAGAGTCGAATTGGCCCATGGAATAAGTTTGGACAAGTCCCTCGTTGAACTCACCCAGATAAGCTATTCCTCTCGTCCGTCACTATTTTTTAGAAAATTGCTGTTCGAAGGTGGATTATTCCAACTTGAAGAAATCGCTGGTTCATCCATGACTGGTAAATCCTCGCCACTTTTCCGACATCTAACCCGGCCAGCATTGGATCCAGTACGATTTGGAGTATTGAAAGGTAAACAGCTACTACTTAATGGTGTGTGTTATGTAATTATGTTTAATGTACTCTAATTATTTCAGATTTTACAATCAAATCTTGTGGAATAAAAACCAACACACTGGAGATGGTTGAGTTTGAGCAAAAACTGAGAAACATCCCTGGCGATGCAAGAAAACGACTAGCAGCAGTGAACAATTCATAATATTAATGTGCTCAGAATATCTATTACAATGCTTTCTTTAAACGTTAATTACGGCTAAATAAATTTAAAATTAAATGAATTTGCCAATATGAATAGGTTTTATTTTGCATGCTGGAAAATTCCATTTTTGCATATCTGAATATGAGACCAATAGGAAATGCATTTAAATTCCCAAATGATTTGTCCGATTACAACCTATCTGATCTTCTAAATTATTCCCATTGGATTATGTAGTCTGAAATCTACCTCACTTTCCAACTACCTCTCCCATCTGCCTTGCCAGTTGGAATTAATGGGTCAGTTTTGCTCGGGCAATTATGAACACATCACACAATGTGCATACAAAGAAAGAATATGCATGTTCATAATATGTATGTCTAATACTAACTTTGTGTGGTCCTTTGAATTTTCTTACAAACATAAGTGTACACATTATGTGGTAACCTGAAGAAAGTAACGTACTCGAGACAGAAACGCCCGCATTACTTGTACACTGATGCATTTAAACGCCCACACTTGTCACACTAAACAGTAATAATTGTCACACTAAACTAGAGCTATAGATAGGTCAATGATAAGCAATGAATAAGTTGGTTCAACATGGCATAACTCGAAGAACTCTCATATCGTTTTCGGAAATGCTCGAATATCGACTGGAAGCTATACGATTTCAAATAATAAGGCAGCAGTATGCTAACCCATGACAAATTTCAAGTTTACTATGCTCAGCCGAGGACGTGTTGGCTGGCAAGTTTCACTGCTTTCTCCTGCACCAACAAGTGAAATATTGCATCAGATGTGCATGACACACGTATTCAAGATTTGAGCAAAAGGTCTGCTAAAGGAGCAAGGAGAACATGGACAAAATTTTCCAAATTGTCCTGTCACCACTGTCAAATTTAGCTCTGCTTTTAAAATTTATTACAACTGGCGGCGGATGTTTTGTCCACGAATATTTGTTATTACAAACTTTAGATATCGCAAGGGATTGCTACCCATTTTGCTATCCATTTTTCACCATTTGCATTCGAACGTTTTCAGTTATACATGCATGCATACATAAATACGTCATCCTACAGACTATTTATTAAGCATATGGGATCTGATCTAGTATTACATAAATAATATGTATAATATATATATAGGTCCATATTATGTACATATGTATGCGCACATACCGAAAGAGGCAAGTTGAGACTAACTGAAATGTATATTTCGTTCACAATCTGAAATTTTTTTAGCAAGATCCTCAAAAATTATGCCCAAGACTCATTCAGATTTTGAATCTTTTGCAAAGGATCTTAGCCACAATTTTGAGTGTGAAAACCAAAATCCAAGATCAAGATTCTATGTACTTGAAAATCCAAGATCCGCAAACGGATGCTGCCCATCTCTGTTTTGGATTCTACAAATTTCTCTGTCTTGCTCCCAAATGAATGCATTCCTGTGCATGCGTCATTTGGCATTACGCTTCTTAAACTCTAGAGACTGGTTCCCATATTCTTCCCTTCTTGGATTCCCAGATTAAGAAATTAATGAAATATGTATTTCATAACTGTTGTTAGTTATGTAAAAGTCATTCATTTAGTTACAATAGTCTGTGCCAAGCTAGCTGCAAAGATAACCTTGCATGGGTTGAACTTTGCAATTCAACTAATGCAAAATGCTTTGTATCGTATCATTCCCTTTTCGTCTTTCTTTCATTCACAAGAGGAAGTAGAAGTTGAATGTAGTAATCCCCATGATAAGGATGGTAAGTTGAAGGAAGAGGAGGAAGGTCGAAACTCGTCATCCTCAATGTCTTGCTGAATAGAAATGTTCAATCTTCTAATAATACTCGCATTTATTTGTCCGAGCATTTTGCTTTTCACACTGCAGTGAGAGGGAGGAAGTTAAGGACGTGAAAGTTATGTGGATTGAAGGGAAAGTGCAAAATGTATTGTAACGGGAAAACTTTTCCATTTCCATCATTATCAAAATAAACCAACTTTTAGTCAACATTAAATGCTAATATCAGCACACTTCTTCTTGTGACTTAATCCAACTACAACAGCAGAACTGGTGCTACCCTCACCCAACTCGCATTAATTTCGTAGTTGAAATTGAATGGATTTAGTGAGGAGTGAAAAGAAGTAAATCTCAAGGAAGACAGATTAAAGGCACATCAACGCTATCCGCTCTCTGGCAAATGCAAAAAGCTATTTATCAGTACTAAATACGAGGAGAGGTGTTCTGTTTCCTTACAATGGCCCATTATTATTCTTCTTCCTTTGCATGTCCTGAATGAATGAGAGGATGTTAGTTTTATATGCATAGCTCCAGTTTCTTCTTAACTATTAGACTGATGCACACATTGAAATGCCCAATAAGTAGCTACAATTCTAAATTGTTCCAACTACTGCAACTTTTATCCTTGCGTAGAATAAATGTACTTGAGTGAGTTTTCCATTACCAGCTATTTTCACTCTCAATTATTATCCTTTCTTCTTTTACGCTTCCCTGCTCAATTATTTCCGTGCTAATTATTATGTTCTCTCTACAAGCCAGCTTAGCTTCTGTTTCACTGCCAGAGAAAGTACTCACAAGAGTTTGGAAGAGAGTACGTATCAAATAGTTTTTTAATGGGAATAACAAATTTCATGTACTTACTTATTTACTACTATACATATACTACACGCATTGATTATTATAGTATTTTATTCCTCTCTCCCATTCATTCAGTACGTAATTGTTGGTTGATTAGGGTGAAATTAAGCACCTCTGTTCAAGACGACACCACCCCATGGGGGATGCATGGGGCCAGAGTCAAGTGAGTACAGCATATCCCTGGACTAATTTGAAAACGAGTGCAAAGGGGATGAAGCATGGATGAAACATTCTTAAGGTTTTATGAGGAAATATATGTTACGACAAGGAACAAATTGCACATAATTTTGGACGAGTTGAATTGTTCTCACTCACTCACTGAGAAATACAATGAGTAAAATTCCATGAGTGTGGAACTCTTCTTGATTGTCTCTGAACTCAATATTGGATTTCGTGGTGTTTCATAAAGTGAGATGAGAGCCCTGAATGAAACGGAATGAGCGATATATCAAGTGGGATTTTGTGGTGCAGGGAGCAGCGAGTGTGTATTGTAGTGGTTTAGGAGGCATATGGAGAAAGAGGAAGGGGTAGTTTTGTTATGTGGGCAAAATGTATAATGCTTCAAACAAATCGCTGTTTTGTGGTGGTTTTGGAGGAACATATTATTACGCAAGAAGGAGTGAGCAAGTAGTAGTACATACTTACGTACATACGTATGTACGACGGGCAAGTAAAGTAATCTAATACTTCTTTCTTCTCTAATGGCTTTTCTCTCCTGGATAACTCTGGAGAGACGGGCTGTTTCCTCTTATTTCTTCCTAATGTCGATTTCATTGCTGTCTTCTGGGTGGATATCTCTATTTCAAATTGTGCTTTATTGGGCTTCCTTCCTCCGCTCCTCGTGTGGTGCTGATCTCCTCGATACACACACATACAAATACTTTCACTCCTTCCTCCACCATCAGAAAATACACGGCATGTAACACAAGGAGGAGGCCTTAATCCAGCGGAATGTCGTATAGATAATAATGACACACGGCATACTGGGCCGATGCTGTTCCTATATTCCGTATTCTTCGCCTGGCATTGACAGTGACAATAGGCCGCTGCTTCCTTGCGGAAGCCAGATGGACAATTCAATTCACGGTTTCACTCATTTTGTCTATGGCACGACAGCTGTCCCCAATTCCTTTAATGGACCTCCTTTATCTTTATATTGGCACGGATCGAGGCAGTCAGTCGTGCTCCTTGAAAAATTGCTTGGTGTGACCCTCTTGGGCCTACCTAGCAATGATTGAATGTATTTGTCACATTCAGTTTCAAACACAATCAAACGAAACCATTTGATCCAATCATGCGAACGATGTAATCAGCTTTAACTCTGTTGGATAAAATTTTGCCGAGTAGGAGATCTCTAAATTAATCTATGAAAAGAGAGAAAATTCATTTCTGCAAATATAATCTTTTGTAATGAGAGTACGCGCAGCCCTGCTGGAACCCCTTGGAATTCCCAATCTTTCGGAGCATGCGAGAATGGGTGCAATTTTTCTGAAGAATCAAATTCTGCACTTTTAGGCTCGAGTGATTCAATCTGCCTTTGCATTCATTCATATTATCCAAGTTGCAAAATTTAAAGATTTGCGTTTCTTAATAATGGTTTTGATGAGTTCCAGTCAGTGACATACTTACATACTTATGTATATGTATGCACGTATTTATTTATATGTTCATGTGTACATACTCTTATTATGCATTATTGTTTGGCCACTCGGGCTGGATCGCTGATACATATCGGTACAACTGTGGTATTGATGGATATCTATGTATGTTCGTATACTAAGAATACTACGCATTGTTTTATTTATTTGAAATGCAGACTTCAAGTTTACGTTATGAATGGAAAGAAATATATATCGCTCTAAAATGTGGTGGAGAGATACAATAAAGCATTATCAACAAATGTCTTACTTGTAACTTTGTTCGTTGGGGCCGAATTCTCGTCAGTATTGGGCATAGGTTGTACCCGGTCTATGTACAATATTTCAATGTCGCCAGTCCTTTTAGTTCTCCAGATTGATTTCGGCGAAAAGAAGTCGTGAGACCGTTGGTACAAATATGGGGCGTCTGTTTTCCTCTGTCTCAAATTCCCTCCTGTTCATGATAAAACTCATTGTTTAAGCACAAATCAAGTGCACTCTGACTTACTCTACAGTTTACTTGCCATTTGAACTCTTTTTGATTCACACGATTCTGCAGGATGTCCGTTCTTCAGAGATCAGAAAAATAAAAATATATACATCGTTATATCGTTATATTAAATGAAAAAACTTTCACTTTTCTCAAACATAAGTAATTGTGCTGTACAACGTCTTAATGGTGAAGGCACACTGTGAAGGAGATTTCTGTATTTCTGGTTGGTTGGCTGGGAAAAGGATTCTTTTTCTAGGAGGATTTGGTTTGAGGTGGGCTTAAAATTGGAATCTTATTGTGGTGAAAGATTTGAGATTATGGGAAAGGCGATTGATTTACTGGAAGTGCAAAGTGCAGTCTGGGATTTGTTTATGTATTCTGAAATACTTTTATGAAACTTGTCTCTGTCTGAGAGGAAGGGAGATATCGTTGGATAAACGCTTAGTCCTCTCTCGTCTCAAATGTTCTCTAGTTGCACTGTTGTTGGCTGTTTTATTGTGGTTTGTTTGTGTCTTAAATCAGGAATGGTTGAGTGAGATGTTGTGTATCTAGATGATGTGTATCTAGATGTTGTGTATCAAGATACTTCAAACCCCGAATGTAGGATATCTCACGTTGGCGTCAGAACACAGAAAGGGTTGTTTAGTTAGCTGAGAAGGGATTGCAGTGGTTGACTTGTTCTCTGCTCAACTTTTGGGTTATGACTGAACCCAGCTTGGGATTCAATGAAACTTTTCCTCCCGTGGAAGCTGTGCTTTGCTCTCCATCTCCTTTCTAAAGCTTCGTTTCCGTGTCTCATATTCAGTGAATTGAGTTCACTTGTACGACATTAGTTGAGCTCCCTGTGTATAATGCTAAGCATATTGTTTTCACACTTTTCAAGTCTACTTGCACTGAAAAATGTGAATTCGTCGCCCTTCATTTGTACTTGGGGGACCCCGACCCTTATTTGTATGGATATGGATATATATCTACTATGAATACGGTAGTGGAATTTGTGAAACCATTATTTTGTTTAATGAATCAAAGTAAGTAGCAGTAGTGGGTAGTAGAAGGTTTGGTTTTTTATCCCATTCATAACAACCTCACCTAACCCATTGACAATACATATTGCAGAGTAAACATCTCTGTGGGACGGAAAATTTCCCGCTCTGTGACCTCATGTTAAAATAGGCCATTTCTCCGTCCCACAGAGATTTTTACTATGCAATGGGTACAAGTATGTGTAAGAATGCCCGTCCCCCACCTTCGGTTATTCGGTGCCATCAGTGGCGGGGCAGTCAGTTCTAATCGTTTCTATTGTTGAGGATAATGCTGGGGTCTGAGTGTGGAAAATGTCAATTTGTTGGTTTGATTAAGCTCATTGAGAGAGGGAAATCTATTATGGAGCGGAAAACAGCTTTCGTAGGTCGCTGGTCGCGGTAGTTTCTGAAAATGGAATCCAGCTCATAACTGCATACATTCACATAAGTACTACATACATATACGGTTTTTGAGTGCAATAACATCTGCCAGTAAAGAGAAAACGGTGAAGGTTGCATACAAAATTATAAGCATTTTCCATAAACTACTCAGTTTTCCTCCTGGATGGATCAAGTTGTGTGTGAGTAATGTGAAAGCACGCAAATTTGTGTGTGTGGTGGGGTGAGTTCCTTTCAATGAAATGAATGCAACGAGTTTCCATGTCCGTGATATTATTTTCGTGCTCATGTTGCACTCTACATTATTCTTGTTATATCATACATACATTTACCTCCCTTCGTATATTCAATAATATACATGCATACGCACATATATGCTCCTGGAGAAACTGTTAAATCGTTGAGCGTCATTGTACTTGAGTGGGCTCGTGCCGTATTGTAATGTGCAGCTAAAATTAGGAGTGATCCAACCTGGGGGTCAGGTTTGGAGTATTGATTATGAATAGAAGGAGGACATTCGACGTAATACATATATTTATACCCCATTCAGAAGAGCTGTACTAAATGGAAGGGGAAAGTTTTTCACGTGACATTTGTTTGTAGGTTTCGTTATACAGATTCTGTGACGGAATCAAAGAACAAATCACGGATCAACGATTGAAGCGAATTAGAAAGGATGAATAGAAGGATGCCGGGTAGATGTGCAATTATACTAATTACTCATAGTGCCACTTTGGAGATAAATATCCGCACATGCATCATCGTGCAAACAAATTTCACAGACCCTCCTTGAGTTACATATCTAAGAAGTTGCTGTAATGGAATTTGTCGGTAAGACAGGAGTAGTGCCGTTATCTTACCAAAGTTGTCGGCTTGTTTGGTTTGATTACGAAAATGGTGGTGACAATTGCCAATCCTTTAAACTTTATCTGTCCTATTGCTCATATAGATACCTAGTTGGGACATTTTGTCTCACTATTTGATTTTATTGGATTTACACACCAATGCATAGAACTGTGATTTAAATTTCCGTTATTGAAACAGACTGTGGCTTCTTGCCTATTTGTCGGTTAGACGTTTGACATAAGTGCATGCATAACTTCTTGACACTAATAATTGTAGGTAATAAATTTTAGGCATTTGTAAATCAGAAACTGTAATCCTCTATTTCTAGAAAATTAGCTACTCAGTGTAATGAATTCCAATTAAAGTAATCCATCCAGAACTTCATTCAAGAACTTCCTTGCTAATTGAACTTACGAATGACATGGCACGTAACTAATATCCAGCCAGAGAGAGAGCTACAAACTTTTTGTGTTCACTCACTTCCTCCACCACCTCCTACATATACTTCATCGGAATACTTTCTCAACGCCATTAAACGCCAATAGAAGAAAGAAATGGGTGTATGTATTTGACTGACTCTGAATGAGTGGGCAGCCGGGGTTCTTCTAACTTCTAACTGGAGTTAGATGGTAATTTCTCCAGGGAAATTCTCAAATATCTTTCACTCACTTTATAATGTATCATCATACAATATTGAACATAAAGCTCGAGCAGAAAATGACAACTATATGCTTCTACTTGAGCCTAGTAGCAGCAGTCCTTCGTTAGCAGAGTTAATTAGTGAAATACTTTGTAAACAACCAGAAGCAAAACAAACGCTGTAAGGAAAGAAAGAATATGCTCAACATCACCAAGTGAGAAGAGCATTCTCAGAGTTCCGACGAGTCTTACACCGTATTATTATATCTGTTTATCCAGCTCCTGTCTGCATGACTGACAGGTGCATGCCTTTCTTTGTGAATAAAAAGCATACTTTTTAATATTCAATCAACGGAGCAGGTATTATTTAGTTATAGTCGTCGTAGTTTTGTAGAAGACTGATGGTGTGGGCTTCCTATTATTATCCACAACTATAAATTCTAGCAAGTGTAAAAGACTGATGAATTTTGAAAGGAATCGCCAGGGACCAAATAAACACTCGATTCGGATACATGGAGTGTAAAACCTAGGGTAAGCATTTTAAACAGAGACGTAAAGTTGGTCGATATACATATTTCTTAATTTTTAAGCGAATTAATGACACATGTGCCTGATTTAGAGACAACTAAAGAGTGGAACTGTTAGCATTGAACCTGTCACACCCTCAAAATCGCTCAAATACTTATCCCTGTATTGGCTCGTTTAAACTATGACATATTTACATAGTTGCTCTATAAAACAAAGTATTTCTGAGACCAACTACTGGGAAGTTAGAATGTAAAATTGTTATATAAAATAAAAATTGATACATCAAGTGACATGACATTTGATGAAATAATTTAGTATTCAATGTAACATAGCCGAGAATGAAAATCTAGAACGTGCAACCATTTATGTACGTACTTACACTTTTACGCTTCCGTTGGTTTGAGTTCTTGTGTGGTAGTCCTGTCCTGGTAGGAGCCGTAGGAGGAATGAAATGAAAGCATTAATTGCAAGTTCAGCCCTAGCTATCTGGTTTTTATGACGGAATAGGGAATCAACTACTTTTTCTCATCACTGAACTATTTACATTGGTTCTGGATTCCTCTTCTGAATCACTGAATCGTTTGATGAATAGTTGCCGCTGGTCTGGTTTTTTATTTTTTGTGTCCCTATGAGTCAAATCATGGTGGTTACAATGGAGCCTGGTTAATTTGGATATACAAGTATACGGTGGATTCATTAGTGTACATAGAATGAATTGGACGGTGAAAGCTAACCTGTATTAACCAATGTACAAGCATTTAAATTTATGATACTAATGTAAAATGATGTATATAAATACATATGCATTAATCACAATTATGTTTTGTCCATTTTTTGTAGGTGGTCAACAATCTACACATCGGGTACTGAATGTTTTACATAATTCTGAACACCCTGCCTCTACTTTTGCCTTGTTGGAAGTTCCAGTATTGAGTGCACCTGGAAATCTCAATTTACCTCCCGGGTCTGGTGTTAAGACCGTCTCTCTCGTTGCTGACAATTTGTTTGATCTTCTTGTTCATAAAATGTCTCATGTGTACACTTCAAAAAAAATTAAAATAGAGTCCAAGGGCCCAAGGTTTGAGCTCGGAGACTTTGTGGTAAGTCATATGTATACAAAACAGGTTTTGAAATCATTTATAGCCATTCCACAATATCTACAAATATTACGACTTATGTTTTCCATAGGTTAAATTGGGGAGCGTTTTGATGTCTCAGAACTTCAAGGGAGTATTAGTAGAGGTAAGTGCACACGTATAACTAACCACGTTAATTTACATACATAGGTTCTTGCCTCCCACGTTGTTGTTGAGTAATAGATATTTCGTAATGTAATAAAATATTTTCTTGGTTTGAATGTCGTAAAAATTTCATCTGCCAAACTCATTAAGAACAAAGTTTATATAATACATAAATAAATATATTATTAATCGGGCTTCTTTCCAGATTAGTTTTGGTGTTTTTTCCCATATTCGTCCAACATATACGAAAAGCCAACTTTTGTCAGGACAGAAGTAATGAGACTTTTTCTTCTCTGCTAGTACCTCCAACTGGCAACTGGAGGTGAGCTGGGTTTTCGTTTTCTGGATTATCCATGGTCCGATCCAAGCCACTCCGGATTTTGATCTCAAAGAATGACGATCCAGCTCACCTCTATCTCCCCAACGTGGTTTTATCATTCCAAGATCAAATATGTTGAAAGTGACAGTGCAATAAAAGAGCGGGGCTGAGGGTTATATGATCAATGAAAAATGTATTTAGCCAAGTTTTTTGATGTGTAAACTTCCAGGTAGAATATCGTCCGTGTTCTATCGCCGAAGCCTGCTGGGAACTGTTGATGGAATTTATGCAAGGAATTTTAGGTCAAAATGCCCAACTTTCTGTTCCTAGAACTCTGCAGGTAGGTATTATAGGATTGTGAGGTTTGAACGCCGGATTTTAGTCTTTTAGGAAGAGAACACTTGTCTCTCTTTCTCAGCATTACTTCTCATTTCTATTAAGGAATGCCATTTGTGTTATGTTTGGCACACACATAGACATAGTTATTATTATTCAGAATTTTCTGTAGTACTCTATTCTGTAATATACTTAGAATTAGAATTAGTTTACATCAAATTTGTTTCATTCATGCGGACCGACCACGAATCTTGCTTTTACAATCATGCAATGTTTGTTATATACGATAGATATTGACCAGTCTCTTACTGATTTAGGGGATTTATGTTGACCCTGATTTTGCGTCTTTCCAGGCACGAATGAAGGAGATGTACACGCCGTTGGACACTATACATCAATACATGGACCAGTTCACTTCCTTCAGGAAACAAGCTAGTTTTCGATAATTTTTCAACAGCTTGTCTCCACTCGACTTTTACAATTGTTTGTAATTTATTGATTTAATGTTGTTTATTGTTACAAATGTATTTTGTATTTGTTTAAGATATATTCTTGAGATAGATATATATTTAGCGAAGCTGAGTTGAGGTGATAAAATTGTATTACGTGTTATATAAGGATACTAACTTTTAAAAAAAATCCTGTGTACTTTCTTTGGGAGAGAAATAAAATTACAAAGATCTATATCCTGCTTCCACTAACTTTTCTTTTAAATATTCCCGAAGAGCAGAGGGGTGCACTTTCAGCTCAGATAATTTTGTATAGTCGAAACTTGCAACATTAAATCCTAGTGATTTTAAATGCCGTAGTCTCATAACTTCTGAGCCTGTTAGGTGTTGTCCATCTCGAGAATAGTGTTCTGGTACGTGTATTAAAATAATGGTTAGTTCTCTATCATTATTTACAGAATGCAGTCCGCTGTTTAGCCTTGACGCAATCCGATTTTTAAGGTAATTATACCTTTCTGACTCAAATCTCCTAACATTTGCAACAAGAATATCAGCAATATAAAATGCATTCAAAGGGAGGTTTGGAAGCACGATAAATTTTTCAACGCTACATCGAACACCAAGCACTTCTTTCACCACTTCTTCCAACCAATTTCCCATGCGTAAAATTCGACCATCAATAAAGACAGATCTGGATGTAAAATCTCTGGGTAACATAGGTCCTCCATATTTGCTTGAACATTCAATGGAAATGGATATATCCAGAAGTTTTAATTTGCTTCGCAGTAGTTGTAAGTGGCTGAAAATATCAAGCACAAATTTCGGTGTGGGCAAATTAATTATGTATATATTTATATGTATTAGTATTTAAATATCAAATCTTACTTATAATCTTGTTCGCACGTGTGAACGCGATCTAAAAAATATGGAGAAAACACTCGGTCTGCAAAATTCAGTGGAAACTTTGATAAATAACAGCAGGATAAGAGAACGTCGATTATGTCCTTGGGAGAAAACTGGATGAATTTATCATCCAAGTACGTTTCCACCGTTTGCCAAAATCGTACGCCATTTGAAGGTTGAAAGTCAAGATGACCAAAAGCGGTCACAATAGATGTGAGATCTGGTGGAGTGATGTTTGCTGCTTTGTGAAGCACGAGAAATTCGGCGGCTGCTTCTAGAATGCTCTCTGAACGAATATGAAATTTTTTGCTAAAAACTAAAACTGCTGCAACTACCTTAGGATCCGTAATTTTCAGACCTCTTGCTTTCATATATTTGTTTAGTGCCTACAAGGTACAAATGTTTGCGATTAGTAATAATATACAATATTTAATTTGTTGATGACTTTTTTGCTGTATGGGTAATTTTTGTAAAGTTCAATAATACATAAAATCTAAATTGCTTTACCTTTACAAATGTAGTATCACAAAAATTTTGTGCTTGAAATGCCTTGACTATTGTGTACAATTGAGCTTCTGTGACGTGATGTATATTTAAGTTTATGCACCTAGATAGGGCTGACAAGACTCGATTTGACACTCCCACACCAACTTCTGTGCCACTCTTGACCACAATGGAGCTCGTTTTATCCGTCGTTATCAGGGTCTCGCAAATCTTGGCAACGACTTCTGTTTCGATTTTCCACCATAACGTGAGTATCTTACGCTCAGCAAGATTCAGTACCAATCTTTGACTCTTCTTAAAATGAGGTAGTACTTGAAAAATCAAAGTGATGTTATTTTCATTAATGTCTTCACTCTTTTCAAAAATTCCAATCCATAATTTATCAATCAGACTCGATTGAAGGGGAGGTTTTCCAGTATCTCGTTCAATTTTCCCCAAAGTTATTATTGCTTCACAAACTTGTGTCAATTGAAATTGCCCTTTGGTTACTCTTCGTAAAATTTCTTCCAACAGCTTGTCACGATAACCACTACTGTTTTCAATTGGAATTTCACATTTGAATGCATCTAACGCTCCCAGAAGAATAGTAGGATCATCTGTCGATTGAATTGTATCCACCAGTCGGTTCACGATAGCTGTTCTTGTAAATGTGTCCATGACCCCGTTCTCGGATGATACTGTCCACGGAAGCCCATCGTTCCGATATACAAAGTTGTTTTCCAATTGAAATAATTTTTTTAATATTCCCAAACTGACGAAAGGCGTTACTTCTTGCGTGGGAACAGTCTCTAACATTTTGAGAATTTGTTGAGGACTGTTGAAATTATTGAATCCTTCAACAAATGCAGCCTCCTCTCTGGCATCCAAGTCAATATAATTTTTTCGATCTATATCCACATAAATACAACAACCAATCATTTTTTAAAGACTGATTTTAAGCTTCCAGCTTACGCTCAAGAAGAAGGAAAATGTATTTTAAGCCTTAAAACTTGCATACTTTTAGCTATTCCCTTTATATACTTACCAGCTTTACCATTCCCTAGATCGAGTACTTCTTCCGTCTCGAAACAATCAGAACTTTTGGTCTTAAGGACAGCTAGCGGAACTTCTTGTATCTCCCCCCCTTCCTGATGCATCGTTGATGTTTCGCCCAGCTCCCGATCACTGGAGTGATGCCGGACAACCACGGACCGTAACTTCATATCCAACTTCACAGGCCCCCATGACGAGAAACTCCGGACCAAACCTGGACCTCTGTATTGTGAAACAACATTTGGACTAAGTCTAACGGGGGAGAAGAACAACGGTGGAGTGAAAGTTTGGAAGATTTTGTGCAAATTCCCTTTAATGGTCGATGGAATTTTTATGATGATGATGTTAGTTCGAGTCGCGACTGGGGAAGTCATCTTGACAAGTTGAGATTTAAAAGTTTTCTGGTGCTTTCACGCATTTTTTGCAAATTGAATATTCACTTTCTTCCATTATTTTGCAGGGGAAAGTTGATGATGAAATACGTAGTTGACAATTGTCTTTTGTAGAAATGAGACCAAATTGAGACACATTGCTTTCGAACGCAACCCGCTGTTGGAGTGGAGATGAGAAATGAGTCAGAGTGGAACTTTGGGTTGTGTTGAGAATTTGGATATACAAATAAACAGAAAGAAAGGAGTGTTGGTTGGATGGAAGTGTCAATTGATGGCTTCCTGTCTCCTTTACGAAAAAAATTCATTATATCGCTCATAATTTGACCTCGTTGTATACTAATAATACAGATTTACCTCTATTGAGTACCACGTACTCTGGTTGAAATTGAATCATATAACGCAATTGGGTATAAATATACTAAATTATAATTTGGTGAAATCCCCGACCGGTAAATTGTTCCTTAGCTAAAGGCGTAGGTATTAATGAGGAAGGAGGAGGCTTGTGTCTGTATTGCACTTTAGAGTAGTCATTTAACAGATAATGTCAAGCATGTCTGACTTAAATACGTTATTGAGCACGGAAATTCCGGAAGGACTTCAAAGTTTGTCGGATTCCAATGTGAATTTGGCCCGAGTGGCGGAATATTGTCAATCAAATTACTTTCAGGTATATATTTAAGTGCCAGTGTTGAAAAAATGAAAATATTACAAAACGAGGTGAAACATTACTTGGTTTCGATTTGCAGTGTGACAACAAACGAGATGCAATTGATGAGACAAAGCGATACACGACGCAGAGTTTGGCCTCTGTTGCATACCAAGTGAACACCTTGGCTTATCATTTTCTCCAACTTTTGGACCTCCAGGGAAGCCAATTAGGTATGGCATCAGGGATTAAATTAAAATTATATATCTATTGTACATTTTTATCTTGCTATTAGACGAAATGGCAGCCCAAGCATCTCATATTGCACAAGCTATCTCCATTCACAAGGAGAAAGTTAGCCGAAGAGAAATTGGTGTGCTCACTAGGTACTAAGGATATCAAGAATCAATCTTGCTTTAACTTTGAGTAATTTAATTTAATAAACTTAATGGCTCAAAAATAGCTCGAAAACGCCATCCCGACAGTATAAGATTTTGGCTCCGGCTACTCCCGAGAAGCCAGTGAAGTACGTGAGGAAACCAATTGATTATGCACTTTTAGATGAGATTGGATGTGGGGCAAGAAATCGCCAAATGATGAGTAAGTCTAAAAACTTTCACCCTAAAACAAAATATACATGTATGTAATCAAATAGAGTTAAATCACGCTGTCATTATTTCATTACTTCATCTGATTTCTATAGGGACAAGCATGTCATCAATGTCATCCATGAGGAACAATATTCCCCCTCCTACAATGATGTCCACACTGCCACCCAATACCAAACCTCCTACACCACCAATGGGAACAAAAATGGGGACTCTGCGCACTGGCGACAGGTCGATTTACAGAACTGCTCCCGCAGTAGCGCCACCACAGGTCCCAAGCCATTATGCACCAAATTACCCTCATCTTCAAAAGCGACAAAATTCTCAGATTGAACAACGAGGATATACTACTCTCCCCCTTCAAACTGCACATCCTCAACTGCAAGCGTCACAAAATCAAGTTCCTTTGCAATCATCAATTCCTTTCCGGCAAAGAGATATTCAACCCATGTCGCACCAGCAAATTATTTATGCCGAAAATAAGAGTGAGAATTTTTTACACTTGTACTATCCGTCACACATAATTACTTTTGTTGTAATTTTTCATATTCAAGGTTTGGGAATTGTCACGGGACCAGCTTCACCACCCCTCCCACCTCCACCAATGGATCACTCTCTTGATGACTCGGGACCATCCTTGGTTCCCAAAACATACTTGGAAAAAGTTATTGCTGTATATGATTATGCTGCCGAGCGAGAAGATGAATTAAGTTTCCAGGAAAATTCGCTAATTTACGTTCTGAAAAAGAATGATGATGGTTGGTATGAAGGTGTGCTCAACGGAGTAACTGGTCTCTTTCCAGGGAATTATGTTGAACCTTGTGCACTATAACTTTTCAAGACCTATGAAAATATTTCTTATATACTTATTTGCATCTTTGTATATAACCTTCAAATTTAAAAAATGTATAGACCACATTCAACTATGTATGTATGTGTACATACTGCGTTATTGTTGCTGTAAAATATCGTCGCTTTTTTGTGAATAAAATGTCAAAGCATTTGGAATAAAGGCGTAGTAAACGATTTTTTTGAACTACATTATGACTTTATTCAACAAGGAAATTGTAAATTGTCATCTTATTCGACAAGACATTTGCTAACCTTCTCTTGTTGAATATGAAGTGAATAATTTTTGGTGGTCGTGTTCTGTACATGTCGCAGGGTAATTTTTAATAGATGGTCTTCTCCCTATATTGCTATGTGTTGTGTCTATTACAATTGTATAGTAGCTGAAGATAAGAAGATATACACGAAGCGATGAAGAATGTGCTATCCCGTCTACTTCTTCTTGAGTTGATGACGAACTAGGAGAAAGGGGACGGCAAATCCTGATCCCAGCCACATTCCCATGTACAAGGCTAATTTATAACGATTTGTGATTCCGAATGGCAAATTCTGATATAGTAAAATATCACATTTTAGTATACTGCAAGTATCAAACAAAATGTACAGTTTCCTATAAAATGTAAGTTCTTACAGCTCCGGGAACTCCTCCAATATCGTGGTGACCTCCCGAACGAGCTGCTGAGGTCATCAACGACCTGCTGAAGTTCATAGCTCTGCGAGCAATTATCATTTTGAATACCGGTTTAATTAAATAGGATTTTGGGATTCTCAAATCGGTTTTTAAGTCGTGCAAAACCTATATGTGGAGAAAGTTATATGTTCAGCTCATAAGAATTCTCAATGTGTAAAGCCGTACTGAATGTTGGCTCGTTCCCAGTAAGTCTTGTGATCCATTTTGGCTGGTATATACGAAAAGTTGAATTTTGTTTCCAAGTGAAGCAACTATTATACTAGTTCTTTAGTACCAAGCTTGCCACCCTTGTTGCACAAAGTATGCATGCAATGCTTCATGCAAAAAGGTCCAAAATCTGATGCAAAATTTATGATGCGAATTTATGAAATGATGTCAATTTTGGTATTATTTGAATTTATTTTCACACACGTAAGATGCTTAATATATTTCATGAATATGAGGTGCATTCACGAAAACGTATTATAATTTTCGAATATAAACAGTTTGCATTTATTGTTCTTATTTATGTATGGGCGATGGCATACGATATATTTAATAATATATATTCGTCAATATATTTGGTAAGTGCCCAAGATATTGATCCTGGAACATACAAGTAATTCGTAATACGACACGCACTGTTCACCACATATTTTTTGACAATGTACTCGTTCTACAATAACAATTTATAAAGCTATAATAATAATCATATATGGTTAATTATAAATACATCTTTGTAAATAAAATTCAGTACTGATTAAATTGACTTAATTAACTGTAGATACTTTATGGATATTGTAAAAGTCGTATCATATTTCAGAGTGATTTAGTGTGGACTGTAATTTTACATGGTTCTTATTCCTTAATTTTCTTAGTCCTGGACACGGTTTATTATTGAACATATAGAGAAACATAACGTGCGAAATAATTGCGAACACCAGTCATCAACGTGACTTTTGGCAAACCATGTGCATATGTATGTATGATGATTCACTGGATTCTAAATACATATGTACATACACCATGGCATATTTCCTTATTAGCGAAACTGTGCGCCTTGTTTTTATATCATTTTAATGGTGGGTACATAAGGCTGAGGAGTATTCGTAAAGCAAATTTCCGACAATGCAAAATGCATTCTTCATGATCCAACGTTGCTCGCGACAAGCTATCCCCTGTTCGTTATGGAAGACAAAAATTGGGATTCCTTCCTTTGCACCCTCTCAAAAACTTATCCTTAGTTTTAGCAAGTTGAATGTCATTTGTGCAAGAAAGAACGCAAAAGAATAGCCAGACCGAACATTTTGTTTTGTGTGTTGTACTTTACAATTTGCATAGACAGTAGATACACCTGAAATATAAATTATCAATCAAGTCCAAAAACTTAAAGTCTTTCACATTTGTAATTTAGCGGCTTCAACATTAGTTAAAAATTATATTACTCTATTTGAACCAAAAAATTAGGAACTAATATTGTCATATTAGTTATTTAAGAGCAATATTACAATCGATTTGACCTGGGTGGTCGTTGTAAGTTTGAAAGTTTGAGACCGATGATACAGCTTCTTTACGGCGATGTTGGAGTTTAAAAACATTGCTTCCCGATATCATAACTTGTCATAATAAATGTCAAAAGATAATTGGAGATCATGGACCAGGTAAAAGTGCAACAATTAATGCGACTGGTAGTTAACTATTAAAATTTTTGTAATCGTTAATCCGTGAACATAGGATAATATCTAAATAATAAAACTATTTTGTAATTGTAATGCATCACAAGGAATGAATCACTAATCGCCTGTTTTAGTTAACTAAACACGGCGTGTATGGTATGCAACGTAATTCTAAATAAATACTATTCTAATAATGATATCTATTTAAATACGTGTCGAGAAGCCCAACACGTAATATAAGCTATTACATAAAATACCCATCTCCTGTCCTTTTAAAAAGAATTAATCATACCAACGACTGAGAACGATCAACACAAGAATATCCATACTTTTAATGCCAGCAGACTTATAAATGATTGAAACTTTAACCGATGATGATAAAAATTCATAAAACCACAATCTGTGGTGTGTGAGCATAAGTAAGTAATACGTTAAAATGCTAATTGTCTTTAATGCACACTATTTTTCATATTTTTGGTTGACAATATTAGACTTATTGAAGTGTAATATACAAAAATCTTGAAACGATGAGACGCTATGTGATATTACATATACCGTCTTTCTTTCGGATATAGGCTTGGCGTCTCAGATTTGACGATTGATTATTAAAGACCGTTACAACAAGGACACGATTTTATATAGTAGAGTTTGGCACGATTTGCATAATCAATTGCGATTAGTTTTTACAAATATGATGGTATACGTAGGTTATTAAAACCTGTCATCAACGAATTTTGTACACATTAAAGAAATTAGGTTTTCTGATGATACAAAGTTTTCCTCAAACTAATAATGGTTACGTTAAAACATATGTAATACATGCATTTCTGATTGAAATGAGTCACATTCTATCAAAATATCTAATAATCTAAATAACAAATGATTGATCGAGTTAAAGCGATAATTTCTCAAATTGTGCTTGCCGAGTAGTACAGAGGTCATCACATTTTAAAATAAACTACATACATACATGCGCTTGGACCGAATGTTCATTTCCTTTCGTATATGATATTGTCGGCAATGTGCTCTAGGACATATATAATAATCTGAGAGGCGTCTCTGGAATAATACATTCAGTTCGCTATACATATGTATGTTGATCATTCGTGTATTTTCTTATCTATTATTATTAGTCTTCCTACTACTCTATGACATATGTATTTATATCAATAAAAATAAAAATGCGTCGTTAATGTCGGGGCGAGAGTGGTGGGGGATGTATGCTAGGCGTCAAGAAGGAGGGATATGAGGCAGCGACTCCCACAGTTTCCGTCATACCTGGAAAACAGACAATCAATAAAGAATGAAAAAAAGAGTGAACATGGAAAACAGGGCAAAACTTATTTAAATTGGTAATTATATAAACAATAAATTACCTGCAGTGGTCGCAGTTTGCATATAGAATTGTACATGCGCAGGCAACAGTCTTGCTGCTGCTGCGGCGGCGGCATTGCTGCTATCATTTTGTTGAGCATGAGCTGCGTCTCCACCACTAATTGAGGAACTTGCAGAGCTCGGTAAGTGAGGGGTGCCTGGGAAGGAATATGGGGTTGGGGGGTAGCGATTCCTCGAGTTGTTGGAGCTAAGGTAGAAGGAGGGATAATGCATGGAAAGGTGCATTGGTGGGGGACCATGAAGACTTGGGTTATGGGCCTGTGGAAGGGGGAATGGAGACGCATGAAAGTTGGGGTTAAAACTGGTCGTTCCCCCAGATGCGTTTGGATTCTGGAAATGACCCTGTGACGAGGTTGATGTGGAACTTGAAGAGGACGACGAAGACTGGTTTTGATTGAAATTTCCATTGGAAGATGGATTGTTGTTTCTTGATTGGTTTGGGTTATTAGAAGTTGTGGCTGAGGAGGCAGCAGCGGCAGCGGCACTTAACAAATTTTGATACGGATTTTGCGCAGGATTCGGAGGGTTAAGGAAATGGCTTTGTCCTCCAGGTGGACGAAAGTTGGGCATTCCGTACATGGGAGAACCCTGGTTCTGAGAGGAACTTGTCACATTTGGACAGAAAATCATTGCTTGTGGGGGATTGGGGGCCGATCTTCTACGACTCTGTGAAGATGATGATGACGATGAGGAGGAGGAAGAGATCACACTCATGGAAACTGGTCCCGTCGATGATGTCGAGGGCACTGAGGTAGCAGCCGTGGGAAATACTGGGCGAAAAGGTTGTTGCAGTTGTTGACTATGTAAACGTCTATAGGATAAAGTAGTACACAGTATTTTATTACGATTCATAATGTGTAAATTATAACTTTACTCGTTGCAAATAAATTGCATTCATATGAAAGAGTGAATCATAAGGGGCAGAAATGGGTTTGTGAAACTTACTCTAACTTTTTCTTGAGAGAATCAGCTTGCGTTCGAAGTTCAGAAATTAATTTTTGTGCCTCTTCCGCCTTCCGCCTCGAATCCTTGTCCATTTCTGACTTTTGTTTGGCGAACCGTTTCTCCAAAGTGGTCATCGTTTTGAGAATCTTTGTCTTCGATTTCCTTTCCTTGTCCAGCACTGTGTAAAACATAGGCTTTCATGAATCGACTGAATACTACGCATTGTTGTATGTACCACAGACAATGGAGAATTTGCAGAATAACTCACTTGCTTTCCAGGTGGACTGAGGAGCGTCCAGCAGACTCATATCGGCCTCATGGTCTCGTTTAATTTGTTCCATTTCAGACAACTTTAGGGCATAATCAAATCTAAAAGTTGAAAATAAATACAAAGAATCAATACAAAATTCGGTTCGCAACCATAATAAATCTATCCGTTTTTCATCCATGCCTTTTCCTCACATATATTATTGTTTCTTTTACTTTGCTAGTTGTTCATTTCACAGGGAAGAATGGCATGAAAAAGTCTGAGAAAAATGGGTCCATTCGCTTCAAGAGAGAAGCAATATAAGTTACAAAGGGCCCGTAATATCGGAGGAGTTCATTGTGTAAAAATAAAGGGTACCACTCTGAAAGAAAGGGAGAGAGCAGAACCTGGCTATTATCCACAGACATCACAATTTCATGTCAGGTGGGTTGGGTACTCAGAGAGAGGTGGTTCAGTGGTTCTACACTTTCTTGTACAATTCTGCCCCTATACACATAGCAGTAAGTGCACCGTACATTTCATTTCATGAGAAGAGGACGAAATAAGGTAGCCAGGAAGAAAAAGTAGACAAAAACTGCAGAAGAGCTAGAGTGAGTGAGTGAGTAAGGTTCCTTCCTTCTGGCACTTTGTATTATTGAGGATGACGATGAAGGACCAAGAAGGAAAGAAGAAGGGCACCTTCCACCAACGTGTCTCATCTCTCCTCTTCTGCTCTCTCTCTCTAGATTTGAGAGGAGCTGGTCAGGCCCTGAGGTGCCCAGGTCCGCTGGTCGTCATTTCCAATTTCTATTCCTCACTCACTCTCGCACTTGGTTCTTCTTGTACATACAAAACCAACTCGTACTCACGATCAGCTTCAGCGCAGAAGAAAAAAGAGGAGAGGCTAGTAGAGAGGAGGAAAGCAAAAAGTAACACCACCATGGAAAATGATAACACCACCACCGCCATGGCTTCTTTTTACTCGTGGTGTCCCAACTCCATTTCGACATACACACGAGACACGTATGCGTGCAGATAATAAGTGGTGGGGTGTGGGGTTGGGTGGGAGTGAAAATCTTAATTGTGTCAAAAAATAATAATTTTCCAATAATTTTATTTTTGATATTTGGTTTTGCAATGTTTGTGATGATGCACTATTTTCCAGAGAAAATAGATCTATCTACAAGGAGAAATCGAAACTCTATGTATTATGTATGAAAATGGGCTCGGCATAAATTAATTCTCACTTCTCGGGTTGGTGAAAACAAAATAGTTTATACTTTTTTTTTTCTTTTTTGATAATTCCACCTGCTACTGAATTAAGTACGACTATTTATGTATGTACGCAAGTATGGTCAAATAACAAGGCATAATTATGGTTGATAAGAAAAATCGATGGATGGCTGTTGGGAAGAAGGAAATGAAAATTGGAGAAGCTTACTTTAAGGATTCATGAGCCAGTTGTTCTTCTTCATATTTTGCTCGATATTCATCCAATTTGGACTTTAGTTGACTAATTTCTTTGTGGACAATCTTCACTTTGGCTTCGTTGAACTTGGCTGCGAGTTCTTCAGTCTCTTCATCTTCCGAAGGAAATATTCTCAGGACGTCATTTTGTGTAAGAATAGCACTACAATAAGGGCATTCGTAGTTGGTACTGCAAAAGAAAAGAAAAATAAATTCATTTTTATTTGTTCAAGTAATGCAGCCAGACTGTGGGAACTTCCCACTGGGAAGGTCCCTTCATGTGCATGTATGTAGCTGGGTATGTAGGGTAATGCAATGTTGAGTATTTAGTGAAAATTTTAGCATATGGTTGCATAAAGCAGTAAGTAGTATTCTGCCAGTTGGCAGGATTGTGGGTGTGATCTTGTTGGCTAGCTAGCTGTACATTTATTTATTTCATGGACGACACCACGTCATTTTGCCAAGACAGTGCATTGTTCACTTCCCTCTGCATGTATGTAATACTGCAGATACATAGATGGAGAGAGGGCAATTAATTTTTTCTCTTGCATTGGACAACATTTGTGAAACCGGAATGCAACGTACATATACACGCTTTGACTGCTGCTTGCGTATCTGAAAGTCTTCAATGCACATATACGCGTCGATCATTAATAAATCCCCTTTCTCCACGCAAGGAACTCTCCTCCCGAGAAGCCCGAATGCGGGGAACGGGAAGTGGAAGTAGGGTGGCACAGCCTGTCTGCTTGCCTGCCTGCCTGCCTGCCTGCCTGGATAATTAACATAAAGCAAAAACTTTGGACAGAATCCAACGGGGAGAGAATCAAGAAGCCTTCTTCTTACAGCTTCGATCAGTCTCGTCTACAACATTAATTGCAAAATGAATTTTGTAGCTGCGAATTCAGAGAAGTAGAAGAAGACGAAAGGGGTTTAAATATTGTAGCAGACTTTCCTTTGTATGCTTACACCCTTTCATTGTGATGCGCAGTAGCAGATATTATGTGAAAGAAATTATATGTATTTAAATGGACGGATATTGGGTCGACGAGCCGGCATGCATATATGAGCCCAATTCATTCATAATTACTTGATGAGGAAAATAGGGAAAACGAACTTGCATTTTTAATGAAACTTTGGGGTGGGGTGGGAGCAGTGGGGTCATTATTATAGGAAGGAGGACCAAACAGACGGACTACTGGGATGGGCTCAATAATTCACTTTGGAGCTTTCACCAATAATACATGCAACTCTCATTTCTATGAGACAATACAATGGACCATGTTGTGCAATGATTCAATATTAATTAGAGGAAACCTTAGTATTTATTTAATTGACTTGTGATTCTCTAATGTGCGAAGCCAGGGTTTTCGAAATGAGAATGAGGAATATTTCATGAGTCATATCCAATACTATGTACTGCACATCATACACATACATACATACATACGCGCAAGTTTATTACGGCATACATGATATACTTTCGATTACCCATGACTTGATAACTCTCCGTCTCGTGTGATGATGTAACGTTGCATACTATTCAGCAAGGACAGTAATGGACCAAGTTCTTAAATTGTAATTTGGCTAACTTCATGCGTGGAATCGAAAGTTGACGTTATAAAATTATTTTCAACTCCAAACTGTTGAGCTTTAAGAAGTAGAGTCTGAGACAATGGAGTTGCATATATGCAGCATATCACACTGTTATGGAGCAGCAGCAGACATTGGAAATATAGAGAAAGGAGCAATAGGATAGTGGTACGCAAAGGTCACGACTGACCCTGGCCCTAACTTTTAAAGGTGGGGTGTAAGGCCGATCTGCCTACGCAACTGACTATTGTGAGTGTGGTTCACCCGAGGTCATCGCTTAATAGACTAGCATGCAAGAAACAATATTATTGTTATTCACCTACTACCTAGCTATTTTGCTAGCTGGTCACTTAACTGGTTTCTGTTTATAAAACTGGCAAGTCAAAAAACTGGTCCACCTATCCGGCCGTGCTGATTTTGCTGCTGATTGTGTCCATGAGGCATGCATGCCATTCTTTTAACTGCTTGGCTTTTAAACATATTAAGTAAGTGAACATCTGCTATTTCGTTGGTGAGTCTTCTTTAGCTTTTGGTCAATGACTCTAATTCCAGTTCAGTTATTTAAGTGGTCCATCCAGGCCAAAGTCAGAAGCTCGCCTTCACTTAATTAAAGGAGGCAACTATTATAAGCTTCCCTAAATTATGAAAAAATACTCGTATCTATCCAACTATCAGAACTATCTGTTCTCTCAGTCCACAATTCACAAATTCACATGCATAGATATATAGCAAGCAGCAAAAGCAGCAGCAATATGCAATATGCGTATTATATATATGTAGCGAGGGGTGAGTGAGACGAGCCTATCTTGCGATAATATATAAATGCCAGCAACCACTTTAATGGTATTATTACGTAGCCTGGTAGTATGATTCACATGGCATGCGGTAGAACAGCGCAAATGCCAGCTCCAACAGACAAAGGAACAAAAGGGAGCAAATTAATTTTTGCTACACCCATATCCATGTAAAAAGTTGATAAACAAACTCAAAACTGAGGAGTATGCATAACATGGAATATTAAATTTGAATCACTTTGAAAATTATTTTTGACAAAACATGTAAAAAGTTTGTGAAATATGACAATCTAGGTACAAAATGTGTAGGTCAGTTTAACATGTACATTGATAAATATGCATCGTGGCCGTTTGTCGTATAACTAATGATAACTCTTTAAACTTATCCAATCAAGTTTATACTTATTCGCTTGGGTTCTGTTTTGATGCGCGATGCCTTTTTTTGCACAGTTGGAATGGAGAACAGCTAATGGAGTAGTGGCTCAGTAAAGTATTACAAAAAATATGACAAAAAGAACTCACAGATTTTTCTGTTGCTGCTTGTGAAACCATTGGGATAAGCAGTGAGCGTGGAATAGATGGCCGCATTTTGTGGAAATGATGTCCACGGTGCCAGGAGCATGATTATCAGGACGGTTTGTCAACAGCTGAATTTAAAAAATTAAATTATGAAAATATGTAGTTGCATCTTTCTCTTTATTACTTCAAGTCATTAATAAATACTTTTAAAATTTAGGAGGAGAACCTCACTAGTTGCCACACACAGATCTCGATGCCCTTTGCATATGTTGGAACATCCCATGATTGAACAAGAACCCCCAAGTGGTTTGATGCCATGGCCCCATTTGCGCCCGCCACACCCACTCAAAGGTGCCCAAAAACGCTTTCACTCCAGCTTTCACTCACTCAAATCCACGCCAAAAATCCAATTTTACTCGGATTTTGAAATTTCTTTCACCATTATACTCCCAGATAGTTGTTTTCTTATATCCAACATCAAACTCAACTTGTTTGATGCTTATTTTGCAGGCATAATTTGCGTTGTTGAATACGACAACAATGCTCATTCAGTATTTTAAATTTAAATAATATTAAAAATTTCAAGAATTTGCGTTAAAACAACTATCAGGGAGTATAATGGTGAAAGAAATTTCAAAATCCGAGTAAAATTGGATTTTTGGCGTGGATTTGAAAGAGTGAAAGCTGGAGTGAAAGCGTTTTTGGGCACCTTTGAGTGGGTGTGGCGGGCGCAAATGTGGTCATGGCATCAAACCACTTGGGGGTTCTTGTTCACTCATGGGATGCTCCAACATATCCAAAGGGCATCGAGATTTGTGTGTGGCAACTAGTGAGGTTCTCCTCCTTAGTAGGCTCAAGTTACTTACGTCGCGGCAAACAATGCAGATGAAACTCATGTTGTAGCTGGATGATGATTTCCGGTGTTGAGTACTCTTTTAGCTGGTGACCTTCGCTCGGTCGTTCACTACAACAACCACCACGACCGAAGAAGAACACTTTTTTTACACAATTGGCTTAACTTTCCAGTCGCCACTGCCACGCCACGCCACCACTTTCACAATAACACGGTTCCCTGTTTGCTACTAGCTCCCATTTAATCCTCCATCCATCACCAACTTCCTCACTCACTTCAACGAATCAGCAAAATTCACCCACCAGCACGACGACCAATTTATGAATTGGTGATCAGTGGGAATCATTAAAATGCGATGCGAGGTGTGACGACGAATATACGTGCAAGGGCGATAACTCACAGAGAGAAAAGGCAGATTATATATGTATCATCCATCATCCAAAAAAAGTTTATTGTTTAATTTGGTATTGACCGGTGGGTTCGGAAGACGTTTTTACGAGAAATGGTTATGAACACAAGCGTGGTACATGTTTTCGGGACAGTCAGAGTGCAGTAAGTAGGGTGGACCATCGATCGCGGATGAGTCGTCTCTTCCGTACTTCGATCTTCTGTACCGTTCGTTCTCTCTTCTGATGGTTTTCAAGCCAAGAAGACTCGTTGCATTAGGAGCAGTTCCCTTGTCGTTCTGGATGCGAATGTGAGAGCTGATTGTTCATATTATTAAGAGAGAAGAAGAAGAATACGTGAACACAGAAACTGCTTTTCATATTTCACCATTATGTTATTGTTTCACTTGACTAATTTTCTTCGTTGCTCCAATCTCAGTCTCGATATTCTGGGCACACACACACGGTTAAGCTGGTCTTTTGTGTGGTGGTTCTTTGTTGGGGAGACGGAACAATATTATTTCGCCAAACAAGTATTATGGATTATGCTGATTCTGGTGGCCAGCAAAAATGTGGAGCAGTCCAGTGGACGACGATGATGGGAGCATTAATATTTATATTTGGATTGGACCACGATTTTCACTTTTCATGTCATTCACCAACTCCAACTACCCCCGTTTACTGTTTGTTGTAATTCTAATATCTCGACCCCAGCTGGGTTTACTTACTACTCGGAATAAAGTTCGTTTGATAACTGAGACCAAAGTCAGTTCAGGTTAAGCTCAGCGAGCACATAAATGTAGCTGCTAAAAGCTTTACCAATGTTTCAGTTTCTCTCGTATTTCCACACACTTCTTTTACCAACGACTACATAGCAGTAATATGCATAGATATAGATGTGCAGACCTAATTGTAATAATATTCGTTTCCTCCTCTCCTCCTGTTTTGCAGTCTCACATATATGCATGCATGCGCATATATGTGAGAGAGAGATGGAACTTGGCTGGATATTATTATTACAGCAACTTAACTATCCAATACAACTTGCATTCACCAACTAACCATTACACGTCCCAAATTATCTCTCTGTGTGCTGTTATGTGTTACTTCACTTGCACTTACTCGTCGTCGTCGTCGCCAATCTGCAATAATGAGATGAGTCGCATCTCTCACATCCAACAACCTTCCCTGTGTGAGAAGAACAATGAGTATGTATGTATATGTATATGCTGGAGTTTACACAGGCACCCACTTTTTGCAGTGTTATTTTTTTGGTTTGAAATCCTCAGAAACTTGTAGTTTTTTGGGGGTATGTGTCGAGGGGAATTTGAAATTTGAGATGCACCCTTCCACTTTCCTTGTGCTTCATATAATTCTTCTCCACTCTTGAACGACCAAAAGCAGTATATGACTCCAATCCAATTACATGGGAATTACTCAGTGCCAGGGAAGCTATACACCACGCTCAACAACTTCGAGAACGCTGCTGCACTAGCTCGCTCGACGCTGGTTCGCTCTCTTCGACCCAAAGTTTTAAACTGCAGCGAATAGCCCAGAGTTGAGCCAAGCCTTCCTTTTCCTTCTCGTCGCCTATGGGGAGCTTATGTATGTTCCCATGTTCGCATTATGTACAGAAAGAGAGAATCATAGGAATAAAAGCTGGGGCTGCAGACAGGCTATAGAGCAAAGTAAACCCAGTCAGTAGAATGCATCGAATGGGGGAATGGAATTTCTTTCTTCCGACGACGACGACCACGACTGGCGATGGTGGTAAGAAAGAACAGTGTGTAGTAGTAGTACTACTAGGGGCAGTTGTATTCCCAAGTAAGCAGTGCTTGTAGGCAGGCCAAGTTCGAAGGCTGACACTTTTGTCCTCTGAAAGAACAACAAAAACTGAATCCAACAACCAAAGCAAATGCAAAACTCCTTTCGCAAGTCCAATGTCGAATCTTGAATCTTGAGTCACTTCTTGCAGAATAGATAGAATTATATGTATGCAGAGCTGGTGGTGGTGATGGTGCAGCGATGCTGAGATGAGGTAACAAATCGCATCACGACGTATGACGAGACAAATCCACCATAAGGAATGCAAAACGTGGTTTATTAAATCAATTTCACCAATAGCAAGTGTACTTTTGGGCGAAGGACCTTGTCCTAATGGTTCTCTCTCTCAGAAATTGAGGAACTACTATTACAGAAGGACTCCCGTTGATAATAATAAGATGCACTACTGCTGGTCACCCTCCTCATAGACATATGTACATATACTCACTCTCTCGCACTTTTTCTTTGGGATTCACAATCAGCCAACCAAAGAGGGCTTAACTTAATACTTAAATATGTAAGGGCCCCCACCACCAGTATTGAGTTTCCACGACGAGCATAGAAGAGCTCAGCACTTGTACTTTTCGTTTTATTATAAGACACTAAGACAGGGAGAGTAAACTGCAACATGCGCACAACTATAGTACTACTTTTATTAGCAAACTATATTGTACATACATACAATAATTTCGGTTTGTATGGTACCCAAATTATTATGGTCGAGAATAGTTTCATCAAAACTAATAAGTAACTTTGAATTTATGTAAGCATGCAAGTTCAATTGATCTCTTGTGCATATAACTCTGTCAGTTTACCCCTTCTTCGCATTTCTGCAGTATGACATGACCATAGCTTCGAAAGATACATCATGAGATTCAAAATCTAGTCCAAATTTCAATACCAATTCAATAGGGCACTGCTACAAGCATGCAGTAAGTAATTGTCTACGCAGTGTGTGTTTCTGGTCAACTGGTGTCTGTTCTCAACTCAACTTGGTTAGCTGAATCGACCAAGTTCTTTCTTTAACACACTACTGACTATGCACAAATGCATATCTTGTGGTGGTGCAGTGATGCAGGTAGAGAGAAGTTTTACTTGCGTTGGTTGGGGGTAACCAAGAAAGTAAGGCGAGACAAGAGCTAAAAGCCGTCGTCGTTACATATAAGAAGGGTTTATTAAGATGAGGAATCTAGCACTCATACTTCCAAGTAAAATAGCGTTCATTGTAATGTGTTCTTCTCTAACTTGCTTATTCTGTGAGCATGATGAGAACTGAACTTATGTAGCCTCGACTTACTCTTGAGTTGCCTTGCTATTGAATGAGATGGTAGAGTGTGTTTTTAGGTAGAGCTTTTGGTTTCAAGCTAACGTCGCGTCATGATCATCACGGCCTTTTCTTCTCCCTTTCTACAAACATAGCTTCGATTTCGTTGGTTGGTTGGGAGAAGCTTAGCCATGCATTGCAGAGAGAGAGAGAAGGTCTGAATTCCCAGAGAGCAAAAAGAGAGCCTAAAGGACAGCCTAGTTCCCCTTCCTCCTCTGCTTTGCTGTGTAATATTATAGCTTCCCTTCTTTTTGCCTATTGCTGCGCTATTTGATACGCTCCTCCGCTTCACAGCAGATCTTCAATTCACTTTTTATTGCACTGCTCAATAGCAATAGCAGCAGCAGACCTTGCCATAATATTATAACACGAAACATAAGAGCGACTTTCCATCCAGCATACACAAAAATAAGAGACGAATGGACGCATATCCTCCTCATCCATGCCAAAAACTGCCATACATCACATCCAAATTATGTCCATTCTCAAAATTGAGCAGCACAATGCTGATTCTAATCGGGGAAATTCTAAGTGCTCGGCTGGGAGTTGAGATGCCACCAAGTTGAGATTGTATTTGGTTTGCTGGATGCGGACAGTATATGAAGCATCCTAAATCAGATAAAAAGAGAAGATAAGAAAAATGATACGCATAGGGACGAAAATAGGTTCGTAGTAATCTTCAAATTACTTTGCATATACACGTAAGGTAGAATCTCTCGAGAGATTCTATACATATATATAAGTACTAGCGATCCTCATTAAATGATCATTTTAAAGTATTTTATTATAGACTTACCCATGGCTATCTGTTTTATGTGCGTTTATTGAGAGAAATCCTATAACTATGCAAGTTGAAATCAAAGAAATATATCACGGCCTAATAATATATAAGTATAGTAGTACCACAAAAAGTCATTACACACAAGTACGTAAAAGTAATTAAACACGGGATGTCAACATTAAACCAACTGCGACTCGCATCATAATAATGAGGTTAAAGTTAAACGTAATTAGTTGCGTTATTAAAGTATTTCCGAACGAAAGACCGATTTTTCTAAAATTATTTTGTTTTTTGTGAAATACCCGTCGTGGTCAACTCAATCGACATCAATCGCCCATAAAGGAGCATCGGAATATTCTTCGTGTTCATTTGTGCCCATTGTCGACGAGTCTTCAATGTCTCGAATGTTAAAGTCTCCATCACCAGATGAGGATATTATCATTTTGTTATCGATAACTATAAGATCATTGTCGTCGACATGATGACTACTCTCATTACTGGATGAATTGCCCAGAATAATTGACTTATTCAGTGCATCGTTCATTAGACTCCCAAAGCTATCATCAATAGGTTGAAGCTGTTGAAGCTTTTCGTACTCGGATTCTAATAACCGAACTTCTGATTGCATGTGTAGCAGACATGATTTGTACGAAACTAGTCGAGCTTGAAGCAATGCAGCATCCTGTAAAAGATTCTTATAGTTAGCCCTGGAAATATACAAAGAGTGAATTTAATTTAATTGACCAACCCTCCCATCCGTTTGGCACGCCATATCAACCATTGGTTCCCTTTTAAGAAGGTTTTCATAGTGCTTTATTTCATTCAAATGAGTCTGTTCCATCATTCTGAAAATAAATAAATAAATAAACAAATGTAATTATTTGGTTTGAATCATAGGGGACCAAAGTACCAACCTGATTTTAATGCTTTCTTTATTGGAAGCCTCGACTTCCAACTTTTTCTCCAAATCCAATATTTTCTTTGCGTACGAGTCTTCTAGTTGTTTTCTATCTCCAATGAGCCGTTGTTCCAGTGCCTCTTTTTCCATTATTTGTTGAAGAATAGCCTCTTTTTCCCCAATGGTCTTGTCCACAATTCCCTTCCAATTGTTGTCCTTGGATTCGTTGATTTTCACTTGTTCCTCCAATTGCCTTTGTAATTCATCAATTTCAGAAAGCTTTTGTGCGTGTTCAAATCTGCATAAATTAAAATAATACTTGTAGTGCAATTTTATTTCTATTTTATAATTATGAAAGTTGTTTCTCACTTTAAAACTTCATGCTCTAACTTTTCATTTTCCAGTTGACACCCCATTTCCTCAAGTATCATATTTAATTGATCGATTTCTCCACGTGACTCCTTCAGCTGTTCAAATTGTTCTTTGGCTTGGCTAATCTTTTCCGCAATTGCCTGTCCTTCTTCATCCCCAGACGGAAAAAGTCGTAGCCCTTGCGAAATTACAACAACTGTTTTGCAACATGGACATGCCCCCTGGCTTTTTTAATGAGTTTAACATTGATTAGGTTTTGAAACATTCTTAGCAAAAATTAAATGAAATGATAGTAAAACTCACGCGTCATTTTGCCCGTTTTTAAGAAACCACTGTTTGATGCAACAATCATGAAAAATGTGACCGCATTGAAGTGCTATGATCATTAATTCGCCAGCATCTTCCAGTCCTTGAGGCCGTTCTGTTAACTTTACAAACATAGCACATGATAAAAGTAATGCTAGGAGTACTTACCTATTATAGTAAAATATTATTATATATACCAGATCTCGACAAATTGTGCACACTAGGCTCATCGTGAATACTATATCTTTGAGATGAATATGTTAGTAAGTCCGTAAAAAACTGCAAACAAAATGTAACACTCAATTTTACAACAAACTAGTAATATAATAATTATATTTGTAGACTTACAATATCAAATAGTCGTATAATTTAAAGAACTTTTTCAGCCTGCCATTAAACCGTTTGTACTTTCGTTTTCTTGCCACAAGGAAGAGCAAACTTTTTTATAGAGTAGAGTGTCGACATATAAATTGAACACGACTAGTGGCAATTAGATTAATTGGAATGGAAATATAATGCACACACACGACCAAGAGGGAGAAATCACATGTTTTCTCGGTATTGATTTTCTGAGAGCTACGTGAAAACGTGAATGAATGAAACTGTTGTGCAATGTTGTCGTCAGTTGATTTGGTCAAAGTTGATAAACACGAAGTGAAGGAGAGTCCACTCTTACCGCTAACGGCGAGTCGTCGTCTCAATTTGTCCAAGGGAAAGTGAGACATTGTTTCTTTCACCGTCCCCGCTTTCACCTCACTTTCATCCCAGCAGGATTGGATTTTGGTCTACAAAATCGTATGCATGATGCGCGTAAATATTTCAAATGCAGGCAAGGTGTGAAATATGATAAAATTACCAAGTAAAGAATAATACTTGGTAATGTTTTATGTTATGTTATTTTGCTTTCTCTACTTTATATATAAGTAACAAGAATGAAAATATTAAAGGAATGAATGACATTATCAGATTCAAATTGTGACTCAAAATAGAAACTACATTTTTAACAGTATATTTGATTTCTTCTTTGATGAAATTTTGGAACTGTGTCCGAAGACAACATGACTGTTCCCAGAGGGACTCCAATCGATCGTAAAAGAGTTCACAAGGCTTTGTGGGAGTGGTTTGAGGCGATGTAGTGATAGAGAACGATGAGCAGAAACAACCCTGCACCCAAAAGATTGGCGCACACCGCTAGCTGCACGTCAGTTATCATCTTAATTGATTATCTGCAATTCTAGAAAAAGAAAGTTCAAGTAAATTCAAACTTGAACGGCACCACGAATTGAAAATCGAAACAAGTAATACCATTCTTAGTTGTGAGCTACTGTTATTTAATACAACATTATCAAATGTCCCCCAGCTATACCAGCTGCGGTTGCACCCACCCACTTCATAAATTTGAGAAAGCATTTCACTTTGAAATGCTTGCCCCCACAGCGGCTCACAACAGTTTATATCAATGGTCGTTGGTTTTGTTTGTGAAAATTTTCAAATCTGTTCAAAGAAAGTAGTACCAATTGACTTACATAATTGCGTCTTCGCCGGGAACAAGTAAGGAAAGATAATTCCTAGAAATTCTGCAAAGATAGAGAACAACTGGAACTGGGCAAGCCGCAAGTGACAGGATGAACAATTTACCATTGCCACCACGTCATCGACTCAACTTGGACTCGCTCCTTGCTAACTCTTCATCGTCTCAATATTGACGGTGTCCGTACCAAATAGGTAAGCTTCGGCAGGTGGATTTTAGGTTTTTGAATCTTTATAAAAAATAGGTCACAGGGCATGCAATTAGTGTAATAGAACAATAATTTTGAAACAAGTTGCCCCCAACCATCCGTTATGGCCATTATTGTGAGTCGGGTTAATGTCACTCAGTGACATTTTTTGGTTTTAGAAAAATCAGGGAGTCGTCCCAGACGCCACAAAGTATATATTTTCATAATCTGCTCGTCGAGACCTTTCTAACGATATCCCATTTATAGGGCTATGTGAGACTCGACATTGTACTTGCAACAATATGGGGAAATATAGATAGCGAAAATTGACCGATTTTAAGGTCATTTTGGAGATGAGAGCTAAACGCCGAAAAATGCCGCCTAGAGACACTCAAGATGGTGTATAATCCGAAAGTTCAGCTTCCTAACTCAAAAGATGAAGAAGAAATCTCTGTACTACGGACCCTTAACCCGACTCACAATAATGGCCATAGCGGATGGTTGGGGGCAACTTGTTTCAAAATTATTGTTCTATTACACTAATTGCATGCCCTGTGACCTATTTTTTATGGAGATTCAAAAACCTAAAATCCACCTGCCGAAGCTTACCTATTTGGTACGGACACCGTCTATTCCTCTTTTCAGCAGAAGTGAATGCAACTTTCTTTTGGTGATTAGAAATCCATAGATTGTATTAATACTCAAAGTTGCAATTTTATATTTTATTATAGTAACGATTTTTCGTCAACACCAAACTACACGGACCAAATTAACCCCACATGTTTTTTGACAGTTGCACAAATAATTAATTCCGATGAAAGTGGATTGAACAGGAAAAAAGATAATTAGTTTCTCTCAATAAAATAGTATTTACACACGTTTTATGATAAAACGGCCTTGCAGTAATTACATATAAATATATAGAAGATGCAAAAAACCTAGATATAAATAGGTTTTCCACTCGATCATGGGTTTGTAGACGTGGTTGTTGTTGGCGGTGCCGTTGGGTCGAATATCCTTATGAAATTCGAGTTAGTGGGAGCATTATTATCATTAATATTTGGTGCAACCGGATTAAATAGAGGGACATTCTGAACAGGGAGGGTAGCATTAGGACTATAACTCGACCCTGATGGCTGAGGGTTATATTGACCGTACATTTGAGGCGTAAATTGAGGCGGTGCTTGTGGCTGGTAGTAACCCGTTTGGGGAAATGCTTGATTTTGAGCAGCGTTTGCAAACCATGAAGGATCGTTTGGTGTGGGTGGAGGAGCTGCAGTCGGAGGAGCGGCTGAGGAAAATGGCGGAGGTGGCATCATGACGGGGGCAGATACAGTGATTGGTGGCATTCCAGGAATTGAAAGAGGTGTCGTAATTTGTGGCGGCATTCCGGGGATTTCAACAGCAGCAGGCGATGAAACGACATTTGTTTCCGAAGGGGTTTGCGGAGCTGGAGTTGACGTAGGTGGTGACTGAACAAAACCACCAATACCGCCAGTGGTGCTGCTATTTGATCCATTCAAGTCAGGTCTAGTAACAGGTTGCAAATTAGGCGTTTGAGGCAGTGCTTCTTGTCCTTCCTCAGTAGCTATACCCAATGCGGATGAGAAAGTTTTTTTGCGTTTGTCAACTTGTTCTTGACTTTCTCCAGATTCTCCAACAGCAGTCTCTTGTGGAGCCATGGTGTGAGGGATTCTATGTAGATACCCATACCCAATTCCGCACCCCAAACTTCCTTCCCCTCCCCAGGATGAGTCAGGAATGATGATAACATCCCGACATTTATCAGTTTCCAAGTTGTAGACATATAGCTTAAGTTGACGTCCATGATGTGCTTCTACCAAACTGTAAAAATCTTCTGATTCATGAAGAACAGAGTCCGCACCAATCACGTAATCAGTGTATGAAATAAGGCCACATTTTTCGGCTGTGTAGAAAGAAACAGAAATATTTACAATGGATTTTTAAAATGATATATGATAATCCCAATGGGGGATATTATTCCCGAGATAACAGCATACCCTTCGTTTTAACACATTTCAATTTTAACAAATTTGTAGTATTTTCTAACCTGGAGAATTTGGTTGAATTTCAAGGATCCTCCATACGTTCTCTGATGCATTTTGAAATGAACAAAATCGAATAGACACTCCGAGAAGGCCTTGCCCACCCCAATTGTCAGAAGGCTTTATATCCAATTTTCTAACCGTTTGAGATTTGCTGAGGTTAAATATATAAATAATTATTATGGATATCCTTCAAGATAATTATAGCATAGCACATAGTAAAATGTAAATACGTTCTCACCTCGAGTATACCAGCATTTCTATCGGTTTGTGAACATTGGCTTTTAGAATTTCCTTTAATGTGTCGTTATCCTGGTCTAAGCGCACCTTGTTGAGGGAAATGACAAAATCAAAGAAGGCCTGCAGATATAAGACAATAATAATTATTAAGAAACGCTTCATTCATACATAATTACCTCATTTAAATAGAATTTTAATTTTGACCAACCTCCAATCCAGCTTGACTCCCTGGACTGTTTTCTTGAACTCTAAGCACATGATACCCTTCAGTTCCACCACCCGGAATCTCCACAGACTGGCTGCCTCCCATTATTTTTTCGTCCTGTTAACTATCAACAATCAGTACAACTGGTCCCCACAAGATTAATTAACTGTCACAGAAATAACAACAAACAATAAATATCATTCAATGTATCTAAAAGAAAATTGACTTGATTTCCCTTCCGCAGAAAATTAATAATAAACAAAACTAACCTTATTCTGAGGAGTGGGCTTGTTTTTAAATATTTCAACTTTTATTTTGACAGCCAGCAGGTGCAGTAGCGACTGACAAGAAATTTATTTATTATTAGCATAAGAATCGATGATTGACTTGGCAATATTCAAGCTGAGCTCCTCCACGTGTGTCACCCCGACACGTCACCTCTCTCATGTTTAATACCATTGAGTCTCCACTAACGCCAAAGTTTCTAAACTCTGAAACAATGGGAAAAGCTGGTGGACACATAATCTGATGAATAGGGGTAGATAAGCAAGGTTATCTAGTCGTCATTCTTACGATTTTCTAACTATTACCGTGACCAATGGCAATATTGTCATATCGGGGCAGCGTGGTACTGCATACAAGATGAATGGAGAAAGTCTCTCGACCTCTTAGGTCAGCTTATCAACAACTGGCAACGGCGCAGTCTTTATTACAGATTATTAACACTGGGTTAGAATAACAACAATAATAATTATGAATGGAACTATGTGTTGGATCTCTGTTTAGATTACACAATATATTAAAACACCACTTTCTCTTAATTTAACTCTGCATAACTCCAATTTGAATTATAATTCTACCTTAATTCTACACAAGAATGGATTATTGCATTATTATTAAGTACGAACCATGTATAGTAGGCAGGCAGGGTCTGCAAAATTATTTTTACCTTTTGAGTATATTAATGAGCGTTTGGGCTCAAGTATGTATTTAGAAGATACAAGAGGCAATTGGGTGTCGCAGGCAAACATTCAGATCTCCAAAATTTAATTGGAGCAAAAGCGTTTCTGGTTCAGCGTGTTGTGTGCATATCGGAACCATACAAATTCTTTAGATTAGACAGACCTCTGAAAAACAAATGTCTTTGTGTGATGATTGTCGTCCCAATAAAATTGATTTTCTTTGGTGATATCACTAATCATAACTTAATACATGGACGAGCATATGTACATTTAAAGGATTAGTACTAATTTCTAATGATGATTAATATTCTTGCGATTGAACTAGATAGGGATAAAATTTGTGAACGGGTACATAATATTCATACTCATACTCATTAACCATTCGTGTGCATACCTATGTATGGTGGCTAGTATAATATCTAATTATAATACATACTTGTCAATTGTCGAACTTAAGTTTCCCACAAGCATGCACAAGACAATAAAACTTTAAAAAATCGGTAGCCCAAGTAAAACACAATAAATTAAGAACGGTTACAATCAGGTAAACTAAAATGTTACACTAAAATTTAGTTTATGTACTAGTGTTGATCCCCCAACGGTTGATCCTTAGGAATTTGTTGAGCTTCCAAGTCGTAATTGGACTGAGGTCTCCTGGCTCCTCCCGTAAGAGGCCCTGAATTAATACTGTATGGTAACTTATCATCACTCAATGCCTTATCGTTCATTAGACTTGACACGTAACGGGCAGTTAGTGAAGCTGTAACCACCCCAATTAGAGCCCCTGCTGAGACGTCTGACCAGTGGTGTTTATTATCCATAACCCTTGATAAGGCTGTGTAATAAGCAATCAGAATGAGACAGATTTGGATCCCACATTTGATAAGCCTCAAATGACTGCGCTTGTTCATAACATTCCATCTAAGTTGAACGTATATTGCCACATAAAACATTGTATAGGCCGAGAATGAGGAATGACCAGAGGGGAACGACACCCTTGATTCCTTTGCATCGTTCTGAGAGTCTTGACATTTGTAGTCCGTTATGTACTTGTTTCCATACACTGAAAAAGTCATTCAATAAATGTATCTTGAGTAAGTTATAATTGTAGGCAGTTAACTTTAATTAAATTAAACTCCCTTACTGTCACAATGAGTTAGAGTTATGTTGGGGTTGCACACGGCAATAAAGTTTGGGCGCAGCCGACCCATAGTATATTTTCCTACATCTGTCATAAGCTGAGATGCTACACATCCAAAGAGGAAATCCACAAAACTTCTGTACATGTGTAAGAACCATATAGGAACAGGACGCGATAGGAATGTCCCTGTAGACCGAGATCTTCGATGACTTAAAAATTCAGTCAAGGATATCTGTAAGCATTACGCAATATTTTGTAACTTCGAGTTTCAAATACCTAAATTAAGCGATAATGCATAAATATGTAAGCTATGCATGGGTGTTTGGTTAGTCTATAACGGCAAGAAACTTATTTAGGTAAAATGCTAGTAAAAGCATACTATGGAGGAGAGGTTATGTACTATCAACTCATGGATCTCGATGCCACTTGGATATGTCATAATGTCCCATGCATGAACAAGAACCCCCAAGTGGTTTGATTCCATGGCCACATTTGTGCCCGCCGCACCCACTCAAAGGTGCCCAAAATACGGAGAAAGTGGCGCTTTCACTCATTCAAATCCACGCCAAAATTCCAATTTTACTCGGATTTTGAAAATCTATACACCATTATACTCCCAGATAGTTGTTTTCTTATATCCAACATCAAACTCAACCTTTTTGATGATAATTTCGCCGGCATAATTGCGTTGTTTATTACTACAACATTGCTCATTCAGAATTTTAAATTTTTAAAATATTAAGAATTTCAAAAAGTTGAGTTTGATGTTGAATAGAAAGAAATATCTATCTGGGAATATAATGGTGAAAGAAATTTCAAAATCCGAGTAAAATTGGATTTTTGGCGTGGATTTGAGTGAGTGAAAGCTGGAGTGAAAGCGTTTTTGGGCACCTTTGAGTGGGTGTGGCGGGCGCAAATGTGGCCATGGCATCAAACCACTTCAGGGTTGTTGTTCATTCATGGGAGACTATGACATATCCAAATGGCATCGAGATCCATGAGTTGATAGTACACAACCTCTCCTCCAAAGTAGAGTGTCGTGTGTTGAAATGAATGAAAATTAGTATACAAGAAGAAAGAAAGACATGCCACAATAATTTACGTGCTGTTGTGCTGGGATGGTTGTTAAAATATGGGACAAATAAAATAAAATATGACTGACCACCACAAACGGAATCGTAAACGTGTAGATGTAAAGCATCCAGTTGGGAATTGTACTGTCGTGGAAAGGATATCTGATGGATTCGTCGGTACAATAAAATCCTCGTCGGATGGGGGTGACTCCAACAAAAAATACAAGGAGGGTAATTCCGCCTTTAGATAATAATCAGAACCTCATCAGAACCATGCATTTACTTATATTCTAAATTGGCTAAATTAATTAATAGACCATTTTTATTTGAGTTTTGGACCCCCTTTGTTACAACTTTGTAGTCTAGTCACATAATGTTATCCGCTCAGTGTCATCATAATGCAAGTAAGAAGAGACACTAAGTAGGTAGCATTACATTTTTTTATCACATGCTTTAAAACGCCTGGTGTCCCACACCACTGAGTCATAAGTTATGACCCCCTAGTTTCGCCACTGTTGACCGTGTTAAGAACTGTAAGTGTGTGCGGAAAATAAAACCAGTCCAACATGCGCTAAAATGACATCAAAAGCAGCTGACAGACAGATACAGATATGTAGAATCGTGGGACGGAAACCAGGAACTTGGAACTTTAATACACAAAATAAGGGACAGTACAGACGAAATACAGAATTTTTAACAAACAAAATGAGAACAAGACATGAGAGCAACAGATAAAAGGGGGCATAAACTATTACAGAACGTGCGAACAGGGGACAAAATGATCAAGTGACAATGACCGTCAAAAACGAGATGGACAGGCAAGTTGCAGCCAGCGTTTTGGAGCTGAACTTTGAGCCAGGTATCACAGGATATCGGATTGACTGATCGGAGCAGAAAAATCCATTTCTTTGTGGGGTTGAGATTCCGACAAGAAACAGGGCGACTCCGGCTTTTTGCAATAATAAGTAAAGCTCATTTCTTAATACAATTTCATATTATACTGAATAGAATGCAAAATTAAATGTACATACATCCTGCCAAAATGTTCGCAATTTATCTTTCTACCGTACCATGATTAGATTATAAACTATCACTCGATACACCCAAATCATGTCTCAAAGATTTTTAATTTTACTAAATACACTTGTTTAGAGTATATGTAGATATGTAAAATGTATATTGCAAATACCTGTTGCCAGTGTTGCGAGATCTGTCAGTACCGTTTGCCATTTCAAACTCACGTCAGTCATCTTCTGTGAATTCATTAATTCATCAAGATTAATATAACTTGATCTTAAACTGTGCATTAAGATTTATGCACTACTTTAAAATTATAATCTTGTTATAAACTTAATCAAATCTAATCAAATTTTTACTGTGTTGCAACGACTCCAATTAAAACTAAATAAAATACTCTTCATCCAGTAACACGGGACAGGATATGGTTGACTCACCACAAATAGCTACATACCACGACATTGGATAACATGAATCTCACTCTCTCTCTCACTTGAATTAATGGTTTATACGCTGGTTATCATTTTACTGTATTGTCAGAAATTCACTCTGTTCAGCCGACCAACCAACCACAGCCTGGACAATATTGACTTTTACTTATATGTAGAATGCAAAGGTGCGTAGAACATATCAAATATATGTACAACAGTTTTACCAATACGATAAGTAAAGACGTACCTTGTAAGCGGCGTAATCAGTTTCCAGGTCAAAGAAGATTCAGTTCGCTATTGCTTCAGTGATAGATAAAACTCTTCTTGTTTCCGTTGCAGGTTTTTACATCCCAAACATCAACCATGGATTGGTCTCTTAAGCCTAAAAAATGAGAGATATCTAATGAGCTTATGGACTTATAATTGGAAAGTGATTTTTAGTAGGCATGAGTACATATTTATTTATGAACCTCAATGTGCTAGGAAATAAAAAGATTGCTGCGCCTGACTTGTTATGGAAAAATTGACAAGCTCTAATTACACTTGTGATTTGCGCGTCACAAATGCAATACGACAACCTATCTTTTTAAGTTTTGGCTTTTGGCAGATACTAAAATTTCTTGTAGGAAGTAGAAATTGTACGTAGTCGTTGCAGAGCTTCGTATAGAACGCCTATATAATAACTGTGGTGACAGCATGACATGAGATTCACTCAGGAATTAGTCACCTTCTATTACCTCACCAATTATCTCACGTTCTTGCTAAATCAAAATCTGTCTATGCATTAAAAGGTCGTTGTTGAAGGTGATGTAGTAAATGACGTGCAGCAAAATCAAATGGTAGTTAAAAGTACTCAGCATGTGTACTATACAGCATATTCCCATCTATATTAATGTAGTAAAATGCAAAAATGATGATGTTATGTAGCTTTAGGGGAGTGCGATTAAGCCTTTTAGCTCTACTCGGTAGCAAATTGCAGCTATTTTTATGACACTCTGCTCCAATGTGCGTGCAAAGAGAGCACATTATTAAACACCCTCATAGATATTGTATTGCTAGATCACTTAGGATTAGTATTACTAATTTAGTAATGTAGAATGTAGGTGTATATGTACATACATGACTTTATCTTCCAATCCTTCTAATAAATGCAATGAATATATATACTCACCAATTTTTGTACTTTCTTCGTCCTTTCCTCCAATTTTGTACTCAAATGAGAAAACTTTGCTTGACTTATTTTGCTTATAAAACAGATGTAAAGAAGATGTAGAAAGTAACGAGTAGTCAGACTGCAAAAAAACGACCTAATTTCACCTCACTTCACAGACTCACTACAGATCTGTACTCTTCTTTTCTCCTGCTTCTGCTTCTGGCTCCTGACAGCTAAAATACCGCGACGGCTATTTCACTTCACCACCAAAGCGAGTGTAAACCACCATCATAACTATTGGCTCACTCCATTTGACGTGCTATTTATCGCTGTCCTGCTCCGTGTGATGGGAAAGTGGTTCTTCGTACACCTTTCGCACTTTCTCCCTCGCTTTCACCACAACATGCAACCACACGAAGAGACTGATTAAATGCCATGAAATGATGCTGGTGGAGGGGATACAAAAACTCCTCCCTCTACTCCCTGGTCAAGTAGATATTGCAAAAAGCGGAGAGAAGGGATGCATCGAAAGTTGGCGTTGGTGGGTGGAGAGACATGAGAGTTGATGATCATGGTCATGATCTGCTTTCTTTTTCCCCGTCCTTCTTCCTGCTGGTTGTGGAGTTGATCTCTCTCCAACTTATTTTGCCCGCAGCTTCGCGTGGCTGCGAATTTCTTTTGTGCAGAACCTCATTTCTTTTTTTCTTTTGTGTGCAGATTACATGCATGGCTCATTCCTTCTTCTTTTTCATCATCGTCCTCTCTGTCTATCCATCCATCTCCCATCCATTGCAGATGAAGAGAGATGTAAATATCCATATTTGTGCCAGAGAGTACGTTTCTCTCGAGACAGGACGACATATGTATGTACTGTGCACCAAGTATTCAGTTGTACGTACTTTATAGTTTGAGTCTGGGTATTTGTTTATGCATGACTGTATTCAGAGGAGTCTATTTTTTGCGTTTAATTGTAGATGACAAGAATCATAATGAAAATGTTCATGCATATGCATTTGACATGCTTTGGACTTTTTGTAATTATTATGTAAAGTTACTACTTTCGGTAAAAAAAAACATTAAAATGACCCCATGATAAAGAAGTAAAGTCAAATGCAGGTCTTATTTCTGAAAAATTCATACTTTTGCATATCCTTCTAATTGCACTTTCTATCTCAAATGATGCATATCAGAAATGCGAGCATATTTAATACATAATTACGTAATTCTCAGCTCTGCACTTCCGCTACTTCATGGAGTATGTCTATTTTAGCTGTGGATTAAGCTTGGTTGAAGGAGAGTTCTTTATTGTGGTTAATCCAATACATGCAAAATATATGAAAACGTACAGCCCCATTGCTTCTAGTTGCCCAAGGTTTGTTAGCATGGTAAACGAGTAATAAGAGGAAGAAATAAGAATGGAATCAAGCAGAAGCAAGAGGGCGAGTAAAATAAAACAGTGGAGACGAATACAAATCTTTAGTCACATGGATGGATCGAGGAGGAAACTGCAGTTCAGTTGGTATACAATAGTATACATACGTGGGTCTACATTTTGGCATAATATAAGTACAGACACAAGGATATGTAGGTAGACGAACAGGCCTGTTTTGTCGGATTATATTAGCACTTGGTCATTATTTTACCTGCACATCTTTCACCCAGTTTCGCATCTCGTCGTCTCTCTCTTCATCTCCTCCTCTGTCCCCTACTACGACGAATATACTTATTTATACGAGGACTATTTTCTGCTAGCAGATTCCCTCTCACCTTCGTTGGAACATATTAATTTACTGACGGCGCTGTTAATCTGCTAACAACGGCTGTAAATTATATTTTTTATCGTTTAATGAAGCAATAACTTAAGGTAAGGTGAATACTTTACTTTGAAAGGTATTCAAAGGAGATTATTATGCCATATAAAACCAGGGTTTAGATAACAAGTAAACTTTTTACACCTTGATAAAATGTGTACGTAATGTAACACATCCTATTATAGGATTCCTATATCTTTTTTCCTCTAATCACTTTCCTTGTAGTTTGTAATTAACCTGCAAAAACTTTAAATCATTGTTTGGTCCATTCATTATTCGATGACTAGAGTTTGTGGGACGACAATATTTGCATGGAAAGTCATCAGTACATACCTTAAAGCTTATGTACATACATTTTTTCTTTATTACGCAGAATAGTGTGTGCAATCAAGTTTTTAATCTCAAGTCATGGATTATTTTATTGCAGAAGGAACTCAAATATTGAAGATCTGAAAATTCTAGCGATGATTGATAATTATGGAACCCACTTTGAAGGAGTGGTGGACCTCAAGGCCTGATACGGATAATGGCACCTTTTGTCACTCCTCCTCTAATCACTTTGATCCCTTGAGATTCGACATTACTAACATTGGACTTCATCATGAGCATTTCACTGCCACCTTATTGTTTTGAAAAGCTACCATGGTTCTTGTCAGTTGATGAATCTTGCGTTTTCAAATCACACATTTGATCCGATATGTTTGTTTAGTCAATAACTTATCAGAGTCAATCCAGAAACTTAACGTATTTATGTTGATATCGACACAGTCATTGCGAGCTCTCTTTTTGAAACGTTGTTACTTAACTCCTTGATGAGTCAAAATGTATATTCGCGTCAATTCCATGTCCATTATTCGGGTGGGGAGAAAGTTTTCCAGACTGTCCACACTGTTAGTCATCATGTTGGTGTCCCTCACCTTTCTCTTCCTCGTCACGCTGATCTCTCCTGAAGACGCCAAAGTCGTACCCGAGAACGACGCCAACTATCGACTAGGTATGTCCAGTACTGCTTATAGTTAATTTACGTTCTAGTTCACTAGTGTTCCATGTTTGTTGTGGTTTGCCACTAATTACGAAAATCTAGGAAAATTAACCATCATAATATAAATTATGTACAATGATTATGTACCAAACGCAGATATATATATACACATTCATATTGATTAATACACGAAACATTGAAATTGAATATTACTGGGCGTTTATGTGTTCAGAAAATGGCAGCCAAAAGAACTGGACAGCCTCTGAGTCTTTTGCAATGTCGGACTTGCGACACATTTTTAAATATTGGAGCAAACAAACGAGTTCTTTGAAAAAGCAACCTCCAACCAAGGATGATAAAAACAAGCGAATGTGTAAGAGTATATGAAAAAATCTCTGGGCAAAGTAACAATAATATGTAATAGCACATACTAGAATCAAGTCAATATTCACGCCCGCATTCCTTACAATCACTGAAAATTTAACGCTTACCGTATGCTTTAATACAACGTCTAAGCTACATAGGTCGTAAATTGCACACATGTAATTAATTGTCAAGCGGACTCATATGCAAAGCGTGTACAGATTTACTACAAATTTTACATGATGTTGCACTTTTTTGTTGTAAATAGCACCTCCTTATGAATATCGCTCTTTACATGGTCTTCAATCGGTGTGTATTTATGTATATAAGGTCACACAGGTTGCTTATTTCTATTGTTGATTTCTCGTAACTCTGCTTTTGTACATTATGTTGCACAAACTTTACGGGAGAACGTACCTTTTGTCACTCTTTCTGTAAACCTTAAACCTAAATCTTATTATTAATTTGAATCAAAATGTCAAAAATAAGTAATCGACTCTTGAAATCTTACAGCCGAGCTTTCCACCTGGAAAATAAATCAGTCCCTCTTAATAGAAGACTATATTGATCTACGAGACCCTCACTCATTCATTCTTCAACCAACCGGAACCAATGGAATGGATGACATTTCACCATATTGTGGAACGGATAATGTCAAGTTGCTTATAATGGTCGCGTCCGCACCAAAGAACATCGTGGCTCGAAATGTTATCAGAGAAACTTGGGGATCCAAGCAAGTTTTGTGGGAGAAGGGTTGCCGGTTGCTATTTATGTTGGGACGGAGTGATAATGCCACAGTTGATGTAGGTCACCCATTACCAAAGAATTTTACAATTTTTCAAGAAATTATTATATATTATATTTTATTAAGAAATTATTAGCAATAACGACCCATTATTTCGTACAGGAGCTTATAGCTGAAGAATCAACCAAGTATGATGACATCGTGATGGAAGACTTTCGCGACACGTACCATAATTTAACATTGAAATCTGTCGCTATGCTCAAATGGGTGAATCTGACTTGCACCAAGAATAATGTAACGGAATTCCCTCAACGACTTTTAAAGACGGACGACGATATTTTTATAAATATTGATCGACTACTACGTGTAATTCAAGAGATGCCTAATGCAAGAATGATGTAATTACACAATCATCTCTTCTTAATTATATATGCTGCTTACATATATTAATATTATATTGATATACTTTTGCAGTGGGAGACTCACCTGCGGAGCTACTCCAATTGGCGATTCTACTTCTAAATTGTAAGTGATGACAAGATTCATTTTCAGATTAAAAAAATCTGTGCATGTGCATAAAAACAAATGTGTTCTGCTAAATAGTTTATTCTGTATTAACATAATAGAGTTACAATGTCTTATTTTATTTTTTTAGGTATATGCCAAAATATTTATATTTGGGCAAAGTCTATCCTGGATACTTATCGGGCACAGCTTATGTTTTGAAATCAAATATAATTCCAACCCTCCTTGAGAATACAGCCATTGTTCCGATTTTGCATTTGGAAGATATTTATATTACGGGCTTGCTCGCACGCCGCAGCGGCATATACCCGGATGATTCTGCATTTTTCACGTACAATCGCATAGAGCCAAAGGATGATTGTGCCTTACGATTTATGGTATTGAAGGATTTGTATAAATACTTGTTTCAATTATTTATGTATGTATAACATTACGTATTTTGCGATATTTAACCTTTAGGTCAATTCTCATCAAATGACACCGCCAGAAATGAAGAAAATTTACGCGAATTTGAAGACCACCCCTTCACTCCCTTGCAACCTGAAGAAAGCCAAATGGCTCCGAAGAGTTCCGAAGAATATAAGCAAGCGGTTGCGAAACCTGTGCTTGTTCAGCAGATAATTTCAATGAATCTCCTCTTATATATAGTAAGCATTTATCTTTACTTTATACGTAGCACTCCACTTAGTATATTTAGTGCATGTGCACCTTCCTCAAATTTGTTTCAGACAAGTTCTCTAGTCACTGATAATCGTAATGTGTATTGACAATTAAATAGACTGATTTAATCAGAATCCTAACATATGTAGTAGTGCACTTATGTACTTAGGCTTAAGGCTTAAATTGTGTTTTGAAGTAGATATGTACATATTTTTTACTATTTTCTGCCAATGTTATACATAATTACTGTATTATTATCTGTATGTAAAGCTACGGCAAGTCCGGTGATATCATGTCAAGAAAAAAATCTCAAACTCTGGAAGTGTAATGGTAGTATTGAGCAGTTTACTTAAGAAACTATGAAACCTGATGGACTAATTGTTATTTGCCATATAATGTACATGCTATTTTCCGATAAGACAATAACCGCTGTTTATCACCAATGGAATATATATTATCGGTTTGTTACCTTTGCTGAATAGTCTCAGAGAAGTCTGATCACTGGAGCCTTGCCTTTTACGAATTTATAATCGAATGTGAGCCGTCCAAGTATGTATAGTAGTCATTCATTGTTGGGTTTAGCAGCACTGATGTAAAACAACATGACAATGGGAAGGTGACGCCAAAATTATCACACTTTCATGCCAATATTTTAGAATTAGGCCAAGAATAATGTTGTACTGGTGACAACTCATAAAAAATAATGTACGTAAATATTAATTATTGTTGTCTTTTAATTGCATTTTGGAAGATTAATTGATCAATATTATTATGTTGATTATGCAATAAAATAAAGTTAAAGACAATCATATTGTGTTATAGTTTCTCATAATTTCTAATACCGGTGTGTAAATAACCTATATATGTATATTATTATGCATTTATCTAAATCCTAGTGGAATTTACATATTATGTATGACATTCATACACGCATATAATTTCATTCTAGTGCTGCATCACAGACTTCCTTTCTCGAGACTCAGTAACCAAATGATTAAGAACTACTAACGCCACATTAATTAATAAATTAACTTAAACGTCAATGCAATGTACAATTTTAACAAATAATGTACAATTTCCTCGGGCTTAGAAACATAAAAATGAAATCTATCTACGCTGTTTTATGTCATGAAAGTGATAAAATTTACCATTATTATTACAAGTGCTAAAAAGTTTGGCAAATTAAAAGAGGCGGAACTTTTTCCCTTTGAGGGTTTCGGTTTGCTGCTGTGCTTGGAAGGTAAGCTGCTGTCCGTTGTGGTCATAATGTCGTAGGATGGATGGTGAGGATTGGAACCATTCTCCAGCGATATGGAGTGTGTGTTTTCCTGGTAGTAAACGGGTGGGTTTGATACTTCCGGAAGATAATTACCACATTTTGGAAAATCCTTTGGTGCTGACAGCATTTCAGAAACATTCCCAACCTAGATATGTGCATAGGTATCTTGAGTAGGAACTCTTGTATATCATAACAATTCGTATGTATGTATAATAATTTGTCAAACCTGAAGAATTAATCCCATTCCAACCTCCACTAAAAAATACATAGACATTTTATGGGGGCAAGATTTTAGGTCGTATACATAATACACATAAATATTTTTTAAAAAATACCATGAAAGGTTATATGGCAATGGTAAAACCAGAACCCTGGATTATCCGCACTACACATCATCGAATAAATATTAAAAGAGTTTCGCATTCAATACATACCGAATATTGAGCATACCGAAATCTGAAAATTGTGTATCCACCATCGGGAACGGTGACAGTATCCTTTATGACGGCTTTCAATGTCTGTCTAGGAATTAACCCCTATGTACATGGATTAAATAATTAAAGCACTTTTGATGTCAACACGTCAAGTCATGATTAATTATTATTACGGCTTCATCTCGATTTTTAATAAAATGGGGCTCAGTGGATTTGTTCAGTCGTTCCATTGCCACCACTCTGAATGCATGTCCATGTAAATGGAACGGATGGTTGGCGTCAAACGTATAGCCTCTACAAATTATACGGAATACTTAATGACGAGTGACAGTTTTTTGAATAATTGATATACGTTCTAAAACTGCTCCATATTTACCTGTCTACCATTACAAATTCCACAATGGAATTTAGCTCTGAAAAGAAATAAAAGAATGAGATTTTATCTAGTCGTATGTTTGCTAGATTTTATATGGGGTGTCGATATATACTTCGGTACTTACCAACTTTTAGCAAATGCACACATTCACAATACTCTGCAGTGCAGTTCACTTTCATGGACTTGTCATTGCAAAATTGCATTTCTGACATACTTTCCGGCTGTGTCAAAATGGGGACGGCTGGCATGACATGTGATATGTAATTCAGCTGGGGTGTATACAACTTAAACCCCTTTCGTACTGCGAACGAATATATAACCAAATAATTGTTAGCAGATCAATAAGTTTAGTTACACCGTTAAAGTCATTTGTTTTACCAGTTCGGATGGGAATATGTGGGCCATGAAATCTTAGATTGTCAATGGGATTGAAATCGTAAGACAAATAAAATTGATGATCAGCTTTCTCTTTTGTTAAAATTTCTGGATCATCATCTTGAGCGCTGTTCAGCTCCGCAGCCGTGATGTATTGACCTTCTACTCCAGGTGCAGTATTCAGAGGGTTTAATTGCAGGCCATATTTCTCTGGAGCGGCTTCATGCCAATTTCGTATATTGTGTGATGGGACCGTTCCAATAGGAACCGGGTTGTAATTCAACACTGCCAGTTGATATGCGCTCGTAAATCTATCGTCGCAGTCCATCAGGCCCTAAAATAAGGAAATCAATTGTTTCAGTTTGTGCGTACAAAATCATCGTGGGGAGTTCCAACTACCTGGAATTTGATCCAATATGTTCCAATTGGTTGGTCAGCTCGTATGACAATATCCCACCTCTCCCCAGCGTAAACAACTGACCAAGCAAAGATATCACAGCATTACTATGGATTATACTAAATTAAATATTTAGCTTCATCCTTTCAGTACTACTTGCCTATTGAGTCGACATCCACAGGCTCTATATCAAAGATAAGTTTAGCTAAGCCGTTAAAGTCATTTGTTTTATCAAATATATGAATTAGTACCGAGTACCTATATCAAAGCCATCCGATGATATAACCGTCATTGTATGGTTTTCAATGGACACCGCCAAGGGGCAGTTTAACACGCTATTAATGTTTTTTTATATTCTTGTTAGCATTTAAAAGAAAAATGTACAATGTAAAAATGTTGGCATTTTATCTTACCCATTGCTAATCAGTCTCACCCTGTAAGAGCTCCCTTGATCTACTCTCACTTCGTAAAGAGGAACATACGGCTTTCCCTTTGTTTTAATGGTCTAGAAGTATTTGATCAGTAAAAAACGACATTATTATAGATCATGGCACGATGTTTTGTTTTGATAAAAACCTCATGATCGCCAAAATCCTTAAAAAATCCAGGCGGAAATCCCCGACCGTTGATCAATACTCCACGAGGTTTGTTATCACCGTCGGCGTGATGATGACTAAGAAATACAGGAAGTGACAGATCCTACGACGACGAAATTTACAAATAATTTTTTGTGATCAAAGGGATAAAACATAACTACGTAATTAAAAATAGGCAGAACATACCGCCAACCAGTCCCAAATCAGCAATTCATGTTCTGGAAGGTCAAAATCGTATAGCGAATTGTTTTTCTTTGGTTGTCGAACGACTAGTGAACCGAAGATCCCGTCCCTGTTAAAGTATTATGGATTGTCTCATTAGTAAAATCATCCCCATCATTAAGCTGCTTAAGATGATTCTCAAATTGAGGGAAACTAATTTTTTCATTGATTGATGGTGGAATGAAATCGCTTAACTCACCCTCGTTGAAAGCCAGCATGAGAATGCCAAAAATATGATCCACCAAGAGGCACTTCAAACTCATACCTGGTCAATTGTGCCAATTTCATTAAATTACACTAAAGTCAAGGACTGAAATACCTGCTTCACTAATGTAATATGTAGATATGCACATATTTTACCGAAAAATTCCTCCAGCCGGAATGGGACATTGCGTGGTACCTGGTACGCCGTCCATCCATGGCGTTTTCTTTTGGTGAATCCCGTGCCTACGAAGTAAGCATAGCTTTATTTTTTTAATCTTTATTATTGGTTCATTTTGTCTCTACGAGTTTTACTGAATCTTTATATAAAATGAAATTTTACCAGTGAATGGCAGTACCCTCACCGTACAGATTGTTTTTCACATCCACAACCACGGTGTCCCCTTGGCAGACCTACATTTGCATATGAAACAATAAGTTCTGACGGATACTGAACTAATATTTGATTTCGAAGAATGCAATCTACCCGTATTGCAGGTCCGGGCATCATTCTGTTAACAACGGCAATCGCACGCTTAACTCCATCGGCAGGAATGCAGTCAAATCTCGAGCAGTCGGAAGTAATGTTCGGACACTCATAACATGCTTTGAAAGGAAAATTTATTATTAAGCAAAATTAGTAATGAATTGATTAGTGCATACCTAAATATTCTGATATTTATTCATTTGAGAATTAGATTTTGAGTTCATTAATACATTGTTTCTACATACATACATATGTATATGTATTCCTCATATGACGCTGCCTGCTAAATATCTGTACCAATTTACGTGGTACTTATTTGCATACTTGATCACATGAAACGCTAACGTAATCATCGAAAACCATTATTGTTTCGGGTATTCGTTTTGCTATGTAATTTGGTTTATAAAACATGATTTACACTAATAATTACATTAAGTCTTTTTATATTCCTAGGTATAAAAGCCTATATTGGTGTTAAACTTTGTGTTGAACTCCTTACAACTATAAATACGGCATCAAGATAATGCAGACTGAGGATGAGTGCTAAAAAAGGATGGCACATGTCATAGTTGTAAATGAAAGTTTGCCAAAAAATAACCCTGGGCGAAATTAATTTTATTTTAATAAGTTCCGAAAGCTTGCGGTCTTAAAAAACCTTGCAAAGTCATCTATCACGCAAATTAATTTTCAGAGGGTACAACAGTTGAACAGGATATGTTTCGGTAATGAATTTAGGAAAATATTCAAATACAACAAATGTCTTTCCTGGCTTTAAATTAGAAAATGTTATGCCTTAATGGGCAAACTTCCAGTCAAACCTAATGTCATCTTTGAAAGTGCAGCAAATTGCTTATCAGATTCCGAAATCTTTGTAATCCAAAATTCAAATTGCGTTGTCTATTATCTTCTAGGTTATGTATTTTTAGCATGTGCAATTATATAAGACGTATTCCACCATGATTGTAGTGTATACTCTGACACATTGCCATCTAATGAAGGTTTGTTTTCTCAATCACTTCCTTTCGGCCTGGAAGTATGTATATATCTATATGAAGCATAGTAGATATGTTTTCCTTCTTACCTTTACTCAGGACCCAAAAGTACTCTAAAAAATTACAAAAGCTTTATATGTAAAAGTGTTCCATAACATGAAACGAACAATTCGAGAGTATTTATTTACCCAGAGTGAAGTTGTATCCACAAGTCATACTCTTCAAAGGATCAGAAGAACATTCACGATAACACGGATGGCGTTCTGGGAAATCTGAGAATTTAATTATCCATTAAAAAGGTATCATGATTTCAGATTTTATCATAAAAACTTCCTTTGGCCAAAAAATACGTATGTTACACGAACTGAGGAATGCAAAAAGTGTATGTACATACATACATATTTACTAAAATTCAATGAAACGCGATCTGCGACCTTGGCATCCTTTACTTGGATGGACTATTGCTCGCGAAAATGAATTCTTAAATAAATTCGAACGCAACAATTGGTAATTGACTTTTCATTATTAGTGTTAGGTGGCCACCAGTAGGCTTTGCCTTGCAAATTCGGCACAGCTACTTGTTGCAAGTGAAATGACGAGGAACAATTACGGTATAATTAAGTTGACAGAAGCAGCGTTGATAAAGCTCCTCGTGCAAAGTAACGTCATCAATGCCACTGCATACGTAGAACCAAACAACATCAAAAGAAATTTCAGAGAAAGATCATATGCACAGCACAACAAAAGGATATCATTCAGCGCCGTTGAGTGTTGATTAAATAAACAATTTTTAAACAGCACTTTGCAGATTTCATTTACTACCCAGATGCAGTTTACATACATAAGCTAAATTATAAATTATATACTGTGCCTGATATAAAATATGATAATAATCACTTGCTTGCCAGGTGTTGGCTAGTATATACTAAATATTTGACGGTTGGACTGCTTAATTGTGAATAGGTCGTAAACTACCCTTATAATATGCTTCAAAAAATTATGACAGGCTTGTTGAATTAATAGAAGATTCATTGAACTGTGACATTGGGAAAGATATCCATTTTTACGATTAAGTTGGATTTTAGCAATAAAAAAATTGTAAAAATTTATACCTGCGTATGACTGTATGGTGGATTGGATTATTGGGAAAATTGAGACGATTGAGAGAACTGCAGCAACTGTCCACTGGATTGTGACTCTCATTTTGATGGCTTATTACGCTTGACACTAGTAAACCAAATTTATTTGCACTATTTTTTTAATTGTATCGAAGTTAATCACTAACTCTATATTAGGTAATTTCGAATCAAAATTTTCAGATCTACAAAGAACTCCAGTGAACCGGCAGGAATTTTTATGACGAAGCAGGTTCACAGACTTGCAAATCTCACTCTCCTCTTTTCATACGCTGTTGCTGCATAACTGAATTGCAATTGCTGTCTCACGGAGCGTAATAAGCTTCGACTTTATTCGCTAATCAATTCGCAACAGCAACTGATGATGCTGGAAGAAGGACTATGTTTTCACTTGATATTCATTTATCGATTGAACACCACCGTGTAATGTAAAAGTAAAGTGTGTGTAAATAAATTTATTCGTGCTATCAATCAGGAACGAGAAATCAACCAATTGTGGAAAAATCTTCCGTAAATCTGAAATGACAAAGAACAATACGTTGCTCTTGATCCGGATCCAGCAAGATCTTCGAGTGGATTAGAATTATCTTGAATGCAAATTCTCAGTACACAACACACACACATACAAACCACTTAATAATGATTCCACAGAAGTCATTAGCATTAGCACGAATATTCAAAAGTCTCAGTTTTTTGTATTACACGTACAAACTTGCTGTACACCTGTCCTCTGGTAAATTCAAACTGCAGCAGCAGCTTATTTATAACTCAAACTTTTTATTTATTTATCCAAATATACAATGCCTTCGGTTTGGAATGGACTATGGTTTGTCCGTTCTGACAATATTTCATATTTCACTAATGTATGTATGGTGATTGTTGCATGAAAGAAAAGCTCGTTTGGTTGGGAAATACCAACCAAGAGAACAAGATACCTGACTGGACGGGCTTGCTCACTGAACTTGAATATTCTTCGTGGAAGTGCAGGCAGTAGATAATTCGAAATTATGTAGCTACGTTAAGATACACGAACGCAACAACTGGTTCGATTACGTGGTAGTTTACACGAAAACACTAATACTTTGAATGACGTAAATTCAAAATATGCCTCAACACCAGCCTTACCATAGCGCGATGAGAATACATAAAATAGCAGCGACGACGTTATTGTTGTTGCTTTGTCGTATTATTTGGATACAGGTAATTATTTACAAGTATCGAATAAATGTCAATTTTAAATTACGTTCATTGTTAACGACGCAGCCGCCAATTTTCTAATAGTGTTCGTTCAAGGTGTCCTTTATACTTACACATTTACAAGTAGTAACCACAGCTAATCGTATGATGCAAACTAACTATGCAATTATTGTGATCTAACTCTTCGATGTCGTCATTTTTGCAAACGTCACAAAATATAATAACTGATATTGCAATTTATTAGTGAATCAAGTATTTCAGGTTCATGTGTGGTCGGGAACAACGAATAATTAGTTAAAACACTTGCGATTGCAAATTTCCATAAAGCAGAATCACACAGAACGAGAGTCACAATATTCAGATTTGATGGTTTGTTTGGTAATTCTCGATTAGAATAATTGCTCAGAATTGGATCTAGTTCAAACTGTCTTGTAGGTCAGGTTCACGTGAGAGATTGTATAAGCTTAATTTATTAACGGGTAGAAATGGATCTGGAGCTGTACAAAGAGAGAAATTGGCTTAATGAAGTTAATTTAAACTGGAAAATGCCTCCTTCCCCACAAAGTTACACTCCAAATACACCAGACTTATAAATGGTACTGATCGCTTAGTGTACTTTTTTGACATCATTCTGAGCTGCTGCTGCTGCTGCCTAATAAATATATTGCTCTCTGTATCATTTAATTCCCAAGTTTGAAGTGATTGCGTGATTGTATGACACAATGTAAAATTTCATACAGACGTTACACTAGTCCACGCATTTCAACTTGAAGCAAATTCGTTTCGGAAAATTAGTCCCCAACTCGTCGTTCTTTTGCCTACATGAACGCTTGTTCAGCTGCTTCAGATGAGATCAGTCAATGGGATCGTGGCGTTTTTGGCTGTTTCGTTTCAACATTCATCGCGCACTGCAGTTTATGACATTCATTATCGGGAAAAGTTAACACTTGGCTTAACAAGAGATTTGAGACTGTGATGGATAATTTAGTGACAGCTAACCTAGTTGCATAAGGTTTGTTTATCTATTATTCCAGTGATTAAGTATATGTCATTACATATGTATATCAAGTAAGGATCAAAATATTAAATGAAGTGGATATTGGATCGGTTTACTGAACCGAAGTAGTAGACACTTAAGAGGAATAATTATCATGAGTAATGTAAAGGATCGACACTTGAACTTATAAAATTCCGTACATATTTCATGATTTTTTACATGATTTCGAGTCATAATGGCATATTTTCATGAACAGAAGCAATTAATAAGTAGGACAAACTTATGACATCCCCGGATTGGATCAATTGGATCATATATGTACAGATTATTCGGCATTGCTATTGAATGTATGTAGATATTCAGAATATAATAGACGGGAAATTACGTCAGAATTTCTAATCTGGAAGAAACCATCTCATTATGCATTGAATTTGGATTTGTTTGTAAAGTTAAATTAAACTAAAAAAACGTTGAAAGACGAAACAATTCCAAATATACATACGTAACATGAGTGGATATTCTTCCCCTCGTGGAGGAGAATTATATATTTTCACTAATATGTGATGGATTCCTGCTTTATAATATGCATTTGATATGTAGCTCAGTATGTTGTACATAAATTTTACAGATTTGCACGAAAATATGCGTGGCGAGAGGATTCTAACCGTGTCCTAGAATGTGTGCCAGGGTAATTAATTCCGTATGATAATGGCCATGATGTCTATTTTAAATCAAATGGGAGGATTCAGTACATCAGGATATTTGTAATTCAATTTCTTGACGATGAGTACTCCATGAAATTTAAAAAGTCAAGGTTGATTTCTGTACCACTCAAGTGTTTCATCAGTTTTCTCTCTTATTGCGCCCAAAATTGTAGTCTGCCAGTGAGAAACACAAGATACCTGTTGACCTGAATGTTTCATTTGTTTGTCATTAATTCAATGTCCTTGATATTTTCCGTTGACTAATAGTATCCTGAATGGTGGTTACATCACTCTTGAAATGTGCATTAATGTACCAAACGTTTTAGATGAGCATATCAAACAATTAAATCCATTACTAATTCCGAAAACTTGAAATCCTAAATTTTCATAATCTTAATTGGCATGAGTTAAATATGCATTTCAATGAAACTATTTACATATAGACCAACTGTACGCAAATTAAGTACAAAATTATGTTACACAATGTGCGGTCGCGAATGTGGGTGGGTAATTTATTATTGTCTACATATACGACCATATTATGCAATTGTCATCACAAATATAAAAATCTCAAGATTGATTGATACACCAAAATGAGAAGTAAATGCATATATTTACCCTATTTAAATTTTTGAAAATATGTACATACATATTGAAATCGACATCAAATTAATTAAAACTAGTACAAATCAATGATTATCGAAGGATAACGAATTGATTTCGTGGTTGTATTCATAATTAAATATGTACATAAAACTGTGGAAATGAATTATTACAACAAGAATACATAATTAAGGTGATTGGTGATTGGCCAGAATGATGATTATTCACTATTTATCGTTAATTCGACCACCATAAAACTATACTACCGACTTATTTACCCTTTCATTTGTCTATGACAAATCGAATCAGAATCATGGATCACACTACCATGCACTTAAGAATGTGTACTTATTTATGCATATCGTTACATGTCCACGAGGAAACCAATAAGTGTCCAATCAGAAAGGATGGGATTGCGTGGGCCGTTCTCATCTTCATCCTCCTGCTTCGTTACACTAAAATCAACCAAAGTATTCGTTCACCACTAAAGCTGCATACACATGACGTGGTACACAACCGTCGGCGTAACATCCAATCGTTCAATGCACACCAATTCTAATCAGTTTTCGATTGTGTCTAATTTCTATTGATGGAGATGAGGTTTCGCTACTGAGCATCTTTACGCGAAAACGTGAAGTTGCAACTAGGTCAAAAGAAAAAGGCTTTGCAACAAGATCACTCATCGCATCGGGAGAATGGAAGTGAAGTCAGCAGCAGGCAGGCATTTATTCTTATTAGTGTTACTATTAGTTCTTCTCGCATGTGCTCGTGAGCAGGTGAGTGCATCCCAAAATATATGCACTTACAATTTCAATTTCCTTCCCATGCTCTCTTCTTATTCTTTGTGGCTAAATAATGGCAAACTAAAATTAAAGTCAACAAACAACAGCAAAGATGAGCAAGATATATAGATCTCAGTCAAACAAACGCAGCAGTCGTCGCAGAAGTGGTACCATTAATGACATTTGCAGTGCACCATATTGTTACCCATCAAATAAATTCACGAGCAAATAAAATGGATTGTTGAAACAGTCTTCATCAAATGTTTACCTTTCTTTTGGTTGCTCGACTTTAAATATATTGCACCACTTTGAGTCTTTTGTTTCAGATTGCATGCGGGCGTATGTATGTGTATGAAATAGTATGAATATGTAGGGACTGACTACAGCAAGCCCCTTCTTTAAGTTAACTATTTGTGATCTTTCTCAGGGTTGACGTACGTACAGAGTTGGCATTCATGTTCAGTTTTAGTGCAAAAGTTCACTGCGGAAGTTGACAAGCTTATTAAACTAGTGTGAAAAACTAGGAGTCATAATGAGACAGGAAATTAGTAACATTTAGAACTTATATTGCAATCTTCCAGGTTAGGGCGTTGCTGCAATTCCTTTTGTTACATAGCAAACCCTTTCCTTGCAACTCTCAGAATTCCAGTGGTCAAAGGAGCACCGAGTTATTGGTTCTAGAGTTTTAAAGCAACAACAATGTATTTGTATTGATAGAGAAGCAAACAAATATCAAATTATTGTTGCGTTTATTACGCGAACTTCTTGTGCTGAGAAGACCATGGAAGGCCCTGCATTGTTGTAATATTACCACTCCTTTGGTATTTTGGGTGAGCAGTACATAAGCTGAGTGCATTACATTGCATTGCATTATGAAAAGGAAGAGACTACCTACAACTGCAGCAGGAGGACCGCATAAATAAAATGATCAGAAACTGGTGGACTGGTTCTCTGTCAGTCAGTCAGTGCCTTCTTGCAGTCAGTTTCACTCTCGTTTACGTGTTGGCAAATATAGTGTAAAACTTAACAATAACATTCCCAGTGACCAGTGGACTTGCTTCATTGCATTCTTGAAGACTGTCAAGAAGACTTCGTCAGGCCGGTGTCTGGCCTCACTTTTACCGTCGTCGTCCTTGCTACGCATTCCCCTGCGGCACAATTGTGAGGGTGATTAGAAATTATCATTTTTGAGGAATATGAGACTTCTTCATCGACCCACAATTCCGAGCCCAATTGCTCACTTGTCGTCCCTGCAGTTTTGGGAACTATAAAATCGTGACATTACTCATCCACAACTAAACTAATACTTATTTCAATAAAAGTGAGATTTTTGGGCTTACCAAGATAACGGGATATACTAGATTCATTGTGATAATAAATAACGAGAGAGTGGTCGGTGTCACAGGGACTAAAAATGTAAGTACACACATCTTAACAACGACATAAAATAAAATTACATACTGTCGACCACTGTACTAGTTTTTTTTAATTTTCTTAATAATGTTTGCAATTGTGCATGGACTTCTCAATCTGTTTTTGTAGCGGTCTGAAAAGCCAGCAGTAGTTCGTTGATCCAAAAGATAAAAGTGTTCATGTTAAGGAATATGTAAAATCTCATGAAGCATCTTGATTTTTAGTAATGTGATACACACCAGGGACATCTTGCACTCTGAAAAAACAGGACATTTTTAGAATAAGAAAAATAGAGATAATTTCGTCACAGATTATTATTTTTAAATTATGCATATGCACTGAAATCATAAATATTTAGTTCATTTGAGGATTATCACGATATATGTATGTATGGTGATGCCTGGCTAGGTACATATTTACATATGTGTATACATACTTATTTGTATAATACTGTGGTTGATTAAGCCTCTAGATATGTTCCCATTCAAAGTGGGATGACTTTGCTGGCTCTCAGAGTTCATATTGCATAATAACAAGAGTTGTTAAAAATTCTCGTTTTCGACCAAACTTACTCAGAGAGTTGGCAAAGGTCCGTATAAATAATTCAATAGAGGAAGTAACTCTCTTCTGTCCTACCTACTGAGACGAGTCGTCGTCGTCGTCGTCGTGGTCATCGTGCAGTGTTGCTAATTCTTTTTCTCAATAATCTTGATAGCACTAATCACGTAGAACTTTATAGTCCGGTGTTGTGGGCTTTGTGGTTTGGGGACTCTCCTCTTCCTCTTTCTTTCTTGGTCGCACATCACCAAAACCTCTTAAAATACAATGCTTTTTGATGATGACATTTTAAAAGTGTGAGTCTTTTTAATGTTTCCATACACCATTAGTCAGCGTAACATCCTAACCTACCGACCAACTTGGATCCCAATGAGTTTCCTTGATAAACTGGAATAAGCTCGATCCACGCTCGATCTGCAATCCTATCACTTTTTATTAGCAACTTGGGAAGTAACTTGTTTGCCATGCATTTTACAACGGCTGTGGGAAGTGCGTGCTGTCACAATTTTGATTGATTTCATGCCAAAAATTATTCAATCAGATAAAAAAATCAGGACCTTTGTAGCTAATTGATGGAATAAGTGCTCTAATTTTTCTTATGTAATTTTTGATACCTCATTGTATTTACTTCTTGTATGCATTTTACAAAGTTTAGCCCTATAATAAGTTTAGTAAGACATTTATCACATAATCCGACAAGAAGTAGTTTTCATTTCCTTTTCGTGTGCACCCCTGTCCATTGGCACACCATTTTAAAGAGTAAAAACCATCCTGTCAAATAGCGGTGTAACTTTTGCTCATTGAGGTTTGTTTTTAAATGTAACGAGCAAAAATTTCCGTAAATTATTTGAACAGTCAAAACTGGAGTTTTCAGCTTCTGGTAGCGGTTTGAGGTTGTGTTTGAGTAATTTGTTCATGTCAAGCTTGTCAAAATAAATTATATTCGCCGTTGGAAGGATGACGTTTGAGACTAATTGGCATACCATTGAGGAATGCAAATAAATAAAGGGTGATTAGAAAATGAATTGTAGGAAGACGACGTGGCAGAGGAGGATGAAAAGTATTTTCATTTATCAAAATCTTAATAAGAAGCTATTCACTAGTTTGGACGTGAAAGGGAAAACACTTTGTTGATCTGACTTTTATTTTGTAAACGCTTCATAGAAAGCAAACTGTGCACCATGTGTATGGCAAATAATAAAAGAGAAGCATATTCACCACCAATCTGTACGGATGGGAACAAATTGTTGTAAGTTGTAAACCAAAAGTGTGTAATGAAATTCACACAATCTTCTCAATCCAAAGAACCACATACGTACATACACAATAAATTATTGACTGAGCTCATACACATCTCTAGTTTGAAGGTATATATGCGAAGGTGTGTCTTCCTATCTGTGTAGAATCTCAGTGTTTAATAAATACATTTTTTAATATAATTCAAGCTTGAGTTTTGACTTGCCATACAATGCAACGATTTTGCACAACAATGTGCCATAATCAGAAAGTCATGATGATGATTTTGTGGTACACAAAAGCATGTAAAAGTGTGTATTAAACATAATATCTGTACAGTGGTTATCACTGATTTTTAGGCTATGAAGAGATTTTCATGTACACATATGTATGCATACGCATCTGCATCATTAACTCGTTGTATATAAATACTCTACTACATTATTTTACTATGAATATTACTATTCCCAGAAGGAAACTCTTACAGGCTTTAAAATTTTCGAAATATTCTCGATTCCAACATCATTAAGGGTTTGCCAAATGAAACTCAATTATAACAATGATTTAAGATAAATAGATTACTGGCAAGAATCAGATATATGTACATATAACGCTACTCAATTTAATTGTTAATGATTACTATTCTCAAATTGTTTAATTAATTAATGCACTCAACAGCTACTTAAAGGTTTTTGGGTCGTATTTTTTTGAACTTAGGGGCTTATTTTCGTAGCCAATTGTTAATGGGACACGCTGGTATTTCCTAAGCTTTATGTTTGCATATTTACTACAAGAAATTTCATGCATCATTTAGTAGGCTTAATCGTCACAGATTATGTCACAAAATGCTTACAAAATAGTTATTGACGGTGTCCGTATCAAATAGGTAAGCTTCGGCACGTGGATTTTAGATTTTTGAATTTCCATACAAAATAGGTCACAGGGCATGCAATTAGTGTAATAGAACAATAATTTTGAAACAAGTTGCCCCCAACCATCCGCTATGGCCATTATTGTGAGTCGGGTTAAGGGTCCGTAGTACAGAGATTTCTTCTTCATCTTTTGAGTTAGGAAGCTGAACTTTCGGATTATACACCATCTTGAGTGTCTCTAGGCGGCATTTTTCGGCGTTTAGCTCTCATCTCCAAAATGACCTTAAAACCGGTCAATTTTCGCCATCTATATATCCCCATGTCGTTGCAAGTACAATGTCAAGTCTAACATAGCCCTATAAATGGGATATCGTTAGAAAGGTTTCGACGAGCAGATTATGATAATATATACTTTGTGGCGTCTGATGACTCCCTGATTTTTCAAAAACCAAAGAATGTTGAGCTCAACATTCATTCGCCACAAAGTATATATTATCATAATCTGCTCGTCGAAACCTTTCTAACGATATCCCATTTATAGGGCTATGTTAGACTTGACATTGTACTTGCAACGACATGGGGATATATAGATGGCGAAAATTGACCGGTTTTAAGGTCATTTTGGAGATGAGAGCTAAACGCCGAAAAATGCCGCCTAGAGACACTCAAGATGGTGTATAATCCGAAAGTTCAGCTTCCTAACTCAAAAGATGAAGAAGAAATCTCTGTACTACGGACCCTTAACCCGACTCACAATAATGGCCATAGCGGATGGTTGGGGGCAACTTGTTTCAAAATTATTGTTCTATTACACTAATTGCATGCCCTGTGACCTATTTTGTATGGCAATTCAAAAATCTAAAATCCACCTGCCGAAGCTTACCTATTTGGTACGGACACCGTCTATTATTAGTGCATATTAAATTACGAAGTACAGTGTGCATTGATATCTCTGTCTCATGCTTCTTCAAATCCAAGACGGATTCCTAAAACCATTTTACTGCAAAAATAAGTAATTGGCACATGTGACTTTTGTGCACATGCATATGATCTTAAATGGTCTCCGATAGGGAACGGAAATGTCTAACTTTTCCACGACAATATTTGAGCATGAAATTAATGCGAATGTGAGTGACTCAATTATGAAGTGTAATCAAGTTGCTATTTTCACCGTGAAAATATGAATCGCCTTTGTCGCGAGATGTGTAAGCACATATGTAGATGCACATACATAGATATTTGTTGATTGAATTTCCTGTTCTTCTTTAGCCGGAGGATTGACATTTAATAAAATGCAATGGTCAATCAAGTGGACCCAACTTATTCTTATTACTATTCTCATTTCTGTGTGAGTGGGTGATGCAGTTTTGTAACAGGCATTTTAGTCGTGGTGAATCTATCTCATCGCACTTTCAATATGCAAATTGGTCCTCAAGTGAAATCGTGGTTATGAAGAAGGAATAATAGTAATAGGACTGAAGTTGGCTAACTTTATACATATCCTGTATGGCTGGGTGGTTATCGACAAACGACCGCTGTCCACGCGGACCGTCTGTTTAATGATACCAACATTCAATCATTTCCGTATAATTTGTGTTTTTATTTGCGAGAGGTGCATTCCTTTACGCAACAAATGAACTCATCCCATGAAATATAATTGGTGTTCGCTAATATATTTACATATGCACATTTTCCTTGGTGCCATAAGTGTGTTACCGATGATGCAGCTGCACAGACACGGTTGCACTGATGCTAATAATTCCATTCTCATTTACAATTTGAGCTACTTGGCTGAAAATTATTAAATCATTATTTTAAATTATTTGACATAATTATTTATACTCACCAATGCTAAATTATATACAATAGTTTTATAACAGAATTTGCATCATGGATGAGCATTTTTGACATGTCGTGGTTGTTGCAAATGAATACCTGAATCGTAATGAAAGTTTAGTCAGTCATGATGCTATTTCTCAATAAAGAAAAAAATATTGAACAGACTTTGAATCAGAGTTAAATATTTAAAACTTACCGAAATGGCAAAGTTTTTGCCTTGTGCATTTCTTATTTTTTTATATTGTTACACTGACCTACTCTTCTAGAACGTTTCTCTGAGTCAAGTGATTCGTATAAACGGTCCGATGATAGACGCAAACTCATTCTAATCGTGGGATTACCGTGCGTGAACGATGTTTGAAAAACTTTTTGGGTTTTTTATGATAATTATCAATTTCCTAGCTTAGCTAACTAGCTATGAATAAATGCAGAGAACTTACTCTTTTAATTTCGCTTGTAAAGTGTCGCAATTTTTTAGAGTTCAGTCCCCTTCTGATTTATTAATTAAAATTTCTAACCGCTGGTCGGTAATTTAATTTTCACGCTAGATCCGCTTGCACGTTGCTGATCTTACAATATATAGTTTGACAAGAGTCCGTTCGTTTTATCATGCTAATCAAGCACGTATAACAGAAATGGAAAGTTGCATAGCCTTGTCTGCATTAAAGTATGTATATATACACAAGTTTTAAAGAACGAGCATTTTCTCATAAAATCAATAATATTCAGGTCCCTTCAAATATCAACAGTTATAAATATGAGGAGTAAAACTAACGTAAGATATCCGGTTTCAATTTACACTTTTCTTTTCACAGAACGGGATGACTATCTAACAGTTTAGTGTTAAAAATCGTGCGATGTGTATTAAGTCATGATTTCTTGAACTTTGGCGATCATCAGACGCATGAACTAGATTACATTCTGTAGTAAATACATACAAACATTTATTATACGCAGGGATGACAAATGTAGTTGTCCCATTTCCAGATCGAATGAAACCAGAAATAATTTGTGCTTACTAATAAAAAATACTTGCTATTAAATTCATATATAAATAGAAGAAGTCGTACGTATGTCAAGCGTATGTCAAGCTCTCGAACCATACTATTTAGTCATGCATTTATGCTACTCATGCTTCAAACTTTGGATTATTGTTGTCATTTCGTACTAGTTTATGGTTCACTAATGTACAAAAGTAGAATTATTATTAGGTTTTATTAGCAGTAAACCTAATTGGCAACGGATGGTTGAATTAACAAAAGTAACGAAAGTGAACTTGGTTCAAACGCTGCGTGATATTTTTAGGCCTGGTCTTAAACATCGTGCACATTAATAATATCTCAATTATCTGCTCTCTACTTTGATCCACTTCTGCTTAACGGACGAGATGGGCAAGGCCATTGCCACTGCGCTTCAAATATGCTTAACACAGTTGTTATCCTATTTATTTACGGTATCCGCACTTGGTTCTGGCTTAATAAAGTTATTTGCGATGGTCAAAATGAAAACATTTCATTTGGCTCACACTACAACTTTTTTGCAGAAAGTGAGGGGTTTCAAATGATTTAATATTAAGTGCTTGTGTACATGTAAATAAATTAAAAGTTGCCCATGCCCAGTTGCCATTGATAATAAAAAGCTCTTGGTGTAAAAAAACTGCATTTTATGCAATGTCATCCTTGTATTCTATGTATGTAATCAGTGGTAGACACCAAACTTTAAAATTCTATAAGACAACCTATGCTGCGGTTATTGCAATCTTTATCAGATCGAGGCAGCCTCGCCGTCAGTCCAATATTTGCATTATTACACAGCTAATGGACTTCCTTTCCTCATAGAAATTGAAAATCGTTTGAATGAAAACTGCAGTCGATCAATCGATGCAGTTTTTCAATACTGCATCAATTCTTCCACCCAAGGCTGTCGAAATAAGACAATGGGTGTAGAGTTGAAAAACGGCGTGGCATGATGGTTATGTCCGGTTGTGAACTATTTTAAGTGCAGCACAGCATCTAATCTTAGCTCCAAGGTTCCCTCGGGAACCTTTCCTTCCTGTGAATGGAATCCACTTTTACCTTCTGACAAAGTCTTCCCTGGCCTGCATGATTGGGAAGACTGTCATCCAGATACGCAAGGTCGCACGTCGTCTGCATGGGCACTTGGATTGCTACGATGGTGATAATGATCTATTTTCATTTCTGGTTTGGACTTGTTGAAGGAAACTATAAAAGTGGTTTTAATTGGTGACTGATCTGATTATTATTACAACACGCATCGATTGAGTTATTATATTTTCAATGTCTTTCTTTCATTCGATAAATGGGCATTTACTTCATTTCACGCTTCATTGTTTATTACTCCCCAATTATGATTTGTCAGCGTCCGTGTCAGAGAATAATGTCGATTAACAAAGAAGATTGAGCTATTATTTATAGATAAGCTGTAGACTCCCCTTGGAGTGTCTGGATCAATTTAGGTGATAATTCGACAGAATATAACTGAACGAGTTTTTGATTTACTTCCGAGTTTTGACATTTTGCATCAACAAGTGTTGACGGATGACCTGGAAGGAAGGGATTTTTTCCTTTATCTCGTAGTGCGTCTTAGGATTAGTTTTCAAGACAAGAACACATTCGAACATACAAAATTATAAACCCATTTCATATGCTCCCACTCGATGAAAAATTTGAAATAAATACCAGAAAAAGACCTCCCCCCCCTCCAGAAGGTCGAGGTGGAGTTCTGGCATAGACGAAACAATGTTATATTCAAAGCACTGAGTTCTTTAATTGTAGGGTGTTGAATAATGAAGCAACAATTTACAAGGAATTTATTTAGATAACAATTACTGACATAAAAAATGAATGAAATTTTAGGTACATTATCATCATGCAAATAATATGTAGATCATTGACGAATGTGTTTTATACCATATAAGCAAAGCAGTTGATTAATGTCAATTCAATTACGTGGATTATGAAGTTGAATGGGCCATTGTCAAAGCAAAGTAGAGCATATTCATTGAGAAACAACGAAACAACTTATTATTATGTCACCATATATTGATGACATGTGCATGCACATGTGTATGCACTATCGTAGACGCTAAATATTTAACATGTTTAATGTTTTGGGTGGTTTAACCTCAATCAACAGTAAACAATAGGATGATGGATAATAGCTCGCAATTTATTCTTATTGTATAAGCTAGATTTTTATGATTCAGCATCACTATCACTTTCGAATAATGACCAGTAATCGTAATCTTTAGGGATGAAATGAACCCCTGAATATGTAGCAATCTATAAGTGGTGGTGATTTATATTATTGCACTCAAAGGGTCGTGGAACTCCCTCTCAATATTCTCACCCTTGCCAAACGTCCTTGTCCTATATTTAATTCGGGTGTACAAGACTTGAGCCACTCCATGTTGCTTCTCTAACTCTGCGTCTTGAGTCATTGTTGGCATTGCGTTGTATAAGCAAATGAAAGCCCTGAGTCAGTCAATACTGCACAGATACATATTTATTAAAGGATGGGAAATATTCAAACAGGCCAACTCAATCCTCACTAATGAGACTTGCTTGCTTTGCACTGCTTGCACTTGAATTATTGCTATCTTGTCAGAAACTCTCACCCTTGTTGAGCTTTGTCGTGGTATATCCTACAAGTTTTAAAGAAAAGTTGTGAAAATGCACCCATGAGTGAGACGTGAAAAATTTATGCATCAGTATGTAAACCATCAATTACTTCTTCTTATCATTGTCAATGACATGAGAAATGAACTATGTATAAAATTGTTTATTATGAGATATAAGAAAAATATTAAAATACACAAACTATGCATTTACATATTTCAGGTATCCACTCGGAACTCTTGCCATAATTGTGATCAGCCTTGCGAATCACTTGCACGCTGTTTCTCAAGAAAAGCCTGAAGTACCAATTACCGGGCCATCAGTGATTCCAAATCTTGAAAATAAAAGATTTTCACGACTCCTTCACGACAATGCTGCGTCGCTCCAGTTTTCATCCATCTCTAACTTATCACCCCCTCTTTCTGGGCTGCCAAAAGATTTTAAAGAGTCAAAATCTAAAAATCCGAAGAAAGTGAGCTTGAGCATTTCTCCGACGAATTTTGGCCGTCGCACATTGGACTATGATGACACTGACAGCTTTGATGAAAATGGGGAACCTTTGCAGCGAGTCATCACTGCCCCACAAGCAGGAAATGAATACGTTTATATTCGACAAGGAGGAGTACAAACGGATCAGCAACAAGCAGCCGCTGCGAGTGTGACCACCATCAACAAGCAACCTTTAAGTCATCGTGTTCCACTAACTTTGCTGAAACAAAGCAATGGGAAAACTGTGAACTTGAGCCCAATTTATTCTGAGGAAAACGGCGGAGTGCATGTCCCGTTGTTTTACCAGGATATGTTGAATGGTAAATCGGATATTGCAAAGGAAGATACTGCTACCACCGTAGATTTAGATGACCAAGGGGACAAGGAAGAGACTGAAGTCACCACTTTCCCCACACTGCAAAATGATGATCCTCAAATGGTCGTCAACGTTGTCACTTCTGCACCTCGTATTGAAGTTGAAGGGCAAAACGAGACTGTTTCCCCTGTAATCGTTTCTGCAGCGAAAACCCAATCAACCCCCGTGACGACTTCAACTACTTCTGCAACGACAACAACGACAACCAAGCCCGTGCTAGTGTCGACCAGCACAACTCCAGCAGGGGATGACCTTAAGGAAAATTTAGTAGTCCAGTCATCCCGACGAATCGGCGCTTTCCCCGACTTTGAAGACTCTCCAGCTCGCCTTCAAGCATCAGAGAGTAATGCGCAGCCAGCACGCGTAAATGTTAGACCAGCCTCCTCTGGAAACGATTACGAATTCGAATATGTGTACTATTATTATGACGACGAACCGGAAATTTTTCCAAACAGTACGGATAAAACGCCTGGAGCACACAAAAAGCTCGCTTCTGAGAACGGAGTTGGAGCAGCTGGGAAAGTCCCCGTCGCAGCGGCATCTCCAGACGATTTTGATGATGAGGACCTCGAAGATGACCTTCCTCGTGCTGCTGCTCCATCAAGGACTTCAACGCCCGCCACAACAACCCTTAGACCTACAACACCAACCACTACAACAACTACCAGAAGAGTCACAACCACCGCATCAACTACAACGCCCACTACCATTCGTGTTGTTTCACCTGCAGACAAATTCTCCACGAGCGGTGTTAATGAAATCTCACGATCTCCAAAAGCACTCCCATCGGATAAAGTTAGCAGCAGTCCAGAAGCCGACTATAAATTTGAATCCGGGAATTTTGATCCAGAATTGTACGAGTATGAGGACGAAGAAGTCCAAGTGAGAGCAAAGGGTCAACCTCAACGACAACCTTCTGAAGAGGAAGAAGAAGAAGAGGATGAAAAACCTGTGGCAATGGTCGTGTTAGGTCCAACGGTTGCAGCTACATTGACTCCCTCCTCCTCTTCCCCAGCAGAAGTACCAGAAAGTTTGGTACAGAAATCTCATCCTGCCTCCGTTAATACTCCCATCGTTTTGAAACAATCCAATCTTCTCCAATCCGTTCCAGCATCTCGACTCCAACAACAGGTCCAAGCAACGCAAGTCCCTCTTACCACATCCTCTACAACAACTTCAGTTAGTGTGGAAAGTGAACCATCGTCAACTAGGGCAAGCTCAAGCAGATTCCGTGGTGGGTCCCCAAGAATTCGGGGAGAAGTGAAAGCAGAGACTGAAACATCATCCACTGCCAGCGTTGACGACACAGAGACTCCAACTCGCAGTCGACCACCAACTTTCACCAGAGGGTAAGATAATCTTTGAAGAGATTTCAATGTTACATACGTGGCTGCAATTGTTTGAGTATTAGATAATTGGTCTAATGTGACGTTATGCGATTTTCAGACGAATTCCATCCCGCCGTCCTGCCGTGGAGTCTAATTCCGCACCCAGCACAGAATCTCCAGAAGCCGTGTCATCCCCTCGACCTTCGCATGCTCGTTCTCGATTCCCTTCAAGAATAGCAACGCCGACTGCTGCACCTTCCACTACAACGACCACCACAACTCCTGCTCCAGTCATTAGGGTTGAGTCACAGTCTCAGACTGTAGAAGAACATGATTCAGATGTCAAGGACAATTTCGCAAGAAATAAAGCCACCAACGACTTGTTCACATTCACAAGACTTCAACAGGCCATCAGCTCCAGAACTCCTGCTAGAAAAGATCTAGGACATGGTAATAACTTTAGAATCCTTATTCTTTACGTACTCATAAGTTTCTATATACTTTAACAATTTTACTAATCTCCATTTATAAAAAATCTGTAGGCCCAGTGTTCCCCAAACAAACTTCCAGCTCATCTACTTCAAGCTCTAGCAGTGAACAGAGCACTGAATCATTTGCTAGCTCGGAAGCCACCACATTGTCCTCAGTTTCTGAAATTCGAGTCGAAGAACACATTCCAGCAATTACGACGACTACGACGACTACGACGACTACTACCACAACTCCAAAGCCTGCAACGCTGGACAAATTTGGTAAACAACGTAATCGATTTGGAACTGGAAGAGTGCGACCATCCACACCTGCGGCCGATTCTGACAGTCCATCATCTACAACTGAGGCCACGTCTAGAGCTCCCGTAAATTTATAAAGCATTAAACGACTATAATGAGTAAAGATTTTAAATCAGTCGTCTAATGGTTCTTGTTAATTCCAGAGTCGAGTTCGATTCGGAGGAGGACGACGAAGACCAACTTCAAACACTCCTGAAGCCATTAGTGAAGGTACTTCATCATTGACCAGCCAAACATCAGAGCCTGAAAAGCCAAGAGTTATCCCAACAAGAAATCGATTCAGTGGACGCACCCGACCAACAACGGAGGTATTTTTTTATTTTACACAAATTAAACCAAATGGAGATTGTATCGGGAAATAGATAATACTGAGCAATCTCATTTCCTTTAGGCCTCTACAACTAGTTCTGGATATGAGAAAAAACCTGAAAATGCGGAATCTGCATCTCCATCGCCTGTTGGTGCAAGAAGACGACCAATTTTCCAAGGTCGTAGAAGAAATCCAGCCGTTTCAAACGCAACTCAAGATGCTGGTAACGATGCATCCCCAAGCTCGGACCCTGTACCATCTCCTTCAACTCAAGTTTCAGATGCGTCACCTGTTCCCGGTGAGTAACTAAATTACTTAGTTAGATTAACTGTATATTAATGGCATTTAAAAGTGCAAAAAAATCAAATATCTTATTGTCTTATATTTAGATTCTGAACGTAAACGACCTGGATTACCAAATGTTCAGCGACGACGACCCCAAGTTGGTGGACCCCGACGAGGTGCAAGAATAGGAGGATCTACGTCCACAACGGAAAAAGTGACGGATCCGGCAGTAGAACAGGATGCGGAACAAACTGTTGCTGTTGTTGAAAACAGTGAGCCTTCAACCTCAACAAAGCTTGCTGTCCAAACACCAACGGTGGAAAACCAACGAGGAACCACGGGAGTTTTAGGTATAAACTAAAAAAAATACCTATCACTTACTCTGTTCAAAATTATGCAACATGTGTTATGTCACACAGGTCGTTTAAGAACAAAGCCCAGACTTGTTGCAACTACGACCACAGCCGCTCCTGAAGTAGTAGCGAAGGACAAGAAACCCAGTCGACTAAACGGAATATTGAACAGAAGAAAGCCAGGAACACTTGTATCTCAATCCGTGACCACTGCAGCTCCCGTAAAACCTGAGGAACATGAAGGGAGCGAAGACACTAACAATGCTCAAGAGCAAGATGATGCTCAACACAAGGGTGTTGTAGTTCAAGTTAGTGATTTAATTTAGTAAATACAAGGAATGAGCGAAGAACGAATGTCAGCTATTAATTTCCTCTGGTAATTTTAATTTGTAGGTGTCCAGCAGCGTTACAGAGTCTGAAGAAGTCCATCAGGGAGAAGAGACCGAGCCATCCTCGACCACTGCACCTTCAATTCTCAATAGATTAAAGTAAGTCGATGATAGTATTTAATCATTATATAGCTTGTAATATTACATATATGTATCAAGTACCAGTTATGTCAGAAATAATGAACATTCGTACGTAACATGCTTTGAAATTTTAATTTGCTTGTTGTAGGTCTCAAAGAAAACCTGGATCAATATTTAGAAAAAGAACCGAGCCTCAAGAATAATAAAAATCTGCGTGTAATTTAAGTCATACTAGATTATTAACAAAGAACGGATTAGACTGGATAACTCCATTACCTACACACATGGGTGAAAGCGTTGTTTTTAATTAAGAAAGAAGAATACTTAGTACTTACAACTCAACGACGCAAAATTGTTTTTGGTATTTTTTATAATTTGATACTTAATAATATTGTGTTAATACTTCATTATTTTGTTATACAAATGCCAAGGATAATCCAATGAAGCCATAATTTTGTACTCTATGTATATGTAACGAGTTTCTTTATTATCATAAACATTTATCATGAAAAATTCATCCTCAATAGATTATTGTACATATTTGTAAATTAATTTTAGTCTAAAATGTCTCAAAGTCTTCAATGTCATTATGAAAGACAAAACACCACATCCGACGAAACCACAAGCAGGAACGATGAATCTATATCACAATCGGTCTAAGGACAAATTTTTCAACTCCAAATTAAAATGCAGGAAAATATCCTCAAAAAATCATCCATCGTTGTTTTTATGCATCAATATTGCAGATTTTATCAAAAATTCAGTGTTGCATAAAGCTCGTTGTTGTTTGTGCCGAAGCCTAAATATCATTAAATTCAAGGAAACAATAACAGCCAGCAGAAAAAAAGGATGCAAAAAAAGTCACATAATTAATGACGGTGTCTATACCAAATCTAGCCTTGGCAGTTGGATTTTTTATTTTTGAATTTCCATCCAAAATAGGCCACAGAAAATGAAATTGTTGTAACAAAAGGAAAATTTTGAAAAAAGTTGTCCCCAACCATCCGCTATGGCCATTACTGTTAGTTTGGGCAGGGTTCGTAGTACGGCGATTTTGTCGACAGTTTTTGAGCTAGGAAGCTGAAATTTCAGATTGTACACCATCTTGAGTGTTCCGAGGCGGGAATTTTTCGTTTTAAGGTCTAATGTCGAAAATTATCGTCAATCTAGTCGCGCGACTAGATTGACGAAAACTCGACAATGTTCATAGGCTTCTAAATCTTGAGGGGGTGGTCCCAGACCCCACAAAGTATATATTCTCTGAATCCACTTGTTGAGCCCTTTCCAATGATACCCCATTTATGGGGCTATGTGAGACTTTAGATTGCATATATCTCAACATGGGAAAATTGATATATCGAAAGATGACCGGGTTTTAATAGGTCATTTTCGACATTAGACCTTAAAACGAAAAATTCCCGCCTCGGAACACTCAAGATGGTGTACAATCTGAAATTTCAGCTTCCTAGCTCAAAAACTGTCGACAAAATCGCCGTACTACGAACCCTGCCCAAACTAACAGTAATGGCCATAGCGGATGGTTGGGGACAACTTTTTTCAAAATTTTCCTTTTGTTACACCAATTTCATTTTCTGTGGCCTATTTTGGATGGAAATTCAAAAATAAAAAATCCAACTGCCAAGGCTAGATTTGGTATAGACACCGTCTAATGAGAAATGCGATGTTTTGCTACAATGTCACTTTGATAATGAATGAGTGACGACTAACCACTATTGGCGTCATCGTCCGTATAATAATTTGCGTTTATTATGTATAATCTTTGACAAAAACTAGTGAATAGACTACATTACTAGATACTTGTTCTAGAGTGCATAAATATATAACATCAATTCCTTCATGTTGGAAAATATTTTTCAGCAAAAAATTACGTATGCATAATTGTATAACCTACGTGAACTAAGCGTGAGAATTAATTGATAAAAATTCACTCAGAAAAATCCACCAAGCTTAAAGGTTTAGTTCATAGTGAGACTTGCGACGAATTGCTAGGCTGATAATATGATCCACGTTTCTTGAAAAAATTTTAACGTCTCAAACCAATTGAAATAGACTATGAGGTTATCAAAATCAGTTTCATTTTGGGGTCCGGTGTGCGGAATTATTATTTTCATCCAGCATGTGGGATGCCTTCCCGTGTCAGGTAAATCATACATAAAGGGAGATTATTTCACAGAAATCTGTGAATATATGTGTATAACTTCTTACTTTTAGAATCTGAAACTCCATGTGAATTACCCAAGGGGGTAAAAGGAGTGTGCAAAGATATTGCAATCTGTCCAGCTGCGTTGTCAAACCTTAGATCGGGAGTTCGTGACATTGTGAAATGTTCGGTAATATATAGCTGATGAATTATATGGGGGTGTATTTATATTTGTCCACTAACAATGTTCTTTATGGATACTTTAAGGGGGATGACCCAAAACTAATTTGTTGCCCCATAACACCACGCCCCAGTGCACAAAGTATGCATAGTTGTATTTATATGCTGATCTGTATGTGCGCATAAACACTAGGAAAGTATAGCTTTTATATTTTTTCAGAATGTTCGGAATACATGAATATTTTAAAATCAAGCTCGAAGGGACCAGTTCCCTTGCTACCACCGGGATTCTTTGAAGATGAGCCTGAAGAGATCCACTGCAGTTTGAACCTCAATCCATTAATATCTGGGGGCAGGCCGGCAGAAGTGGGCGAGTTTCCGCACGTCGTAAGGGCAAACAATTTCTAAATATTAATGTACCAGTTGATGAGTTGACCGTCCACCATTACTAATCCTATTCATATGCGCTCATGCCAATTATGAATCATAGGCTGTGCTAGCGTACGACGTACCAAGAATACCTTGGCGTTGTGGAGGCACCTTGATCAGCGATGAATTTCTGCTTACCGCAGGTCTAACTCTACTTTCCTACTTCAGAATTATGAGGAAATATCACTTGTTTTCACTTGTTTGTAAGCGTGTCAACTTGCAGGTCATTGTGTGAACAATCCAGCAGCGTAAGTATTTTATTTTATATTTTGCATCCATAATATTAAATTATTATACTGTAATATCTTACAAAACTAGATTATTACAGTCACCGTAAGATGATACGACTAGACGGTGTGTATGTACATATTTTACAGTTCTCGAAATATTTCCATAATTTACTATAAGTATATATACAGCCCTTTACAATAGCACGATTTAATAATCATAATCTTCATATGCACTGCTAACAATTTTTTCTGAAGAGTGGTCGTGGTGGGAATAGCACTTGTGTTTTCTTATAAAATGAGGTGTTGTTTGCAATGTACTTTCAGAGGGAGGTCGGGTTGACGGCGATTCTGTAGTTGTTGAAGATTTTGTAGTGTACTGACCGGCAGAAGATTGAATATCATATTTCACCATAATCGTAGGTCTCTTGTTGACAGAAGAGAACGTCGTTGTTTCAACATACTTTTCAGTCTTTTGCGACAAGAATTCTTTTAACGTGTGCATCACAACTGTCGCATAAAGTTCTGAACTATGTACATCTTCTTGGACTGACTGTGTCGTACTTATTCTGGGAACGTCCAGTAATGTTGACGAGGTGGGGAATTGTTGTTGAACAGTACTTTTGGTCCCTGGAGTTGGTGATGAATTTTCCGAGGTACTCAGGGAAAGAGTGGGAGGCGTGCTATGGGACACGAAAAAGTCTGCACTGGGCCTCTTTGTTTTTGGAGAATACGCTGGAAGTTTTCTGTTGGGGACGCATTCGTTGCGGATGTTCAATCTTTCATTGGGTTTGCAAATCGGTTTATACGATGTGGGTACGACTTGTCTGATTTCTCGTTTAGGAGTGTTGATTAGATCTTCAGTGCTTTCTCCAAAATTCGGAAGGTGCAGTGGTATCGTTGCACTTTGTGCAGGTGAGTATTTTAACAACGTGCACAATAGAAAAGCAACGTAGTGGATTATATGAGGAGAGCTGTGCATTATATCCAATTCAAATTTAATCAAACTTTCGGATTCAGATTTATTTACAAACTGGTTCAAAGATGTATCTATTTATCAAAGATTGTAACTTGGCTTCGCATGTGTACTTGTGTGTATTTGTTAACTTTCATGTAAATCTTGTAATCAAAATGTATGTCGCTACTAGATAATGGGTAGTATTTAATGTATATCATGGACGGATGAAAATTTGCACGTCAGCAAGTATCTTCTCTCTCAGCAACAAAAATGAGGAGAATTAATCCATTGTTCATAACAATTGTGCAATGATGCAAATACTTACTACATACTGCAAGAATCACATCGATATACGTTTACGAATAATACTTGGAACCAGACTGAATTCATAATCAGTTTAACCTGTTCTCTTTCGTTTTCTGGTTGACTATGTGCATGCATGTATACAATCTTATTCAAGATCATCAAAGAGTGATGAGCATTACTGCGACTAAAAGTAATGTTAGTGGTTTGGATGAAGGACGTCAACTTGTAGTAGTTTTGCCAATTACTAGGCGTCCAAATGCCGAATAAATAGAATGATTGATTAGTGTATAATTTAACTTTAGTAAAGAGATTTTTTTAGGCAAACATAAAAAACTGGCAATTGTAACAAAACCATCTAAAAACCACATAAGTACGGAGGTTTTTTGTCGTTTCATACAGTGTTTAGTACTTAGTGAGCTTGAAAATGATGATAAATTACGAGAAAAAAATTGTTTGTATAAAATTTATAATTTTCGGATCGCAACTTTTAACAGTGGACCACCCCTTCGAGTTTTGTTGGGAGATGTGACTCTGAGTAAAAGTACAAGCGAGACACGGGAAAATATCGACGTGGACACAATAATTGTTCACCCCTTGTACCATCCTCCTGAGACGTATCATGACTTGGCTTTGATAAAGTTGGCAAGAAAAGTCAAGCTGTCAAGGTATGTAACTAACTAGTGCCCAGCTAGCTACCAAGAACTAGTGACGATGATTACTGTATTCATTAGCACATAGCTGATTTCTTATCTATCCATTACTTCATACAAACAGATCTATTCTCCCCGCATGCCTTGTTCAACCAGAGGATGATTTCCTTAAAGGTGTGGAGAATCGGACGCTGAATGTGGCAGGGTGGGGTGTTCTTGGAACTGGAGGTAAGTGACTCACACGAGATAAGTAGTAAAAGAAGCAGTTTACACTGCATGATGGATTTTGATGTCAACTTTTTTGCTCGCTTAATATCTAACAGAAGCCCAAAGTGACATCCTTCAAGTGGCTGGATTGTCGGGTTATAGCCTGAAAAGCTGCAATGCTTTATATAATGGCCTACCAGCCAAGGATTTGAAGTAAGCAATTCATTCCATTTAGATCCGTTGATTTTGCTAAAGCTATGTCCGATTTGGTGTTCAGATTTCCAGTTGGAATTGCAAGGTCGCAAATATGTGCGGGAGATAAAGTAGGAAGAAAGGATACCTGCAAGGTATATAGGTGTATCTACACACATAAATTATGAATAAATGTGCATGTATCACTATCGTCAATGTATATTGGTAATGTTTTCAGGGGGATTCTGGGGCTCCATTATTCCTCACAAAAACTGAACGATGCGTATTTTATCTGCTCGGCATCACGTCTTTTGGGCCCAGTCAATGCGGTTCATTCACGTAAAATACTTACTCTATTGAAATATATTTTTTAAAGATCCTACTTTTGACTGACCGTAACTTTTATGATCTGTGCAGGCCCGGAATTTATACAAATATTTATTCGTACCTGGATTGGATTGAACAAAATGTCTGGCCTGAGAAAAGTTAGTGAATGTGGGCCCACAATATGCATAAACATACATATGCATGTACATATAATAGCATAAACCATTTTGTTAGCAAATCTTCAGACTTTAAAATAGTTTGTGCTCAAATAAATTTGTTTCTACGTGTTATATGGTCGCTTTATAAGTACACATATGTATGATTTTTCACTAGAAACTTACATATGTACATATTCATTGGCGATAAACGGGATATAATGCAGTATTCCAGCATGCATCATTACATTCATCACTGATAACGAGGATTCATTAGCCATAATTAGTTCAAAAGATATAAATTGTGACTGCAGAATCCCATTCAAACTATGACGTTGGGTATTGGGTATCATGGTATCCTAAGTCGATTGGTATTAATTTGTTGTATATTTTTAAAATGTACATTGTGACGCTGTTTTTCGTCCTGATTTTGAAATTGTCAGTCACCAAAACTTCTGGTAAGGTAATTTACTTGCAGCTTGATTTGTGTTTGACACGATATTTTAAATCCTAATTAGTTCACGAAATGTCCTGCCAGTTGTCAGACAAAAGGGCAACTTTGGGGACCTGTGTAAATGTAAAACAATGCAGTGCGTACGTCATTGGCCTCTTGAAAGTTGGACTGAACCCCACTGTTTGTAAGCTAAAGAATGACCCAAACGCTGTTTGCTGTCCTACAGTGAAAAGGATAAGTGAGCAAAGTAAAAAGGCAAAAGGGATTCAGATTACCAAGTCAGTAGGACCAATTCAGTATATTTAACTGACTACAATTTTAAAACGTTTTAGAATGCGAAGAATTTACAAACGTGCTTCGACAACCGATACCTAGAAAATCAAAGAGTCGGAGAAAGCTGATTCTACAGTCCAACCGTCCATCAACACCCCCGATATTTCAGAACATTACCACAATAAAACCTGATGAGAATGACATTATTTGTCCAATGTTTCTTCCCACAAGAATTTCAGGGGGTAGATCCGCATTCAAAGATGAATATCCCCATCAAGTAAGAAACAACAAAGGCGTGGCTGATTTATCGACAAAATGTACATATTCAGTTGCTTCAATAAATCTTGTGTTCAGGTTGCACTGGGTTATGGTTCATTAAACAATACTGCTTGGAGGTGTGGTGGGGTTCTGATTAGCACCCAATTCGTTTTGACCGCTGGTCTGACTATAAAATTAATTATTAAATCAATATAAAATTTCAAGAAATATTTGTTTACAGGTCACTGTGTCACCACGAAATAGTATTGCAGCAGTATTATTACCTATGCAAAACGTGCATTAAAATTGGAATTAATGCAAACTAAATATGTATGTTTAACCGTTTAGTGGCCCCCCTGTGAGAGTAATGGTGGGAGATCGAGTACTGAGCACTCAGGAAAACCCCAAGAGACAAATTATGGAGGTCAAAGAAATACATGCTCATCCAGAATACAAACCCCTGTTGTTGTATAATGACTTGGCCCTTATAAAATTGACGTCGGATGTAACTTTGAGCAGATCTATTATACCAGCATGCTTACCTCAGCCGCAGTATCGCTTTGATAAAAAGGGCACAGTCACAGTTACAGGATTTGGACAACTCGGAGCAATTGGTACTTACCAACATTTAGATACATACAAACATTATTGTCCAAATTGTTCTTCATTTCTAACGCGATTCTCAAGAAAATACTAGCGATACCCTTGTAAAAGTAAAAGAAGCAGTTTACGCTGCATGATGGATTTTGATGTCATCTTTTTTGCTCGCTTAACTAATAGACGCCCAAAGTGACACCCTTCAATCGGTAGATCTGCAAAAGTTTTCAATCACGGAATGCTCAGATACTTTCATGAATGACACTGCCATCCGTTCTAGGTTCGCCAATTTTCCAGCATTTTCAAATCCATTTTCAATTTTAAATTACTAAGCTCATTGAATGGATAATCCTATAAATACAGATTAACGGATGGAATTCTGCCGTCCCAATTTTGTGCTGGAGATAAGGAAGGAAACAAGGACACCTGTATGTGCTCATGTTAATATTTATTTCGAATGTGATATTAATAAAAAGGGTGATTTTTATTTTCAGGTCACGGTGACTCCGGTATGTGTGCATCCCCAATTTTTAAATTTTCATCTGAATCACATTGAAAAATTTCAGGTGGACCTGCAACTGTGACCAAAGACAACCCATGCGTATTTTATGTTGTTGGAATAACTTCATTTGGATCAAGGTTCTTATGAAATTAAATTATTATCTGTTTCACAATTTGAGTAACGTTGAATGTATGAATTTTCTTCTGTCCGCGTCACAATAGCTTCTGTGGCTTTCAGCAACCTGGCGTTTACAGGTTTGCCATTACAAAATAATCTTCTTTCAGTTACTATTAAGCCGAGAATTAAAATCAGTACTGTATACATATATAGTAATGTCCTCCGATATTTGGAGTGGATAGAAAATGCCGTGTGGCCAGTGACACCCACGGATGACGTAGCAAATGTGTCTCATTCGACGAGTCCAGACGAATCTACCCCACCCATAACCCTCCTTCCAGTTACTCCAACAATTTCAACAATTGAGCAAACGTCGAAAATGACTCCTCATACACAGAGGCCGAAAATATCCAGCAAACCAATGTTTTTAGTAGACACCGCAAAACCATCTGAACATCGTGCAAAAACAAGTGGGTTAACTTTAACTACGACCCCAAAACCATCTACTCCCCGACCACCACCAGAGCATGTTACATCGAAACCATCAATAACGGTCCGTCCACATTTGACAACCCGAACCAGAAGTACAACTGCTGCCACAAGTGAGGTTATGACTTTGAAAAAGACTGACAGAACAACCCAAAATCCGGAATTAGTTGCAGCAGCAACCATTGTCACCGGGTCATCGCCATTGTTAAATAAAATTTTGAAGTTTGGAAAGAATATAACAACGAAAAACACTACTGAAGAAGTTACGTCTGCTGTGAGCACAATTTTATCTTTGACTGATGGCATTTGACGACCGACAAACATTGTTCCTCAACTTGAATAATAATATGTATGTACGCATATAATAAATTTCTTAATATAGATAGGCCTATTAGTAAATAGAAAAATTCATGTTTTTATTTATCGCATATGTGTAATATGCAGTAATACATATTTATATTGCAAATGAATATTTTTATATCAAACATCTACACTATTTGGATTTAAAAAATATAAATATTGCGTTATTTGCATGCAAAATGTAACAAACAAAATTTTTGCAACATGTGAATACCATTGTTCATTGTCAACTATCATATATTTTAAAGCAAGGCATTTGTAATAAATAGATATAGTTTCAGAGAAGCCTTACTAATCTGCAGAAAATGCATTGTGGCAAACTTATCACACAGTGTTATTTAGGAGTTTATCAGAATGCGCCTCCACCTCCACTTTCAGTGTAATATGTCCTTGAACCTAATAATACATATAAGCATTGTGAAATCAGTCATTTAAGAGGGTATTCTTGAGATATTTAATGAAATTGCAATATTATTCTAATTATTCATTAATAGTTGATACTAATTTAATTTATTCTAATAGCAAAAGTAGTGGGTACACTTACTTTTCTTTCAGGTTTGTATTCAATTACGTACACTGATGACTCATCTCCATTTACAGCTTTCTTAATTTCAGTGAGCAGTTGGTCCAAAAAGTTGAAACATACTGTTGATGACCACTCCTAGATTCCAGTAACAAAATGCATATAATAAAAATATTAATTTGATAAAGTATCGGACACTAAATAATACCGTGGATGCCAGCTTCGGTAACATTTCCAACGGTAACAATTTCAACTCATGGACTACTCCTTCGTCATCTCGTAACCCCATTAAAATGGATGTCACACCGACAAGGAAGGACCTGCATGGACGCAGTACTGATTAAATGTTATACTTAACACATTTGTATTTAATTTCTACTTTACGTACTGACACCACCATTTGCGGAGGTTATGCCTAGAAAAAATACAACCGTTTTGCAAACTGCATTAAATAATATTATTTTGGGTTACGTACTTGCGAAAGTTATGTGGCATTTGACCGCCAGGAAATTGACGCGTAGTCTTGAGCTCAACCAGTTCGCTTTTGAGTAATAAATCTGGCCGTTTTTTGGGATTGGAATCATCTCCTTTTTTTGTCATAACGCCATCAATTTCAGCTGCATATCTAAAATAAAGTTAATGGTTGGAAAATAATTAAAATAATAAACTTGTTTATTCAAAATAAAATTCTCAAGACATTGGAAACATATAAATGCAATTGTACTCAAAATTAAAGAAAGACTTATTTGAAAATCACATATTTTATAATTTAAAAAACTCACAGCAGATCATGATTCCCCAACTTTGCATGAAATACGAAATTGCACTGAAAATAAGAAGAATAAAATTTGTTATAGATCTAATATCTGCACAATAGCATCTTAACCTTACCTCATCAGTTGAGCCTTTCGATGGATCTGGTTTTTGCAGAGGATCATCTAAATGTTATTACCGAGCTATATTATTTGCTTATTATCATCAAATAGTAAAATAATATTCAACAAACCAGATAGTAGAAAATGTTCAAAAGCGTATCCTGAAATTCACAAAAGTATCATCAGCTCTGCCATATCCAAGGACGATATGCAATACCTACCCCATTGGCTGAATCGTTTCAACCTCGGATTTGAATTAAACTTTTGTCTGTTTGAAATAGACTCTGGCGTTTCCAAATTACGAATATAAATGGTGTTATTTTTTGACATTGCAGCAATTTTCCATCCTTCTAAATTTTCGTACGGGGTGCACAGTAGTTTAGTTATCAAACCACGGTAGAATACAAAATGTGGTCTCCTATTATGAAAAAAAACCATCAACACACACATTAATTAGAAACTATTGTGTACTAAAAAGAGTAGAATTTTCCCCGGACCTCCTCTTGAACCGTTCTTCGTGACGATGAATCCAGTTGAGGAGGTGAACCAAAGCTGAAGTCTCCTCCAGAGAAGTCTCCTCCATATTGTCGTTGGGGAAGGCTTGTGGGTGTTGTTGGAGGTGACGATTTAGGTCAAACTTAACATATTGTGAGGCTGGTAGATGGCAAAACTTGAGAGAACATGGTCCTTCAGCGAAGAAACGATCTGCCTTGATGAGAGAGAAGCAGCCTACAATGAAGGGTTTAGAAAAGCTTGGAAATGGGGTTGTGTCACTGATTTGGGCGATGCTTATCTGGAAACGGTCAGATGTAACAGATCCCAAATCCTTCCCCGCAGCCCCGTCACGGTCTCTTTCTCTTGTAAACATGGCAGTCGACATTTTTCCAACAACTTGGTGGCATTAATCACCCCAATCAGAAGTTGATTATCAGGTCCAGCCAAATATTTCCAGTTTTCTGCAATAAGCAACGCAATACGAATAAATAATAGTCATCAAAAGTAACAACTAGAAGTCAAACCTTGAACAGAGGAACCCAGATTCCTAGAGTAGCAGGTATACAATTTCTCCAAAATTGTTAAACTGTTAAATATAAATTAGTCGACAACTAAGCACGAACGAGCAATTTGTTTGGATTTTTAAGCAATGTATGTGTACTGCATCGGCAAATTAAATTGGATCTTACCACCAAAAAACAACCCCATCCCCGTCAATCGTGGTGAGGAACATGAGACGACGAAAAATCAGAGAGAAAAATTAGAGAAGTTGAAGTACAACAATATTTTATTCGATTTTTGTAAAACGTAAGAAAATCCAAATATTTAATGACATGGATGTTAATATTAAGTAATACAATTGTGTTGTAAATAATACGGTTTTAGAAACTATTTTGCTGTGCAATTTGTAAGAACTCGGCACTCCCTGTATGAAGAAATGCCATAACGTGATGTTTTCCCAATTTTTAATAAGTTGTCGATATTTACCAATAGAGTGAAAGTTGAATTACCTTAAAGTCGAAATCCACCGGGTGACCTTGTTTTATGAGAGGTCATGTCATTTGCATCGGGCTGCACATACAAAGTGAGAAGGTATGCATATGTAAATATGCATTTGTATCCACAAATGCATATATGCACATATGCATATATGCAAATGCACATATGCATTAGGTGCCTCAAAGTAATACACTTTCACCAGACTTACTTTAAAGATTTTGCTATGTATTTAACGAATTTTCAATATTTCGAAATCCATATTGTTGGCTCATCATTTCTAGATATTTTCAAAAGTTTGTCACTTTAGCATTTCTACCCGATTTCTATTGCTTACCGTTACCTTTGTAATGTTGATTTTTGTCCAGCATACGCTTCATGAAAACCAACCAGTCAGCATCCCAGGAGTTATTATTACTTCCTCCCAAAAATTCGGGGAGTATCTCAGGTCGTAGGAAGCGATGGAGTGAATTTAAGTCGGTTCCGTGAACGTGGATCTATGTATATGCAATGAAAATTATGTAAATATATGGGGCTACTAATAAACGTTGTTTTTTTCTTGAAACGAATAATTACCCGGTCTCGAATTTTCTCAGAAAGAAACGGTTTTACAATGGAATAAACGAGATGAAATATGTATGGCTGATTGACTAAATGAAATTCTTGAAAGCGACATGGAAAGCTGCCCTGTTGCATAAAAAATTACAATTTTTAATTTAAACCACCACATTATTTAATTATTATAATTCTGACCTGAATAATTTTAATCATTCGTAGTGCGTGTTTAGGAGTAAAGTGCCGGGCTTGAAAGAATGAAAAACCATGAAAATCGACAACAGCACTAATTCCATTAATTTGCGTCTCAGGTAGTGAAGTCATTTCTTCCAGGTAAAGGTAATTGCAACGAAAAATGTTATCTAGACTAACTTCATTTGGATTCCAACTCCCTAGAAAAATTACGCTTTTACAGATCGTCGACTTTACTGTCGAATGTATCAGATAAGCTACATGTACATATATGTACCAGCTCTAAAAATGAACACTTGTCTGCCTTTATCATCTCGCGAACTGAGAACATGTTGAAGCCGTTTTTCCAAAGAGGGACGTAAATATTCTGGATTTAAATTTCTAAACAAACTTGGATTATCCCGTCGCATTTCATAATACGAAATAAGCTGAAATATTATTTTAAAATGGATAATAAAGTTATTCTAAAGCCAATAGAAAATTAATGGAGTATACCAATTTCATAGCTTCATCTCGATGAAATTTTTTTGCTCTGAGAAATCGGATTAAAAATTGCTCATCTGTAGGACAAGTAAGGCCTTCCAGTTCTGAAATATTTTTTTATAGAATGTAAATAGGTATATATTATAACTAACTACGTACATCCGCTCATCACTTACTCTCGATCAACATTCGAAATTTTACCACTTCCTGTGAACTGTCCTCCCTCTCATTTAGTTCCGTCCATGCTTTTTTATGTAAATATTTTGTGCTAGTAGCGTCTAACATTATCGAACTCACTATGAATTAAAACTGATATTTGGGAGATGAATGCACTGTACGTTTGTACTGTACGTATGTATTCACTACAATAACAGATGAGAGAAAACACTTATCAAACTTGCACAAACATTACAATACTGCTACAGCGAGTGATACCCTTGATATTGACAGAAGAGGTTGAAATTAGTCTTGCACTGGTATTATTATTATTAGCATTTATTTAAATAAACTTTCATATTGCTCGTCTGTGGACATACAACTTAATATATATGTCATGCATGCATATGTATTTATGTACGTACTGCATACAGCTTCATTCATGAGTGTATTTAAATGACAATTTAGACGTATACATCTGTATGAAATCATGTACTATATATCAATTAAAAAGACTATACGAGCACAAATATCATGTGCATATATAAATACATCCTCTAAATAAACAGTTTTTGTATCAAAACCTTGAAGCAATTGGACGTATTCTTGGTGTATTTGTTAGTCCGATGAATGAAGCACAACGATATTTATGCGCATATGTTAACTGCTAAATAACCTCAAGAAACTTTCTTGGCAAATAGCAGTAACAAGATTAATAATTTATAAATTAGAAAGAAATATGGCTTGCAATCTATTGGAAAATAAGGTTTCTTACGGTCAATCATTACATTTTTCAAAGAGTATTATTAATCAGTCTATGCAACCTGAGGTATTTAATAGGCATTTCTTGATGACAATCAATATACTGAAGAAAACATTGCTCATTACGAGTTGATTTTTGGCAAACAATTTGTGTCCACTGGTGGCGAAACAACTCTCGAAGGATTTGGACAAAAATTGCAGCTTAAACCGGGGGATAATGTGCTTGATTTCGGGTCAGGGTTGGGAGGGTCGGCATTTTATTTAGCATCGACCCACGAGGTAATTCATTTCCAAGAGATCCACTAAAAAGACAGTCTCACTGAAATAATTTATTTAGGTAAATGTCTTGGGGGTCGATCTCTCACAGAATATGATTATGAAAGCTAACGACTATCTAGACGCTGCTAACCCTCAAATTAAAAAACACGTAAAACAATTTTGAAGAAATGCAAATGATGAATATATTCATACACTGCAATCAATACTTAAATAATTTGCAGGTACAGTTTGAACTGCGAGATGTGAATGAGCGTGGCTTTTCGCCAAAATCATTCGACTGTATTTTCACCCGTGAAACAATCGTTCACATTCAGAACAAGCTGGAATTATTCAAAAACTTCCACGTAAAAGAATAATTATGTGAATTGTTGATTCTGTTGTGAACAGTATTATTGTCCTCCAGTATAGTCAATCTATTCTAAATTTTAGGAATGGCTGGTTGAGGGAGGAAAACTATTAATCAGCGACTATTGTCTTGGGCCAAATCCTTCCAGTCATGAATTTCAGGGTTATATAAAAAGTCGAAATTATAATATGATTCCATTATCCGAATACAAAGTTCTACTTCAAAAAGTGTGCTACTGCATATACACTTTAATAATTTATCTCTTTGACTCCTAAATGTACTCTACTCTTAACATTATGATGTAGGTGGGGTTTACTCATGTGGAGGTGACAGATATGACGGATATTTGCATTGAGATTCTAAACCGTGATGTCCAACGTCTTCACGCCATGAAACAAGAGTTATTGCTAAAATTGTCTGTTGAAGAATATGAACACATTGTTGCTGGATGGGAAAAGAAGCTAAACCGGTGTTTAAATGGCAACCAAGGTTGGGGAATGATTTTTGCAAATAAATGATCACGTTTTATTATAAACACTAAATTGAAATTATATGCTGATATTCAAGGATTGTCTAGCATAGTAGCTCATTATTAAACTTAATTCACCTGATGTAGTACTCAAAAGCGTTGATCAAGAATCTCCTAACCACATAAAAACATTTTCATTCAGTAAATAGCATAGCATAGGAATATCTGTGTATGTTACTCTAGATAAAAGATTTCGAGAGCAATAAATAAGTTATACACCACAAAAGAAAAGTGATCACAATATGTACATTAGCTTCAGTGTAGTATGGCGGTACAAAACTCCACTCGACTTTTATTACGGAGACAAATTGACTACTTTTTTTAGAGGACCGTCTAAATAGTCTACCAGCGCTTTTGCCTTCGCTTGCAACAATCCAAATCCTGTTTCCTCCTGTGCATACAGACAAAGAAGTAGATTCGCCACCTGCGTGATTGCTACTTTCCCCTCCTATAAAATAATGCAAAAGTTTGCAATTAAATGGTCTAACAAAGTATGAAAATGAACGCATCCTCTGCCTTTATCCATCTCACCATGCAGTCGAGAAGGACGAGATCCAGCTTGTCATCGTTTAAGGCGTTCCTCCCACTTTTTTCGTACACAGTCCAGATATTGCTCGCAATGGCGGCGGTGACCCTGGTAAAAATATTCACATTGCATATTATTTGCTCATGAATATTTGGAGTAGTGTATGAGTAATGAGTATCGTCGTATCCAGTACAAACTTAAATTACCTGGCGTCCTCGTCCCCATACCCGCTGTAGGCTAGGAGGGCACCCTCACGGTTCAGAAGTCTGCAGCGAGCAGGAATAAAACATTGAATTATGTAATTTTAGTCAAGATTCGCGACTCAGGAAATTCTAAATTGAAATATGAATGAATTTGATCTCGTACAATGTGTTCTTTACCCCTCCCGTGTTTGCCTCACTTAAAACTTTAGTTAGGGCTTTCGGTTTAAGCATCATTTATCCAACTTTATTACGATTCACGAAAGTTTTTATAATTAGTTCGACAGTCGAACTTCGACTTAATATTCAAATGAATAATTAAATTGGGTAATTAACGTAGTTTGACTAAATCCAGCAGATTTATTGTTATATTGCAGTATAGTTTTGTGGACTTAATATTTAGAGATCAGTTAAAAACAAAAATTGGTTCATTTATAACCGTATCGTAGTGTTATTGTGAGTGTTTTGTTTACTCATGTGACGAGAAAGTTTATATACATGCACGAGACGTCTTTAATGCTCAGATCAGCCGGGATTCACAGTTTCGCAATAAAAAGGAATTCGAACTTGCTGTTTAACTTACAAAAAAATTTAAATATAAATGCAAAATATGAGTATTTTTGTAACAAAATTGTACACACAAACCACACCAACGACTTGAGATTTTCAGTTTGAGTGCAACAAAAAATGGAGGAGAGACATTTATTATACAGTAATGATTTATTTACGAGGAAAAATTATACAAAAATGTGCAAAATTTGGACAAATGTTCAGTTTACCAGGCCCACTCTGTTCCACCCTAGTCACCACACCCATCCAACCACATTTATTATCATCCTCTTTTGTGTCAGCATCTTCAGTCCTATTTTAACCTTGGCTGCCAAAACGAACCAAAGTCAAACGTCTGCGTCTGACAACGACTCTGCCCCCGACGAGGTGTTTGACCCGTTAGGTCCCAAGGTTCGTTGCGACTACCTCCCTCTTGACTTTCTCCACTGCGACGACTTGGAGGACCACAGGGGAAACAAAACTGCGCGAGATAATAAGGGCTACGGATGCACAAAGGTTGTATTTTAAAATTCTGAAACATTGCAAGAAAGGTGATTTTAGAGATGATTTGTAATTGTTATAGTGGGGTGGAGATTGGTATGAGGAGGTAGAACATACATCTCGCTTGTGCCGACCACTTACAGGGATTACTTGTTTTGGTCGCAAAGAGTTTTTAAAGCCAGGATTTCCATGCGTGACGTATAAAGGACACTACTTTTTGTCAACCCTACTTTTTAGCATCTTCTTGGGATTTTTGGGAATTGATAGATTTTGTTTAGGACATACAGGAACTGGTGAGTGTTATACACACTTTATTTGATAATATTGTGACGAAGGATTGTATTACCATTTCTTGTCGTCGGGTAGGTGTTGGTAAACTGTTGACTCTCGGTGGCGCAGGGATCTGGTGGATAGTTGATGTCATTCTGCTCATTAAAGGAAATTTGGTACCTGCGGATGGCAGTAATTGGATGCCGTGAGTGAGACACTTTCAGAATCTCATCAAATTTAAAATATCCATTTTTTCGCCCCTATATAATTTAATTAAATAATTTCAGGTATGTTTAGCTGAGGCCGAACTTTAGAAGTTAGGATTGATGTGTGATATGTATAAGTATGACAGTAAAAAAAACTACTACAATCATGTATTCACGAATATGTTTATAATTTTTTTTCGTAATTCCAATTTTATAATACTATTAAAATATATTCCGTTTCGAACTTTCTTGAATTTGGAGTAATTAATTATACTGTAGTAGTAGATTTACTGGGTTGGTTGTAAGTAAAAAAAATGTCATTGGTGTTCAAGACTATTGGGGTTTCGTGGCTGTAAACAACCCCCAGGCTTGATCTCCAGCCCCACAACGAACCAATTTAGACTTCCAACCGTCCTCAATATACTTGAAGTCGGCCTCTGAGAACAATTCAATGAATTCTGATTTCTGCTTGTTGAAATTCTTCAGTTCTAGTTCCAAAATGTCCATAAATTCCTTTGTTTTATCATCTGCGACTACCGATTCGAAGCCAACCTATACAACAGTATCATATTTATTCGAGGAGCTATTAAATTTGCCCAAAATTTAAATACTGTCTCTGTCTTTACTTTTTCAAGAAGCTGGCCGTAAGCTCCGACTGACAACAATTGGTAACCCCTTTGCATAACATACTTGACAAACTCTTCAGAATGATTTTCCTTATCCCCGTGACAGTAATCGGTAATCAGGACTTTGCCTCCGGGTTTTAACCATTTCTGCATAAATTATAAATAGTTCAAAATCAACATATCGTACAACCTCATCGTCTCATCAACTTACAAAGAATTTGGAGAACAAGGCATCTTTATCCACAATGTGAAGAATCGTGTCTCTGCAATATGCATTGAGATGTAGAAATATGCATGTATGTGTTGTTAGAAATCTGTACACTTTACACTGCGATTTATACTATAACCATAAATACACCCACCTGCTGTAAATGACATCGAAGGTGTTTTCTTCAAAATCATGCTTGGTCACATCGCTCATTTCAAAGCTGACCTGCACATACATAAGGAAATATAAATTTAAACTATTTAAATAATAATTCAAACATGAATTAATCATATTCATAACTAACTCACCGCTTTTCGAACCGACTCTTCCATTTCTGACTGGTATTTCACCGCCATCGAAATCATATTCTACAGATGCAGTGTGAATAATTATATTTGTAATTATTCTCCAAACGCTGAAAATTACAATAATAGTACCGTGGATAAATCAATGCCATGAACTTTTGAGCCATAAGTTCGAGCGATGTAGAAAGCAGAGCCACCGATGCCGCAACCAACATCAAGCAAACTCAAGGATGGTGTCAAATTCAACGGCTTCACAAATTCCTCCGTCGTCGCTGCTCCTCCCGTCGAAACGTACGTCTTTCCAAAGATGAACTCATAGCGCTTAATTCCTTCCTCAGTGTATTGGTTTCCATCCAAGAAAGACTGTAATAAAAAAGTTAGTTTTATAATTTTTACTTAATTCAACAAAGTTAAAAATTGACAAGAAGAAGAAGTGGCGTATTCTTACTTGGAAGGAATCATACGAATCGGCATTGTGGGGCATTTTTCTTAGCACAAACCCTAATTGGAATGGGTTTCCGTAATGCTTCAGAAACAAAAAATCGAAAATTAAATACAAGTTAAGCTTTTAACAAAAATTGCCAACAAGTGATCAGGAGATACTGGAGGAGCAAGAATATAAGAAGAAAACTTGATCAGAAGAGTGACGCCACGATCAATCCACATATGTACATTCAGGAAAAAAAACATCGAAAAGTCTATGAATCTTGCTGTGAATGATACATGCATGAGGAGGTTAAATCCATATCAGTGCATTCAAAAGTCATGTTCATCAGTGACATTACTGACAATTACTACTGGATAGTAACTATACTGCAGTTTGTCATAGATTTCAGTGATGTGACGAAACTGGTCAAATATATGTAGATCTTCGTTAACGATTCAGATCATGGATGTAAAATATTTTAATTTAGCAGATGCAATTTCATACATAGAATTTTTTGCGTTAAATCATATGTTCTAATGGTCTTATCGTCAGTACATGCAATTTGATTTACGATTCGGTACGTAGTTGTGATATTTATGCGTGTAATTTTTGCAGCTTCTGCAACTAAAAATAAATATCAACTTGTTCACCAAATATGTACAACCCATGTAATAAGTGAACTATACATAATCCATGCTTAATTTTTATCTGGTGAATTTACTTATGCATACTAGTTAATTAATTCTAGCGTCATGTTCAACTACCAGGATCAAGAATTGTGGAAAAATTATATGGTCTAAAGTCAAGAGCGAGACAGACATGAGACGATGAAAAATGTATGAAATTGTATGTATCTCCAATGAAAGAAAGGGAGATAAATTCAGTTAATAAATGATCAACTGATGATCCACCTTAACGTTGACCACAGGGTTGAAGGTTGCCTGGATTTAATCACCTTCGCTCTCCACTCAGGCCATAGAATAACTAAAGATATGGCGTGAGTTCAATCAATTGGAGGGCCATCCGATTGTAAACCTAGTGTCTACTATACTTCTTTTTGGCAAAGAATAAGAAAAATACCGGTTTTGGAAGCAGTTTTACAAACACACGTGTACTATTATGCAATTGGGCAGGTAGAATGTACCACGTTTTTGCACCAATTCAATTAGATACAAAATGGTAATCACGACTAATCACATGCACAGACACAGATCTTCAGAACTATGTATAACTGAACTTGAAAATGGTTCTTTTTCTTACCCGAATGTACGCCTCAATCGATAACGCTCGTTCACACAAAAATGTGAACTTGTGTTTCCTGCTGTCCTCATAAATGTTGTGTTGCAAAATAGCAAAATATTCAGAAGGAGAACGATAGAAAGTTGGGTTGGATTCTCTTTTAATGTCCCCTAAAATATATGTACTTACATTGTAAATGCAATTCGTAATCCATTTATGTAGGACTAGTTTTGCAATTATTTTGATCTTTTGGTTGAAAATGAGACAAACCTGAAGGTCTGTAGCATGACTCCCTAACAAACAGATAGCCATCCGTTTTAACCCATGAGAGCATTTTGACGGTCAGTTTTTCCACTTCATCATCCCCCAAGTACATTAGAAGCCAATTCGAGAAGATAACGTCAAAACTGTTTATCAAATGGTTCGAAAGTGCGTATTATTAAAAAAATACCATCACATGAGGAAGCATTTAAATATTATGCATGTGTGGGTAGTACCTATTTGGACGAATATCTAGTTCGGTGACATCTGCAGTCATGAATGACACGTGAGGGTTATGACCATTTGTCTCCCTATAGGATTAATTTAAAATGACATTGATTATTGGTTGGTAGGTTGATAAATCTCAACCTATTGATATAATTTTTTAATGCAGTACAAAAATAGGAGTGTCTGACCTGTTGAGGTCCGTATATGCTTCGATAAAGTCAACAGCAGTGACAGACAATGCAACTTTGGCAAGCTCGGTCGTAAACCTTCCAATGCCTGCCCCCAATTCTAGAACGCGCTTGCCTTTCAAATCTGGACAAGTTTTCAAAATCTGGAGTCGGTCCTCCGCTGTTAAGAAAAAAGGTAACGCAAATGGTCATATTATTTTTGTTTTTCTAAAGGTGTTATTTTTGCTGTATGTAAAAATTGGAAAAGTCTGACCGGCCAGAGTGTCATTTGCAGCAGAGCAGAGCATCATCGAGCATGGCGATGGTTCATATTGTTCCCAGAACTGCTTCATTTTTCCTCGCACATTCGTTGGGTTGGTGATGCTGAGGTCCTTGATGGACATGTTTAGACTGGAAGTGCTCGGTAAGCTACTGGCTGCCGGAGTACCCTTCGTACCACAAAGTTCCAAACTTACAGGCATTTTCTTTAAGCAATAATGGTTGAACTGAACTTATTATTATCCCCAAAATGCACTTTCTTATGAACTGAGACAGATTTTCCAGTTCTGACCATCGTTTTATACTTCTCACTTGAGTTTTTGTGAGAATCCTGTTTTCATCATCACCAGACAACTTCATTCATACGATAGCAGTTGATGCTTGCATATTCGAGTTCATTCTATTGTCAATCGGTTATATATTTGTATATTTTAATATTTAACTTGATTCTCCTTGAAGTGTTTGGTACTCTTCCTAGTATCAACACTTTCTAGCAGTATATGTGCATATGTACATACGTAAATATATTCAACAAGCATGAGTGCAGTATCTTTCCATTGAACACGGAGTCATTTCATGAATGTTTCCAGTGTAACAGCTTATGGAGCATAGTCCGTCAGTAGATCTGCTGTATTCATATGCAATAAAATAGTCAAAGGTGATTGTATGTATGAATGGTTATCGTTATTCGTTCCAATGTCAAAGGTGGGCTCATCTCATACATAAGTGTGCATGCATGTAGCTCATCGTTAATCCTTATTGTCTAGGTCAACGAATTCAGCCAAAACAATTCTATCTCTTCGCTAAAATTATATATATCGTCTAACACTGAAACAAACAGGTCAAAGTCTAGTCAAGTTTAATAGTGTAACGGTTAGAATATTTGCGAACCTTGCGTATAAATGTATTTACTACAGGACTCTAGCTTTCACTTACAGAAAATCTTTATTTGTAACACAAAGATGTGCATGTACATATGTATATAATTTAGTTTTTGGTCGAAATTTTATAAACATGATGGCAAATGAACTTATTTCCAATTTAAAAAAAATAAATAATTGTAATGTAATAATCGTAATATTTATTACATTGTCCCACAATGAAAGGTCAAGGCAGATAATCGTAAGACAAGCTTAGCGAGCCTATCTTAACCACGGTCTAGCATTGTAAAATAAGTGTGAATAATATTTTTAGCACACAGGTATATGTATTCTAGTACATAAGTATTATTGCCTTAATTTCACAAAGCATTTTTAATCGATAAGATTAGACATTTTTACAATGACCGGATAATTTGAACATTAAGTGGTTTAAATTATTATATTATTATTGTCCGACATGTTTGACAAACTTTGGCTATCACTTGTTACAAGTATTATACGTACTATAATGGAATGTATACTCTTTCAAACTTCGAAACAGCCCCTCTGCACAAAGGACATCGATTATCCAAATTAACTAAAGCCTTTACACAGGTATAGCATAAACACACATGTTTGCAAGGTATACTGATGAAAGAGACTGTGTTATCCTGGCATATGACACACAGAGCTTTGGTATCACTAACACCACTAACGGTGTCTAGGTCGCCACCACTGTTTGCCAATTGTTGCAAGATACGTTTACAATTTTTAACAATGGCAGACATTTTTAAAATGCTCCTCCACGCAGACTTTACTAAATTCCATGAACGTCTAGAAATAGAGGCAAAGTTGACTTTTAAATAAATTATCCAGATAACAGCAACGACGACTAAGCCAGCCTTTCCTGGTCTGGGAATATCTTGAAAGGCTTCCCATAAGTTGTATGGAATGTCTATAACTTTAGATAGCATTAGAAAGGCGGTGAAAATTACATTCGCTGGAGCTACAATAAGCTGGGTAAGGAAATCTATGATTATAAGCGCTAGACAATGGACAGCATATGTGGCTTTTTCTCCTATAAAAACTAGAGACTGGCAAATAATTTGAGGCACTGTAGAGAAAGTTCTTGATGTATGGTCCACAACTGCAGCTTGAGTATCGTTTAGATGCTGTCCAATAGTGACAAAGACGTGGACAGATAATGTCTTGAGATCAATTAGTATCACCTGGAATGCTGTAACAAACCATACATACGTATGCAGGTAGCCATATCACACCCCTACCCGACACAATTTAAAACAGAGTTGCATTTGTACTTACATTCAAAAATCATCCAAATTGCATAGTAAATGAGCAAAATGCATTTTACAACTCCAGCTCCAAAGTCCCACAGTTCTGACCCAGTTAAGACGAGGATCTCCTTGAATTGTACTGCAACTCCCACGCAACTTGTTCCCAAAAATGTTAACCAGCTTGCTAAAGTTTGTCCCAAAACGTAGCTCAATCCAAGAATGAACTCGAAGATGTGGAATACTCCTGTGATAAGTCGTGCAATGTCACCAACTACGACGTCCAAATACTCTCCCATCGTCTCCATTAGTGTGCTTTCTCGACAAATCAGGAACGAGGCATTATCATCCTGGAGTTAGCCTTTAGGTCATAAACTAAACGGTACAATACATCAAAAGTAGAGCCAAACAGACTCAACTACGCAACTTTTGACGTAAACTAAAAAAAAAATGTTGAAACATTTGCATACCACGATTAAAGTCGTTTTCAATAAATTTTTAAAGAGTTCACAAGTTGATATTTTTCCTGGTTGGATCTGGTCGAGTATTTGGTATTCGAGAGTAAGAAATAAAAACTGCAGGGTTTGTTTGTTTTTGCAATGATCAGTGAATGTGTTGTCGTTCGTTTATTAGCAAGTGTATTTTTTCACACAAAAGAGCAAGTGAAAGTCCGGATGAGTTTTGGGGAAGTTTGCGACTCCCACGTTCAACGTTAGCATTTCAACGTGTTGTAAAGCTTCAACAAAGCAACTACGCAACCCATAAATCCTGCAAAATTATTATTTACATGTCAAGAAATGTTCATCGATCAGAATGAAGGAATAATGCATATGCATGTACTTATACTTTTATGACTTGCTTTATTCAATCACTAAATCAGCACAAAATAGAGCAAAACCAATTAATCAAGGGAATGTACAAGTTATTTACACAAACGCAATACTTTATCTGCATTTTAAGTTAAATTAAAAATTAGTTAAATTCTATACTGATTTAAAACAGGAATATATACTAAGGTCACATAGGAGGTTAGAAATTGTACTATTACTGACATTGATAAAGATAATATAGTTTGTATGTGTTTCTGAGATAAACCATAATAGACAGAGATTCTTAAAAAAAACTTTTTAGAATTGACATTTCAAAATTGTGGAGATTTCTTAATTGCCGAACACCCACTAAATACGTGTATATTTAAAATTACTAAAACTATTTTCACCGCAATAAATACATTTTTGCCCTAAACATGGCAGATTTTGTTAGAATTAATCATGAAAAAGTTTGAGATTTGATCAACATATACTATCATAACAATTCTGTAAAGATTTTATAAGTATGTATTTGACACAGGTTGTGTCGCACAACCAGTCAAGCATGGACGGAAATGTTGCAGACAAATAAAATGAGATTCTGAAACACTAATCTAGAACAAAACTAATGAAACACATTTGAAGTATAGACCACTGGTTTTCGGATCCTTATAGACAATTACATTTACCACAAAATAATGCTACTTTTACTGGTGGCTGAGATTTTGGTTTTCACCTGACATATGTACATCTGCATTTGAAAAGCTTTGGCATATTGGTCACCCTCTACTCTATATAGATAAGCTTTAATCTCATGGAAAATTTGGCGTGGGCTGAAGAGCACAAGTGATGAAGGGAAACATTAAAACATTAGAAATAAATACTAAAACTTGTAAAATATTTTTGATTAGCATTTGAAAACAATGGTGTAGGTAGTCATAATAAATTGATCACTCGTCTTGGTTGAGTGCTACTGAAAAAAATAAATGGAATGGGTAAAATTCCAGTTAGTAGTACGTTAAACACTGATTGGCTTTCTCTAAGTCGGAACTTGATTGTCAATATTTTAGTCAATTAATATTTCGAAATGTGTTGTTGCCAAACGTGCCAACCTGTCGGGTTTTACATTTCTTGCGAAGGCTTTACATTCGACATTGATAACCACTCCTGGCATTGGGTTCTTCAACTCGACCAAGATGAATGGCGATTGATAACCTTGCTGCTTCAAAAATGGAAAGTAATAGCCAGCTATTCCGCGGAACGGGTAGTAATTGATTTGTCCAATATTTTCAGTATCAGCCACATTTTCACCGTCACAATTGATCCACACCTTCATATTAAAAAACCATGTGTGATGAAGATAAGTTCAACAATAGCCAAACAAAAATACTATGCAAAAAATATATATCACCCTTACAGTTGAAAGCAACATGCGTCGATGGGAGTCAAAATTTTTTGTGTTGGGATCAAGACCTCGTGTTTCGTTCAAAATGTGGTATTTGAGGTCGACGGGCATGTGTTTTTCTCGTATCTCTTTGTCCAAATCATCCCTGAGTTGAGCCTCGCTGAAACGATCCCTCTCGTCGAATCCATAAGGTTCTGGTACATAATTATATACATGTAATCTAATGAAAAATTTGGTAATTTCAAAAATATTCTACCTGGCACCCATCCGTATATCTTGTTGAGTTTGATGAGAATGCACGGTTCTATTAAGGAAAATAAAGAAAAATGTGGGGAATAAACAACGTATATCATCATAAAAATGTACATCGATATGATTTCTCATGCATTCAATAAATTTCAATGTTTCTGTTTACTGACCTCCACGACTGAATCCGAATGCGTTGTTTTTGTTGCAATACTCCAAATTGTCGACCTTGACTTGACAAGCCGTGATGGAGGTCGCCCTTTTGTCATTGTCCAAGGTACATGCTTGGAGGTTTACACTTCCGGCATCCTTCTTCCCAGTATCCGTCTCGTCGACAAATACTTCTAGTTGCTTCGACCAGAAGAGGTAGTCGCTGGGAACATTTCGCCTGAAATATCAATCAGAGTTGACGTAACCAATTGTTGCATACCAATTACCATTAAACTGCCATGCGTTCTAATTCTTATCAATTTTACCTGAACCATATGAGAGTCGAGTCGGGGCTTCTGTCGGGGTCGGGCATGGGTCGAAATCCAAGTCCAGGATTAGTTCCAATCAAGCTTTCGTCCAGTTGAAATTTGGGCTCGTCCATGTTGAGAGTGAGGTAAAAAATGTAAAAATTGAGACAGAAGAATGAAGCTAGTCCGGCGTAGAAGATAATGTAGAACAGAATGATCTTGCCCCAAGAGCTTCCAGTTCTTCCCATCACGGTCCCATCCTTCGTGTTGTAAAGAAACTCTTTGAAACCATTGTTGGCTGATTTGCTAGGCGAAGAGTACTTTTTACTTTTTGGGTCGACCATGTTGTGAGATATTTCTGATGGCAGTGCGTTTCTAAAAAGTTTCAAAATTTTCTTGAATTTAAGTTTTAATTTCCCATTTATATGTACTATTGAGCAAGCTAACCGAGCTAAAAATCTCACCGGGTGCAATAATTGATACTTGCAAATAACCACACCCAGTAGTCAAATGTTGACTGGGTCCCTTTTATTTATCTGTATTTATTTATGAAATTTGTATTAATATAATGTCATGGCTCGTTAAATTCCGGCAAAGTCTTACATTATAATGAACTCTAACGAGATGGTTGATCTCAGAAGTATTGGATGGGCTCAGTTACCTGAGACGGATGGACGGAAAACTCTGCTCAGATTATTGCATATCTGAATCAGAATATGCTCAGATCATGCTAAAGAACGCTCAATTCACACTTTTAATTTACGCTTCAAATTCCCAAACACCTTGCAACAGGCTAAATCACAAATTCACGGTACTACTTGTTACATCAAGATACATCCGTACACGGAGTGTTCAACTTACGAAAGTTTACTTGGCCAGACTTTCAATGCGTGTATAATATGTATGTATGGTAGCACCTTCGCTTGGGCTAATAATGATAAGATATGCATGAACTTTACCAATGTTAAAGTAAAGACTGATCAAAGTTATAGATCGTGATTTTAAATAATGTTCCTGTCTAGAAGACGAGTCGAAGGAGGGCAAGAAAAGCGGCTCAACCCTTTGCTTTCACCTGTAATCCAGCGATGTTAGCAGACGACTTGAACAATAACGCTTTTTAGCTGATGGTGGTTGTGGTTTTATGTTGTGCTATAGGTAGACAGGGAGATATTTCCATTCAAAATTCAGCCAACGGTGAGTCCAGGTTGTTATACCATTATATTATGCTTGGTGAACTCATGGATGCAAATAAATGGTGGGGCTGTTTTACTGTACATAATATGAATAACACTATTGTGCATTATACTTTGACTCATATGAATACACCATTTTTCATCGAGTGGCTCTAGTTTTCTTTTGTGTAAAACCACATACAGGTGGTTATTTACTCGACATGGAAGTTAAATTCAAGAACATGAACCACTCTGGAAAATGTGAATGTTAAACGGAAGACAGTGAAAAATGTGAATTTTCGACATTTCACTCATTTTCTTCTGGGATGAGCCGAAACTCTTTTTACAGGCCTTTAATTTCATTTGATAAGCAGCAAAAGTGTGTAAATGCAAATTGCATTATGCAATATAGCTCTGAATCTACTAAGATTAAACGTGATATGAAAATTGCAGATAGATCGATATTAGTAAAATGTGCACACATACACAAGCGAACGCATACGTATATTACCTATGTATGCATACTTCGAAGTATTATCGCTCTAACATGACCTGGAAACAGAAGACTGTACCCACATTATATCCAAGCTAATGAGTTGTATTCAATATTCGTTATGAATTGTAAATTAGTGTGAAGTCACAAGATTTAGTATACGATTTAGTTGGTGTGTATTACAAACCAACACCAATTTACCAGCAAGTAATAGCAAGTTTATATTACTTATGTATGTATTATACCAACTTAACAAGCTATGCATTTAGCCTATATTTTACATATGCAATGTACAACCTTAACTTGAGATCGTTTGATTTTACCTGAAAGCTGGAAATATTGGTTCTGCATTATTATTTTACGACAACATATGCACGATATGTATGAATTTCAAGGATAATTTCTCATAAGTAAAAACAAATCAATCAAATTATTTTAAGGCAATCGTTGAATTAAATACTTGGTCGCATGAAAATGCATTTTTTATTCAATTACAATTTCTAGTAATTACTTTTTTCTGGATCGTTTAGGTTTAACAATACTCGTATCTTCTTCATCTGTCACAGCACCTTTTGCCTTTCTCTTACGTTTTGGCTTTGGTGGGTCTGGAACGATGGTCACATTCACAACAGCATCACTCGGAGTTGATGACGTCTCGACGGCGACCTTGTCCTTGAGAGCTCCTTCACTTTTGGGTCGTCGACTCTGTTTCTTTTCAGGTTGCAGATTGTTAACATTATCTGATTTTTTGGCCCTTGGCTTTCGGGGCTGAGAAACTTTTGGTGTCTTAGATTTATTCTTTGAAGGACCAGGACCAGGAGGAGTGGTTGGACTTAGAAACGGCCCCCAAGTAGAACATGTAGCGATTTGTTGACTTTTTCCCTGACCACTGCCTTTAGGTCGCCCTCCTTTTCCCCTAGAATCTTTTAAAATATAAATAATTTTGATGCAGTAGAAAAACTTTTACATATATGTTTCTTTTATGCAAAAAAGATAGTTTATTGTTTAAAATGTACCAATAATTATAGGTACGGACAAACATTAAAAGTACAGGTACATACAGCAGGCTGAGGATAAATAGACAACATTTAATAGATTTTCTGACAGGCCACAACGTAATAATAATATAAAATAAGAAGTAAAACACGTATTAAATTAATATTGATGTAATGTCGTCGACAATTTACACATCACACCGATAAAAGAAGTTCCCATTTAAAATACCATAGATGATCATCTTAGGATGAATGTTTGTGTAACTTACGAGCTGAATTGTTAATTATGCAGGATACAAGAAACCAGTGACCTCCTTACTTGACTTACATAAAATCATGCATACAATACACACATGCTCCAGATTTTATTTACCCTTCACCTATTATCACTCATTCCAATACCTGACGCACTTTTTTCAAGATAAGCTAAAGGACCTTGGAGTCCTGGCCCACCACCTCCTCCCATACCGTGACCTCCTCCTGGGCCCAACTGCGGAGATCCGATAGACTGCTGATGTACAGATGGCGAATAACCAATATTCGCATTTTGCATCCGTGATGCCCCCATCCCACCAGGTGTTTGGGGCCTACCTGACCCCGGCGTATTCGGCCTTCCTCCTCCTCCTGTGGGTGTCATGGGTCCCTGCGACATGGGTGTATGAGGCCCTTGGGATATTGACATGGGTGTATGAGGCCCTTGGGATATTGACATGGGTGTATGAGGCCCTTGGGATATTGACATGGGTGTATGAGGCCCTTGGGATATTGACATGGGTGTATGAGGCCCTTGGGATATTGACATGGGTGTATGAGGCCCTTGGGATATTGACATGGGGGTATGAGGTCCTTGTGATATGGACATTGGTGTATGGGGGCCTACGGACATTGGACCTTGAGACAAAGGGCCACTTTGACTCATCCCCCCACCTACTGCTCCTCCTCCTGGGTGGCTCCCAGGAGGAATATTTGGTTGCTGTGGATTATTTGCTGGACCTCCACTACCGACCTGCTTCCCTAAACAGAAAAAACGAAAACCACGAGTTCTATTTTACATTTGATATTGAAAACTACTAGTAGTTTGAAATGAATTACTTATACCTGCTGCTTGAACATCCGATAAAATGTTTTGCCAGTGGCTAATTTTCTCATAATTCTTTTTGAGCAATTCGTCCTTTCTCATCATTTCTAGCCTCAGCTCGTTTGAATCATCTTTAATTTGAAGTTCCGGTTTTTGAGCAGATATTTCCTGCCGTTTCTTGAGAAAATACGACTCTACCGTTCGAGCACATTCTATCACGTTTGAAATCCCTTGCTCTACATCTGCCCGTATTTCATCCCTGTCCACATTCGTTAGAGTATCTTCTTTTGTAAGAGATGCTAAACATTTCTGGAAATATTAAGTATCATGAGCATTATTTCAAACAATGAAATTTATCAATAATTGTACCATGAAAGATTCTTCAAACTTCTCTACGGGATTGACGAACAAGGGTCCGGAGCTTTCTCCACTTCCGCTCATTTTCTCTCAGTAGAATCTTTAAATCATCAAACTATCAAACTATGTATTAAATCCGTTCACACTTGTTTCAGATTTACACCAATTCTAATCTAATCTTCCCCCCGTAAACGCAATTAATTGATGACGAAAATAACTTTGCTAGATAAAACCAAGAACATGGCATCAAATGGAAACACTGTCCAAAGCGATTCGCGGGGAGCTTGGGAAACAGGACGTTTTTGTATGCGTTGAGCAATCCAATCCTAAAAGTCACACAGAAATAATAATACCTCACTGCCTATTTTCCATACATTTGTTCTCCACTTATCGCGTAATAATAATCACGGTGGTGAGATGATGATGGGTCGACATTATCATTGAAGGTCTACAACTGGTTCGTGTGAGCGTAATAGTGCTTCACAGTATATGTAATACGGAGCAGGAGAGGTTATGAAATCAGAGCAACCGATATATTCTTCATTTCAGTCATTACTTGCACTTTGATAGAGAGTCATTAAATTATTGATTTTTCAATAGCGTCGTTTCACCACTGGAAAGATTAAATGCAATAAAATTCAAGTTTCACACAAGAATCACATAGTGCTGCTAAAATCTGTCATTGTCATTGTGCATTGTCATGAGACGACTGGACTAAGGTAAAAGTTTTCCTGTGTGAAATTTCATGTATACCACTTCATCATTGTCACATATTATACGTTTAATTTGTAAATTATTTTTCTATGAGAAGCCAATGCAAGTAGTAAAGCTTGCTACCGAAAAGTGCACATTAAATCCAAGCTAAGAATTTATTGTTTCATTAATTTTCAGCAATCTCAAGGATGTTATTTTCTCGTAACAAAAAGATAACGAACTGATTATTCCTCGATTCACTAGTCATTACTCTCCTCTCAATTCTGCGACAGAGGGACAAAATGGAAGATTTTCTCGTCTATAGCCTCACCTATAATGTAGCAACTCGGTTTCCGGGACCAGGAGATGACTTTCGCCCAATTCTTGGGCTCGACACGAGTTCCTCGTCCACATCCACCTACGTCAAAATTCCAGACATGTACATCATTGCACTCCAAGAAGTCAAGGCCCAACCACAGAATATGGTGTGGGACACGTTGTTTGATGACCCTTGGACGGCCAAAGTGAAAGATGCATTGGCTCCTTTCAGCTTTGTCAAAATCCACACCCTGCGCATGCAGGTACATATGTATAAAATTATCTCTGCATGACGAATGTGACAGCCAAGTTATTGGATATTCTAATAACAAGCAACGTAAAGTTTAACGAGGATCTATTTTTATCAACTATGCAGGGATTGGTGACCAGCTTGTATTTGAAACGGAGTCACTTGGTTTACCTTCGGGACGTGGAGACCCTTTGGACAAGGAGGGGTTTTGGGGGGATGTGGGGTAACAAAGGGGCAGTTTCCATCCGCCTCGTGCTCCACGGGTGCTCTCTCTGTATAGTCAACTGTCATTTGACCCCACATGACCACATGCTCAAAGAGAGGATATCTGGTAATAAATCATCCGATTGCAAAGTTTATTGAAAAAGAATAAAAGAGTACCTTAGATTACAGTGCGGATATACAATTGATGTTAAAAACATTTATAGATTACCAAGAAATTCTTCATGGACAAACTTTCTCCTATCAAGAAACGTCCAATATTTTATTTCACGACTACGTATTCTGGATGGGAGACTTTAATTTCCGCCTCAATGGAAACACGACATCGGATGAGATTGTGGACGGTGTGTCAAATGGAAAATGCTCAGAACTTTTAAAAGAGGACCAACTACTTCAAGTTCGAATGAGTGGAGAAGCTTTTTCTGAACTCCACGAACTCCCAATTACATTTCCACCTACGTACAAATTTGAAACTGGAGTTGACAACTATGATTCCAAACGAAGACCTGCCTGGACTGATCGGATACTGTACCATGTGAATGCCAGTGCGTATGATAACGTGACATTAAAAGTCGAGGGAAATAATTACAAGGCCCATATGCCTTTCAGATGTAGCGACCACCGTCCGTAAGTGTCATATTTATTTTTGTGTACTTCGTAACAAATTGCATAACCCTAAAACTTGTGTGATTCGTGATCATTCCAGTGTGACTGCATCCTTTCAAATCCGTGTCTTCCGACCCACCACACTTAAACTGGTCGACTTTGTCAATGTTCCTCTTTGGTATACTGGAGAAAGTAATAAAGTGTTCTTCAAAGTAGTTCCAACTCTAGAAACGTCCCCGGACGACTGGATCGCTATTTTTAAGGCAGATTTTACAAGCATTGATGATTATGTGGCGTATGTCTACGCAACCCTGCCTCACATTGATGCGGAAGAGGAGGGTAGAGTGTCGACAGATGAGTCAAGTGGGGAGCGCAGCGTCACATTTTCCGAAAACAGTATCAACTTTGACGGCTCGTACGTTCTCATGTACTTTGCCCACGCATCTCGATCCATCTATGGTATGAGCAATGTCTTTGAATCAGCGTCCAGAGGATTGGCCGCAGGTGCGGACCTATAGATATTAATACAGTGTATTTCATAAAAACTGTCCAAATCTAGAGATCAAATTATGTATGTACATGCATGTACGAGCTAAGTAAACTGATCAGTAATACGCTGAGCAAGCGCTCTCAAGTGACGATTAGCACAAAATTGATATTATAAAGCCTTATTATCTAGCAGATAATTGTCTAGTAATAACTGGGCGTCCTTTATTTATGAATGTGTCAATTCAATACACAAATTTTTATTACGATATTGCATTTGGCATGCACATGCTTGTCAGAGTCTTGGGATTAACGAAAGTGGGATTAATGATTAGGATTACGGATTGATTTTAAAAAATTCGGGATTGAGGATTGAGATTAGGGATTAAATTAACTCGGGATTAAATCTCTCAAGTCATTCAATGGGATTAGGGATTAGGATTAATTTAGTCCAATTTTAATCCCGGAATGGGATTAAAGTCGTGTTTATCGTCGATCACATTTATATCTAGTTAATGTTTCTGATGTCTTAATTAAATTGTTTTATAAGTCTTAACAGTGCGATTGAATTTGAATAACCTAATGACCATATAAATAATGACCTAAAGTGTGAGTTGTCGCTTAAGTGACTTAAGTCCAGTCTCCATTTGATTAACATTCAAGTGTGAATGAGTGGGCATTACCACTGGCCACTCTAGGTTATTATTATACGGCCACAAGAATATGAAGTGTACAGATGAGTGACATAAAATAAGTTTACTTAGTCATCAGTGAACTAAAATCAACTTTAACAGATGAAGTCTTATCAAATGTTTTTAAATACATGAACTATTTGTTGGCATGCATTTAAAGCCTCTCCAATTAAATGGGAAGTACCCTCCAAATATTTTAAAAGTACCCTTCATGGATACCTGCCTCTTAAAGTTATTTTTGAATTAGGATTTCGGTGGCAAACTACCTCTTAAAATAATGTACATATCTACAAGCCATAATTTTATCATTTTATGTAAAAAGCGTATTATTTATATACGATTAAAGTTAAGGCTTCCATAAAAGCATGCATTTTTAAAAGGCACATGGTACTCAAAACTGCTGTGAACTTAACAGGTCCTCCACGCTTACGCTTGGTACAGGTTTTGGGTGCAGGACAATATCGAAAAATTCTTTTATAATTGCCAGACGAATCTTTATACAGTACCAATTCTTAAAAAAACTGGTACACGTACAATGGTACACCGATTTTTTCTCATCAGCGCAATAAAATCGAACTAACTATAGAGTCGCGATTTTCAAAAATTGTCTTAAAAAGGTGAAATTTGGCGCAGTGAAATTAGCGATTAATACCTAATCGCTTCCCACGAAAGAATATGAAGTTACAAGTGAGCAAAGTGCAACCAGTGACACTATAGGGTCACTATGTACCGTTTTTAAAAGTTATTATTTTTATCTTAAATTTAATATGGAGGGTAAAAACCACTCATGGATAGCACATACAGCCTAGTAATTTAGCCACAAACGTGCATTTTTTGATAGACTTCAATAGGTTTTTTTTACATATGTCAGCGATTTTTCCAAAAAGATATATTCTTTTAGAGAAATCTAAGAAATTCGCAATACATAAATAATTCCATTCATTTATGAGCTTTCCATGCGCACTTATATCATTGTTAACAACAAACACTTGGTTTAAATAAAAATCAGGAAGATTCCATTCATTAATGTAATATGAAACCAAAGCATGTGGAAAGCTTGTTATTTGTAAGTGTGAAATATTAAGCTATTTTTCACATTTTTGCAGTCAAACAGAATAATTTTTAAGCTATTCAAAACGAATTAAAAAAATGTTTTTCATAAATACATCTGTTGGGGATCTGAGTAAACATTTTACATGAAGAGTTAGGGTTTTTAAGAACATATTCAACCGGACTCTGGTAGTAAAACCCATCACTGATACGAAATTTACACAGATTTGTGATATGCAAAATGAGAGGCTACTTCCATTTAAGGGGAGGGAAAATTTAGAGCATTAAGAGGTTGCTTTCCATTTAGGTAACTTCTTAAATATTCGGAGGGTAATTCCCATTGTTTTGGAGAGACATTAAATTACTTCCCTATTTGTTTAATAATATCGAATTTTTGTTTGTGAAATACAACGATGGAATTTCGATAGTTATGGCCCATAACTTATGGGAAACATATTTTTAATTGAAACAAAAGGAGAACTGGCAAAGTCTCTGAGAATTTTCAGCAGGTGGAGCTGATTTAATCCCATTTTAATCCCAAACTTGGATTAAGATTAATCAATGCGCTCCGGGATTAGGATTAGGGATTAATTATTTTTTCAAAACTTTTTGGGATTGAGGATTAGGGATTAAAAGTCAAAACTTGCGGATTGAGGATTGGGATTAAGGATTAATTAATCCCCAATCCCAATCTCAATCCGTAATCCCGGATTAACCAGACTCTGATGCTTGTTATCATACAAGTTGTATGACAGGTATTACGGTGCTACAAATAATTGTGTACTTAATAATACAAACCAAAAATATAGTGATGTGGAGTTTACATCACATTCCATGAAGCCAATATTAGCTGTAAAAAAGATGAGTCTCATAAGTTACGTAATATTGATTGATGGTGCGGTGCTATCAATATTTTGTAACTATTATGCTTTTATGGTGCTCGCAATAAACGACCGCCACAATAATTATATTCAGCTGGATTAATAATTAGGTACCCATTTATGCAGCATAATGTTTGTTAAATTTTAGCATCTCTGTATTAATAACTGCTACTTAATTTTATCCAAGTTGATAACCTTTTATCCTGTTGCATTTGTTTAATATGTTATAGTAAACAGCAGAAAATTTAAAAGTGGCAATAAAACTGTAATATGTAACTCATTATTCACCTTATTTTCATCTAATGAAATGAGTGAAAGCGAGTGGAGAAAGCACACTGTTTAGGCTGGTGGACGGTGGTGGTGTGTCAATGCGCCCCTGCGCTGGGAAACCCAAAACGTGTACACATGAATGTAAATACTATAGTATTTACATTCATGCGTGTACAGTAGTTGCGAGAGAGAAAGAGAAATCAGCAGCAAAAGTGAAAGTGGAACTCTGGGATTTTTTACAATCTGTCAGGATTCAGATTCTCATCATACATCATACAAACCAAGCACATCTCATATCCTCACTATCTCTGCTGCTAGTGCTGCTGCATTTAATCCTTTGACTACTTTTTGTTACACTTTACTTCTTATTTGAATGGATTGTGAGTTAATTAGTGCAGGAATTGCCCAATTCTTTGAAAAGAGAAATCTTGCTTACTTCTCCAAATCACCAAGAGTGCTTTATCTCTTTTTAATTATTATACTTAACTTAACGTATGTAGTAATGTCATTGTGGTGATAGCACTACAATACTGGTCAGTTCCAAACATCTTAATATCCCTGAACTCCAATAAGTATGAAGTAATCATATCGTACTAACCAAGGTCAACGCGATATTATGTAGATATAATCAGATGTTCAATATACACTACTGTAAACAATACACTCGATAACACAAGTAATTGACGAGTCATCTTCAAGTTCCTTCCTTCACATTCTACCATATTTTATAATAATAACAATAATCAGAGGTGGTCAGAAACGTTCCGGTTTTCCCGTTGTTCATGATTCTATTATTTCGAGGGAATTTAACAAACAAAGAGGGTAGGCTGGAGTTTAGAACGTTATTATCCGTACCGTATTGTCCAATGCTGCAGAAGCGATGGGTATCATTTTCTCTAAACTTTGGTCATTGTTTGGCAATGAAGGTGAGTATTTCTATTTCAATATAGATTTGTTCTTTTAATAATCATTCATTTAAACTTTATTTTGTGATTTCTCAGAGCATAAGATAGTAATTCTAGGACTGGATAATGCTGGAAAGACCACTATTTTGTACCAGTTTTTAATGCATGAAGTTGTGCAAACGAGCCCGACAATAGGATCTAATGTGGAGGAAGTTACCTGGTATTAAATAACTTTACTTATTGCATAGATAAAAAATAAATTAAATCATCCTAAAAAGCACTTAGTACCTCGAGGTACTTTAATTTACTCCTTGTAAGGCTAATGTTTTTTATTGGTTTTCAGGAAGAATATTCACTTTTTAATGTGGGATTTAGGAGGTCAGCAAAGTCTGAGACAATCCTGGTCTACTTATTTTACAAACACAGAGGTAAGCGTCACAAATCTCTAGCTAGTGTACAAATTGCGTATACCTTATTATCAACTGACTAATTTTTTGCTCTGATTTTCAGTTTGTGATTCTAGTGGTAGATTCGACTGACTCTGAAAGATTAACTTTAGTCAAGGCTGAACTGGAGAGGCTAATTGCACATGAAGACCTAAGCAATGCTGCCTTTTTAATATTTGCTAACAAAGTAAGACCCGTAAAATTATAATATATTTCTATTGGACAATGATCGGCTATTCCTAGGAGAAAGTACGAAGAAATTTGCGTTATATTGAATTTGATTCCAAGGACTTTTTTGATGTAGTAGGAGTTGTTAGTTTTGTTGTGACTGTTTAATCTTCGGCATAAAATTCAGGACAGATGAATGGCCGAGTGAAAGTACATAAAATTACATACCAGATTTTTATAATGCTCTTCCGAGACAGTGTGTCTAGCCGAAATATTTTTGCAGCTCTAAATCCACACTCAAATAAACCTAATCTTTGTTTTATTTTACCATTTTTTTAGCAAGATGTCAAGGTAAGACCATTTTAAATTTTTAAAGAACGAAAACAAATGCTAATAAAGTAAATTGTAGATCTATATAAATCCATTATCTTATTAGGGTTCACTCACTCCTGCCATAATTTCCCGAGAGTAAGACATTTTTAATTGGTTGCCGTTGATGTGATAATGAGAAAAACGTGTAATTTCTTAATTGTATTCTTTCAGGCTAAATTTAACTGCTTTACGAAAGCAAAGGTGGCAAATCCAACCTTGTTGTGCATTGACAGGGGAAGGACTTTATCCAGGCTTAGAATGGATTGTTTCATTAATTAAAAAGTGATACTACTTATATAAAATTGTACTATCTGTTAGTTTAGCTATTATTGAACAATTTTGTATTTTGCCTCAAAATGGATGGATTTCGTACAATAATTCTTCCTATAATTATGTGACACATTATGATGTGGTCCACATCCTTAAAGTGAAAACCTTTACATTTTAAGAATGCTTTTTAAGAATAGTAAACTCGTAAATTGTAAATCTCTTGTATCAGTCTGATTGTATTATTGTTGCATTGATCAGTTTAGTAGAATTTATTAATTTCTTAGCTGCCCAAATTCTTTTCGATAACACGGATCGCTATGAATTTTTAATTTTGCGAGGGATGAATATTTCTTTCACTCCTTAATCATATGTACATTACAGACTATTACAGAGTATATAATTCTTACTCTTCATCGTCTATCGACATTGCTTCGTCATCATCATCATCGTTGTCGTCAACATCTCCAAATCCCATGATGTATGCAGCAAAAACTTTTGTTCCATTGATGAAATTGTTTCTGCTAATTTTTTCATTCTGGGAGTGGGCTCCATCGTCACCTTGACCCATCGGTAGAAGGAGGACATTCTTTTTAGTCAATTCTTGAAACACGAGCGTAATTGGGATGGAGCCACCTTCTCTTGTGTACTGAGGATCCTTATGGTAAACATGCTTAATTGCATTTGCAGCGGCTTTATAATTCGCATGACCAACATCCTCCTTCCACCATTTCCCCGACGACAATTTCTCCAACTTGAACTTGTTGGGAGAATCCCTTTGTTCCCATTTCTGGCGAAGATAATCTTTTACAAGTTGTGCTACCTCGTTGGGCTGTTGGTTTGGGACAATACGAATGGAAAATTTTCCTACGACTCTTCTTGGAATAACGGTTTTTGCGCCAGGGTCCGAGAAGGCTCCTTCAATACCGTGAATTGACAAGGAAGGAAATCGCCATCGATGGGCCAGAGTCCTTTCTTTGTCTGGAAAACGTGTCTTGTGAACGCCAGTTTCCGTTTTGAATTTATTCATACTAAATTTCAGCTCTGAATATGTCTGCTTCTCTGTGGCCCTAAAGACTTCTACGTTTTTGTTTATTCCTGGTATGATAATGTTGCCCTTTGGATCGACAAGTTGGTTAAGCATCCATACGAGATCCCACATTGGCTCATGCACCGCGCCCCCAAAGACTCCGCTGTGCAAATCCTTACTCCCTCCGTCCACTACAATTTGAAAGTAGAGAAGACCTCGGAGCCCATAAGTTAAGCAAGGATAATCTGTCCCAAGCCAGTAGTTGTCTGAAATGGCAATTGCGTCCACGTTGGACAGAAACCCATATTTTTCTCTTTTCAGAAGATCCTCCAATCCATCGGACCCAACTTCTTCAAGCGATTCTAGCACCATTTTGATGTTCACTGGGATTTTAGCCTTACATTTGATCAATGCTTCTATGCAGTGGAGCCACCCCAAGACAGGTCCCTTATCGTCGAAAGTTCCTCGACCGTATAAGTTTGGACCTACTTCTGTCAGGGTGAAAGGGTCGTAGTCCCACCCATCGCTCAGTTTGGCCGGTTGGACGTCCAAGTGACCGTAGATGAGAAGAGTGTCGTTGAGGAGGTCCGTTTCAAGTGAAGCAAAAATTACTTTCGGAAGCTCTTCTTCCTTCCCATTGTCCATTTGTTGCGGTTGTCCAACTTTACGCTTTTCAACCTTAAAGCCCAAATCGAGGAGCTTCTTCTCAACGAAATTGATCATTTTCGAAAGTTGATTGAACGTTGACGGCTGGCTCTATTTAAGTGAAACATGCAAATTATATACATACCACGTGTTTTACACAGATTTAGATATGTATGAAATGATCTTGCCTTCCAAGCTGATACATTTTTTATTGCAACGGCCTTCCTCAAGTTATCAATAAATCGTGGTTGATTATCATCAATGAATTTAAGAACTTTGTCCAATTGAGACATTATGCTATTTTTTTGGTCGAGTAGGATAGTATTGATTTAGTATTTACAAAATATACATACTTTGAAAAAGAATTATTACTAAAAATCAGTAGTAGTTTTGGTTGAAAATTCTCAATTTAGGAGTACTCATTACTGAAATTTAACTCCAAGGCAATTTTGTGCAAGTGATGCACAAAATAAAATACGGTTATTTATAATAAAGAACCCTAAAATTTCTTACATGAAATATAAATCTCCAAATTGGATAAAAGTAAGCTGTAAGAACAGCAGCTTATTGTTCATAAAGATTTCCTCACCATGTCAGGACCCCAACAAGTTTCACTCATCAAGTATGGCAAAGCTGACCTCCTACAGCCTGATGGTGGAATCTCAAGCATCCGGTTCATAAACCGTGTTGTCAGTACTTGTACTTGAAGTCACACAAATATGTATTAAATGCTTGATTTAATTAGACGTGAATTCCTTCGTGTCGGGTTTTTTATAGGCACAAGATCAACAAGCTCAAGCGTCGGGGGGCTGTGGTAGTGTCACGGACCCGGTACTTTTGGAATTGATGCAACATGCTTGCAAGGAGGCTGCATTAAGTCAAATTGATAAAGATCAGATTTTGGAAGCAATTGTCTCACCACGAGAATGGGAAGAAGATGGAAAGCGATACAAACAATTGGTGAGATGCATTCATAGATTCATTAACAACGTTTGAACCTAAATATGCACACATCATGGTAGTAGTTAAATGGTCTCCTAAACGCCTTTTTATTAGATTTCAAAGGAACCTGCGACTCGTGCGGATGTGAGTGGCCTAAATGAATTGCTAAACGAACAGCTAACGCTACGACAAGCTAGGCCTGATGGGATATGTCTTATCAGGCGAGAACTGGCTGAGCAATGTTTTGGTAAATCCATTCATACATAAATAAACATGTCACTTTCTATATGTGAATACCCAGTATAGCAAAAATTAAAGAAAACTGACTGATTCATAGATGAACTAATTCGTCAAGTCACCTTATCCGAAGCTGAACGTGGTCTCCTTCTTTTACGAGTTAGGGATGAATTAAGGATGACACTTTCAGCTTATCAGGATTTGTTTGTAAGCGCAAGAGACCATGATCCTCGTAAAACGGTGGGAAAAGAAATCATGGCGATGAAACAAGAGTATACCGCAAAATATGACGAATTTGCATCTGCAGTCAGTCGACTGGAGAAAGAAAAACAGGACTTGATTCGGACATTTGAGAATAATGATCAGATTTCCAAGGAGGAAAGGGAATCTTCCAATAAACGTCATCATGAAGAGTTTCAGTTCTTGAAGAGAATCAACAATACTTTAAAGGTTAAAAAAACACATGTCAAGGAGAAATACAATCCCAAAGATAATCCATGTTCAATTATATTTACAGCAACAAATTGATGCCATGATAGATCCGGAAAATGATATTGATCCAGTTATTGCGGCATATGAAAGCATCCCAATAAAGCAGACGAGAGGTATTTGGAAGTATACCAAGATCTGTAAAGAGGGAGAGGCGACGGCCACATAAGCTCACTTATGACATACAAGCACATTAAATTTTATTTGGCATGCTGATAATAAACATTGATGTTGTTTTGCCAGAATTACGATATTATATTTAGTATGCTAAGTACAAACATATATGTGCAAATGTGTGACTCATTTAATGGGTGACCAATCCAATCTTGAGTAAATGTCTTCATAATTTAGATTACACAGTATGTAAGGTTGTCCTCTTTTTGATCTGAATTAAATAATTGTATACAGTAGTATAACACTTCTTTCAAAGTCTGATTATTGTAGATGTTTAGAAATAAAAATTTTCCAAGTAAATTGTGTCTCCTCAGTGTCACACTTTGTACACGTGCAGTTATAAAATGACTCTAAAACGTTATTTTTCGGTAAAACCTTGTCTGATTCTAATTATGCTCATAACCATGAGCAATGCAAGCTTTGACGATTCTCCACAGAAAATAGAAAGGTTTCGACGCTCTCCGGCATTGTAAGGATTAAGTTTTGAAGTCCCTGCATCTAATCTCATGCCAAGTTAATTCTATTTCTGTTTTAAGCAGACTCAACAAACTAAGCAGCATTACACCACCGTCCCTTCCAAACCCAACATCAATGTTTGATTCGATTCGAGAGGAGATAAGCAAGATTGGAAATATGTCAGCAAGCTTGGAGAAAGCTTTGGAAATTGAGAAAAATGCGAGACTTAGTTTACAGAATTTTGTAGACAGCGTAAAAGACAGGGTACAAAATTAATTACAAATGTATTATGTGTATAGTTTTAACTTAAACAAAATAAAAAATAATTTTAATCTCTTGTAGATTGAAACTTTGGAAAATGCAGGCAAGTAATAAGCATTTCTACTAATCTCGTCTCGTCTTGTAGCAAAAAGGCAAGCAACATTTCTGACATTTACTGTTCCAGTCTATCCGGATGAAACTAACTATTGGGAAGAATCAAGTGAGATTATCAGTAGAGATTATTGTTAATATTCTAATTATTATTATTGTAAAATATGAAATGAAGCTGGGTTTTAGCAACTTGTGGCGGATTGGTGGTTTCACAAACAGGAAGGATTTCATACAAGTTAGATACCAGTTATGAACATTACGAGAAATGCGTATGGACTGTGAGAACCAACCACCGATCAAAGGTGAAAATTCAGCTCATATCACATGAAATGGAATCTGGATATGATTACATCGCTGTTACTGAAGTCCACAAAGACGTTGAACCAAAAAGTACCAAGTAATCCAGTAAAAAAAGTTTGAAATAATTGCCTTACGTAGATATGCAAATTCATGCAAATTGACTCGTCAGGATAAACCTGAATAATTAATTCATGACTACAGATTAACTCACAGAGGAAAATATGTGTTTGCTGGACCTTTATTGTTGATAACGTTTGTCGCCGACGGATCCGGTATTGGTAACGGATTTCAGCTTGAATTTGAGGGAATTGGTAGCAACATTAATAAAGATGTCACATACAGACATTTTCATGTCAACAATGTGTCAGGAGCTTTTTCCTCTGAGAATGTGACAGCCTTACAAAAATCGCAAGACTTACATTTTCCAGTGCTTAGGAATCCCACTCTAGAGTTGACTACAGTAGTTTTTAATCCGGATATCAAAAATGCAGCACAACTCAGCATCACAGTAAATGAAGAAAGCCTGAATTTACAACCCAATACTTGTGACCAAGCATCCTTGACATTTTATGCCTATTTGGAACAGAAGGATCCTCTAAGCAGGTAAAATTTAAGTAAAATTAAAATTTAGGAATTATAAACGATCTTAATTCATTTTTCTTCGTTTTATATGTATGTAGATGCTGTGGAGTAAAATGTGACAGTGTGGCGACCTTTAGAAATGATGACGGCGTTCTTCTGGCCCTGATCCGTTCACAACCACAATCAGAACCATCATTACATATTTCTTGGAATGCAAGTAAGTAATATAAGTTTCTCATAATTTTACCAATTAAAAAAATTTTGTATTAGGAACTGATGTTCGTCGATCTGACTCGGGTAGGATGGCAAATTGTTGTATTGATATTCAAAGGAACTTTAGATCTAACAGGAGGATTTTGTCGAAACCTTACAGTCGATACTTGTGGGGGTACAATTTCTGGCAGACATGGTAGAATTGCTTATAAGACTGGGAAAAATTTCGACAGTAACGAAAGATGTGTTTGGGCCATAAAACCGACTGGAAAATCCAAAATCAAAGTAATTTTTCGAAGTGAGGCGATTGAAGAAGGTTACGATTATGTTGCGGTATCCACATTTGATGAACATTCTACAATCATTTCAACCAAGTAAAACATGTTCTAATATTTGCGATTTTTTCTTTAAAAAATACAATGGTAGCATTTTTCTTCGTGCCTAATAGAATGCAACAACGGGTCGTTTACAATTTCACCGGACCGATTATCTTGATTACCTTCTATTCTGACGCTTCAAATGAAGGGAAGGGATTTGAGTTAGATTGGGAAGAATTTGGAGACCGTTTATTATCATCCAATGATCCAGTCTACTTTGATCAGGATTCAGGAACTGTGTCGCTGTCTTTACAATCCGAAGCTAACCAAATCGTTATTGTTAACCCAAAATATTTAGATGGTAGCTCAGTGAATTTGAAAATGAACTCGTTTGAATCTACATCAGAACCACAATTGCAAGGCCCAGATAGCGATAACGATGGTTTATTCATATTTGGAAATGACGATGACACATTTTCTTTAGCTCAATCGTAAGATGTTGCATAAACTTAACTAAGGATTAGTTTAAGCCCAAGTCATTTTGATAATTCCTAAAATACTGGATCAGATACAGTGACCGAGGTGTTGAAGCTATACCCGAAGAGTTTTCTGCAGTTGGAGGTGTATTTATCCTTCTGATAAAAATCAGCAATCCCGATAGTATTACCAAAATTGAGCTAACATGGGGAAAAGGTAATGGTCTTATAATTTTTATCGCTTTCACATGATGTGCTTATCAAATCTTCTATTTAGGATCTCCGCCGATAAAACCAAACTTTGACAATTTGCAATATGTCAACAACAGTAATAACAACCTACGTGCATTACTTATTCGATTTGAATTACAATTTCTACTAATATTTTAGCTGACCATTGTGGTGGTGTCTTGGTTGGAGATGCTGGACATATTGAATACAAGTTGCTTTCTCCTTATGAAGAAAATGCGAGATGCACTTGGGTGGTCGAGTCGAAACAATTGTGTAAACTCTCATTCAAGTTAATTAAGGACGGATTCGAGAGCTGCTGTGACTTTTTGATTCTTGCTCCATTGAATGTTGAAACTGGAACTTTAGGAGAAAGTGTGATCATGTAATCAGGTTTAAAATTAGGCCTAATTAAACCCCGTTTCACTGTTGATGGGGCCGCGTTAAAATTGAATTTCAGCAATGATTTTGTCCCAGAAATTCCGGCCCCATCACTTGTGAAATGGAGTTAATGACGCCGTATCCCACTCCCATTACACATTAAAAATATGTAAGATCATGAATTTTTCTTTCAAGAAATCGGGAAAATCGAATCCAAAGTTTTACAACACCCGTTGTTTTCATCATGTTTTACTCTGACCAGTCATTGGGACATCATGGCTTTAGATTAGACTTTACCACAAGTGGTAGCGAAATGCCAGTTGGTCGGGTTGGGTTTTCTCACAAAACTTGGCAAGAAACCCCAGGAAACGTCTCTTTTAGCACAGGCCCAAAGGACGAGGAAAATCTTGTAGCTGATAATAATAATGGGAGGACGCAGATTGTTACACAAGTCCTCAATTCCAATATGGACGGCACCCCAATGATCCCGATCTCCGTCAATCTACACACAAATGACTTTCGGGTGAACGATGCCTGTCATCAGGATAAGGTATCCTTCTTCCAGATAAAAAATCCAAAGGAGGAAACGTCGTTCTCTAAAACGGTCACATGTTCTGACGACATAAGTGCATGTGCTTGTCGACCGGCGACACCAATGTCCACCGATATCGAAACGTTCCAGATGAAAGAAGCTTTCTTCATCATGATTTTTAAACCGCTTGAATCCAACAGTACGGCATCCTTCCGTTTCAATTGGACAGTTGTAGGTGAGAGTGAACATTTGAATAAAGTTTCTGAATTATTCACGAATGTTTGAAAATACTTGTACTTATTTGCAGATTAAATAAACTCTACAAAAATATTTGTATGATATTATAGAATCAATAGATAATCAGTTTATTTGCTGGACTAGTAGTTAGTACCGGTTGTGACCTTATGTGATGTGCTATATAAACAGGTTATATTTATTACATTACGAAGGGTTGCATTGATTTTAATGTTAAATTACTCCACATCTGATGAACTATTCGTTTTTTGGCATGCCATTAGTATTTTTTGAATAGTGGCAGGTGAATCCATATCAAACACCAATTCTGCACCAATTGACTTGCGATATGATCTGATGGCATCTTTCACTGCAAAGAATACAGAGGTTGCTAGCAGTATTGGTGGTTCACCAACCGTTTTACTAGAATAAACTGCTTTTGGATTTGCGGAACCAGTTAACAATGTAACGTTAAACTCTTGAGGAACGTCTGAAGACGTCGGAATGTGATATGTTGACGGATCCGCCGAAATCAGCTCGCCATTTTCATTAATTATCACTTCCTCCAACATGAACAGTCCTATTCCTTGAACAAACGCACCTTCTATTTGACCAATGTCGATACCGGGATTTAAGCTTTGTCCTACGTCCATAACAATGTTGGTTTTCAGAATCTAAAAAATATATGGTCTCAATTAATATATAGAGTACACAACACAACAATGTTTACGTATGAATTTATATTACTTGAAACTTTCCAGTCAAACAGTTTAGTTCAACAACAGTACAGGCAGTTCCTGTCGAAAAATAATTCCAAGGGGATCCTCTTTTCCCATCCCACCCCATGTCAGCATCTTTGTGAAACCCTGTCGCAGTGAGGCTCACCCTGTCCATGTACGCCTTGTTCACCATTTCTTCCCAAGAGTTGTCAGGATTCTCGATCCAGTACGGCTGAAGTCTGGCGACCAGTTCTCGACATGCATTCTACGTTATTTAGAAAAAATTGTAACTCAAGCCTTGTAATAATTTGTGGAAATAACGTTCGGAGCCCGAACACACCATGACAGCCATCCCGTTGACGTCAGAAGTAACAGAGGCGCTACTGGGCGTCGTATTCGGAACTTTATCCGTGGAGGTTTCAGTTATTCGAATCTTTGAGGCTGCTATTCCCAGCTCTCTTGTAGCAATCTAGTAAATATTACGATGCATATGAAGCTCTGGAATCGAATCCTTCTAGAACACACATTCTTACTTGAGTCATTTTACTATGAACGCCTTGACCTAGCTCGACCCCACCGTGAGTTATTAGCACGGAACCATCCGTGTAAATATGCACAAGAGCACTTCCTTGATTCAAGTGCAGTGCGGTGTATCCTACTCCATAATGACATGGGTTCATTGAAATGCCTCGTTTCAGGTATTTATTTTGGCTGGAATTAAGTTCGAAAATTGGAATCTGAAAATTCACCTAATGAAATAGCAGTTCATTTTAAATTACCTATTGAACTCGTTAATCTTCGCCCGTGTCTCAAAATAGTTGGACTGTTGGAGGCACTGCTCCCAGCACTTTCGCACATTGCAATTGTCCAATTTTTGACCATAATGAGTGTAATCACCTTCGTTGTACAACTGACTTTGTTTTACCTGACATATTTATTACAACAAGTAAGTCATTGTTCGACATTTTTCAATAATAAAGAGTGGCCAACCTCAACTGGATCTTTCCCCAAAGTTGCGGCTATAGTGTCCATGATATTTTCCGCTAAAAACGCTGCTTGAGGTGCACCTATTGCAATTTGCAAGAGTATCTTTTATACTGTCATGATCATACATATTAACTCCGTATTTCAAGTTACCTGTGCCTCTCATAACAGAATTTGATGGGATATTTGTTTTACAAACATATCCCTTGTAGTCAAAGTTATGAATTTTGTAAGCGTTGTCCAAGTTCAACATTACTCGCTCAATTGGCTGCACAAAATATATATGAGTAAGAATATATATATAATTTAAAGTAAAAATGTAACCCACAGCCATTGAAACATCTAATGAATTCCCAGCATTGGCATAGACGGATATTTCCAGAGCTTGCAACTTTCCTTCATCGGAGAAAGCGATTTTCTGCTTCGAAAGATAAAAGTGACGCTTCCCACTGACTCGCATGTCAGTCTCCCTGTCCAATATGCAGCGCACAGGCTTCCCAAATCTACACAATTTCCACTTATTTAATGCATTTGTCACTAACCTGAAAAAATCTTGGATTGAAAGGGTTTCAGATTACTTTTTGGCTGCAACCGCACATGGCAAGGCGACGAGCAGGCATCGAACTTCTTTCCCCCCAAACCCACCTCCAATTCGTTTGACTTTCACTGTAATTCTATTTGCAGGCACATTTAAGCATTGTGCAACTTGCATCTATGAAATTTAAATTAGTTGATAAATTGTACTGAGGTGAAAGTCGGTGATATTTTTTTCGTACTTGTACGCCAGTGGGATTTTGAGTGGATGAAATTAATTCCATTTCTCCATCTTCCCCCTTTGGAATAGCAATGCAACTTTGTGCTTCCATGTAAAAATGCTCTTGTGACCCAATCTTAACTTCGCTTGAAACCACATTGGGGCTGGTTTCAAAAATTGGTTTGCAATCACCATCTTTCATGATGGATCCATGATTTTCATAGTAAGAGTTATGATTAATAGCGTCCTGTAGACGAAACCAATGATATGCAAACATAAACAAATACATATTTTAGAGGACAATATAATCCCAGCTTTTGTCCCGTTAATTATTTTTCAGTCGTGTCTGGACTCGGGAATTACCTCATTTGTTAAAATTACTGGACTAATTTCTTCATACTCAACGGTCACCAATTCTACGGCTCTTTTGGCTGTAGATCTATCATTTGCTAAAATACCACAAATTATTTGTCCTCTTGCTGTCACCTACAAAGTCACACATATTTTTAGCGTTAAAAAATTGTACCTAATTGTACCCAATTTAAATATCTGTATTTTAGGACATAGTTGTATACCTTTTCTGAGGAAAATATTTCTTCGTCTCTTTCTATAAGTCCGAACTTGTTGCAGTCAGAAGATAAATCTTGACTGCACACGTAACCAACCACACCGTCCAACTCCAGTGCTTTCGTGTAGTCGATGTTCACGATTTTTGCATGAGCTTTCGTACTTAACACAAGTCTGTACACCAGAGAAGTCACGATAGATTAAAATTATGATGGCAAAAAAAATTCACTTCATTCAAAGAAAGCCATTCAAATCTCAAAAATTGATTGACGAATTGATTTGTATGATTACTCTACACTACTCGCTTATTTATAATTTTGGATAATTTACCCCATCTCCAACTCGTTGTGAAATTTGGTAACATCGTCGCAAAATTTTGCTTCTCCAGTAACGTGCTTGTAGGCAGAAGCATGTGGGACGGATCTATGGACGAGGTCGTTACTTGTACCAACCACCTCGACCTTTATAAATATAATGCATGATGCCTTTATATTCCTTGTTTTAAGACTATGCATATTTGATGGTAATGTTATGTACATATTTACATGTTGAAATAGTTGGGTTGATTTAAAATTGGATTCTTGCACATTGTTGTCTGAACATCCATTGTCGACCCATTCTTTGAATTTCAGCAGTATATTTTTCGCCAATACTTGAATGTACTTCAAATATAAAACAGAATTGATAGTAAATAAATCTGAACTATATGCATAAACAATGTTGTGTTTAGAAATATTGAAGTATGGACAATACCTTCAAGTCGTGTAAAGAATCACGTACAAAATTGAGTTGTATCTGTTCTTCCAGTGTTGAAAAGTTTTCTGATGATTCAAGCCCCCTGTGAATTAATATGCATATTGATCAGTCATTTATTTACTTTATAAATACGTATCTTGAAATTTGTACTCCAAACAAGTCTTGAAGCGCTGGATGGCTAATCCTCCGAAAGTTAGAGTTGTCTCAGAGTCCGGTACGTGCTTGATTGCCACATTTAAAATAGCAGGGGCACAGTCTGTCCTTCTGCTAATTTTTTCAAACCAAACCTTCTCCTTCTGAGACCAATGAAATGCGCATATGATTTATAATTTGCCACTGTAGAAAATTATGATTTCGGAAATGGAGTCAAACCTGATACGTCAGGGGAATGCCAATGTGTGATATTATGCGTTGATTATTGACATCATCGTCATCTGTACGAGATAAACGATTGAAAAATGGCTTATCTATTATAGTTTACGCAATTTGTTATACCGGAAAGCTTCAAGTACGATACCACTACCCCAAATCCGTTGCAAAATGTTTGTAGGTCAGAATAATTAGATGGGTTTGACAAACTTCCTCCAATTGTCGCAACGTTCCGAATTTGCGCAGAACCAAAAGAGTGGAAGCAGTTTTTAAGGCATTTTAAAATTGATGCTTGTTCATCTGTAAACGTAAACCAATATATAAATAATGTACAGAATGAATAGTTGAGGCTAAAATAATATGCCAATACAAGTACATAGTGCTGAGAACCTGGTAATATTTTTATAATATTGTCAACTTCAAACTCCGCTTCACTAATCGTCAAAGCAGCTCCAAGGTTTAAGCAACTATCTTCTAACTTGACGATTTTAAGCTCTTCAATTTCACATAGATCGATCGTGTCGTAGGTATCGAAACCTTTAGGAATTAGTTGAATTGGCTTGGAAGTACAACCGCCAACAAGTTTTGCTTTAGGGTATTCAGGCAAGAGCGATTTCAGCTTTTTCAAATTACGAGGAACAAACCAATTTCCAAATGGGGTTTCAAACTGTAGACTTTTCTTTTGCGTTTGAGTACTGACAAATTCGACCTTTTAAAAAAGTATTAGTAATGCATTGCTCAAGAATGAATAATAAGAAATAAATACGTAAGCAAATTCAACTTACAATAAGTTTTTCTATGTTGAACACTTTTTTACTAGAAGTGTCAACTTTCCGAACTTCTTCAAATTGTGGGTCTTGTTGTGAAGCTCTTTGACATCGAATTAGATTGTTCCCCACTTGGTCTTCAATATCGTTAGTGTTTTCTGAACAAGGTTCTGGACACTCTGAACATTGCTTTGAACACTGCTGAATTGCGTCCAAAATCGGTCGATAACCGGTACATCGACACAGGTTCCCTGGTATAAATAGTTGTAAGTGCATGCACATATCACTGTAATCCTCTTAGCATACCTTGCAAAGCGGTTTTTATGTCCGACATAGTCGCATCTCCGCGCAATTGATTTTGAAATGCAAATACTGACATCACCTGAAGAGAGAAAGATGACAAATTATATTAGTCCTTCCGGAATAATTTTAAAGTACTTATGTACAATCCCAGGACTGCAAAAACCGCATTGTGTAGAATTTCCTCGAACCATTGCATCCTGCAGAAATACTTATAGTTTTTATGAGTTCTAATGTATAGTAGTGCATTAATGATTGGGTACCTGGATAGGTTCTACCAATTTCTTATCGGAAGATCCCAGACCTTCGACGGTCAAAATGTGACACCCGTACACAGAATAAATTGGAGTTATGCATGCGTTGACAGGAAAATGTCTACAAGATTTATGTAACAAAGTCGTTGTGAGACCATTTCAGGGTGTTATGCTCTTTAGTATCAAAAATCTCACCGAAATGACTGAGAATGTTTATTGAATCTTGACACCAAAACTGTGCACGATCCGCACCCACCCACCCCACAAGCGATTTTGGTACCAGTCAGTCCAACTGAGACAAGAAAAATACTTTACATTACACTTTTATCATGTACGAATTAATATGTACAACGATTGTCTTTCATAGTAAACACATTACGCCGGTCTCGCAAGGCATGAGCTAAACTCCAGTCCACGTCAAAGTCATCAAACTCGATCTGTTACATTCGCATGTGGATTATGCATTAGACCAACAAAATTAAGACTGTCTCAAAGAAATTGAAATTAATTAATGTTTATATAATTTGAAATTACCCAGTCTCCGTTAACAAAAAATTGAAATGTAGACATTGTAATTTGCAACTATTGCATAAATACAAAAGCAGTTTTTCCTACTTTGATGGGTGAATAGATTCTCTCACCGGTTGTTAAAACCAAACTAAACCGTTTAACTGTTAACCAAAGTTAAATACAACAACTATCGCACGTCGGTTTAGCAATATATTCATGTACTTGCCAATCATGATGAGATGCGAGGCTCTCCTCCCAGTCTGCCAATTTGTATACGTGTAATTACACTTCGACCAATTATTGTGTTGAACCGTACTTGTATCGTTATGATGTGACGATACAGATGCACACGACACAAATTTACGCTTGCTTGACTTAACCTTCACATAATATTAGTTCACTTTGTCTCATAAAACTTCAGTCTGTCACTCATCGGAAATCAGATACACATATGCATGAATTTTTTGCAAATATGACGAGATAATGTGAATTTATTTATTATGATAACAGCAACAAGAGCACTTCACATTATTCAATACAGAAAATTATTGAACCATGTAATAGATATTACTGTACTATTGACGATTTGAATAAAGCATCAATTTCAGCTTCAGTGTAGTTTAACAAGGATTGAAGAATTTCTTTTGTATGTTCTCCCAATTTTGGAGGCATCGTTCGGATGTGATTTCCTCCTGAGCTGAATTTCACCACCGGTCCAACCACTTTGTATGGGCCGACGCTTTTCACGATGTCATTATGCTTTACCTAGTGAAATGAATGTTAGATTTAATGTTTTTAATTATCTACCCACATGACATGTACATAATTGTTTGTGCTCTTGTTTGTGGAACCTGTGGATCATCGAAAGCCTGCTGAATACTGTTTACAGGGCCGTAAGGAAATTTATAGCCTTCAAATTTCTCGAGCCAAAAGTTGCATGTTTCGTTTTCTATAGTTTTTGACAGAATTGAAATCAACGCTTCCCTATTTTGCACCCTCAGCGAATTGGTTAGAAATCTGCTATCCGTTTTGATGTTTTCCAAACCAAGTGCATTACAAAGTTGTAGAAACAGCTCATTGTTCCCTATTCATAGTAAATATTTGTATAATGCACTATTATTTATGTACATTTCATCGACACGTTGTGTGTACTTAATGAATTTTTCTTGTATTTCATAATTATTTCATTCTATATTGCAATAAATATTATAGTGTTCTTGCCGGTCCCAATCGTAATCCAATCCCCTCCCTTCGTTTTGAAAGACTGATATGGAACTATGCTTTCATGTGCGGTTCCCCATTTGGTTGCATTTATTCCGGCATTCAAGTAATTTGAAGCGAGATGTGTAAGACAAGATAATTGTGTTGATAGCAAATTACATTCAATTCGTTGACCCATTTTTGTCTGAGGCAAAAAATATTTGCAATTTTTAATTTAGGGTAAAAATTGATATAGTACTTTCAAATTGTTGTACTTTAGTCCGGTTCATAAGTGCCACAACGATTGCACCGTGTGCATATAATCCGGTACATATATCCGTTTATGCGACCCCCACTTTGCAAGGCTCCCCTCCACGAGGTCCTGTGATGGAGAGTAAGCCGCCCAAGGAGGACGATATCACATCGTAGCCTCCTCTATTCACGTAAGGCCCGGTGGAACCGTATCCAGAAATTGACAAGTAAATTAATTTTGGGTTCACCTTTCGCAGAGATTCGTAATCCATGTTAAATCTGTCCAAAGTACCAGGGACAAAATTCTCCACCAAGACATCGCACTTTTTAACCAAATCGTGAAGAATGGATTGTCCACGTTTCATATCTATTGCCATGCTTTTCTTATTTCTGTTTATCGAAACAAAGTAACACGATTCATTATTGATGAAAGGAGGACCCCATGTTCGGGTGTCATCGCCAGAATTTGGCTTCTCAACTGAAGATAAAACGGGTAGATATATTTATTAAGTATGTTATAACACGATGAATATTGCAACACTTTTTCATGTCAATGTTTTTAATTACTTTTGATAATCTCTGCTCCCAAATCTCCGAGAATCATTGTTGCAAATGGTCCTGCAAGAATCCTTGTAAGGTCTAAAACACGGATTCCATGAAGGGGACCATCAGCCAATTTCTCGGTATTTTTATTGCCACTCAGACTAAATCCTCGTGAAAATAATCGATGGTTTTTTCTTACAGATTTTATTAGATTTTGTAGCATTTTATGTCCAGATATTTTAGCAGTACTTGAACCAGTATAAATTTTAATATGTATAAAAATTAGTAGGTAGAAGTAGTATTTCCCTTTTGCTCGTACGCGCATATGAAATGAAAGCCAATGTCGATAAAAGTTTAGCTGGAAGTTGCAAAATAAATAGTCAGGAAAGCTGCAACTGCTAAAAACTGAAAGGATTGGCCACAATCAATTGTACTTCGTTCTTCGCATTTGGATAAATTATGTATCGTAACGTACTTGTGGAAATAAATATCTATGTGCACATAGACAAGACTGCATTATGAAACCGGATTATTAATCCAGATGTGGAATTACAATTTGTTCATGTTTAATACTTAGATGCATTTCTGCTGTGCACTACCATTAATAAACATCTATGCATATGCAAACTAAATATATAGATATGTAAACATATAAATTTTCAATTATCCTTAAATTTCAAAATTTCGTATATATATAAAAGCATTTTTAGGTCACTCAAATCCATATAAAAGTGGTGCCGAAAGCTTGAATATAATAAATATTCCAAAAAATGACGTCCTTGCACTCCACACAAGTTTCAAGTAAATAAATGTGTACAATATGTAGTTAGTTACATAAATGCGCAGACACAATAAATACAAAGCGTTCTGCCCCGATTCCTCCGTCGAAATTAGCTCGTAAAGTCGGTCAACGAATCGTAAAGATACATTGAACGGGATTCCTAGTTGTTTGCAACACCATGATTGTTAGTTTTTTGATATTACGGTTCTAAACGGACTTTTTTGGTGGGTTATACTGTCTCGGTGGGATTTGATTCGATGCGCCCTTTAATTGCGTAATTGTGGATGTACTGCAAACACATCAAATAGTAAATTTCAAATGACTTTTAAGCTTTTCTTCTGTATCTTTATTTATTGCGAGGAAGCGGAAATCAGTTTATGAGAATTTTGAACACAGCGATCCTTCATCCGTACCAATTTGTTTAACATTTTGCGTTGCGACGTTTTACAGAGTACACGCCGTACGCACTGCTAGTTCGATATCATTCAGATCTCTATCCTACATTAGAATGGGTCGTATGCATTTCAGTTGCATAATGTATCACCAAACTTTGAATTTTTCGTCATATCTTAATATCTACATATCAATTTTCTCTAATAATTTAATCCTAAGTACCATCACAGAATGATAAAATCAGCCCAGCTTGTACTTATCATATTTCTGATAAAGCTCCACACCTACAATACTGATTTAAATACTAACCCAGTATCTTCAATAGCACCGGATTATGACTAATCCGTCCAAAATTAAACCACTCTCAATTGTGACCAGGCAATAAAGGGGGCTGTTGTACAAACAATTATGTTGATAAATTAATAATTCTAATAATGAAGTTTGTGACGTTAAGACTGAAGCGCCGAAGGACCGCTCCATTTTATATTTTCATAGCTTCTTTTGTTTTGTTATGTGTTATTCTTGTGACGATACACAATAACCAACACGAAAATGGGGACATTATTTCAGTCTCCAGAAGTGCAGGACAGAGCGAGCCAGATGACAGATTAAATTTCGAATATTCTATTTCACTGGAGGCAACTGATGTTGATCGCTTAGATAAGATAAATGAAACGTCAAATAGTATCCATGATCTGGATGGACAACTTGTGTCACGAGTTATGGACGAATCTACACCAATTTCTGAAGAAAAAATTGACCAGGAAATTCAGACGGAGACATATGTGACAAGTGTGGAGGAAAATTTGTTGCCAGAACTTAAAGATGATGTAATTTCAAATGTTGAAACTGAGGAACCGGAAAATAATCACAAAACTGAATTTCAAAATTTTCTCCAGGTACGTACTTACATACATATGTACATCGAAATTTATACTCTGCTACAATTTTGGGAACATTATTCACGCAGGAAAGTCTTTCGACACTGCTTGCTGCAATAGGAAACACAATCCGACCTATCAGCAAAGAAGATGCTTTGGCCAAACAAAGAGACAGGATTCAACGGTCCTTGCAGAACTATAGCAGAGATGAAGCAGGGGAAGAATTGTAAGTTGGGTTTCTCAGCATCAATCTCTTTTAGTTAGATAACGAAACCAATTGCTTTTCAGTAATTTATCAAGATACCAGATTCAAGAAGGTGGAAGTCCCATTCGCAATGTAATTTTTACTACATGGAGATCTGGTAAGAATTACTGTTTTATGTGTATTAATTACAACTTTCGACGTTGCTGCCTTCTTCCAGGTTCAACATTTCTTGGAGAAGCTATTAGCAGTTACCCCTCAATGTTTTATCACTACGAACCGCTTTTACATTTTGAAATTGTGCAGGTATTAAAGCAATTTTTTAAAAGTCCACACACTTTTAATCACAAATATACTAGAAACGACACATTACTATCTAAAGGCACGATCTTCGCCACTAGCGGATGAAGGGTTACGTGTGATAAGACAACTTCTCGACTGCAATTATACAGATTTACGTAAGTGTGCATTTTAACACAAAAAAAACATTTACTTCATGATTTAAAATTTTAATAAAAAATGAAATAACTATTACAGGAGACTATATAAATTATGGCAAACGTCACATAAATCTCCATACACATAACTTCCGCCTGTGGAGGCATTGTAAAAACAATCCCGAGCTTTTGTGTGGAGATCCAGATTTTTTGTCAAGAATGTGCCAAATGTTTCCATTTCAAATAATGAAGACTGTGAGAATGCGACTTCGATATGCAGAATCTTTACTACAAGACCCTAAGCTAGATGTTCGAATACTGTTTTTAGTTCGAGACCCCAGAGGAACTTTGAATTCTAGGAAAAAGTATGTCTTTTAATATTGGATTTAATCTCGAGTTAAAAACGCTGCAGTCTATTATTTAACACGTCTCAAGTTTTTCTGTTGTTGCCTCTCATTACTTGATCGGGGTTTGAGCTACACATGAAACCCTAATATTTTTCTAATGCTCTAATGCTTTGCTTTGCGGTTCAGATGAAAAAAAATATACGGATAAAGTAATTTAAATTGAAACAATAGTCGGGATTGGTGTCCTACGAATCCAGACTGTTTCCAACCCTCCAGTCTCTGTTCTGATCTGGTGGATGACTACCAAGCTGCAGCCTCTCTGCGCGAAAAATTTCCAGATAGGTTTTTGTAAGTTTTGATAGATAATTGATTTGTGTGATATAACCCCATTAATTACCCATTAGACAGAAAAAGATGCTATGAAATGCTATAATTATTAAGAATTAAAATAAATAATGAGTGCTTGCTCATTCTCACAGAATGGTTCGCTACGAAGACATTTCCATGAATCCGTTTTCTGGAATGAAGCGTGTCTTGAATTTCTTCCGGCTGAAATATCATCCACATGTTGATGCCTATATTCGAACCCATACGACGAATACAATGGGTGGAGTCTCCAGCACCTTCCGCCACTCAAAGTCAACCCCATTTCAATGGATCAAATACTTTGCAGACGGCAATAATACTGAAGAATTGGAGCATGTTGAGGAACAATGTGGAAAGGCAATGCAACTCTGGGGATATGCCCCCTTGGATTTGGACACCAGCAATAATGCTACCGAGTCCATGATATTGTTGAAAGCTCCATGGCCGGAAATGGTCCTCGCACCAGATGACGAGCTCAACACTAGTGAAAATCATCAAGTGTCACCTGAAAGGTGACCCAGATCTCACAATTAGAAGAATGAAGTCTAAATAATTTGTTGGTTGTTTTAAGAATATTAATTTATCGTCGTTTAAATGTAGCAATAAAAGCGTATGTTCTACAAAAATCGTTTGAAAGCACTCATGATTTTTTTTACACACACATTCACAGAGTTCTTGTTAGCCCATTGCATATACCATTGGTACATGCATGTCTATGTACATACGTTACGTATGATACGTACATTGCAAGGCATACAATTCTCATTTGAAGCGATATGTAGAAGAGGAGAGGATATTATAGAGATTCAAATCCTTTATGGTTTTGCTTAAAAAGTTCTACAGAACATAACAGCTTGAACAGAGTTTGAAAACTAAAGCGTAATAATGTTGTTGTTTTGATACGTTATCGGACAAATTGTCAAGTGCATATTTTCTAAAATGACAAAATTTAATACTTATTCTAAAGTTAACACAACTATTGGTAAATATTATATTTAAACAAATTGTTGAATCGTGGTGTACTGAACTTGAACGATAGTGCTTTGATTATGTGATTATTTTTTGCTACTTGGTTGGTTGGCGGTGTCAGTTTATTGAAATTATTTTCGGGACATGACTTTAATTTGCTACGTTTTATTTTGTGCCATGAAATACAGTAGTACAACAATACGTAATGACAATTGACCATAGTCAATAGTTGTGATGTGACCTCTGTAGAACATAACTAACAAATTTTACTTCATCCGCTTTGGTGAAAGCTTTTATAATTGCTGTCCCTTTATGTCTGCAAATATTATTTGTTCAACTCGCTATTAATGTTTTTCCCTGCACGGTTGCGAGAATTATTATCTGATGACTTTTAACGTTTCCTGTAAAATGGATGCAGGGATTCGTATGAAAGTTCTACGAGGGGGTCAGCTCGTGGATGAGAATAATGGGGTCGAGTTGGACGAGGACGAGTTTCAACATTTAATTGTCATGACCTCCCCCCAAAACCCGCAGTGGAAATGGGTCGCAGGTCTTCGACTCATCTTCTTCGCCTTTCTCGCCGTCACTCTCGCCACGGTCCTGTTCATCGTTGTCAAAGACTACACCCAAGCCCAACTAACTTGGCTGATGCAGCCAGTAAATAAATCTCAGGTGAAATAAATGCATATTAGATGCTCAATTATGTCGGGCTATTATAATAAACTTCCATCTGGTTGTCTTTAGTTGCTCAATCTCCACCACCTCCAGACGAATCCTCCCGTTGGAGGAAACGCCACCAGTCTTGATAGTTCGACATCACTTGACAGTTGCTTAATTGACGATGGGTGGAAGTTTGATTGTCACCCTGCGAACGGTAGGAGACCTCCATACATGCATACGCACATATATTTTGGGCGTAGGCTTATTATACCGAGGTGTTGAATTGCTGGTTTCAGTTGCTACGGCGGACGATTGCCTCAATCGAGGGTGTTGTTGGAAACCACTTGAGGTCCATAATTTGCCGTGGTGCTACTATCCCTTGGGTTTCGCATATTATGTGTTCACGGAATTTGTTCCAACGAAAACTGGTCTGAGGGGATCTGCGGTGTCAACAAGAGCATCTCCTTACCCGAAGGATGTTAAAAATTTAAATGTTGATATCATTTATGAGACTGAGGATATTGTTCGAATTAGAGTACGTACTTAGTATTTAGAGAGATTCTAATTAAGAGACATGATGTGTGCATGCATACTAAAAGAACGTTACGTTTACAGATCACTGACGCCAAAAATTCCCGATATGAAGTACCTTTTGAGTATAGTAAAACTTCCTATGATAAAAAACCTGACATTTTGAACTACTCTGTTGTAACTTCCCGTTACGGTATACAAATATTCCGGAGTGCAGAGAAAACTCCTGTGTAAGTTCACATAGACATGTATAGTGTTATACTGATTTGGGCTAATTTAATTTGATTTTAGTAATAATGCATTCTTCCCTTAATTTAGATTTGACACGACAATTGCTCCAATGATTTACTCTAATCAGTACCTTGAGATCTCTACAACGCTGCAAACTCATTATTTATATGGAATTGGAGAATCTGTAGATTTTTTGAAAAGAACAACAAACGGGTCTCGCTATGTTCTGTACAATCACGACAGAATTCCAGGATCAAACGTTAGTAATGTTATAAATATATTATTTAGCTGTATGATTAAAATTTGCTGTAACGATAGACGAATAATTATGGGAGTCACCCATTTTACATGATAATGGACAAGATGGGAAGAAGCCATGGGGTCTTTTTGGCAAATAGCAATGCTATGGGTAGGAAATGGTCAAAATTACTGAAGTACCATACAATACTATTTAAGTATTAAATATGCATGTGTATTTTGTGAACAGAAATAACAGTGCAGTCTGCACCCTCACTAACATTTAGAACACTTGGGGGAATACTTGACCTTCGAATATTCGTGGGACCTAAACCTCGAGACGTAACTGACCAATACACGCAAATTATTGGAAGACCTATGATTCCTCCATACTGGTCGTTGGGTTATCACTTGTGTCGATTCAACTATGGGACTCTCAACCATACCGCCGAAATTTTGCAAAATAATTTGCAAGGTGGACTTCCAATAGTGAGTTGGCCAGATTAAATATGTACAACGATACTAAAAATAGACTTGCAAATGACCTATCGTTCCTTATTTTTCATTAGGATGTCCAATGGAACGATTTGGATTACATGCATCATTCAAATGATTTTACATATGATCCTGTTAAATTTGCTGGCCTCCCAGATTTCATTGACGATATTCACAGTGTAAAATGAATAGTTTTTTTGATAATGCGTAAAACCATGTTCTTTTATTATTGCTTGTTACTATTTTTCTGCTTTGTATTTGCAGAAGGGAATGCGTTATGTCCCTTTGATTGACCCCGGAATTAGTAGTGGAGAAGCGAAAGGTAATATCACTTTAGTAAAATGGATAATAAATTTATTTGGTCATTGGACAAACTGCTTATAATGTGCCCTTTATACCTTTAAGGAAAATATATACCGTATGAAATGGGCGTAGAAATGGACATTTTTATCAAAAATTCTCAAGGGCATATTTTTGAAGGGCATGTGTGGAATAAAAAGGGCACAGTTTGGCCTGACTTTTCACATCCAAATGTCACCCACTATTGGATGAGACAACTTGATTCCTTCAGAAAGAGAATTAAATTTGATGGAGCCTGGATTGACATGAATGAGCCTTCCAATTTTTACAATGGTGAAAAGAATGGTTGTATCAAAACTTCGGTGTTGGACAACCCTCCGTATGTTCCTCGCCAAATTGATGGAAACACGCTGTACTACAAAACAATCTGCCCTTCTGCCAAGCAAGCCGGGGGCACACACTACGACCTGCACAATCTGTACGGAACCCAAGAGACGATCGCGACTTATAAAGCGCTGGGTGATATTGTTAGTGAAAGGCCGTTTATTATATCCCGAGCAACCTTCCCCGGTCAAGGCAGATATGGAGGCCATTGGACGGGCGACGTAGTATCCAACTGGGAAGATTTGCGTCAAACCATACCACAGATTCTTACATTTGGTCTGTTTGGAATTCCAATGGTGAGATTTAAATTCTGATTCAATTTAACATATTAAATTATATTAAAACTACAATAACCACAATAACTATGCGAAACTACAATTTACAGGTAGGGGCGGATATTTGTGGATTTAATGGCAACGCAACTGCTGATTTATGCAAACGTTGGCAACAATTGGGTGCATTTTATCCATTTGCAAGGAACCACAATACAGATGACGGCATTGTATGTTTATCATTTGTCTTGTTTTTTAAGTACTTGAGCTGAAACTATTACATACATATACATACAATTTATTTAATCAAACAATGTAGCCTCAAGATCCTTGGTCAATGGGCAAAGATGTATTCGAGGCTGCAAAAGAAACTTTAAAAGTTCGATATGACCTTCTCCCGTACATTTACTCCTTGTTCTTCAGAGCACATCTTTCAGGAAGGCCAGTCGCACGAGCATTATTTTTCGAGTATGCAATTCTAATTTTCTTCAGTTCATTTACTGTTTACGGTTTAAATAATATGCGAATTTACCTCTGATAAACAGATTTCCGAAGGATGTTCTTACATTTGGAATTGACACTCAATTTATGCTTGGACCTGGTGTAATGATTGTTCCAATTTTAGAAGAAAATTATACGAAAAACACCATTCCTGCATATCTTCCAAAGGGATTTTGGTATCATCACTACTATTTGAATGACGTTATCGAGTCGCTTGGAGAAGTGCACGATCTGCAGATACCAGTACACTCGATACCAATTTTATATCAAGGTGGGAGCATTATTGTAAAACAAAAGGGTGAACAAAACACTGTGCTCTCTCGAAAAAATAAGTTTAGCATTGAGGCATTTTTATCATCCGATGATACTGCTGACGGAGAGTTCTTTTGGGACGACGGAGTATCCAACCGTAATTATGCAACAAATATTCCACAACGTTGTAATAAATATTTTACTGTGAGAATAATCGGTAATAAGTAATTAACTTCTCTATGTATTTCAGTTCCAAAAGAATTAGTACAGTACAATCAGTACAGCTTTAAAGTATCAAAAAATGTTCTCACAATGACAACAGTTTTTGGGGGCTATGATTCTTCGAGTATGGTTTTGGGAGACATCACCGTCCGAGGAGTACGTGGCTCGGTAACCAGTGCAATTCTAAACAACGTGGATTTTCCGTTTAGTTTCGAAAATAAGGTAAAACATAAATAAATACATTTGCATATGAAATGTTACCGGTGTTGAAAATAATTCTTGGGCTGAAAATTCTGTAGGTTTTAACACTGACGAATATGACACTTCAAGGCCCTTCTGGATGGACTGATGGCTTGACGCTCGTTTGGAGTTAATAGCATACACAGAATCAATCAATTAACGCGGATAATAATCAACATGTGATACAAGAATGCCTTGTCGTTATAAAATAACCGTATTTAATAGTCATTATGTCAGGGAATTTGAGTGTTTTATCCATTTTTAACTTTATTCAAATGTATTTAGACGAAAAAGTGCAACAATAGTTATATATTTTCGCGTTTTGTCTACGTGCATGATATAAACATAGTTATTAAATGGCATTATAAAGTCATTCTAATGTACAATACACTTTTAATCTCTGTAACGAACGAATGAACTTAATAACTTGATAAGTTACGCCAGTGACTTGTGAGCAATCAGTTTGTAAATCACACGTTGCCCTTATGTAAGTCATTCATACGTGACTTCACCTTCTGACTCGACTAAGTTATTATCACAATTTTGATCTGAGCATTATTAAATTTTACTTCACTTTAAAAATATCGCAGAATACTAAATTATTTTGGATTTGGTTATAGCCATTTTTAAAACTAAAAGCAAACAGGTTTTTGGATAAAAAAATGCACATGACGTGGAAATCTAAACTAACTCTAAACTTCCACAGCCCCAGCCCCAGTAATGCATACCGTTTTTAAAATGTCAGGAAAACTTCCAAAGTTTCCGTCCATTCCCGAGCTATACCTGAGGGAGTCGGGAACATTAGCATATTGACCATAATTTCGATCCCGTCCTTCAAAACTCCGGGACATTATCAGCGGAGTCGTCTCATTCGCCATTCCTGAGCCGGAGTGATCAGCCAAAGAACAGATTGACGATGATCGTGATGTAACTCCTAAAATGTTGTCGCTGATTCCCGAGTCAGCCTCAGTTGTCCCGTCACGACTATCATCTTTACTTGACTGACAAATTTGGCTATCGTATGGGGACTGAATCGTGGAAAAAAAGAGTAGCACGAAAATTGCAAGTCCGAAAGAAAGCGCTGCCATAACTGTTGCGGAAATCGGAAAATCAAAAGTTTCCAAGAGATATCCTCCAAGGCCTGGTCCCATTACTTCACTGCATGCGTAGAATAAAAATATACTTAAAGATCATATGTCAATAGTTATATTCAGCTAATTGTAAAATATTAGTAAGTCTGTACATACCCCAAGGAGTAAACTGATGACCAAAGGCCAGCAATCAGTCCGTAGGTGGATGTGTCATCAGGATATCCTGCATCACTAGGAATATGAATAATAAGCAAACTAAACATTTGATCAACTGTATCAAAATACGCCTTATGGATTTATATATATCATACAGTGAAAGGTCAAGTATCGCTTCAAATGTTGGAAGGAGCGTCATTGCAATCGAGGTACCCAATATAATCAGAGCCACTATGTTTAACCACACTGAACTGCAAGGGTTAAACGACGTATAAACAGCATTTTAAAATTAACAATGCCACAAGTATGAAAGATATTTATAATGTATTTAGATGTGCATACTTGATTAAAGGTAAAAATGGACTTGGGCCTAAAAGTAATAGTCCAATTGTGTTCAACAACAGGCCAAAAAACATAAGAACCCAAGTCCTTTCCATTTTGTCAGCAACGTAGCCCCACTAGCGTATACAAAGAGTGAAGTTTAATTTAAAATTTAATGAAACGACAAAAATAAAAAAAATACCCAATTAACTCACCAAAGGGGATGTTGCAGCGTATAAAAATGAGTTAAGTAAGAAAAACAGTCCTAATTCCTTGGCTGATAGGTTAAACTGTAATTCAAGATTTTCAGTTAACATGTGCAAATAATTGTACGTATTTATCTTATAAATTATCAAACATATTTTACCTCAGACAAATGAATTGACAATGTTGGATCCAGGAAGCCTGTACAAAAGTTTCATGTAAGTTAGGCCAAACTGGTACTGGATTTGAAAATTTCGCTACCCCAAGTATGTTTTATACTACATTTTCTGTCTTAATTTAATTTTCTACACGTGTTTCTCACCCCAGGTGTTGGATGCTATTATTACGACCAAGCAGACCACAAAAACCGGAGGAAGTTTAACGAGTTTCCACATACTTCCTTTGCTATTTATTTAACGATAATCAGGTATTAATATCTTTAAGCATTGATAAAAAACCGGTAACGAAAGCAAACTATTCAATTCAAAATTTACCTTTCTACCACTTCCTCACCCCAATCTTCATTTGGGAGAAGCATCATGTTTATGGGAATGGTGGCAATCATTATGACGCCCAAAGTACAGAAGGGAAGAGCATAACCACCCAACTAGATAAAAATATGTTAAAAATATTCATGTAGACAAAAATGCGCATATTTGTGTTAATTTTCAGTAAGATAACCACGTAGCACGTACATCATATAAAATGCCTCCTATGGCTGGGCCAAATGACATACCTACATACATTTAAACGACTGGTAGTTGGAAAGGCAGAAATACTTAAGATATGTACAAAGAACTTACCTAGCCCCACAAAAGTTTCCAAAATACCCTGCATGCAAATATCTTTAAATGCTTAAAGTTTAACACAATTTGTATTGTTTAGAAACTGTATTGGACATACTAAGACAGCGCCGATGTTGTCAGGAAAAATCTTAGCGACGAACGTGTACGAGCTGGTGGCGAAAGCAGCAGCCCCCAGAGCTTCGAATATTCGAACAAGGAAGCAGTACGTAATAAAAACGGGAGTAGATTCCACTTGGTCCAGCATCCTATAAACCGGTCGTTGTAAGTTTAAAGTAAACTATCAATTTTTCACGGTTGTATGTATGCTTTACCCAAACAATAAATTACAAGCTCCTCCTAAAAATACTCCCAGAATAAGTAGAAATTTAGGCCCCGTTTGGCCAACCTGAAAAAATTAGCCCAGGACTTTAACAAACATTTTTAATAGGTAATTTGAAAATCATTAAAATTCGGTAATTATTATACACATACCACAATCCCAGTTAACGGCGAGGCAAGGAAAACGACTAATGCGTAGACAGAAAAAACAAATCCAGAAACGGAAGTCGAAACTCCTTTGGCAGCCGCCTAAAAAAAGATGTCAAATTCTTCGTGAAGCATTATGCACATACAGATTTTTTAACGGCGTTCCATGGACTACCATAAAAATATTTACCTCAGAAGGAAAGAATGGGGCCAAAATGCTCATGGCACAAAAGCTCGTGAAATCTACTAAGGCAAGAGAGCATAAAACTAGCCATTGCCTTTTTGTAAATTTTGGCACGCCTTTCAGGACATAACGCTGATGATTCCCGTAACGTTTTATTAATTTTTCTCGAATTGCTTCAACGTCTTCATCCACCAAGGCGGAAAAATCTGGTTCAGACTTTGTTCTGAGAATGGGCCTAAGCAAAAGTGTAAACAAATTAATTAGGATAGAAATGTAAGATAGAAAATTAATTCGATGGATGTGATTCATGCTCATTCCTTTGTCCTTCCCTTTGAATATTACCTTCTGCGACTTCGGGCAACTTGAAAGTTGACCATTGCAGGCCCGTTCGACTGACGAGATTGCTGGCGAATTCGGTGGATAAACCTCTCACTTGTATGATGACACATGACATTGTTCTCGCCCAAACCATTCTGATGCACTTCTTTCGAAGGAGAAATAGATCCATATCCTGAATTTTGTCCTTTATTTCTGTCATCGTCATTGGTGCCCATATTTCTACGGATAGTCACATTTCCTTTAAATCTCAGTTCTTAATGTCATTAGAAAAAAAACTTAGCAAGCATTGAGTCTCACCAGGATAATATTCCAACCAGAGTATAATTATAGTTAAGTAAATGTACAAAAACTTTTTAATTTAAATTAAAAACCCCTTGATAATTAAGGACTTTGTACATATATTCACTAAGCATTCACTTTTTGTCCTGCAATAATTTCTATTTCTTGGCACTTTTAGCTTTAATCGTTGATTAGTAAATTGGAATAAAATTTCTTTGTTTCGTGATTGTCTAGATTGATTAGATGATGCCCACGCATCCACCATTCCGTAGAAGTTGGGGTTGACTTTTTACCTCACAGGAAAAATGTGCTAGATTACCATTTGAACCGTTCAACAGTTCAAATTGTAGCTATTTGGTATTGGGTATCTTTATGATAAGCAAGTCCCAGCAGGAAATATTCCAGTAGGCCACTAATTCTCATCCAGTAGTTAGTCTAAAGAAATAAAAAAAAACCAGATTCATGAATCAAAGCATTCGAATAAATTTCAGATTATACATACGCATAAACTAATGACACTGCATGCATACGTACGCAGCAAATCAGTTTTGATTGCCCATTAATTAATGAAACACAAACAACCGAATCGCACTGGTTTTAGAATGAACTGATTAATGAAAATGACGAATCCGAGCATAAATGGGTGATGACCAGTAAACTCGTAATATAATTTGTAACATAATTTGTTACGCAATGTGTAATGGAAATTTTTTCATTTTCCAGTTCCGTCCGTCTCTCATGCTTAAAATGTGAATTACTTTCACATTTTGAAAGGTTTGAGAGCTTGTATTACATGTCGTTACACAAAAAAATTGCTGGTTAATAAATACATATAAATTAATCCTTGGTCTAAACTTAATCCTGATTAAGGCAGAATTCAATTCAGCTAAGCATTTACTGCGTCTACATATACGTATATGTGTATTTCTATTTAACATATTTATTACCTGGCATTTGGTATACAGACTTGGATAAAACAATGAACTCTGACACAACGGGTTTTTGTGTGAAACCAATTGAGTCAATTTTTTAGTAGCGCTGTAGTACTTATGTGTATTAATTACCCAAACTTTAGGAAAAATATTGGCACTATCAGTCAATCTTTGTGGAGGTGTCCATTATGCAGTAAGTTGAAAGCAATTTCTGGTGCTGGCGTGTGTATGATGTGTGTGTATGTCCGTTCTGAAGTGTTTAGTGTGCAACTACATAAAATCCTGGACAAAGATCAGGTGCAAACTAAGCAATGATAACAACATGGTCCTAATAAACAGATAATTGTGTTTATTCAATTGCATGTGACGCAACATGAGCATGAGGTTGTTTTGATTCAAATATGAAGGTAAATTTACTGGACAATAGACAATTGTGCACTTTGTCAAAAATATGCCGGTCATTCTCAATGGAAGACTTACTCAAAAACGAAAATGAATATTCAGGATGCACAGATTGAATTCGTGGTCTCATAAAGCACGCCATTATGTATTTATCTATGGATAATTATATTAATTCATGTCAGCTAGAAAATTCTTGCCTTAATTTAGCAGGGTTCCCAATGATTTTTTTCTCTACTCAATCAATTGGTGTAGGTTCAGGTAGCTTCATTTCAGAACTGCAATAAATCTTATTGTGATCTTACATAAATCAGCCAACCGAAAATGTTTTATATCACTAATTTTTGCTTTTCTATTTTCACTATTGGAGTAAAATGAAGGGTAAACTAAGGAGAATATGACAATTTCAGTTTTATGTAATCAGCAAGGTTGTTATACAGACACACCGAAAGCAGTTTCTTGTGCTTCTTCTTTCTGTGCAGGTTTGTAAATGTTGGCTTTAATGGCAAATCCTAACCATGTAAATGTATGGATAATGGATAACTATATCACGTTACGACCAACATGTGGGAAGTTTTTTTCCTTTATTTTACTGTGATTTTATAATGTTCAACCGCATCGTATTTCATTTATGATTATGACGAGTTCGGTGATGTCCAGTGCTTAAATCTTGCAAACTGTGCATGCATGGCTTAATAAAAACTGTATTCTTTTAAACAAAATCCATCAAACTATATATCCATGAAACCCAATCTAAGTGAAACGCAATCCAGAAAGTAGTACACATTTTACTTCAAGACAAGTATAAAAATTGGATGAGACGCATATTCGTGAGGTGTTCTTGTTCTAATTTCAGACCATGAAATAGTGTAATTCCATAGATCAGCAATTCATGCCGGTAGATTACAAATACACATAATCAGCTCAAGTCATAACAATTGATTTTAATCCATAGTTCGGTTTAATTTTTGCATAGACTGCATTAATTTCCAGAGAAGATTTGCTTTCATCTGCTGATCTGCAAAAGCATAAAGCGTAAGTTTAATGTTTTTCAATCTTGTTCAATTTGATCACAATTAAGGAACCATCAATAAGCTTTAAAGCTTCCGTGTTTTATTTTTTTCCGTGATTATGCAAACTCATGGAATATAACCAAATTACAGATAATATGTGACTGTAGATCGCATACTTTTTTATTGACGTAGTTTGATCAGTAAAATTGCTGACGAGGGTCATCATCACATTGTCTGTGATCACTAGCTCTTTTGTACACATAGTATCGCCTCATCTAATGTTGACTTGTGTGTACACATTGAAACCATGCAAATTTGCAGGACAGGATCAGAATTTTTGTAAACTTAGGCAGAAAACGATGATGAATTTTAACAACTTATCCTTAGTACAATACTTTATCATGTTATCTAGTTCAAAATGTCTCGGAAGAAATTGCTGCTCATCGGTGCAGGTGCAGGGTGATTATTTTGAATCTTTTATTTCTTTAAAATTTATGATAGTAAATTTATTTTCAGGACCCACAAGCTCCCTTATCATCCACAACCTCCAAAGTCTTCCACATTTGAAGAATGCATTTGATATTCAAGTCTGGGAAAAGGATCGACGTGTTGGAGGCCGATTCTTGACCTTTCAAAGTCCCACTAGTTCATCCTATGGCGACTTGGGTGCGCAATATTTGACATCGTCTGGCTTGTCCTTTAGTCAACCATATTTCAAGGGTTCATCCTAAAGCATACATATTCATACAAGGCCACAGCATTAAAATAAATACAAATTCTGGAATAGATTTACTGGACAACAAATTAATCAGAAGATTGGACACGCTGAATATTCCTGGTTTTAATCACGCTCATTCTGTTGGAAAAGTTAACTATGTTTGTACCTCAGGAGCTGCGTCCATTGTTGAGCACTTTTTTCATCAGGTCTCATCCTAAACTTTCTCTTTGATCACTACACCTCTTTCAATAAGATAAGTAAAATGAGCATGGTAAATATTATTTACAGGCTGATAACATTTCTCTCAGTTTTGATAAGCATGTGACAGGAATTAACACCTGCAACAACGGTCAAGTCAGTGTGATCACGAAGGGAGGAGATCAAGAAAATTATGACATTGTAATTACAACCATTCCAGTGCCTCAGCTCTTAAAATTGTCTGGTTCTGTTTTTGAAGGTAATTTAATTACATTGCATGTGAAATTTACGACAGTTTTAAACTCTATTCTGTAAATCGTACAATACAGAAAACTCCGCATTACAAGAAAATCTCAGAAAAGTTCAATACACAACCAGATTTGCTCTAGGGTTGTTTTACGACAGCAAAGAAGGTCCCTTCGCAAATTTGCAAGACTCTCAACCACTAAATTTCATAGACGATCCGATTATACGATATTGGTCGGTGGAGAATAGAAAGCGAGGGACAGAAGATCATGAACAATGTGCAATTGTAGCGCACACATCGGTAATGTTTGGGGCTGAGAACATGAATAAATCGCCCGACTCTGTAAAAGACCTTCTTTTGGAGAAAGTTTACGAAAATTTGAAACCAGCAATTAGCAGCACAAAGCTTCATCACTTTGTCAAGTGTCATAAATGGAAATATTCCCAAGTAAATAATCCGACCAATCCGACTGCTGATAAAAAATAATTATTGTAATTAACTAAAGCGATTAATTATTGTATTATTACATAGGTAGCAAACCCATACCTAGGAACTCCTGGTTTCGTTGAACTTACAAAGTCTGTCATTGCTGCCGGTGATGGTTTTGTGCGATCAGGATTTGAGGGATGCATAGAATCGTCGCAAAAAACTGTCGAGTTCTTGTTGAAATCGTTGATTTAAGAATTTGGCCTAAATTGTTAGTAATAATTTATTACTGCATAATGCTATACTGAATATTGTTATTTATTTTTTACATCATGATTGATTATAATGTTATTATATATGTATTGTGGCACAGGTCAATATAAATAATTATTTTTTTGTGGCACTGCATGTATATTGAGGAAAACTCTTGAGCAAATTTCGATCCATTTTCATGATTATTTGAGCAGAGCTGTACGTTCATCATCGCCGAAAGGATGTTTTTGATTGACAGCATATCTTTGCAATTCTTCTGATGTTCGTTTCACCGTGTCCTTGATGCTTTCTGGAAGTTGTTCCCATTGAGTTTCACCTGGGTGTGGTGCAAAATAGTCTTCCCAAACTCTTGTGAAAGGCAATTTCCTCTCTTCTGAAAAATTGAACATGATTTACACATTTTGTTGGAATGAAGCATATGCGGATGAAATATAGAGGATTGAATACTTTCTGGTTTTCTGAAACAGGGACATGCACAACGGCAAAACGACTCCCAGCAGCTTGACACATTATCAGTGAATCCCATAATAAATGCAAATAGCAATCTCCCTATTTAATTGCAAATTAAAACACTGCTCTGGTTGGTACAAACAAATATATGTAATTATTTATTTTTGCATCAAAATATGTGTATGTGCTTTTTTGATATATTTTTTTATTACGCATCCTTGCAATTCCAGTTACTCTGACATTTCAAAATAAATTCGAAGAATTTCAAATAACACCTGAGAAATTCAACGTCATATTTATTGTGATGAATAATGAATACGTTTAGTCATTGCAGATGGGAAATGTGGCATCAATTTTGCATATGGTCGACCCTAGAATCCAGAGGATTACTTACAACGGAGGTCTCCCGACGTATGCTCACAGATTTGAACCAAACTGGTATCAATCGATCACAAATTTAATTAGTATGGAATTTGCAAATGGCACTATCTGCCAATGGGCACGTTTTGCAGAGATATTTGCATCTGAAAAGGAGAAAAAGCGCAGTAAATTTGGAAGGTGTAAACTTTAGGGCTCGTTTTTTCTTCTTTTAATGCAAATATCTTTGCCAAACCCGAGTATAGGCAGATAGTGCCATTTGCAAATTCCATACTAATTAAATTTGTGATCGATTGACACCAGTTTGGTCCAAATCTGTGAGCCTAGGTTGGGAGGCCTCCATTGTTAGATGAAATTTGCTATACTTTCACAAAAATCTTGTATAAGTGTCTTCTATTTCACCAAAAATATGTTTGTTATGTATGCGCTAAAAAATTATTATGTTGTCTTATTGAGTAAATACTTATAATTATTTGTATCTTTTTATTACAACACAATAACTTCGAATTAATAACATAAAGTAAATAAGTTATTCTGCAGTAATAAAGTTGGGTCAAGTCAATTCAGTGCTGCCGTTCAATGCGTCAGTCAAGGAACAGAGATGGAGGAATTTAATTAAACGTAATGTGTATTATTTTGCATGTGCTAACTAATTGATGAGTAGCTACATATCTTATAAAATATTCTGCAGGCTTCATTAACGCAGGGTTATTTCATAGTTGGAGGTCTGGCATCCAAAACTGAATTCAGGCTTTCCATTTGTCTCCAAAGAGGTGAATTGGCAGACACTGTGTTGTCTGAAATAATTAAATGGAATTAAATTTATTTTAAGTTAAATTAAGCATTTGTTTTCTATTAAATGCTGACTAACCAGAAACAGATTTAGTAGCCTTTAAAACAATTGGCGGCTTCTGGGCGGATGAGGCTGAAATTTGATCACCAATTGCCAATTTTGGAATGCCGATAGCCGATGATTCATTGCCCATTGTTCCGTTTTTAAGATAGGCAAGTGATTTCGTATTACTGACTTGAAGAGGGTTGGGTGTGTCTGACGACTCACTAGAGACACACAGATAACACAATGGCAATTAATTTTACTCGAAATACAAAGAGTATAGGGGAATTATTTTAAATTATGCCTTATTACATTTTATTTTTAGAAACATTTTTTGTAGTAGAATGCATTCCTTGGAAGTTGGCATTTTGTATTCCACAAGTGGAGGGGTACTGGCAATGTTTGTAGTTCATCTCGGCCCCAAACTTTGGTTGATCGCATTGTAACGTATTACATGTAGCATTCTTATTTTCTTTTTTCAATAGGGCACTACTTTCCTCGTTTTCCTCATCGCTTCTTCGCCTGCCTGTGTTACAATGAAATATTAATAATTTGAATAAATACATAGCGTGACTTTTTAAAATATTGTATATGTCTTGGGAAAATGCCGAAAATGCTCACAATAATGGCAGAAAATTATCGATTTCACCGTTGTCCACATTGTTGAAGCTTTCAACTTGAATTGAAGGTGTTATTAATTCGAGTAGTTTGTTCATTTAGGGTTGTTGGATTTTCATTGCATCATGGTCATGGCTACACACACTTTGGTTATTGACTTTGAAGCTGTTTCTCAATAGTTTTCATATAAGCATCGAGTTCATCTTCGTCGTCTTCATTATTTTGGTTCATTTGTAAGTTATCTCTAACTTTAGTATAACTTGGAGAATTGCAGTCAGATTTAACAGTCAAGGTTTGGATTTTGAATTCAATATCTGAGCATCTTACTGGGGGCTTATACATCACATCTTCACAACTTGATGAATCGATTGAATTGATGTCACATGGTTCCTCTCCATCAAAGTATTTTTCTTGTTCATCTAGTTCCAAGTTTTCACCAATATCATACTCGTCATTGTTATCCACACTTGCATAGTCAAAGTCAATATCCTTCCCATCCAAGAAATGTTGATACATTGTGGTGAAGAACTCTTCTTTTAGAATCTCTTTCTCCTCATCTTCAATCTCTTCACAATCATCCTCGTCCACAATCTTCCCTTGGCTCCTTCTTGATGGTGAATTGCCTTGGTCCATTTCTTCATCATCATCAAAATATTCATTGTCTGCCTCTTCCTCCTCAGCTGTTTGCTGTTCTTGATCAAGGCGTCGATAACTTTCACCCTGCTCATTACGGTTCATATGTGCCATAAGCAAATCCGTCAGGGGAGTTTTCGAACATGCGGCCGTGTTATATGATCGTGATGCAAACGCTTCCTTTTCTTCCTTTGACTGAAATTTTCCTATTAATTGGTCAAACAAAATAGGGTTTCGTCTCTGCATTTCTTCTTCTGTAAAGTAATCTGTCGTGTCCACCAATTTTTGTAAAGCTGCATAACGTCTGTTCTTTAGACGGAGTTTAGCACCTAAACAGAACAGAACATGATATCATTTATTACTAGTTCGTGATAATATTCTGCTCCATTTTTGCAAGAAAGGAGAATAAATTAATCCAAAAATAAATTCATTAACTAGCATGGAATGGATTTTTCATACCGCTCAGGTTTCTGTCTAATAGCTTCAAATATGTTTCGACACCTTCGTCTTGTATGTCCCGCAAACATTGGAATTGATTCGACTGGGTGAAATGTTTTCCAAAGCTGGTCAAAAATGTGAGAGGGCTTAGAACGAATTTCTCCCTCAGAGCATCAAACTTCTCCTCGTTGGTCAAATCGGTTTCAGTCTTTTGTTGATTTTTAACCCGCAACTCTGGTATTTTTGACAGCATTTCCAGCATTTCTAATTGACTGCTCGTCAGTTCCTTCTTGGTTGACTGACTGCTGGCCAGTTCTGAAACAAAGAGGGTACAAATAAATAAATAAATAAATAAATGTAACAAATATTACTGCACGAAATAATTCCTAGTATTTATCTATATGTAGTAGTTGTTATTATGCCTTGCCATTACTGGTGGTGAGGTCTGTTGAGTTATCTACTTCCATTTTCAATTTGTTTCCGGCCGGTAATACCGGCCCGGTATTAAAATTTTGTAGACTTGACTAACGTAACTTTCACCTCCAGTCGTCTATCTAAACTATATAAAGCAGGCGAGTGTATCGCTGCTGGGTCGGTGGCTTTTTTGAGAAGTTAGCCTCTCCTTTCCTTTCTCCACTCTGCAGAGAGAACAGGAGAGGCTAACTTCACTAATGTTAGGGTAACGGGCTTATCGACGGGCCTATTTTGCACGTCAATTGACGGGCTTCTACTGTAGAAGTTCTACACTAGTACGATATTATTGAGTTAGTCGTAGTTGGAGTGAGCGAGAACCTCAGTCTCGTCTCATGCACTCAACCGGCGGCCACCACAGCGGCAAAGCCAACTCGCACCTACGACGACGTAATTAAAACTTGAAGCTTGTGCACCGCACGGAGAAAGTGTAAAGTGTAAAGTGAAAGCAAAATTTACAAGTCTACCACAATAAAAGCATTAAAAAAGTACGATAGCTAATAGAATATGGAGGTTTCGTCCGTCGAAAAATCAGAGTCGGATGTTTTTGTGGAAGCGGTATGCACTAAATTTGTCATTATATAATATAGTTTATATTATGTATTTTTTGCATTCTTTTTTAAAGTGAAAATTGCAATTGAAAACGAATAATGCCAAACGGACGGTAACAAATTGGTATAATATTATTCAATTATTCTGAATTCCATATACTTTTAGCTGAGCGATGAGGACTTGGCTCACGAGGAGGAGATTTTAAGAAACCCATTTTCTGTGAAGCATTGGATTCGGTACATCACCCATCTCAAGACTGATAAAAAGAACAGGAAGGATCCAAGAAGACTTTATCTTGTATATGAGAGATCCTTGAAGGAACTTCCTGGCTCCTATAAATTATGGCATGCTTACCTTGTGTTTCGAAAAAGTCACACGTTAAGGAAAGGTCCCAGAGACCCTTCATTGCAGGTATGGTTCTCGGTTCTCACCACTTTTAATTGTAGATGAGAGTAAGATTGATTGGGAATTTTATTTGTCCAGGAGTTGTATGTGACGTTCGAAAGATCCCTTGTGTTCATGAACAAAATGCCCAGAATCTGGATTGAGTACTGCGATTTTGCTGTGAAAACTGGCCGTGTTACGCAGACAAGGAAGATCTTTGATCGAGCTTTGAGGTCACTTCCAATTACTCAGCATCACAGGATATGGCCGAGTTACGTGAACTTTGTCACAAAGCAACATACGATTCCAGAAACAGCTATTCGAATTTATAAGCGATACTTAAAGGTAAGCTTGTCCTTTTTAACTGTGTATTACATATTTCGTAAATGACGGCAAATTTACTATTTATAGCTATGCCCTGAGCACGGCGAGGACTTTATCGAGTATTTATTATCTGTCGGTCATTTGGATGAAGGTTAGTGTCATGCATGCTTCTTCCTTCCAAGTATTCCTTCGGTTGTTTAAAACCTCTTTATTTTTTATTTAGCTGCCGTGAGATTGGCAAATCTTGTGAATGATGAAAATTTCAACTCAAGAAAGGTGAGGAAGAAAAAAATCTATAATCAACCAAACGGCAAATGTTTTTAGAAATCCTCGTGATTAATGAATATGAATAATCAATATGCAATCATTACAGGGAAAATCCAACTATATGCTTTGGGCAGAACTGTGTGATCTTATTTCAAAAAACCCAAAGGAAATAAAATCTTTGGACGTTGATGCTATTATTCGTAGTGCATTAAGGAGATATACCGATCAAATTGGATCACTCTGGACCAGTTTAGCTGATTATTATGTCAGATCAGGATTATTTGAAAGGGTAATTTTTTTATTAAAGCTTTTTAAGACTTCCGGACACATATATTGATGTTTATGTAACATTAACTTGTATTTTAGGCTCGCGACATTTATGAAGAGGGAATTAGAAGTGTTACCACAGTTCGAGATTTTTCTCAAATATTCGACGCATATGCTCAATTTGAGGAAGTTTCTTTGACAAAGTTGATGGAGTCTGATGGATTTGACGACATTGTAATAGAGATGCGTCTAGCCCGTTTAGAAAATCTGATGGAACGCCGACCCATTCTTGTTAATTCCGTTCTACTTCGCCAAAACCCGCACAACTGTAATGAATGGTTGAAACGGGTCGACTTGTTGAAGGAAAAGCCCAAGGAGGTGGTTATATACTTATCTACTACATTACTTGAATCATTCATTAATCACAATAGTGAAACATTAATTAATTGAATCATTTTTATCAATTTAAATTACAGGTCATAGCAGCATTCACAGAAGGCGTGCAAACGGTTGACCCCAAACAAGCAGTTGGAAAACTGAATGCATTATGGACCTCATTTGCAAAGTTCTATGAGGAGGCAGATCAATTGGAAGATGCCAGAGTAATATTCGAAAAAGGAACGCAAGTAAACTACCTGAAAGTCGACGATTTGGCCCACGTGTGGTGCGAGTGGGCAGAAATGGAATTGCGACACAAGTTAGTGTTTCAATCGATATTATTGTTTTTTTATGAATAATTAAGCATAATGAAATTGTAAAGGTTTATTTGTGTTTTGCTTAAAATTCTAGAAACCACAATGAAGCACTTCGTTTAATGTACACTGCAACAACTCCACCGACTGGAGTAAAAGTTTCTTATGCCGATGAAACTGCTACGGTACAAGCACGATTATATAAGAGTTTGAAGCTCTGGTCATTCTATGCAGACTTGGAAGAATCCTTCGGTACATTCAAAACATGCAAAGCAGTTTACGACCGTATTATAGATCTCAAAATTGCAACTCCACAAATCATTATGAATTATGCCCTATTTTTGGAGGAAAATCAATATTTTGAAGAATCTTTCAAATCCTATGAGAAGGGAATTAGTTTGTTCAAATGGCCTCATGTGTATGACCTTTGGAACACATACCTTTCTAAGTTTTTGGATCGGTACGGAGGAGAAAAAATAGAGCGTGCCAGGGATCTGTTTGAACAGTGCATAGACACTGTACCCCCAAAATACGCAAAGAATTTCTATTTGCTATATGCCAAACTTGAAGAAAAACACGGAAGTGCACGTCGAGCAATGAATATTTATGAAAAATCAACAAAGGCAGTGGACAAGAAAGATCAGTATCAGGTTGGTACAGAGATTGCATATGCATATATGATCTGGCATTGTCATTTTAAAATTACATATCTGATTTGTTATTTGTGTGTTAAATAATATAGATGTTCAACATTTATATTCAAAAAGCTGCCTCTTTGTATGGTGTTACAAAAACTCGTCCAATTTTTGAAACTGCAATGGAAACACTGTCTGATTCTGACGCAAGACAAATGGGAATAAGATTTGCAGAACTTGAAACTAAATTGGGAGAAATTGACAGGTAAACAAAACTGAGAAATAAGAATTTATTTAAAGATTTTCCTTTTTCACTGATTTTTAAAAAACTTTTATTCAGGGCTCGTGCTATTTTTGCTCACACTTCTCAGATTTGTGATCCACGGGTATGCATATTTTATTAATTTTCAAAGCGGAACAATCTATGTTAAATTAGCACAAGTAAATTAGTCTAATTTGTAATGTATATAAATGACTACAGGTATCATCAGATTTCTGGGCTGCGTGGAAGGATTTTGAAGTTCGTCACGGGAATGAAGATACGATTCGAGAAATGCTTCGTGTGAAACGGTAATGCAGTTTTTTTCTTGTTCTGTGTACTTATAATTTCGACATAGAAAGTTTGTACGTCATACGTGATGTCTCGTTTTATTTTACACAGATCCATTCAAGCAATGTATAATACCCAGTTCACTGCTCATCTCATTGCCCAGCAAACTCAGCTTTCTGCAGCAGCAGGAGTTCAATCCCAGGCATCGGGAGAAAGCACTACTACATCAGCAATGAAGGAAATGGAGGCAGCAATGGAAGTTGAGAAACCCTTGAAAAGACCAGACCAAGTTTCTTTCGTACGAGGTGATACCCTAGTTCAAACACATAATGCAGAAAAGACTGTAGCCAACCCGGATGAAATAAACTTGGATGAAGACGAAGAAGATGATGATGTGGCTGACAAAGGTAAGCAATGGTGATGAATCTCTGCACACGATGATGCCATTCGCTCAAAAGATGAGATTGAACTGTATGTTTGTATTACTGTGTATTACAGGCGAAGAAAATGAAGATATGGAGGTGGAGAAAGCACACATCCCATCCGCCGTCTTTGGCTCTTTAAAACCTGTGGATAGGGATGCAGATGACGAAAATGCTGATGCTGATGACTAGTGTGTATGTACACTGTATCGATGTGGATTGTTTTTTACCTGGTATATCATTATTCTCAGATTAATAAATAATTTTTACAAAGACTCGAGTGCCTCATTTGGGGAAAGTCGAGAAAGCAATCTACGTTTGCTAAGATATACTCGGTTCTACTTTTCCCACATTTAACTAACTCTAACCTTAATTTTATCGTTATCACAATACCCGACTGAATTCATGTTAGAGACGTCAATGAGACACCTCCTCCGTTATGGACATAATCAATCGTTCGTCTCATGTTCCTCTGCTCTTTGCTAATTGCCTCTCTGCTGTTGATAACCTACATTTAAAGCAGCTCTATGTAATCCTCTAATTTCTTTAAGTCTGATCGTAAATATTGAAGAAGCACGTAAGTACGTTCATAATGTAAAGCATTGTAGAAATAGGAAACAATCCTAAAATAAAATAATGTGATTCTCATCTGCTACTACTGACTGAGTAGAATGCGACGATACGATATAGTAGTACAGTCAGTGGGTGGATGTGTTTTTTTGTCTCATCCAACCTCCTCTCACATTTTGTGCCTATCTTTTCAGTTTAACTCTTTCGAGAGAAATCTGCACTGGTTCTGGCTCGGGGGTTGTTATATGACCAGCAAAAGAGACATAGTCAGAGTCTGATTGAATGACCAATTCCTTCATATCCTTCGTTCGCTGTTGCCTTCCTCCTCAACTCGTCGTCGTCGTCGTATTCGATTGAACCCAATAATGAGCTCGGAACAAACAGATTGGGCAGATGTCCTTTGGAAACTTTGAAGAAATTAATGCCGAGCTGGAAATATTGAGAGAAAGAAAGGAGAAAAATGTTCACGATCATCTCATCTCGTCGGAGTGTGGTGAGACATAGTGGCGGATATATGGAGCATAGGCGTGCGGCGTATATAGCGGCGGTGGTGGCGGTTAGCTCGGGGGTTTGGAGAGGGAAAGCAGGAGCCGTTCCCTCCACAGCAGTGTGTGGCCCACAGTGTGGAAACAAATTGACTGGTTGTGAAAATCCTCAAGCAACAAATTTCGATTCTGGTGGAATTTTGGCGAAAAGGTGGACCCCTTGCTGAATCCGTCACTGGTAAACAACTTTCACTCACTTTCTCCCATCAGGTCACCCCACAAGAAGGTCGGAGCGAGGTTGGTGAGGGCAAAGTGGCCGTTTCGACACTGCCTCCTACGAGTAGCAGGCAGGAAGATGGCCGCCCTCAACTCGCTCCGTCCTTCTCGCGCTTCCTCGACCTAAAAACTCCCCACAACCGCACCTCCTCCAAATTTGGAACTGTTCCGCACTCCCTGTTTGTTGGCACTAGAATGAGCTTTCGTAAAATATTTTTGGGAGGATTTGATGCAGTGGTGAGGTAGTGGTGGCAAGCAGCAGAGAGTCGTTGGTGCTATTACGTACGCATATAGTAGTACCACACATACCGTGAGCATAGCTTATATAAAATCGAGTTCAGCAGAAAGCAGCATTGCATTGTATATACATAGAGTGCGGCGGCGGTGGTGGTGTAGGCAGCAAAATAGAAGAAGGAAGCACCATCATCATCATCAAGCGCGATGGTGTTGGGCGATGGGCTTAGCAGCATTGGCAAAGGCAGTTTTCCACGGGGCGGAGCGTCCCTGCACAGAGGACATCCAGAGGCGCATTGGACGGAATTCTACGACGCTGCGGTGCCTCAACATGCAGAGGATAGTGGGTTCAGAGAGAATCATCCAATGCTTTTCACCATTTCTCCATGAGTTTCTTCGTCTTGAACGGTCCCACCCACTAGCTTGGGCCCACCTCGGTTATCTGGCTCTTGTCTCGTGGCGATTCAGGTCAGCCACCACGCCTGCAGGCCCCCCCGTCCCCACACCACCCTCGTGTGCGGTCTCATTCTGCTGGGCTTGACGAGTCCGACCTCCTCGCGCAAGAATGAGCACGCTATGACGCTCCTGACCGGAGATGTCGAAATTTTCAAACAAGCTTCACAACGGCTTCTTGTCGGCAAAGGTGGTGGTGGTTGGTGGAGGTTCGTATGCAGGACTATAGAATGGAATTTTATCCGGATAAGTTTCATTTCTGCTGCTAAAAGGAGTGGCAATGGTCTAACCCATCCATATCTTTCACTTGTTTAGATGAAGTATTTATGAAAATGTCACTTGCTTTGTTTATAGATTTTAGTCGATATGAAATATATGATTAGGAAGGGGCTGATTCCATAAGGTGTAATACTTGCATTTTGTAAACTACGTGACTCATGAGATTGCAGATTCTTTCGTTGACCATTGCGATACCAGGTTTCATGCTTATGATAATGCCAAATTATTATGGTGACGGTCTGTGCAATGCAATTAGTCCAGCACAACGTACTAATAAATCCTCACATATTGCCACTACTGGTCCGGAAAATGCAATGAAATTCACACAAGCTGCTTGTTTATGAAGAATTTGTATCAGCACATACACTACGTTGCAGGTTGATCAATTTCGTAATACACAAGTATTTATAAGTGAAATGCAGTTGTATATACAATACAACTACCTCGGTATACTTGTGGAAATATATAACTTACAAATTGCATGCTCAGAAAAACGTGCATATTAACATATCTCATCTGAGGATATATCCGTATTCAATGATACAACATGTACATGGTTCGTCAATGACTTGGTGGTTGTTTTGGTTTACACATACGCATATTGGCAACCTCATTCATTTTCGTTGGACAGTTGGACGAAGAAACGGTGCTGGTCCATTCCATGGAATTAGATATGCTATGCTATACTTTCTTTCGCAACTAAAACATACAACAAGCGCGTATAAAATGCATCATAAACAAGGTCGTAACATTCTATGTGAGACTGATGAAACAGAACATGCCCCAGAGTGAAATGAAGGGTATATTCATAGACATAGATAGCTAGGTGCATAATAATACCATTATTTGATTTAAATTCTGAATGTGGACTCAAAATCTACGGTTTCTCATCGCCACTGTGTACTGGTTCTGCCCTAAGTACCTACCAAGCAGCATCATATCATCAGTCAGAACTCAGAAAGGGTATCAGCAAGGACTGGCTTTATATCATTGGTGTGTGTTGATGGACTTATGGAGTCGCACTTTTACTATTCATCACGATGAACTCCTCTACCTACTGCAGATGCGAGGTGTCAGTTAGGGAGCCTATTCATGGAGGGACATGATTTTGCTGTGTGCTGGAGATGTGAGACGGTGAAAGTGGGCTTTGTTGGGAAAGTGAGAAAGCATTATGGGTATCTCACAGTATAGAAGCTCAATATCATGATCAGCTCCATAAAGAAAATGTTGACCAAGGTTCTTCTTCTGCTGGGTTTCAATTTACTGTTGAAATGCATGCATTCTTTCCTGAAGAGGATGCCATGGCTTTTTCTTGCTTTCTCTTTCATGAGGATTGGGTATAGGGGCAAGTTGGAACTTTCTCCCCTGACCATCCAACTTGCTATCGTTTGCGTATAATGTCGTACTGTCATTCTCATCAGAAATGTAGTAATAATATTATGCAATCTTGATATTTTGTATGGACTTTTTAGGATGCAGACCTTTCAAGCGTCATGTCTGACGGAGGGCAGCAACAACAGCGGGTCCTTGATTTAATTGAGTATAACAATACTTTTAAAATCTTTCATGCTAATTATGTTGATCTTATAAATGTACTCTGAAATTGCTTTCCTTGAAGAACAAAACTAGTACATACGTAACTAATAATGTGTTTTGTAAATAAATTAGCGATCCAAATGCATTGGAGTCATTTTTGGGAGGACTCACATCAGACAGCGAGTTACTTCCATCCGCAGAATCCGTGGACAATGTCGTTGCATCCTTGGCCCGATCTCTGGAAGCAGACTATGAGGTTGACTCGCCAAACGAAACCTTATTTGACACTCTTGAAGCATCCTCCAATAACTTGACTGACATATCGCAGTCGTATGTACCCTCTGACTTTGAAAATGCTATTGCAAATGCTACTGGAGGAGGAGGGGGTCAACAAGGATTTAACAATTCGATGGGATCTCTGTCCAATGGCGAAGTCAATAATCATGTCCTTCAGCAACAACAACAACAACAAACATTACAAAATTCATTGTCTAGCATTGTTACTTCTGGAGTTGACCAATTTCTTATGTCATCTTCGCAAACGAATAGTATCGCATCTTCAAGTTTACAACAATTAACTTCTAACTGTGATTCTTCGTCATCTGCTTCTCAATTCCTTCAACAACATCAGATTCAGATGAATCAAACTCAAGTAATTCTGGATAGTAATAATGTCACGTCGTCGTATTCATTTAGTCAAGAACTTTTGCAGAAGCAGCAGACTATCGTCAATCAGCAAACTCAACAGATACCTAGTCTTTCGTCGACGACCTCATTAAATCACCAACAAACTGATTCCTCTTCTCTGAATCAGTCGATCTCTGTTTCGATGCCATGTAATCAAAATAATAATACTGGGCAGTTGACTACTCATAATAATGCATTTCAACAACAGCAACAAGCTGAGGTGCCCCAACAACAACATGGTCAAATACAGATTATTAATCAACATCTTCAACAAGTACCCAATAACTCGACTTCAAATCCTGCTGGTACAAACAATTCCTCCTCGGCGACTAACAATGATGGCAGTAACAATAATAATGTTAATAATATACCCATCAACAATAGCGCTAGTATTTCTGTTAGCAATTCGTCTATTTTACGAGCACAACCCCATTATATCCAGAGTACTACCCACCCACAGCAGCAAACAACCCTAAATCAGTTAGTCTCTGCAGGGCAGACGGTCAGTCTAGCGGGTGCTCATCAGTTACTGGCCACCTCAACGGGGAATATAATGACAACGGGCCAGGCTCAAACCAACATAATTCAACAGATTCAAACTGGAGGAGGTCAAAGTTATATCACAATGGATCAGCCTACAACTGCGCTAATTGCGGGACCAGGGACCTTCGGCGGAGCCAATTTAGCATTATTAGCTACGGGGGGTGCTCCAACTTATGCAGTAGTAAATACCGGAACCCAATTTCTATCAAATACAATAATGGCACAGCCCCAAGCCTTTCAAACATGTTTAACAAAGGGCCCGAATGGAACGTACTATCAGACGACTGCAGGTGGAGCAGCCCAGTTGGTTGCAACATCGAACGTTGGTCAGATTCAAAACGTGAATGTAAGTATGGCAAGTAGTCCAATCGCCAGCAAACCCAAGCAACCTCCACAGTTGTTGCCGAAACCTCAGTCCAGCTCAAGTCCTGCAAATGTTACGACAAACGAGGTCGATGGTAATAATATGTCGGCGCCATCCACAACTGTTCCTAATGGCGCACATAACACAGTTTCCGTCAATACATCCGATGGCGTAACTCAGATTTTTCAGCAACAACAAGGTCAAGTGGTGGTTACATCTGTAGGCAATACAATGATTCCTCAACAATCTTTCACAATCGGTGGTGCAGGACTTCAACAGATGGTTATGTCTCAGGTTTGTTTAATGAAGGAAATCTGAGAACTCGATACAAACACAATTTAAAACGTTTTTATTTATTTTGCTTTACAAAACTTTTAGAATGCAAACCAGCAAACACAACTAACTGGAACAATCGTTGTTAATCAATATGGCCAACCAATGTTGGTGCCATCAGGGGGACAGCAGGGAATTCAATTTATTGTGCGACCTCAGCAACAAGTTTTGACCCTTCAACCTGGGACAACTACCATTGGTGCCCAAGCCAATAATGGGAAACCAATTGTGCGATATGTGTCGCAAATGCCTCAAGTAGCACAGGTAAAGTCTGGTTACATATATATATATATATTGCGTAGCCTAACCATACACACATACCATCATCTATTGATTATATATATATCTTTCTTTTTAGACCCAAGGATATGGTCTCCAGCAAATCCAAACGCCCAATGGTCCCGCTTGGGTTGCTGTCCGATATCCGCCTGCAACAACTTTGACAACGTCTTCGGGACAATTTAGTCAGATGCAAACCGACTCAAATATTATAACTTCTCAAACAGCTCAAATTTCTTCGCCTCCACAGCAGCAGCAGCAACACATTGGTCAAGTACAAATTCAAACAACACAACCGCAGCAGCTAGCGTCAACTCCGATAATAACAACAACAGCAACAACTCCAAATTCTCAAACACAACAGCCAGTAGTATCCCAGCCACAAAAACCACCCACAACTAACAAGTTGCAAAAATCTAATATCCAACAGAATATAATTGCAACCCCTGACTCATCCTCCGAGCCGTCCCCACCCAAGAAACCCAAGTCTAAACCAAAAGCAAGCAAAAAGAAGGTCACGTTGGACTTGGAGCAGCTATTAAAACAATCTGGAATAATGGACGAGGACCTGCAAGACGACAGCTCATTCGACTTTAGTTTCTCCAGTCAAGATGCCACTCAAAATGGATTTGACATTGACTTTTTGCAAACACCTTCAGAAGTTAAGACGCTAAATTCTTTACAAGATCCAGGTGTCAATTCATCAGGTACATTTCAATCATTTGCCGTGATAATTTTTGTACCTTTATAATAAAGCTTTCTCTAAAGCTGGGAGTAAGATATTTGGCTAAGTAAATAGTATATTTATTTAGAATCAGTAGTACATCTTGATTTCTGGTTTTAGGGAAGACAAAAGGTGGTGGAAAGAAGAGGCCAAGTACATCAGGTGGTTCCACTGGTGGGAGTAGTAATAAGAAGAAGAAAAGTCCCCAAAAACAGAAACCTCCAACACCACCTCCTCCGCCCCCGCCCACACCTCCAACTCCTAGATCACGGCCCAAGAAAAAAGGGGGAGGGGGCAACCAGAAGGCTGATTCCAAGACTGAGAATTCAAAAAACGAACCTGTCAAGAAAGTTTCCAGTCTTGATGACATCATGTCGTCAATTGATGCTGTAGCAAATGCAGCATGCTCTCCGTCCCCACCCTCTAGCCCAGCGTCATCACTTCCTCTAAGCAGTCCTGCACGCGTTCTTACTCCTGCGACTCCTGCTCCAATGACACCAACTTCACCTGCCATTCCTTCCAGTATTAAGCAACCTTCCACGCCCATACAACAGGTTCAAGTGATGGCTCCAGTCACACCGACATCTTCATCGCTTGTATCTATAGCCTCTAACGGAATCAACAATAATCCGAACCCGGTAGCCTCCCTTGTATCATCAAACGCAGCAACAAGAACAACAACCAGAATAGTACAAACAATTCAGTTAACCCCACAAAATCAACACTTATTGAGGTAACTTGTGTTTATTTCATTGGAAATTTCTCTAAGTATTAATAAGTTAAACATGATCTCTTACTCATTATATGTCCACAGGAATATCCAGGCCCAAATTTCTAGACTACTTTCCCTTCCTAAACGAAACGAAACTGAGCAAACGGCTCTTCAGAAACTGATTGTCCTACAACAACAAGTTATTTCAACCGGTATTATTATTTTCTAATTTATAAAATTTCTATACGAATAGAGCTTCATGAATTCAATCAACAGACTTTATGTTTTATGTCATAAACGTTCATAGATTTATTCCCTACTAAAAAATTGAAACACTTATTGTTACGTTATTAGAGTATTATTTATTTGGCTTTATGAAATTAAAATGTAAGCTCTCTCTACGTTGATTTAATGTATGGTTCAAAGCTCACAAGATATTCGTTGCAAATATTTAACATAACTTACTTATTTACTTCTAGGAATTCCTGTTCCAAACCCCAGTCACTTGAGTAATGTAAGTTGATGAAGTCCATTAAGTTGTTCGTTTATGCAATGCGTTTTAAATTGTTAAAGTCAAGCCGTGTGACACTGTTTATTAACTTATAAATTTAAAAATCTATATATTCCTTGCTGTATGGTTTGGGTGATTTATAACTGTTTGGAAATTCTAACTCTAGTGTGGTTTTGGGAAATTATATTTACGCTTTCCAAGTAATTACATGAAAGGTATTAGTTGTGGGTAGATCTGGTTTCATTGCTACATATTTAAACCCACAGTCAGGGTAGATATTAAGAATCAACAAATCTTTTATGAAAATAGATCTGCAGCTTACAAGAAATTCAAAAAGAATATTTATAAAGGGATAGCATGAAATCAAGTGATTGGTGGTGGTAGCTTGTGTTAATGTTTGCCATTCATTGTTGTTGTACATAGCTGGCTCAATCTACGATTTCTAATGTTCCTGCGTCAACATTATCTACAACTCCATCAACGACATCGACTTTGGGAGTTACCTCTTCGTCTACCTCTACTATCGAGTCCGTTGCTTCTACAACCACTGCGCCAACGTCCACAGCTACAATTTCTTCCCCCACTAGTAATATTAATACGAATAATAACAATTCAAATTCTCCAGTAACTTTGTCTGCCACCAATTCGAATGTAAAAATTCTCAAAAAAGTTACCATTCCTACTTCAATTGACGAGCCCAGCAATGATCTTAGTGGAAGTTTTATTGAAACAATGGCTAAAGTAGGTACAGTTAATAATGAGAGTTCTAATGCAAACGTTGGAGTTATGGAAGAAAACAAGGTAATCATTGGAACAGATTAAATGATGCTACACTTTGTTATGCAAAAAGTTGTACCTTCACATTGTCGTCATCATATTCTTTATTGATGACGACTTTCTCTTTTTTTAAGTTATTGAATTCAATCATACTTAGTTAAAGCGCATGGGATTAGCATGATAAATTAGCACAACCTTAATTATGCTTTTATATAACTTCTCCCCACTTACATATGCTTACATACATGATGCGTCGCATGCTTTTGACATCCTATATGTTTATAATTCTTGATTCAGTGCTTCAACCTTAAAATATGGTCATTTAAATATTTCTCGTATATAATATATATTTCTCTTTTTTTAGGAAAATGCAACTACCAGTGCTTCAAACATGGTTGTATCATCAAGCACATTTGCTTCCGGTACAAGTACAACTAATGCACTGGGGCAGCACCACGTACAATCCTTTCCGACTACATTTAAAAGCCCCGTCGATGAAAAAAAGGCTGATGACCAGCGCGTTGTTAACTTGAAAGTAGAAGAGGAAAAACGATCCAGATGGAAAAAAGAAGAGTATGTACACAACGCACATACAATAGATACATGCCAATATAATTTGAGATGTGCATTTGATCAAAATAAAATTAATTGTTTTTGAATATTTCACTTTTATAGGTTTGAAATGTTGTTGAAACGAGATCAACAATGCGTGACTCAACCAGATTATGAAATCCCCTTCACTGATAAAAGAGACGCGGTGGAACGATTAATGAAATATCACATTCTTCGTGATCGTAATGATATGAATTTTGAAGAATTTGACAATGAGTTTTGCGATAAAGCATCGGTCCTTCTTGATAAATTTCATGGAATGGTTTCGAAATATCGATCATTATTGCTGAAAGAATCGATGGTAAACATTTATGATTTTAGACATTCTTATTCTAACGAGATTTTCTATATCTATTTCCAAACTTTCTCTATATTTTTAGAAAGAGGTTGGTTGCGCAGAGAGGGTTATGTTAGAAAGAATGTTTGTGACGGAAGAGAAGATGAAGATGGAACAGGATAGGTTGTTTATAAGTCAAGGCGAAGGTAATGATATATAGTTTTATACATTCATTTACGTATATTTCAATGATAATAGTTGAGAGTGTCTAAATTTATATTGTCTGAATTATATAGTACTCGACCTTCCACCACCTCCAGCAGGTTGGGTTCCTAAAATCCAGGAAATGGTCGACAAAGAAATGAAGGAAATGGAGCAGGACTCCTATGTTAATATGCAAGTTCAATCTGCTATAGATTCCATTATTGGCTTTGGAAATATTGACTCGACGAATGCAATTAACGACGATGAAAATAAGGCAAGTCACTAGTTTACTAAAACTCATAGCACAGAGAATAAGAGAGGACTGTAATAATTTAATTATTTTGGTTGTTTGATGTACAGATTGAATACGATGCCTTTGGAGTGCCAATTAATAATAACGGGGGTTTGAATACGTTTGGACTGAACACGTCTTCTGCCGACATAGATGAAGCTGTGAGAAGTATAATGATGTGAAACTACCACCACATACACTTTGTGACAAACAAAACAAAACTCTATACAAGTTAAATCATTTTAATATTAGGTCATGTCGTTGGACGTACGTATGTATACTGCCGTTTTTTGCATTTATTCTATTATTTGAAACATACACCTATGGTCAAACTAATAGTGTGGCGAAAAGAGTAGCCACGTTGGGAGTATTTAAACACACAAGAATACTCTGATAATAAGGAATCAATTGTGGCATAAACTTTCTCATTTTGTACTATTATTAATACGAATTATGTATTCATGCATTTTACCCTACCTGATATCCGTAAATGGACTCTGTGTGAAACCTACATATATGTATTAATAGTCGTATTTTCTAATTACATGACATGCATGATGAGGGAACTCAGGGTGTAAAGTTATCAATATTATGTTTGGAACACCTGTGTTTGTATCTGGGCTTGGTTAATACATACGGAGAAAGTGGCTGGAGACTTAGTAGCTTGTGATATATAGGTTAACATTTTCTTGTAGTTAAGAAAATCATGTCGTCTCAACTAAACATTACGTAAATTAAGACTTGTGTACTTGATTACCAGTGCTGTAACGGTTGCTGAAATTCAACCGATAATATTATGACACGATATAAGCCCGTACTTTTAATATGTCGAAAAATATTTTAATAAATGATTACAAACAAGAGCTGAACCTCATTTCTCAGTATTTCAGTAAAATGAATGCATAAATGATGCAATTTATAAATATATAGAAAATATAATCATCCAAAGTGCTTGAACGCATACATGTAATCATTTCAAACATTGTTAAAATTTTATTTTGTTTCCTTGTTAAAATTATGCACTGGGAGTTTGTGCACCATGAAATTTCAGTAAAAACAACAAATAACAAACAAGTGATAAATACATGTGAGCTCATCATCAGAGCTGATTAAAAAATTGAATATAAATAGTTTCTAAATTAATGGTCGCCTCTAAGTAATTCGAACAGCAAGTTGAAACCATTCGATCCTTCCGTCTTAGCTGTGAGCATTTCTTTCCCAACCTAGTTTCAAAACAATTGGTTATAAATAATCAGCCCTGCATTCCTTCTGCATTGTGAAGCTGAGTGATCATAAATACCACTGTACGAAAAAGAAAAATAATGCATTAAAAAAAATACTCACTTGGCAGATTCGTTGTAATTCCTGTAACACATAATTCAACACACGTTTAAATGAATGCATTTAATTCGAGGTATACGAATTAGGGCGAAGGAACAACTTACAGGAATTTTCAAAAGCAACTCTCCAAATTTGGACGGAGACTCTGGACAACGTGCCAGTGTGTATGCTTGGAGACATTGCAATAGTCGCTCCTGAGATTCTCGAACACGGTCTCCCTCGTGCAATTCATCAACCTCTGAAACAGAGTAAAGGCTTTAATAGCTAATGGAATTAAATGGGATGAAATTTTTTAAATGTATGTACTCCATTAATGTATTCACTGTTTAAATATTAACTCACCGGATGACATGAGGATGATGACTTTAAGTGCTGCGTATTCTACTGAAAATTCCAACAATTTCTTATTGTTATTTTTAATTCTCTTGTAATACATTCCCTTAAACACACAATTACTACCAGCAAAATGGTCCTTACCCGTGTCAAGGCGGAGTCGTCGTAAGTTTTCCGTGAAATGAATCATTCGCGTTATGCATTGATTTCCATGAGCATCATTTTCTTTGAGACTGAAAATTAAGTAAGGAAAATGTAGAGTGCTGTGGGTGTGCATGTACATATGCATGGACAATCCATATATTTACCTTAGTCTTTCATTAATTCGAATACTTCCAGCCGGCATGGGGATTGATCGATAGCAACCTAACACATGAAGTATGTAAATGGTGAAGAATTAAATGGATAATTGCATTGCATTGCACAATGATAAATAGTAAACTGTGTCAACTTACATGAGAAGAGAAGCAGCTCACACCAAGAGTTTAAGAGCAGTTTGGTTTGATCATCCACCTATGAATAAACGCAACAACAACAAAACAAATGGTTATCGTACATGTAAATAAAAGTACATGTAGCCAGAAATAGTTGCAAGCAGATTTTTTTAAAATCCTGTATGTATGTCCTATGCATACTTGAATGTTCTTGAAGAGGGGAAGAGATTTGCACCATTTCACCAGTCGATATAGCCTCCGATCAGCAGCAGCACATAATTCCTGTAAGTAATCTGCATTGTTGGCGTTGGGTCCATGATGATGAGGAGATGCTTTTGTCAAGTCGCTCTCCTGATCACCATCAGCGGATAAGTGCCATAATGACTGTTAGAATAGTGTAATGAATTAATATGTAACCCCGTATTCGTAAGTAGTTATTAATAAAACAAGCATATAACTAACCTCGCACTCCACAATTTCCTGTAATAATAATTCACAATTAAGTATTGCATTACACACAATTAAATCCACTAGGTAAATAGTTTTTTGATACCTTGAGAAGATCTGGGATTTCCCATGTTGGTGCATTTTGTTGTACATTTTCGGAAAGGGAAGGCGTGGCTGAGGTTGGAGGAAGGGTGTAACTGCAAGCGTATGTGCTTCTACCGCCTCTGGTTCTGTCTTCTCGAATTGCTTCTAATCTCATTCCCTGCTTCAAGCATTTGTCAAAACGACATGCAGGGCATTTTTTCCTGGTAGCGATCTGAAATGCAAACATGACTCGTGTAATTTCATGAATTATTTATAAAAAAAGGACTGCATAATAGGAACAAATTATTGATTTCACTCACGGTTACATGGCACGAAGCTCCTCTAAGGCACACGTAATTTTTCCTGTTCTGTACGGTTCTCTTGAAGAAACCCTTACCTTGAGAGGAACAAGCGAAGGTCATATAAATTTTAGATCCAACATTGAATTTTACTTCACCCGAAAATTATGATTGACATCTTAAGTCTAGTCTAATGTGAATTTTTAAATGATGTGAAAAAATTGCAGACCGTTTGTCTTTACGAAAATACATACTGTAGTATTCCTATCTACAAATGCAACATAAAACTGCCAAGACCCTCGGTGACTAGTGACCTTCAATTAAAAGTGTGACACGTATGTAGGTAGTTCGCTAACGAAAAAATCTAAACTATTCATTTGAAAATTAAAACTCAAGTTTGACAATAATTTAACGACTCGACAGTAATTTTGAGTGTTGATTAAAATTCTTATAAATTCAGAAATTCTCAATACTCTCTTTGTTTCTTTTGACATGCACCATTTTGTTGGTTTTTAAAACATAAATTTCACTTACAAGATTCACAGGAGAAGATCCCTGAAATTATTTATAAAGTCATATTACGTAACTATTTGTAAAAAGAAAAACACAAAAAAAAATCTTATAGAGAAATACCATAATGGAATCCTGAGATTCTATCTCCACAAATGGGACATGGACTGCAAAAACCGAAAAAAAATTAATGATTGGTAAAATATTATTTAAAGCAAGGATAAGGGCAGTATAATACCTGTTGATTAGTTGCGACCTAGAAATCCCTTGAGATGTGAGATTTGAGGACAACAGCACAGAATCCTGTTGATCACCATCTATGTAGCAGATTAGTAATTGTGTAATTAGTTACTTTGCCCAATGACATTAATTTCCTTTTATCTGTTATGCAATTACCAAAATCCTCCACTTTATTAACTACACGATTATGAGACAGTAGTGGGGAGTTGGACGGCGAATAATTCTGAAAAATATTTATAGGTGATTATTAATTTCTCAATGTCAATGCACATGCAATTTTTAGCTATATAAGTATTGTATGTTTGTATATCTCACCTCTATGCAAGGTGGGGTTGTGTTGTTTGATGAGGAAGAAAAGCTTCGCTGTGAAGCGTCTGAGTTATGGCGAGATAAATTAGACGACGGGGTTGACCAGCCTCCCAAGGCAGAGTCCTGCATGGAACCAACCCAACATTAGCAAAATATCCAAGCGAATCAATAAACTAATGATGCATAAGTAAAATAAATTGTAAAAATTTAAAAAAATATATATAAAAAGTTGATACCGGGGACGGAGGGATTTTCGGGAAGGAAAGATTCATCGGTGGTTGCGAATGCTGCTGTAAGATCATTGTTGCAGGTTGACAACTGCCCAGATTAGTTTGTGGACAATTGAACGACGAGTTATTTTGCACAAATCCACTACTGCCGTTTATAGCACTACTGGAATTACTGTTTCCAGTTCCCAATCCGTTCAACCCATTCAATGAATGGTTCACTGCATTGTTGAGAGAGTGTGGGTGGTGGTGACCGTGCTGTTGCTGGTGGTGCTGATGAACTTGGCTTTGGTTTCCAGCTCTATGTTGTAAGTTGTTGTTATTGTTGGTAATTAAAGCATTGTTGTTGTTTGGAGCACTATTATGTTCACACAGAACTGAGGACGTCAAACCATGAACATGTGTGTTTCCATTCACAGAGTTTGTAGTTGTACCATTACTAATATTATTCGTACACTTATTCGGAGGTAAAGACGCCGGAAGCGGTGGGGCACAAGGACTGTTGTCTTCGGATGAATTTAAGCCGTGGGGACATGGTTTGACATTGTTTTTGGCTACATGCACCACTCCTCCGACTCCAGAATTGTTGGCATTATGTTGGTCTGAAGAAGGGCACAACAACAAGGATGACTTTGCAGGAGGATGTGGATGAGGAGGAGGAGAAAGTCGAGAAGAGTCGTCAGAGTGGTTATTGTTATGATTTTGATATTGAGATGGTGGTGGAGAAGTGTTGGGAGGAGTATTGGCATTATTCGAGGACAATGTCGTCGGCTCTTCTGACCCGGAATAAGGACAATTGCTATTGTTATTATTAACGTTATTACTACTAGTTGTAGTAGAGGAGGAGGTCGAGTCCAAGGCACTTGAGGGTTTCGGAGAGGAAAACTCCACGTCGTTATCTTCGTCGTCGTCGTCGTCGTCTATGTGCGCGGTATCCACGTCCTCTTCCTGTGGAAATTTAAATTATCAAAATATACTGATAATCTATCTGCAGCAGTCTATCTTGCTTACATGTGTATGCAACTCAATCAATATTAACTCAATTTGTTTTGAACGGCACTTTATGCAATTTTGCTGTTGACTAATTAAGTATTTTCAGTCGAGTTCAACTCTTTGTTTGTACGTTTAGCCAAGCTTTTCATACGAAGAGCTATTTGTAGCTCACTACGCTACAAATGGACACGATAAACTGTTGTTAATAAAGCGTTGCTTGTTGCTCCCATTCATAAACTTTTCAACTGATTGCCTATTACTTTGTCATGCAGAGAGATAGAGAGACGCATGCATATATATGTACATACATACACTAACGCAGAAACGTTAGTTCCGTGAACACCTCACCAGCCAACAATTAGTATAACTAATCATTAATATATGAGCATTGGTTTTGGTGTCGGAGTATGCATGGTGGCCATAAGCACTGTACTAATAAGTACGTACAAGCAGTAGTAGTGGCGTGAATGACCTAAACAAACTCCACACACCAACCGAAAGGAGATGCTTTATTAGTCGTTAGTTCGTGGTGGAGCGTTCTGTTATCCTGCAAATATCCTAATCATCATTGGTGCAGTGCCATTATTGTGTAGAGTGTCATTTCTTGATGGCTGGCTTGTTCCTACTTTTAATGACTTAACACTTTGGGAGATATATGTGGAGAGGTTAAAGATAAAATCCCGTATAGCGGAGATATTCTAATGGACTCATTGTCGTTACCTATTCATGCCCTGTGTTGTGGGAGGGATGTGTCTGCTCCTAAATTACCAACTAACTGGCTAAAAAAAGCTAACTGTGATTATATACTTAAGCCATTTTTCTCTCTGATTTATGCGTGTACTACATCGTGCAATATTAATAATAAATTTAATAGAATGCATCAACGTGTGCCAATACATACGTTTCATTTGATTAAATTAAGTTACAAAGAACTCCTACATAAAACTTTCATTGATTCACGGAAAGTGTATGCCAAGTTAGTTTTTGGGTTAAAAATCGACCAGTATAACAAATTCGAAACGTAATTGAAAAGTTTTTCTTACAATAATGATGGCATCATCGTTGTCGGAGAGTTCGCCATCCCAGGACATGGGTCGAGGAGGGTCATGTCTCCCACCCACCCCGTGAGCACTATCGCCCTGGTCACCTCCCTCTCCTTGTGACGATATCCTCGCAATCTCCTCGTCACACTCGGCTTCAATGCTCTCTTCCATCCTTCGAGTTGCCCCTGCTGCTCGTGTGCACTGTTCGTCCTGCAAGGATAACATTACACCAATTATAAAACGTAACATTGGTACTGACATCCTACATGCAGAAAACACATGCATAATGATCTTGCATGCAATTCATTTGTTTACTTCAGTAAATTCATGAAATGTCAACACTAAATTGCAAAGCCTCAGTTACTGGGCCCAGTTTAACGAACTTTAAACTTGGAAGGTGAAGGTCACGACATTGAGATAATAATTTTGCTCCAGGAAGAATTATCATTTAGCCAAACTCATTGAGACTTTGCTCCATCCATTAAATCGGATTATCGCATATGTGTTATGAATGGGGCCGGAATATATGTACATGTGTGCAAATTGGGATAATAGTACATATTACATATTATACTATATACTGTAGGTACAATTTGATAAATTATTGTGGCAGATATATGCTTATATAATCTGCAAGGTTCAAAGGTCACACAAATCTGTTTCCCACTAATATGCATATATATCATACCTAAGTAATAAGTATACCAACACGGTATTCCCTCTACATGCAGCAGATGACATGTAATTTACATATACTGCATATTTTATGCATTATATAATAAGAAGAGGGGGCGAGTGAAAGTTGGCAAAAAATGGGAAGGAAATCCGATTTGCAAGTTGCGTTGTGTGCATTCTGGGAAAGTGGGAAGGAAAGTGGGAAGTGGGATCGATACTCTGTCCGAATCCCGACCTATGCAAAGGCCAAGGCCACGACGACGTCGGAGGTTTCTGGGAGATCAAACCTCTTCTGCCCACTCACCACCACCAACAGCAACCCACCACCAGCACCGACGACGACAACTAAATACTCCTACGCTTTCTCTTTCTTTCTCCCTTTCTCCCACCATCCACCACCACCACCAGCATCGTCGTCATCATCTATGAAGAACAAGTCAGCAGACATTTGACTGACGACTAACCTAGCCTAGCACAAGAATGCGGATGAAATGTCCTTCTCCGCCATCGTTAGTTTCACTTGACAAGTTTGAGAAATAATACAGATGCAAATCTGATGCATGCATGTATCTATCAATTCCTGTCTGACGTCTGTCTACTACTCGTCTCGTGATGTGTGTGGAAATGTGGGATGGCCTGATTTAAGCATCTATAAGAAATTTATCAGTTTGACTTTGTATATGTAGTTGCCTCAGTCATGAGCATGCCATTGGGAAAATTAATTCAAGATCATTAGTCACCAATGATCCATCTCACTCAATAAAACTCCTCAGTTCGTGTACCTTTCTGAACATGCATTTACGGGGTACATCAACCCTTTAGTTGGACATTTATTTCGTCATAGAAAGAACTATGCACAACATAAATTAATTAACATGACTCACCAAACTCTTTGTAGATCACATCACATGAATGAATCATGCAAACAAATGCGAAATGTCAACAAATGCGTTGCAGTAAGAAGAATTAAGTCATAATAACAACGTTCACAGTAGTGCAGACCATTTCCAGAGATTTGTAATTACTTGTTTAAAAGAAATTAGTCAGTAATAAATAACCATTGCTTGTTCATCAAGTTTTGCAGTATATAATTTATCACCAGTATTATGTAGAATCACATCACTTGGCGAATTAATATACTTCTCAATTTGTCACAGATCTTTTACTCGTGTATCACACTGAATATTTTATGCGTAAACTATATGTATACTCAAGTTATTACTATTATGTATTTATTAATTTAATAGCCTCCACAAAACATCACAGAAAGTTTGCACGAGATTTTTTTAATTCTCAGCAATTCATTTCTCAAATAGCGATTGCACTATTCGACTGAATAATGCAGTGTTCCATTTATATTCAAGTGTTTGTTTTCTTAATTACTCCATTAATCTTAAATTGTCGGTAAAATTGGAGTTAAATAGAGACGTTTGTTGAGAGTGGATATTGATATTTCCAATTGCACTGCATCGATTATATAGAGGTTTATAGTTGCGTTGACCAAGCTTATAATTCTGTTGCATCGGTTGTACTTTCTCTTGTATTAATTTCTTAAAGGATTAACTCTTCTATGTCTCCGTTATCATTGACGTGGTGATCACCTCTCTTCACATTTACTTTGTACTTTGGTAAGTGTTGTTGCTGCATGTATGCTGTAAACTCCTGTATGCTCACGTTGCGAGAAATCGGAAGGTCACGGTCAAGGTTATTCAAGGATACTCGCTACACTCTCCTTAATTTTTCGTCAACTTGTACAATGGCACTGGTTAAAAATGACAATAAGTAATCCACTCTGGCACGCTTACTTTGATGTGTAATTGTATGCTAATTTCTGATACATTTTATTTCCAAAGTATGATTCCAGTCACATCACTTTCATTTTGATGGATGAATTTTTGGATGAGAAGATGCGAATGAGTAACACGGTAGACAACTTTGGTAATATAATTTTGGTTGACTTCTCCTTCAGATTTGAAGTCATTTCGTCAGTTTCTTTAATGTAATGAGATTTTAGTCGTATTTGGTTTGTTTTATTAAAACTTGTTCCGAGTACATGTTAAAGTTGGGCTTTTTTTACAGCATTAAAAAGTTTTTGGTTAGCCAACTACATTATAAAAGAACGAATAACTAGTACTTGCACTCCACTTGCACACTGATTTGCGGTTATCCATACGTAATAGTCCGGTGGAGGGTAAAAGCCGAATTTTGAAAGAATCGGAGTGTGTTGCTGGTGGTGTTAAATGACATTGTAATGTTAATTGTAGTCGGTCGGTCGGTAAAATAATGATGATGGTAGTGAAGAAAAGTCTTATTACAAACAGTCTATGATGATATCAAAGCAGCACACACTCCTCTCATCTCAAAGTCGAATAAAAACTTTGCATTAGTTTGCTGGATGTTATGTTGTGTTGGTTATTGAATAATGTGATATAACAAATGAAAGCACGGCGAAGCAGGCAAGTGTGAGGATCAAAACTGTGGGGATAGGATTCTCTCATCATTAAAGGAATACTACTACACACGAGACAAGTCGGTTGAACTTGGATTTGGTAACAGAGAGAGAGAGAAGTGAGTGGTTTGGTTATAAAATCCCGATGCTTCTAAATACACGTAACCTGAATGTGCATATATCCGATATGTGCCAGCATGAATCTGCTCCTAGCTGCTGCTTTATAAGGACTTTTGTTATAATTTCTCCCTTTACAAACAGTCGGTAACTCGTCGCAAGCCAAGTGCAGCAGGGTTTTAGCGTGCCGTGCTCTCATCATCGCCGTGGTATCATCAACCCTTTCTCTCTTTTCTATCTCTCTGTGTATTTCACGTTCAAGTTGAAGGTTCGAATCCGTCGGTGGTGGTGTGGATCATGGATGTGCAGAGCAGCAAATGGAACCACCCTTTCTTATGGCATTGGCAAGGCTAAACTCTTGTTAACCACAAAAAACGACGTCACAAGAGGAAACACACAGCACCATGGACTTTGGTGTTGTGGTCTGCATCTATTTGTTGCCTATAACTAAATGTTATTGTTCCCACCGAATGAATGCTCTTGTTGGCTCTCCAAGGCCCTTTCGGATGATAATTGTACACTTATTTACCTCCTTTTCGTAACTTTGACTTTCTTTGGAATGCGATGATGAGTGAGGACAAAACCTGACTTCCACAGGAGGTTTGTAATGTATGTGAACGTAATGTGTCTATTATTCCTCTTTCTCAGACACTTCTAAACAATCCTTGTGATGATCACTGCAGTAAAGCATGATTGTCTCCATTCTTAAAACAAACCAAGGACACATTAGTAATCTGCTCAAAGTTTCAGAAAGTGAGGGAGGGTAAAATCTAATTTCCTCTCCATTATAATAATATTGTGACGCAAAGTATTATACAAACCGACCATGGATATGTAATGCATATATAGTTTAATACAAGACTGCCAGACTGTGGGGCGTTTATGTCGATGTAATGCATAAACGGTGGTTTAAAGTAGCCTGGCAGAACCTTGAGCCTTTGTTCGCTATATGCACAGGATAGAAATGATTTTCTCCGAGCATGAAAGGTTGTGAGGTTGACAGTACCCGATTTGATGCCATTTGGATATTTTGTAGTACTCAGGAGGAGAGGTTATGTACTATCAACTCCCAGATCTTGGTGCCCTTTTGATATGTTGTAGTGTCCCATAAATTAACAAGAACCCTCAAGTGGTTAGATGCCATGGCCACATTTGCGCCCGCCACACCCACTCAAAGGTGCCCAAAATACGGAGAAAGTGGCGCTTTCACTCATTCAAATCCACGCCAAAAGTCCAATTTTACTCTTATTTCGAAATTTCTTTCACCAATATACTCCCTGATAGTTGTTGTCTAATATCCAACTTCAAACTCAACTTTTTCGATGATTATTTCACAGGGATAAAAAGAGAAAGTAGCGCTTTCACTTATTAAAATCCACGCCAAAAATCCAATTTTACTCGGATTTTGAAAATCCATACACCATTATACTCCCAGATAGTTGTTTTCTTCTATCCATCGTCAAACTCAACTTTTTTGATGATTATTTCGCAGACATAATTTGCGTTGTTTATTACTACAACATTGCTCATTCAGAATTTTAATTTTTTTAATATTAAGATTTCAAAAAGTTGAGTTTGATGTTGGATAGAAGAAAACAACTATCAGGGAGTATAATGGTGTATGGATTTTCAAAATCCGAGTAAAATTGGATTTTTGGCGTGGATTTTAATAAGTGAAAGCGCTACTTTCACCGTTTTTGGGCACCTTTGAGTAGGTGTGGCGGGTACAAATGTGGCCATGGAATCAAACCACTTGGGGTTCTTGCTCATTCATGGGAGACTATAACATATCCAAGTGGCATCGAGATCTATGAGTTGATAGTACATAACCTCTCCTCCTGATACATATGTATGATGTAGTACTAAGCCATTTTTAGATGCCTTCCTTATGTAAAAAATGACTTTAATTATAATGCCTCGACCATAGGTGAGTACGAAATGTGAAGGAGTGTTTTACAGTAAAACTTTTACTCCATGACCCCATTTGTGCCCTTCACACCCCCACAAAAGCTTTACAACCACTAGAAGCTATTACTCGCATTCAAACCTATTAGAATTTTCGTTTTAGTACATTCCTCAGTTAAGACAAAATATGCTGGCATTAAAATCGGGCACTGTCAACCTCACAACCTCCCTTCACGAGTTGATGTCAACGATCAGTACAACACAACAGTGCAGTGGTGCAGCAGTGGCGTCGTGGATTTGCGTATATGTTGTAGGACTTTTCACATATTATGCTCATTGCATGCACCTCACCATATTGCCAACTTTTGAATGTTGACTTGAACAAACTCGCTGTCATCTATATCGTCTCATGCTGCTTCTCGTTTCTACATAGGCATCACTTTTATGATAATCAATTAAACTTTAACATCCAAAAAATACGAGCTTACAAACAAATTTGCACTCACCAACCGGGTTGCCATTTTGTATGCAAAGTTTTTTTTAAATCAAATTATTACATTATATTTAACTTATCCAATGTTACTGGCCTCGCATACCCTTGGCACAGATTGGACTCTGGGGATGAATGGATATATGTACGAGGCTCAACAAATTTTGGTTTTAAGAGACACTCCCAAAAGACAGATTATTACGCCGTCTTTTTACGTGTAAAGAAAATACCGTTAACCAAGAATTTACGTATGTATGTGCAACAATGAACTTGGTTTAGTGCTTGGCTGGCACACCTTGAAAAAACGTAGAATTATTTGGTTGGTTATTAATACACGAGTTGCAACCATCGTGTCCTAGTGCTGCTGCTAATTCGTGAACTCGCACGACTTTAATCTACAGTCACGAGTCGCACTCACAGTTATTTTTACTTGCATTGGTCGTATTGTCTTCGTAATGCTGCATATCACACTATATTACAGTGCATCTAAGAATATTTTCTTGGTGCAAATTTCTGATGACTTATTTGATTGGTAGACATCCTTATGAATGAATATGGATGTATTTCTGCCTGATATGAAATGATAATGGTTGGTGGTGGCAAATGGCAGAATTTATTTTCTCATTCCCAGTAAATGAAGCGTTCATCTTCCAGACGTTGCATGAGACCGAGTTCAAGGTAAAATGGAACTGCTGGCTTCGCTGCCAACATGTATATTATTACATGGCATTACATACATAGTACACCAACAGACGCGATCCAATCGTTGTCTGTGTCTGGGTCGTCCTCATCCTCGGTTCGTCGGCAAATTAAGTGCTGAATATATTTGCAAAAGAGGCCATTGCTACCCAGCAGTTATGTCACAGTTGCCCGTAATTCTAAACATGATCACCCAGAGCAATACTGCAGTAATTTATTATTGGTGCTTCGACAGGCTAAAATTCACTTAGAATGAATTATAAATCGATCTGATTATCTGCTTTATAACCAGATGGTAAAACAGAAAAAGATAGATTTTTTTACAGATAATAATGTGAAGTGATGGCTCCTTCTGCACGAGAATCTCTCCTTTGGTCAGTCTTGCATTATCTCAGAGAAGAAGAGATTTGAAATGTTGAAGCGCAGTTCTGAACAAGCTCACATGCTATCCAAGTAAGTTATACATAGGTTGTTTCAAACCATGTAATTATGCAAACATGTTTCATTCCATAGATAAAATTTTCCTTGCATGTTGTGTGTCGGGCATTGGAGGGGCATTTTCGACAATCCATGTTCATATTATAAACGACGGAGACTCACGTAATTGTGTACCTTGAATCTCTGTTGGATTGGATGAAGGTACACACTTAAGCAAAGTATCCATGCTCCTTACAACGAGATGAAATGAAATGAAGTCTCTCTCTCTTGGCGTTCGATGAAATTCTTCTCACACAACAAATATGCATCTCGCAAGAATCCCGATCTTCATCTTTTGGGCCGGAATTCTTTCTCTGAATTCCTTCAGGCAGAGATTCTTGGTCTGTTTACGGAATGGATGAATTAATGTTTCTCTCGTCTCCTTTACCTTGAATTTCGTCGGGTCAACAGGTGTTTCTAGATTTGTGTTTCAATTTTTTCTCATCATCTCATTTTCGTCAGAATATGTAAGTAACTTGGTTCAATAGGAAAAATCTTTGATTAAGAGTAGCTGCTCAACGCAACCCGCATTTGATGACAATATTTTAGAATTGTCAATTCAGGCCACATTGGGTTGATGTGTCACTGTAAAAGATGTTGACTGTGTGGTTCCGTTATTTGTTTTATGTATTTAAACTGGATGGACTGTGCACGTTACAGTGAGAACAGTTTTCCGCTACTCAAAGGAGACGAGACAAGGTGTATGTAAACTATAAAGTGTATATGATTGTTATCTAACCAAACAAATGTGTCGCCCGATAGACTCAAGTCGAGGATATTTATTTGCATATGATAGAAAATAATGTTAACTTGTAATAACCGTAACCCAAACATGAATGAGACATATAGTACGCATCAAGATTAAGGACAATCACCTCCACAGTTTCGTGTCATGAATGATCATGCACGATGTTTCCGATGTATGCATGTGCACATAGCCGTCTTTGCACAAGTATTGTTACCAAACTCACTCTGCCCAAGTACTGAATGTTGTTTGTTAGCACCACACATTTAAATATTGATAATAGAAGACGATCCAAAATCTTGTTGATTGCATGCAAACGGTAAGGCTTTGCGTGAGTCGGCTAACTAATCCAATGTATGCATACTCTATAAATATGTGACATTTGAGACTCATAGGAATCAAGACTCATAGGCTACAAGGTACATAAACGTTCAATATTTCCGGCGTTTTGTTTTCCATCTTGTAATTAGTTGTTGTATAATCATCGAGTCCATAAACTTTCGGTTTGAGTCAAGCCGACAGGACGACGTACTCACATGTGCATGTGGACGTGAAAGAATAAGACTGGCTCGTCTTCATTATCTCACATTTTTCATTGATGTGCATCTCTCTCTCTCTCTCGGTTCTCTCGGGCAATAAAACATTTGCATCTTCAACGTCTTTTTTTCGTTCTTTCTCACAGCATGAATGCAACAACAAGACTTCTCAAAACAATGACTTGACATTGACTAGAACGTACAACATGGATACATACATCTGTTCAGACGTAAAACTCGGCACATTTCAACCTGGGTTGCGCTTGAGACGGAGTAAGCATTGCATACGTATTGTTGCATGCATGTTGATATTCTTCTACATTGAATAAACTTGCTAATTAAAATGTCAATTAGCCTTCCATCTCAGAGATCTCTGTCGTCATAAACAATCGCCAGGCAGGTAGGGTACAGTTAACTCAATGGTTCAATTGATAATTAGTTTTGCGAGAGGATCATCGGATGAGGAAGTGTTGATACCAGGTTTAAGAAATGTACACCTTGATTTCACGGAATAAAGTACATCACGTGACTGTTTAAAATTCAGTTAAACACTTATTGGTGGAGGGATATGCAAAAAAAATTGAGATTTCGTACAAACATTTCAATAACATTTTGACATCTATTGCAAAATTCTGAACAACAACACGATTTGATTTTTTAACTCCTGAGAATAAATACTTTCGTTCCTCCCATGAGTAAATGCAGTTAAATATAACATGGAAATATTGATGAACCAACTTTCTGTGTATTTTATACTTACTGTTCGGCAAAAGTATTTGAAAACAAACATATTTACTGGTCATTGCTTCACGTCTCATCGTATATCCAACCCAATATGATGCAAGTATGTATATACCTACACGAAGGATTAACATCACACACTGCTTGT